TTCGTCTTCTGCATCCTCGGGGCCCTGCTCTGGTGGCTCTTCTGCTGGGTCTGCCTCCTCAGGTAGATCTTGAGGTACCGGGGGATCACTCTGATGAGCGGGAGGCGGTGTTGGGCTCATATTTCTCGTCCTTTCGGCTGGGTTTCCAGTGGAGTCGATGTTGACCGGTCGTGTACTGACGCCGTCGGCATTTCGACTAGGAGGAAGACTGGAGTCTGGCGGAGGAGGTGGTTCATAACCCTCCAATCTCTTCATGAGCTCTGCCTTTCCAGACTCCAGGATCTTGGTACCAGCATCCGCGGTGAAGAGCATTCTGATGTCATCCGGGACGACTGGTCTCGACTGTAGGCTCTCACTGTCGATAGCAAGATGGCCGTCCTTGCCCGGGATTGTAGGCCCTGAAGATTGGAGGCCAGCATTGTCATTGTTGTGTCGACCGGCCAACTGTTCCTCGAGCATCGCAATTTGACGCTCTACCTGCTTAGTCTGTTGCGCAACTGGGACATCGCTTCTTAGCACTGGCTGCTGCTCGGTGACTGCGAGCGTCTTGGCCTCATAGACAGCTAGCTCCTGGCGATAACGTGCCAGAGCGTCCTCGAATAGACCCTGCCAGTATAAGTGGTCATCATCTGTCAATTCCGCCCATCGTCGAGGAAGTTCGAGATGCATTTCGGCCAGGGTTGGATCTCGCTTCCGCTCGATGTTGTAGTCCTCCTTGCAAGGCCCGACAGCACGCTTGGCGTAGAATGCATACCCGTTTCCCTCCAGCTTTTCTGCCCCCTCTATAGCTTCTGGAGGTAGAGGGTAGTCAGAAAATGGCTCGTTGTCCCTGAGGGGCTGCGCGCCTTCCAAGTCCAGAGTCTGTGTGCCGTTGGTACCGAACGCAATCAGCATGTCTTCCGCGCTCAAGGGTGCTATGGGTCTGCTGGTTGGGTTGCTGGGCACATCGGTCAAGCTGGCCGAGCTGGTCTCTGGGACGTCTTCTGGCGAGAAGACGGCTTCAGTGCTATTGTCGAACAGGCTGACCCACAGCATCAACTTCCTCATCTCGTTCTGCGCAACAAAGTTATTCAGAAACTGCAGACTGGTGATGAGCAGCTTTTTGTAGGCATTCACAATCCACTGCCACTTCTCCTCGTCTCCTGTGCCCGCATCCCCATCGTATCCTCTTGCCGTCACCTTGACGCAGCAGTTGACCAATCGAAAAATTTCAGCCTCGATGCTAAATGAAGCTGCGAGGTCTTGCACGTCGGTACCGACGTTCATGACGTTCCGCGCGATGGAGACGAGATCGTTCAGCCTCTCGAGGTCCTTCCATAAGCCAGGATAATGACCTGCGATCAGAGCGCCACTGGTGCTTTCGTAGTCGACACTGCTGGGGTCCCAGATGGTGAAGGATCTTCGTTCCAGGCTGGGAATGGCGGCCTTGAGCAGGACGCAGAAATCCGTCCAAAACTTGGGGTCTAGCCCGATGGCGCGGCGGACGACCATCGAGGAAGAAGACGTCTTGAGCGTAGCCTTACACACGTTCTTGTCGAGGAGCTCGAGCATCTGCGGCTGCATGTACGCGGGCGATTTGAAGTGGATGGTGTAGGGCGGCAGGACGAGGCGAATGTAGAGGCTGTGCGCCTCGGGCTTGACGGGGGAGGGTCGCGCCATGGCGGCGATGGGAGGACGGAGTGTGAAGGCTGTTATCGGCGTATCATGCGTGGTATGTCGGTGGGTGGTGGTGGTGTCGATGTATGGGGGGTCTGTCTGGAGAAAGCGCAGAGGTTGACTCGAGCTCGGCAAGCTGCAGCCGCCGTGCATCGGCTGCAAGGTGCTATCCCCGACGCATATACATAGATATATATCAACCTCGTCAATGGTACCTACCATCCACTCTATTCTGCAACTGCAACATCGCCCCATTGATCTTTGACGGTGTACAGGGTTGTGGATTTGTTTCATAAGGGTCGATATTGCGCACCCGGAGACCTCTCTAACAACTTCTACAAGCTGGATATCATTCTATTGCTTGCTGCCCAGGACAGCCTGCACGGCATCGATGACATGGCTGTGAACGTCCTTGGGCGCCGCAATAACGCCCTTGTTCTCCTTCAGTGTCCTCCCATAGCTGAAGTCCAACCTCTTACCCTCTACATCTGTAACCTGACCACCGGCCTCTCTCACAGTGAGATCTCCTGCCGCATGGTCCCAGATCTTCTCGACATAGTCTTTCCTCACGGGCAGCCGCAGGTACAGGTCTCCGGCACCTCTCGCAATGCTGCCATACTTGGCCTGGCTGTCCATTCGCACACTGGGCTTGGTGATGCCAAGCTTGTTCGCGATCTGGACGGAGTCGCTCTGGTTGCTGTGCCCAGCTTCCACCGACTCGCAGAAGGTAGCGTCGGCGATGTTGGCGAGAGGTTTCATCGCGATCTTGCTGCCTGTCTCTAGCCCTCCCTTGGCCAGTGGCCTGCTCTGTGCGCCTTGACCTTGAACAGCGGAAAACAAGACACCCTTGCCCTCGGAATCAGTGGCATCGGCGCCCATGCTCTCAGTCAACGGCTCAGAGTCGGAGACTGGCAGGTTTGGGCAGCCAAGCACGCCGACCTTGACATCTCCGTCGACCATGAGACCTAGACACACAGCATACTGCCCGCCTCGAAGAAAGCCTTTGGTGCCGTCAATTGGATCAATGGCCCAGATCCTACCCTTGTTGCCGCCCTTGCTGTCGCCCTTGTCAATCAGGTCCAACATCGACTCTGCCGATTTGATTGGGCCTCCCAGTATCTGCTCTGCAGACGAGTCCGAGAGTTTCGCATCTTGCACAAGGCCCCAGACTGTGTTCTTCAAGCTGTCGTTCTCCCTCAAGTCTTTTGCTTCCTCCTCGGCAACGATCTCGTCTTCGGGGAAGTTGTGCTGGAGGGCCGCGATGATCAACGCCTGGGCGCCGAAGTCGCCAATGGTAACGGGGGATGCGTCGCTCTTGTTAAGCGTGCCTTTGGCGTGGGAATGGAAGACGGATTTGGTGAGGAGAGTGGCGCGCTGCACGGCCAGAAGAGCAACATTCAACTCGTGGGAGTAGTCGGTAGCCATGGTGCTCTGCTGTCGAGAGAACGGTGAGAGGTGAGACGACAGCAAGCGTAGGCGGGGGAAAAGGCTTGGAAGGAGAGCGGCGGCCAGGGCGAGAGCGGAGAGGGCGAAGAGGGCGGCGGTGAAGGGGGATCTTACGCGGAGCATCGAAAGGTGTGGACGTGAACTTTTCTGATGAGCTGCGGCAGCTCCATGACATTCAGCGGGGCGTCCATTAAAGTTGGCGGGGCTCCGTCAATGTCCATCAACTTTTGATTGGGCCGTTTCCGGCGTCTCACAACGCGGCTTCACTCCAGCACAAGTCGCCCCGACACCCATCGCCATGAAGCTGGCCACGCTGCTGGCACTGCCCGCATCGCTCGCGGCGACGGTGCTCGCGACGACGTCGGACACGTACTCGGAGCACCTCCATCTCAAGCCCCTCCCCAGCGGCGCCCTCTACGCCGGCTTCAACTTCACCGCGTCGACCCCTTTGACCGCCTACGAGTCACAGCACTTCCGCTTCTTCCCTCGATCGCTCGGTCAGATCCTGCAGTTTACACACACATCCGAACTACACTTGCGCTTCGCATTGGGACGATGGAATGAAGAGAGTTGGGGCAACCGACCGCGCAATGGCAGCAGAGAGGGCGGCACAGGGGTCGAGCTGTGGGCATGGCTGGAGGCGCAAGATCAGAAGGAGGCCGAAGAACGGTGGAGCGGACTGGTGAACAGTCTGAGTGGCCTCTTCTGCGCCAGTTTAAACTTCATCGACCAGACCAAGACGATCAGTCCGATACTGAGCTTTGCCCCGGAAGGTACGCTGGACCCCGAGCACGCGAATCTGCATCTCATGCACGGTATGCTGCCTCATGAGGTCGTCTGCACCGAGAACCTCACGCCCTTCCTGAAGCTGCTGCCATGCAAAGGCAAGGCGGGCGTCTCCAGCCTACTAGACGGCCACAAAGTCTTTGATGCGAGCTGGCAGACCATGGCCATCGATGTACGGCCAGTGTGCAAGGGGGATGAATGTGAGCTGGAGATTGACCAGACAGTGGACATGGTCTTGGATATTGAGAGGAGCATGAGGCCCAGAGACAACCCCATTCCACGGCCACCACCGGTTGAGGATGTGACGTGTGATGAGAACAAGGGCTACAACGCTCACGACACGTGCTATCCCAAGAAGAGAGAGGGCGAAATGGAATGGGGCTTGAGTAGGATCTTTGGGCGGCCTGTCCAAGGGAGCTGTCCAGCCGGTGACCGTGAGAATTCAGTTGATATTGTGGTCGAAATTCCAAAGGAACGGATCCTGCATGCTATGCCTGAGGGCGCGTTGGATCTGGTGTTGGCCACTGACGTACAACGATCATACCGGTTGAAAGAAGGCCAAGAGCTCGATCTTCGATTGCCTCATCAGGTTCTGGACCATGCACTGGAGCATCGTCAAACGCTTCTTCACGCCCAGAGACAGATGACAGGGTATGGACAGGAACGCGGGGGTATGCACATTGTCATAACCAACCCTCATCCACACGCTCAACGTGTGGTTTACCTCGAGAGCCTGCCATGGTTCTTGCGACCGTACATGCATACGCTTGCCATCTCCGGCGCCATAACCGAGAACATGTACTACACCCCTGCCATTGATCGACGAAAGGGTACCCAGCTTGAGATTCTGCTCGAAGTGCCGCCTCTAGCGACGGTAGAGATGAGTTATGAGTTTGAGAAGGCCATTCTACGGTATACCGAGTACCCTCCGGATGCCAATCGTGGCTTCGACATTCCGCCAGCGATTGTCAGGATCTTGCCATCAAATGCGTTCAACGATGACCAGGGCAGCTATTTGAGGACGACTAGTCTGCTGCTGCCACTTCCAACTCCTGATTTCAGCATGCCGTACAACGTCATCATCTTGACGAGTACTGTCATTGCCCTTGGATTCGGAAGCATCTTCAACTTGCTGATCAGGCGCTTTGTCTTGGTGGAGGAAGCTCCCAAGAGCCCTCTCGCAGTGTTGGTGCAGAATTTGGTTAAGAAAGTGAAGGGCGCGAATGGTGAAAAGAAGGCGAAGGATGCCGTAGAGCCGGGTTCAGCGGGTGGTGTGAAGGCCAAATCCAACGATGGACTGAGGCAGAGATAGTCAATAGTAGTCGTGTATTGTGTTGTATGTCCCTCATCTTCACGGCAAGTTCCGATGCTTATTACTCATCCGGGTGACTGATCCTGGTGAGCGTTTGCTATCCCTAATCCATCTCACCACCGAACATGATGATGCCGTTCAGCGCCCGTTTCGCGTCACATGTGCTCTTCAATGCTACTTGGGTTACGGCTGTTGCATCCGAGCCCTTGATGATTTTCCCATTTAGCTGGACCGGGCTTTCAGGACATTCGGTGGATGCGAGATCATGAAATAACATGCCGACAGCTTCACCACAAGCCCGATCATGAAAGCTGTGAGAATATACCCATCATCATGCTGGGAAATGATAGTACGGCCACATCTCCTACTGACGATGCCTCCACGCTTGCGCTTTCACCGTACACGCCCAACAACCCATCTGCCACGATGCGGACCGGGTGTCTGTCATGCCACAAAGAGGGCGTTCCATGCAAGCATCAAGCAACATCCGAGGACTGGAGGATCAACCGCGACGTCGCATGGCAGTGGCATGGTACCTGGCGGGAGCGACGAGGTCTCCATGTATTTGCTGGCTTCCTCACCGCGCCGGGCGTCATGGGTTTCTTTGAGTCGCCTTTCTGGCATCGAGCCGTGATGCTGGCGTGTGACAACAGTGCTACAATCTTCCACCTCGCTTCCGCCATAGGGTCGTTATACGAGCATGCCTTGAAGTCCGCCGCCGGGTTTGCTCATACCGACAGACGAGCCGTCCCTTTTGCTCTGGAGCAATGCAACAGATCGATTGTGCTACTCACTCGTGACGAGAGCAGCAACGCAGAGGTGTGACTTCAAGACTTCTGGTGCGGATATCTGCTGACTTTTCCGCGGCCAGGTATCCCTAACAGCTTGCGTGCTCTTCGCCTGTTTCGAAGCCTTGCAAGGAGAGACCCAGCGAGCAACTGTACATTCTTTGCAAGGCCGAAAGCTGCTGAGGCATCTTGAATTTCTCGAAGCAACAGGTCAAACTATGGGTCTCGTCAGGTCCGAAGACGTAGTTCCTGTCATCAGCTCACTAGAGATGCAGGCCAAGACATTGCAAGGCACAGCAATGACCAGGTCGCTGACTGCCCCGGAACCGCCCTTCCCAGATGCTTCGTATCTTTACAGCCTAGATCACGCCAACGTTGCCTTCCACCACGTCTACGCTCGACTGCTGGTGTGGGTGCAGGAGTGGTATCTCAGCGGGAACCTTCATGTCATGACGGTCCTCACGGCGGAAAAGCGAGCCACGTTTGCGGCCTGGATGCGTCAGTGGGGTAATTCCTTTACTGAACTCCTTTTTCGGCTGGGCCAAGAAGACAATTTACCACCCGGCGACGTCAACAGGGCCAAGATTCTGGAAGCCAACCATCTGACAGCAAGTATGATGTCCAACGCAGATCAGACAGCGAACAGGTCGGTGTGGGACGAGTATGAAGACTCCTTTGCCACCGTCGTTGAACTGTCCGCTTGTGTACTGGCAACCTTTCGTCTTGACCAGCATCCGTCGTTGGGCAAAGTCCAATTCCCGTTCCTGACTCACGGTCTCTGGGTTGATCAGCCGTTGTTTATAACCATGTCGAGGTGCACGAATCCAGAGATACGCCGGAAAGCCGCGGGCTTGCTGTTTGGAGAGCGGGACAGGAAGGCGGGAAAGAAAAAGAGAAGCGTACATGAGGTGGACGATTGGACTATGGACCAGTGGATTGACTATGCGGTTAGAACGAGGATGGACTCGGCCATGGCTGCTTTCTTTGGGGGATTCGCTGTCGAGAGTGTGGATATCCCTGGGTTTGACGCAAATTGTGCGTAGAATGGGGTGTGGATGAGTTGGTCTTTCACGCCTAGCCAAGGAAGTCTTCCCGCTGGATCACAACTATGCTCTTTGGGCAGACGTCCCGAACACGAAGCCGGTATTTCGCGGGTGTGCCATTCATCCTAAGCATGCACACCAGTCTCGTGGCTGAGGCCAGGTACTGCAATGCCTAAAACGTCGATAGGGGCCGATGCTGACTGATACTTGCCGTCCTTGATGTAGTGCTGGATGACGTCCTTACAACTGCATGGTTCGGCCAAAACTCAGGAGCAAACACCACATGAGGCTGGTCTTGACGTCTCTCGCCGGATGTATACCACATCGTTGATGTACTGGAACCAGCGGAAGCAGCGGATGTTCTGCAGAAAGTTCTCGCGGACTCGAAACGGCATACGCTCATCATCCATAACGTCTATTTAATACAAGGGCAGGCATTCGAGTATGTCACGAACCCATCGATCACAATGCCCGAATCCAACCGACGCTACACATTTCTCATCGACACAAATCTCGACCTCACGTCGACTACGCCCGGATGGCCAGAGACATTCGCCCGTCTTCGTATCGACGCAGAAGATACTACCGACCTGAAGTACATGGATGCACAGCTGGAGAAACAGGTTCCAGACTTCGCATTCATGCCCTCTGGAGATTATCACCGTCTGCAAAGAGCTGGCAAATGTGCGTATAGAGGACTGGCAATCCCCACGTCAAAGGTCACCCGCCAGGCTGCGGTCCCTAGTGTCCTGGTCGTCAAACCTGATGACCCAGCACAGAGCTTGATGGACCTTTCGGGGAGCCACATTTGGATACATCAACGAGTCTTGCACGTCTTGCTACTTCGCCGCAGGGGTAATGCTCGCCCAACAAAACGAAGACCTGCACGCATTTCTTCGTCCACAGAGGACGCCACCTTGGCAAGGCCAGATTGATGCTGTCAAGTCTGGGAAGGTCAGAGTGACGCTTGTGCCAGAAGACGTGTGGAATTCCGACGAGCAGAATGCCAGAGACACGAAGGTCATAGGGAGATGGGATGATGGCGTGCCTAGGTTTGTTGTTGCACGAAATGACATTGACGAGAAGGTTTGTGAAGGCTTTGGTGCGGTGGCAACCGCTGTGGAGCAACCTCTATGGTCCTATGAAGCCATTCCTCCAAGCAGACGTGCACCGGTTCTTCCACGCGTTGGATGCCCTGCCGGAAGGGTTTTGAGAATGCTTTGTTTAAGGATCTGAAGAAAATATTCTTGTCTGGGTCTCACCTACACTGACTTCTGCTTCACTTGCCTTTTCACTCAATCGACCCTTTGATCGTCTCATTGTCGTCGGAATCTCGGTCAAACTCAGACATGCTTTTCCACCCGTTCTCGCCCGCATTCGCGTATCACGAGCCGGTTTTTCGAAGTTCAAATCGATATTCTGGGCTAGGTTTTGGGATCCTGCCACTAATATTTTCACCATAGATTACAAACATAACGAAGTTTACGATGTGATAGAGTGAAGTCGATTGAGGAACAAACGGCGTTCTACAGACTCCGCAATGTAGGAGAACATTCAGTAGAGGTAGTACTATCATCAACCAAGCGCGGCATTGTTTTGATATTCAGGTAGGCTCTTCGATTTCAGCAGTCCGGCGCCCGAAATTCAAAGATCAAACACGCATGATCAGTACGGTGGTGGTCCTCTAATGTGCACGCAGTACGCTCTTTTCGCCGGTTTTTCGAACTTCAAAAAACTATAACTCGACAGACCGATCGTGCCAGAACAGGAGACTTTCCAGAGATACTATACACGATTATGAGCAACTTTATGGACTTGAACGATGATGTTTGCTGCTATTCGATTTGGCGTCGTTGTGATAGCGATGATGCACAGGTCGTAGGAAGTCCGCAAAAGGAAATTACCAAACCGGGATGCGGCTTCGCCTTCCCCAAAACGGTTGCGAAAGCTCGGTATTTTGAACTTCAAACGCGTTCTGCGCCACAACCGTCCATTATTATTGCTCCATGTTCCTACATATCGACGTCTACACATCAGCATATGGTATGGACCACCTGGGTGACCGAATTGAGAGGTGCGGGCAATGCTCGGTAGACGGGCAGATTCCTTCAGCTCGATATTTTGAAGTTCAAAGACGGATCACACGTCAACCACGAGATCTCCGCATCTCATCTTGAACATTACGACTCCGTTATAGCATATGTACCATGTGGCGGTGGAGCGGGCATGCGCGATTTCCTCGACAACTGCTCTTCGCATCGCTTCGAGGTCCAGGGCGAAAGGCGCGGGTGATCTACGCTGCGAGCATCCACCCGCAAATTGGTACTCCAACGCCGGTATTCCAAACTTCCAATCAATTTGGCAAGACATACCCGCATTTTTGGGATGGCCGCCGGCTTGTAAGGCACTGGAAGTTTGAGAGCGCGACCACGAACACACTTCGTGCATTTGTACAACTGCACAGTCGCGAGGAGCAGTGCTGCCAAAATGCGCTCATAGATCCGGGCCGAAGGCTGCCTCGTGGTGAGTCGCGCGATAAGTCGCGCGTGATGCAACGCCATTCTGGTACGCTAAGAGCTCGCGAATCGCGCGGCAGATGTGCTTTGTTGCCTGTCGTGGACCGAGTGTTCCTGCTCACAGAGTTCAAGGTTTGGCGCAAGGCTTCAATGAACGAACTTGGGTGCGGGATACTCCGTTGGCTAGGCGGGTCAACCTAGAGTCCTCAAAAAGGTGCTTAAATGACTGTTTTCGGCCGCAGAAGTGCTTTGAATCCAGGCGGCCGAGCCCGCTGCGCAAAACCTTATTACGCGTCTGATCACGGTGCTGCCTTCCGCGCTTTTGCGCAGCGTTGAACCTCGCGAGTGCCATGTGCGTCTACTTAGCGCTGTAGATCTGTGCCAATGTGGGTGCCATATGAAAGTCGCCTATCGCTGTCTTTGTCTGTGTACTTCTCATTTCATGAAATGCCCTTTGCTGCTCTCCTTGTTGACTTCATCGAAGCTTCAGAAGGGCACCAGCGTCCGCAAGAACGATGATCGGCATTTGATCAACATGAAGGTCGTGAGAGCCGGTTCAAGTTCAAAATCACGAGCTGTGGGATTGGTCTCCGCACTTTCAACCTCTGTTGTCCTTGCAATTGTGCACAAATAGAGTCTTGAGCTTGTTTGTTCTCCTTCTAGAAGGGTGGGTCGTTGTGCTACTGCATAGGCGAGAAATCATCGTTGGAAGTTTCCAACACCGGGCCTTATGCTCTCGCATTTCAACATCAAAAAGTCAACATCCATCTCTGGACTCCACCGCTTGCCAGATGAGACCTCACGCTACAAAAGAACTGCCCTGAAAGCGTCATTGCGTTTGGTGGCGAATTGAACGAGAGATCGGCCTTCAAATTTTAAAATACCGAGCTACAAGTCAGAAATCACTTGGTTCCCTTGCAATTTGCCAGTCTGAGAAACCATAGAAGTACTACTCATCACTTACAAGAACAAGAAGGGGCTTTGTCGGTTAAGAATTGAGCCCAGCAGATGCGCTCAGAGGTCAAAATACCGAGCGAACAGCAATTAAAATCAAAGTCCATTACAGTCACAACGCCCTCCTCTCATCGTCTTCGCACGACACGAGACCTACCAAGACTGCCACCCGAGCTCACTCAACTGCAACACCCGCCTCCTCGCCATTCTCCCTCCCAACCATGAAAAAGTCTTTCCGCTGCGCACTCACTCCCTTCTCCAGCACCTCCTCGACCTGCTCACCCTCGGACCCTCCCCGTCGCTCATACTCCCTTGTGAACCTGCTCACATTGTTCGGCGTCAACTTGGTCCCAGGCGGATATCGATTCATCTCCGACCCATACTCCTCTCCATCGACGGGAGGAATTAGCCGATTAACTTGGAATCCAACACCAGGGCGGTACCCGAGCTCGGCGTCTTCCAGAATCGCCGCATTTTCGCGCACCTTGCGTTCAATCGTCGACTGCGTGGCTGGATGTGGGTGCGGCGCGCCCATCTTCTCGAATGGCACTCCACTGCTTCCAAACTCGTCGCCAGGAGCCGGGCAGCCCAAAACGAATCGATAGAACAGCGCTCGTGGGCCATACTTCCTGCCAGAACGGCATCGTGTCGTACGGCGTGTGAAGGAACACGACGTTGCCCTGTCGATATCAGCAGCCATTCGCGCTGTAGACTTGATTCGCACTCACATCTTCCTTGGGCCCATCTGGTGATCTCTGATACGCGCTCAAACGAGGCAAGCCGAACTCTCTGATCAGCTATCCACATGGGCGGAAGACGTCGAAGACAACTTCGCGAAGCAGCGGTGACGGACCCAGCTGTTCCATCCTGCAATAGTAGACGACTGCCTGCAGTCAGTACGGATCTCGTCTTGTCAAGAGCCTACTCACTATCCCAGTCGAGAATAGATGCAACCACCTTCGCGACGAAGCTTTTCAAAAATCGTGGAACAGGGTACAGCACTTGCCACAGCATCGCCATGGCCATGACTTCGTTCGCAGGATCTCGCCATCGCATGGTCGTTTCGAAATTCTGTCCCTGTCGTTGGCTGTCATCCCCATCATCCGACCTTGATTGCATACCTTTCGCCACTCCAGCGCGTGTTCCAACGTCTTGGGGACATATCTGCAGCCAAACCGACATGCAACCTCCCTCCACAACACCCACCTTGCTTGGAGTCAGCAAAGATCAGCCCAGAACTTCATGACACCTACAAAGCCTGAACCTCGAATGGCTCCAGCTTGCGATAGCCAAATCTATTGATCCAAGGCACTGGCGCGAGACCGAAGTGAATCACGAGGTATAGCACATCGATGGTGCTGCGAGAACAGTCAGCTTCTGTCAACCAAGACTGCGACTTCACTTGCATGTTCGTTGATCCTCGCAATGACGAGACTCGAGTTCCGAGAATTTATTGGATACGCCATCAAACCCGTCATCAGATGCACCGTGGCCTGCATTCGTTGATGCTCAATCCGCTTGTCCTCATTGATGAAGTGACCAGACGAACTAATCGCTCTGGCCACGCCCGGATCGGTACTTGTCCTGAAGAAGTCCGACAGCCAACCGAATTGGAAGAGACGAGGAAACTCCCATTCGGCCATGTTCTGCTCAATCTCCTTCGCTTGTTCGATGGTCATGTCTTGCCATGTCTTGGGGTTGGCAGAATTGAAGCCATGTTTCCACTTTATGGCATTGATGCGGGCGAAGCGTAGCTTGCGTTGGATGTATTTCAAGGGCACTGCAACAGACAGAGTGATACCGGCTGCTTTGAAAGGATTCTCAGCAACAGCAGCCAACAAAGGCTTGATGACCTCCGGAAATGCAATGTAAATGGCGGCTATGGAGAGGTAGATGGTCGTCCAGAGCTTAGTCGACTTTGAGGCGGGCGAGAAACGCCAGAAGATTGGGATGAATAGCAAGGGTGCAACAGAGAAGAGCTGCTGCGGTAATGGGAAAGCCATAATGTCGTATGAAGTGGTTTGAAATCGTGAAAGAGGTTGCTGCGATTTATGTTCGATCGCCTTGAGGAGACCGTACACGATGATGACGCCAACTTTCCCCTCCCTGCCTCTCTTCGCCATTCAACCATCGTGAACTTCACAATACTTTCGGGATCAGGTGAGCAGACTTTTTCAAGCTCGATTGGCCTTCTCCACGATTGTGACGAAGATCATCACTGTACCTGGTCGTCTGCAGGCTTCCCCCATGGAATTCCTATCAGCCTCTACGTCTTAGCCCGACTACGCCTTCAATGTCCCTTGACCAGCCCCGGGTACATTCGGTGTCCATAGCGAATCGTTCGCCATTAACGACAACGATCAGTAAGAGGCTGCGCTATCAACCGAAAACACCTCGCGAAGTATCATGAGCGGGGTACTTCTCGATATGGACGAGTTTGCCAGGCTCATCGAGGGCAAGGTTCAAGAAAACGCAATCTTCTGGGCACTGCGGGGACGTACAGGGTATCTATGTGGAGACGTCGTCTTCATGTCAACGACATCGGGAGGCACAGGCGTCGTTGGTGAATGAAGTGGACTGAAGCAATGCCGATACATTCGTGATTCAATCACATATCATATCTCTTCCTCATCCTCTCCAAATATGCCACAAGATTCGCCTTGCCCTCAACATATCCAGTTCCAGGCCACTTCTGGGGCTGATCAGTCAGATGCCTCAGCATAGCATACGCAACGGCGTCGACATTGCGCGGTTCGTCCCCAAGGAAGTATGCCTTATCCCCAAGAAAATCTGCCACGGCATCAACATCCACTTTGTACACCTGCAGCACATTCTCATGACTCCTTCGACCCATCCCATGACCATTGAAGCCCTGCAAGATGCGCACCCGAAACGCATCGAGGACTTTGCGTAGCTCGGGCTTTACTTCTGCCCCGGAGACCTGTGAAGTGAATTAGTGTATGTCGGATCGTGGTGGTTACGTTCGTACAATGTATGGAATGTACGTCTCCCATCCTTCATCCAGACGCCATCTGGGTTCGATCACTCCACTCCAGTAGAGGTGCTCGCAGAAGAGACGGTCCCAAGCAACGGAGACAGCCCGATCGGAGGGCGACAGTTTCTTGTCGAGCGTTGCCCCGTACCTTTCCCCAAGATAGGCGATGATCTCGCTCGAGTCACTGACCTGCTATGTTTAGCACGGATCAACATTCGACATTCACAGACTCACCTTGGTTCCGTCGTCGTCGATGATGTATGGAAGCTTACCACATGGTGCGTTGACGTCGAGCTCGTCCAGATTCTCTGCTTGATACTTGTATGGTGTTCCGGTCATTTTGAGGAAGAAGATGAGCTTGGTCACATACGGACTGATGTCTGGTAAACCCCATGCTGGAACGTAGCCGTATACCGTGAGGACCATTGTTGCGAAATTCCAGCTGTATTCAGGGTAACAATCGATCGTTCCGTCGGAAAGATCATGCTCGCGGAGATGGTCCGTATTCGTAGCCAGTCCAGCGGCACGGCATATTTCTCCAACGCCAAGGACTCTTTCCCTCACTCGCACATCCGGAAGAATTTGGCATTCAAAAGAAGCAGATCAGTGTAGTACTCCTCTTCGTATCTCGCTTGAGGTCGTACCTTCGCGATCGATTGATAGGACAATCCCAGCATGTGTAGGGTAGTCGTATGCCCCAGTCCTTGCATGAGCGGCCACTCTGTCCACGATTAACTTCAAGTTCGAGGCCGAGTACGGAGCGTTTATCATTGCTTCCATAATCACAGCGAAGTCGAGGGGGAAGGTCTCCGGTCGAGGTTTTGACGGCGCTTGCTTGGTCTCCGTGATGAAGCTGTAAAAGAGAAAAAAGCAGCAGACATCCACCTCTTCCACCAGCAAAATGCCCACAGCAGGTCAGTCTGGCGAGGCACGCCAATGCAGGCTGCTAACAGTCCTCCAGTCTTGACAGGATGCAACTCCGGCATTGGCTACGAAATGGCCAAAATCGCGGTAAAGGACGGCTACAAAGTGTTCGCGCTTGATGTTGTCTTCGGAGACAAGCTCGAGTCATTGCAACAGGAAGGCTGCAACATTGGTCAACTGGATGTGACAAGTCCAGAGTCGATTGCAAAGACCAAGGAATGGATCGGCAATCAACCCGTTGATCTTCTCTTCAACATCGCCGGTGAGCCATCGAAACGATTCCCTGGTCCACTCTCATGCTCACGTTCGAGACAGGTATAATGCCAGATCCGAAGAAGGAAGACTCACTCGACACAGTAAACCTCTCAACGATCCAGAAGAGCTTCGCCATCAATGCGTACGGGCCTTTCCTGCTCACTCAGACGCTTCTTCCGAACGTTCTGACGGCAGGATCGAACCCCAAACGAATCGCAGTCATCTCATCTCGCGTTGGCTCGATCGCAGACAACACCTCAGGAGGAGCATATGCGTATCGAGCGTCGAAGACTGCGGTGAACTCATTCTTCAAGACACTTGCTGTAGAACTGAAGGGCCAGGGGGTTGCTGTAACGATTCTGCACCCTGGCTTTACAAACACCAACTTGAGCCCTGATCTGAAGAACATCCCCGGTGTGGTAGAGCCCGAGGTCGCTGCGAAGGGCTTGTGGAAGATTGTGAAAGAGAAGGGGCTGGAGGATACCGGAAAGTTTTGGCATCGTGAAGGCACTGAGTTGCCGTGGTAGAAGCGTAGGGAGGGATCATCCACCAAGTCGTCTGACTCTTGTCGAATAGATGCGTGTAAACGCTGCCATGCCAAGCTGTTAATGTCACCTTTGTACTTGCTCTGCAGGGCTTTCGTCTCATCTGTGACAGCTTGGTTTGTCGTATGGCCTTCGTTCGAGCGGTCAGATGAGGGGGGTTTTCAACCAGATGCGTGAGGATGATCTGAAACTCTCCTTTCTCCCCAGTATTTGCCTTCATGGAGGGGACACCAGATCACAGAGAGGACTGCGGAGTGATTGCGGCCACCTTGTTCCCAAGAGCGGATGTACGGTATCTTTTACATCCAGAGCAGGCCACTTTCCTGGAGCTTTTCCGCGCTGTAGAACGAGGGGTGCATCATTGGTCTGATCGACGGTGAAAATTTGCTGCCCACGTTTCTCTGCCGCGTATTGCGTGTTCGGCGCATGTCAGTGGGTCATTTGTGCAAGCATAGTGTCCTGTGATTTTTGTGACTGAGGAGGTGTATCGTTTGCTGTGCAGCTTGATATGAGACAGCTTCACCCTCATCCTGGAGAGAACTCTCCGGCGAGCAGAACACAGAAGACCATCCCCTTCTCTACCAGTGAATCAGAAACATCAACAATTCAACATCCACTGATGGACGCAAGATGGTTCGCCACCGGCCTTCCCGATCAAAGCACGGTTGTGGACCCACTCGGCCGTAATGTCGGACATGTTGCCAAAGCAGCCACCACACCCTGAATCTCGGTGCAATCGACACATAGGGATGGCCATACGTGCAGTCTGAAGAGATTTTCTCACATCTCGTAGTCCGGTTAGGTCTCGGGAAGTTCTTGAGCAGCGCTCACGCTCACTTCGATCGATATCAGAAGGACTTGGCGGCGACATCATCCAAAAGCCCTTCGTGAGTGCGATTCATGGGGAACTCAAGTCTGGATGCCTGTAACGGACAAGCGAGATAATGGGCCGCCGAAGTAGTGTCTTCTGCAGTCTGTAGCCACGGAGCAAACCCGAGGACATCATATCAACCAGTCGGTGGCCGCTGGTTCCGAATTGACGATTTGGTGGTGACGATAGCGCCGTCTTCTCGATCACGTCGAATTGCGTGGCAATTGGCACTGATAAGATACTGTTGTCCAATGGCTCCTAGACTTGGTGGTGCAGGCGGTGGTATATCATGGTGATGACTCCCGAGTAGTCCCCAGGAAATGGTATTCGTGTTTCATTCAGTTTTTCTCCCAGGCTCATCCCTCCTCAACTCATCCCAACCATGTCAGTGCTTCCCGGGTCTCCCGCAATCGAGCCTCCCACGGGTCAGGTAGACGAGCTCGTGGCTGATCCTGAGGATATCGACAAGATGATCCAAGACGACAAGCACACTGGCGTGAGACAACGTCTTTGGGGGTTTCAAGCCCGACTTGATCCCTCTGTCACTCTGGAAGAGTATATGCACTGGGCGGATGTCGAGAGGGAGATGGAGGAAGAAGAGTTCCGGCACTACAAGGGCATCGACACTGTCGGTGGTGGCCTCGTGGCATCACTCAAGAATTTCTTCGGGAGAGAGCGATCCAACGATACCCAGACCATCTACGGCAACGCTCCCACAGTGCCACACTCCGAGAAGAGACTCCCACTGGAGAAGGACACCAATTCCAGTGATATAGAGAGTCCGGTCAGACCCGCCGCCCCTTCCGCAAGTCATGAGTTCGACGCCGAGTGGAGAACTGCTGTGAGGGCCCTTCGAACTGCCAGCTGGGGAGGCGTCTTCTACCTCATTACCACAGATATTCTTGGCTGGAGTCAGACCCCCTATGTCCTAGCCAACACAGGATACGGCCTCGGAGTCGGCATGTTTGTCCTCATGGGCCTCGCAGCGGCAGCATCTGGATGGATGATATGGAAGACATTTCTGGCCCTCGACTCGTCACGCTTTCCGGTATTGAGCTTCGGTGATCCCTTCTTCCGCCTCTTCGGCCCAAGGGCTCGTCATGCCATCAATTTTGCCCAAGGTCTCCAAATGTTTCTGAGCGTCTGTGTCCTTCAACTAGGCCAGACGAATGTTGTGGCACAGCTCGGTGAGAGTGCAAATCTATGCTTTATTGTGTGCGGTATCATCGCGCTCGTCGTGGGCATGGCCAGTGGATATCTGCGATCCCTGAAACATCTCAGCTGGCTGAGCAACGCTGCGGTTTGGCTCAATGTCGCTACATTCATCATCGTTTGTGTTGCTGCGGCCAAGTACGGACCTGATCCAGTGCCTCAGGTCAACGGCGGGATATTACCCAAATCATGGGCGAAGAATCCCGCGCCTGTGAAGACGTTCATTGGTGTACCTCCAGCGAGATACCAACCCACCGACACAGATCTGTTTGCGGCAGAGTTCAATGGCATCAACAGCATCGTCTACGCCTACTCTGGCGCAGTCTTGTTCATCGCATTCATGGCCGAGATGCGCCATCCGATGGACTTTTGGAAGGCGGTGTTCTGCGCCCAGTTTTTCATATGTGTGGTGTACAGCTTCTTTGGCGCTTTCGTGAGTCCACTCATTTGTCCTTCCGAATGTGTCGCTGACAGACCTTCAAGGCATACACATATTACGGCCAATACAGTTATTCTCTAGTCAATCAGGTCGTTCAGCCTCTTGGCCTTCAAATCGCCGGCAATGTGCTCACCTTGATCACAGGGTGGCTCGCTATTTGTAAGTGTTCCAATGCCAGGCTACATCCATTGGAGGTGCTCGATGGCGTTTGCGTTGGCCGTAAGCTGATGGTTGGCCAGTCTTGTACTTCAATGTGGGGCTCAAGATGGTGTATCTGGAGATCGGTCAAGAGTTACTGCATCTCCCACCAATCACCACCACCAAGGGCAAGTACATTTGGTGGATCATAGGTCCCATCTACTGGATCCTCGCCTTCGTGGTGGCGATGTCTGTCCCACAATTCAACGCCTTCACTAACTTCGTCGGTGGACTGTTCAGCCTGAACTTCACCTATTCGTTCGCCGGGATGATGTTCACTGCGCTCAAGGTCCAGCAGTACGGGAAGCTCCCAGGAGAAGGGTTCGATCCAGCCACCGGCGTGACAACCCGACATGATGGTGGGCCAAAGCGATGGATGCGCGGGTTCATGAAAGGGTGGAAATTCACTGTGCCAGCCCTCATCTACACCTGCGCTGGACTGGCGGCGTCGGGTATGGGGACCTGGGCAGCTATTCTGGCCCTCCAAGCGGCATTTGGCCCGGGCGGTTCTGTGGTGACATCCTGGACATGCACGAATCCATTTTATACCGGCTGATCTCGGACCGGCGATGGTGGTGGAGCTGTTGGTCGTGTAGTGTGGACCCGCGATCAAATGTTATCATCACCTTTGATGTTCTTCCCACATGCCATGAGCCACTGTCCTTCGACTCTTCGAAATTCCACAACACAGACACTTCTCCTCGTCAGCTTTGGCGAGACTAGGGCCTGGTTTGCGAAGACCTCCGCCATGCCTGCTATAGGGTCGATCTGAATAGACACGTCCAAAACCTCGACTTTCAACTTGGGGTCGCCGAACAACTTCTTTCCTAGCTCGAGATATGCGTCCAGTCCGACTACCTGCTCACCCCCATATGCAGTCTCGAAGGTGAAAGATGGCAATGCAAAGCACCAGGGTTCCTGAGAGCGCTCGAACTGTCTGTCGTTGTGCGCCGCAGTGACCTGGTAATACATTTTCGCCAGAATCTTTGCTATGACATCTTTGGAGCCGGTGTCAGAAAGATCCCCGAAGTCCTCACTGGACGCACTGGGAAATGTGGCGGCAGGTATCTTGTAGACATGGATTCGCTTCGTATGCTCGTACTCCCAAGGCCTCAGGTCGCGTGAATAGTCCATATTCCAAACTCATGATTACGACAAGGCGGTCGAACGAAGTACGTGAGCTTTCAGCCCCATGCTGTTTCTTGGCGCTGACGCAATGAAATGCCTCAGGCATGACCACTCTATTCACCTACAGCATCACGTGGGCCGGTTAGCGAATTCTGCATTTTCAGACTTGCCCTCGCTGGATTTGCAATTGAAAACACAACACGCTTCTTCGCACGTCGACTCCTTATCTTAGCGATTCCGAGGCCAGTCACTTGCTGCAATACCGAGCGACATTGTTGCGATTGGACAGAGACACGACAGGCGAATCAGAGGTTGCGACTTCAAGCCACAAAGATAAGGGATTTGAACCACGTCTACACCACCACGCATTCACCCATCCTGTCATGGAATCTTTGGGGTCTCGAGAGCTTAGCAAGGCTTGTAAAGTGGGCCATTTCGGTGCTTGTCGTGGTTAGCACGTGGTCGGAAAGCTTGCTTTGACCGACTTCATCACCGAGGGCACGCGTTCGGGCATTGTCGTGGACGAATCTACTATTCGCATGGCCCTTCGAGTGGCCAGAACGACTACTGATTGAGTCCTCGCACAAAGTGGGAATACACGCGAGCTCTTTACTCAACGAGAGGAGGATTCACTGGTACCATCCTCGGATCATCTCCAGCACTGCAGTCGTACACCTCCAAGCTCAAGTGGTTATAGTACCGCCGCCTGCCACCGACACGATGTACTGATAAGAGCCTCGCACGCCATTCGCACGCCCAGCGGAGTCTTCTCGAAAGGGCGATGCTGCAAGCGAATGGCACGTCTTTAGCGAGACCAAGGATTGCTTCCTGCGATCCCAGTGGCTGCTCCGACAACCAGGCCATGGCGAAGGTTATGCGGTACGGCGTCTGGCGTGATCTGGTCGAGATGGTAGTTCACACCTTCCACGTGGAACCGACGGCCAGACGCAAAGCACAATCTGTCAGTCACCTCGTGCTTGAGCCATTTCCGTCCCGCCGCCTCGGTGGTGCTATAAAACCGGGACCGTGCAGCTTCCATGTGCTCTTGCTGTTACTGAGCTGCTCTTTCCTAGCTCTCGTCTTGCGCCTGCCGTTCTCCCCAAGGGCATCATCAATCGACCATGTCGGATCTCACATCAAGCACGCCAGATTGGTTGGTGCAAGGCGACAATGCCTGGCAGCTCACTGCTGCGACGCTCGTCGCTCTCCAATCCATTCCCGGGCTGGCTCTCATCTATGCTGGGCTTGTCAAGAAGAAGTGGGCCATCAACAGCATGTTCATGGTCTTCTACGCCTTCGCCATGGTATTGATTTGCTGGGTCATATACGCGTACAAGGTCGGATTTGGAGAGTATATGCTGCCGTTTGCAGGTCGGCCAGGCCCAGTATTGACCATGAAGTACGAACTGGAACAGAGCAACCTCCCCAGCGCAGGCGTCATGCAGAACTACCCAAAATCGACCATGATCTACTTCCAGTTCGTATTCGCGGCCATCACACTGGTCCTCATAGCCGGTGCTTTCCTGGCCAGGATGGATCTCCGAGCCTGGATGCTTTTTGTGCCGCTATGGTTGACCTTCAGCTACTGCATCGGCGCCTATTCGATCTGGGGAGGAGGCTTCCTCTTCAAGTTGGGCGTCATCGACTACTCTGGCGGATATGTCATTCATTTATCCTCAGGAACAGCCGGATTCGCTGGGGCGTATTTCGTCGGTCCTCGTTTGAAACAGGACCGCGTCAACTTCCAGCCGAACAATGTCGCTCTTGTGATGGCCGGCGCAGGGATCCTCTGGGTGGGATGGAATGGTTTCAACGGTGGTGTGAGTGGCTCAGTCAATCGTAGAACAACGGGGATAGATCTGACCAAAAATGTAGGATCCTTACGCCGCCTCTCCAGACGCAGGAGCCGCCGTCTTGAATACCAACGTTTGCACAGCGATGAGCATGCTCACGTGGACTCTCATGGACGTCATCTTCTACCGCAAGCCCTCAATTCTTGGCGCTGTGAACGGAATCATCACAGGACTCGTCGCCATAACTCCAGCAGCAGGTGTTGTGACAGGCTGGGGAGCCATCATCTTTGGGGCATGCTCGGGTTCGATCCCGTGGCTGTCGATGAACCTGATGGGCAAGAAGTGGAGACTGTTCACTCACTATATCGATGACGCGCTGGGTATCACACACACGCACATGGTCGCTGGGTTTCTGGGCGGTTTCTTAGTCGGCATTTTTGCGGATTCAGAGGGATGCGCTGCCTTTGGTCTCACGAACCGAGGCGGCGCAAAGGACGGGAATGGCAGACAGGTGTGGGTGCAAATTGTTGGAGGCCTTTTCGTCATCGGCTGGAATCTCTTCTGGACGCCCGCTATCCTGCTATTCATCAAATACGTCTGTCGCATCCCTCTGCGCATGACGGAAGAGCAGCTTCTCATTGGAGATGATGCCATCCACGGAGAAGAGGCATATTGTTTCAACGATGATGTGGTCGGCCTGGAGCCATCGATCACCGCGCGAGAGCGGGCGGCGGAAAAGATGCACCAGATTCACAAGGGCCATGATTACGATCCAGAGCCGGCCATCCTCGAAGGGAGAGATATCGAAGCTCAGGCCAGTAGCGAAGAAGGCCGGGTCGGTGGTGTTCGACCGGACGAGAGCGGCCTGAAGAAGGATTAGCTGTTATTTGAGAGAAAGTGAATAGTTTGAGGAATAGCCCGCTTCCACAATGCCACCGAAATGCTGTTGAGCACTCACTTGAACGTTTATCTACATCCTCACTTATACCTCACCTCACTGGAAGCCTTGCCTGAAGTATCACTTCCAGGAACTCGGACAAATCATCACGAAACCGCTCGACCAAGTCCTCATCTGGCATGCAAGAGCTCGCTCAAGACTGAATCGACTGCGGATAGTACCACTCAAAGTCGGAGTTGTTGAAGCCGAAAAGTGCATCATCGACGCTGCCGCAGCCGCCGCTCTGCAGAGACAACTCGTCGTACTCATTGACCCACTGAGCATTCGGTATATTAACAAGACCAGTCTCGGCCGACCGTGCGAAGGGCATGTCGTTTGAGGAGGGATTCATCTGGCCGTAGAGGCTGGTCTGTTGCTCCTGCATGAAACTTTGGATAATGGCGTCAACGTTCAAGTCTGAAGGGAAGCTGCCAGCGACCAAAGTAGGCTCGGGGCGGACCTCACTTGGTTGTGGTTCAGGCACGAGGTTGTCGTCCTCGTTGCCTTCGTTGCCTGGCACTTGACTGTCCGAGCTGCTATTTGATCGTGCCGCGTCGCCACCTTGGCAACTGCTGCCACTGGCGACGGCAACGTCCATTTTCTTCATCAAATTCTTGATGACCATCGAAGCCTTTCTCACTGCCCAATTGGTTGCAGAGTTCTGATCAAAAACGAAGAGACACGTCTTGAGGCAATCGTGCGCTTCTGACGCTGATGCACGTTTCGCAGCAATGCGTACATGGACTGTAGCAGCGACATAAGTGGCATACGGTATGAGGTATGGTGCTCGGCGTACCGAGAACGCATGATCGTATAGTCGGACAAGCTTGACGATGTTGGTGGCTGCTTCGGCGCAGGCCACGAAAGAGGTGACTGCGATCGAGGGTGAAGTCGAATGGAGATGTCCATCCGAGACAAACGGCCGATGGAGAAGCACACGAAGGACGTTCCACATTGCCAGCAACGAAAGGACATGTGGCGGTGGGATGTGCAAAGACTCGGCGGATTTCGAGAGGTCGAGATGCAGATGTGCCGGGAGTTGCGTTTTCCACTCCTGGATACTGTCTTCCAATGACTTCAGGTCTTCGATCAAAGCACTGGCCGGCTTCTTCGTCCTCTCCTCCCGGTACATCTTGTTGAGGATGTCGGTCAAGATGATGCAGAGCTTGCACAATTCCGAAAACGTAGAAACGCTGTAGCTGGCCGATCCCATATACTTATTATCGCTGGTATATGCAAATGGCTGCCAATGCTCCAGCTCTTCATAGGTATCGAGGAACTGGATTGGGACTTGGCAATCTGCTGCCTGCAAACTTGCAGGTCTGCCTTGATAAAGGGATTGCATCTTGTCAATCACGAATGCAGACCAAAATACTCTTCGCCGAATCTCAATGTCTTCGTCAGACAATCGCTGGAGATTTGGCAAGGCGGTGGCATCTACGTGCAAGCCGAGATCAATGATCATTCGGAAAGCCGTGCCAGCATATACCCAAGATGCGCTCTGTTCATCACCAAGTGCAAAAAGCGAATTACTCATCTGCAGCAGGGCCTGAATAGTCGTGACCTGACTGTGATCAAGCGCAGGCCCAAGCAGGTCTCGCACACGATCCCGAAATCGCCATCCAGCCGTTCGGACATCCGTAGGATCCTTCCTGATATCTAGGCGAGGACTAAATTTCGACGCTCCATAGTAAATAGCATTTAGAAGGATCTTCGAGAAGTACGGTCCACCGCAGGCCATGTCACGCATGAAGGCTGGGCGGTAGGTTGCCTGGTAAGCATGATGCTGTCGATTCCAATGGAGATTCAGAAGATGCAGGCCGAGCTCAGGATCGACTCCGTCAAAGTCCAGCTTACCAGCACGGGCGTTGATACTTTCGAGCTGTCTTTGTTCTGCGGCTGCAGCCAGGAGCAGCTTTGGCATCCATGCCTCTCGCTCAGAAGACAGCCAGGGACGATCTTGTCGTCTCGCAGCGGCATCATCGAATAGCGTGCTCGTAGGACCATGGTATGTCGAGGCGTCTCCTATAGAACCAGGTGTGCCTCCCGTACGAGTGGCAGAAGAAGTATTGACTGGTCTTGGGAAGGTTGGAGCCACCGGACTTGGCGACTCGCCGTGTTTTGGAAGGGGGTCAGTCGAAGTCGGTACGACATTTGATCGTTGATCTTCATCCCCATCATTAGGTAACGTCTGAGTAGGGGTCGACGTCTGCTGTCGCAGTCGTTTATTCTCCTCCCTCAGCTGCTCCAGCGCCGCATTCGTCGGTCTCGGTCTCTGCCGTGTCGCGGTATAAACGCATTCCTGGGCGTGGATCTCACAGTTCTTGCATCTCGGAATATCTCCGGTGCATTTCATCTACACGTTCGTCATCAGCCACACGATCGCCTTACGGGACCAGAACATTTGCCTTCCGATGCCGGCAGTATGCGCATGCTCGCTGAGCACGGCGGACCCGGCGCTGCGCGGAACGTCCGGCATTGTATGATGGAGTCTGAGGAGTGGGTGTGTTGGTTTCGAGCGATGTCTGCGGTGTATCATCAGCCATCTCAGTGGAACGGAAGTAACGAGGCAGACGGCGAGAGAGAGGCGGGCAGCGGAGTGATATGGTCCATGGACGATCGCGGCAAGTCAGTTGCCGCGGCAAATCTGAGTCCGAACTTCGGAGCACAGCCTTGTGCGAAGCCGCTCACCTTGCCGCTTTGCTCACCAGCGATAGGGGTGCATTCGAATCAACAAAAGACACATGAGATGGAGGTGGTCCCGTTTCTCATTCACTTTCAATCAACATGGCTCAAGCTACGGTCACGACAACCAACCTGACACCAAGTCCAAGGGCGGGACTGGAAACTCCAAAACGAGCTCCGAAGCAAGCGCAGAACTCACCACTAGTTTCCCTTATAGCAGGTGCTACCGCCGGTGCAGTTGAGGCCTCGATCACATACCCATTCGAGTTCATCAAGACTAGATCCCAGCTCCGCTCAAATGGTCAATCTGCAGGCAAATCTCCTCTCTCGGTCCTTCGAAGTACGATAGCACAAGATGGACTCTTCGCTATATACACGGGATGCGGTAGTCTTGTTGCTGGCACCGCACTCAAGGCCAGTGTGCGATTCTTCACATACGACAGCATCAAGCAAATGCTTTCAGACGATCGAGGCAAGCTATCTCCAGCTCGAGGCATCTTGGCAGGAATGGCAGCCGGCGCCGTCGAGAGTGCTGTAGCAGTCACACCAACAGAACGGATCAAGACAGCTCTGATCGACGATGCCAAAGGTGCCAGGAGGTTCAAGGGCACGACGCATGCCATTGGCCTGTTGGTACGAGAACAAGGCATCCAGGGCATCTACCGTGGTCTCCTTAGCACGACAATCAAACAGTCAGCGACGTCTGCAGTCAGAATGGGATCATACAATGTACTGAGAACAGAGTATCAGGAGCGTCTCGGTGCACCACAAGCTGTAGGAACGTTCGCCATCGGGGCAGTGGCAGGTACTATTACCGTCTATGCGACGCAACCATTCGATACGCTCAAGACAAGAGCTCAAGGGGCACAGGGCGAGGGCATGTTGGTCGCAGCTCGATCGATATTACTTGATGACGGTTTCAAGGGGTTCTGGAGAGGCAGTACCATGCGACTTGGCCGGCTCGTCATGTCTGGAGGAATTGTGTTCACCATCTACGAGCAAGTGGCTGCGCAATTAAGAGGTCTCAAGTGGTAGCATGTGATGGCATTAGCGATACGGCGTTGGGAGGGGTAGCGATCAATTGCATTTGTTCTTGCATTTCAGTAAAGCACCGAGTCAGACCATAGACCATTTATTGGGTGTAGCAAGACAGAACGACCAAGGACGTCTGACAACGTCCTCGCCAGCTCCACTGGAGTAGCTAATCGCGAATCCCGTGTTGGAGTGATTGCACAACTGAGACCCCAAATCTAAACAGAAGCACGAGGGAAAACGAAGAGCATAATGAAGTTATGAAGAGAGTTGCAGGAACAAAGGCGAGGGAGGCTTCAAACGAGGATTCAAACGAGGGCTATATTGAAAGCTTCTATATATCTCTACGAAGTATCCGATTTCATCTCAATATGCGCAACAACCCCATCCACCGCACTCTTCTCAACATCCAGTCCTCCCATACCATCCACTCCCCCTCCAACACCAACCCCAAACAGAATGTCCATCTCCTCCAAACTCAAGCCCTTCGTCTCCTGCACGAAAAAGTACACAAAAGGTATCGACAGCGTGATGAAACTGGCAAAGACGAAATAGGTCCCGTAGCCGATATCGCTGATCATATACGGAACACTCCTCGCGATGACAAAGTTCATGAGCCAATGCGTCGCCGTGCAGATCGCCATGCCGATGCCCCGGATCCGGAGAGGGAAGATCTCGGCGCAGTAGATCCAGGGGATTCCGGCGTAGGAGAAGCAGAAGCCGACCGCGAAGATGTAGATGAAGACGGCGGCAGCGTAGCCTCCTGCGCTGAGGTGCTGGGTGGATGAGGAGGTTGTGGGTGCGAGTTTGACGTAGGCGCCGATGAACCACATTGCGAAGCCCATGACGATGGAGCCGCCGATGAGCATTTTTGTTCGGCCGACTTTGTCGACGACGAAGTACATGGCGATGACGACGGCGACAAGGCGGACAATGCCGTAGATTCCGGTTGCGTAGAGGCCGGTGGTGGAGCCTGTCAGGCCGATTGATTTGAAGATCCTGGGAGAGTAGTAATTGATTGCGTTGGATCCGGCCTAGCAATGAAAACAATTAGCAAAGTAATTATTTGCATTGGGTCTCCTTCTCAGTCTTACCATCTGCATGAAGATGAACATGACAACGCCAATAGCAATTCGATTACGATGACCCCTGCGAGACATCTCCTTGAACTGTGATTTGAAGCCGTGTCCCGGCTCCAGGCGTCTCCCCTCTTCAATCTGGTCCACTACGTGCGTGATCTCTTCCTGCAAATACGGGTGGTCTTCGGGTAGGTTTCGTAGTTTCGCCAGTCCGGCGACGGCCACCTCTCGAGAATGGGTACGAGCAAGCCATCTGCCTAGTCATTAGCAACGCACGAAAGAACGTTACATTCTATGATGCTTACCTTGGAGACTCGGGCACGAAGAACATCCCAATGATGAGCAGGCCTCCAGGGATCAGCTGCACTGCGAACGGAGTGATCCATTGAGAAGCGTTGGCCGGCATATTCTGACTGACTCCGTAGCAGATCCAGAAACCGATGCAAGTTCCAGTCTGGACGCTGATCTCGTATAGACCAACAAGTCGGCCTCGAATCGAGGGCGGCGCCAACTCTGCGACGTACAGTGGTACTAGTCCACTGGCTGCACCGACTCCCTGCTCATCGTCAGTACCGAATCTCTGAAAAACTCAATGCATGCGAGACTAACCAGCCCTCCAATTGCCCGTCCAACAAACATGACCGACTCAAGACCATGGCTCACAGTCTGCATGAGTGATCCAATACAGAACACGACACCAGCAATCATCAGCGCCGGTCGTCGTCCCAACTTGTCACCCAACGGAGCAGCCGCCAAAGCCCCAAAGAAGCAGCCCGCCTGGAGAAGCGAGACAATATTCGCCGCAAAGCTATCCTCCCTCCCTTCAGACGCACCAACCAACCCAAAGTCCCTCTGGAAAGGCTTCAACGTGATCGTCGTCCCTATAAAAGCCAAATCATACCCAAAGATGAAAGCTCCCATCGAAGCTACGAGGGAGATGGCGTAGACGCGAAAGTTGAAGATCTCCATGGGGGCTGGGACGGCCATCGTGATGGCTGGGCCATGTCGAGCTGGCGCCATGGTGAGACTTGTTGGTACAATAGCGTGGGGGGAGAAACACCAACACGAGCAAGGTCAGAGTTTGGACGGTGTATGTGAAGCGTTCTTGGATGAGCTTATATCTGTTCCCAGCAGCATGGCAGCCATGTGGAGACCCCGTGGCACAGTAAGTGCGGAGAGCAGACGAACTTGTCGAGACACCGTGTCGATCCGGGTGATACTTTGGGAAGGATGCATGGCTGAGGGGTGTAGTGACCATTTTGCGGAAGAAGAGTTGCCGCGGGAGGTGAGCTGCCATGGGATCTCGAGGTTCGTGCGGCAAACTTCATGCCAGCCTGGTGTCTCGTCATGGGGACACCGAAATCGCAAAATAACGCTCTATTTTCGAACGAAGCAGTGCAATAAAACACATTGCCGTCCTCAAGATGCCGAGCCCAGCAGACTCCGTCAGAACTCTGCATCAGTTGTGTCTCAGTTTCTTGAAAGACTCGGGAGAATCAATACCTACTCACCTATTCACAGCGCCTTAAGCATCCCAAACAATGCCATCAGTACTTCAAGAGCCTCGCCCAAGAAGCACGCATGCTACCACCTACGCCACACGCCACAGCCTTCCCGCAGTATGGATGCGAGCCGGAACGTCCAAAGGCCTCTACATCCATCGCCAACACCTTCCCTTGGATCAAGCCGAATGGACACCCATACTCCTCCGAGCAATAGGCTCTCAAGATTCCGATCCTAGGCAGCTGAACGGCATCGGAGGAGCGACGTCGACAACATCAAAAATTGCAGTCGTATCCATGTCGAAGCGAGCGGGGATTGATGTCGAGTATACTTTCGTCCAATGCGCTGTTGGTGTGGCGAAGTTGGATTTTACTGGGAACTGTGGGAACATCGCCAGCGGTGTCGCTCCGTTCGCGGTTGATGAAGGCTTGGTTGCGGTAAAGCCTGGCCAGAGGGAGGTAAGTTACAACTCCTCTCCTGACGAGCGATTCCGTATCTGATGACGAAGTAGGTCTCCGTCCGCATCTTCAACACCAATACCTCGTCAACTCTGATCTCCACCATCTCTGTGGATCCCTCAGGACATTTCCTCGAAGATGGCGATTACCGAATCCCAGGTGTAATGTCACCGGGCAGCGCCGTGCAGATGGCGTTCACCAAACCAGCAGGATCCATGACCGGCGCGCTTCTGCCTTCGAAATCGCCAACCAACATTCTTCAAGTCCCCTCGAAAGGTCGAGACGCTTCTATCCCGATCCTGGTATCAGCTGTCGATGCCGCGAATCCATTCATCTTCGTGGACAGCTCGAGTATGCCAGATTGGTACCATCAGGCGGGATCTTTGAGCCAAGAGTCACTTTCCTTCATCGAAGCGATTCGACGGAGAGGTGCCGTGCTCATGGGCCTTGCGAGGGACAAAGAACAAGCGTCTCTAACGCGAGGAACACCGAAGATCGCCGTGCTTTCACCATCCGGAGCCAAAGACGGCCGCACCGAAGTGACATCCTTCAGCATGGGTAAGGTGCACAGCAGTTTGCAACTCACAGGTGCAGTATGCTTAGCCAGTGCCGCTTGCACAGAGGGGACAGTTGCCCATCGCATCCGACAAAAAGGGGCAGCTCACGACAAGTTGACAAGAAGAGATTCGCCCCACGACATCACCATCCAGACCGTACCACTGAGACATGCCGGCGGCGATATGGACGTCGACGTGCGGCTGGCCAGCAACGGAACAATAGAAGACGTGACAGTATTTCGAACGGCAAGAAGATTATTCGAAGGGAAAGTGTACTACCTGATGTGAGCTTCAGGTCATTGTAGATGGAATTACATTACCCAAGATTGTTCTAGATATATCTTTTCGCATTTGGGATGATCAACATCCTTACACGCCCTGCTTGTTGAGGAAATCTTGAATGTAGTGGTATGCTTCCACGGCAGTGTAGTGCAAGTTCAAGCCGTGTCCGGTGGTGGGTGCGAGGTATGTGCCGGTCTTCTTGGTGGCTGGGTAGAGCATCGTCAAGGCACCCTGTGCAAGGTTCGTCGGGTAGGAGCAGTTGCCAAAGCAGAAAGGCAGGTCGTTGTCTCCGTTGACAACCGCGACTGGCTTTGTCCAGTTCTTGGCAGGTGCCGTCACAGCAGTGGTGCTGAAAAGCTCTCCCAGAGTCACCGTACCCTTAGTGGCATCTGCAAGGCTGAGAACCTGTGGGTCGTAGTTTGGAGAGCGGAAAAAGGCGATCTGGTTCGAGATCGATGAAGAAGCAGCAAGGTAGCCGTTGGATAGGGTGGAAAAGCGGTATGGGTTGTCGTGCGAGGCGATGGCGAAATTGTTGGCTTGAAGGAACACAGGCATGGCGGTGGAGTTAGCAGAGAAGCCAGTGAGAATCGCAGCATCTGGGAAAATGTTAGTGAAGAGCAGGGGACTAGAACTTGAGGCAAAACGGTACCGAGTGAATCTGGGTAGTTTGCCGTGATGGCTTGGGTGATGATGCTGCCAAAGGAGTGGCCCGTGCCGACGACCTTGGAGAAAGTGAGATTGCTGAAGTGGCCTTGACGAAGGGAAGTGGCCAGGCAGTTGGCAATCTCGACTTCAAGTGGTGACTGCACAGTCAAGAAGTCCGGCTTGAAAGATTGTCCAACGCCAAGACGGTCGTAAAAGAAGGTCGCGTAGTTGTACTGAGCGGCGACGTCGACGTAGCTGTATCCTGGAGCAAAGTCCTTCGCGATGCTGTCAGTAGACAGTCCGTAATCTTTCGCAGAAGCATACGAACCCAGTAAAATCGGTCAAAGCCAATACCATGCGTCAACAGCTGGACACCCTTCAAACCCGCGCCATCTGAGGCATTCGCTGGCAAACACAGAGTTGCAGCAATATCATAAGTCCCATTGACGCTCTCCATGCCCTCCATAATCTGCTGGGATGCCGTGCTCCCGGAGGTAATCGAATCAAGGAGCGTCTCGGTCACCTGGCTCTGGTTCTTAGGGAGCGGATAGTTGAACTTGATGTTCTTGGTGGTGCTCGCGTGCACGGGGACGAATCCAGAGACGCACACAGCAAGGCCGCCTCGAGCGGGCTGAACGGTCGCATTGTTGAAGCCAGACATGCTCGGTGGTTGCACGCCCGCTGGAACAGCGCCCCCAGGGTTGGATGGAAGCAGAGACTGTGACTGCGTAGCAGCAGTCGCCGCGAAGGCGAAAATGGCCGCTTTCTGCATGTTGGCGCGAACGGGAAGCACGAAGGGAATGTCGGTCGGTAGAGCAGAGGTTACACAATGACAAGGCGCGAATAGGAGTGAGAGGAAGCAATCCCGGCTCCATATACTCACCTGCCGAACTAACAACGATGTGTGCCGGCATGTTCGTTAGCGGGTGATGTCAAGCACTTCCGCGACGCGCTCATATCGTCTTCCAAATAATCGCAAACGCGACTCCTGTGTGGTTCGTTGAAGCGCAGAAGTGGCCGAAGCTTAGGGAGATGACGTCGAGGAGAGATCGGCGAAAGTGGGAACTCTAATTGAGTGCAATCTGATTAAGGAGATCAGCCTTGTTTACGAGGTTTCTCCGGGGCCTGCCCGATGCGCAGTCTTCCGTACGAAGATAGCTTAAGTCAAGGAATGGAGAGTCTTCTACCAATTCGATGTTGTTCTTCTCCTGGTAGTTGTTTGCTCAACGCCATGCAGAGCAATGTTTCCGCGCAACTTTGGATATCGAATATTGCATGAAACGGTTGGGCGGCTTTCCAATAGTGTGCCGCCTGGACCGCGATAGAGTTTGGTATTGCGTACCTGCAGCGGCCGGATGTGTGTGCCGGATTGTCACTGAACATGTGCATGGGGCTGACTACTGGCGCACACAGCTCCGTAAAGGCGATATTCTGCTGGAATACAAAGACCTTGAAGTCCCCGTCGGTCCGCTCAGACTGACGGCTGAGTTGATGCGGCCTCAAGCCTGACCAGGGCAATGTGGAAAGATCCCGGGTGGGCTCCGAGAATTGTAATTCAAGAGCAGCGCCGGCACAGACATGAGCCATAATCAGATAGACTTGGTCTGGTTGTTGAAGCCGTGGCGATGATGACAGAAGCCCCAAAGTCCATTCTCAAACAGCTAGGTGAGAGGGGCCTGCATTCGACATGCTTTCATTCGCAACCTAATCCAAAAGTCTCGTCGACATCTACAACCTAGCGCCAACAGACTCCGCGCTCAGCATTTCCTAGATCGCCAGCAGCATCTTTCTTACCCCTTTCAGGCATCCTCACACATCCATGAATTCGTCCCCAAACTCTCCCTCATCAAACATCATCTCCATCGCGATTTTCTCCTTCGCCAACCTCAGCTTCTCCGTCATTCGACTGCCTTTCCCACCCTTTATCCTCTTCGGGCTGGGCTTTTTCGAGGGACTCTTCGCGGGAATTCGAACCGCGTTGCCTGAACAATGTGAAGGTTGCAGGATACCGCGTGGACTCTGGCTGGGCCTGAGCTTCTTCGATGGGCTTTGGCTTGATTTGAGCTTCTTCGCCGGACTTCTCTTGGCCGCAAAGAGCGAACGAGGGGTCGTAGGGCTGCTTTCGTCGTCTTCGATGACCAGTTGCTGCGTGATTTGCGTCGAAAAGTCGAACCCATGCATCTCCTCGCACCCGCGTGGTAGATCCATTGCCCACTTCTCTCGGTCGACCAGGGCGAGGAATTTAGCCAGAAGCTCATTGTTCATCAGAGTTCGTCTTGACCCAAGGACAATGAGTTTGGACCTTGCTCTCGTTAGGGCAACATTCACTCGTCTCCAGTCCTTGAGTAGATCTCCCACGGTTCCAGAGTCATTTGATCGGACCATTGACAGAATGATGCATTCTTTGTCTCGTCCCTGATACCGGTCGGCAGAATCGATCTCGACATCTGCGCTTACGCCTGCCTTCTTGAAAAGCTGTCGCATGAGCGACAGTTGACTGCGATAAAGAGTTATGACGCCGATGTCCCTAGCTGGCACGCCCATGGTCAGAAGTGACAGAACGAGTTCTGCGGATATTAGAGCTTCGAGCTGGTTCGTGATGTTCTTGCCACCCGCGGTGAGGGACTCCATCGCTTGTTTACCGCAAAGGTCAGTGTTGGCAAAGACGACTTTCGCTGAAGCCGCAGTGAGCCGCTGGATCCAGCAGTCCTGGCAGTTATCATCGCCGCGATGGGAACGCTCCAGAGCGTCCGGATTAGGTATTCTGATCGTTCGGCTGGCAACATCGTCGTTGCCGCAACGAAGCTTTCCGTTGTAAACGAGCTCATTGCTCAACATCATGATCTCAGCACACATCCTGTACTGTCTTCCCAGAGCCGCAACGGCATCCCCATGCTCTTCGCTCAGTTGACGAAAGAGGCTCACATCCATCCCACCCTCCAAGGCAGCTTTATTCTGGACCAAAGGTGGGAGTTGGAAGTGGTCCCCGACTAGGACAAACTTTCTCGCGTACAGCAGCGGACCCAGAATGGTCGGAAGCGTGATTTGACTTGCTTCGTCCACAATGCAGACATCGAAAGACCGACGATGGAATAGCGCATGGTTGGTACCCATGCAAGTGGTCGCGACGATCCGAGTTCCCATGTACGCATCTTCGACTTCTTGGATGGATTGACGAGGCGTAGCAGCCAACTGACAGAATTCCTGAACCTGACTGTTAATCTTGGCAGGAACGCCCAGTCGAAGAATGCTACCAGGCGGTGCTATATCGCGGATCTTGAGCAAGATGTTGTCCACGGCCGTGTGTGTGAAGGAGGTCAGCAAGATGGACTTTCCCTGACCGAGGAGAGCACGAATGATGTGTGCAATTGTTGTTGTCTTGCCAGTTCCGGGCATGCCAAGGATAAGGGCATAGTCTTGAGCATTGAGAACTCTGTTGACTGCAGCTTGCTGGTCCTCGTTCATTGCGCCGAGCTGTGTCGGTATGTGGTCCGGCGCCGTGGACACCTGATCGAAAGCCGGCTTTGCCCCGAACACAATCTGATTCCGCAGCTTTGTATGAATAGGGTGAGAGCTCATGAGAGTGACGAGGTTGTTCCTCACCAATGCCAGACCATTTGAGAATTCGTCCTTGTCGAGGCGGTAGAGCATCTGCTCAGAGTCTGCCGTTGTCGAGGAAGTGCTTCCCATTACCATAGTCCCACGGAACGTTTGGTTGACCTTGCTGTCGAAGTCATTCATGCGTTGTCTCGCATCGCCAAGCTTTCGGTCCACAGCGACGGTGATTTCATGCTTCGCGACGGCCGCGACGTAGCCATTCGCCAATGCCCATTGCCTTTGTTCAGATGAGATGACGATTGGCTCGCCAACTGTGAGCTGGCTACCGTCCGTAAAGCTGTTGCCGGAAGCGGATTTGGCCCTGGTGAAGACATACGCGTAACGATTGATCTTGCCACCACTGCCTTCAATGCCGTCGACAGCCTGTTGTGTTACCCCGGTGGCGGTATTCGTAAGGTCCTGCTTCAAGGTCAAATTTCCGAAACACCTTCCCAGAGCCTCACGCTCTGTTGACGACATTGTCCAGAGCTCTTTCCTGAATCGCGCTTGGTCGCCTTCCTCGAAAGTGAGGAGCTTGTCCCATTTAGTAAACCACTGCTTTAACATGTTTGTGTCCATAGCAGACCTGGACGCAAGCAGGTGGCTCACGGCTTCCTTCCAGACCAAGCTGTGATCTTTCTTGTTGTCGTCTATCATGCCAGCGCTGTCTGCAGAGCCGTTCTCGACAAGTGCGTGAAAGGTGAAGCATGATTGTTGAGCGTAGCATCGGCCACATTTGAAGGGATTCTTGAGTAGTGTCGGTATTCCAGATTCCTCGATCTCTTGTGATTGAGGGGGTGGTACATCCAGCATTTGAGCATCTTGCCTCTCTACCTTGGACGCTTTTGGCGGATTTCTGGCTCGGAAGATGGACCTGGCCAATCTGTTTCGCTGTTGTACCATCTGTCGCACCTCGATGATGGGTGGTGCAATCCGTGACATCGAAGAACTCTCCAAGTAGTAGAGTATTCCAGCTTCGACAGCGACATCGTATCGGTCCGACAGCAGCAGCGTATAGAGCGCCGTCTGTGCTCGATGCGCAGGACTTTGCGTGGTGCGACCAGTTTTCACCTCAAAAGGTACAATGAGCTTTTTGCTAGGCTGATTTGGATGGTCAATAAGCGTTGTCTGGATGGTGGCGTCGACATTCCCCTTCAAGCCGAATTGTGGACTCCAGATGTGCTCTTCGATGGCGATAAGCTTGCTGATCGACATCCAGACCTTGCCGCCCTGCTTGTCGTCCACCAGGGAGACGTCGTTAGGGGTTTCGCGAACAAACACGTTTGCCCATGCTGCCAATTCACCCATTTTGGCCTTGATCTCCTCGGTTGCAAGATTGGTATCGGTCATGCCTAGCTCCCATAAGCCCTCCACATGAGCTTGAACAGTCCTGTCCACCAAAGACGACATAAAGTTATCGTCCCACAAGTTCGCAGAAAGAGCTTGCTGAAAGATCTCATGAAGGACCTTGCCATAGACCATGGCTTTGCTCGTCTCGCCTGTGGCCTTGATGCGATCCTGAAGCACTGCTTTCCGAACGCAATCAAACGAGTCCGCGACCGTGGTGGCCGACAACATATGATCTGGATGCAGGACTAAGAACGGGCTGCTGTCTTTATCATCGACAATGACTTGGCCAGGCGGAGGTTTGTCCACAATGTACGTATCCTCAGAACGACGAAGGCGTGCGATATGGATGACATTGCCCTTACAAAGTGATGTGTTCATCCAAGAGCCGCGCAGAGTAATAGCGGTCACCTTCGACGACTTCCAGTCTTCAGCGAGGACAACTTTCTCAGAGGAGCGGCGGCCTTTGTCGTTGGTATATTCGCCGTCAATGACCTGACGGACAACATGTCTCTGTAAGGGCGATGTGTGCCGCTCGGGGGAGGAGGCTTGAGATTTGCATGGGCTTTGCTTCTTTCGTGGACTTCGCCGACGAGGTGACATCTATGTATTCATGAGCTATCTATACCATAAAACGTGTGATCGAGATCAGGAACGACTGACCCTCTGCACTTGTGTCGCGCTGAACTCTGCCTGCACAAATGAATCTTCGTCAAGGTCGTCATCTCCGAACTCATCGTCGTCGTCGAGAGTGATAGTCTCAGCCTGTGGCCGAAGTGGCTCATCCTGAGGTACAGCACTGTCGTGCACTTGAGATGGAGGGTTAGGATGTTGCGGTATGTCGTAAAGCGACCGCTGCTCAACAGGAGCTTGGGAGAGCAGCTCATCCAGGTCATCAGCAGTGAGGTCGAAAGCATCGTCGCCGAAGTCGTCAAGATCCTTGTCTGCAGCAGGTGCAGGCAGAGGTGCTACGAGTTGTTGGACTTTGGGCTGACTAGGCACCTTGGAAATAGAGGGCCGCTTATACGCAGGGAGAGGCGCTTTGCTGTGCAAATGCAGCGATCCAGCAGCGCCAGGGTTTAATGGGTCCCCTACAGGTCGCGAGGATTCAGAAAGAAAGCCGCCAGATTGGGTCGGCCTCAACAGTTGTCTCTGCGAGGGCGGTTTCAATTCCTGAATTCGTAGTGGTGCTTGGACGGATCGCAAGGGACTCTTCACATTCGTCTGACGAGACTGCAGTGGGCTCGCAGCTGCGGGAGTTGGAAAGCCTTCGGCGCCAATTTCTGGAAGTGGACTAGAACTTGAGGGTGCATCTGCCGCCCTAGCCACGGCTTTGGTCTGCGCCTGTTCCAGCTTCTGGGAAGCCAACGTCTCTTGAATCTTCTGCACCATCGTCGCGACTTTGCTCTTGCCGCCCGACTCAACCGCCGTCTGGTCTTGCCAAACATTGATGCTCTGCCGTGTTGCTGTACACCTCTTTTTGTTCTTCGTGCTGGGCCAGTCGTTTCCTGTGCTGGCCCATCTACGTAAAGGCCCACCTTTGACGGGGGTTTCCAGGGGCCTTGGCGATGCTTGGAAAATGAGGTTGCCGATCTCTGGTATGTTCAAACTCTCTCCATTCGCCCTGCCGTTGGCATATTGCTGCCACAGAGCTGTCGCAGGGTCCGCAGCTGGTGTCCTCTTGGCGGTTGACGGTGCCTCATTCTCGCCAAAGAAGCCTGAAGCTCGTTCCTGCTGAGAAGAGGTGTTTGGGCATGAAGGAGAGGAGCTTTTGGCGCGCTTTCTCTTTCTTCGGTTCGGCGTGAGGAGGTCCGACGAGCTGTGGGGGATCCATCCAATCTGCTCCTCGGGAGACTCATGAACAGGCTGTTTCTGGATTGCCTCGTCACAGTTCCCAATCAAGTCCTCGAGGGGTAGACGTGCGCCAGGCGTGCATGGAAACGTGTTCGCGTGTGGTAGATGTGGGGTCTCGCCTGTTCTACTCGACTGAGCGGACAACGTGCCACTGTCACTTCCATGGCCCATATCTTGCTTCTCCCCTGATGAGTCGTCTTTTGACCTTTTCCCGGGCGCAGCTGCGACAAACTGAAATGCTTGTAGTTTGGACTTGGCTTGTGATGTGGCTGCAATAGGTGGTTTCGGCTGAGGAGGAATGGTCGGGGTCTCGTTCGCGGAAGGTCTATCGTGTGGTCGTCGACTCCATTGTCCAGGCCGCGGCTATAGAGTCAGTCAGTATGTGCCTGAGATACGAATGCTCCGCTTGTCGCACCTTTCTTTGGTGATCCTGATCAAGGAAGCTCTTCGTGCGAGTGGCCATTGGTGAAAAAATGCACACTCTCACAGCGACGCATGGCCGTGCAACATTGACTGATTTCGGGCGGCGGCGTTAAGAGATGTTGTTGTTGTCGTCGTTGTCCCGCAGATTCGAGTGGTGCTGTTGTTTGGGAGACGCGACCGCGTCGAGCGGCTAATTCGTGGGGCCGGTGTTCGGCCCGCTTAGCCGAACACCCGATGTTCAACTTCACGGCGCTTTTGCTATCTACAGAATACTCGAAACACACTTCGTGCCGTCTATATCACAGTCATGACAGCCTCGATTGATATAATGCATCTCTGAAGGGTCTCGACACATTCCCATGGCATATTCCCACTTGACGACCATTACTGGCAGGTAAAAGAGCAGCATTGCAGCGATGAACGGAGTTCCTTCATCGTGTTTAGCAATAGAGTGTAGCAGACACGGCTGAGGGGGCAATTTAAGCGTAGAATTTCACGCCAGCTGACTCTCGTGATTCTGAAGGCAAATCGATATGGCCGCCTCGAAAGTACATCGGCATCGTCACTCTGAAGAGAATGAACATGCCACTGCCTGGCACCATTTTGATTTGCGCTCGGACAATTGGCAACCTCGCATGAAACTGCCAGCGAAGCGAAGTGCGCGGAGAAGACACGCTGCCTCGTTGGTTGAACACAAGAACCGCAAGGATGATGCCTTGCATTCTTGTGCTACCGTCGCTTGCGCTGTGCTACACACGCACCAAGGGCTTGCAACACCGGTCCCAGGCAGTGTCGCACCCGACAGTCTGCCTCAACGTCAAGCACTGACAAAAGCTTCACGTCGTCTTGGCCGTATCGACTGGATGTAAGCGCAGGCCTCTGTTCAACCAGTATGAGAGCTGCCCACGAGAATCCTTCAGATTTTGACGACGAACCCGCGCAAGCACGCTGCTTGGGCTCAGGGCTTTCTCTTTCACAAGGCAACTTCTCTACATTTACGTGAAACGTCCTTCACCGGTGAAAGACGCAAAGAGGTGTCACAGACATGCCGCCTTCCTCGTTATCTCCTGAGCAAGGCTGCCAAGCTTTGGCTTGAATTAGAAGACGTCCGCTTCTTGCCTGCTCTGTTTCCAACCTATCGAGTTCTTTCCTACTATCTCACTAGAGACCTCCTTCTACCATGTCTCGAAACCGTGATCTAGAACTCGGCTTCGTGGGTTATGACAACGAGAGGCCTGGGACAGAGAGTCAGCGTTTCATACCTGGAAACGATGGAGTCCAGCAGGTGGTCAAGCATCGACGAAGACATAGGGACGCATTTGGTAGAGATCTCTCGTCGAACACAGAGGACTCGAGCTATCTGTGAGATCGCTTTTGCCTATAAGTTCTTCACTTAACTGACATGAAAGAAAGCGACTTGTTCAAAACGCAACGATCCCTGAGGCTTACATTGACCCATCTGATGGTCGCTTGCGCCTCCTCGAAGTTCAGTGTCATCAGCCAGTCAAACACTCTGACCGCAACTGGCTTGTGTCTGTTGTCGGCTCGGCTTCGCGACCAGTCCTTCTTGCACTTGTCGACTTTCTGTACGCAAACAGCAGCGTTGCCCCTTTCTTGTATTTGCCGGTGGCTTTGGCCATGGGCATTTTTCTCTTGTTCCTGGCCAAGTTGGAGCCGGATCAAGAACGCCAGAACAACTACGACCCAGTGCTCTATCGCAACTGGAAATTTCCGGTGATGGCGAATGCCACCATCGCGGATGGTGTCTGTTCGACTTCGGGTGCAGGTATACAGTCCACAGATCCTGATTACTACTTGGAGCGAAATCTCCTCCAACGTCGACCCATGCCACGATACCTCTGCTTCGTTAGAGGAATCGACATCGATGCTTTCGAACCTGGTCATCCTGTTGCCTCGCACGTTCCTAGCGACTTCTTCGATGATTACATATTCATTTCGTACACCCGAGTACAATTCAAGACCGAGCATTCAAACCCACTAGTCGCCCATGAATACAGGAAGAAGCTGCTGGAAATCGGAATGCGCGCTGTAAAGGATGCAAAAGATAGCAATGTAAAGGCCTTTTGCCTGGATTGCTTTCCACCCGGCGATACGAATGAGGGCAACGAAGACGTCTACCGCTTTTGCGATTTTGTCCGCGCCGCCCACTCAGTCGTTATCGCTATCGACTCATCCAACTTCGCAGACGGGATCACGGGCGCTTTGCAAGAATGGGGAAAGAGGCTATGGACTCTGCCTGAACCCATCCTATCCAAATCACATCGAAACATCACAGTATACGACTCCAAGAATGGCATCTCGCTCTCTCACCACAAGCGCAACTTGGGATTTCTAGCCTGGGACAGCGACTGGCAGATTGCGAGCCAGCTCATAGACCACTATGAGGCCACCGTCCATCTGACGCAGATCGAGTTGATCGACATCGCGAATCGCTGCATGCGCCGCAGGACCACAACGAAGTACATGGATGGCGACTATGCCTACGCTTTGATGGGTCTCCTTCGTCGTCGACCACAGGTTGTGAAAACAGACTCAGATTTCGCCGCTTTCGCTCGCCTATCTTTGTCCAACACGAGCGACTCCATCATCGAACGTCTACTGTGTATGCAACCACCAAGCAGAGACACTCCTTGGCATACGATGGTCGATGCTTATGAAGCTCAGCTGAAAGACATCGAGCTTTCGTGTCAGATCGCAGACGTAGACACTGACTCTCAGTCCGAAACTGTTGTGCTCGATGGCGTCTTCGGTGCCTCAATCTGCTGGTCGAAGCTGGAATCTGTCAATTTCGACCATCGCAAGGAGAGTCACCAAGATCCTGTTGCCGAAGGTGCCATTCATCTTGGTCGTTGCGTGCTTTGGGGTCGCGATATTTGCCGGCCTGCATGACGAGTACCCCTTCAGTACTCTCACCATTCTTGTCGGAATTGTGTCTATCGGGGCTACGATCTTGTCAACGATGATTCTTGTCGCCGGACCGGCATTGCTGAAGAACATGTACTATGGGAAATTCTGGACCACGCAAGCTCGCTTCTTTGGAGTTCAGGGGCTAGCTGACATCAACATGATTGAACGAAGTCTCTTCGGTCTGAGCGTGGGAGAATCGAACGAAGGTCGGTTGAAGTGGAGCACATCCGGAAGCCTTCAAAGCAGTGGCACGAAAGAGACCGAATCCGGGCACTTCGAGGGAGTGGCGCCGGCCTCTCTGCCAGAGAAAGACGAAGAGGGCAAGTATCTATTCACAGTCATCGACACGTATTCTCTGGAAGCGACTGCCTTCTACGCAGACCGCCCACCTACGGTTGTGCTAGTCTGTGGTCGAGCCAACGGGATGCAGCGAGCTGTTCTTTGCTCATATGACTGGACGACCCAGACGTTCACGCGAGAGGTTGTGTTGAGGATGAAGACAATTGTGCTGAATCGTATGTTCAGAGTTGATCAATGCCGGGTGGCCTTCCGTAGATAAACGTTTGAGCGCATGGCTCGTAATCATGCAAGTTATGGTTCAGATAAGCTTGATCTTGTAGACATGCAGGCCGGTTCCCATTACCTGGCTCTTCTCCTCGTACAACGACTCGTCGTGATTCATGAAAGCTGCGAAATCTGTACAAAGCTGCAAGGACGAATGAGCGCTGCCAGACTGTTTACCAGACAGAACGGCAAAGTACCCCAAGCGTCTGTACGTGCCTCGCTCTCTAGACACAGGCTCAATCAGCAGCCCAAACCCGCCCTGCGAATCGAATAAGAGACAATGATAAACTCTGCCGGCCTCTGAACTGCCTTCATCAAGTATCAGTCTCACATGAGCAGATCCGAAATACCATTCATCTTGAGAGTAACAAGCGTTGGGCGCCAAGGGGACATCGACCATTGTGCCGTTACGAAATACCGCTGTTGTGGTTTGCATAACGGTCCGCTTCTGGAGGTAACCCGCAGCCAGAACGCCTAAGAGTCGAATGTAACCTGAATTGACCCTTCCAAATGGATTGCTCGAATCCAGGGGCTCAACAAAAGCTTCAAGGATTTGAATGGGCGTGCGTTGGATACTATCCGTCCGGACATGCCGCATTATGACTTCGCCATCGATGGAGGCCCAGGACCAGCTTGGCGCCCTATACTCTGTTGCACGTTTTGCAGCACGATGAGGCTCTGCATCGAACCGTTTGACGGTCCATAAGAGTTTTACTTGCAGCCCCTCTTCCCACAGACCAGCGAGATAACACTCCGGGGGAAGAGATATTCTTCTCGCAATACCAGAGATGGCGACGAGTTTGTCCTTCGTCCGGAACGTCAAATCTGCCCGGGAGTATTGCTGCACGGCATCGTGCCAGACGTTGTGCCAGGGGTATTCTGGACTACGGAGGTCCCAGAATCCTTCAGGTACGTTCATGTTCGGCAGGGTAGTCGGCTTGGTCGCACCAGTATTAGGCAATTTGTCAGGAAATGATTCGCTCGCTCGACTCTCCTCGCACTCCCAAAAGACTTGTTTGTTGGTGAAATGGACGATGCGAGCTGACAGTGTCTGCGCTTGCACTACCCAGGCTCGAGCTAGCAACAGCTGATCGTTCACTTCGTCCTCCCATTCGCCGATCCTATAACAGATTGAGGTAGCAGAGATGTTAGATGTCCAGCGAGGTTTCACACGACACCGGACGAAATCGATCAGCCTGCTTTGACGAAACAGTCCTTCGCCACCATCTTTCGAGGAAGTGGCAGCAATGGTGAGTAGTGAATTGCTGTACACGTCTGCCATCCTCGTAGCTTCTCTCTCCCAGTCCTCGGGTGAATCTTGAATGATGCAGAGACTGTCAATCCAGATGTATCGAACGTCAAGCCGCGACGCCACCTCCATAGCGTGGCGAGATGTTGCGGACAACTCGGCCACCGGGATACTTCGTTGAAGCAAGCCTATATTGTCTTGCTTGAGCTGCAGAAACTCCTTCTTTCCCCAGCAATGAGACAGCGTAACATACGGTGCTGGCTTCAGATCAGAAGAGCGGCGTAGCACTGGCCTAATTTCATCTTCCCAACCCAGGTCAATCACTCGTGTTGGCAGTTGTGTGCTTTGGCGTAGACGGGTCGAGCATTTATCGTGCTTAGCTATGCAGGTGCCCAACCATCGATCGATCGTTGCGAATGTGGAGAATGAATTGGTGCTGTGAGTTGTCTGCCCAACCTGCAGGCGTTCGAGAGAAGTCGGAATGGACCATGGGGTATTGGATAAATTCACCTGAGCTTCATTGCTCTCATCAAAGAATCCAACGCTCTTCATCATATGCCTCTCTGAGGGAAGCAGCGGCTTGTACTGAAATACTATGCCGTTGCCTACGTTGCTCTCCCAATAGCCATACGTGATTTCTGCCTCTCGGTCAAGTTTGTTCAGTTCTCTTGGGCTGATCTGGGCACGGAGAATACAGCATAGAACGCAGAGGCCAGTCACAGCTGACTTTTCTAGACTAGCGAGCGTCTGGCCCAGTCGATGTTCGTGAGGCCCACCAAGAGGACTGTCCGGGCGCTTGCCATCAAAGATACGAAAGCATATGGTGCAAAGAGGTGAGGGGCTGTTGGACGGATCACGCGGTATGGGGTGATGAATCTGCTTTGGGCCGAGGCTATGGTCATCTGCACCCAATGAACATTAGCCAAGGCTGTCAAGACATGGCTTAAGGCTTGTACCAACCAGCATAAATTCCTTTTACCTCTTCGGCCTTGACCACGTTCCTTGAGGTAGATATCTGGGCCCAGGTAGGAACCCATGACGAGGTACCGTCAACCGGCATCACCTGTTCTACTCGCCCTGAGTGTTAATGAGACAGAGATGGAACTTCTTTTTTTGCGCTTAAGGTCAAGATGGGTTCAAGATGGGTAGGTCAGGTTCAGCTGGGTGGAGCTTAATTCTGTGGCGTCGAGTTGCATGACCGAAGCGGCCAATCGATTCGAAGCGCCTTCGACGTTCTGCTCAAAGTGGAACGCATAGCATCTTCGTCTTCTCTTCGATTACCAGAGGGACCAAACTCGCGATAGTGCTTCAATTCGAGTTCATGAATAATCTCATGTTCTACATATAGATCCGACCGAGGTTTCTCAACTGTGAATACTCGTACGATGCCGATACGGCATTGCTTCTCTTTCACCAGATAAATGTGTGCCAACCGGGAGTGACAGCTGTTTCGCATTGCTCCAGAGAGTGGCATGTACTCGAAGCTTCGAAGCCACTTCCATTCCTCACCAGGGCGTAGCAGCTTGGTAATATGCAATTCCATGCATTTGCTATCAAGGCGCGACTCTTCCCATTACGAGGCGCCCTCAAATTTCCAAGCCGATGGAACATAGGACATATCGAGGCCTGTGTGGACGTCAAATATGCCAATCCAAGGTCGCTCGATGTTGACTTTGCAAGGACCCGAGGCCCGTCCGTCTCGACGAGCTTCAGGGGTTTCATCCTGGCTTTGTTTCTTTGGAAATCGTCGATGTGTTGCAGACTCGCTTGGAAATATGTCGTTAGCAGTGAATCATAGACCGAAGACACAGGAGATATACTAACCTCTCTTCTCTCCGCAAAATCCGAATACAGACCCAACCACACGTCACGATCACGGCAGTCCTCGCCTTCTTCTGTCTGACGGCATTCTGGACGAAAATCCAGCTCTTGCTCCTCACTGTGTGGCAGCCAAGGTTTCGGAAGTGGCCAGTCAGAGAAGTGTACGAACTTCGTTTCGTTCAAGACTTGCTCCGGATCCCATTTCTCTTCTTTCGAGCCGAGATACCGATGGTGCTCCGTCGCTCGGAACTCGCCTGTGAGCAGGTCGTACTTCCGGTGAGGAATGGTGATGCAATCGTTTCCGTACAGCTCGTTCACAATCTCCATGTCGAAGTCGGTCGATTGACGCTGTTCGAAGGCGTTTAGGATTCGTCGAAACTCGAAGAGCGATGGCTCGACCAGCATCAGTTGTGAGGATAGCGTGTCGTCAAGCCAGTAAGCTCGAGGCATCGCCACGGGTGCTGAAGGAAGGAGAAACAACTCGTCCATGCTCTTCATGACGGTCGCATCCGAGTCCAGGCTCAGCACGCGTCTGAATTGGGTTTGATTGAAGGCTAACAGCTTTGTAAAGCTGTCGGCCAAGTGGCTTCACCGTCGAGGTGCTGAACGTGGATGGGTGCGAGTTGAACACTATAGTCATCTCGCACTTTGCGGATCAACTTTGCAGCTTGATCTTCGGCGCTCGCACTCCATTCCGCTGGATGCAGCATCAATTTCGATGCCTCTGCCCCTACCCGGTCCAGCGCCTAGAAGATCATGACCGAGTTGCACAAGTAGTTCTGGTTGGTCACATACTGGATGTAAGCGTACTCTGACCAGTCCACATTACAGGTCGCTTGAGCAAAGAGAGGTCCAGGTGGAACTCCAGAATCAAGTCCAGCAGTCGGTCCAGCAGTAGCTGACATGAGCATGTCGGTGATCGTGAGGTGTGATCGAGAAATGTCAAAAACTAGAAGCTGTATCGTGAGGCATAATACCACTCGCCAAAACGCCCTCGAATTTATCAGGTTCTTCACTCTTGTCGACCAGGCCGCCATCCCGGTATGAGGAATTCCCTCGACAAGCGCATACCGCCAAGCGCAGGATGGAAGGCAGCCGCTTGAGATTTCCAGAGACGGCATGGTGATGTTGCACGAAAGTGTGTCTACCATGACACCGATGGGCGAATACCGACCGATAGTCATGGTTGAAGTCCCTTGTGAGAGACGAAGAGCCGTAAATTAACGGAGGCAGCTTTTGGCATGCAGGTGACAGTCTAATGCCCGCTCTGGCGGCACATGGAGATAGAAACGACTCTTCAAGCAGGACGTGAATACGATTTGGCCACGGAAACACATTCACATGCTGCATGGACGAACGGCACAGGGCCGCAGCCAACGACGGAAAAAGGCGAGTCATGGCTGAAGGGGTCAATCCTCAAATTTTGTGTCACCCTGCGATCATCTCGATGTGAAATCGCTGGACTGCGACGACAGGCCAATGTTTGAGAATGGTGAAGAGGCGCAATCGCTGGGGAAAGTGAGCTGAGTATGTCTGCCTGAGGCCTTCTGCCATATTGGCCAGGCTTTTCGAACATGAATATCCCTAATTTGCCAAGCCAATAGCGTGTTTCAACTGCCCGGCCCGCAGACGTCAACAAATCATGCGCTTTCACTTGATCGGCCCGCGCCGAAGGTGCACACCCAAAACCAACCACACGTCGTATTTCACTTCTCACGCAGCCGGGAACCTGTCAACACCATGGCAAGATAACCTTCTCTGTGAAGCATACTTGAACAGGCTCCATCTCCCGACTGCGACTTCAATCGACGCATGCCAGCTCGCGCATCGGTACTATGTTGTACAAATGGCCACGCATACCGGTAATCCAGCCACGCGGATGATTGCAGCTTTCTATGGTCAGGTCACCCCTCAAAGCATCGAGAGGACGTGCAACGCAGCAGGCATGAATGGGAATGGTCGCAGTGTAGAGCGAACCTTGGAGCCGAATTTACAGCCGTGACCACCGCCAGGGTATCCTGAGTAGCGTACAGAACCAGGGTAAGCACACATATGACCCCATCGTAGCCTTGGGAGTTGTTACATTTGAGTTGTACTGTACTAATCGTGTGTGCTACTGCATATTCAGTTTAGATACTCAGAATCGTACACTTGTATGTGCTACAAGTTTCCTTCCTTCCCAAGCCTTCAATCGCCAACAATCGGCCCCGGACGCTGCGAACCCTTCCAAACAGCAACAGAGCAGATATGACGTTGGCACAGGCGACGAAACAGGGAGACATATCTGGAGAGGCGCGCTGTAAACCGCCTTCGCTGCGTCTTGCTTTGATAGAGTCGATCACCAGCATGAACGCCACTCTTCTGCGCGGGCACGATTGTTTCGCTCCAAGAAGAAGCAGCCGCCGTGCGTCCAACTGAGCAGTGCGCAAGCACCACATCTGTGACAGCCATCCCAGTCTATCGATGCATAACTCACGTCAAGCGTTGCCTTGCATTGTGGCCGAGGCCATACTGGGCGAATGAACGTGCAAGCGATCCCACATTCTGTCTCAATCGGTCAAGGTCATGTATGCTCCCGGCCCCTAATTCCACCCAGCTATACTCAGCTTTGTGATCACTTGAAAGCTACCTCAGAACCAGGCAAGTTGATATTCGTTGCACTGCTGCGCTATAAGGCACTCGTTGGCGTTCTTTATCTGAATACAAGAGGTCTTTATGCTTTCACGAGTTCGTCACGATTGATACTCGCAAGCCACAACGGCACCGTATCGCCTCTCGGCCTCACCATGAACTCGATCTGTCATTGTCTCAAGAGAGCCCTCGCCATTTTTGTGGTGTTCTTCGTCGTATCTTATGCACAGCAGTACGTCACTGTGCCTGCCAGTCGCCGGCATTATGGTCGAGATGGCCCATGGTATGCCGTTACTGTCAACTATGGAGGCTATCCCGAACGCGAACCCGATGCTTCACAGTGGCAATCATTTGACCTCTTTCCCGGTGGACATTTCTACTCCTCCATTATCTCTCCACAGGGTTGCGTTGGAAACTCAACGAGACTCTGTGGCCTCTCAGGAACCAACTTCAACAGACGTAAAACAGACGATAGACGATTCCACGATCTTTCTCTGGCCTGAGTTCAATAACAGTGCCGATTCCGGCATTTACATGAGCGGTGCCGTGCACACACACACACACGATGAATATTGGCTGGGGCCTTGGAGGCGCTGGAGAAGCATCGTACAGTACCTCGACCGTCATCGTCGAGGAATTGTTCTACCTTACGCCTGGAGTCCAAAAAATCACTGCTGTGGAAATTGGCTATCTCGCACTTGGCGCAGGAGATGGGAACGGGGGGTCGGTGACTTCGACTTTTTCTCTCCCTGGCCGGCAAGAGGCTATGCCAGCCCGGAACCTGCCTGGATACCTTTGGTGGAACAAGGTCACAACCTCATTCTCTTTCCCGCCGTCCTTCGGTGACACGGACAACGTTGTCGTCAAAGTGCCATTCTTGCTCCTCAAACTCACTCTTGGGCCTCTTCCCAATGGATGAGACGAACCAGTGCCATATTTCCCATGCATGCCTTAGGAGCCCGCTCAAAGTGAGCCCTACGTACTCGGACGTGCGCTTCTTCAGTCAGCATTCCTAGGTCGCAAGTGGAACACAGTGTCATGGCTCGCGCAAGCCCCTGGGCCAGGATCAGGCCTTCAAGGACTGGGTGTCTCTCCACAGAACATTAACTCTGATCAAGTCTCTCTGGATGCGTTCACTCGAGATCCCGATGCGCAGTTCAACTCCACGTGGTCAGGATACTGGGCGCCTTTGCCGCAGCGCAGTGCTTCCAGCAATAATACAGCTACACCTTCAAGCATCAGTACGCCCAACGAAGGCCTCTCCACTGGTGCTCAGGTGGGCATAGGGTCTAGCGTGGGAGTCGTTGGCATTGCAATACTATTCGGTTTGGGAGTTGTTCGGCGCAGGAGATAGAGTTCGACTGCTTCTCAAACTGAACTACTTCCCACACCTGACTACACAGATTCATGCCTCGACCGCAAAGATCCTTCGCCTCTTTGCTCACCTACGAGTACGATGAAAGGGTCTTCGGGAAACAAATTGGACGTCCTGAGCCTTCTGAGCAAAGCCATTGCGGGACGCATCTCCATCCAGCAGAACTACCCTCATATCAAGACCCATAAGAGCTGAGCGACATCTCCCAGACCCTTTGAATACTTCAATCACTTGCTCGGTGGGCCTTCCGTAAGTTCCATAGTAGTAGTCACAGGATCTCCACTCACCTTAATCGTTACATTGCTCGTTCCTTTACTTATCGCTATACTCACTCCTTTATTTAAGCCCTACTTACCCCTTTACTTATTCCATTAGTCGTCCATTAGTCGTCCCTTAGTCGTCTCCTCACTCATCACGCAACTCGCACTCACCCTTAAAGTTCGCCTTCGCGTCCATTACGCCCGGCGCTACTCATCGAAGCCTGATAAACCCCACGATACCCCTCAACCTCACCCTCCATCTCCTCAAAGACAACCTGCGCCAGCTTCGCCCCTCGATGCAAAACAACTCCATGAGGATTCTTAACATGCATCAAAGCGCCCATAGCACCCTCATACCCAGCATCCACGAGGCCCGATTCGATTCCTACACCTGATCTCCAAAGTGATGAGCGCGGGAAAAGGGAGGCCATGCAGTCGAGCGGGATCTTGACGGTTTCGTTGAAGTCGATCAAGTAGGCGCCATGGGGGAGGGTGATGGTGTTGTCTGTGGTGTGGAATGGGAGAGGCGTGGTCTGAGCTGCTCGCCGGTGGGTATTGTCTGCGTCGAGAACTGCTGGAGATGTCCATTGGGATGCTTGGCGGAGGGTAAGGTCGACGCCGCAGGGCTGCTGTTGATGAGCAATGTTTGCTACATTGCGTACCAAGTGCCGGGTGATGATCTCGAGGCCGCTGAGGATCATTTCGAAAATCTCTGGACCAAGTCTAGATCTTGGTATGAGATGGCTCGAAATAGTGAAGAGATGGAGATGGCATGCTCCCCTTCCCTATTCCTTCAGTCCTTCCGGAAGCCAAGCAATTCATGAAGTTTCAATTTAAACTTCCGTTAGCGCCTGTTCCAACAACCTCACCTCTTCTTCGAGACGAGTGATTTTCCCGCAAAAATGACAACATATGCCATTCTCATCGTCTTAAGAAAGTCTCGAGAAACAGCGAAGTTCGCACTCCCCTCGGCGTTAACACATACTTTGCCTACTAAAACGACATCTCGGCATGACCTTCCCAACCCCATCCTTAACGCCGAGGCCCGGCAACTCACCTCTGCCCCGCAATTCACTTGCCCGTGGCCGGCGCGGAGACGGGGCCAGGCGGGTCCAAAAACAACCATTCAATGTCGTCGTCGACACAACCCACACAAAAGCTGACGGACCTCACCTCTTCCCTCCGCTCCTATCCCAGCTCGACAGACAACCACCATAATGGCCATCGTAAGGATAGCTCCCTCGCGGGCCCAACGCGCCGTGAACCTCCTCCGCACAATCAACTCGGGCAGCTCCTCTTGCCCCTGCCATTCCAACCCGGGAGCTCACAATCACCACCATGGCCACCAGATTAACCCTTACGCAGGACGCGTGCGCTCGTTGGCGACGCCCGTGGATCTAAGCCAGCAGAAGGAGTATGCGTTCGAGATGGCTGCTTCGAGTATCCGATTTGGACCTGGATGTACCAAGGAAGTCGGGATGGATTTCACGAACTTGGGGGCGAAGAAAGTGATGGTTGTGACGGATTCGACGGTGGAGAAGCTGGATGCTATGAAGCAGGTGATTCAGGGATTGGAGACGGAGGGGATTGCGTATGAGGTTTTTAATAAAGTCAAGGTTGAGCCGAAGGATTACTCGTGAGCACCACCATTCAGTTCCCCAACTCCCCATCAACAAATCCATATTAATGTGGCGTTGCATAGAATACGAGAAGCAATCGACGCCGCAAAGCCCTACGCCCCCGACGCCTTCCTCGCCGTCGGCGGCGGCAGCGTAATCGACACGGCCAAACTAATGAACCTCTACACGACCTTCCCGTCGGCCGAATTCCTCGACTTCGTCAACGCGCCCCTAGGAAAAGGCCAACCCATAACCTCCAAACTGAAGCCCCTCATCGCCGTGCCCACCACCGCCGGAACCGGCTCCGAGACAACCGGCACCGCCATCTTCGACCTCGTCTCCAAGAAAGCCAAAACGGGAATCGCCCACCGAAACCTCAAGCCCACCCTCGGCATCTGCGACCCCATCAACACCCGCACCATGCCCTCCGCCGTGCACGCCTCCTCAGGCCTCGATGTCCTCTGCCACAGCTTGGAATCCTGGACCGCGATACCCTATAACGAACGCATCCCCCGTCCCACAAACCCGATCAACCGCCCGGCATACCAAGGCGCCAACCCCATTTCCGACATCTTCTCCCTGCAAGCCCTCCGCGACACAGTCAAGTACCTCCCCCGCGCCGTCAAAGACCCAGACGACTGGGAAGCGCAATCCAAAATGCTCCTCGCCGCAACCCTCGCCGGAGTCGGTTTCGGAAACGCAGGCGTCCATCTTTGCCACGGAATGTCCTATCCGATTTCTTCTCAAAACCCAGGATATCAGCATGCGGGCTATCAGGTCCAGACACCCATCATCCCCCACGGTGTCTCCGTCGCAGTCAGCGCTCCGGCGGTGTTCAAATTCACCGGTGCGTCGAACCCAGAACGCCATCTTGCCGCGGCGGAGTGCTTTGGGGTGGATATCTCGAATGTGAAGAAGGAAAGCGCTGGAGAGGTCTTGTCTGAGGCTTTGGCCAAGTTCCTTGTTGATCTGGGTGACCAGCCGAGAGGTTTGAAAGCTTTGGGCTTCAAGAGCAGCCACATTGATACGCTCGTCGAAGGAACGCTGCCACAGGCGAGAGTTTTGATGTTGGCGCCAAATCTCGACACGAATGGCGGGCAGGAGGAGAGAACGCAGCTGAGGAATCTGTTTGAGGACGCAATGGAGTACTGATCTACCACGATGCATCGAAGATTAGCAAATGTTAGTAAAGTTCGAACAAACATGAAGAAACAATTTCAAATGTAACGACCGTTTCCTCATTCGCATTCTCACGAGAGAATGAAGCAGATGCCACCGCAGCTAGGCTACCTGATTCTCCCATAAGTACATGATGGACTCGCAAACTATTACCCATAACAGCCGTCTCCGAGACGGCCTGACTCCATTCCGTTCCATTCTTCATGATCCCAAAACGAAAGCCGTTTGAAAAGTGTCGTAGACGCCGGGGGCTATGCATTCTGCAACCATCTGGTGGTTTCGAGTTGATGTGATCTTGCTTGTGAGTATCTCGTCAAAAACAGCGCCGTGCACCAGTGCTTGCTTCCCTGTCGCATAGCACTCTAAACCGATTTCGTTTCGTTCGTTGATTGCTTCTTAAGAAAGGTGGAAGGCTCCTTGACCTTCTTTGATCGCGACATTGAGCTTCTGCTTGAGCACCTCCAGCGAGGTGTAGTCGGGCATCTTGAGGTAGTTGACGCAGGTCATGACACTGGGGAGGTAATCATCTGAGGTGTAAGGCGGCTCGCTTGGCTTGCACACCACGGTGAACATGGGCGTGAGAGATTTGAAACCTGGGATGAAGTTAGCATGTTGTGCAAAGTAAGTGGGAGGGAAGTGTACGAACCTCCGATTGGCAGCTTCGGGCTACCCGTAACGAACTGCAAGAAGTCACGTCTGTTCTGTGGTGACAGCTCCGACATGACCTGCAGCAGGTTGCGGACACTCTTGCTGTCGAGATTGTAGCCGTGATCAGCTTTGATTGCATCCATGAGCGTCTCGAGTGTCCAGTCTTCGTCAACGCGACCGAACAGCATGACCAGCTCGTCTGGTGTGAAGGCCTTGAGAGCTGTGTATGGGAAGACGGCTGAAAAGCCCTCGCGGAAAGAGTCGACTTGACGCTGAACACCAGCTCCGAGAGTAAAGTCGATGACTTTCTTGATGTACTCGCCGACATTGTCAATGGTGACGTTGACGTTTGCACCGCCTGGCACCAACTCGATGTTGTCGTACCCAGGCAGGGTAAAGTCAAGACCTAGGTCATCGATCTTGGCGTCGTTGATGCGAATGTTCTCTGCCTTCTGCATCTTCTTGGTGGGGGACAAGTTGGTCTCTTCGTCGATGCGCTGCTTGGCACTGGCAAACTTCTTGAGAATCTTCAGGGAGCGTGCCAGATCTTGGTCAACAGCGGCAACGGCTCCAAGGGATGGCGTAGCGGTAGAGGAACCTTCACCGATGCGGAAGAAGGTAGGGTTGAAGGATACGTCGATGATGCGGGAGTCCAGCATAGATCGAGCAACGAACTTGCCCAGCATCTTGAACATATGGAGGACACGCTGGCCAACCTCGCCGCGCGATATCTCCTCGCTCATCGGAGCAGGGAAGAGACCGCGCTGTCCGAAGGCGAATTCGTCAGCATCGTTGGACTCGTTCTCACGCCACAGCTTCAGCTTCTTCTTGGAGAACTCCTTCGACACCGTGGAGTAGAACTCAAGAGTCGGGCCAAGGCCGGTGCCGACTTCCTCAAAGTATTCGACCTCCAGGACGCTCGAAGATGCACCATAGAGCTCCATCACTTTGATCGCCGACTCCAGAATGCGGCTGCGAGAAATGCGGACCTTTTGCCGGACCACTCTGCCCAAGAACTGACGCTCTTCGCGTTGTCGCCGAGATTCGTTCTCATGGCTGCTCTGCCAGCGCGACATCATGCGGGAATAGCCAAAGGACGTGGATTGGAGGAAGAGGTGACGGGTCTCGAAAGGAAAGAGGAAGGGGTAGAACCGCGCAAGATCCTCGCTCCAAGATGGCAAGCACTGACTGGCGACAATGAGTGGCTCATCGAGCTGTCGATTCAGCTTCGCGGTGAGTTTGGTGTTGACGAACTGGGAAGGAGGCTCAGCATTGAGTCTCACGGCGTTCTTGTTCTCCGTCAAAACATCATCCAGATTAGCATTCAAGTCGTGAAGGATGCTCATGAGCCGCAGGATTCCAGACGTCACGGGGTGCTTGTCGAGAGAGGGTGGCAGGCCATTGTGAAGGGCAGGGTCAGCACTGGGAGTTGGTGTGCTGCGGTCAGACGGAGGCGGTCCTGGCACTCGCTTCAAAGTGATGGAATGGGTAGCAGACCAGATGTTGCGCCCAGAGATCTCGTCACCCTGACTCATGTTAAAATGACAGGCTCGATAGATCGTGGTATCGAACGGAATTGGCTGCCCGTTGACACTGAACTCAATGTGCCAGTCCTGAGGGGTTTGCTGCAAAGCGGAGGCATACGACATTGGACGAGAGGACGAGGTTGGCGTTGCCAGCATCTCCCGCGCAGCTGCTAGTCTGGCCGAAGCAGACAAACGCTCACGGCCAGTCGGGGGTGTGGGGACGCCTTGAGATGGTGTGGCCACTCGAGCACCGTCTTCGGTACGCGCCGTCAGCTTGCCTGAAGCAGATTCGATGTTCACGGCCGAAGGGTCTGGGACATCGCCCTCAAGGCCACCGCCATCCTCAAGGTCGTCTACAATGGCATCCAGCTCAGCATCAACATCCTCATCGTCGTCATCGTCCGAGATGTGAGCCTCATCTGCGCACTCTAGAACTTCACGCAGCTCTTCTTGCAGATCTTCCGGGAGTTTGTCTTGCGAGGACGATGGCTCAGCTGCAGCAGCATCAGGCGGAGGTGCAGGTGCAGACGCCGAGGAGGGCTGCGACGAATGCCTCCGAGACGAACGGCGCAAAGATCGGCCAGCACTCTCTTCGGGCTTGGTAGGCTCTGGCTCCGTAGTCGCACTCTCAGACTTGGAAGACTTCGAGCGTGACGACTTCTTCGTTGAAGAACGGGTTGGCAGTGAGCTACCCAACGTCGGGGCGGATGGTGGTGGAGCACCTCTGTCTGGACGACCAGCCATCGCGGCAGCATAGGCCGCCATAGCACTGGTAATGCCTTCGCGACGGCCACCGCGAGGACGCTCAGAAAGAGCAATGCGCGGACGGAGATACTCATCAAGGCCCTTGATTGTAGCGATGGCTTGGATCGAGACCATGATATTGCGGTATGCACGAGGAATGCCTGAATCTTCATCTGCCACAAGCTTGAGGCGCAGCTGCTTTGCTAGCATGGAAGCTGCGCTGCCTCGGCTGCTCTCAAAAGCATTTTGATGAACGGTGATGACTTCGAAGTGTTCGGCACGGCTGAGAAGCTCTTGAAGCTTATGGATGAGCACACTGAAGGCAGTGGTAGGCGACTCTGCGGCTCCAGTTGCGATCTTGACGTTGTTCGAGGTCGACATGAAAACTTCCAAGAAGTCCGAACGGGCTCTGATGGATGCTTGGTCATCATCAGCATTGAAGATGTCGAGCAGAACCTCTACGATTCCAGAAGTCATCAGTTCGTAGCTTGTGATGCTCTCCAGCGCGTCACCGTCGAAGTGCTTCGCCAGTTGCTTGAACAGGGAGATGCCGCTCTGCTTGCTGCCAGGACCAAAACGGTCTCTCGGCTGGTCTGCAATAGACTTGATGTTCTCAAGCACTTTGGTGGCTTGGTTACGCATCTGCTCATCGCCTTCTTGGCCGTGAACCTCCATGAAACGCTTGGCTCGAAGAGTGACGATGTCTTGGACGTCCAGAACACGGCGAGCAGCTACTCTCGATGGCAACTCCGAGTCTTCAGACCGAGGACGATCGTCTTCTCCATCATCTTCGTCTTCGTCGTCATGGTCGTCTTGATTCTCTTCGTTGCCATCATTCTCATCCGCGTCGTCGTCATCGTTCTCTCCGTTGTCCTCAGTTGCCTCAGAGCCGCCATCTTCGACGTCGACCTCAATTGCCTCAGCCTCTTCCTCGTGCTCTTCGTCAAGTTGTTCATCAACTTCTGGCCGCGGTTGTGGCTCTTCGTTCTCAGCCTTTGCAACTTCAGGCTCAGGCTCAGGATCAGCGTTGACAGCACGGTCTGCTAGCTTTGCAATCTCTGCTATGACTCCCTCGCGATAGAACTGTGGCCGATAAATGGTCTCCATGCGCTTTAGGAGTAGCTCTGCCGCTTGTAAGGCGAATGTGACTAGAGATGGATTCTCTTGCTGAGACAGAATACCCGCAAGATGAGATGCGTACGTGACGCCACGTAGAGCCTCTTCCAGGACATCTGTGTCCAAGTTCGAGAGCATCTTCAGCTGAGCAGTCAGTACTTTTTGGCGGACGCTGAGGTTGACGGTGCTGGTGTAGGCGTGCATCAAGGTCGGGAAAAGGACGACTGCGAAACGGTGAACTTGCTCTGGACAGTCTTTCAGAAGCTCGACTCGCTTGTCGTTTGGCGAAGTCTTTGAGCGTGTTGACATGGAAACGGATTCTGCACCGGTAAAGCCAGCGTCCTGAAGCTCGTCCAAGAACATCAGACGCTCTTGAGAGACTGTTGGAAGCAGCTCACAGACGACATTGAGTGTCTCGAATATCTGGTCTCGTGGGGTGCGGATGATGGATTGCATAATGACGTTCTTATCGATCTTAGAAGCAACACCATCAGTGCCAGAGGGTGGGGAGACGCCCGTGAGGATTTGGTAGAGCATGTCAACAACATTCATCTTGAAGAGCTCGACCGTAAGTCGTGGGCTGGCGCGGGCAGTGGTCGAGAGAACTCGAAGGAACTGAGTGTGAATGCTTGGTCCAATCAAGTTGGTGGATCCAGGCAGAAGCAGTCTGATGATAGCCTTCAGCAGCTCGGGGCTCACAAGTTCCTCCAACTTGGACTCGTGGTACTTGAAGCTGTCGATCACGCGTGACACGCACACCGATGCTTGCTCGACCACTCGCTGGTCGCTGCTCGACAAGGCGTTGAGCAGGATGGGCATTACATCGCGGACCGTAGGAAACGAGTCTTCGGGGATGTTGCGACAGCAATTGGCAGCTGTGGTGACGGCTGTACGCTGAGTGCTCGTGGCGAAGAAGTCGAGGTAGGTCAAGCAAGCAGTCAAGCCACCCTCACGAACTATGGATGAAGGGAACTCGACGGAGATCTTCTCCAAAGTGCTCAATGCCTGTTCCGCGAGGTCGATGTAGTGGATCTCAAGCAACTTCTGACAGAGTACAGGGACGGCACCACCATAAACGACAGTGGCTGTAGATTGCGGCAGGGCTTCCATCATGTTGGCAATGCATCGACAGGCCAGAAGCATAATCTCTGGATTCTCTTCGCCCGTGAATTCGTTGGGTTGCATCAAAGTGACAAGCTCCTTGACGTATTGTTCTGGAATGAAGTGGCCGGCCAAGTTTTCCTCGTTAGAGACTAGAAGCAGCTCAGACAGGTCTTGCAGAGCGATGAGTTGAAGAGATGGATCGTCTTTCGCGCGCAGCTGCTCCAGAATGCCGCGGAGGCGACTGTTGGTACCGGATACGATGCCACTGAGGGCTCTCAGACTGCTCGACAAGCCTCCCGGACCACCCCATCGCGAGAGATACCCAGCGGCGGCGAACGGGTCTTCACCAGCGCGATCCATGGCTGCTTCCAGCTCGTCTTGGCCAAAGCGACGTGGTGGCTCATCACTGCCTTCAGCTCCTCCTCCAGCATCCTGGCGGGGCTGGTCGTCATCGTCTTCAGTATCTGGTTGGGGAGCGTCATTCGCCTTCTCGTCCACATCCTTCATCACCACATCTTGATCCTTCTTCGAGCCCTTGCGTGACTTTCTCGAGGGTGCTGCCGATCCTGACGGGTGTGAATCTGTTGTAGAGTCAGTGTTTGGATGGGATTGGTCTGATCTCGTCGCCACACCTTCTTTGGACTTTCGACGACTGGACTTGCGTCTCGACGAGTCTCGAGCAGGTTGTTGTGGTGAGGCGTCCGCTGAGGTGTCCGAAGATGGCCTGTCCATGTCAGTCTCTGCCTTTGACTCAGGTTGAGGCGGCGTAGCAGACCCAGCACTTGACATAGCGGCGGCTGCCGCCTTCTTCTTTCCTCTCTTCGGCGCCTCGACAGGCTCTGGAGCAGGTGCAGTCGGCGTGTTGGACTCAGCGGCGTTTCCACCACGGGGACGCTTAGTCTTGCGTTGCTCGCGGTCGGCGGGTGGCGAGGGGTTGGCAGCGGCCTTGCGCTTGCGAGGGGCAGATGCGGCGTCGGCGGTGGTGTTGGAGGTGAGGGGGTTGGTGGTATCGATGCTGTCGGCGTCGGTAGGCAGCTGGTTGGCCGCTGCGGCGCTACGGCGGGTCACACGCTTGCTTGAGCTCATGTCAATGAGTGTCGGAGATGAAGAATGGTGGTGGGTGGTGAGTGTGGTGGAGAGGGAGCTGCCGTGGGCCCAGGTTGAGCACGCTCGGGCTGTTCACACACGAGTCAGGCGTATGAGCAGCGGCAGGCGCGGTGGTGGATGTTGAAGTCCTCTGGGCGGCAGCAGCAGCGGTAGGAGAAGAAGAAGAGAAGGCGCGGGGCGGGGCGTCTGCGAGAGTCCTACCTGGTGGTGGTGGTGTCGGGCGGAGGATGCTGCGAGTGTCGACCATGTGACGGTTTATTATTCATTGCTCAGCATCGCTGGGGGCGGCTCGGTTCGTGCATGGGTCGTGCGAGTGAATGGAAGTGCTGGTGTCGCCCAGCGAACACTGAAATCGGCAAACGGGCGTCAAACAGAGATGTGGTGAATGGAGAGGGTTGAGTGATTGTGTGAGCGAGTCCCGTTTGACGTCTGTCCTGATGATGGAAGTGGAAGGTTCGCCGTTGGACGCCAGCCAGAAGGTTCGGCCCGGGCCCAAGTGTCGCAATGTTGCCGAGAATTGATTAAACATTCATGGGCGACTTGAACAAGAATACCACCTTTATGGTCTGTCTAATTTACGAGGATTTTGTTGCGATCACAGACAGTTGGCAATGCTTGGACTCGACAGTCAGATTGTAACGACACGATCATGTTGCCTCATTCAAATGATGTTGCTTGAACAAACTGTTACTGCAATCAAGATCAAGTCATAACATTTCCCTAGAGCTATGTCCAAGCAATGCTTGACCACGGTGCACTGGCCATTGACACTCGCATTCTCCCCTCACTACTTCCACTCCGTCCTCCCCAATCTCACGATGTCGCTTTGAGCCAAGATCCTAACCGTCTCCTTCTCCTTACCCTCCGCACAGTCCAGCCCGGCCTTGACAGCAGCTCTGGCAATCACCTCGTCATCCTGAGCCCAGAAGTCCTTCAATTTATTACTGACAGCTCCTGCGGTGCCAGCAATCTTCCTGAGCACAAACTCCGCCGTACGTGTCTCGCTCCTGGTCCCGACGATGAGGCCGGGTCTCACAATGACCACGTGCTCGAACTCGAGTGCCTTCACGGCATCTTCGAGCTCCCCCTTCATCTTTGGGTATCCCATCATTGACTGGCTGTCCGCTCCGGCGGTAGATATGAGCACGTAGACTTTCGTTCCGGCGGCTTGTGCAGCCTTGGCCAATTCCAGATTCAACTCATAATCGATCTTTTTCTGATTCTCAAAACCACCTGCGTTTGCTCTCGTCGTTCCCAACGCCGAGATGAACAGTTGCGCTCCAGAAGGGTATTGCTTCGGCCATTCGGCAGACTCCTTCGACACGATAGGCGAGACTTTTGCACCCGCAGCCAGCTCTTTCCTCGAGTATGCAAAGATCTTACTCACGCCATCCCGGCTCTTCAGCGTGTTGAAGATGTGCGATCCCTAGCTCACGTCTCTCAGCCTGCGTTTTGACGTTCATCGTGGTGAGAGCGGATATGGCGGACCACAAGGCCAGTTGCGCCGACGAGACAGACAGACGCCATCGTAGTTGAGATGTGCAGAGTGCAGTGTCTGCTTGTTAGATGTCGATGTGAGCGAAGGGAAGATGGTTGTGGGCGAGAGAGAAGGGTCGTGGTGACGGAAGGCTTTCGTCTTGTCAATCTCGCTGTGCTTGCCGATTGGCTGGGCACGCGGCCATTATCAAGACCCATGGATATCAACCAGCACAGGTCCCATCGACCGGTGGACATCCTGTACAAGACTCCACATATGCTCCATCGCACCGTGCTGGCATTCAAGCGAGTTTCGTCTCGCAGAATGAAGGTGGTTGACGAGAAAGCGTTGCTGGAGCTGAGAAGCCGGTGAGATTTTGGGCGAGCACTCGTCTCTGCATCACCGCCACTTGGTACGGACTCGAGTACTCTGCACTTGAGCAGCGCCATCCTTGCCATTGACACTCGCCGTCTCGGGAGATGAACCGGGTCTGAACATTCATCTGCCCGCCTCGCCCTCTTGTGCGACACCATCCTGTCCCTTCCCACTGCAGGCTTCAGCCACCAACATGCTGAACTCCAAAGCCCTCACGGACCTACTCTCCCACAACCGAGATGACCGCCTCTGCAAAAAGTGGTATCTCATGACTCCCAACGGCACCCTTCTGGCCTACAGTCAGCCCACCGACATCAGCGACATCCGCAAGCAAGCAGCCGTCGCAGCAATCACATGGCAGGAACACGAGCATCAGCAGCAATCCGGCTTCAACGGCGAAATTCGGGAGGACGCTGAGCAGAGTCCGCTGCACGTTCTGATTGTCGAGTCACAGACATCCAACATCATCATGCGCAAGATCCAGAATCATTTGCTGCTTGTGCTCGAAGGCGGTGTTCCACCACGTCGAAGCGGCTTCGAGAGGAGAATCACGGCGGAAAGCGCGGACGGCACCAACCAGCGACCATCTCACGAAGACGAGGCTGTCTCGATTCGATCCGATCACACGGGTAGCAGTAAAGTAGCCACGAATGTCCTGAAACTGCAGCGGACGAAGCTGGACCAGCTCGCAGAAGCCATCATGGCCGACTTTCAGCAGACAGGCTTCAAGATGCCAGAGGAAAGCTCTACGATAGTCTTCTGAGAAGTCTTGAGATGTACATGACGAGGTGCCACCGCAGTCGAGTCGTGGAAACAGTGGAGCACTAATGCAGCTCTCCGCCAGCATTCCTACCGACGTGGGATGCGGGGCGAGGCCGGTTTAACTTCAAGGTGCAGCTGAGGTGTTTGCGGCCTTGGAAGTGAGCGTGACCGCACCAGGGCGATCAGGGCGTAGTCCAGAGCTACATCGCTACTTTCTGCTTCTCGTCCGACTCCGGCAAGCAAGCTGTTTTCAGGAAGTTTTTGAGCAACCCGGACAGCGAGGATATATTTGAGCGTTCTACGTCTTATTCAAGCATTGAGAGCTGGCTTGACCTCCAGCTGTACTACTACACACCCCAGAATAGTGATACAAGCATCATGGCCCAGCAAGGCACAGCCAATGGCGGCGAGCGACCCAAGGTCTTGATCCCCGAGAAGGTATCTCCAGATGGCCTGAAGCTGCTGCAAGCGTCCCTGGACGTCCATGAGCGCAAGGGTCTGTCACCGGAGGAGCTACTCGACATCATCGGCGACTACGAGGCTCTCATCGTCCGTTCAGAGACCAAGGTCAACGCCAAGCTACTACAAGCGGGCAAAAAACTTCGAGTGGTTGCCAGAGCTGGTGTTGGTGTTGACAATGTCGATCTCGAGACCGCCACCAAGCTCGGTGTCATTGTGGTGAACTCACCGCAAGGCAACATCAATGCCGCCGCCGAGCACACGATCGCCCTACTCATGGCGACTGCCAGGAACATTGGCGACGCAAGCGTCAGCATCAAGTCTGGCAAGTGGGAAAGGAGCAAGTTGACGGGTGTTGAAGTCAAGGGCAAGACATTGGCCATAGTTGGACTTGGCAAAGGTTAGGCGTATGATAATCTCTTTTGAATCTACTCTAACAACATCCAGTCGGTCTCACTGTAGCACGTGCCGCAGGCGGACTTGGAATGAACCTCATCGGCTACGACCCCTATGCAAACGTCAACCTCGCAGCGGCAGCAAATGTGGAAATTGTGTCAACCATGGACGAGTTGTTCGAGCAAGCCGACTTCCTGACCATTCACACGCCTATGATAGCTTCCACCAAAGGTATGATTAGCACAGCCGAGCTTTCAAAGATGAAGAAGACTGCCAGAGTCCTCAATGTCGCTCGAGGTGGTATCATCGACGAAAGTGCTCTGCTCTCGGCTCTCGAGTCCGGGACGATTGGAGGCGCCGGTCTGGATGTCTTCACCTCCGAACCACCACAAGCGGATGATGCTGCATCAAAGTTGATCAAGAACCCAAAAGTCGTGGCCACGCCTCACCTTGGAGCCTCGACCGTGGAAGCTCAAGAAAATGTGTCGATCGATGTCTGCGAGCAAGTGCTTTCAATCCTCTCAGGCCAATTACCTCGCTCTGCTGTAAACGCTCCCATCATCATGGCCGAAGAGTACCGTACCTTGGCTCCGTTCGTCACTCTCCTGGAGCGAATGGGCTCGCTATATACATCCTATTTCGGTCCATCGAACTCAGCACAACGTCTACGCACCACATTCGACTTGACTTACGAAGGAACGCTGGCTTCCACCAACACCACCAAGCCACTCTTCGCCGCTCTGATCAAAGGTCTTGTAGCGCCAATCACCAGCCAGGAGAACACCAACATCAACATCGTCAACGCCGAACTCATCGCCAAAGAGCGAGGCATCCTCATCAACGAATCTCGTGCAAGAGATCGTGATGTCGAGGGTCGTGAGGGTTATTCTGCGTCTGTCACTCTGCGTGCACGACTCGATCCCCGCTCTCCCTCTGCATCTCGTGCCCCTCGTCAGGATCCATTCAAAGACGCTGCTGGCAACCGTGCCAAGAAGCTTGAGGACCAGATCATCTCCGGCTTCGTTTCCAACAACACGCCATATATCTCTCGCCTAGGTCGTTTCTCCACGTCATTCGTCCCAGAAGGCGTCCTTCTCATCTGCAGAAACTTCGACGAACCTGGCAAGATCGGTACTGTAGGTGGAAAATTGGGCAAGGCGGGCGTGAACATCCGTTTCATGAGCGTCGCACCTATCGACGAGGGCCTGAAGAACAACGGCGGACTCTCAGCAGACGCCAGTGCCAATGGCAAGGAGAACGAGGCGCTCATGATCTTGGGTGTTGATCGCCAAGTCGACGAGAATGTTAGGAAGGACCTGTTGAGCGAGGACGGAGTCTTGGAGGCTGCTTCGGTGACGCTTTGAGCGTACTGCAGTGTGGCAAGATACAGAAGGCATTCGGCGTACTTAAGGAGTGCAAGGAAGTGGGAAAGGAAAAGCTATTGGAGGTTCAACACAGCGAGAAAAAGCGGCACAGAGATGAATAGATTTAAAATCTACAACGAGAAGCAACATTTGGGAATGACTGTCACCCTTTCTCTTGATGTCCTTCCTAAACCAGACTCTTGGAGTATCCTAAAGCGGCATGTGTTTAGATGCCGTCTCCTTTCGAGCACTCATAGATGGATGTCGTTCATGCTCGCATCGACCCTCTCGCTTGAGGCGAGTCAAGCCGAGGGCCGACAGCACAGCTCCACCTCCCCTCGCGACTGCCAAGAGGAGTGAGACTACTCGTGAACCATAAAACACTCAGACGAGTATCTCCCATACTATCAAATCGCTAATGCGTTGAACTCATCAACTGAGATGTAAATCGAAAGGATCTTCTCCAACAAACGCGCCACACAACCACAACCTCACTCCTTCCATCTGCAAGCTGAACCAAGCGACTTCCCCTACCACAACACAAGATAAAGATGCCATCCACCCCCAAAGAAGTCTTCGGCAACCCAGCCCCCTGGAGCGAACCCGCCTGGTCCCACGGAATCCCCTCCCCCTACTACAACGACTCCCACAGAAAGTACCGCAACGCCCTGCGCTCCTACATCGACACTAACATCCTCCCCTACGCCTTGGACTGGGAAGAAGCCGGCGAAGCTCCCAAGTCCGCGCGCGAGGCGTGGGCAAAATCTGGATTCTCGTTTTCAGATGTTCCTTTAAAGTACAGGCCGAAGGATATCCCTTTTCCGGCGGGGATACCGATTGATCAACTCGATGCGTTTCATGTGCTCGTTTCGACGGATGAGACGTCGCGGGTGGAGGGGGGTGTGACGTCTTCGTTGGGAGGGGGGTCTGTGATTGGGATCCCGCCGGTGATCCATCATGGAACAGAGGAGCAGAAGCGGAAATGGTTACCGGGACTTTTCACTTGGGAGACGAGTTTCTGTTTGGGGATCACGGAGCCGAGTGGTGGTTCTGATGTTGCGAATTTGCAGACGACGGCGGAGAAGACGGCAGATGGGAAGTTTTATGTCGTGAATGGGTGGAAGAAGTGGATTACGGGGGCTCCTTGGGCGACGCATATGACGACTGCGGTGAGGACTGGGGGCCCGGGCATGGGAGGGATTTCCGTGTTGGTTATTCCTACTAATTCGAAAGGGGTCTCGATGAGGAGGATCTCGAATAGTGGGCAGAAGGCTGGAGGTGCTTCGTTGGTGGAGTTGGACGATGTGAAAGTTCCTGTGGAGAATTTGCTAGGGAAGGAGAACGAGGGGTTCAAAGTCATCATGGTCAACTTCAACCGGGAGAGGTATATCATGAGCGTGGGATGTAATCGGAAAGCGAGTAAGTCACCCCAACACCCTCACATATCCCACACCGCATTCTAATGTTCTTGATAGGAACCTGCCTATCAGTAGCCTTCAACTACGCCAACACCCGCACCACCTTCGGCAAACCCCTCATCGCCAACCAAATCATCGCCGCCAAATTCTCCACCTTAGCCCGCTACATCGAATCGCACTGGGCCTGGCTCGAGCAGATCGCCTACGCCGTCCAACAATCACCCCTAGGCTGGCAAGAGCCGGACGTCGCGGGACGCATCGCGCTCGCCAAAGTCCAGGGTGGCAGGATCCAGGAGATGGCGAACCGCGAGGCTCAGCAGGTGCTGGGTGGGGCGGGGTATCAGAAGGGCGGCCCTGGGGCCGTTGTGGAGCAGATGAGCAGGGACTTGAGGATGATGGTTGTTGGGCGAGAGTGCTTTTGGTCTCATTATCAAACAGCTATGAAAAGCTAAAAACGTGATGGTGAATGTTGGGGAGGACACCACTCTCGGCGATGGTGACGTGGCCAAGGCGCTTGTTCAACTCTTCGTCGTTGCGGATGGCGAGCTGGAGATGACGGGGGATGATACGGGTCTTCTTGTTGTCACGGGCGGCGTGGCCATCTATCGCTCCTATTCAAAAGTTAGTTATATTCGATTTCAATTTGATGGCAGCTAAATACCTGCTGGTCCTCTCCCTCCCAGGGGTTCTCTACAGATAAAGTTAGCAAACAGGATGTTAGATGTCTATTGATGAATCTTACCCTCTTCTTCACTGCCAGAATGGGCGCCCGTGTCGTCTACATAGTGTCAGTACGTGTACCTGCCCATCTACGATCATGCTTTTCTAACCGTCCTCGCCATTTGGCGGCGGCTGCTGCTGCTGCGGCAATTGCTGCCTCAGAGCAGCAATCTCTTGCTGCTGCTGCAGCACCTGCGCCATAAGAGCAGCAAACTGCTCCGCCGACGGAGCAGCTGGTGGAGGGCCGGAGGGGGGAGGCGCGCCGGCGTTCTTGCTGCCCGCGTCGGGCATGTCGACGTCGCCTGCTAGATATAATAAGCATTGATCTCATCGTCAAAGACACAGCAGCTAACATACGAGGACTCTTCTGCTGCTTGGCAGCCTTGTGCTCGTCTAGATCGAAGGCATTAATACGTGGACCTCATCGTAGGGCTACTCGAACGTCTTACCGTTGCGGATCTTGGCTACAGTCGACGTCAGCACACTAAATACGAGCAGGAGAAAGAGCTGTATAGAGTACATACCGTACTTGCCGCGATCATGGGCGTGCTTAAGGATAGTTAGTAAATAGAAAGACTACGCATCGGACATAGACAGACCGGCTTGCCCTTCGAGGGACACTTCGATCGATAGTGGCCATCGCCCTATTATGAAGTTAGTATATAATGCATCTCGTTGCCAAAGCTAGCTTGGAAAGACTTACACCACACTCTAAGCAACGGAGGTCGAGCTTCTTCTTCTTCTAAAAGTAGTCTGTTAATATCAAGCTCTGCCGCACGCCGGCATGCCGAGTACTAACGTCGGTAGGGCATTGCTTGCCCTCATGGTGCAAGCCCTATCAATCGTTAATCGCTGTACTGCTCAGGAGCATAGTAAAACTTACACCACACTTATGGCATTTTTGGGAGCGAGGAGGGCCACGACCTCCTCCACCGCTCCCGCCGCGGCCGCCGGTACCGTTGTTCATGATCTATATAAATCGTTAGCTATAAGCCTTCGTCATGCAATGTGCATTGTGTTTAATAAACAACACAGTGAGCGAAGGGGCAAGAAAACGAAAACTAAGATAGCACTTACCAACTTCGAGACATTCTGGATGCTAGTCGACACTATTATACGTATATCAGCATACTTTCTCGTCTCGATATCTCGCACAACCCAGAGCTTGTGCCTTGGAGACGGTGTCTTGAGGTGGTTGGAGATTTCGAGGATAAACGCGAGTAGGGATCGGTGTAGGTAGAGTTTGCGTTTCGAAGAGAGTCTTACTTTTCGCTTCTCTGCCCAAAAGAACTGTCAGCCAAGTTCCTTGAGAGTATAGCAGTCAAACAATACCTACTGGATGTTGTCGCGCAAGGTCTTTCGGTTTCGCTATACTAAAGTCAACGAATAGCTCAATCAGCATGCGGGAGCAGCTTTGATTACATTTGGATGGTTGTTTGCTAAGAACATATAGGTCAGCACTGCGCAGTACGAAGTCTGATTGTACGCGAGTTCCACGACGGTGTACTTACAAGTGCGATCTACAGTTATGAGTTGAGACTATAAGATATATGTTAGTATGATGAGGTCCACGCGCAAGCGTTTGGGCCGGTAGTAGCATGAGGAGTGGGTAATGGTGGTGTAGACGAGGTGTGTGCAGGGAGTGACTCGAAAATAGTCGTGCTGAGGTAGTCTGATGCAAGCAGCGCGTGCTATAGTCGTTCCAGATAGTTGTTCGGGCTGTGCACAGTGCGGAACGTCTCGAGGATTGGGTCTGATGTCAGGGAGTCTGATACATACATTCGTGTGGTGATCGTTGAAGAAGGAAAAGAGGCAGACGAGACGAAAGATCAAAACTTGATGCGACCCTGGACGCGCTAGCCAAAGTTTCCCGAAACCTTGAGGTCCTTGACTGCCAAAACCTCTACTCTTTAACGAGGCATGACATGCCCCAAACTAGCTATTGCGATATAAGAAGCTGGGAAATACTCGTCTCGTTCGTAGCTCTCAGCGAACATTCATTTCCACCGAAAATGAGATGATGAAGTGGAATGTCTTCCAACGCACGAGGACGCTCGGACCCCGGGAAGCTGTCGCGTGAAAGTCTGGACTTTACCCTCGATGTAAAGATCTTTCGACGCAGTAGTTCAACAACAAAATGGAAAAGTGCATTTTACTCGCCTGAATCGTAGCTATCTCCTCGTACCGACATGGAGTATATCGGGTTCGAAGGGTGGGGTGCCTTCCAACGCAACCAACCACCCCAGACAGGCGCTCGGACCCATGGAGCGTGGACCTGGCATGAGTGAACTTCTGGCGTTTCCCCTCCAATTCGATATCTTTTCCCAACCAGCACATGAAGACGATCTGAAAAGTGCATCTTGCTCGTGCTGGCTACGGCTACAAGCGCGTATGCAAAACGTTTGTGGCGGTCGAAATCGATGTCGGGTGCCTTCCTCGTCCTCCAACGCGTTGACGGGGGTCCCACCGAGTAGCGAGACTCGCTTCTCGAGCACCCATGATATCTTTCGCATTACATCTCGCCTGAACATGGGAATAGTCGCGCTGGATTCGCCTTGCTCGTAGCTATCGATGCATGTAGATATCGCCGTGAAATAGTGTGTGGCCGTGATGCAGCCATCCTCGTGGTGCGGTAGATCGTCCCAGGTACAGGAAGGAGCAATGGCGGTCCTCCCAATGTCGTGCTACTGCCTCGATGGTGGATGCTGCAGTCCGTTGAGACTGTCAGCACCACCATCGTCGCATACGAACGCAAGCCAGCACGCATTCGACAGCAGATCCCCGACGATTAAGACTCCCGAACGTTACCGAAGAACGATATCGAAGAGCCATGGCCCGCGAAACCCGCAGCAAGGCCAAATCACAAGAGAAGGGCGCTGAGCCGGCCCAGGCAGGTCAGGACACAGGCCGGCCAAAACAGCAAGCTCAAGGCTCCAAGAAGCCCGTGCCAAAGAAGCGCGGTGCAGACGAGCAGGTGACCGAGCCAGAGACAGAGCCGGCACCAAAGAAGAGGGGAAAGAAGAGACAGAAGGTGGATGTTGACGCCGCTGTGGATGAGGAGAACAGCAAGGGGCGTGATAAAGTCGATGCGGCCCCAGATAGTCCAGAGGATGCTCAGTCAAAAGAGCTCCCTGACGACGAGGATGCCGTTGGCGACGAAGTCGTCCATGATCCGGAGGGAGAGGCCTTGGAAGATGTCCTGGGCAAAGAAGGCGACGACGACGACGACGACGACGACGCTGATTACCAGCCACCAGCCTCGCCGCAGACGGCTTCGAAGGACAAGGTGGTGGTCAAGAAGCCTCAGCCCGTGGAAAAGAAGGCTGGTCAGCGTCGATCAGTAAAGTTGAAGCACGACCCGGATGCGTACAAGCATCTTAACCTTGGGCCGAAAGAGGCACCAAAGTTCACCGAGCAGAAGCGGGCTCTCTACCTGCAAGTGTTTGAGGACCGCACGCGGCACATCATCAAGGAGCGACACGATGCTGCCAATGATAAAAGTGTCCCTAATTCGCCGGACTTCCCAATGGGGAAGAAGATGAGAGATGCATGGTGTAGCATGACCCAGCAGCAAATATGGGAAGAGATTCGCGATGCCACCACTGAAGACGTAAGGGCCGTCATGGGTGGTAGCGTCCTCCGCGAGTGCGAGTTTACCGACTTGCCTGCCCCGACAAGTCAGGAATTGGACTCCTGGCTGATATATGCCGACCTGGTGCGGGACCCCCAGAAGTGCTCTTTTATGTATACTGGCAGTGGTACTGCTGGAGAAGAACTGGGCCATGGCGGCGACCGTACTCGAGGGTATAACAACGTCAAGCGCCGCGCCGATAGAGGAGAAGACGTCACGTCGAAGACGTCCAAGAGTGCCCATTTGCTAAAGGGCACGACGGAAGGAAACACAATGGATCTGAGGGTCCTTTCGACGTGGAATCCCAGGTCCAAGAGAACCCGTCTTGTCGTCGTCCTGATGGCTGAGGGCATCTGGATAGACTTCCTTGAGTCTTATGACAGGACATACAAAGGGTCTGGGTCAAACCCCTGCCATACTGCAGACATGCTCGAGGCATCCAGGCACGCGGTGCCAAAAGAGGTGTTTCCGTGGCAGGGTCTAAATCACGCCAGCCCGTTCCGACAAGGCGTTCGTGGTGATTCTTCCATTGCTCGATGGGTTCGCGCCAATGGTGAAAACTGCTGGTGCTGCGAGCAGCATGTGCCAGTGGAGCGAAAGGCTAGAAGGATCAACTGGTACGGCACACCAGATTCCATGGAGAAGCCGGATACTTGTGTGTGTGAAGGATGTTACACATTTTGGAGGACATATCGAGAGGCTTGTCTCGCCGGCGAGACAAGCCTCAGCCGTGAGGACGCCATCGCAAGACGTCGCAAACTTGCGAAGATGACCCCCAGGGAAAGGGGACAGTTTCTCGCGACTGAGAGGACTGGCGTGAGTCCAGAGGAAAAGTTCGAGCAGCTGCAGCACCAGGATTTCAAGTGCCCCCTTTGCCAGCATCGACAGGTCAGTGATCGCTGGTATACAGATGCTGAGACCGGCGCCGATCCGGACAAGGTTACGTGGGTAGCGAACCCTGTCCTTTCGATGAGATCTGAGGTTCTGGCAACTGTCAAAGACGAGTACAAGTCAGTGGCCTTGGCATGCGAGCCTTGTCGTACCAGCTTGGAGAAGGTTGCACCTTATCCTCAACTTACCGAGAAGGACTTCAGCGATTTTGCTCTCCACCGAGAGAACGTATCGCGTGTCAGGCAGGAGATAGCCAAAGAGAAGGGCGTGAAACCTAGCGAGGTTAACGCGCGAGAGATAAGCAAGTGGCCGGTCACCAAGGTGATTCTGGAGTGGGCTAGGGACCACGACTGGCGATGCGCTTGTTGCAAGGTGCAGATGGTTTGGAACTGGGATGTTCCGTTGTCGAGGTTATTTCGTGTACACGATGGCTCCAAATTGGGGTTTGCGGGTTCGGTGGAGACGTATATCTGCGGAGGCTGCGAGGCAGCCTTGGGCAACTTCAAGGCCAGGAAGAAGTCGAGCCAGTTCAATGCTTCGGAGTTCATTAAGGCGCGTCGCCTGAGAATCGGCACTTTGGACGACTTCCCACAGGAGTGAGTCGTTGGCACCATGGCATGCCTCATCGAGGAGCGCCATCCCTTGGTGCTTTCGATGTCGGATGGCAGCATTTCCAGAGCAGCAGCTCGACTGTTGCAAACGAAGGGCGCGGCCGTTATGCTGCATGGTACCCTGGGCGTGACCGTTGTGTCGCAGATGCCCCTACGCGCGGCCAGTGTGCCGTAGATGCGTGCAAGGCGCAACCGTTGTGTTGCAGATGCCCTAACGCGCGACCGTTGTGTCGTGGATGCGTGCCAGGCGCAACCGTTGTGTTGTTGATGCCTGTATGTGTGTAGGGCGCGGCAATTGAGTCGTAGATGTCCAACACAACTAGGGTCTTAGGAGGATAACAAGGTGCGTGTGGTGGGATAGTTCCGAGCGGTAAGTTGTTGCGTATGTGTCATCTGAGCGTTGATGTTTACATGGCACCGCAGGGCGAACACGACCAAGAATCGCCCGACAACTCCAAGACGCCCATCGCCCGCCGACGGTCTCCATTCAACAGCGTCGCCACGGCAGGGCGAACACGACCAAGAATCTCAACCACCACCCTGTCTGCTGTTGTTCTTATCGGAAATGCTTCAGAGATCAACTGGCCGAAGTCCGGAGATGCGAGGAAGGGATCTTGACGGCATTGCACGTCGACGATGTCGCACAAGATCGCCAGAGAACTCCAGAACGCAAGGTCGGTGCAGATCACAGTATTGCGGATCCCTGGTCCACGAAGGTCGAGTCCATCTTTGGCCGAAGTCCAACAAGAGCCAGACGACCTTGCATCTTCTGAACAACTGATTTTGATCATGATTCCGTTTCGGGCTGGCATCTGCCGTTCGCCTCCTACGACCAAGCGAGCATTCTTTGGGCATTGAGCAACTGATCCATGCATGTGTACACGTACACCGCTACCGCATCAACGCCATCATGCTTTCCGCGAAACCTGGAGACAGTCTCATCTGAGCATCGGTTCCAGTCTGCGCTGTCGCCGGCGGTACTGAGCGAGCCGCCTCATCAGTTCTTCGTTGGATGGCCGTTTCCATGGTCACCTGCGTTGAAAGCCGAGTCGTGGCGGATGTGTAGCATGATCGAATCGCCAAATCTTTGGGACGCGGTGCTGTGCGTCTGAGAAGATGCTTTGGATGCCCTGGATGCCCAACCAGGGCAAAGCAGATGTCAGCTTGAACCAAGAAAGCGCAAAGCGAGAGCCGGTTGCCGGGTCAACAGAGGCCACAACATCAAACACGGAACTTGCGAACATGACAAGATCGAACCTACCTCCTACGATACCAGGAACTCCAACGTCGTTACCCATCACAAATACACGCTGGGGATACGACGAGGCGAGACTACAAGCAATGGCGTCTTCGCGTCGCTCGAATCGACACCATTTGATGCGATTCTACATTCGTCGAGATGTGCAAAGGTTCGACGTACCTCTGATCAGGGCGAGGTCTTACGCAAGCAGATCGAGCTCGTCATCCGGCAACACCAGGTCTGTGACAAGTCCTTCACCGAGTACACAACGCTCTACGAGAAGCGCACTACCAAGAGAGCTCACCCGACCATCGACACCCATCATCCGCCACCCCCATGGTTATCGCCAGCGTCGCAAAGCCATTCAACGACCCTCCACCGCGCCAGCAATCTCGTATCAACAAAGATACCACTGGCCAGTCAACCCGTCATACAAATTGACGGAAACGCCCCAATGGTATGCCAGTCTCCGAGGCTCCAATCGCTTCCAGAGACGAATCCAAGATGCGCCTCCCCAGGCTGTGAGAGTTGGATTTTTTTTTTTCGCTCGCCTTCAGCTATCAAGATTTCAGCTGAGAGTTCTACTCGAAACTCTTCCCTCAACAACGCACCGCACCTCAAGAATGATGGGCGTCTGGGTGAGTCTCTACGCGAAGGCAGAGATGGGGCGTGATGACTGACATGCGACTAGGGCCTCGGACTCTTCGAGTCTGATCATGACTTCGATATTATCGACGACCTGAACAGCGAGGCCGGACTGGACAAGCTCTAGGAGGAAACTCAGGCTAGGGTGAAGGCCGCAGAGAAGTTGATGGGCCGAGCACGAGCTGTGCATGCGGAAGAGCTACGTATAGCAGATGATTGCACCATACCAGACACCCAGCAAGACCACCACCACTACTTTCTGTGACGGATGCAGGCGAAAGTGCACGATGCGAGGAAGACAGCTGGGCAGCATATCGTTGCGGACAAAGGAGAAAAAGTAGTACAGGGCTATGCGCGAGGATGGGTAGCAAGAGGAAACGCTTTCATGAAGGAGGCACGGGAAAGATGATCGCGATGGGACACGGACGGATGAGCCTGTTGGCGTGGATTCCGATTTCGACACACATGCCCTAGGATGCTGCAAAGGATGATTCCACGGGCAACATTCAGAGTTGAGGAAGCCAGGGAAGGCCATACACCCAACGTCAAACCGGTCAGGACATGCGAAAGCGCAAACGAAGAGCTAGGGGAATGCAACAAGTCGACAGATGGAATCGCGGGAAGGCAGACAGGTTGGAAAGAATGGAAGCGGGTCGCAGGACTAGGAGCGAAGTGGTCATGGGTGTGAGCATGAAGAATGATGGAGCAGATGGGTGATATTGCATGGAAGCCGAGAAGTTGGACTAAAAGCAACACAAAAGAACACAAAAGGAAGAAAAAGAAAAAGAAAAAGAAAAAGAAAAAAGAAGAAGAAAAAGAAAAAGAAGAAAAAGAAGAAGAAAATGGCGGATAGAAGCGGGTTGCAGGTCTGGGAGTGAAGTGGTCATGGGCGTGAGCATGATGAATGATCGAGTCGATGGGCGATATTGCGCGAAGGCCGAGAAGTTGAGCGAGAAGCACGAAGAAGACTAACATGGCGATGGACACGGGTAGCAGGTCTGGCAGCGAGGTGGTCATGGGCGAGCATGAAGAATGATGGGGCACGGAGTATGGAGCAGATGGGGAACGTATACGAGACATGACGGGGCTGGTGACTCAGCGGGACTTTGGGCACGACGTTGATGGAGCTGGAGAAATGTTGGTGGTGATGGCCTATGGGCGACGGCTGAGAGCAGATGGACTTCTCCTGGAGGTCCTGCTCTAACCGTCGACAACTCGGACTTCGCCTTATTACTCGCCGACCGCTTGCCATGAGGGACTGGTCAAACATTGATCTGTTACAGGAGAAGCAAAAGAAAGTCGAATGGTCGCCACAAACCTGATTGCGACTACTTGTGGCACTTGGCCTGCTATGTGGGTGCTGGGCCAGCGAACGGTATGCAACAACCATCTCGACCATCACTTCGACCGCTGACTTGATGTGCAGGCGAGATCGACATCATCGAGTTCCCAAATCTCGTTTGCGACAATCTCATGGCTCTGCACACCAGCGAGGATTGCACGATTGCGGGCACTGGAGAGTCAGGTATGATTGCCACTGCTTAAACGTAGAAGGTGGAATGCTGACCTCGCCACAGGTACTTTGTTGACAAACGACTGTGGTGTATGAAATTTTAAAGAGAGTGTGGTAAGTATAGTCGAGCTGATCATGTCGCAGGCCGGTGGTGGATTTGCTGGTTGCTACACGTCGCCCAAGAAAGCCAACTCAGCCGGCACAAACTTCAACGAAGGAGGCGGCGGTGTCTATGCGATGGAGTGGACATCCGTTGCCATTCGAATCTGGTTCTTTCCTCGCGGACACATTCCACCAACCGTCCTCAGCTCTCACCCAGATCCATCAAAGTTCGGTGTCCCAGATGCCAACTTCGAAGGTGGATGTGACATCGACAAGTACTTCAGGAATGGCACCCTGATTGTGAGTTACATTGTTGCATCATCCCAGAAATTTTCGTGACTGACTATTTAACAGTTCAACATCGAGTTCTGTGGCACTTGGGCTGGACCAACATTCGTCTCAGATGGATGCCCCGCTCTCAATATCACCAGCCAGTGGAGCTCATGCAACATGTTCGTGGCCGCAAACCCGGATGCCTACAAGGACTCATACTTCGCCGTCAACTATGTCCATGTGTACACCACGACGCCAGGAAGTCCTCCACCTCCAAGCAGTGTCCTGTCTTCGATTTTACCAGTAGCTAGTACAAGCTCTGCTACTTCAGGCGGTGCCGCAGGTCAGACTACAACGCACACTGAGAGCCTGGCACCACCGACGACTGTTTCGGCTTCAACCTCGAGTACAACAACGTCTACGAGCACAACGACTACGACTCCACCGCCGCCGCAACCGCCTTCCAGTCTGTCAAGTCCACCAACTTCAGCACCATCGCCGACAAGCTCGACTCCGCCTACCGATCCATCGGCCCAGGTTTCTGACCCCCTCCTGTCGACACATGCCGTGGCCATCACCCATACCATCACAGCTGCGTCGGTAGAGCATATGGTGTTGCCAAGCTCAGATCTGAAAGCCTCGAGTGCTTTCGCGGCATAGTGGAGAGCCTTATCTTTCAGCTGGTGTGAGCAATTGAGCAGGACTAAGTGTTGCATTGCTTAGTGCAATGTCTGATTGCATCTCGCTCTCTCGAGCCGGGACATGTGTAGTAGAAGGCAAAATGGAGTCTCAAAGTCTCATCGCTGTGTTTGTGTGCTGCTGCCATGCTGATCTGTCTTCATTCTCTCATCATCATAACATACCATCACCACATCAAAATCACCACCCAGGCACCTCCGTCAACTTACACCACAACCCGCCCTTGGGCTTCGACGTCACACCCCCCTTAATCTCCGGCATGCCCTCCGCCTTCAACGGGCTCCCCTCCTCAAACCTCGTCTCAAACCTCCCCACCCAACAAGCCAACAAACACGCAAACTCAGCCTGCGCAAACTTCTGCCCGATACAACTCCTCGGGCCATGCAAAAACGTCAAAAACGAATAGTTGGACTCCGCGCTTCCCTTGCTATTCGCCTTCCCATCCGCGTTCAACCACCTCTCCGGCTTGAACTCCATCCTGTCGTCGCCCCACAGCGCGGCGTTCGTGTTCGTCGCCCAAGGCGAGAGGATGATCATCGTCCCCTTGGGGATGACTTCCCCGGCGATCGAGGTGTCTTTCTCCGCGACGCGGAGGGTGAGGGCGACGGGGGACCAGAGGCGGAGGACCTCGCTGGTGACGGCTTGGAGGTAGTGGCAGTCGTCGATCTGCGCGGCGGTGATGTCGGACGAGGACGACGGGATATTCGCGCGGATTTCCTCGCGGAGTCTGGCTTGGATGTCGGGTTGTTTGCACAGGCTGAAGAGCGCCCAGATCATGGCCGTTGCGGTGGTTTCGTGGCCCGCGACTAGGAAGGTCATCATTTGGTTGACGAGGTCTTCGTCGGCGAAGCCGCCGGATTCCAGCGCGATGGAGAGGATGTCATTTCCGACGGCGGAGGCGTCTTTCTCTTTCGCGGCGTGTTTCTTCGCGATCGTGTCCCGGCAGACTTGCTTGATGTACTCGGCCGCGCCGTTGATTTCGTGGTTGCGCTTGATGGGGAGACGACGAACGATCCAGAAGGGGACGAAGAGCCCCGCGAGCTGGAGGAGGCGGCCGGTGGGACCCGGGTTGAAGACGTCTTGGTAGGTTTTGGAGAGTTTGTTCGTGGGGTCGTGCAGGCTGTCAAAGTCTTGGCCCATGCCGCTGAGGCCGATGATGTCGAGGGTGGCGCGGGACGCCCAGTTGCCCACGTCGATGGCGCCTGCTTCATGTTTTGTCTCTGTGCTGTGGTTGTCGGTGTCGGAGATGTGGTGTTCGTCGATGTCCTTGGCTTTGGAGGCGGCGGAGAGGCAGTCGATTAGTTCCTGGCCCTTTTTCCAGAAGACCGGGTAGATGTTCTTGACGTGGCGGAAGGCGAAGGCGGGCATCAAATTCTTCCTCTGAATCTTATGCTCTTCGCCCTCAGCGAGGAGTATTCCCACACCAAGGATTCTCCCCAATCCGTTGCGGACTTGAGGCGGTTTAATGAAGTCGTAGTTCTTCGTCACGAGGACTTCGCTCAGAGCCGCCGGCGTAGTAACGAGGAGTCGTTCCTGGAACCAGATCGAATATCGAATCAGCCCATTATTCGGCACATTGGCGGTCCAGTCCCGCATCGGAGCCCCAGAAGCCTCTTTAATAACCCGTCTCGTCTGCCCCAGGAAAAAGTCGCCATTGGGCGCTTGGGGAATATGCCGGATCGGACTGAAGAAGCGCGGGTACACGACTATGCGGTAGAAGATGAAAGCCGCGAATTGGAGGAAGAACAGCAGGAACGCCGTCGTGAACGTCCCCAGCGAGAACCGCGGCGCATATCTCGCCAGAAGTAACGATTCGACGTACGAAGCGCCGAGAATTTGGAGAGTCCGCGACATGTTGCCAGCCGTCAAGGGAGAGTAAAGGCCAGGTTTCGAAGTATCTCGCGCTCGACGATTGCTCATGTGTGGCGGCTAGGCGAGCATGTGTATATAGTTTCTCGACAGGAAGAGGTGAAGTTGACAGCTGTGTGGATTTTGAGTTTCGTCCTCGGCGAGGAAAGCTTCCTGCTACAAGGCTGAGTTCCGCTGCGTGCAGGTACGAGGGATCCAGTAGTATAGCGGTTTTGTTCTGTGGGAGATGTTGTGCCGATGCGATGGGGGTTGTTTTCATGACGCTTTGATTAGAGGTGCCTGGTGGTAGGGGTGAAGTGGATCGGCCGCCGGAACGAATGCGATGGCCGGCTCCGCTTCACATGCTCAATCCTTCTTTGGATTAGGCGGGCGCTGTGGTTGCCTGATTGGGAGCGTTAGTGGATGGAAGTAGAGCTACGTTGCCAGCCTCGTGAATCGTGAGGATCAGTTGACGTGATGAACGGCCCCGTGGTCCCTACAAGCACGTCGTGAAGGGTGCGAACCTCGGCTCATGCATTTCTCTCTCACGTTTATGCATCGACAGATCTCTAGTCTACGATGGCTGAACATTGGCCTGCCAAAGCCTTGAACTTACTAGCTACGACCTCGACCTCGACCTCGCCCATCAAAAGATCCGGAAGTACTGGAACTCCAAATCTTCTCTCATCGTCTGAGCTCTTTCTCGCGACTCGGTCTCCAGATCGTTCAATTCTCGCAGGGCATCTTCGTACTCAGGTCTGCTGACAGGAAAATTCCTTGTCCGTAGAGAACGTTCCAGCGACCAGATATTCAGAGGCTCTCCACCTCGGTCCTTACGATCGAATCTTTTCAGTTTCGATTCCGTTTCATGCCGCTTCGCGCTGTAAACCATCATGTCGAGCTCTTGGTCACTATGCCGGAACTTGGGCAACTTGTCAAACATACCAATGCGGCGAAAGGTTCGCTCTGTCGCGGAAATGGGCGTCACAAGGATGCCATACATGCCGTAGTCTTCAGGGCCCCACCATTCGTACCCCAGGACCAGGCAGTGCACTATCAGGTCCTCGGCGTAGTTGTTCTGATCTAAATCGAATGTTGGCCAGGCCCAAGGACCCAATAGGGCTTCCATTATGTGCTCGGGAAACAACTGCTGGAGGTACACCGAGCCATCTCTCCATGACATTGAGTCCGGGTCATGTTTGTTGACAGCACCGATTGCGGCGATTGTCGTGGTGATCGCTGGCGCGGAGAGCTCCAGATAGCCGTCTGTGATCTCACCGAAAGGGTTGGAGCATTTGAGCGTTCTGAAGTAATTCAAGAACGTTGCGATATGCCTGTGGTACGACTCAGGACCAACCCATCGCTTGAAGTTCACTGGACCGTTCATGGCAATCCAAGACCAGGAGGGCGCCAGGTATCCTGATTCCAGACGTGTGCTCGTAGTCTCTGAAATCCGAAACCACAGGAGGAGCTCGAACAGGTGCTGTCCCGACCAAAGTCCAGCCAGGTAGTCCAGGCCAGTCTCTGCTTTGTACAAAGATGCGAGACCAGCAAGAGCGGGAAGGCGATCGTTCTGAACCGTCAGCTGTCGCGCCGAGTAGTTTCTGGCTACGTTGATCCACAGGTGCAGGGTATTTTCAGCCAGATCAGCAATGAACAGGCCATGAGTCCACTGCTGAAAAGATTCCAGTCTCACGCTCGCTCGACCAAGATTGGCGCCCGGATCGTAGACGCCCGTATGGTCAACGCCGAAGATGGTAGGGCCAGTGTCGCTGGACTCGATCAGGCCCATCGCTTGAGCCGTGGCGCGGTCGACATAGTGGACGAAGCCAAAAGTGGGATCCCATGAGTCGTAGAAGTTGAAGTCGTCGAAGAATGTGGCGCCGGAGAAGTTGCTTTGGAGGACGTATTCGGCGGTGGCCGTTGACAAGGCCAGGAAAGGGAGGAGTACGAAGGAGTGCATGGCGGTGCTTGAATGAGTGTCTGGGTGTGCGGTAGTGACAGTCTGGATTGAGGTTTGATGTCGTCGATGTTGAGGTTGACGTTCAAGTGGTGACTGGAGTGTGTGAAAGCTGGGCAAGAGGTTGGCAGAGGCAGGAGCATCGCGCAACCCTGCTGCGATGTGAACACTCACATCAAAGGAAGGAGCGATACCATTGACCTACATTTGAAACCCGATTCAACTCGTCTCCTGATCTTAACATATCAATCTTAATACTCATCATTCCGCAACGACTCGTCAAGCTCCGCAATGCCAGCCTGTCTGGACTGGATGAACTCCTCGCGTCTCTTCACATCACCAATCACCTCTTCTCTAGCCTTGACAGCATCCTTCGGAATGGTCTCCAAAAACTCCTCCATCCTGCGCAGTTCCTCCATCGACGACGCGAGCGATGCCTTCTCGCTGTCAATCCTGAACATCAGGGCCGGCTGAGCAAACTTCGCAGGAGATACCCGTTGAGCATCGGCTCTCGCCTCCACCAGGGCCTTTTCGTAGCAGGGCATGAGTCGGTTGAGATGGCTTGCTAGGATCTCCCAGTATCGTCGATTCTCATCAGATTCATCCATCGCGTTTGATAGCGTATCCGCCCATTGCTCAGCGCGGACCCTGCGTGCTCCCGCCTGTTCTCGCAAATGTTCGTATACCATCAACGACGCCAGCTCTTCATCTGACCGTTTGTCACCCGTGGGGTCTCTGGCAAGTTCTTGTTCAGCTTCGTTGATGTCTCGCTCATGTTGCTCCACACCCAGGTCGAAGCGGAATAGTTTAAAGCGGGCGGTCCATTCTTCATCGAGGCCCTGTGCTTCGTCGACAGGCTTGGTGAACTTCGAACGAAACCTCCGACTCCATTCAAGCCGTTTCTGACATTTCTTGATGATATTGGCTGGATCGCGTTCTACATCATGGGATGGTACGCGCTCGGCAGCACTCGTTCTGATGACGTCGACCATGAAAGCATCGGCATCGAATGTATCTGGCCAGCCATGCTTCTTGTACAACGATCTCTTGGTCTTCTCCTCTACCCGGAGATTGTCCCCTAGATCGCCAGGCAGCTCCTTCAACTGTCTATACCAAGAATTGATATCTCGCAGTACTTCAGCAGCGTCTCGGCGTTGAATTAGCTCCAAGCTGTTTTCGTTCTTGATCTGGAGCGCCCTGACTTGTTCGCCCCAGGGGATCTCTTCTACGATCTCAAATCCTTCGTCGAAATCAACATCTGGCGTCTCGTCCAAGCTGAGGCCAGTCAATTCGCCACTTAAGTCTTCTTCTTCTCCATCGTCCCAGAACTCGCTGCTTCCGGCGGAGGCGGCGGCATCGTCACCTCCGTCTTCGTCTTCATCTTTCTCGCTCCAGTCACTATAGTCGTCCGTACCGCCCCAATCGCTTTTCTGCTCTTCTTCCAATTCACCATACCACCTACGATAAAAGATTGGATCCGTCGACGTCTCATAATTCGCAATCCAAATCCTATGCTCCCTCGCATCATAGATTATGACTGGCGACCTTTCCCAAATACTCGAGAGCGGCGTGTACCAAGGCCGCATGTACAGTCCATTCGCATCGTCAAAGCCAACGTTGGGATTCCCACGCAATGGATCTCTAAACCACGGATCCCGGCCTTGCGCATTTTCAGAAGGCTTCATGTGGTTGAAGAAATGCGACCTCTGGAAGAATTGGTCGGCATTTGCTGCCTTGCTGTCGATGTATGGGAGAATACTGTAGAGGTAGATGATCGCCGGATCCAGATCGAGCTCCTTGTATTGCTGTTGCATTTCGCTGGTGATGTTGTGAGGCCCACGGATGATGCCGGCGGATTCGACGTAGCACATTTCTGCCAGTGTCTCGTAGATCTGGAGCATCAGGTCTGCTATCTCGTGGAGCTTGGCCTTGTGCTCGGCGGAGAGGCCTTCAACCACGGTTGTAGCCATATTGCCGTCGAGATACCTGTTCTGAGCGAGAATTGAGAAGGCGGTATCGACCGGCTTCACATCTACACTGCGTCCGTGCTCACTCAACGAATAGTGGGAACAGACGGACGTGAAAACGTCGTTGTTAGCCACTGACAGTATAAATCTTTCCCTATGTGGATGTTGTCTGGATCATACGTAGCAGTAATGTTCGTGGGATGATAGGATCTTGGGCGTACGAGCGACTGCTTCGGATCCGGACATATGCGCGACTCGGATCTGATCCGCCATCGGAACAACCGAGCACTCAATGGCACGCAGTGCGTGAGTGCTATCGAAAGAGTGTCGGTGTTGAGAGATGAAGTCAAGCGAGAGTTGTGAGGAGAAAGTCTGATCCAACGGCTGTCCCAGCCTCCTTGAATTCGACACTGTATATAGCTCTTTCATACTCTCTTCTAACCACAAGCATTGCTTTGTTGAGTCTCTCCTATCGATTGTTTCTCACGGAGGAAGAATTGGCGACGGAATTGTTCGGTGCACGTGAGCAAAAGTCGCGGGTGTTCACCTCACCTTGTGCATCTCGTGCGCAATCGGTACCCCACCTTGATTGGCAGCAGCAGTGACTACCAGACGGTATCTTCGGCCCTGCAGAAGGCTTGGTAATAGATCTCACTACTGCTTTACTCACTTCCGTTGCTCAAAAGCAATCGTCCTCATCACACCACCACCTTTGTTTTACTGGCGAGTACAACGACGCTGGAGGCAGCACTTTCCGCCCGCCCGCTGCTCCGCGCCCGCCCACGTCTTCCAAGGCAAACACCTCAGCCTCCTCCAGCACTACCGTTTGCCGCCTTTCATAGGCGGCCTCGTACAGCCGGATCACTATTCACCAGACACCTGTCCACTGCGCCGCCGACGCGCTCCTATAATCCCGTCCTCTCCGGTCTCATCAACTTCGACAAAACCCCACCACCGCTTCCCGCCATGGCCGACGACGTGAGAGGCGACATGACTCTCGACGAGTACGAATTCCCAACATCCCGCCTTCGCCGCCGGATAGAAGACCCAGAGCGTACTCCGCTGGTCCTCATTGCTTGCGGTTCCTTCTCGCCAATTACGTTCCTCCACCTGCGCATGTTCGAAATGGCGGCCGACTATGCCCGCTTCAACACACAATTCGAAGTCGTCGGCGCATATCTCTCATGTGTCGGCGACGCATACAAGAAGACAGGTCTTGTCAAGGCCGAGCATAGAATCAACATGTGCACACTGGCAGTACAGCAAAGCAGCTGGATAAGCGTGGACCCATGGGAGGCATTGCACAGCGAATACTTGGAGACGGCCAAGGTGCTGGACCATTTCGATCATGAGATCAACGAGGTCATTGGCGGAGTAGAGACACCGGTGGGAAAGAAGAAGTGCAGGATTGCGTTGCTCGCAGGCGCGGACTTGATCCAGACGATGAGCACGCCAGGTGTGTGGGCCGATAAGGATATTGATTATATCTTGAGGAACTTTGGTGCATTCATTGTTGAGGTGAGTACATTGATGATGAACAGCCGTCCGCATTACTGACACACTTCAAGCGAACCGGCACCGACATCGATGAAGCGCTCTCAACTCTCCAGGCGTGGAAGGACAACATCTGGGTCATCCAACAGCTGGTCCAGAACGACATATCATCCACCAAGATCCGACTGTTCCGTAGGCGAGACATGTCGATTCGATATCTGGTGCCGGAGCAGGTTGTCAACTACATCGAGATGCACAATCTCTACGATGAAGATGGTGCCGCAAGCACGAATAGCGACAAGGGCAAGGAGAAGAAGGCCGGGGAGAGCTCTGGTGTTGCCAGCTCGAGTAAGGGCTGAAGCTGCTGAGATTGATGAAAGAAATCAAGAGCAGCGCCACCGGGCATCAGAAGCAACGTCCTCATCTCCTGGCTTCTCGCCTCGTTGCATGCGTATCAAAAGGCGTTCCTGGCGCTGGTGGAATCAATCGGCGTCTTACAACGACGCTTCATGGATTTACCAGATGTGTAAAGCGATGTTTTCATGATGAGACGACCGGGCTACATAAAGGCAAAAGAAACCCCCCTGCAAAGGAGTGGAGGGGAGTCAATTCAGCAAGCCTTGTGTTCCTGACGGAGCCAAAGCCGTCAGTCAGTTGTAGCACCTTAATGGCCAAAGTAAACAATTCACTTCTCTGAACTCTCCTCCTCGAACGTCTCCGATCATTTGAAAGTCATTTGGAATACCATCGTCGTCAGGGGCAGATCGCAATCGTCACAATGGCAAAAATGGCCTTTCGATTTGGAGGGGTCTGTTTTGCCCCGCATCAAAACGTCATGTTCTGGACTGCCAGATAAAATCTCCAAAGCTCCATTGAAGCGAAACAACAACAACAACGCCTCTCATACTTGATTAATGCTTTGCGCCTTGCAGAGGACCAAATCGATCACAAGCCATTTCTCAAGAACAGCTAGACAGTACGCGACACTCGCCAAGATGACGGACACGAGCAAGTACAAGTAAGTGTCTCCAATGAGCTGTCATGGACATTGAGCTGATGCTTGGAGTCAGGTTTAACCATACCATGCTGAGGGTCAAGGACCCGAAGGAGAGCGTCAAGTTCTACGAGTTCTTGGGCATGAAGCAGGTCAACAAGGTGCGTGTGAGGGCGTGTTTGATGGTCCATAGGTTTCTGACAATGCTTTCCGTTTAGTTCGAGTTCCCAGACAACAAGGTGAGTTTTGGCATCTGTTGAACTATGAACTACTCACTCATCATCCACAGTTCGACCTTTACTTCATGGCATACGACTCTCCCAAAGCCGTCTCCCACTCCAACCACTGGACCGACCGAGAAGGCATCATCGAGCTCACGCACAACTACGGCACCGAGAACGACCCGAACTACAAGTCCTGCAACGGTAACAAAGATCACGGAAAAGGATTTGGACATGTCTGTATCAGTGTAGACAATATCCAAGCGGCTTGTGCTCGGCTGGAAGATGCGGGATACAAGTTTCAGAAGAAGCTGAAGGATGGACGCATGCATCATATTGCTTTTGCGTTGGATCCTGATGAGTATTGGTTAGTGAGATATTTGGTGTTGTGAGATTGTCGGGTTGGCTGACGCATAAGCAAGGGTCGAGATCATTGCGAAGAATGATGTTGAAAAGACTGAGAATGTCAAGGAGACGGATGTGGAGACTTACAACATGAACCACACGATGTCTGTGGAATGAGACAACGTAAGACGGAGTGCATGCTGACAGTGGTATAGGATCCGTGTAAAGGACAAGGACGTCAGTCTGAAGTTCTACCAAGACATCTTCGGCATGAGCCACCTTCGAACTCACGAATCACCCAACGCTGGCTTCAACCTCTACTTCCTCGGCTATGGCTCCAAGCCCAAGGACGACACATCTGCAAACGGCGTCAACCCAACCGCAGACCGCGAAGGACTCCTCGAACTAACGTGGAACTACGGCACCGAGAAGGAAGAAGGCAAAGTCTACCACGATGGCAACTCTGATCCTCAAGGATTCGGCCATATCTGCGTGAGCGTGGACGATCTGGATGCGGCTTGCCAGCGATTCGAGGAGAAGGGTGTGCAATGGAAGAAGAGGTTGACGGATGGGAGGATGAAGAATGTTGCGTTCGTGCTCGATCCGGATGGCTACTGGATTGAGATCATTCAGAATGAGAAGCACAAGGCCGCACCTGGGAAGTACTAGGCTGTAGTCACGATCCAAGTATAACTTCTTGCTTGTACAGATTAGCCCAAGACTCTGGCGTACATTCTAAAAGCAGATGCCTCTTGGCTTTGTAGAATGACATGGCTCTCTTCATCCCTCATGCTCCTCCCTCCCGCTTCGCATACTCGTCTTCCATCCTCTCCTCAAACAATCTCTCCGCCGCTGCCTCTGCCGATCCTGGCTCGTTGCTGGAAATGTTGCCTCCACTCGATTGTTTGCCAACAGTCTCTAAAGTTGCGGTGTCCTTAGGCGCGATGTTGGCTCCACTTTCGCCGCCAACTGCTGTCTCTGAATTCGAAGGACCCTCTCGAGCCGGGCCTGTGGTTGGGTGGTTCATGGCGGAGGTTGTTGATGGGATGGTTGATTGTTGTTTGTTTGAGACTGTGGATGTTTGTCTGCAGGTCTAAGGTACATGTACCAGGTAGCCGACTGGATGACGTTGCTTTGTTTAGCGGCTAAATGTAAGTGAATCTTTAAGCTTTCGCCCCACCTCGTCCGCGTCTGTGCGCCGCCGCATTGTGAGACAAAGCCGCTTTCCTCTCTTGAGAAATCTCAATACACGCCCGCCATTGTCTCGCCAACCTGCCATATCCTACCCGCCGCCCACCGCCATTGCGACCGCCGCTTGATGCCCACTCCTTCCTCTTCGAGCGCCCGCTAACATGGCCAAGAAGAAAGGCAGCAAGGAGCCGGCGCAACCAGACGCTGCCCCCGCGGGCTCGAGTCTAATCATCTGCAGGAACAAGTACGTATGTCGCCCGTTCCGTACACTTCTCGCCCTCGAATTCCAGCGTCGCGTGCGCATGGCAAGCATCGCGATTGACTTGCGCGCAGGCATTGGCGGTATATCTCGAGCTTCCATGGACCATGGCTCCAACTCCCTCCCGAGATCCTCGATTCCCTCGCGCACCAGAACTATACGATGCCCGCCCCGCGCCTGGTTGATCCCGCGGTTTTCTACGATGTCGTGAAGATTAGAAAGGCGGTGGACGAGGCTGCGCAGGACTCGGTGCGAGCTTCGACGGGGATCAGCAATACCGCTATGAGTGGGCGCATGGACTACTTTGGGGCGGGAGGGGGACCTGGAAGCCAATTGAGTAAAGAGCGGATATTCAAGATTCGGCAGAAGGCAGTCAAGTTACTGAGCAAGGCATTCACATTGGATGAGGTTGCGGCGAGTGTTGCGACTATGCAGGCGACGAGCACGGTTGAGGATGTTGCGCAGCATGTGCTCAAGCGGGAGCCGAATAGCACTGGTTGGTAGAGTGATACTTGGGGTGAAGGGAGGGACACAAGAGCTGACAAAGTACGCCAGATGCCAAGTACGTGCATTTCTTCCACGAAAAGATCCCGTCCAGGGCAATGGAGCAGTATACCCCTCTCGAACCTCTGAACGAGATCATTACGGCACTTCCGACAGAGCACCAGGCTGCGCCTTTACGGACTCGAGCGCTCGTTCAGATCTTCAAACACCAATGGGAAGGAGCTGCGATCGACCTCACACTGGCTCTTCGAATCGTGGAAGAGACGAAGCGCGCGCATAAGCCCAATCAGCAACAATTGGAGCTGGCTAGCAAGATGAAGGAAGAGCAAGAGGCGTGGCAGAAGGGATACAAGGATTGGAGATCAGTACCTCAGCTGAAAGAAGAGGATCAACCCAGGAGCTTGGAAATGCAGTTGCTTTTCAACCGCGCGGGAGTGTACCTCACAATGGCCTGTCAAAGCGTACACACTGCGCTAGATGGGCTCAAAGAATACCAGGCGGCACAGGAAAAGGGCGAGACGAATGGCGTGGATGCGAAAGCGCAGGCTGTACGGCTGGAGGCTAGGAAGAAGGTGAAGGGATATGCGAAAAGAGCTTTGAAGGACTACACGGCTTTCATCTCACACTTCGACTACACTCCTGGACTTCCGTTCGAGATTACCAACGAGATCATGCGCAGAGTGTATGATCTTGCCAATGGTAACAAGACTCAGACACCGATGCCCAAGAACCGGACTATCGCCATGAACGGAGACGACAAGAAGCGAGTCATTGAATTGGATGGCGACGGCGAAGAGATCACCAACAGCAGTGGAGACGAGAAGGAAGCGAACAACTCCGCGTCCGCGCTCCAGAAGTACCAGAAGCCCAAGTCAGATCCCTTCGAGCGAGGCGAAGACGGCTGGCCTCGATTTCCTTCACCCAAGATCCATCCTGCGAGTGCCTTGTTCGCGGAGAAGCCTCCTTCAGACCTGCCGGTTTTTCCAAGCTCCGAAACTGAAGAGGCGATGCGAAACAACGAGACGATTCACGAGGCGTTTGGAAGTCGGGAGGCTGTGACGTATCATCCTCTGTTGACGGATGCGCTACACTCGCTGTTGCTGGCACATGCCTTAGTGCAGACCTCACCGACGGAACTCCTTCGCCATGCTCACAACGCTGCACGCTTGGCACGAATCGCGGACGGCTACCCCATCTTCCAAGCGGCTAGAAGCCCGGCCCGAGCAGACTGGATTGAGGTGCTACGTCGTGCCAACAACTGGCTCGGTCTTTCCATTCCATGGCAGAAGCTCTGTGCACCAGCGCCTCTACCAGATGCCGCAGGAGGGTGGGCGAAGGACAGCGGCAGTGGCGCATTGACGAAGCGACGTGAGTGCAAAGAGGAGACGCCTGAACAGAAGCGCGAGCGGATCAAGCAGGAGTCGATCATTGACGCCCTCTCTGACGATCGAGTCGTGGACGAGGATTCTTTCCAGAAAGCCGTGCGTGCTCGCGAACGCCGCGCCATGGAGGACGAGCAAGGCATCTCGGGACCACTTAAGGACAAGGATAGCAACACTACTTCCAATTCCGACTCGCCAGTTTCGAGTCCCAATGGAGAGGCAGCGCCGCCACCGCCCAAGCGGTGGGCTCAAGACGAAAACGGCAAGGAGTACCCCATCTCGACAGATCGCGCGGAAGCCATTGCGAGATGGATCAAGGAGAGTCCGCTTTCCATGGGTGGCAAGAAGAAGAAGCGGCCTGCCGGGAAGAGAAAGCCTGGTACGAATGGCGTCCATGAAGTCACTGAAGCCACGGGTAGTTTGGGTGTCGGTGGCGATGACGAGGAGGGCCCGGATTAGATCATCTGCCAGGTTCAATTCGGCAGCTTGTACAGCGAGCGAAGCCATGCTCGATTGTAGGCGTATGAAACATTGATCCGATTCCTGTACTATTCGTGATCATTTCCTTCCCATGGGTATCGTGCATGTGACAAAACAGTCCCGCCGCCAGCCATAACGCCGCCGCCATGAAGTCTCAACCTCGAACCCACCAGACCCACTCAGTAAAATAAACAAAGCCGCAAACCCACCCCTCCTCACTGCGCCCGCGCAACCCCCATCCTCTCATTCTGCGCGCGCAGCTCCTTAATCGCGTTCTGCGCACCGCCATCTCAATTAGCCCCTTTCCCACTCCCAACATTTCAGACAAAGAGACTTACCGCGAGCGCTTCGGGATTGACGCCATTCTCGATTAATGAGACGCAGTAGGAGAGCGATTGGCGGTCTAGCTGCGTGTTGAGGAGCGAGGAGATGGAGAAGAGGATGTCGATTGTTTCGCGGGCGGCGCGGCGTTTGTCTTCGCCTGTGGCGGTGGGATTGCTTGGGGCTGGGGGCATTGTGGTGGTTTGTTTCGCTGGGCGGAAGAAGCTCTCGTCCTCGAGTCGTTCTGGCTGCTCTCGTTTGGTTGTAGATGGAATGTCGAGGCAAGAGATGCTCGCTGTTTTGAAGAGGTGAAGTCGCGTTCCAGCCACGTCCCACCACTTTCCGCCGGGCACAAGCCACATTTCATGGACCTCACGTCTCACACGACATCGTCTTCAAAACCTCCTGGACTCGCAACCTATCGCCCGAGACAAATCGAGAACACTACCGAGATGAAACGATGGCATATTGAAACCGCACGCCTCTCGTCACCGGCCATGGAGGCCTACCCGTTCCAGTACACCGAGCACAACCTCCCGCTCGTACTCCTATCTGGATTTGGAGAACACGAATCATCTGGAGGAGCTTCCCAATTACCTCGCCAGGAATCTGGAGCGCGGATCATCACTGAATCTTCAGAATGTGAAAATGGAAGACTTCTGCAAGAGTTCCTCGCCCTCGATGGATCTGACCGGGCGTGGAACGCGGCGAGTCTGCCTGGACCGAGTGGGACGATTCGCTACAGGATGAAGACTATCGGGAGGGTAGGTACGGTCAGATTTATCTTTCCAGAAAGTTTGAGAGGCTGATTTAGGTTTTTCCTTTTACAAAGTCATATACTCTACCAGCCAGGAAAGCCGCTCCGTTGCCTCAGCCTGCGACAGATGGTGGAGGGAGTCCGCCTCCTCGTAATAAGGAGTTACATTCTCCTCTCTCGCCTCTTTCGCCTGGATCGCCGGTCTTTCCAGATGGTGTCATGACGCCTTTGTGGTTTTCGAAGCACCAGGAGCAGGTTCCGGCGATCTTCCTGGCCTTTTTCAATCTCAATGCCGGAGAAGGCGCTACGCAGGACGAGCAGATCAAGTCTGATATCAACGCGACTCGAAATGCGCTCTCGAGATCAGGATTCAAGACTCGCTTTGCTGCTGTACTCATCTCGGATTCGAGTATTTTGCACGCGCCAGAGTTGGAAGATCGACTTGCGAGTATACGGCGCGCTACGACTCTGGATCCGAAGACTGGGCTTTTCTTCGTGCCGCCGATGTCGTCTCAGGCGGAAATCGCTACTTACGTACAGACGCTGATGGCGGCATTGCAGCCACTTTGCGTGGAGTATTATCGTGACTTGACAAAGCACGCTCGACGGAAGAAGGCTCGAGGAGGACCACCTCCGCAAGTGAACTCACCTGTGGGCGGTGCATCGCAGAGTACGTCAACCTCAGGCTGGAATGTTCGGTATGAGATCAAACAGGCCGTCTTTGCAGAGTTTCGTCAAGAAATGGACGTCGCAGAAAGGCACTATTCAGCGGCGATCGAGGAGCTTTTCTCTTCTGAAGGTGGCGTGCTGGAAACGACACACAGCTGGAGTCCAAGATTCAACGAGGCACGATTACTATGCGACGCAGCGGCGATGAGAGTCATTAGATGTCAGCTCTGGCATGGTCAAACCACTGGGGCTGCGCAGAGCTGGACCAACTACAAGCTCAGGATGAGAGACCTGATTGACCGAAGAGGGAAAGGCAGCGAAACGTATAGCTGGGAGGCATGGGAAGCACGCTGGGCGCAGGCCATGAGTCAACTGATACAGATGGCTGACGTGCCTGCACTGCGGAGAGCTGAAGCAGATGAACCCATTCAGCAGGTATACTCGATGCCAGAAAGGCCCATAGATCGACTGCCGCCTTTCAATTTCCTACATCATTCTGGATACTGGTTACGACTTACAGCAAGAGGGATAAGAGCGAGATGGGAGAGAGCGATTGCCATTCCTGAGGAAGATCGAATCCCACCGGGACAATCACCAGCTTCGATGGTTGCGAGCCGGTCGAAGAATTACGATTCGTACCTTGCGCTGGATCCCCACGAGGAGATGCCCTTAGCCGGAGAGCCAGCATATGATCATGCCAATGAGCTGGGGAAAGCGTGTATTCAGGCAGCCGAGGAATTCGAAGCTAGACGACAGATGCGAATGAGCGAGCAAACACGACTAGACCTCGCAGATGACCTAGTACGATCCGGACGACATTCAGATGCTTTGAAGGTCCTCACACGCCTCTGGGAGGAGTCAACATGGCGAGAAGACGAATGGCTCACCCCATTTAGAAGTCTACTGCAATTGCTTTCTGAGTGCGCCAGGAAACAACAGACTCCGGAGAATGCAAGACTTATTCCTGCTTTGACATGGGAGTTGCTCAGCGTAGCACCCGTGGACATGCCTGAGAGCGTCTTGGATATTGGGCAGTGTCTTGACACCTGGGATCTTGAACAAGACATTGAACTAAATATCAGCGACAAGAACAGGCTAAGTCCAATCTCGATATCGTTCGCCTGGAAAGATCTTGAAAGCCACGTAGGGGAGCCGATGGAATGCCAGCTTATTCTGGCATATGAGACAAGCAAGGCATCGAAACCGGTTAAAATCTCGAATCTGGAATTCATGGTTGGCGGCAAGATCGTCAGGATACGACATGAAGCGAACAGCGGTCCCCAGGAATTTGTGGAAGTGCCTCAACCAAAAGAGCTTGATGACGGGTCACTGGAAACAACAGCAGACCTTACCTTTCAACCATCGCAAAGGAAGATTCTCAATCTTTTCCTAAATCTTCGTGAGGCTCAGGTCTTGTCTATCAGCGAAGCCAAGCTCTTGATCGAAGCCTCAAAGTTCAAATTGACGCACCAGTTCGATCAGGACGCAATCCAACCAAGCCCACGCTGGTACGTGAAGAAAAGCGGCGAAGTGAAAAGCGTGCAGCTTGCACACATGGATGCCAAATCCATCAATGTGCTGCCCAAGCCCCCGAAGATGCAGGTACATATTCACGGCTTGAGGAAACAGTACTTCACCGACGAGCAAGTTCGGCTCTCGGTCGAGCTTGTCAACGAGGAAACGGAAGCTGTTCATGCAACCATCGCACCGAAGGTCATCGGCCAAGCAGGGGAGACGACGACCTTCAAATGGGCAGACGCAGATGACGAGGAACCAGTTCGTACGTTTACGGACATGGATGCAGACGCTACGCAGACCGCGGACTTGACGATTCAGGGGCCTCCTGAGGCAGTGAGCTTTACTCTCACACTTGATCTGAGGTATACTCTACTGTCTGATCCGAGCACACCGTTGGCGAAGACAGTCAGCGTGGAGTTACCCTTCGTCATGCCATTCGACGCGAAGTTCACGTTTATCCCAAGGCTACACCAGGAGGAATGGCCCAGCTACTTCAACGCCCGCACCATCAATGGCAGCCAGGAGTTAGCAGTCGGGATCCCACAACAATGGAAACTCGGGGCTCAAATCATCAGCCTGGTCAACGACAATCTCACCGTCGAAAGAGCCGAGCTAGTCCTCCACAGCGTCCAAGGCGACGCAACCTGCAGCATCCCCAACCCATCCACGACCTCCCAACAACCCCTCCCAGCCAACAACAGCATAACGCCAACCTTCGCCCTCACGACAACAAAACACTCCCTTGACGACCGCCGCCCCAGCTACCTCGACCTCTCGCTCCACGTAGCCTGGTCCCAACCCTCTTCACCCTCAACAACCTCAAAAACAACCATCCCCATCCCCCGCCTCACAATCCCCACCTCCGAACCCCGCGTCCTCTGCACCACCAACCCTCAAGACACCGTCCCCTCCTCCTCCACCCTCGCCCTCACCTACCACCTCGAAAACCCCTCCACGCACTTCCTAACCTTCGCCCTCACCATGGAAGCCTCCTCCGAGTACGCCTTCAGCGGGCCCAAATACCGCACCCTCTCCATAGCCCCCCTGAGTCGGCACCGGGTGGATTACAATCTCTTTTTGCATGAAGATTTTGATGGGGAGAGGGAAAGGGAAGGCAAAGAGGGTGTCTGGAAGAATGTCAATCTGCAGGTGGTGGATTCGTATTATCAGAAGAATTTGAGGGTGCATCCTGGTGGGGAGCGGGTGAGGGTTGATTCCGGGACGAGGGAGGTGCAGGTGCGGTTTGGGGGATAGATTCGAATAGAGATAGGGTGGATGGCATGAGGTAGAGAGGGACGTATATAAGGTGGCATGTGCGAAAAACGATGACAGTTCACTCGTATCGTTATTCCATTCGTCATGTTCAAACGTTGCTCAAGTTTCTTTTCTTTTCGCATCATTCTTTTCATTTTCATCTTCTGTACGTAAGATATAGGTAGGTACTTCAAAGGCAGTTCAAGTGCTTTTCTTCACGCACTTGACAAACCACTCTCGCAACAATCATTCATTCCGAAGGAAGACGCCGCCTGTTCTCCCTCGAGCGCCTTCGCAATGCCCATGTAGCGCCGTGAAAACGCTTCATCGAAAAACACAAACTTCATCAAAAGTCTTGCTCCCTTTCTTCCTTTCTCTCATCCATCTTAGGTTCTTTTTAGTAGTAGTAGCGTCCGTCCGCCCAAAAAAAAAACAGCAAATTGGGTATTGAACGATTCCGAAAAAAAACCTCCACGATGACCCGCTCCGTTTAAACAATTTGAAACTCCTCATTACTCCCAGCGCGATTTTTTGAAACGAGTTGGCCGCTCCTCGGGGGCGGGCATTGAGTTGACCGATTTTTGCGCAGGAAGCGTCTTTACGAACTGCGAACTCCGACCATACCGTTCTGGGTGCCGTTCGAGAATGTCGATGGCGAGTTGCGGGCGGATTGTTGAGCGGTTGCGGAGGTAGAGGGGAAGTCCTGTGAATCGTTAGTGAATGTCACGTCAGAGGGCCATGTCAGGCACGGGGCTCCTAGAGCACAGTGCATGATAGGTCGCCAAGTCGTCGGAGTCAATGTTATTCGAAGATCTAGAGACTCATGCAAGAGCTATCAAGATTTGCGATGTTGACTAGAAGTCGGTCGCTAACCTGATGACCCTGTGCATGCCCTCGCATCTCCAAATCAACTGGCCTCCTACAGCTCGGCAACACCCGTCTGCATCTGCTACTCGTCGGTGAAGAAGCCGGGGGCTTTGACACTGACCTTGCGCTTCTGGCGCTTGGCATTGCTGCCACGCCTGCCCGTGTCATCCATTCCACCAGTACTGTAGCCATCGTCCTCATACCCCTCCTGGTATCCGACAAAGCTCGAGTCATCGTAGCGTCGCTTCTTGTTCGCCCGATCTGGTCGTCCAGCCATGTTGCCAGGAGATGCGGGCGCAGAATTGCGGATTTGAGCTGCGGGTGCTGTCTTCGCCATTGCACTTACCGGTCCGTTGGGAGCTTTGTTCATAGCCGGCTTCACGCCAGCAGCAGGATCGTCCAGGCCGAGCATGCTCTGATACTCTTTGTGCTCCTTTGGTGGGAGTCGTCCCGGGTGAAGGTCGAATGCAGCGCTCAGTTTCGAAAATATTTCATCCTCCGCGTCCTTGTTTCCAAGTTGCATGTTGCTGTCGCGCACCTTTGCCTGCCAGTAAGTCACGCCTGGTTCATGCTCAAAGTTCCATCCTGGGTCGAGCAGTCCTTGCAATTCATTCGAATTCTGGGTGGCTTTATTTCGACCTTCCAAGCCTAGGGCTTTGACCTTATTCTCGTACGACTTGCGCAGCTTGTTAATCTTCTCGCCAGTCCGAGGGTCACGCCGTGCCACTGAGGCTTGAATACGCTGAAGACTGTAGAGCTGAATAAGATCCAGTGAAGGATGCGGAAGAACTTGAGGGATGGCTGCAAGTGTTCAGAGTATTTAGCAAGGCACAGCACCGTCACACGCCGTACAAAGGCGATACTTACGAGTTGTGGAGAGCTTGTGCAGTGGCTGCACAACTGAGAGCGATGATGACGACGCAGCATCGGCGTTCCGTTGCCGCTCGTGGTTCGTTCTTCTGTGCTCTGCATCTCCATCGCCACCATCCTGTCGATCCGCCATCTCCATATCACCGTCGCTGTCTTTGCGCACTTCGCCGCCTGCGTCCGTCACAGGCGTCTGCCGACCACTGTCTCCTCCTGCGTCGCTTCCTGCGCCTCGTCCAGTTGCGTGACCGTGGAATCCAGACGTGCTCGGCGGTGTTGGAAAAGTGCTACTATTGCCTTGATGGTGATTTTGAGAAGACTGTGCCTGCCATGACGGAGACATGCGGACGCTGGGGGGAGGCGTGTTGGGGGGAATAAAGGCCTTTGTGTCGGGGTTCAAAGGTGGGCTGGCTGGTGAATACGATTCGAGTCGCTGGCGTTTGGGCGAGCGTTCCCCGTCACTGGCGGACATTTGGTGTGGTCGCTTCGTAGGGCGTTGCGTGTCGTGTGAGAGATGCTGGGGGTAAAGATGGGTGGTTGACTGGGTCGTCGTCGGGCGGGCCACTGTGCCGGCAGAGCGATCGGCGGCGGCGCGCAGCGCTTCACGGCGGCGTGTGCGATGCAGTCGGCATGTAGCGACGTCCAATGGGCGGCGAGGCGTCGGACGGCGGAGGGTTGGGGGTTGGTTGCGGTGCGGCGCTCTGGCGACGACGAGGCCTTGGGTGAGGTCAGAGACAGCAGCGAAGTCGAGAGTTGCAGCAGGAGCGGGCCACCGCGAGGCGGATCGGCGCCGCGCCCTCATCCCTGTCTTTTAGCGCGCCGCAAGCGAGCGTGAAACTCTTTTGAGTCAGGCGCCGACGCCCGAGACGTCGACGCATCCAGATGCAGACACGAGATCAACGGAAACAACCATATGAAGGCGGCCAGCTCAGATCACGGTCGTCGGCCGACATGTAATCTCTCAAACTACGATGGCGGACGAGATTGAAGACGACGGCCCTGGCGGAGGCTCATACCTATCTCGCGCCACATCAACACTCCAGAAACCAGCAATGTCAAAACAAAATGGACAACAGTCATCTGGTCCTCAAAACCAGCCAAATCTAGACCGCCAGAATGGAGCATCTTCGACCTCAAAAACAGGCGTCGTCCAGCCAAAACCACAAGCCCTCCCCCGTCGGACAGGACCCGCGTCAATCCTTGTCTCTCCCCGTCAGAAAGGCAACCCGGTACTCGACAAGATCAAATCGATGCCATGGGAATACTCCGACATACCCGCCGACTACGTCGTAGGCGTGACAACCTGCGCCCTCTTCCTCAGCCTCAAGTATCATCGACTCCACCCGGAGTACATCTACACGCGCATCAAGAACCTGCAGGGGAAGTACAACCTCCGAATCGTCCTATGTATGGTCGACATCGACAATCACGAGGAGAGCTTGAAGGAGTTGAGCAAGACGAGCGTGATCAACAATGTCACGATTGTGTTGTGTTGGTCCGCGGCGGAAGGGGCGCGGTATCTGGAGTTGTTCAAGACGTATGAGAATGCGGCGCCGACGAGTATCAAGCAGCATCAGAGCACTGCGTATAGCGATCGATTGGTCGACTTCGTCACTACGCCGAGGGCGATCAACAAGACGGATGCTGTGAGTCTGGTATCGCAGTTTGGGACTTTGAGAACCGCGGTGAATGCCCGACATGAGGAAGTTGCGACGATTGCGGGTTGGGGAGAGAAGAAGGTGCAGGCATGGTGTAATACTGTAAGGGAGCCCTTCAGAGTGCAGAGAGCGGCGAAGAGGGGTCTCAACCTAGAGAACATGGTTGCGAGTCAGCCTGTATCCAGAGCGCCGACCCTGTCAAGGGATGCGTCGAGAGCGGAAAGCGGCTCTCCAGCAGTCGAAACTCCCGCAGCAGATGACAACCAACTACCAAGCCGACCACAAACAGGCGGCGCAGACGCCGACCGTCGACCAACCTCTCGACTCGCAGAACAAGTCGATGTCGCGGCCGATAGCTCAGACCAAGAAGCGCTGGCAGCAGCCTTGGATGCCGAGAGCAACCCCAAACCAGCTACTTCCTCCAAAGTCTCCACGAGCACAACCACAGAAGTCCCAAAGAAACGCAAGCCAGCGGACGATCCCCTTAGCGAGGGGATCCAGGCTGCCTTGAACAAGTTCAGAAAGGGGTGAAAGCAGCGCAAGCAAAGCATCTGTCTTGAGCCTACCAAAGCATAGGAGTGTAGTATTCGCCGAGACGAGCCTTGAGCAAAGAGTCTGCCAGGTAGTGACTTACAAAGGCGTCGTCATAAAGGTAGAATCGTGGGCTCGTGGTTCACTGCACCGAGCAAGGAAAAACTTAAAAACCAAATAAAAATAAAAAAAACCGACCCAGAGTCGAGTACTCATCATCTATTCGACCCAACTCGTCAAGCTCATCAAAATCATTCATCATCATCACATCTCATCTCATTCCATCCCCCATTCAACTCCAATCCAACCCCTGCACCAACTTCTTCGCATACTCGGGCAACTTCAAACAAAGATGATCCTCCCTCTTCATCTCGCTCCTCGGCCCACCCAACAACTTCCCCGTCTTCGCATCGACCGGAAAATCAATCGGCGCAGGCTTCTTATGCCACTGTTCCTGCCGATCCTCCATCTGCTGGATCACACCGGAGAAGTAACAACAGCAATCGTTGCCTTCGCTGGGGCCGTGGACTTCGGCGCGGACGACTTTCTTGCACATGGAGCGCCATTCTTCCGGGGAGAGGTTGATGCTGAAGGCGGCGACGCAGCCGAGGCCGCCCGCGTGGAGGTGGGAGGTGGAGGTGTTGAGGTCTTGGAGGCGGAATTTCTTCTCTTCGCCCGCGAGGCTGGCGCGGAGGGATTCGGCGGTGATGTGTTCGAGGACTTTGGAGTAGCGCTCGGCGATGGACATGAGGAGCGTGCCGAGGAGTTGGGTGTTTTGGATGGCGGTGATGAAGCGTTTGGGGCATTCTTCGCAGGAGAGGATTTCGGAGGCGGTTTGCATGGCTTCGCGGAGGGGGTGGAGGGCGAAGGGGAAGGCGAAGGCGTTGTCCATTGATTGGAGGGTGTTCAGGGTCAGGTACATGGTTGAAAGGCAGGCGCAGTTGGGCATGAGACCCATTGGCATGCCGAGACTACTGTTGCCGCCGAGCGCTGGGTCCAGGAGGAGTTGAGTGCTGCCACCGTGAGAATGGCCATGGGTCATGCTGCTGGCGTGGCTCGACTGCAACTCCGGCGGAAGATTGAGCAACGGGGGACTACTGCTGGAGCTGTTGTCCGGTGTCAAAGCTGGTATGCCGTTCTCGCTGCCGTGTCTGTGTCCGCCTTCTGGCATTGAAAAGTCACGTCCCCAATCCCCGGCATCCTTTAGCCAAGGCTGTAGACTGCCACCTGGTGTGAAGGCAGACTCAAAGGGAGCCATGTCATATCCGCCGTCTGTGTGTAGAGACGGATCCCATATCGCGGCATCGCTGAAGTTCTGTGTGGGCGAGGAATCTCTGTCGGTTCGCGCGCGCTTTTTGGGCCTGCCCATTTGTTTCTGTGGGGAGTAGATGCAATTGATGTTCTCTCGCACGCATCTTGAGCAGTTGGGCCGTTCGCCAGTACATTTGAGCTTCTTGGTCCCTAAATATCCATGTCAGTCATGCGAACACAACATGGGATGATACAACATACTGCACTCGTCACAGGCAGCGCGTAGCTTGCCCTGCGATGCTGTGTCCGAAGATACGTGTGCCTGCGTGGCGGCTGCGGGATCAGTTTCCAGAGCCATGGCTAGCAATGTCGCCCTGCGCAAGCTCGTGAAGGGTCGGACACAATTGCTATGGAATAGAGCAGAGATGCGAGGGCAGACGGGGTGGAATGTCTCCGAAAGATATATCAGAGAGTCGAAGCTACCTGCTACCTGATCTGCCTGCAGTGAGACGGCTACTCGATGGTGGCTAGTCTTATTAGTGGCATCGCCGACCAGAGCGCGGACGGTGTGGTCAGCTCTGGAGGAGGGAGGTGTGCAAAGGAGCTGAAGCTGCACGGCTCCAAGACTGCCGTGACGCAGAGCTGCTGATTCAGCGCTTCGGTTCTCTCAAGCTCTTCCACCTCCAGTCGCCAAACTCAACAGAGTGCTGCAAATTTGGAACCCCATCGCAGTCACTTTCAGCCTCAGCGTGCATCTGAGCTGGATTCCGTGTGCTTGCGAGGGCAGAAGGATTCTCGAAGGAATGCTCCACTTCGGAGGTGTGGTTTGAGCTGCAGGATTCGGATCCCTGTCCAAGCTAGCTGAAAGTTAGTCGAGAATTTTGGAAGAACACTGCTTGGCCCATCGGAACTTCATCACAGCACAACCATTGGCGGAAAATGGCGGCGCAACGAGCTGGACAGAAGCGAAAGGTCGTCGAGGTTCCAAGACCAGCAGAGGAGAGCGAAGAAGAATTGCTTGGAGATGTGGAGCTGAACGGCGCGTTCGATGAAGGCGAAAGCAGTGAGGGAGACAGCGAAGACGAGCTTGAGGACGATGAGTTCGACGAAGAGGCTGATGAAGAAGATGACGAAGAAGAGCTGGGCAGCGATGAGATACCCTCTTCAGAGGATGAGGAAGATGTCCGACAGCAGGTACGGGATCTCAAGACGAACGGGCGCAAAACTCCACCTCAAAAGCTCATGGGCAGTGACACCGGGGTGGATGTCAGTACACTGTCTCCAGTGACGCCTATGAAGCCGCTGGAGGAGGGAGCCGAGAAGACCAACTACCGGGTAGAAAAAGATGCCAACGGAAACGATCGATACGTCTATGGCGAAATTGACCCGGCGTACGATTCAGACGACTCGGATGCTCAGGTCACAGCGAACACCATCGGCAACATTCCTCTCTCATACTACGACGCATACCCCCACATTGGCTACGACATCAACGGCCGACGGATCGCGAGACCAGCCAAGGGCGAGGCACTGGATTCATTGTTGGACAGTATCGAAATACCCGAAGGATGGACTGGCTTAACAGACCCAGAGACCGGCAGGCCAATGGTGTTGAACAGAGAGGAGCTCGAGACGCTCAAGAAATTGACGCGAAGTGAGGCTCCAGGAGAAGGATATGATCCATATCCAGATATGGTCGAGTGGTTCACTGGCCCAGGGAAGGAAGAGGTCATGCCCTTATCTGCTGCCCCAGAACCAAAGCGGAGATTTGTTCCATCCATGCATGAGCACAAGCGGGTCATGAAGATGGTCAAGGCCATCAAGGACGGCCGCATCAAGCCCTTCAAAGACCCAAGTGAGGAAGAGCGGGAACGAGAAGAAGCAGAGCAGGAGTTCGCACGCTACGACATTTGGTCAAACGAAGCACCCCGGCCCGATCATCCTATGAACATCCCGGCTCCCAAATTGCCTCCGCCTGGCTACGAAGAGAGTTATCATCCCCCTCCAGAGTATCTGCCTGACAAGCACGAGCGAGAAGAGTGGGAGAACCAGGACGAAGAGGACCGGGAGCGTGACTTCTTACCCCAAGACCATGCAGCATTGCGCAAAGTGCCTGGATACGCTGGGTTCGTCAAGGAAAAGTTCGAAAGATGTTTGGACTTGTACCTTGCACCTCGAGTGCGGCGTAGTAAGCTGAACATCGACCCGGAATCGCTTCTCCCCAAGCTCCCCGATCCGTCTGAGCTCAAACCCTTCCCAACGTGGAATGACACGACATACTTTGGCCATGAAGGCCGAGTACGTAGCGTCGCGATCGATCCTACGGCGAAATACTTTGCTTCAGGAGGTGACGACGGGACCATTCGAATCTGGACGTTTGGCACTGGTCGACAAGAATGGCGGATCAAGCTGTCATCAGAAGACTCTCTCAGCGTTGTGACCTGGAGACCCGGACCGAGCGCCTGCATTCTCGCCGCGTGTTGTGGAGAGACTGTCTACTTCATTGTTCCTCCGTCAGAACTTGTTCATGAAGACATCCAGACAGCTACTCGCGACATTCTTGACGCTGGCTTTGGCTATGCCGCTACAAACCCTTCCAAGGGTGCGGATGGCAAGGACAAGGCCTCTGCTGCAATCTGGTCGCGCCCCTCAACTTCGCTCCAAGATAAAGGTGTTCTGCTTACGCTGACATTGAAGTCTTCGCCGAAGACACTCACATGGCACCGACGAGGAGAATATTTTGCCACAGTCTGTCCCTCTACAAGCTCCACTTCCACGGCAGTGGCGATACACACTCTCTCAAAACATCAAACTCAGCATCCATTCAAGCGTTTGAAAGGTATTGCACAGACTGCCACCTTTCACCCCTCCCGGCCTCTGTTCTTCGTTGCAACACGACAGAGAGTCCGCGTCTACGACCTGCAACAACAGAAGCTCGAGAAGGAACTCCAACCCGGCGCACGCTGGATCTCATCGATATCTCTGCATCCCATGGGAGGCAATGTCCTCATATCATCTTACGACAAGCGACTCTTGTGGCACGATCTTGACCTTGGGAGCACGCCCTACAAGACGCTCCGATACCACTCGAAAGCAATCAGGAGCGTCAAGTTCCACCCGACGTTACCACTGTTTGCCGACGCAAGTGACGACGGCACAGTCCAGGTCTTCCACGGGAAGGTTGTGGGAGACAGCTTGGAGAATGCTACAGTTGTGCCACTGAAGGTTCTGAGAGGGCACAAGGTGAAGAGTGATCTGGGAGTGTTGGATCTCGAATGGCACCCGACTGAGGCGTGGCTTGTCAGTGCGGGTGCGGATGGAAGCGTCAAGCTATGGACTTGATCGGATTGCTTCTATGTACAATGATTGTAGAGCATTAGCAATGGCATCGAGAAACTTGTACATGCCTCAGGCACCCACGGCTAAACGCGGCTCTGTCTAGCATTGAAGCTCCAATTTCGATGAGCCGACTCCATCTCTACTCCATTCCTCCGCACAATAAGATCCTCAGGATGCCCGCCTGGGGCCGTAATATAGCATTCTCTCCCTAGCCGCAGCGTACAACGCGTTGCAAAACCCAACCATGAGTACCACCAGATCCTTCCTCTCCCGCGCCATCCGTCTCCAACAACACAGACCAACGCACCTCTCGCGACCCCTCTTCTACCGGCAATTCCACGCCTCCCACACCCACTTCGTGATAAAACCCTTCCTCCTCGCAGACATCGGCGAGGGCATCACCGAATGCCAGCTCATACAGTGGTTCGTGCAGCCCGGCGCGCGCGTCGAGCAGTTCGACAAGCTGTGCGAGGTGCAGTCGGATAAAGCGAGCGTGGAGATTACGAGTCCGTTCGATGGGGTGATTAAGAAGTTGTATTATGAGCCGGATGATATGGCGTTGACGGGGAAGCCGTTGGTGGATATTGATATTCAGCAGGAGTTGAGTGAGGCGGATGCGGCGAAGTTGGGGGGTGGTGGGGAGGAGGGGAAGAAGGAGGAGGGGGCGCGAGAAGAGCAGAGGGTGGAGGTCGAGGCTGAGGGGGTTGGGGCGGAGCATACGCCTGAGAGTGAGGCTTCGTCTGGGAAGAGTGAGTCGCAGGAGACCCAACAACCTCCGCCGAGGGAATCGAAGGGCGACAAGGGCTCGTTGGCTACACCTGCTGTGAGACATCTTGTCAAGGAGCATGGCGTGGAGATTACGGATATCAAGGGGACAGGAAAGGATGGTAGAGTATTGAAGGAAGATGTCCATCGACACGTTTCACAACGGGATCAAAAGCCCCAAACACCAACATCGAAAGCACCAGTCGCTACCAAAGAAGATCGCAAAGTACCGCTTACGGCTGTACAAAACCAGATGTTCAAGACGATGACCAAGTCTTTGAATATCCCACACTTCCTATACACCTCTTCGCCCGATATGACAGCGATCACCGCCCTACGGAAGAGACTGAACGCCGCTGCTTCCCCAGACGAGAAGCTCACACACCTTGCTTTCATCATGAAGGCCATCAGCATAGCCTTCGCACGGCATCCCCTCCTCAATGCCTCGCTGGACACCAAGGACCCGAAGAAGCCTGAGCTTACCTACCGTGGCAGCCACAACTTTGGCATAGCGATAGACACGCCTTCAGGTCTTTTGGTACCCGTTGTAAAGAACGTGCAAGATCTCAACATAGCCGAGATTGCTTCGACGATGCGACAACTTTCTCAAGCAGCACGGAACAACAAGCTAGCGCCTGGTGATTTCAGCGGTGCGACGTTCACAGTCTCCAATATTGGCTCTGTCGGAGGTGGTGTAGTATCGCCAGTGATATCAGAACCGCAAGTAGCCATTGTCGGCGTGGGCAGAAGCAAGATCGTACCAGCATTCGACGAGAACGACGAGCTGATCAAGAGAGAAGAGCTCGTCCTAAGCTGGAGTGCCGACCATCGCGTGGTAGACGGCGCGGAATGTGCAAGGTGTGCAGAGCGAGTCAAGTCGTTGCTGGAAGATCCAGCCTCGATGCTGGTAGAGCTACGGTAGTCGCTCATGATCAGAAAATCAACCTTCCATCACGACATCTCTCAAGGGTTCTCTGAAAAAAAAGGTCTCACTTCGGACTCTGATGCCGGCCGTCGGTATCCGTACGCGACTGCAAGGTACAGGTTCTGCTGTGCACCGACAAATCCAGCATTATCTTTCTGCATTGGGCAGTTGGAAGCAATCGATAAGGAACGAAATGGCAGAGCCGCATGCAAGCGTGTCGACCACGAGAGATCAGTCGCCGACGTCGGCAGCTTTTTCTCCACAAGCTAGCTATGCCAGGGTGCTGGTAGAGGTGTTGTGCCGCAGGTAGCCGGACCAGCAAGCTTGAGCTGTTGACATACATTCGAGAGCAATCACTCCTTGCTTCGTTGTTTGAAGACTCATCTTTTGGAATACGTGTTGGAGAACTCGAGCAGTATGGCTATCAAGACTTTGCAGTATGGCCAGCAGCTTGGAAATTCGCTCAAGGCGTCGAGTACTTCCTCAACAGCTGGCTTACGGGCTGCGAAGAGGAGCGTCTCGACCTTGGCCAACTTTCAGATTCCGACGATTAACAATGAGCCAAACGTATGATATCTTACCAGTGAATAGAGTCTTCAGGCTGACGAGGTGTAGAAACACTACGAGAAAGGCTCCGCCGACCGAGAAAAGCTCTCCGCCGCCGTGAAAGCTTTCCGAAGCAAAGCACCGCTGCAAGTCCCCATCGTCGTCGGCGGCAAGGAGATCAAGACCTCCAAGATCTCCGAACAACCCATGCCAATGTCCCACAAGGACTCGATAGCCTCGTGGTCGAACGCCTCCTCCCAAGACGTCCAGAACGCCATCGATTCGGCCCTCAAAGCGAAGAGCTCGTGGGAGAATCTCCCGTTCGCAGATCGAGCGGCGGTGTTCTTGAAAGCGGCGGATCTGATCAGCACGAAGTATCGATATGAGATTATGGCGGCGACGATGTTGGGGCAGGGCAAGAATGCGTGGCAGGTGGAGATTGATGCGGCGGCGGAGACGGTGGATTTCCTACGGTTTAACGTCAAGTACGCGGAGGAGGTGTACAGCAGTCAGCCTGTCCACAACAGCCCTGGGGTCTGGAACAGAGTCGAGTACAGACCGTTGGAGGGATTCGTGTATGCGATCACGCCCTTCAACTTTACGGCCATTGCGGCCAATCTGCCTGCGGCTCCAGCGTTGATGGGCAATGTGGTTGTTTGGAAGCCTTCGCCCTCTGCGATCGCCTCGAACTGGCTGGTATACAACATTCTCCTGGAAGCTGGTCTGCCGAGGGACGTGATCCAGTTCGTACCTGGAGATGCCGTTGAGGTTACGAAGGAAGTTCTTTCACACAAGCAGTTCGCCTGCCTCCACTACACCGGATCTACTGCCGTGTTCCGTCAGTTGTATGGACAAATCGGTGCCGGCACTGCTGAAGGCAGATACCAGAGCTACCCACGCATTGTTGGTGAGACTGGTGGTAAGAACTTCCACTTGATTCATCGATCCGCCGATGTCCAGAACGCAGTCATCAACACCATCCGAGGAGCATTCGAATTCCAAGGACAGAAGTGCTCCGCAACCTCGCGAGCCTACTTCCCTGCCAGCCTCTGGGAACAAGCCAAACCACTCCTCATCGAAGAGACCAAAAAACTAAAAATCGGCTCCCCCGAACAATTCGACAACTTCATCGGCCCCGTCATCCACCAACAATCCTTCGACAAGCTCTCCAAAGCCATCGACGCCTCCAACAAAGACTCCGACCTCGACCTCCTCGTCGGCGGCCAGTACGACGGCAGCGAGGGCTTCTTCGTCCACCCCACAATCTACCAAACCAAAACCCCCACTCACCCCAACATGTCCCAAGAATTCTTCGGCCCCATCCTGACCGTCTACGTCTACGACGACACCCAGAACCCCGACCAAGCCTTCACGGACATCTGCAAGACCATCGACACCACGACCGAATACTCCCTCACCGGCGCCGTCTTCGCGCAAGATCGAAACGTCCTGCGCTTCGCCGAGGAGGCTCTCCGCAACGCCGCGGGCAACTTCTACCTCAACTGCAAGTCCACCGGCGCCGTCGTGGGCCAGCAACCTTTCGGTGGAGCACGAGCCTCGGGAACGAACGATAAAGCCGGTTCGGCGAACTTGCTGTCCAGGTTCGTGAGCATGAGGGCTTTGAAGGAGGACTTTCTGGGGAGTCCGGAGGTGCTTTATCCTTCGAACTATGTGTAAAGATTCTAACTCGAGAGACGGACGGGTTGTTGGGGATGTGGTTTGGATTGATTTTTTAGCGTTGTAAAAGCGATATTATTGCGTGCCTGGTAACGATCGGGCCGGGTTTGGGGGCTAGTATTTATGTGTTTTGGCCTATCTCTGGGCGAAAGATCGATTTTGCGGGTTGGTTTGAGTACATTGCGAGGCGTGGGAGTGGGAGTCTGTATACTGTTCAAGACCATATGATGAAGAAAATCAAATCCAAACCGTCAAAGCCAAAACCACAACCATTCCGTCAAGAGCAAGTCAATAGTTGCGGAAACATATCCGCCTCACCTCCCTCACAAATCCCGACGCCCTCCCACCGGCAATTGACATCGGCGTCTGAAGGACCGCAATCCTTCTCCAGGACAGACTGGAATTCCCCGCCAGACGTCACGTCCCAAGAATCCGGCCCCCCTGCGCGGCTTCTCTTCCTATTGACGGATCAAGCTCGAGGGGGGAACGAACGGTTCGCAAGGCAAACGACTTTCTTTCTCACCGCTCGCTGGGGACGCGAGACCCCCAAACTTCGCTTGACTCGTTGAATGTCTTCGGGAAGGAAGGACCTGGTCATCGGCAGTCTCAGCAATAGATGCCGAAGCTGGATAAATACATTTGGGTTGTGGTCTTTCCTTTCCAAGTTTCCACCTGTTCCGTCCCTTTGCGCCTGACTTTGTTTTGCTTGCCGACCGACACCTTGGGAACTTTTTGAGGAAAGAGAGGGAGATATATACTGTCGGACCGCTGGATACCCGTGTATCACCTCTGTGACAGCCGTTGCTTTCTGAGTTTGATTCGCTCAGCCCTCCTCCTCAGACTCCCCCCTCGGATTGGATTGCATTGGATTGGGTTGTGAATCTGAATCAGGCACCGCCGGCACGGCTGTCAGTCGGCATCGATTTCTCAGGGACACGGGATTGACGGAGTGAGAGAGAGGTTTTTGATTGCTGGGACTACCTGACTTCGTTGCTCACCGACCGTGCCGTGCCACAAGATCCTCCGAGCAAGACGTCACATTACTACTCTCCAAAACCCTCATCTCAGTCGACCTACCTACCGACAACCATGTCAGAACAAACAATCCAACCCGACTCTCACCTCCCCCAACAACAGAACTTCCCGCCGACACCACCCTCCGAACCCGCCACGGACCTCGCGAAGATGAGCTCGAATTCGACGACGACGTCGAGTTCTAGACTGGGGACCTCGTCGTCAGAGCAGCACAAGCACATCTGGGTGATTACGGGTCCCGCGGGCTGTGGCAAGACGTCCGTAGCCGAGTTTCTGGAGAGTACCTATTCGCTGCCTTATTTGGAGGGAGATACTGTACGTTAAGCCATTGAAGGAAGAAGAAACATACCCTTCACTTCTCACCCAAAAATCCCTCTGAAAGGATTAAACGAAGACTGACACGTGCTGATATCACTAGTTCCACACCCCGGAAAACGTCAAAAAAATGGCCGCCGGCCAACCCCTCACCGACGCCGATCGCTGGGACTGGCTGATCCTCCTCCGCGAAGAAGCCCTCAAAGCCCTCTCAACCCCAACCACCTCCGGCGTCATCGTAACCTGCAGCGCCCTGAAACGCAAATACCGCGACGTCATGCGCGTCGCCGCGTACCATCACCCGCACGTGCGGGTGCACTTTGTGTTCCTGAAGGCGAGCGAGAGCGTGCTGATGGATCGCGTGCGGGCGCGGCAGAATCATTACATGAAGGATTATATGGTGAGGAGTCAGTTTGAGAGTTTGGAGGCGCCCACGAGGGAGGAGGGGGATGTGTTGAGTGTGGATGCTAGTGGGTCGAGTGCGGAGGTGCAAAGGTTGGCGTTGGGCGTGGTGGATAAGGTGATGCAGGCGGATGCGTGAGGTTGAAGGGGAATTTTTTTGCCTTTCTTGTGGCGTTCTGAGAAGGGAGAGGGTATACCATCGGCGCGGGAATCTGCTCGTGTATTATTTCAATAACTTTGAAGGGGTTTGCTAAGATCAATCACCTCCAAACAAACCTAAGCCTTACTGAAAGCCTCCTCCACAATTTCAGCCAACTCGCCCAAAGTGTCCACCTTCAACTTATACCCAAACCTCTCCTGAGGATTCTCCACCGCATCAGGATTGCCCATGATGCCCTTTCGATCCACCCACACTGACTGCAACCCAAGTTGCTTCGCGGGGCCATGGTCGTGGAACAAGCTCTGCGCCACATGGACCAGCTGATCCTTCTCCACCCCAAAGTCCGACTTGACATGCTCTAACAGGTAGTGGAAATTCTTGAGGTCAGGCTTATACGAGCCAATATCCTCGGCCGTATAAATCGCATCAAAGTCGATCCCCTTCAACGGCCCATCAAGCGTGACCTGGAAAGACTGCTTATCAACATTCGAAAGCGGAATGAGTTTGTAACGCTTCCCCAATTTCTGGACCCCGGCGACAGTATCCTCGAACGCGGGATACGTTCCAATCTTGCCGCCGTACGACTTCACGGCGTCTTCGATTTGGTCCTGGGTGAGGTGGCCGTTCTCGACGACTTTGAGCTCCTTGGCGTAGCGACGGAGGCCCTCTGCGATGATGTCTCGCTGCTTCCAGGTGGGGTATTCTCTCTGCACTGTCGTGTCGTGGCGTTCGATGGAGAGCATCAGTTCGCGGTGGTCTTTGGGGAGGTAAGGGCCTAGTGCTGTGGCGCGGGCGGCTTTGGCGATGCCGTTTTCCCAATCCGTGAATGTGCCGTAGATGTCGAAGGAGAGGGCTTTGATTTGGGTCCAGGGGATTGAGTTTGCCATTTTGGTTGAAAGTCCGGGTGCTTGAGATGCGAGGTTTGAAGAGGGAAGGGAGAGATTCTTATGTTAAAAGCTGAGTCTTTACCATGTACGAATTTCCAGAGCTCTGAGCACCTGCTATCATCCATGAGCTTGGCTCTTAGCATTCGCTTTTAGGAAAGCAAAAGGCGTGCAAGTGGGGCGGCGGGGTCCTCCCATGGGTTCTCGCCGAAGACACAGCAGGGTGAGTTCTTGCTGTGCCACATGTTGGCGGGATGCCATCGAATGAATGGGTGACTGCGCGCATATGTAGAGGATGTAGAAGGGCAGAGAGAAGACAGAAAGGCAGTGGCAGGGCGTAGGATCGATGTACTGCGAATAACTCTACGCTAGTGAGATGGGCTGTAAGAGACGGAGCTAGTGAACTTAATGCTCACCTTACTGCACCTTTTTGCAGGCCTATCGTGACTTTCTTTGTGATCGTTTTATGACAAGAGGAATGAATACAGGAGCTTTCAGCAGCAATTCGCAGAACTCGCTTCTTACGTACGCCTCCCGAAGTCCTTCATTGATCTAGTTGTAACAAAAGAGATACAAAGCCAAACCGTGCTTGCCGGCATTGCATCGAGGCCATGTAGATATTTATATTGTATCGCATGTCGCACCCCCAAAAAGCAGCAGACCGTCTTCAAGTAGCCACAACCCGTAGACCGTCCTCGAAGTAGGACATATCTTGTTCAGCAGAAGCAGTCACCTTAGTCAACACCTCTGACAGGAAGAAGGTCGCCTCAGGCCCGGCACCTTTCAGTTCGGATACAATATAGCCTGTGATGCCTTCGAGGAAATTTTCCGACGTCAATGTTGTTGAGCTCATCAATGGGCACTGACAGCACCGATCACGTAGTCTTGTCGCCTTCGCCATAGTCTTCTGCGTCTTCGATGGGTTGGCGGCTTGTGACAGATGGGTCTTGAGCTGCCGCCGATGGAGCTCTCCTCACGCGAGTCGTGGATGTCGTTCTGACGATCGCAGTGTGTCGTTTTTCCGCTTCTGTCACAGCGTGGAGTTGGCCGCTTTCATAGTCTAGGCTTCTTCCTGCAGTCTGAAGATATCGTTTCCAGCTGTCACCTTGGCCGTTTGGGCCCCCGTCTTCGTGTCCATCAGCGTTGGGAGGCTCTCCGCCAGAATCACCACCATGATCATTGCCGGAAGTGTCGTCGTATTCGTTGGCTCCATTATCATTGTAGCCATGACTGGATTCGCCGTTCTGATGGTTGTAATCTGTGGATGTGTCATGCTGATTCCCTTCATCGTAGTTACTGTTCATAGATCCACCATGCTGGTCTCCGCCTTGACCATACCCACAACCTTGAGACCCACCTTTCTGATTGGCGTTATGTCCTGCAGGCTGATTGTGGCTGTACTGTCCTGGCTGATTGTCGTTATACCCACCACCTCCCTGATTCTGACCATACTGGCCTCCAGAATTCGGAAGAGGGTTCGATCGAACGCAATCCTGCTTCTGCGAATCCCAGTCTGTACCAGGCGGGCACGCTATATTTCCCTTGTAGCCAGGTTCCGGTTGACACTTCTGCACATGCTTGTCCCAGTATTGACCCTTTTGACAATTCTTGAACTTGACGTAGCTAGGGTCGTTCTTGCATTTGCGTGTCGCCGCATTGAGGATTTGGCCTGTCTGGCAGCCTTTGTACTTGTCATTGTTTTGGTTCTTCGTCCACCATCGAGGGGACAAGCTTCTGTCCTTTACTGGATGGTGTTCTGACCCGGAGGTGCGATGCTCTTTGCCATAGTCACTGCCAGATCCATCACCAGATTCGTAGCCGGAGTCATAGCCCGGGTCAGAGCCAGGTTCGTTGCTTCCAGTGTCGCCGTATCTAGCATTGGATCCCTCGCTGTCTGGATCGCTTTGCGAACCACCTTCACCCGAGGAGCCTTCCTGTTGACCACCTCCCATACTACCATCATGCTGATATCCCTCGCCGTTTTGTTGTGATGGATTCTGATTGCCATGGATGTTGTCGCCACCACCATTAGCGTCCGAGTATGTTCCATGTTGGCCACTTGAACCGCCGACGTCGCCGCCATTTTTTCCATGCTCGTCTCCACCAGCACCGTTGGAGCTGCCAGGTTGGCCTGAACTGCTCGGCATGGCATCTTGAGAGGGCGTTGCGCTTGGGTTCGGGCCAGCCTTCGGACTTGAAGCAACGCATTCCACCCACATGCGCAGTTTGTTCTTCCTACAGCACTGTATCTTCTTAGCGACGAACTCTTGAGGAGCAACGCAGGCATCTTTGTGGTAACCGGCGATAGGCTGGCATTTGTTCTTTTTCTTGTCAAATTGATGCCCTTTCTGGCAAGTCTTGTTCTTCTTCCCGAATACGAATATTGGTGATCGTCGGATCATGGGAGGAGCAGATTGAAAAATTCCAACCTCACCGGCAGTAAATCTTCCTGAAAGTGCTTCGGAGGGCGTAGGAGTCGAATTCAAGTTAGCACCGTTGGCCAAAATCGTGCAATTCGATGTATGAACATTCTTGCCGCCAGAGACTTTTGCGTGACCCGTTCTCATAGCCATTACGCCCGTTCCGACGCGGCCAGACGCAGAGAGTCTATTGTTGTCGGTGGAGTTGGGGTACGGGTACATAGGCGTATCGCCGTCAGCTTTATTGGCAATAGTACCCACAACAGCTTCACCGGTAGCCTTTGCTTCGCGTGGAGCCTCGGTGGTGGTGGACGTGGACTCCTGAGCCACGCTTGATGTCGATGAGGTCCCTGGATCAGCTTCATCGCTGCCATCAGCTAACTCTTCTGGTCCGGGTGCAAACTGGGTAGGCCCTATGCGATTATCTCCTGTAGCCAGGTCGTCAGACCGAGCGAGCTTGGAGGGGCTATCGGTCTCAGAGGCTGCAGATTTGGTTGAATAGATGGTCGTAGAGGTCGACAGAATTGGGCCAGAGTCTGGGAGCACGAGATTGCCGGAGGCGTGGGATCGACTGGACAGCTCCATACGCGCGATCTGCATTACTGTTAGCGAAACGCGCAGCTTTACCTTGAGAAATGCTCACATTGATCGAATTCTCATCTCTCCCATGCCGGCCCTGCTGCGGCGCACCAGGCTTGGAACCCTTCTGCACGCCGGGCTTCGAGTCTTTCGACGACCCCGACTTTGCGCCTTGCTGTCCACCACGTTCAGGAGGCGGGCCGTCCATGCCCTGGTCTTCATGGAGATCCTACATTGTCAAATCGACATATCAAAGTCGATGACGGAACCGTTGACTCACAAGCTTGACGTCCTTCGGACAATCCTTCGACAGCATGTTTCCTCTTGGCTGAGGACCTGGCGGTTTGGCGCTGACCAGGAGCGCCGCCAGCGCAATGCTCGAAAGTATGATGCCCCTCATGGCGAACGCACCGTTTCGAGGCTGAAGTAGTAGTAGCTCAAACCGCAATGGGGGCGATCCTGAGGTTGAAAGTGCTTCTGTAGTAGCTCGAAGCCTCTTCACTGGCAGAGGAGGATTGAACAGAGCTTCGAGCAATGAATCCAAATCTGGGTATTACCAAAACCAAAGGTGGAGCTTGATGTGTTCGACGGTGGTAGTTGAAAGTGGCAGTTGTGGCTGGAAGGAAAGCATGGAACGAAGGTCGAAGAAGAGTTTGATATAGAGCAGTCTCATGTTCATGCGCTGTCACCGGGGAAACCCATGTCGTGCCAAATGACAGCCCGACCTTGCTGTCCTTCTGTGTTGGGAGGTTGGATGAGCATTTTGGCATGCGCTGGCCAGAGCATGGCAGATGGGACTGATCATTTGATTGCCGCGTGAGTCGTGAAGTGTGCCCAATTGGTCAGACAAAGTGCTGCTGAACTAAATCGAGGCTGATGGGGGCAAGTTGTCGACGTGGACGGAGTTTCCCCACTCCAACATGACCTGTATAATTTATATGGTGATATGGAATCGAGTTGCATGTTCCGCCATCCCGCGCACACGATCGTTCAACCCTGCCATGCATTAGCCCAACCCCCAAGAAAAAGTCCTTTATCTTCACGTGCACAGTCTTCGCATTGCTCAGACTTGCCTTTTCTATGTGGTCAGCGATGACCAAGGCCTATCCACTGCCCAACCACAACCGAAGAGGGCTAGATCAGAGGAGTATCAAGAGACCCGGCACCTCCCCAGTATCTGAGACGAGACCAAGAAAAGTCTCATCCCATCATCACCGCGATTGAAACAAGGAAAGTTTGATAAGACTCACCAAGAGTTTCTGTCAGTCACGAAAGCAGAGTCGTGCCTTTTGTCTTGCCAGTCTCCATTTTTGCGGTGCGAGCACCGAATTGAATCTACAAATGTCAGCAGGCCATCCAAAATTCCAACGTAAGTGTTCACTCACAGCTCGCTTCTTCTCTTTAGCCACTTGTTTCATTCCGAGCCTCAGAGCTAGACATCTCAGGACCTTTTTTCCATGTTCGATGTGCTTCGAGCCGTCGGCATCGCTTTGGTCACCATCGTCCGTTGCGACTGCTCCAAAATCACACTTGTCGGTGACTGTTATTGAGAGTGCCCAACCCACAATATCCTCGTCCAGAAATGGGAATCGCACCTCCCTGCTCCAGTGGCTGATGACTCGATCGTCGCGGCCAAGATTTCGCTTTCCAAGCCGGCCAATGTCGAGGTCGAGCTCATCCAATAGTCCAGGAAAGCCGTTTCGATTGTATGCTGTCGCATGACGGGTGTATCCTGCAAACAGCTCATCTGCGCCAAGGCCAGAGAGTAGAACACGAGCAGACGTGGTGTATTGGGCGGTTTGGCTTTTCCCTTCCACCTCCAGATGTCCAGTTCCTCGGGCGGCAAAGTAAAGAGCATACGCTATGCTCAGATCCATTTCTGTATTGTGCGGATGCATCAATGTAATGACTTGCTGGCGGTGATTCTGCGTCTCACTGTACGGAATATTAATAGCAACAAGACGCCATTCGCGGTCAGGACAGACACTGCAAAGCTCAGCATACGACGCACGAGCAGTAATTCGGTCTGGACACAGCTCGTAAGATGCCTCGCCTTTGGCTTTGTGAACTCGTGGGTTCTCGAACGCGACATTCAAAAGGTCGATCGGCTCGGAGACTGGAAGCAGATCATGTGTCAAGCGGGCCAGCACTGTACAGTCCAGTCCGCCCGAGAACAGAATTGCAAGTCGCGCTCTGGTCAGAGCCGTGTCCGTGCCTGGCCGATTTGGAGGGTCTGGTATAGCTTGTACGCGAGGGCGCAGTGAATCGATGAGCAATTTCTCCAGGCGTGAGACCGATGGCGACTGCTCTGTGAGGTGTTCAGGTGCTTTTGCTATTTCTCGATTCAAGGAGAGTTGGGGTATCACCTACCTGCCATGAGCTCAGACACTCATGGCGCATGCTGGAGACCTACTGATATGTTTTCACCAGGTGTCGAACTATGGACCGTGTGTGGAGCGTTTGCAACGAAATGCTCGCCCCATTTGTGAAACGCGTCTTCATGCGTATCGCGGCTGTAGGACCTCTTGGATAGGTCAATGCAGTACACGCCGTCTGCCTCCACTTCGGACCAGCTGTTGTCTATGGTTCCGTCGGTAACACTGCTCAACAAAAGGTCACCTTCTTCGGTGATTCGGTGAAGTAGTGACCGACGACCAAGGAAATCGCGGCCAAAGAACAGCCTGTGTGACACGGCATGGTGGAAGACAAATGCGTAGGGACCTGCAACTTGAGAAATTGCGCGGGAAATAGATTGTGTGGCATAGAGAAGCTCCTCATGCGCATCCATGACCGGAACAGGCTGTCGGGCAGCTTTTTCTAGGATGTCGAAAACATGCGCTGTGTCGTTGCCATCGGGTTGTGCGCCGGCGATGCTCCATGCTTCGCCATTCCAGCAGATAGTGGACCCGGACGATGAACGCCTGAATGGCTGGCTGACCGTTACTTGTCCACGAAGAGATAGGACGGTCGAGCAGAGTGTGGTGAATGCCCCAGGCACCCCATCCGGACTGTCTTCAGGCGAGATGTAGACAACATTCGACGCATCCGGTCCACGAGCATCCAGCAGGCCTTGAACTTCTCTTGACGGCAAGATATGGCAATGTCTGCTCACTGAGCAGAATATGCCACACATGTGGTGTTGGACAGTTGATGTTGATGTGGATTGAAGGAGTGAGGTCGCGATTTCGTCTCCGATTTGATCTGACGTCTGCCGCTACGGGAATAGCCGCTGCACGAGCCACGAGACACGATCGTCACTCGCCGGCAGCTAAAGGCCGCGAGTCAGTTGAACAACCCAACATCCTGAGAGCTGTGTCTTGGTCGCCCTGCAACGGCATTCTGCTCAACTTCCGATCGAGGAGAGTCAGTATATCGAAACGGCATGCCGGACTACATCAGACGAACTACGAACAAATCGATTGAAACACTGCACGAGCTTCGTCTATGTCCGAGCCCAACGGACCCCAGGACCAGCCGACTGCAGAGCAACATGAACCTTTAGCACCCCCAAAGCCTGAGATCTCCCGGGGGTTGTCGGACCAGTTTGCTTTACCTGCAGAGTCAGGAGTCGTGGAAGATAAGAATGAAGAGGAGAATACGCTGGCGAGGGAGACAGCGGTAGTGTCTCCAGTGAACGATGAGCAGCAACATGACATAAGTACCGATGCTTTGAATGAGGCGCAGAGTGCGTCTGGACCTGGTCAAGAAGATGGAGATCATGAAACTTTGGCGAGGGACATTGAGCGGAGGGCCAGCGAACATTTGGCCAGGCGAGCTGCTGAAATGACGCTCAGCGAAGACACCACAGACTCGAATAACGCACCTGCTACTACTTCATCGGACACTAAACACGAATTACCGGAAACGCCTCCTCCGCCCATGCCACCACGAAAAGACAAGGCTCCCGTTCGGCAAGAGCCTGCGGAAGAATTCGACGAGAAACATCCACCCACGGCACGCGAAGATGCAACAAATGACATACCAGAACTCCCTCAAGGAGCCACAGAGGCCACAGGCACTGAGATTCAGAACATCATGGATCAGTTTTCGAATGGTATGGGTGGGCCGGGTGTAGAGGAAATCATGTCACCGCGACTGGAGAAACAGCAGCCCATGCTAGTGCTCCCGCCACGCTCGTCCAGCTTGGAACCACAGGCCAACTTCACTCTCAGCCCGCAGAACACAGGCCAGAGCACTACCTCGCCGCTTAGTCCTCAAGGAACTGGTAACTCGATCGCATCGAGCGTGAATCGAGTCAAGTCTGCGGATCAGGAGTCGATCATTAGCAGTAAGGCTGGGTCTATTCATCAACCTCCTCCGCCTTCACCTGATCCAGAGCCATCACTGCCGTTTGACTTTCATCGATTTCTGGAGCAGCTACGGCATCGCACTGCCGATCCTGTAGCCCGCTTCTTGCGATCGTTCCTGAATGAATTCGCAAAGAAGCAGTGGATGGTTCATGAGCAGGTCAAGATAATATCGGACTTTCTCGAATTCATTGCCAAGAAGATGGCGCAATGTGAGGTCTGGCGGACGGTCTCCGACGCTGAATTTGATAATGCTCGCGAAGGTATGGAGAAACTAGTGATGAATCGACTATATTCGCAGACCTTCTCCCCCGCGATACCGTCCGCTCAATCAAGCCCTCGCAAGGGCACCAGGGGTGGACGGTCTGCGGCAGATCAGGCAAATCCACATGGACCGGGGCGACGAGGTCAGCACCAAGAAGATGTTGAACGCGACGACGTGATTGCCCAGAAGATGAAGATTTACGGATGGATCAATGAGGAGCATCTGGACATCAAGCCGATCGGAGAGAAAGGCAAGAAATTCCTCGGCCTTGCCCAGCAAGAGCTGCTGAAGATCAACACCTACCGAGCACCTAGAGACAAAGTGATCTGCGTATTGAATTGCTGCAAGGTCATCTTTGGGTTCTTGAGAAACACCAAGTCGGATCAGTCTGCAGATGCATTCGTGCCACTGCTCATATATACAGTTCTACGCGCGCGGCCAGACCACCTGGTGAGCAATGTTCAGTACATCTGGAGATTCCGGAATCAGGACAAGCTCGGTGGCGAGGCAGGGTACTACATGTCGTCTCTCATGGGCGTGGTCACCTTTGTCGAGAATTTGGATCGCACCACATTGACCATCACGGACGAGGAGTTCGAGAGGAACGTAGAGCAGGCGGTGAGCGCAATCGCTGAGAAGAACAGATCAGAAGAATATGAGGACAAGACACACTCTGCTGCAGCCGCTGGGCCTATGCAGCACCTGAGCGAGAAGAGTGCTTTGAGTAGAGCGGAAGTGACTCCACGAAACAGTATGGATGCAGAGCACGCAAGTCCAAGACGCAACCCAAGCCAAAGACTCAGCGAAAAGGTTGCACCAAGCAACAATGACGAAGATGATGGAGATGCTGTTGCTGGGCTTCTACGAACCATTCAGAAACCTCTCAGCAGCATAGGGCGGATCTTTTCAGACGATCCTTCGAACGAGAAACCGCCGAGCTCAAGGCCGGCAAGCACAACACCGAGAGGTCTCAGTCCTGCACCGCGACTAGATCGGCGGCCGAGTGGGAGTGGGCAGGGTAGTCAACGACCATCTGCTGAAAGACAGCGAAGTCAGCAGCAGGTGAATGCGGCCGAGGATGCGGCAGCTCGACAGGCGAGTGTAGAAGTTGCGCAGGCGCAGAGAGTCAGGGCACAAGAGCATCGGGTTGTTGTTGAGTAAGTGTGGACAAAATGACTAACCGATCTGCTTGCTAACACGGACTACAGAACTCTTCAGAGCATGTTCCCAAATCTCGATAAGGAGGTAATTGAAGATGTGGTTCGGGCGCAAGAAGGCAATGTCGGTAGAGCGGTGGATGCCTGTTTGGCAATGAGCGGTTGATGAAGTTCCACGGCTTAGTTGATACAAGACCAAACAGAGACCATGAGAAGTGTAGTGAACAATGCAGCGAGAACGTGTAGATAATGTCTACTGAATCGTCGTGATCAGACGGCCTTTTGAGAGATCTTTGACGATTGTATTCATTCACTTCGTTTAGCATTGATCGAGGCCCAGACAAGAAACATTCTTGACTCGACTAGCACAAACCTTCGTCCTCTCTCCACACATAGCCACACCCACGTTTCCCGCCAACGTCCGAGGCGTTTCTGGCTCCCTCGCTGACCTGATGCGGCGAGGTCACAGGCGCCCGTCTTCACACTACTGACCACATACATACCTCTGCCACAACAATACCGCGACGGCAGATTTCTGCGCGCACCACCACGAGCCGAGACAGACCATCCTTGCGTTCCACAAAAGGCCCACGAGTCTGATCTCTTCCCCGGCCCCACGGCGAGCGCTGGGGCGCACTCACCAACGTCACCATTGCTGGCCCTTGAAGTCTTTTCGGTTTGGAGGGCAAGATGGTGGTCAACGAGACGCGGAAGCGCCTGTTGCGGCAGTTGAACAGCAGGTACATCTATGGGCGATATGTATGTGTGGCACGGCCTCTTCTTTGTTTGCCTTGGCGGTCAAGAGTTGGAGCGAATGTGATGGAAAGAGCACGTGAGAAGACATGCGTCCGGTCTCTTGGGGTGAAGTTTTGAAGGGCAAACAGACGTGCTGACTTGCGTTGCGACTTGCAGCCACTCCTACACGCTATCATCGCCCTGCTACAAATCACCATGGTCTCGATACTCGTGCGCAAGTTCAATGCCTACTATGCGAACCGACCTATCCTCACAACGATGATCACCAACGCGGTATGACATCCCTCCACCCTCCCGCACGATGCGCCCATGGCTGACGAGATGGATTGAACAGGTACTTGGTGGCATCGCCGACACAGTCGCACAAACCCTAACCGCCGTGCGCATGCGCCAACGCCAAAAAGTCCTTAACGGCGAGACCAACCAGAAAGATGACTTCATGTCAATCGAGATACACGAGCTGGATAAGAAGGTGCCGTGGCCAGCAGAGGATCAATCGCTGCCGCCCTCCAAGCGTGGTCCACCACCGTTCGACTTCGAGCGTCTCACCCGCTTCATGGCATACGGTTTTATGATGGCCCCCGTGCAGCACAAGTGGTTTGGGTTCTTGAGTAGGATCTTCCCCATAGAAGGCGGCAAGGGAACAGTCAATGCGCTCAGGAGGGTGGCGTTCGATCAGTTCCTGTTTGCGCCAGTGGGTCTGGCGGCGTTCTTCACATTCATGACGGTCGCAGAGGGTGGTGGGCGGAGAGCGGTGATGAAGAAGTTCCAGGACGTCTATCTGCCAGCGCTCAAGGCCAACTTCTTGGTCTGGCCTTTGGTGCAGGTGCTCAACTTCCGTGTGATACCGATCCAGTTTCAGATCGTAAGTGGAGAACGTCAACAAGACTGTCCGTTACAATTGCTAACATTCAATCGCAGCCCTTCGTCTCCACGATCGGTATTTTTTGGACGGCGTATCTCTCACTCACCAACTCATCGGACGAGCCGGTCGCGAGCAGAGAGAACTCGCCTTCACCAGCGTAGACATTTTGCGGCATCGAAGAACGAAACGAACGGCTGTTTACCTAGCATACTTGCATCTCTGAGGGTCGGGCATATTCGGGGTTTGGTGCTCTAGCTCGGCGTCTATCGGAAAGGACAGGATGGGAGTTATATGGAGTTAAAGGACTGGACTGGATAGGAGAATAGGCGCTTTACTAGTCGTACAGCCTCGGGCGAACGAGGGGCGGCAGCTGTATGTTACGTTTTGCTGAAATCCTACGAAATTGGTACTTAACACTGCAATCTCCATCACTGTCAGTTGGTCTCTCTATTTCGATCACAAGCCGACCTCTGTCTGCACGAGCTCAACAAAGCTGCGTCACTCAGGTCCGAGGAACGCCGTGAGAAAATCGCAGAGCCAGCCCAAAGCATTGAACCCCACCACCCCACCAAGACTTTGTTCTCTCGACCACAGCGACAACAACCACGACATTCAGACGAGCAACACTCACATCACTGCACTTGTTGAAATTGAGAACCGTCAACATGTCTCTCACTAAGAAGCTCGCCATCACCGACGTCGACGTCAAGGACAAGCGCGTCCTGATTCGGGTGAGTAACGGCAAACAGACCACCGTCAATTGGAGGGATACATACTGAAGGAGAGGCTTGCAGGTCGACTTCAACGTTCCCCTCGACAAGGAGACCAACTCCAAGATCACCAACAACCAGCGCATCGTCGGCGCCCTCCCCACCATCAAGTACGCCAGAGACAATGGCGCCAAGGCAGTCGTCCTCATGTCCCACCTCGGCCGTCCTGACGGCAAGCCCAACTCAAAGTACTCCCTGAAGCCAGTCGTCGCCGAGCTCGAGAAGTTGTTGGGCACAAAGGTGACCTTCACCGAAGACTGCGTAGGCCCAGAGGTTGAGAAGGTCGTCAACAGCCAAACCAACGGCGGCGTTGTACTCCTCGAGAACTTGCGATTCCATGCTGAAGAGGAGGGCTCGAGCAAAGACAAGGACGGCAACAAGGTCAAGGCTGACAAGGCCGATGTGGAGAAGTTCCGCAAGGGCTTGACTGCGCTGGGAGATATCTACATCAACGACGCGTTCGGCACTGCACACCGTGCTCACAGCTCGATGGTCGGTGTGGATCTTCCACAGAAGGCTTCCGGGTTCCTCGTCAAGAAGGAGTTGGAGTACTTCGCCAAGGCGCTCGAGAACCCACAGCGTCCATTCCTCGCTATTCTTGGTGGTGCCAAGGTCTCGGACAAGATTCAGCTGATCGAGAACATGCTTGACAAGGTCAACAGCTTGATCATCTGCGGTGGCATGGCTTTCACTTTCAAGAAGGTCCTCGACAACATGGCTATTGGCAACTCCCTCTTCGACGAGGCCGGCAGCAAGAAGGTCCAGGAATTGGTTGAGAAGGCCAAGAGCAAGAACGTCAAGATCACTCTCCCGATCGACTACATCACGGCCGACAAGTTCGCTGCGGATGCCAACACTGGCTACGCCGAGGACAAGGACGGCATTAAAGATGGTTGGATGGGTCTCGACTGCGGCGACAAGAGTATCGCACTTTACAAGGAGGCCATCGACGATGCCAAGACGATCCTGTGGAACGGACCTCCTGGTGTGTTCGAGATGGAGAAGTTCGCCAAGGGTACGAGGGCGACTATGGACGCTGCAGTTGAGGCTGCACAGAAGGGCAAGATTGTCATCATCGGCGGTGGTGACACTGCGACTGTGGCCGCACAGTACGGTGTTGAGGACAAGCTTAGCCATGTCAGCACCGGAGGTGGTGCCAGCTTGGAGCTGCTCGAGGGCAAGGACCTGCCTGGTGTGAGCGCGCTGAGCGAGAAGTCATGAATGCATGATGGCAGCGCGGCGAGATTGTAGCAGCAGCGTCTTCTCATTCATGATGGCTGCTTTTCTGATTTCATGAGGCTAGAGACGTTCGATAGCACCCATAACGGATAGTTCATCAGCTCAAACAGCAGTAGCTGACTTGTACTCCGATGCTTCTTCCACTTCGTTTGCCCGCCTTGATCCGCATGTCTCACTGCATTAAGCAGTTATATCTCTTCCTCATGCGCCGCAACGCCATCGCTGATGCCCATGCTGAGTGTCCCTCGATTCCCATGTCCCTCCCACGTATCCCATCATACCATGCTCTTGTCCACTCAAGTTCATGACTTTCCCATCTTCTTCAGTTCCTCCCTACAACAAGCCGTTAGTACTCCATGGTTATGGGTGGTTAGAGGGGAGAGAGAGAGATGTACTTCAGCTGCACGCTAAACTCATCCGTGGTATCGTCGTCATCCCAGCTCTCCTCCCAGAGATGCGAGCTGCCGTTGGTTTGTGCGCCGACTTCCTCTTCTTTGGCCCAGTCTGTTCCAAAAATAATTCGTCAGCTGCAAATACACACCGTTGTACTGAAATGCATGTGATGTTTCCCTAGACTTCATCTATCCCATCTCGTGAAAAGGGTAGAGCCAATCTCTTGAACCCTGTCTTGTGTGGATTGATGGTGGATTTGTAGTGTACCTTCAACAGGAAAATCCTCAAACTCATCGTCCTCCTCGAGCTGCGCGGCGGGTTTGTTCGCTTGGAGCGGTTTCGAGGTGTCTTTGTTGTCGGAGACGGTGGCTTGTTTGGTGGCGGCGTCGCCTGCTGCTGCGCCGGACATTTTGGGATTTGTGTTATGAGGTTTTTAGAGGGCTCGTCGGGTTGTTGATAAGCGAGTTGCTTTTGGGATGTGGGTGAGTTGTTGGTTGTGATGGTGATACTCGTTGCTTGGTGGCCGTAGAGGTGTACGTGAGGTCGAAACCGGGGAAGGTCTGCCGAGGGGTGTGGTTGATGCCACGCAAGGTTGGCTTCCTTTGCTTAGGGACTTTCTTTAACTCTCTTTACTCCCTTGTTCAATACACTCAGATCGACTGAAGGATAGTTCTCGACAAGACAATCTCGATACGATGAATTCATGAACTGCAAACGGCCATGAGCGCGACACTGCTCAGCAATGAGCTGTCCAACCTCTCTTCAGAAGCCAAGCGGAAGAATGGCGATTTACGAGCGGCGGCAGATAAGTCGTTGCAGGAGCTCAAGTCGCTGCCGACGACTTCGGAGCAGCAGTTAGCAGCTGGTATAGTAGAATTCATTCAAGATTGCATGGAAGCTTTTGCTGATTGAGAAGAGATCTAAGTCGTCGTCCGGCCTTTATTGAGCCGTTTGTGATTGCTTGCAAGACGAGGAATGCCAAATTCGCCGGGAGTGGTATGTTTAGAAAGGGGCTAAATAGCAGAATCTGTGTCTCATGCTATGGATCAGGAATCGCCTGCCTACAAAGACTGGTCATATCGAAAGGACTCCCCAAATCACGACTCAACGATGCCCTCGAAGCATTCAACTCCTGCACCGATCTGGGTCTGGACGTACAGCTGAAGATTCTCCAAGCCTTACCTTCGTTACTCCAGAACTATGCCGCGGACCTGGAGGGAGATCTCCTGAGCGGTGCCCTGCAAGTATGTTCTTCACTCACTGCAGCAAAGGTTTCCACAGTAAGCGGTGTAGCGTCAGCTACGTTACAACAGCTCGTTACCACAGTGTTCGAGAAAGTGGCCACAGAAGATCGAGATGCAGATGCGATAGGCAAGACGACTGAAGTACCTGGCGACGACGGGCCTCTCCATCTTCGGCCTGCAGCATTCGATGCTTACAGAGTCTTTCGAGATCTTGCGCTGGCAGCAGATGAACGAAGAACAAAATTCGTCCAGTTCACCTCGTTATCGGTCGACTCCAGTCTGGAACTCATCTGGTCATGCATCGATTCGAACTCGGAGCTGTTCAAAGCTCATGACGAGCTCATGTCAATCATCGGGGCAAATGTCTTCCCAATCGTTGTGAGAGCGCTATCTGAGAGGCTCCCTTTTTCCGTGACTGTCAGATCTATCCGCATTCTGGACTTGGTGTTGGACAGGTACATGTCAACATTTCCGGGGGATTGCGAGGTGGCCTTGAGTCTTTGCACTCAAGTACTCGAGCCGGATGCTTCACCTGCATGGAAACGTGCCTTGGTCATGGAAATTCTCAGAGACTTCTTTGCGGACAGCAACCATGTGGTTGATGCGTATACCCTGTACGACCACCGTGAAAGTGGAAAACCTATCGTTCAAGATATCATGTCGACATTTGTACGATTGTCTACAGAGAAGCCCAGCGCCATCGGTCTAAGCCAGCAGTCAACGGCTCCAACCGGTCCGTCTGAACGGAAAGACAATACCACCGATCAGGCTACTCTGGAAGCTGCTGGCGGTATGGCAGGCGTTATCAGCTCAGCACTGGGGGTCGTGGAGACTAATGTTGCTGGTATAAGCTCTCAATGGAGCCTGCCGAAACTCGCCACCATGGAGCAGTTGGACAAAAGCGATCCTCCAACTATCCCCGAGACATACCTCTACGCTTTGGTACTGGAGTGTTTAAATGGCCTTTCAGACAGTCTCGCCAGGATTGTGCTTCCACTGACAGTTCAGCACGAAAGGAACAGATCAAAAACCAACGGCACATCGGACTCAAATGGTTCAGGACGCAAGAGGTCGACTTCTTTCCGCACCCAGGCCGTTCCCATCAATCCTCTCGAAGCAGAGAGTGCCCCATATGCTTCCAAGGTCAAAGCTGTTGCGAGCTTGGTTGATTCTTGTTGGCCTGCGGTACTTGCTACCGCATCGACATTCCTCAATGCAGCCCTCGACGATCAGTACTTTCGCAATTTGATCAAGGCCTACCAACGATTCGCGCAAGTTGCAGGCTTGCTACGACTCAACACGCCACGGGATGCACTCATGACGACCTTGTCAAAAGCCGCAGTACCTCCACACGTCCTCAATGCTGCTACTGCCGACCCTGTCCGGTCACCAGCAACGGAGAGTCCGCGTGTGTTCTCGAACCCGAAGATGATGCTGAGCGTCGACAGTCTGGTCTCTCAAGCGACGTCAATGTCTCTAGACAGGAAAGAGGTGGCAAAGCCGATTTTGACAGTGCGCAATCTGCTATGTCTTCGAGCCTTGCTGAACCTAGCTATTGCTCTTGGTCCGACCCTTGATTCTGCATTCGCGGTGATTGTGAACGCTCTGAAGCAGGCGGACATCGTCTTGAGCACAACCACACCCAGAGAGATGACTCGGCAGAGCTCGATGTCTGGGAGACAAGCCGACGAGGCGTCCGTCGTGCAGGCCTTCAGCTCAGAGGTTGCGGCGGTCGAGGCTGCTGCCTCTCGCCTGCTGGAGAGCACCGCAGACTACCCAAACGATGCATTCATGACAGTCCTGACGACCTTCTCCCAACTGCTGCATACGAAGCCTCCAGAGCTACCTTCACCTTCGTCGTCGTCTCCACGACTTGAGCAATCGCCTTCGCCTCCAGCAACGCCCATGTCTATTGGCCGAAGGACACTGTCAGGTCTACCCGGTATCAGCACATTCGCTGAAATGCAGGCAAGAGACTACCACTTCGTCATTCCCAAGCTTGGGACTTTGGCTGAATTGAACGTGTCTCGTTTCACAGGCGAAGACGCGGCGACCAGCGGTTGGACGATCCTCGTTGACGAACTTACCGCCGTGGCGAGAACGAACGACTCACCAAGAGATGCTCGGCGAAGCGCTACTAACGTGCTGGTGAAGCTGTCAGAAGCAACTACAGCAGATGTCATGAAAGAAGAACCTGATGATAGGGCAGTCGCTCAACGTCGAGCTCTCACAGTATTGCTTCGTCTCATCGACGAGATCTACCTTGAAGACAGTGACCTCACGACAGCTGATCTGGAGGTGCAGCATCACGTACTGGAGTCCTTGCGAGCAATTCTGGAACGCTGTGGTGACTCGCTCGTGGCTGGCTGGAACAGGATCGTGGCCATCATCAGCAGTGCCTTTGAACACGAGGGCGCAACGACCCACGGCAGCGACGATGATGAGGTCAACATCAATTGGAACGAGGTGTCGTTCGAGCTGGTGTCGGTACAGATTGGGCGGATTGCGTTCTCGGCGACCCAGCTCGTCTGTTCAGACTTCATGGGAGCCCTGCCAATGCAGGTTGTTCCCTCCCTGATCGAACTGCTCCATCGATTCATGTGCCAGACAGAGGATCTGAACGCTTCACTCACGACAGTTACCATGGCATGGAATGTTTCAGACATCATCTTTGACGAGATCTCAGACGATGAGCTTGCCAAATTTCTTCGAGAAGCGCAGGAGTTCGACGACCTGGAAGCCGATCTTCAGCCTAAATTGAAGCAGTCAAAGCCAGCTCAATGGCTTCTTCTCTTACTTCGGCTTCGAGATGTTACGACTCGGCCTTTGAATGATATCAGGAACGCGGCGTTTCAGACTATCTGCAACGTCTTTAAGAACCACGGCCAGGAACTACCGCCCCCTGCGTGGGACATTCTCTTGAGGAATACGCTTCTCAGCATCTCGCGCTCAGACTCTTACTTGTACTTGCAGTCGGAAGAAGATGCAAGTGAGTCAAAAGCGACGCCAGACATCGCCATGTCCAAGGCAATCATCGCGGGAAACTCCACAGTCATTGCGCAACACTTGCGTGTCATCGAGCAAGTCTCCAAACTGCCCAGTCTATGGGAGCTCTTCCTCAGCATGCTCGAGCGCTACCTCGAGATCGAAGACCACACTCTCAACACCGAAGTCTACGCCGCCCTATCCCGAGTCCTTTCAGGCATCAACCCATCAACCCAAGTCTGGAAAGGCCCGGTATACCGCACCGTCTCCCTCTGGCTGAAGGGCACACCACACCAAGCCGACACCAGCAAAAAGCACAGCAACCAGGATGCCTTCCAGGCCTACGCGGAAGTCGGCGAGGAGCTCTACCGTCTGACACGGGATACTATGAGTACCTCCCAAACGCGGACGATGATCGACAATCTGTACCAATGCGTTCGCGAGTCCGATGCGCCTCTGTACGGTGCTGATGCGACGAATCCCAGTGCTTTGCAGGCTAGAGTGCTGCAGCTGCTGAGAGGGATGAGACACGACCAGTCTAACATACCGGCCTGTCTCGTCACCGTGGCAGCGAAGCTTTCGGCGCTACACCATGAGACTAGCGATGGGAGCGAAACGAACACCAAGCCAACATTCGTAGCGATCGCTTTCGAAGCGATGGGGTGGCTGCAGGAACTGGTCATCGCACACATCGCAGATCCAGAACTCCTGGACTCGGGCGCTTTGACGCAGGCGGTTCAGAGTCTCCGACAGGTCATCGCGAGCAAGTATGCGTACAGACTGGAACACAAGGGGACGCCTCTCTGGAGGGAAGCGACATCGACGGCGATCGCGCTCGCCAAACCGGTGCTCGAGCAAATTTCACCAAAATCGGATACGAACACCGTGACGAGACACGCCCTATGGACCGAATACGTCGGCATCGCGAGCGGGATCATCTCCGCTAAGGATATCCAGCTCGTCGAGGATGAAAATAAGATTTACAATGACCTCCGCTTCGATATCGAGAGTTTTCATGCTCTTCGTCAGGTCCTCATCCCGCGCTTGGGCTCCGCGGACGTGGCCGCAGAGACTCGGACGGCGTATACCCGCGCGCTCTTCACGACGTCCATCATCACGCAGCCTGAGTTCGATAGGATCCAACTGCCTGATTCCAATAACCCGCTCCAAGATATCCTGCACATCCGTCGGGGCCGCGTCAAGCATGTGACGGATTTCCGGAGGGAGGAGATGTGTTATGTTTGTTGGAGGGAACTTATTGCGTTGTCGTCTTCCTCTTCCTCCTCTGATGGTGATGGTGGTGAAAGGGGCGAGGAGAGGGAAGATGAGTACAATCTCCGCCATCGACTTGCGCAAGCTGCTGCGCCCCTCCTGATCCTTCGCCTGGCGGTTCCGCTCCGCGCGTACATTGCCGATCAGCCGCTCCGGGGACGCAGACCGCAGCCGCTGGTGGAGGTGGAGGAACTTGTGTTCGCGTTGGATGTCATCAAGAGTCTGAAGTTGGATCCGCGTGCGTTGGGAGGTGGCGAAAATGCACATGTGAGGATTTTGTATCCGCTCCTTGCGAAGGCTGTGGGGACTGCGGGGGATCGGTGGTCCGGTGATGGGGACGTTTTGGAGAGGGTGAGGGGGGTTTTGGAGGCGGTTGGCGGTGGGGAGGGGTTGTCGTTTTAGATATGGGGTAGGGTAGGGTATGAGAGGTTGTGTTCTCGTCGTTTCGTGTCCGGTTTCCTCTTTTGGGTGAGATGGCGATCCTTACGAGGCTCATGTTCAGTCCTTGTACTCCCAAGTGATGCTCTGCCCCTTGTGTACCAGAATCGTATACGTCTCCCCGTTGAAAGCCTCCGCGCTCAATGCCACCCAGTCATCCCCTGACGCTTTCAACGCCGCGAGGAAGACCTTATAGGCAAACTCAGGCGGTATTAGGCCCCTCCACCGGAATTTGCTCAGATTCTGCGTCTCAGTCTCTCCAAACGAATCGGGGACCTGATATCGTGAGAAATGTTTATCGATACCATCGTCCTTTCGAATCCGCGGGGAATTCAACATAGCGAGGGTGATCCACTCGAGGAGTTCCTCTGCGTCGGCGTAGTCCTCTTCCTTGATCCCGCCTTCGTCTGGGAATGCAGGGACGAGGACATCTTCCAATGCCGAAACTGCTGGTCGGACGTTCCTCTCCAGCGGGGCGAAGTCCTTGATCGGTACCTCAGGGTCTTGGAGAAGTGATTCAAACCCTCCAGACCTCGCGTCGACAGCGAGCCAGGTACACGTCTCGTTGAGAACATTCTCAAACGCCCAGACGATCCTTTCGAACCCCTTCTTGCCATGCACCATCGACGGTAATCTCAAATTCAGCTCCACCAAAAACCGATCCTTGACATGCTTCCTCCCCCCTGATGTCGACGTCGGCTTCCCCTGCAGGCCCACGCGCTCGTAGGTCGGTCTGTCGAGGTCGAGGGCGAGCAGGCCTTCGTGCAGGGTGAAGGTTCCGGCGTAGGGGTTGCTGGAGGGGAGGGAGAGGAGGGTCAGGGAGGCTGGGGGTGATTTTATGTAGGTTGTGAAGAAGGGGTTTGTGAGGAGGGAGGAGAGGTTGAGGTGGAGTTTTAGGTGGTGGAGGGTCCAGGGTGTGGGTGAGGCTGAGAGGGCGGTTTGGAAGGGGTTGTTTGGAGTGGTTGTTGTTGGGAGGAGGAGGGTTAGCTGAGATGGGAGTTAGTTGGGTGTTGGATTGGGTTTTACGGGGGAGGCGTACGGTGTGTGTGTATGTTTGATTCAGGATTGTTGAAAATGGCCGTTTTTTGGTTGGTGGTTGTTCGTGATTGAGGAAGTTGGAGAGTTTGGCGTTGGTGACGAGACATCTTGGTTTGGGACCGTTGTCCTTAGCAAGACCAATCATGCTGGGCGATCCCACGCTCCCCTTGCTTGTGGATCTCAACCTGAAGAGCTCATGTTGTGTCTGTACAGTCTTGGTGTTTCATGTCGACTTCTTCACGACGTTGTGAAGAAGACATCGTTGCAGTCGAATCACAAGCTCAAGGACGACGGGACGGGCCGAGTAGCTTCCAGGCTAATGCTATCGATACGCACTGACCAATGTCCGCCTGGTGCCTGGGCGCCTACATTCGATCTTGAGAGCTGCGATCGATAATTTTTGTTTCTTTTCACATCTCAACACAGTATCGACATGGAAGGAGACCAAGCACCACGAGGATCCCACCGTCTCCGACCACGAAACACTAGAAGTCAAGCCGGACCGAGCACACCCCATCGATCGAGTCGAAACGTCACCCATAACAATGGTGGCCCATCTGGAGTTGCGAGATCAACACAACAAGATGAAGAATCCATCGAAGAGGATGACCTCTGTCCAATTTGTCGTTTACTGCTCTACAGCCCAGTCAAAACAAGCTGCAACCACACCCTCTGCGCCTCCTGCATGGCACACTGGGCCGACGTGTCGCTGAGCCAACAAATGACCATCGTCGACGTCGACGAGGAACCCGTCCCTTTCAATCCGGTTTCAGGACTTGAAGCGCGCTGTCCCATGTGCCGCACACAGACTATTGCCACGCCGGATGCTGCGAGGACCGAGGCTTTGAAAGCGAAGTATCCCTCGCTTTGGGCGGAGAGGGAGGTGGAGGAGGAGGGGGAGGGGGAAATGGGAGGGATTCAGACGTTGACGGTATATGTGGGGAATCGACATAAGATGGTGGAGAGCGAGGATGCGAATCAGCATGAATGGGCGTTTTTTGTGAAGCCCAGTCGCACGGATATTGTGGAGGAGGTGCAGTTTTTGTTGGTGAGTAACAGTCTTTTCATCCTTGGATGAATTCTTACCGGGTCTCTCCAGCATCCCACGTTCCGTCCCAATCGGGTCATTCGCCAGAGAGCACCGTACGAGATCCGTCGGCTGGGTTGGGGTGTCTTCACCCTCGTGGCCTATGTCATTCTCAAAGCGGGATATTCGTGGGTGTCAGATGATGCACAAGACTCTCCTGATGGTGCGCCGAAGGGTATGCTGCCGCTAGAATGGACGTTGGACTTCAATGGGTTTGGTGGCAAGGGCAGCATGGGACGATGTAGACTCAAGGTAAAGAATGACCATCGTGAGTGGGAGGACGATGTGAGCGACGAAGAAGAGAGAGACAATGCCGAGTGGGGACGAGTGATGCGGGCGTACGAGAGGGATGGTAGGTGGGAGCCCGAGGAGGATGATGAATGATTTCGCAACAGAGCAGGATGTGGTGTTCTTCGTCAGACGTAATGTTGTGAACTCCATACATGTTTACACGTTTCTCAGTCACAGGCTGAGATGTGTCATTGTGAACATCAATGCCGTAGCTGCCTCGTTGGTATGTGCATATGTGGCTGGCAGGAGAAAAGCCTTTGCTGGGCAAAGTGTTGGCGTTCCGCTCTGATACGACCCACCATACGCGGCCAAGATTCTGGCGTCCCATGCTTCAGCGCGCTGTTCTGGTGACGAACTTGTGATGAGGAGGTGAAGTCGTGTATCGACACCAGCTGAGCTCGCTGGCCACGTTTTTGCCACGATCAACAAAGTTACTGGTCAGCCGACGGGGGGTGATCGGTTCGTCTCCGGGTGTTGGGTTGGTCTCTTTCGCTTTTGCGGGATTCCTGGACTTGCAGCGTCACCAAGTCTTGCGAGTGTGCATCAGTGCATTGTTCTTTTGCGGTGCTGGCTCCTCTCCTGATGCCTGTAAGAGCCGCCACTCGCGTCAGCGTGCGAGTTCGCACAGCATCTCAGCATGTGCTGATGAGGACGGGAGACCTGATGCTTCAAGGGGAGATAGCTGTAGCCCCTGGTATAGCAGAGCAGTGGATACCGCAACAAGCAATGCGAACGATTCGATTGGGTGCTGACGCGAAGTGCTTGGTGTTTCAAGTGACTGCTTGTGGCAAACGGATGCAGTCGCAAGAAGGTGCTGGTTTTTGCATGGAACCTCGCGGGCACCTGCAAGGAAACGGTAAGCTCCCGACGCCGAGCTTTTGCGAGCTAGCCGGCGATCATTGGTTTGGAGATCAATGTGAAGGCGAGATTTCTGGTTTAATCAGCGCCGTGGCAGAACCATGGTCGCCGAGGCCTGGGTGTCACCTTGTCAATCTCCCAGTGATTCGTGCGGTCGGCAAGGCATCGTCTTCTGAATCGTGACAATGAAGCCGTCATCAACGGGGGGATCTCCCGGCGAAGAGTCGAGGCCGCCCGATTGCAGAAGACTCCTGCAGCAGCGGAGAGCTGCCGCCGTCCCCAAAGTTTGAGATAGCTTAAAGTTCCAGGGTGGTACAGACCTCGCTTCCGCAGCAACCAGGAGACGACCTTCGCGGGCGTCAAACAATTCGAGTTTGCTGTTTGTCGACTCTTTTGATTGTGCCCAGGCGGCTCCTTGCTTGAGATATAGGTGCCGAGCGGCCAACCTTCAGACAATCGCGCCAAGATATCGAAGCGTTGCGCTAACAACGGCGGCAGGTGGATTGTGCATGGATCGCGGCGCGCGCTAGGAGGTGCACAGCCTCCCTTGGCAGCTGCTGCTACTACCACCCGACTTCACGGGCGTCAGTTGTCGAGACTGTTTTCTGATGTGAGAGCTTGCAAGACTGCGGAGGCGGAGCGCCATCAATCATCATCCATCACACGACTGCTCGTTCCCCAATTCTTCACTACTGCCAAAATCCAGTCCTTGCACGGCCAAAGCAATCAACAATCGCCACTGCCGGCCCTTTGTCCATCCTAACACAACCTCAAATCAACCTCCAGCATAGCCACGCGACGAACCTTCGATTCGCCGCCTGACCGCTGATGGGACATGCTCTAAGAGGCAACTGGCTGGCGTGCAGGTTAGCCTGAAAGAACTTGAGCAACGATTCCAGAGGGTATGGCCCCATTTATGTTATCTTCCTCCAACCAAGCTCTCAGCATTCCATGCGCAAGGCTTGATCTGTGTTGCCCCATCCAGCACTGCCTCGTTGTTGACGCCTGAGGTCGCCTTGTCATTGTGACCTCTGTGGCCGCAGCTACAGGCTGAATGCGCTTTTGCCTTTGTTAGTTAGATGGAGGCAATGACAACTAACCATCTCTTGCGGCAGTCTCTACCTTGCTGCTGGATATTTGCCTCTAGCGGCAATCACAGCTCTCTACCGACTGCAGCTCTATACCACCTGCCAACCCCAACCGACGATTACTTGCCCGGGCCGCCACCCCACGAGTCTGCTGCGCCCCCTTCGATCGCAGCACAACTTCGTTAACCCACCTGTATCTACGCACCATCCTTCCCCAATCATCTACTTCGCCTGCATGGAACCTTGAGGCCGCCCATCCTCCAGCGCAACTCCATTCACTCCTGTTCGTCAGTCACGTCACGACAGAGTTTCTGGATCGAGCGACCCCACTGGGAGCAGCATGGCGGAGCACAACCCTCCGCAGCAGCCGTCTGCTGATGGCGGTGGTGATACAGGCCCACCGCCCTCTCCCAATCCAGCACGACGGCCTCGAGCACCGACCATCACCATAGACACGTCTGCTGTGCAGCGAAACTCCGATCATAACCCTCAAATGGATCGACCACAAGAAGCTGAGGAAGAGGGCGTTGGCTCGAATGGAAATACCGAGAGATTCCCCGGTTTACGGCCTTCGTCCAACCACCAAACGTCGTCAACACCGACCGAGGTTCAAGGGAAGAGTAGCTTCGAGAGTAGGGAATCGAGACCGACGAGCCCTCACAACATATCATCGCCTGCACAATGGCAGCAACCCCAATCTTTCTTGTCGGTACCAAGTGGGAGGAGTCGAGGCGGAAGCGTGGATACCCAGGACACATCATCAACCTCAGAGGCGACCTACGTCAACACTTCAACACCATCCGATCAAACGCCGCTAAAGGCATTCTCAAGCCAATCGAAACAGGACATAACCGACCACCCTGTGTTATCCGACGAAGAGGCCCTCAAGCCAGACCCCGGTACGGAGGAGGAATTCGAGCGAGAGAACAATCCATTCGCTTTTGCGCCAGGCCACATGACCAAGTTACTGAATCCCAAGAGTTTGGGGGCGTTCCATGCGCTAGGCGGATTGGCGGGGCTCGAGAAAGGACTGCGAACGGATCGAATAAGTGGTCTAAGTGTCGACGAGCAAAACTTGGATGGTCAAATATCGTTTGAGCAGGCCACGAAAGTCGACACTCCTTCATCGGATAAAACTGCGGTCGCGACGGTTGCAGAGCCTCCCATGGCAGACTCCTCGGATGAGAAACAAGCAGCAGGAACCTTTGTCGATCGAAAACGGATCTTCGACGAGAACACGCTTCCTGAACGGAAACCAAAGAGTATCTTCGAACTTATGTGGCTCGCGTACAACGACAAGGTTCTGATTGTGCTGACCGTTGCCGCCTTCATCGCTCTGGCTCTCGGTATCTACCAAGGAATCGCTTTCAATGAAGTCGAATGGATCGAAGGTGTCGCCATTCTCGTGGCCATCATTGTCGTCGTCACAGTAGGTGCTGTAAACGACTGGCAAAAGGAACGACAGTTTGCCAAGTTGAACAAGAAGAAGGAAGCACGAAATGTGAAGGTCATTCGATCAGGAAAAACTCAGGAGATTGATGTACAGGAACTCCTCGTTGGAGATGTACTTCTGGTTGAACCGGGCGATATCCTTCCAGTCGATGGTATTTTCATCTCTGGCCATGGCGTCAAGTGCGATGAATCATCCGCGACCGGTGAATCCGACGTCTTGAAGAAGACACCCGGCGACGACGCTTTCCGCGCTTTGGAGAACTACGAGCCCCTTAAGAAGATTGATCCGTTTATGATCTCTGGTGGCAAAGTGACCGAAGGCTACGGTCGAATGATTGTCACCGCAGTTGGCATTCACTCTTCCTACGGCAAGACCATGCTTTCTCTGCAAGAAAGCAACGACATGACTCCTCTCCAGGCGAAATTGAACAAGCTTGCTGAGTACATTGCTAAGATCGGTAGCAGTGCAGCTCTGCTCCTGTTCGTCATCCTGTTCATCAAGTTCTTGGCTCAGCTACCGCACGACACCGATTCTCCGGCGGACAAAGGTCAGAAGTTCATGACGATCCTGATCACGGCCGTCACCATCGTCGTCGTCGCGGTCCCTGAAGGTCTACCACTAGCAGTCACTCTGTCTTTGGCATATGCGACAAAACGCATGTTATCAGATAACAACTTGGTTCGAGTTTTACGGTCGTGCGAGACTATGGGCAATGCCACTTCAGTCTGTTCGGACAAGACCGGCACCTTGACCCAGAACGTCATGACAGTCGTGGCCGGCTCCGTTGGGACATCTAATAGATTCAGCAACCGCGGCGGTCGCAACATCGACAACGCCGGCCCAGACCCGAACAAGGACATGCGAGACGATGTGGACGACGTTTCTACAGCAGAGTTCATAAAGACGATCGACGAGGACGTCAAGGCTTTGTGGAAGGACAGCATCGCGATTAATTCGACGGCTTTCGAGGCAGAAGACGAGGGTAGCGTCAAGTTTGTCGGCTCAAAGACCGAGACTGCACTTCTGGACTTCGCACGGGACTTCTTGGGCATGGACAGGGTCAACGTCGAGCGGAGCAACACCGAGATCTCTCAAATGATCCCCTTCGATTCTGGACGGAAATGTATGGGCATGGTCATCAAGCGAAAAGATGGCAATGGGTACAGGCTTCTGGTCAAAGGTGCAAGCGAGATCATGCTGAAGCACTGCACCAACGTCCTTCGCGATCCCACCCGAGGCACCGACATCACGAATATGACCGACGACAACCGCAAGACACTCGAGCGCCTTATCGACGCGTATGCTTCGCGATCTCTACGCACGATTGGCATGATTTGGCGAGACTTTGACTCCGACGTATGGCCTCCTGCTAAAGTGAGGAGAAGCGAAGACGACAAGACGCAGGCGCTCTTTGACGACATCTGCAAGAACATGAACTTCCTTGGCATTGTTGGTATCCAGGATCCTCTTCGAGACGGTGTTCCAGAAGCTGTCCAAGACTGCATCATGGCTGGAGTGTTTGTACGCATGGTTACTGGTGACAACATTACTACTGGCAAGGCCATTGCAACAGAATGCGGCATTTTCACGCCAGGAGGTGTCGCGCTCGAAGGTCCCGAATTCCGAAAGATGAGCAAGTCTGAGCAAAAGGCGATCATACCGAAATTGCAGGTCCTCGCACGTTCTTCGCCAGACGACAAGAAGACCTTGGTTAAGCGCCTTAAGGAGATGGGCGAGACTGTCGCGGTGACCGGTGACGGAACCAACGACGCCCCAGCTCTCAAGGCTGCTGATGTCGGATTCGCCATGAACATCGCCGGTACCGAAGTCGCAAAAGAAGCCTCTGATATCATTCTCATGGACGACAACTTCGCCTCTATCGTCAAGGCACTGATGTGGGGCCGTGCAGTCAACGACGCTGTCAGAAAGTTCCTGCAGTTCCAGATCACGGTGAACATTACTGCTGTTCTGCTGGCATTCATCTCTGCGATTGCAAACAGCCACGAAGAGTCTGTCTTGACGGCCGTACAGCTTCTGTGGATCAACCTGATCATGGACACGATGGCCGCCCTTGCTCTTGCCACCGATCCACCCAGCCGTGCTATTCTGAATCGAAAGCCAGACCCCAAGTCCGCCCCATTGTTCTCGGTCACCATGTGGAAGATGATTATCGGCCAAGCTATTTACCAATTGGTCGTCACTTTGGTGTTGAACTTCGCTGGCATGCACATTCTAGGCTACGACGACGAGCCCATCGGCAGCGATATTCGCATACACCACGAGAGACAGCTTAAGACGCTTGTGTTCAACACTTTTACTTGGATGCAGATCTTCAACGCGCTGAATAATCGACGTTTGGACAACCGCTTCAACATCTTCGAGGGACTCCAACGCAATCTGTTCTTTGTCGGTATCTTCCTCGTCATGATTGGAGGTCAAGTCCTGATCATTATGGTTGGTGGTTGGGCTGCGTTCCAGGCAGAGCACCAGACTGGCGCTCAATGGGGCATTGCACTTGTTCTGGGTGCCATCTCCCTGCCAATCGGTGTCATCGTCCGTCTCATACCTGATGAGCTCGCAGCTGCCGTGATTCCACGACGCATTCGGGAATGGTCGCAGAGGAACCGCGAGAAGAGAGTCATCATCACAGATGAAGAGAATCCGTTCGAGTTCAACCAGGCTCTTTACGACATCAAGGATGAGCTTGCCTGGCTCAAGAAGTACAAGGGTGGTCGCATCAATTCCCTCCGGTTCACCATCACGCATCCTAAGGAAGCGTTCATGGCCAGTCGCAGTCCTAGTCGGAGCCGCGCGAGCTCCAGCTTGCCGAGAACACCAAACAATGAGCCTGCTGAGGTCGAGGAGAACGGACAGTCACCCGCACCACCCACGCCCGACTCAAGACGACGACGCGGACGATCTAGGAGCAATTCAGCTTTTGCAGCGACTGCAATGGCTGGTATTGTCGCTGGATCGATCGCTGGTGGGTGGTCGCCAATCGAGAGGCGAGAAGGCGACAATGATAGTCTGCGATTCGCCCGCGAGCGCTCAGTCAGCAACTTGTCGCGAGAGTACCGATTGGAAGCTCATCCCGAGACGAGCAAGAACGATGATGTGGTTGTCAAGGAGGATCCGGTGTCTCAAGCCGGTCATCAGCCTCCAAGCCAGTCGACTTCAACGACTCCAGCGTTCGGTCAGGGGCCTTTCGGTGGGGAGCCTAGTTCGGCTGGTGATAAGAAGGATGATACTGCGCCTTGAGGAATCAACATCAAGAGCAATTCACCTTCGACATATCGCTCCAACTCTGAACACGCTGTGTTTGGCACGCCTCGACGTGCAAGCAACCACAGTCCAATAGAAAGGACACCCGAACACCAATCATGCACAGCATGACCAGCATCAGCACTGGGGATGAAGACGAAGACAGAGAGAGAAAGCGAAGTTTGTTTGATTTGTTTGTTTGATTTGTTTGTTTGATTTGTTTGTTTGCGGCACAGCGTCCGCATTTCCGACATGGCGAGAGCGTTTTGGGAGTTTCCACATCAATAAATGGGAAAGGCGGCCATGACAAGTGCCAGCCGTTGGGTGTTTTCGATAAAAAGACTGAAAGTCGTCACTGCTGCATAGTGGTAGCACAGCGAGATAAAAACTGAGGAGCATTACCTGTTATACCACCCCAACTGAAGTGAGCCCACAGCATTTTCTTTTTCTTTTTCTTGTAGCGACTTGGAAATGGATATGGGCCGTTGATGCCTTGTGGATCGCGTCCCCTTCCTTCTCCTCCACCCTATGTCCTGTGGGATGTTTTCAAGTGCAGTTCAGTTTCCTTCACAAGCTTCTTGGCCAAGACTCTAGGGGCAGGAACAGGAACACCGTACACAGACACTGAAGGGCGTAAAGAGAACATCTTGTTGATTCGTTTTGACGGACGTCGCTACTTCATGTGACGGTCAGCTCGCTTGATAGATCCACTTTGGGAAGCTGCGAGCGACGTCAGCGTTTGACAAGTTGATGTGAGTTTGGGAAGAAACAAATGTTTTCTTACTTGGAATGATTAGTATGCTTGTCGTTTGGGAGATGGGTAGACGTAGGGCGTTGTACAATACCTTTCGTCTGTGTGGGGGAAGAAGGTGCTGAGGAGAAAGGGAACGGATAAATAAGTCCTCTCCCCTACCACACCTCTCTCCTCGAATCCAAGCACATCCAACTCCCGATAACAACAACAGCAATGCCACCCCCCACAACAACCCCAACCCTCCTCGCCGAACAGGGCCTGTCCCCCGTCCCCCGCTCCCTCACCACCCTCCTAACCACCCGCCCAAACCCCCAACCCTCCACCCCGATCCCCTTCTCCTCCCTAAACCCCCTCCCCTCAACCCTCCTCATAGACATAATAACAACCTACGCCCGCACACACCTCCCCCGCCAAACCTACTCCCACAGCATGCGCGTCTACTACTTCGCCCTCGCGATCCTGTCCCAACACTTCCCGGAATGGCACAGCGCCCTATCCAAGGAGACGCTCCTCCTGACGTGCTTGTTGCACGACATCGCCACCACCCCCGAAGCTATGGCGTCCACTTACCTCTCCTTCGAGTTCGCCGGCGGGTATACCGCGCTGAACCTCCTCGCGGCGCTGCACGCCCCGCTCGTGCAGAGGGAGAGCGTCGCGGAGACGATTATTCGGCATCAGGACCTCGGGGAGTCGGGGATGGTGTCCCGCCTCACGGCGCTTGTGCATTTCGCGACGGTGTTGGATAATGTGGGGTTGAATGCGGAGTTGGTGCATCGGGATACGGTGCAGGGGGTTGTGGAGAAGTGGCCTAGGGAGGGGTGGACGGGGTGTTTTGCGGGGGTTGTGAGAGCGGAGGTGGAGGGAAAGGGGTGGGCGAATGTAAGTTTTTTGGTTTGGGGGAGAGGAGGAGAGGATTGTGGCTAATGAATGGGTGATACAGACGACGAGGATCGAGGGGTTTGCGGAGATGGTGGAGGGGAATGAGGTTATGAGGGAGTGGGATTGATTTATCTTTGCAGTAATCTTGTATCGATGGTCGCGAGGCTGAAGCATGGAGAGCTGCAGATGGAGTTGGAAGAGCGAGTGCTGGCGACGGTGTTGTGACAAGTTGAATGGTGAGGGTGGATTTCATCTGCTTGAACGGTTTGGAAAAAGTCAGCCATTCGTTTTGCGAGCAACGGCAGCATTCTTTTGATTTCAAGTCTTTTTGCACTCAACATCCACCTGCTTCTTTGGTACAGTGTCAGCGTCGTATCAACACCATGATGCCAATGCTCGCGATACCCAACCCCGACTGTTCTAACAATAAAAGTAGGAACTGCATGTTCACAAGAACAAGACGACTACTCTTCAGGCTAGTGACACTTCTCTCCTCGAGTAGTGCTTATACGCTAACTGCTCGCTTCTTGGTGTCGATCTAGTGATTGAGGGATCTGGTTCCGGGGTTCCCATGGGATGGACTTCTTTGCTATGATGACCCAAGTCCGACCACGTCAACCCACAACGACGCTGCCGCCGAGCAGACACTTTCTTTGGCATGAAAAAGTGGGAGAGCCAACCTTTTCAAAACAACAGAGCGTGGCCTCCGACATCCAGATTCCAAGAACCTGGAAGAAGTCCAAGATCTTCACAGCATGGGTTCCCTGCGCATTGACCAGGGGTTTCTCCCTACTAGATGCTGTATATTCTCCGGCGAAATATCACAACGTCAAGCATCGCCATCGAACACGGAATCGATGGATGGTAGAGTAGGTATATCAAGACGTCGTGGCCTTCGGCAGGCGGCGGTAAGTCATTTTGACCAGTCTTTCCTTCAGTCGCTCGTTTTTCAACATGCGTTCGTTATCGTCGCTCTTTATTGCTTCTTGCATCTCAACTTATGTATATGCACAGTCGAAGACGGAATATGACTACATTATCTGCGGCGGTGGGACGGCTGGGTTAGCGGTTGCGAATAGACTCACCGAGAACTCCAACATCACGGTCCTCGTTGTTGAAGCCGGGATCAACGGCACTACTGATGGTTGGGACTACAAGAGCACTCCACAGGAATACTCCAACGGAAGGGTCTTGGACCTCCCTGCTGGCAAGACTGTTGGAGGGAGCAGTCAGATCAACGGTCAGTCATACTTCACCATAATCTTGATCAATAGTACATTGTTGAATCAATCAACTCCCAGGCAAAGTCTATTCCCGCCCAGATTCCAGCTCGATCGACGACTGGGGCCGTGTAAACGATGCCGACTGGTCTTGGAACACCTTACTTCCTTTCTACAAAGCATCTGAGTCTTTTTCCATCCCTAGCGATGATCAACAAGCTGGTGGAAACACGTACAACGTCGAGTATCATGGCTTTTCTGGACCTCTTAATGTCTCCTTTCCTGCTGTGGCGAATCCCGAGTTCTTTGCTGTTCTTGAAGATACGGCGAAGAACTTGAGCATACCGAGAAATGTGAGGACGATTGTTCTGTATGAGTTGGAAAAAGGCTAACAAGACAGAACGACTTCAACGGCGGCGATGCCCGTGGCCTCTCTACCTACCCAGCTCAGTTCGTAATCGAAGGAGAACGAGAACAGATTCGCGAGTCGAGCCGCGAGGCATACTACCTCCCCGCCGCCAGCCGTTCAAACCTCGAACTCCTCGACGAGACATCCTGCCTCCGCATAACCTGGGTCGACAATACCACCTCCTCCAACAACACCATCACGGCCACCGGCGTCGAAATCGCCAACACCAACAGCCTCACCACAATCCACGCCACCAAAGAAATCATCCTCTCCGCAGGCGCCTACCGGTCCCCAGGAATCCTCGAATTCTCCGGCGTCGGCAGCGCCGCCCTCCTGGCAAACTACAGCATCGATTCCATCAACGATCTCCCCGGCGTCGGCGAGAACCTCCAGGACCAAATGCAAGGCAGCATCGCCTTTCAGAAATCCAACGAATCGAACATCACGTTCCCGGCTACGGTTGGGGATGACATCACCACGAACTACCTCATGCACCTCACGTACGAAGATGTCTTTGGGGATGATGCGGGCGATGTGCAGGGGAGGGTGAATGCTTCGCTGGCGGAGTACGCGAGCACTATCGAAGGTGCGATTAACGGGTCTCTGTCGGCGGAGCAGATTTTGAGGAGTTTGGAGGTGCAGTATAATTCGATCTTTGTGACGGGGGTCCCTGTTGTGGAGTTGTTCACGGGACAGGCGTTGGGGAATGATGCTATCAACCTAGAGTTTTGGCCCTTGATTCCTCTGGGAAGGGGGAATGTGCATATTTCTGGTAAGATCGCGTCCTTTCTTTCACTGTGAGATGTATCTGAGCTGACGATGTGGTTATTATAGGCGGCAACCCCCAAGCAGCCTCCCACGCCCCAACCATTAACAACAACTGGGGCCTCCTCGACATCGACTGGGAACTCTACACGGCCGCCGGCCGCTACGTCCGACGCTTTTTCGCCACCTCACCTCTCTCCACCTCAGTCCTGCAAGAAACCTCGCCAGGCCTCGACAATCTCCCCGCGGACGCCAGCGACGAGCAATGGCGTGATTACTGGGCTGATAACTTCCGCGCCGGATGGCATCCTGTGGGTAGTTGCGCCATGTTGCCCAGGGAATGGGGTGGCGTTGTTGATGGGGATTTGAGGGTCCATGGGACGGGGAATGTGAGGGTTGTGGATGCAAGTGTGATTCCCTTCCAGTTGGGAGGACATCCGACTAGCACGGTTTATGCTTTGGCGGAGAGGGCGGCGGTGTTGATTTTGAAGGGGGTGAGGGGGTGATCTGATCTGAGGGCACTTTCGGCGAGCGGATAGAGGAAGGATCTGCCTTGTCATAGAGAGTGATGGACTGGATCTTGAGGAGAGGTTGTGTAATTCTGGAAAGTACTCCTTCGTAAGTACACTATTCACCTCGCCTTCCATCAACCCAAAAGCCCAAGATACAGCACAACGCCCCAACCCCCTCAACGTCCTCCACAGCAGAAACCCCCCATTTACTTCTTCTCGATCCTCAACTTCCCCTTCAGACACGCCAACTCGGTCTTCCCATCCCTGACCTTGACATCGACCTTCCAATCCCCATGCGGCGTCCTCTTGGGAATGACCTCCTCGAACGAGAAGTCGACATGGTTGGTTGGGCAATCCAAGCCGTTCTCGCCGCCACACAGCTGCTGCGTGTACGTCTTCTTGAAGACGCCCTTGTGCACCTTGATCTCCATGGTGGCACCTGGGTTGATGATGGTGTTGCTGAGGCCTTTGGCGGTCAGGCGGATAGGTTGGCCGCTGGGAGGGGGTTTGTTAGTCCTTTGTTTGGGATGGAGAGGGAGGGGAGCGAAGGGGGTTACCGGATGGCGGGTGAGGGCTCGATGTTGACTTCGCTGAGTTGGAGGGCGTCGTCGTTGCCGTAGTCTTTGCAGTGTTCGATGCGGGCGTTGCCGGAGATGGCGCTGGAAGCGACGGCTGTGATGCTCGCCGCGAGTGCGATGAGGGAGAGGAACTTCATTGTGCGGTTTGGTGTCGATGTTCGATTTGGTGGAGGAGAGGAGAGACAGAATGTAGAACGAGAAGGAGAAGAAGAGATGGGTGTGAGTGGTGATAGATGAAGGGATTTGTGGGTTGAGAACTTTTTTTCATCTTGGCGTAGATGTGTGGTAGGTTCAGTCGTAAGAACCATTGTCGTGCTCGATGGGGGGGATTATACACATGTGGTCAGCAATTCGGCGGTCTTCATTGGCTGCACCACCAACGCATACAACGCCGTGAGATCTGAACCACTTACATGTCTGCTCAATGTAAGAGGTGGACTCGCCTTGCATATGCTGCTGGATTGTGACAGTGCTGAATAGTGTAGATTGCTCATTGGCGCGAGACTTGAAAAGGGGTCTTAGCTTGGAACATGTGATATCAGGGGCTCGCACTCATCGTCAATCTGATTCATCTGAAGCTCCCTCAATATCGCACTCGATCCTCTTATCCACCTGTACATACCTCATATGATTGATTTGCAAGTGTCATATGTGCAAATCAGAGACCCGACTTCAACTCACACGTGAAAGTCGCTCCTTCCATTTCTGAAAGCCAAGCATTTTAGCGCCCGCGCACTGCGCACGGGTCACCACGCCCTTTTCAAATTCGGCGCACTTTCTTCCTCCCCGCTTCTTCCAACACACACACCACCGGCACCACCACCATCAACAACTCGAACGGTCGACAGAAGCTACTCGAGGTCTCGCGTACAGCGAGACCATACACTGACTTGACTCGCAGTATGGAAGTAACTAAGAGCTCGTATGACACCGACTTGCTCGACCTACAGCTGCTCTGCAGCAACTACTGCACCAATGCCAATTCGGAGCTACGGCGACATACCTGTCACTGCACCTGCACCGGTACAATCTGGTCCTTCGGACCTGACACAAATTCCCCCAATGACACCCAAATGCGACAACCCTGAGTGGAACCTGCCACTCGATGTCGAACATGCTCCGGCTCTGCTGCAGCAACCCAATACCGTCGCTGCGATACCTACCGCACGACAATAATTTCGCCGAGATCCTCAGGGATATCGGCAATAACGAATTTTGACAACTCTGCCCGCGCGGAACCTGCCGCCACTGCAGAGTTGTCATCAATACTCGGGTTCGCCCCGTCCTACATCTCAGAATCTGAGCCGCTGGAACCTACCAGCATGATCGTCTGAACCTACTCGAATGCCTCAGAGTATGCACTGCCGGAACCTGCCGGCGCGCTGCTCTGAAACCAATACCGAATGACTCAGTGTCTGCAATGCCGGAACCTTCCAGCTTGCTCAACTGAAATGAATGCACGCTCAATGTGCGAACCAATGCCAACACCTGGCGCAAACACCTTCCGGTAAGTTTGAAAGCGCCCATCCGAGTTCGAGATCTCAAGTAGCTTCTGTCGACCTTTCGATTGTTGTCACTCCTTCCCTGCGACCAGCAGCATCATCATCGGCATTCTGCACATGAGGTAAGTCTAGCATCCCATCTCGCCGCTGAAGAATAAACTCGACGATTCGCAGTTTCCGGCTTCAATCTCAGCATTCGAGATCTTCACTGGGCTGCACGCCCGACTTTGCCCCTCGTCCTCGCCAGACATCCTTCCGCCATGTTCGGTTCTTGCTCACGCTGATCACAGGAGTACTGTCCTGTCACGGGCTGGCGTGCAGTCCTCAATGGAGGTGTCGACAATGCTCAGCATGTTTTCGAAATCTCAAGGGAAGTGAAGGAATCTGGCCGGAGTAGTGACCGTCTCAATGGAACCGGCACTTATCAGAAGCAAGACTCAGGGAGGAGGTGAGGTCGTTGTCGCTAGGGGTTGAACGTCGGAGGCATTTGCGCAGGATCATTAAGGTCAGACAGGGATCACCTTTCAAGACAAGCGCGCAATCTTATTTACAAATACCATTCGACGTCACTGTACGAGGTCAAAGCTCCCAGCTTCACCTGCAAGGTTCCTCTTCTCACATCTTCTTCCTTTTCAAATCAACACTGTACCACCACTTCCACACTCTAGCGTCGTCACACAAACGCACGTCTTCCACAATGGCATCCGTACGAGCCTTCCGCCCACTTCTTCGAACAACCCCACGCCTGGCAACCATCACACCACCCACCAAGCGCTTCCTCAATGCCGCCAGCGCTCCCGCCCTCGCAACCTCCCACGCAAAAGCCACCGGCGGCCGCCAAGGCAAAGTGCACTCGGACCACTTCGACCTCGAGCTCGGCATGCCCAAATCCCTCGGCGGCGACGGCGCGAAAACCAACCCCGAAGAACTCTTCGCCGCCGGCTACGGCGCCTGCTTCCAAGGCGCCATGGGCGCCACCGCACCCACCCTCGGCATCAAGCTGCCCTCCAAGCCAGAAGACTGCGTCGTCGACTGCACGGCACACCTGATTGGGGATCTGAAGCAGTTGGATTTGGGGATTCGGGTGGATATGCATGTTTGGGCCAAGGGGATGAAGAAGGAGGATTTGCAGAAGTTGGTGGATCGGACGAAGGAGGTTTGTCCGTATTCGGTGGCTACGAAGGGGAATGTTGTGACAAACGTTTCGGTGGAGGTTGCGTAGATGGATGGTGATGGCTATGATATGGGGAGATGAGGGGAGGACGTGGACGATGGTGATGTGTATGTATCCATTGTACTGTGAATACGAATGGCTGAATCACTAAAGCCCGTTTCTTCCCCTCCACAAGAGGACGGATCTGGTCAGCATTCCCTCCCACTGCAACTCCACCGCGATCAATTAGTGCCCATCGAGAAACCTTTCTCGCCATTGCAACGCGCCCCCTATGTCCGGGACCGGTTTTCCATTCGGCGCCTTTGGGAACAATCAACCCTTACACAAACCTACACCCAACTCCAGCGCAGCCTTGATCTTGCCCAGCTCTTTCCAGGCTCGGTCTTTGCCCTCCATCCACTCCAATGCGTCAACGAGTAGATGGATGTCCCCGCCCGTCACCTTGGGCCTGGCCCCAGACTTGCCCGCACTTGGATTCCAAACGTACTGGAGTCCGATCTTGCTGGCAATGTCATTCGTCTCTTTGAACTTCTCGAGCCACGGGATGATTTTGACCCAGCCAAGCACCGGAGGCGCCGCCCAGAGCTCGAAACGGATCGTTTGGGTAGGTGGATTGCGGGTCAATCTCGCGGCGTCCTTGTCTGAGAGGCCATCCAGATAGGCGATGACATGATCGAAGTCGAAATCAATGACCTGTATCTCGATGGTGGCGCTGATCAGAGCGAGGTCGTGGTATTCTTTCGCGATTTGCTTGTTGACGAGGAGCATTGGAGAAGGATTGACGAGCTTTGGCTCTTGCGTTTGATGAGGCAGACGAAGCGGCGTGGTGTCGCTTATGTGCTCGTAGATCAAGTTGCGAAGCTCGGCGGCGAGGTCGAGGAATGGCATCGCCTTGGTGGTATCGCAGGGCTCTTGTGATTTTGCTGTGATGAGAGCAGATGAGGTCGCCATGGTTCTGAGCGCAGTGTGTAGCTTTTGGCTGCGGTTGTAGAAAGAGAGGCGTGTGTTTTTGAAGCTTCGAGAGGTGGAAGAGGTAGCGGCGTTTGAGTCACGGATGAAGGGTCATGTGATGCGCCTTGGCAATCACATGCTAGGACTGAACAATCTTCACAAGCTGTCCTTTCCAGATAGCCATCACTGACAGCAGACATTGAATCCTTCTCAGAACCTCATGGGAAAGATAATCAATGAGGGACTTTGTAATCGCATACGTTGACATACTATACGCTGACTTACCATGCGCAGATGACAATTGTATCCTCTACCGACTTTCTCTCTAATTCACGGGTAGAGATGCTTCTTGTTACTCAAGCAAAACTCAAGCCCTCTCAAAACTACGTCAGGTTCGTGTCGATCTTCCAAAGCCTAGAAAAGAAACAGGTTTGCTCCAAGCAATCAGGCGCAAATCAACAAACCCTCCTCCTCAGTAGCACAACATCACAAGGCCCTGCATCACCCCAGAACACAGCCTCCTCGGCACGACAAAACTGTCAACCGCCTCATATTAGCATTAGGCAGCAAGGGAATCACATGTGCCTGTACGACCAACCTGTCCGGGCACAATATCGGCCAAATTAGAAAGTCTTGGTGCTGCGCTCGTCACAACGTTCTGTGGACCGACCTATTTCCAAACGTTGAGCAAGACCACGAAAGCCTTGCCTGGCGCATCATTTGTCACACACCCTCGTGACCGCCTCAGACCTACAGCAACGAAAATCTGCCTCGATCCGCGCCCTTCCCGTCGGAAGCCTGCAGTAGTCGACAGGTACCCGTTCGTTGCACGTTGTCAATGAGAAAAGAAAAATTCTAAGATCTCGGCCGATGCAATGCAGGCACCCGTGCGCACCTCGACCGACCGACCGACCGACTCGAGAATGTTTGTCCGTTGAACTTCCAGGATCCTGGGAGAATGGCGTGTTCTTGTGCGGCGTGCCAGCAGAGGGTTTGTCATTTTCGGGCTTGGAGGTGATTGGGAGGTGAGGGGGCGGAGCTGTTTGCGAAGAGGTGTGAAAATGGTTCTTGATGTGACGAGCCGGGCTTCCGCGCGGGAGGGTGCAGGGCTTGGGTTGTGTGGTATATGTCAATGCAGAGGATTTTCTTGAAGACAATCAGTACCACGAGTGCACGGTTTCAGGCCGAGGGACAGGCGCGACGGCTTCGAGACTTGCATGGTGGTTTTGGTCATGGTGAGGGTCGAGGGAGATTGGGGCAGTTGGTGATATATAAGGAGGGTGGATGGGACTTCAGAATTCGATATCAGTAACAGGAACAACAAGTCAGCAGTCTCAGAGAGCACTATCTCACTTACATTCATTCAACAAGCACAACATCGATTCATCCAGCACTTCAATCATCAACCAGCCATTCCAACAACTCAAAGCATCATCGCCGAAGGTCAACTCCAACGACAGGCCCTGATTGGGAGCAACAATTGCTGGGCGACTCCCCGTCGAGCAACAAACATTCAACCGCCACAGTCCGATACTCAGAGTCAACGGTAAGCCATGTCATCCCATCAAATCGTAGACAGACCACTAACGGACAAGCAGCTCAAGCACCACACACCTACCTCCACATACCACCACTCACTTCACTCAGCAACCATGTGCAAGTACTACGCCCACAGCCACCCTTGCGGCCACACCAAAACCGTCTTCGCAGCCTTCTGTCCACAAGCTGCCCTCCTCCAAAAGCCCTGCGGCAGAGGCGAGATCTGGGCAACAGTCAAGATGGACAAGGACTGCACGCACTGCTACCAGGAGCCTGAGCCAGCAGTTCCCAGATCCAGGGCTGGTGGTGGCAGGAAGAAGGTCAGCCGGAGGTGAAGTTATGAAAGCGATGAAATGCGTGGTTCGGAGATGCGATGCGATCGCTAGTTGTTGATGTACCAGGGTTTGTGTGATTTGGAGGAAGGATACGAAGCCATACGAGGCACACCAACCAATCTTTCTGCAGCCGGCTGTGTGGAGAAGGGTATGGGCCTCAAGCGAGCAGAGACACCTTTCTCCAGATCTTTCTCTTTCTTGTACATAGATATAGATGAAATCAAAGGGATACAGAGACGTATACTTCCAATTCGCATGTGATTTTCCCGCCGGGCTAAAATTGCCTTCAAGCAATGGAATTAGACACTTTTCAGGTCTTTTTTGATCGAACTGCAGCGTTCCTCGGCAAATCCGCACCATGTATCGACACGGGGTCTCGACCAAGTGAGGCAACGATGGCCGGGAAGTTAACCTTCCGATCTCTCTCGTGGAGCCCACGTGAAGTTGTGCGATCGCGTAGATATGAAAGTCCAGGAATTGTCGATGTCGCTTTGTCTGTTTCTGTTTCTCTGTGAAGGCGTTGTCGATGAGAGAAGGAAAGAAGTCGACGAAAGATCCCAGCACCATGTCGCGCTTGCGCACCTTGTTTCGCAGGACGGAAGATGCCGACAAGCTTGGACGTTCTTCGAACGTCAACGGGGATGCTTCTGTTCCGGCTGCCGAACAAAGTGTACCTGCGACATCGACTCAAGGACAAGATGCTGGGGAAGAGGCAAGAGATGGAGCGAGCAAGGAATATGGTGTGCTTGCAGAACACTATGCGCCTGGGGGAGAACAGGACGATGTCGAACGACCGCATACAAACAACGCCGATGAAGTGAATGAAAAGGGCCATCCCACAACAACGACCACACGAACATCTCAAGATGGCGAGCAAGAAGAGTCCACCACCGAGGACGACTCCAAATACCTCAAAGGCCCACAACTCCTCCTCCTAACAACCGGCCTCCTCCTCGCAACGTTCGTTGTCGCCCTCGACAACACCATCATCGCAACCGCCATCCCAAAGATAACCTCCATCTTCGACTCGCTCGACGACGTAGGCTGGTATGGCAGCGCCTACCTCCTCACCACAACTTCGCTGCAGCCCTCCTTCGGCAAAATCTACACCTACTTCGACGTCAAATGGGTCTACCTGTCTGCGTTGATGATTTTCGAGCTGGGGTCGATTCTTTGCGCTGCGGCGACGAATTCCACGATGTTGATTGTGGGGAGGGCGGTGGCGGGTGCTGGAGCGGCGGCGTTGTTTAGTGGCGCGATGACGATTATTGGGTATTCGGTGCCGTTGCGGAGGAGAGCGCTTTATATCGCGTTGCTGTCGAGTATGTTTGGGATTAGTAGTGTGGTGGGGCCGATCTTGGGCGGTGCGTTCACGGATAAGATCTCGTGGAGATGGTTGGTTTATGTGTGCATTGGGCGATGGGATGCGTTGCTGATGTTGACTTCAGGTGCTTCTGGATCAACCTCCCCTTCGGCGCCGTCAGCATCGCCGTGGTGTTCTTCTTCTTCACCAATCCACCAAGGCGGTATACGAACATGACCGTCAAGGAGAAGATCAAGCAGATCGACATTGCTGGAGCGTTTCTCTTGATCTGTGCGATCGTTTGCCTTCTCCTGGCCTTGCAATGGGGCGGCTCGAAGTATGCATGGTCAGACAGCAAAGTGTGGGGATGTCTGCTCGGGTTCGGCCTGATTATCGTCTGCTTCGTGGCCCTGCAATTCTACCTTGGAGACCGAGCAACGATGCCTCCCAGGGTGTTGGGAAAGCAGAGGACGGTGGGAGCATGTGCACTGTTCTCAGCCTTCCTCGCAATGGCTCTATATGCGTAAGTATGTGGACAGCAGAGCGACGGCTACAGCGCTGACAACTCTAAAGACACATCTACTACCTGCCTTTCTACTTCCAGGCTGTGAAAGGCGTTGGCGCTGAAGCATCTGGAATCCGCACGATACCTTACCTCGTCAGTATCACACTATCTTCGATTGTCGTTGGCGCAGCTATCACCATCATTGGGCCTTACAACCCACCGATGTAAGTCGAAAGGTCTGAATACATGATCCCGATGACCTAACATTATCCAGGTGGATCGGTTCCGTAATCTTCGTCATCGGCTGCGGCATGCTCTACACCCTCAAAGTCAACTCCTCAACAGGAACCTGGATCGGCTATCAAATCCTCGCCGGGGTTGGTGCAGGCGCTTGCGTACAGATCCCATTCATCGCCGTGCAGGTCGTACTACCCGAGAAAGACATGCCAGTGGGTAACGCCGTGGCAATCTTCTTCAACACACTCGGTGGTGCCATCGCTGTCTCGATTGCCCAGAACATCTTCACCAATACCTTGATCAAGCAACTGCCCATCCTGGCGCCAGGTGTCGACGTGGCGAAAGTCGTCTCATATGGAGCCTCTCATGTGCGGGAAGCAGCGCCGCCGAATCTTTTGCCTGGAGTGTTGGAAGCGTATGATAGGGCTATCACGACGGCGTTCATCATGCCGATTGCTGTTAGTGGACTGGCGTTTTTGGCGAGTCTGATGATGGAGTGGAAGAGTGTGAAGGGGAAGAAGTTGATGCCGGGTGGTGCATAACATTGTTCAGTAACGATAACGATAGACAGCAATAGAAGAGCTTGCATCCTACCTCAGTCTTGCTACTGTGAGAAGACATTTGCGACTTCGAGTGAAGCAGAATCGACGTCAAGATGTCCGACAGACACACAAATCGTTCGAGGTGTCATACTACATCGCGCAACACGCAATCAGTACCACGGTACTCGTGGAACACACCACGAACTGCTGCAGGGCAAACACATGTCGAATGCCACATCAACACGACCTGAACGTGGATGTTCAAGCAAAAGTCAACCAAACATCGACCTCACTATTCCAGGAAGACTCGAAGCTGTTCGCAGGAAACAAATCTGTATGTATCTCCACAACGGACGTCACTCGTTAGCCAACCACCACGTGACGTTTAAACCAAAAAAGCCAACCAATCAAACCTAGGCGTCACCGCCATTTCGACAATGTGCTGTTTTGAGACGACCGAACCGTCTCAGACCACTGCATGTTCCGCTCGTTAGCTTGCCTTGCCTTGCTCGCTTCATGCAAGTTATGGCCCCGTGAGCAGGATAGTGTCGAAGGATTGCTGGTTGACGGAGGCCAAGGGAGGTGCGAGGAAGCGAGGACGGTCGTGCCTGATCCGGTGGGAGCGTAGTGGGAGTGGGCTGTTTTGAGGTAAGCGTTGATGTGTTGCTGACGGGAGCGGGTCGGGTGCGAGGCGGTTTTTGTTATGGTGCGGTCATGGTGGGAGTTGGGGAGGGTTGATGGGTCTTGGCTGGTGTTGGACGGGGTGCTGGGAAGCCCATGGGGAGGGTCGAGATGTAATGCTGCAGCAGGGAACGGATGCTCGTGCGACTGTGCCAGCGGGCTGCAGAGGTAGCGATGAAGCATGTACCATCGATGTCGTCGTCGTCGCGGGGCGCGGTTGGAAAAAAGGACGGCATATTTGCATCAATTGAGTTTGAGTTTGGCGGCTAGCTGGGAGCAGGCTAGCGGCGACGGTTTGGTTCTTGAGCTGCCAACGCATACTCTGACCTCGACTCCTCCACGACGATGGGCGATGAGAGTTCTGGCCTACGTCAGACTCGGCTATCTGCTGGCCAGCGCAGGACGCCGGACGGTGCGTCGTGCATGCAAAGTAGTCTGGTTAACGGTGCCACGTCTGCTGCAGCGACAGCGGAGACATCGTGGCCCACCGCATGCACCTAGCCGGCCGTAGTCGAGGAGTGCAGCGCAGAGTCCTGCTCCTCGTCCCGCCAGTTGGTCTGTCCTCCTTTCTGCTCTGCTGCTGCTTGCTTGCTGCGAACGAGCCTCGCGCGTTGGGCATCGACGCGGGCGTTGGAGGAGTTGGTTGTTGTTCTGCGTGCAAAATCCATATACGAAGCCCGCCGTACCGTGCCTGAGCCCTGCGAACTTGCCTGGACCCGTTCCGTCGAGCCCATACCAAGAATCCTGCCCGCGACGAGCGCACACAGCCGGGGTCGAGCGCGAAATTGATTCATCGAGGCGGCGGTAATTGAACGAGCGATTCCACCCTCGAGCGCCGGCGTTTGCCACTCCTTCGCCATAGCCATAGCAGCAGCAGCATAAGAAGAGCAGCGAGCAGCGGCAGTGTCGAGGACAGGACGATGCCCCAGCGCAACGACACCCACCAGCCACCCGCCGACGACCACAACACACTGCCCGTGACGTCTGACTGCCTCTGCCTCCATCCCCGTCCTTCATTGGTGCTCCCTCGCCAGCCCAGCGCGAATCACACGCTGCCGTCGTCCTGCTAGCACCGAAGTCTGTTTCCTACGCACATAATAGGTACTGCTATTCTCTCTCATCATCATCACATCTCCACCCTCCGCGCAGACTCTTCTCTGCCATCCAGCACCCAGCGACTGATGGCTTCTAGTAGTCGCTATCCCCCAGCGCTTCCCGCCGCCGGCCGGACCAGGCGTCGTTGCTGCTGCGCTGCCAGGAGGAGGACGCTGGAGAGCCTTTGCTGCTACTGTCCAACTCGTCCTGGCCTTTCTGCTTTCGGTATTTCCAGGCCTCTAATTGTGCCATTGGCCGCACATAATCACGGCACCCTCCAATCTCCACCGCCGCAATCTCCTTGCCCTGCCTATTCGCCGCAGACCCTGTACGAGCTTGCGCTTAGCACCTTGCCGCTGTCGCTGCATCAGGCGCCGAAGACGACGACGTCGTGGTTTCGGGCTGCCAACAACGGCATTGCTCGGCATCGGTCCGCACCATTCGTCGACCGGTGTTGCCAGTTGGGGTGCGAAGGCTGGGCTGAGAGGTATGCTGTGCTGTAGACTACCAACCACGTCCATCTTACTCCGCGGGTTGCACACTATACCTGCAGTGCTGTCCTGAAGGGCAGATACTCTCAATACTTTGCTGCTCATTCTCAAAGTATCTTGTTTGGCAGTCTCGATTCTTGTCGCTGGTACTGATCCATCTGGACTTGCACGAGACACTGACCATTGCTTGAGCTTCGTTGGCTCTGGTCGATGGCAGTGTCTCCAATCGAGGAGAAGATCTTGGGTCGCCTCGCCAAGCAGACAGCACCATTCAACGCACTCCTCTCAGCATCGCTATACCAGGTCTTGGGGCTTTCGATCCTCCTCTCGAGGAAGTTGTACAGAGCGCGGAAGTTGCGGAAACTCGACATCACACGAGATACCAAGTCTCTGCAATTGTACCATCACATCATCTGGCTCGCGAGGGAAGGCCTGTCGATTACGGAGGTGTACATCCTGCCGTACTGTCAAAATGGGGAGCGAGGGCCAGAATGTCGGGTCATGGCAGCAAAGCTACGAGCCTCGCTCTATCACGTTTTCTGCCTCTTCCACAATCACCCGCCCATCAGCCAGCTCAGCGGTCGGTCGTACGACTCGACGAGTCCACTGTCCAGCGCGCAGTCACCGCAGGCCACACAGGGGACGAAGAGCTCGCCGAAGAGATCACCACCAAACAGCGGTAGACACGCGAGACAGCGCTCTGGCAACACGGCCTTGCGAGATCCTATCCCTTCGATGACATCGGAGGCCTCGTACGTGACCAATCCGTACGCAGCAGCTCAATCACCACCTCCCCCTGGACTGGCAATATCAGGGGCACCAGCAGACGCCCGACGCACACCCACCAGACCTCCAGGCCTCGCTCCCATCAACATCTCACCAACACAATCCGCAGCATCATTCCTGCTCCCACCCCTGAACTTCGTGCCCATGGCGCGGGAACATTTCGACGGCGCCCAGCACCTCGCCAACACCCTCCTCGCACCCACCCACGCCTTGCGCCTATCCATCTCCCTCGAGCACGCAGCCTTCCTCTGGGACTGCGCCAAAGAACACGACCGCGCGCGCAAACTCGCCCGCCGCACCATCAAAGACGTCTACAGCTCCTCCGACGGCCTCGACGACGACGAGTTCGCAGACGCCTCCGCCTTGGTCCAGGCCTTGGGTGGCATCGTGAGAAGAGGCTCCAACGATTCCACCCCCCGTCCAAGCACCTCCACCCTTCCCCGACAACAACAACAGCAGCAACAAGCACTCACAACAACTCCGAACCAGCGCCTCCCCCGCCAAAACCCCAACCCCCCCCCCCCCATCGACCGCACCATAGCCCTCTCCCCCAAGAACCGCGCCCCTTCTTCCTCCCCCAACGCACCCCCAACAACTCACAACATCCCGCGCACCATCCCCCGCACGCCCGAACGCCTCTCCACCGTCCCCGAAGTCGAATCCACCGAGGAAGAAGGCGCGACAGCCACAGGCACGACAAACACCCAACCGACAACGACGGGCCTCAGCCCGCCCGTCTCCCGCCTGAGCAGTCGCTCGTCCGCCACGTCCGCGGCGGCGGGGTCGGAGAAGGCCGCGAAGCGCAGGGCTGTGGAGAGGGCGGAGGAGCGGGCTGCGGCGGCGGGGGGGAGTAGTAGTCGGGTGTCGCAGCGGAGTGGACTCAGTGGAGGGGGGCGGAGTAGTCAGAGGAGTGGGGGGAGTCGAAGGGAGAGGAGGCGGGAGGCGAGTCGGAAGATGGAGGAAGGGGAAGAAGGGGAAGAAGGGGATGGTGGTGGTGGTGGTGAGGGGGGATCTTCTTCGCAGCCGCATAGTCGCCAGGCGACGCCTCCTGAAGGGTACGTTCGTCGCGAGTCGTGAGAGAGAACGAAAGAAAGAAAGCAAGCATCATTTGGAGAAAAGGGGAGCAAAAACTACAGACAAGTGTGGGAATTAGGAAGATAGTAGTTAATAACTTATTCTACAATAGGATCACATCTTCCTCGACGCAGGCGGCGCGCCAACGAACCCCCCAAGAACGAGACAACTCGCCTCGTAGGCCCTCTATCCATCCGTTTGCCCAAAAAAAACAAACCCCCACCCAACGCCACGAGTCGAGACAGAAGAGAACACACAATCCCCCAACGACGTACCCCTCGACAAAAGCGCCCGCACCCCCCGACGACCGCCGCGAAGCCATCCTCCGCACCCTCCAAATCATCGCCGCCGTAGCCCAACGCCGTAGTCGCAGCAGCGTCCCCCACAGCGCCAGAATCACGACAATCTGAACAGCCAAAGCGCCGCAAAAACAAAAACCACACTCGAGGGAGCGTGCAACGCCGACGACAAGAGATGGTGCCCGAAGAAGGTGACCAACAGCAGGAATAGTAGCGTCGCGACGTCGTCCCATCCGAAGCTACCCTTCATCGTCGTCATCCGAGTCCTTGATACTTTCGTGCTCACGCCCCTGGATTTCAGGGGTCGCGTCGCGTGGTGTACTACTGCAGGCGGGTCGACGGGGTCTGCTTCGGGCGGGGGGTCGACGGGGTCTGCTGCGGGAGGTTCGACGGGTTCTACTTCGGGGGGCTCGACGGTGATGGTTTCCACCGAGGGCAGCTCGACGGTGATGGTTGGGACCTCGTTGGGCTCGAATGTGACGGTTTCCAGCTCGGTTGGCCCGATTTTGAGGGTTGCGACCTCTGGGATCTGCGCTTCGACGAGAGCCCCGGATGATGAGGTTCGGGTGATCGAGACGTAGCTGCGCGTGATGGTGGCCGTGTTGTGGGAAGCTGTGGGCAGAGTAACGACGGTTTCCACCGTACCTCCCTCGTAGACAACCTCGAGCGACCGCGGTTGGCCAGTGGTGATTGTTGAGTGCTCCTCGGGCGATATGGTCCTCGCTCCACTTGGTTCACTCGTCTGCACAGGACCTGTTGGCGCTGTAATGGTGACGGTTTCCAACGTGGTCCCACTATAGACAATGTCGACTGTATGCCCATCGGTGGTTATTACCGAGGGTCGACTGAACGGCGCCGTGGCAGTACTCGGCGGCGCTATGGACGCTTGAGATGGCACCGTGATGACAGGCGTGACGGATGATGGATTTTGGCCGCTTTGGAGAGTGGCCATCGGTGCACTCGCAGTCACCGTCATGGTCGAAACATAGCTGACGTTCGTGTTGGGAGGCGCGGTCAGAGCACAGGGACATGTCGTTTGGACGGTGACGGTCAGAATTGGACCAGTTGGCGTCGATTGCAGCAGAGAAGCCTTCCCAGTGACGGTCGTGGTCGTAACATAGCTGATGTTTGAACTGGGAGGCACGCACGACGAAGAGCTGGTATTGTTCGCCGGGGCCGTAACCGTCAGCGTAGGACCAGTTTGAGAAGCGTTCGCAATGACAGTCGTTGTTGTCACATAGCTGACGTTTGTACTCGGCGACGAGCTCGTGACATTCGTCTGATTTGCAGGGATCGTGACAGTCAATGTAGGACCACTCTGAGACGGCGCCACAGTCTGGTTCTGGGTCACCGTCATGGCAGCGATGGAGCTGCTATTGTTTGCCGACGTCGTTGTGTTCGCTGCAGGCCTCGATGTGGGAATCTGTGTTCCAACAATGACCATCGTGGTTGCGTTACTGACAACTGCCGTGGCGTTGATGGTCTGAGTTGTCAAAGGGACATCGCTGCCATTGACTGTTTGAAAGACGGTGACTGTGGGAACTGGCGGCGCTGGTTGACCGGATCCTGGCGCTGTGACTACCACAGTGGTTGCTCCGCCTTTTGCAGGCGAGCCGGCCGCTGGAATCGCCGTGGTGATTGTGATCGTTGCCGCAGAAGTTGGAGGAGCCTGGCCAGCAGAGGTTGCATTATTGGGCACTGGTTTTGGGGGGCTTTGAGGAATAGGACTGTCCTTGATAGTTTGGAACACGGTAGTGGTTTGGCCTTGAGGAGGAGGGCCGGCCATATCGGGGGCTGCGCCATTCGCAGGCGAGCCAGATCCTGGTATGGATGTGGTAATGGTGACCGTAGTAGCAGAGTCTGGAGAGCCTTGTCCGCCTTGTCCTGGAGGCGACGAAATGCCAGCTGACGAACTTGGCTTCGAGGGCGAGGATGCACCGCCGGCGCTCGCGACTGAAGAGCCTTGTCCACCTTGACCGCCTTGATCGCCTTGACCGCCTTGTCCGCCTTGTCCGCCTTGTCCAGGAGGAGACGAAACGCCAGCCGACGAACTTGGCTTAGAAGGCGAGGGCGAGGATGCACCGCCTGATGGAGAAGCAGATGGAACGCCAGCAGAAGAAGGACTTGACGGCGAAGATGCTTGTCCACCACCACCTCCACCACCGCCAGAAATGGTGACTGTTTGAACAACTGTATTGGTAGCTGGTTGATTAAGTCCAGGAACGACACCCGAAACAACGCCAGGAGTGCTAGAAAGTGAGCCCGGTGAATTCGCTCCACAACCTCGAAGGACGCGCTTATGCTCATCCACATGCATTAGGCGGAGGACCACCAGAGCCTTCACCGCTGCCGCTCCCACCACTGCCGCCCGTGCCAGTTCCAGTGCCGTTCGAGCCATCGCCTGTGCCTGCGCCATTTCCTCCACTTCCACCAATATCGCCTGCACCGCCAGCTCCACCCGACGAAGAACCAGCACCACCTTGTTGGGTGAAGTTGGCACACGTGATAGCCGTCTTGTTGGCGTAGTGGAAAACCAGGCTGTGGCCTACAACCGTCGCTGGGCCATCGTCGACGGAGACGTACAAATCCTCGTAGCTGTCAACCATATCAATCAGTAAAGCTTCACATCAAGACAACAAGGTATCGGAGATGACTGACCTAGCAGAGAAAGCACCAGGGCTACCCGCGGTTCCATGCTTGCCCGAGAGATCGCCCACTTCACAAGCAGCCGGCGTGGCCTTGTCGCATCCAGTGCCACCATTGCCGTAGGGATCGAGATGGCCGCTAGCCGTGGCACAGCTACCGTTGGCAGCCAGGGAGGAGTTATGGATATGGTAGACTTGAGACATGCAGATATCAGCTTATTGTCTTTTGTATGTGTATTGTGCTTGATGGTGTACTCACGAAACGGGCCGCCCTCGCTCGGCAGACCAGAGAAGCTCACGGAGATGTGCACGCCTTGACCGCTGCTGGCTCCAGTGACGACGACTGAACCCTGCACTGGGGTAGTATTTGGAAGCTGGGCAATGTACTGCACATCTCCGGGCTGGTTGGTTGTGGGGGGAGCGTCACCAGCGAAGGCCAGAGCCGTGAAGCTCGCGAGGAGGGTGAAGGCGCGCATGTTTGACGGCAGGTATCGATTTCGAAGGTGTTGTTGAAGTAGTAGTGAAGCGCGTGTCCAGTGGTTGAGTGAGTTATTGAAGGGTATCGAAGATGTGGAGTGTTCCAAGGAGGTTCTGGAAAGGGAGGTCGGAATGTGAGTGATGTCAATGTTTTGGACAACAAGCGCCGAGACTCGTGTGAAGGATGAGTTTGAGGAAGGATGATTGTTGTTTGCCGTCAACAGCAGCCGCCAGTGGCGCACGTGATGGGGATAGGCGGAGTCAGGGAGTGATGAGTCGTAGTGAGGAGAGGGTGGTGAGATGTCGGTGTAGATGATGGTGGAGGAGGAAGACGAACCTGGTGATGTTTGGCCGATTGATCTGATCGGAGCAACCACAGTGGTGCTTCACGCTTGCCAAAGCTTTGTAGAGCAAGAAGAGGAGAAGGTGTTGAGCAAACGAGGTTGCCACAGACCAAGTGATGCGAGGCTAGGAAGTCACGCTTGGCTTGCTCCACAGAGTTTCACAGGGCCAGGAGCCTGTGACATGGTGGAAGGTCTCGTATGTCGCTTCCCGTTAGCAGCGTGCAACTACGGCGTGCGACCTACAACAATCGCCTTGGATTGATCAGTCTAGCCTCCAATATGCGCCATTCGAGACTCGTTTGTTGGTCTTGGACATGTCAGAAGACATGGTCCAGCTGTGCCACAAGCCAAGGCTGCCAAAGACAGGAGTCTCCTGTCAAATCTCCAACAGACAAGGGATGCGTATGGCTGGTAAGAAGCATTGACTTCCAGTTCGTAAGAACTCTCTTTCTGCTGATTTATCTCTTTTGACGCCGCCTGGTCTCGCGATCGTTTCGTCGGTCACTCCGCTCTGTTCTGCTCCCGTGATCCCAATGCTTCCCTGCAAGTCATATGTTACGCCGCCAACACCTCGCTGTAAAGGATATAGGCCATTTCGCTGCCGTCGCCCGTCCAATCATAACCTTCCCTCAAGATAGACACTCCTCAAACTCCCACAAACTAACCCTCCGTCCAGCAGCCGGGCTAAGCAGATTCGTGATGTCCGTCACGCGCGCTGTCATTTCACAAACATTAGCGCACTCTTTTCCTCAAAACATTTCCAAGATCCTCGCCCGATGTTCAGTATAAAATGCTTGGTTTAGAATGCCGGCTTCTGTGCAGTTTTGGGCGTGATGGCCGCCAAGGTGTGCGTGATCATACTTTGAATGTCCTCCATGCCGTCTGTCTCCAAGCTGTGCATCAGCTCCTCTTGCTGCATCTGATTCAATCCGTTGCCGAACGATCCAGAATCCATGTCCCAGTACTGAGGAACGTACTGCTGGTTCTCCTCGTATCCACCTGGGAACGGATATGCAGCATGGTTCGGATCGAAAGCTTGATTGCCGTAGGGGTCCATGGGCTGTTGCATTGGCAGCGCTGAGGCATTTGCGTGCGCGAATGCAACAGGCGCCTGTTGTGGTGCGGTCCATCCGGGCACAGTCAGATCCGGAGTAAACTGGGGCAGGGCGTTGAACTGTGCATTGGGGAATGGATATTGCTGCTGCTGGAACTGGTTCTGCATGGTGGGTATCGAGTCGGAGCTCCCGTGGTGTGGGACGTTGTGTTGCACAGAAGGCGTTTGCCGAGCAGGAGGCGTCGTGACATTTGGCAAGCTGGAGTCGCTTCTGTAAGGTACGGGCGGGGGCTCCTCCACGCTTCGTCGTTGTGAGTGCTGGTCAATGTATCCGAACTGTCTCTCGGGCGGTGTGGCTACGGACTGGCTACTAACCGTCGCAGGACTGGTCGCTCGAGAACGGCCGTTGACATCCGGGAATGTGGATCCAGGCGAGGCGGCTGCATCTGATGGTGTGGCCGCTGAAATGGGTACGTCGTCATCTTTCTCGTAGATCTTCATGATGGCTGTGATGAGGTTTAGATATAGTTGCACTGCCGAAGCAACTCCGGGCCACCGATCAGAAGCCATCTGTATAGCTTCCATAGCAACTTCCAAATGCTTCTCCACTTCGTCGCGCTTGTGTTTTCGTCTGACCTCGACGTAACTCAGACTCCAGAGCATCGTGTTGATGGCCATGAATATTGATTGCGTGAAGATCCAGGTCAAGTCCACTGTTCGTTTTGTGATCTGTTCTCGTTGCAGGAAGATGTTGTACTGACATGCGTCGTAGCACTTGAAGGCTGCTTCCAGAGATGGTCGAGGGACTTGGGGCGATGGTCGATAGAGAAACACAACCATCGTGTTGTACCTGCCGATGAACCAAATCTTGTTAAGGCCATGACCCTCGTCTTGTGACGGTGATGCATCTCTCCATGCTGCGAGCTTTGCGTCCATTTGCACAAACCATGGGTCACGATCGTCCTTGGGCTCGGTTCTTTTCCGTTGATACAGCTTCCGACGGATCTCCAGCTGTAATAGCCGCATTTTGAAGAAATGGATGGCCACCCATTTCTTGAGCGTCGGTCGTGGAGCAGCAGGATCCACCCCCTGTTCGGTGATGTACTGATCATCGCACGTCTCAAACCAGCCCACATCGACATGCTCTTGAGAGGTTGCGAGCATCGACGGCCGGCCGATCGAATGCGCCAATCCCCATTCCATGACCATGATACACCAAAATAGTCTTCGCCGCATGTCAACTTCGAGATAGTTGATCGTGCCATCAGCTCGCCCGCGGGTGATGGTCTTCTCCTCGTTAAGGCCGAGAGATTGCACCAATCGAACAGCAATCCCCACAACATAGTAGATGGCCGTTCGCGTGGGCGTGAGGAGCGAATACTCTGCCATGAGCGCAAAGCATTGGAGTGTCTTCAAATCCATAGGGCGTACAACAGTTTCCAGATATTTGAGCGCTGCGAGATAGTAGCTGTCTGCAAGTCCAGCGTACTGGGTGTCCATCTTCTGCAGGCTGATTGCAATGACCATTCGGCAGACGAAATGCTGATACGGGCTGGCCTGATCGTGATTCGCATAGACCATGTTAATGTCCTTGTCGAATGTCGGCTCATGCAGCGCTGGGTATTGCGGCTGGACTTTGAGCTTGTAGAGCTGGATCAACAGGTCTGCGAGTGCTCTGTTGGGCAGTTCGACCGCAGCAACATCGCTGATCAACGGGTATACTTTCGAAGTCGGCTTCGCTTGCTCTTGGGCGTAGAGATCCTTGATGTCCCGCGCTCTTTGCTCTGGCACGATATCCAGTATGCTCTTCGCGTCTGTGAATTGCTTGGCCAGCTGCATCACCAGTCTGGTGATTGCGATGCCACTCGAGGGGCCAAGGTATTTCGACTCTTTGGCTTCGTGCACTCGCACCGTCGCCGCGCGCATCATGGCTTCTGGATCGTCCGCGGCGTCTTCATTCTCCACCTTGTCCAGCTCATCTTCGAGTTCGCGGACTTTGTGTTGGAGCCACACGACGTAGTTGCGATTGACGTTGTGCCCTCGATTCGAGTCGTAGTATTCGCATATCGAGTTTGTTCGTTCGCATGGGGTGCAGCGGGGTAGGCCTGGATCGCATCGTGTTTTGCGCTTCACAGACGGTCAATACAGACACAGCAGAAACAACGGTGGTGATGACCTACCTGTCGACAGCGAGTACAGGCCGTCAATGTGTGGGCGACTTGGTTTGAGGAGCCCGTCTCTATTTCGGCGCCGTCGTTTCTGACAGCCGTTTTCTTCTTAACGGCTCCGGTGTTGACAGACATTGCCGGCGGTCTCGTTTGCGTTGTGGTCATGGAATCGCGGCGCGTGCCCTCTTATTTACATGCTCGGGAGGGTCTATCGACGATGCGGTGGTGTCTGCACACGTGCGGTGGTACTACGGGAATGGTGAGGGTGGGATGCTCGCGCTGGTGGAGTGGAGGGGTCGCGGACAGATCAATGGAAGTGGAACGGAGGTCGGGTGCGGTGGGCGGGTTCATTCCAGCGTCATGGCAGCAGTAATTGCATATGATGTGGTTTCGGACGGGGCATGCTTGTAGCGTGGACGGCTTCTTGGTGAGATGAAAGCTGCTGCGCCGCCGGGTACATGCAGGGCAAGCGCAGGACACACAGGAACTTGACTTTCTTACTTTCTGCCAGAGGGCGGTCGGGCGGCCTCCGGGCTGGCGCAGTGATTGGCTGCAGCGGAGTTGCGCACGTCGAAGGGCATGGAGGTGCTCGCAAGCGACAACTCAAAGCATCGCCAAAAGTTGGACGGCGCGGGAGATGGACGAGATTGACACCGCCATGGCCCGCTGCCAGAGGCCCTGAAGACGGCCATGGCTTGCATCTCGCTCGACACGGCAATTCGATGCCTCGGGGCGGCAGGATGCTCTGGGCGAAGCCATGCACAACACATCGCCTAGAACGCGCAAAGGCATCCCCTCTCCCTCACCACATGGCGCGCTATCATTGCTATCCTCGTTATCCCGGTCCTTCTCAACACGACTGTGCGACCCGAGCAAGCCACGCTCCAAAGCCAATTCCACCGGCCATGTGATGGGGACCATGGCCAGCTATCGCCGGTGCCCTGATCCCTCATTCGCCGTACCAGAAGGGGGAGATATCGTGAAGGAACATCACGTAAGCCCTCGACTTAGACGAGCACTCGTAGGTGAACGTAGTCGACGACGATTCTGCGTCGGCAATAGTAGTTGCACGCATTTGATAGTGGGATATTCTATGGTAGTGCATTCCGCTGGCCGGGCCAAAAGTAGTGCGATATTCGGCAATGTCTTCTGTCCCTACCCGATCATGCCTCCGACGGACGGCCTTGCTCGAGTCGACCGCCTTGACCTTCCTCTCCCGTTGCTGCTGCTGCTTCTACACACATACTCTCCCGCTGCATGGCGTTCAACTCATGAGAGAGACTCTACCGTCACCGCTCCATGCACCGCCCCATTGCTGCACCGCTGCATCATATCTCTCCGTCATTCGCTGGCCCTACAGACCAAAGCCGCACCCACATGTCAGAACTCGGCCTAAATCGTGGCTGAGGCAGAGCTAAGGCTGCACGTGTGATACGGTACGAACCCCAGTGCGCATCGCTGAGCTCGCCTTGCGCCTTGCCAGTGCGGGTGATTCTGTGCTCCTTCATTTCCCCTGCCATGGCCTTTGCAGCGGTATAAGCTGCTGCTGCTGGACTCCAGTCCATCCATCACGCTGACCCACGATCCCACCCCGCTGCTCAGGCTGCGCAACGCTCGCGCTTACGCTCATATCACCGCTAACCATGGCCGTAGAAGACGTCGATGCCACCACTCTGATGCCTCTCGAGACCCCCATCCTCAAGGTCTCGCGGTATGCCAGCCTTGCCCCTCGAAGGAGATATTCGTTGCTGACGACACACTTCTTATACAGGCCAGTGGCTGCATGCTCGCGGTGCCGCAACGCCAAGATCAAATGCGACGGCAAGCTGCCCGCCTGTACTTCTTGCGAGAAGAATGGCAGGGCTGCCGAGTGTACCAGCACTAACGATCAGTTTGCACGAGGCAAGGAGCGAAGCTATGTCTCCACCCTCGAGACCCGCATCGACAAGCTGCAGGCCAAACTGGAAGAAGCGCGAGCGAGGAAACCTTCAGTCGTGTCGATCCCCGACGATGATATGAATGCTTCGCGAAGGCAGTCTTACCAAGTCCAGGAACCGCCCACTCCAAATACCACCAGCAAAGCCCTGAGACGGAAAGAAGCCACCGCCATCGATGACTTGGTATCAGACTTTGGCTTTCTGTCCGTCAACGCCACCGCAAGAGACTTCTATGGCTTTACTACTGCCATGTCGTACGCTCGACTCGTGCTCTGGGCATGTTCGAAGGATCCTTTACCAGAGGGAATGGCCCAGCCTCTACCGCCGCGATATGCTGCCACCGCGTTGATCCAACACTACCTCAACAATATCTTCGTTCTCCTCCCTGTATTCGACGAAGCCAGTTTCTATGCCTCAGTCGACAATGTCTATTCCAGAAACTCACACCAGGCAGAACCTCTGGATCACTGGCTGGTGCGGGTGGTCCTGGCCATTTCGAGTGCTTCAATGTCCGAGCAAAGAGGTGACCAACGCTACATGGAGGCTATCGGCCATGTGTGTGCTGCGTTGGAGTCCTCCGAAGACGTGCTGCATCCCGGTGCGATTAATAGTATTCAAGCCATCGTGTTGCTTACCGAGTACGCTATGCTGGATCCTCACCACTTCGATTCCTGGGGCTTGATTGGTGCAGCTTCCCGTGCCATGGTTGACCTGGGTCTTCACCAGGATCCACCAAAAGGTACGGCCATGCCCAAAGGCAAGCTGGAACTTCGACGTCGTGTATATCATTGCATCTACGCCCTCGATCGATCAACATCACTCGTACAGACGAGGGCGTTCTCCTTTTCAGACGACAGCGCCAAGGTGAAAGTCCCATTCGGCAAGCAAGCATCGTCAGCGCCAACATCGCCAGGTCCTTCCGTGCCACAAAAGCTCTGGTCACAGTCTCACGAGCACGCTATGCACTTGGTGGAGCTTCGAAAGTTGCAGTCTCGGTGGTATAGCGACTTATTCCAGTCTGGACGAAGTCGATGGGATGAGCCTTATCCTTACGTCTGGAGCACGTGTGAGTCAATGCGCAAATGGTTCGAAAACCTACCGCCAACGACATCGCCCAACATGCGCGCATTCTTCGAACTTGATCTGCTCTACTCGTACGTTTACGTGCTCTCACCATCTCCCCGGGTGCCGGCCATCAGACCCTTTGCGCAGAAGCTCATCTTCGAATACTGCATCCAATATGCCGACTTGATGTTGCGATTGATCAGCGATCCAGCGTACACAGCTCCACTGACTTTTTACGACGCAATGAGGGTTTACATGACTGGTCGACAGTTTCTCGACGTCCTACAACACGATCTCGATGCTCTTATGAGCGGCAGCATTCCGCCACATCCAGAAGTTAAACCTACAGCTGCTCCACCACCACCAATGCCTGTCGTTCCACTACCGCCTGGAGATACTGTACTGCGCTTTAACATTGCTCGAAGCATCGCCTGCATCAAGAACATTTCAGAATCATTGTCTCGATTCGGCATTCGCTGGGGATATATGAGGTGAGTCTTGAGAAATCGAGGTCGTGAACTCTTACTAACGATTTCATAGCTGGAGTCAGAGGTATCAAGGCGAGACATCTCCAATGCTGGACGAACTCAATATTCGGTTGCGTGATTTGGAGGGCACTCGTAGACAGAGTGTCTGGCATTCAGGATCGAGTGGTTCAGTGGGTAGTACCCAGGCGTACCAATCACCTCCCAGTATGCAGACACCGCCAGGCATGCCAACGCCACCCGGAATTCCACAGCAACCTGTGATGTCTGTGCAACAGACTCCACCCGGTCTGCCACACGCGCATCCTATTCACCACGTCAGCCCACCTCAGTTCCACCAGCAGCCTATTGGACCTGTATCATACAATATGGCCTCTTTTGCAGCTGGGCAGCAAGCATATCAGCAACAGCACCAGTACCAGCAGCCTGCGTATAATTTCAATCAGATGCCCACTCCCGCGCAAAATGCACCGTTCACCATGCATCAAGGCAACGCTCATCGCCCAAGCCAACAATTTGCAACTTGGACCGGCTATGGAGGCATTGGTGGTCAGCCAGATATGTTGGACGAAGAGAATGCAGTACCGCCAGACTCAAATCCGTGGAAAACTTGATTATGACGAGGCATGCTGAACAGTTGATAGGTTCGAGGTCGTAGTGGAATGACCCACCTGAACTGGTCACAGATTGTGCAGCAAGAATCCGCAGCCACCAATGTCTCCCCGCTCGCCCAGGTTACGAGTCACCGACATGGGTTACCACAAGGCACATTCGCTCGAAAAATCCCACGTTCTCCGTCTGCCGATTCATCAGAACTCCCTCGTCCGATCGGCTTGAGAACGAGTTCGGCTCCTGCCCAGAGACGAGATCCGCCAAGATCGGTTCCTGACTTCTACATCCCGCCGACCAGCAATCTGCCTCCTCTCACAGGCACTGGACCCGCTCCGGCGGCGCATCAGTTGACGAGAGACTCGGCGACGATGATGATGCAACAGGGTAGCAATGCAGGGGAGTCTCTACAGTCGCAGCTTCACCGCACGCAGTCAGGCGGTTCCCAGCAGGGTCAATGAAAGGCGGATTAGATGAATGTTTTCGTGTATTGAACGGCTGAGATGTGGGTGAAGGAATGAGATGACTTCGCAATTCGAGAGTTCGAGTGCAATCGTGTCGGAGAATGATGCAAAAATATTGATAAGCTACTATCGATTGACCTCTTACACCGAAGTCCACCACATCGTCTCGACCCTCCCTCCCATATACATCAAAAGGAATCTCATATTTCCTAATCCAAAAGGACCAGCAAAAAGGAGTTATAATCAACAGCCGTTGGCCATAGACACGCTTTCTGTCCCCCGAGCCCGCCTCACTTTGTGTGTTCGATGGAGGGGCAGTGTTCAAAAGATATATGAGATCTTGAATTGTTGCTTTTGGGGTTTAGCGAGGACTAGTGTGGGGCTAGCGTGGTTCGGGTGTGGTGCGCCGAGCCCTAGGTGGTTGCCCCTCGTGTTTCTGGCTTTTTGTGGAGGGAGGTAGGTAGGTGCTTGCTTGTTGCTTGCTTGACTGACAAGAAAGATGTCGTGTGAGACGCGATGAACATCGACGAGCGGGCGAACAGTTTTGCTATTCATGCGGCTTGTCGGGAGGGGCAGAGTGCGTAAACAACATCTTTTCCACAAGCACACACATGCACAGATACTAATACTTCGTTTCTGGTGATTACAGCCCAAAAAGTCCTCTCCCTCCTCAACGCCGACCCCAAACTCGCCCTCCTCCGCGACGACGACGACCGTCTACCCCAGCACTGGGCCGCGTCCCACAACCGCCTCGACATCCTCCAGATCCTCTCCGACAACTACACGAAGAAATTCGACGTCGACGCCCAAGATGGCTCCGGCTGGACGGCGCTCATGATGGCGGCGAGCCTGAAAGACGGCGACGAGCTCGTGGATTACCTGCTAGACCAAAAAAGCGCGGACCCGAGCGTCAAGACGAACAACGGCCAAACGGCGCTGCACTTCGCGAGCTCGAAAGCGAACCTCGAGACCGCGCGGAAATTACTCGCGAAAGGCGCTTCGGCGCGGGTGAAGGATAAGCGGGGACAACTCCCGCTGCACCGCGCAGCGGCGGTGGGGAATGGGCCGATTGTGAGGCTGCTGTTGGAGAATCGGAGTCCGGTGAATGCGACGGATGGGGATGGGAGCACGGCGTTGCATCATGCTGTGGCGGAGGGGAGGGGGGATGCGGCGGTGGAGTTGTTGAAGAGGGGGGCCGAGTGGGGGAAGGTGGATGGGGGTGGGAAGAGGGCGGTGGAGTTGGCGCCGGATGAGAGGGTTAGGTTGTTTGTGTTGAGGGGGGCGGTGGAGGAGGGGGTTGATGTTGAGGGGGGGTCGTGAGGAGGAGAGAGATGTTTGGAGGAGGATACTACGATTTGAGAGGGGTGGACGGTGGTGAGATGATGCGACGAGATGGTCAGGTATGCTCGTGGAGCACTTTGATCTCTTGACCTGTCGTCAATGCCGGATGATTGTACGACATTGATGAAACCCACGAGAGCACAGACGGAGATGCTGGGATAGAACGAGCTGGCAGCCCTAGCCTCGCATTGCTTCTCTTTGCCAGCATACAACCCAGACAACGCCGTCCTGCACAGATCAGCTGATGGACAAGAAAACAAAAGAATCTTCCCTCCTGAACTTCTTTCTTTCTCGTCTCCCGTCCATATTCGGACCCGCCCGAGTCGTGGACGGGGACGATCTTCTCCTAGCTCGCAATCCTTGCCGCAAAACCGAGTCGCCCGCTTCTCGAACCTCACCTGCATGCACCTTTGATGTCAAGCTTGCTCTCCACACAAGCAAGAAATTTTCTGTCTTCTCAATATGCAGGCATGAAGAGAGGCAAGCATGCCGACGCAAGCCTCGATCACATGCAGGAGGAGGAGTAAGAACACTCGACGAAACGTGTTGAGGTCATGACAGGCATTGAGCGTTTGGCCCGCAATAATTTTTCGGCAGCAACCTTCACCTGTCTCGGCTCGTCATCCTCCACAAAAAACACGCCCCAGCCAAACGCGTCGTCGTTTCGTGCTCCAGTCGTTGCTGAAGAAAAACTCTATGCTTTGACACTTTTTGTTTCTTTGATGAGATCCACTTTGTTGGGGGCGTATGTACCATAGTACCACCCCTCGTTTCACGGTGTCCTTCTCGAATTGTGTGTCAAGAAGGAGAAGAAGAAGAAGTCTGGATCCGTACGGAAGCCAGCCCCGATTACTTTCACTACCCCAGCCAGCACGGGGAAAGCCTTTGCTCGTTACAGGCTTTTCCTGGTTCGAACAACGACAGCACGCCCGCCCGCTCCCATCACATGTGAGTGTCAGTGCCCTGTCTCTCCTGCTCTGTGCGGGGAGTGTGAGTGGTAGTGGAGTGGAGAGGGCACGCACGCGCGCAACGCCTGAGCTGCATCACATCACGTTTCCTGGCCTTGCGCGTTGCTTGGGTGGCGCCATCCAGGTTGGACATTTTGCAAACAAGCGTCTAGATTCCCGGCGGCGACAAGTAATACCGCTTGCTTGCTTACAGTGCCCTTCACGACGATTCCCTCTCAAGTCATGTCGGCACGTTTCTTCAAGCGCCGGAGGATGTCGTCGATTGCTTCCGGCTCCCAGACGCACACTACTACTGCTGAGGATGACTTGTCGGCAGAAGGCGATCGAGCCACGACTTCATCATACGACGGCAATGCCAGCAATACAAGACGACAGAGGGCCCTCTCTTCATCGACCGCTTCTGGACCGTGCACGTCGAGCTTGCCGAGCAGGTCTTATATTCACAATGTGAATCATTCGAATCAGGGTATGTTCTTTTTACCTTTACCATTTACCTTACCTGCCTGCATGCATGCCAAGGCTCTCATATGATCTTCTTCTTCTCCTCCTTCCACAAAATCACGTACTTCCCCAAGTGAATGGCGTTGGCTGACGTGCCCGCACAGATGTGCAGTACTCGTCGTCTGGAGTCCGACAGCAGACCGCCGAGCTGTCGTCTTCGTTTCTGGACGACTCGGAGATGTCGAAGCATTTTGGTGATCGATACGATGAGAGTGCTCTGGGGGCGCAACGACCGGAGCCGATTGCAGAACGCTCGGAGCCTGCCACGCCGAATGAGGAATTGGGTCCTCGTGGATCTTTTGATGCATCTACGATTGCTGGCGCTAGTGACGCTTTATTGATCTACAACGAAGATAGTCACAGCCCTTCACCTGGTCTGGGCGGTCGACGGCGAACGTCAGCTTCGAGGGTCCCGGAAGTTGTCGTCACTAACGAGGACGGTGATATGGGCGAGACGACTCCCTTACTACCCCGTGCGCGGTTATCGTCCCCCCGAAAACAGAGATACGACGCTGGCGGAGACCTCGAATCCCAGCCGAAACAAGCACCTCACCAAGGCATCTGGAATCGACTGGGCCACCACTATCCCTCATTCCGGGCGATCAGGCGTGTTGTCGATGTGGCGAGCAATCCCAAACGATGGGACATGCGGCAAGTGGCGAGCACGGTGGTGTACAAGCCCGTCAAGGCGCTGCCCTCAGTGTTCTTGGGTCTGCTGCTGAACTTGCTGGACGCACTGTCGTATGGCATCATCTTGTTCCCGCTTGGAGAAGATGTCTTTTCTGAGATGGGCGCGGATGGCGTGTCGATGTTCTATGTGAGCTGTATTGTCTCGCAGTTGGTGTACTCGAGTGGGAGTATCTTTCGAGGGGGTGTTGGGTCGGAGATGGTATGTCGTGAGTTGAGTTTGAATTGAGGCTGCTGCTAATGGGATTGTAGATCGAGGTTGTACCCTTCTTTCACAAGATGACCTACATGATCATCAGCATTATGGGCACAGACAACCCGGACGCCCTGCGAGCCACGGTCATCACGTCTTACGCCATGAGCTCCATCTTGACGGGAGTCATCTTCTTCGCTTTGGGAGCTGCGCGCCTTGGGACTCTCGTCAACTTCTTCCCGCACTCGATCCTTGTTGGCTGTATTGGTGGCGTGGGTATCTTCTTATTCCTGACTGGAGTCGAGGTTTCTGTTCGTTTAGACGGCAACCTGGATTTCACAAAGGAGGTCCTGATGAAGCTCATCGCCCCTATGAGTCTGGCTCAATGGCTGCCTCCACTGGCACTGGCCATCATCCTACTCATCGTCAAACGATACTACGACAAGCCTTTCCTCGTCCCGGCATACTACATCGGCATCACCGTCATATTCTACATAGTCGTTGCTGCCGTACCCTCGCTCAGCGTCGAGGGTCTCCGCAGTTCAGGCTGGGTTTTCGAGGCGCCCGCAGCCGACAAGACCTTCTACAACTTCTACAGCTACTACAAGTTCAGCTTGGTGAACTGGAAAGCCGTGGCGATGACGATTCCGTCGCAGTTCGCGCTGACGCTTTTTGGGATTCTGCATGTGCCGATTAACATCCCTAACCTGGCGATGAAGATGCAGGAGGATAATGTCAGTATCAATCGGGAGCTTGTCTTGCACGGGATTTCGAATTCGCTATCCGGATGTGTGGGGAGTATTCAGAACTATCTCGTCTACGTCAACAGCGTGCTGTTCATGGACACTGGAGGCGATAGTCGATTGGCTGGATATCTGTTGGCGGCTGCTACTGCTGGACTCTGGATTGCTGGACCGATCGTCATTGGATATGTACCGGTCATTGTGGTTGGGACGCTGATCTATTACCTTGGAATTGATCTGGCCAAAGAAGCGCTTGTGGATACTTATGGCCGACTACATCGATTGGAGTACTTCACCATCGTTGTCATCGCCTTGGTCATGGGGATTTACGACTTTGTCGTTGGAGTTGCTGTTGGAATTGGGCTGGCTTGTCTGGTATACGTTGTCCAAACATCGCGAAAGACAGTCATTCGAGCACAATTCTCTGGCGAGATTGCGGAATCAACCGTTCGTCGCCATCCTCGACAGCGTGATTACTTGCACCGCGTTGGACCTCAAATCCGGATTGTCAAGCTGGGTGGATATCTCTTCTTTGGCAGCATCGTCAACGTCGAGAAGACGGTGCGAGCTCTGATCGACGCAGAGGCTTTTGCTGCATCGCCGATTCGATACCTCATCCTAGACTTCTCGCACGTCACCGGAGTAGACTTCTCAGCCGCTGAGGGATTCGGTCGAATGTATAGGATTCTGAGAAGAAGAGACGTCGAGATGGTGCTTGCAGGCGTCAACCTCGACGACGAAGTCGGCCGCAGTCTGAAGATGGACGGTCTCTTCGAAGAAACCGACGAAGACCCACCAACACCACCCCCAAAAGTCTACGAAGACCTCAACGGCGCCCTCGAAGCCTGCGAAAACGCCCTCCTCGTCACCCTCACCGAAAAGCAACAATCCGGCCTCACGGGCGGCGGCGACTCCCCACCCATGCCTATCCCCTCGGAACCGCCCAAACGCGCCCAAATCACCGACCTCGAAACCCTCTTCGGCTCCCCCCGCACCAACCTCCGCCACCGCGCCGCGACTGAAACCATCGTCGAGCAAGGCGGCCACCCGGAACGCACCAAATGGCAAAACCTCAAACAACCCCTCCCGCTCCTCCTGCAGGCCTTCGAGAACTTCACCACCCTCCACACCGAGGACTTCTGGTTCCGTGCGGTCCCCTACTTCTCCCGGCGCGAGTTCGCGAAGGGCCAACAACTCTACGCGCGCCACGACAAGCCCGACGGCTTCTACCTCCTGCAATCCGGGATTCTCCGCGCCGAGTACTCGCTTGAGCAGGGGAATTACCACGAGAGCATCGTGGCGGGGACGACGTGCGGGGAGCTGCCGTTCTTCAGCGAGACGGAGCGGACGTGCAGTGTGCTCGCGGAGACGGATTGTGTCGCGTGGTGTTTGACGCCGGAGCAGTGGGGGGTGCTGCAGGAGAGGGATGTGGAGGTGGCGAATGAGTTGTTGAAGGTCGGGTTGAAGTTGAGTGCGGAGCGGATGAATGCTATTACTAGTTATGTTTTGATTACGGCGAGTTAGAGGGGGGAGGCAGTCGAGAGGGGAGGGGGGTTTGTATTTTGGTTGGATTGGGCTGGGAGAGAAGATGTAGTGGTGGCGGTGGGTTTGATTCTTTCACTCAGCGTATGAGCGAGCGAGCGAGCGAGCGATTGGGAACGAGTGGCGAGGTCGAAAAAGCGAGGCGTTTGGGTTGGATTGGTGGGTATAAAAGTCTGCTTCTTTCTCGTCGGGTGGAGGATAGAAATGGGTCTTCTGGCATAGAAGAACCCTTTGCCGCTCGCTATCTGATAGTTTGCTCATCAATTGGCTGTGGGCATTTGTAGAGTATATTGCTATCGAACGACGCCCAGAGTCCGCACCTAAGGGAGCTCTATCTCGAAGTCGAATTCCCACCCCCAACAACAGAGATCCGGCCATCAAGCTGGATATCGACCGGTGACTGTTCGATAATATAATTAGTAAGGACCACATCCTGCGTATCGAGCGTAGCGATCTCGCTAAACTCCGGGAAAATGTTGTCGCCACCTGTGTATATACACGTTAGCAATACTTCGATCTTGAGCCCAGCACAATTCTACCAACCTCCAGCGAGAAAGTCGAGCGTGACGATATTGTACGTCGCCGTCTCATCCAACGCGGCATCGCCGACGGTGACGTTGACGAGTCTGCTGCCGACGGCGGCGTCGGGGTTCCACTGCACGGTGATGCCCCGGCTGATTTGGAAGAAGCTGGTGACTTCTTCGCCGTTGAACTAGTTCGAATGTCAATAGCTTGTCCTTCCTCAGATTGGGGTCTTGAAAACTGCATACCTCGCTGACGCCAGAGCAGAGTCCTTCCAGGACCTTCCAGAGATCCTCACCGCTCAGCTCGACCTCGACGACGCTGTTGCCGAATGGGAAAGACGTCAGGACTTCGCCGCGCGTGATGGGTCCAGCGTCAATCGTCGCGCGGATGCCTCCAGCGTTGATGATGGCGAAGTCGGCGGTATCGCTGGTGTTGAGACGGTACGAGAGCATAGCATCCGACATGAAGTCGCCGAGAAGACACTCTTGCTCCTGGCATGTCGTTTGATCTAATTCGACGTTTGTGGTGCCGACTTCTTCCGCGGCGAATTCCTCGAACGGACCTCGCCAGGATTTGATCTGTGCCTGGAGGGTCGCGTTTTGCGAGGTCTTGTTGTCGAGATGGATTGGGCCTCCGTGATATTCTAGGATTTTGCCGTCACAGTCGTAGGTCACGTCGATGTATCCCAGGTACTCGCCCCATCCTAGAAAGCGTGTTAATCTCGTTGGCGGTGCCACGTGCTGGGATCAACTCACGGTAAGCGGTCACGATGAACACCTCCTCGCCGTCAAGATTCTGCACAATTGTAGGGTAAGGGCCTTCGGCGCCCTCGAAATCGCCGAGTGGTGTATGGCTGTGGCCTCCCATGATGAGGTACAGTCCTGTCGTGTTCTGAGCCAGAGCTTGGTCTTCTTCGTATCCGATATGCGTGATGGCCGCGATGCGGGTGATGTTCGTAGTGGTGCGAATGAGGTCCACAGTATTCTGAACTGCTTCGACAGGGTCCGAGAAGGTCGTGCCCTCGCCAGGACTGGAAATACCTGGTGTTGTCTCCGTTGTGACGCCAATGACGGCCAGTTCGAACTCCTCGTAGATGTGATAGGGCTTGATCGTTTTGTTGAGAACGGGATGGTCAGACTGGATGTTGGCTGATATGATAGGAAAAGTGAGATTCTGGAGGAACTCCCCTAATTTGTCGTCGCCCGCGTCGAATTCATGGTTTCCGAGAGTCATGCCGTCGAAGCCAAGCTGATTGATCGTCTCGGCGATCTTCTCGCCGCCGTAGTAGGTGTAGAACAGCGTGCCCTGAAATTCGTCTCCGACATTGAGGAACAAGCTGGAGTTGAGAACGGGTCGCCGCTGGTTGATGGCGGTAGAAACGCGAGCATAGCCGCCATAGCATCCAACGCTGGCATTCGTGCAGTCCGTTCCCGAAGACCGGAACTCGTCTAGGTGAGCATGTACGTCGTTGATGTGGAAGAAGGCTGGGACAGTCAGTCACTGGACGAGTATTGGTGATTTTGGGTTGTGGTACATTGATTCCAGTTGCCGTTCCCATCAATATATCGCTTCTCAAGGCGCCGTTGACTGTAAAGAACGTCTTCGGCCCACGCTGAAGTGATGAGAGGCAAGGCGGTGAGCACACCCGTTAATAATGACCCCATGTCGGATTCAAGATGAGCAGAGATGCTAACATGCGAAGGAAACAAGAGAGGTCGAGTTATACAAATAATACCTTCATCGCCACACAAGCATCGGTTTCATGCACCGAACCCTCGCAAGTCGCCTGCACAATCTTTCTACACGGTCTTGGCAAAGATAAATTGCGCGTATCGTATGCCCGAAGAGGACCTCATGGCCGCGCCGGCGAGGTATTGGCACACTTGGCAATGATGGGTCCGTCATGGTCGGGTAGCATCTTGCCAGGGCTGCCGATGGTCCCTGACAGACGCGTGGAAGAGTGCTGGAGGGAACGTGTGGCTCGTTGTACTACTTTTCACAACATGGAAGCAAGACGCAAGGGAGGGGATGTTGGAGAAAGGACGCAGGAGGGCGAGGGCGGTAGAAGGGCGACTTTTTAGACTTAAGCTAGCGCCAACCCAATGAGCTTCGAGGAGCTGGAGATGGGTGACCTCAGTCTCAAAGACTCACAGTTTTGCGACGTCTTGGAGAGTTCAAGGATAAGCCGAGAAGCAGGACGAGGCTCCAAGCCAGCTCTGTACCGCAGCGCGCAAAACGACTGTATATTGAGCTCGAGTAGGCGAACGCGGTAGGCCACGACAGTTTTCAGTCTCCCCTGCCCTTTCGTCTCTACTCGTTTGCTCCTCTTCACCTGCTGAGCACAGTCACCCACCTCGATCTAGAGATGGACCATGGCCACCGGTATGAATCCTGCCCTGAAATAGGAAACCACGTTCTGATAACACGGCAGTCCGAATATGCATCTGCGGTGACGAGAGCGTCGGCAAAAGCTCCCTCCTGACCTCGCTCGTCAAAGACACCTTCGTCACAGCCAAGATCCAATCCGTCCTCCCGCCCATCACACTGCCTCCCACGTTGGGCACGCCGGAAAATGTCACGACGACAATTGTCGATACGTCTGCCTTGCCACAGGATCGCGATTCGTTGCGGAAAGAGCTGCGGAAATGCAATGTGATTCTGCTGGTCTACAGCGACCACTATAGCTATGAGCGCGTTGCCTTGTTTTGGATGCCACACTTCCGGTCGTTGGGAGTCAATGTACCGGTGGTGCTGTGCTGCAATAAGAGCGATTTGTCTCCCGCGATGAGCACGGCCAAGGTGATTGAGGATGAAATGCTGCCTGTTATGGGTGAGTTGGAACAACATCTTACACCTAGGGCTATCTATTGATACACGGACAGCTGAATTCAAAGAGATCGATTCTTGCATAAGAACAAGTGCAAGAGAACACCACAACATCAACGAAGTCTTCTTCCTTTGCCAGAAGGCCGTCACCCACCCGATAGCACCCATCTACGACGCCAAGGAGGGTGCACTGAAGCCAGCAGCTGTTGCGGCGCTCAAGCGAGTCTTCTACCTCTGCGATAAAGACCAAGACGGCGTCCTGAATGACAAGGAAGTGCACGAATTCCAGATGAAGTGCTTCGAAAAGCCATTATCAGACGACGACCTAGCCAACATCAAGCGTTCGATCAGGCGGCCTCAAGAAACCGCCGACGGCACCATCGAAGTAGAAAAGCTTCGTGATGGCATTGACGTCGATGGCTTCATCCAGCTTAACAAAATGTTCGCCGAGAAGGGCCGACATGAGACCATCTGGATTATCTTGAGGAAGTTCCACTACTCAGACAGCCTCTCCCTCAAAGACAACTTCCTCCACCCCAAATTCGACGTGCCAGCCTACGCCTCCGCCGAGCTCTCCCCGGCCGGCTACCGCTTCTTCGTCGACCTCTTCCTCCTCCACGACAAAGACAACGACGGCGGGCTCAACGACTCCGAACTCGCCGCCCTCTTCGCCCCCACCCCCGGTCTCCCCTCCTCCTGGATCGAAAACTCCTTCCCCAACTGCACCGTCCGCAACGAAGCCGGCTACATCACCCTCCAAGGCTGGCTCGCCCAATGGAGCATGACGACCTTCTCCGAACCCAAAACCACCCTCGAATACCTCGCCTACCTAGGCTTCGAATCCTCCGACACCAAACCCACCACCACCTCCGCCCTCAAACTGACCAAACCCCGCAAACGCCGCACCAAACCCGGCGCCCGCGTCGAACGCACCGTCTTCCTCTGCTACGTCCTCGGCGCCCCGGGCTCTGGCAAATCCTCCCTCCTCAACGCCTTCCTCGCCCGCCCCTTCAACCCCACCTACCACCCAACGATCCAACCGCAAACCGCCGTCAACGCCGTCGAGCTCTCCGAAGGCGGCAAACAATGCTACCTCATCCTCTCGGAGCTCGGCGAGCTCGAACCCGCCATCCTCGACAACCCCGCCAAACTCGACGCCTGCGACCTCCTCTGCTACGTCTACGACTCCTCCGACCCAGACTCCTTCACGCACATCCTCGACACCCGCGCGAAATACCCCGCCCTCGCCGCCCTCCCCGCCGTCTACGCCGCCCTGAAAGCCGACCGCGACCGCGCCGTCCAGCGCACCGAGCTCCAGCCGGACGTCTACTGCGAGGGACTCCGCATGTCCAAACCCCTGCATGTGTCGGTGAACTGGAAGAGCATCGCGGAGTTCTTTGTGCATCTCGCCGAGTGTGCGACGTTTCCGGCGCAGGCGTTTCCGAAGGCCAGCGAGGAGGAGGAGAAGGCGGCGTTGCAGGGGACGGCGGTGTATTTGGGTGTCGGGGCGACGGTGGCGGTCGCGGCAGCGTTTGCGTGGGTGTGGAAGAGGAATTTGTTGTCTGCTGGGTCGAATGGGGCGGGTGGGACGTAAGTTACATGTTGTATTTGTGCAGAGATTTGTTGGACTTGATCATGAGATACCCCTCTCTCCGAGAAATGTATGAATACTGTCAATCACTCACGAGGAAGATGGTTGACACTCTTCTCATATGATGTAATCATTCCATTCTATCACTCGACGACATGATCACCCACATGGGGCAGCTTGGAGACCTGTAAACAGGCAGTACATGTAAACAGCACGATGCCAACTTTTCGATCATCTTCTTCTTCTTCTTTCAAGGGTATCAAAGCCATCGCCATCATGCACGAAAACCACGAAAAAGCGCTATGCCAAAGTCCACTGCCGTCTCATCATCACATCACCCGTCATCACCCCATCATCATCCAGCAATCATTCACCCACGCAAATACTGCACCAACTGCGTAAGCTTATCCCTCGTCTCATCGGTGAGCTGCTCCTCCGGCGGCCCCAGCACCTTCTCAAACACGGGCATCAACTGTCCCGTCAAGCCCTGGATCGTTTCGTTGCGGGCCTGGTACAGCGTGACGATCATATCGAACACGGGCTCGTTCTCACGGAAATCCTCCTTGAGCGGCAGGAGCTCGGCGAGGTGGGGCAGGACGTCCTGGAGGGGGATGCTCTCGGGCGATTTCTTGATCATGCGGCTGACGCAGCCGGCGGCGTTGTCGAGGAGGCGCGCCTCGGAGTCGCTGGCGTTGGCGTTGGAGTTGTGGAGGAGGGGTTCGAGGAGGGTGAGGATGTTGGTGTAGTTGGAGAGGATTTCCTTGGCGTCGGTGCTGTTGGCGCAGAGGAGACCCATGCCGAAGGCGGCGTTGCTCTTCGTCTCGGGGTCCTCGTCGCTCAGGCGCTTGAGCAGCACGCGCATGAAGCGTTGAGTGTAGGGAGTGCAAGCGGCACCCATGGACTCGATGCAGTCGGCCACGGTGCCAACGGCTGAGCAGCGCTCGAAACGCTCCTGAGATGAACAGAACTTCATGACTGGGGTCTCGAAGATCTGCCAGAGCTCGCCGAACTGGTCGCCCAATGCAGTGCCAAGGGCAGCAACAACCTCAAGAGCGGTCTCGATGACGAGCCAGTCGTACTCAGCCGACTCGCCCTCAATAGGGGCGTCGTCGAAATCATCCTCATCCTTCTGGCAAGGGTGGTTGCGCTGCAGGATGAGCATGATCGCAGAAGTGACCTGCTCCAGAGGTGTGGCATTCTCTGACTTCGACGTGGCGAGGACGGCTGGACCGCAGAGCTTCAAGGTAGCGGCCAAGTTGCGGTTGACCTCAGTGACAGTGGCCCTGAATGGCTGTTAGCATGTGTTCACATCGAAATGTCCATAGCAAGTAATTGTTCGTGTTTGAGATCAGAAACAGCCTCTACGTTCTCGCAGCATGTGCCGTAGCATCTGAGTGAGCTGGGTTACGATAGTGTTGTCATCACGTCAAGAGAGGGGAATAGAAAGAAAAAAGCGTCGACTCACCGATCCATCTCCTCTTCCCAGAGAGCAAGCGTGCCCTTCATGACGAGATCGCCCAACTTCTTCAAGTCGTTCGTAGGCTCGACCTTGAGAGGAATGCCAGCCTGCCACTTCTGCATGCCGTTGTCCTCGGCTAGGCCCCAGAGGCAAGCGTATGCACGCCAGAGTGTGCTGATGGCGCTCTTTCGCACGCCCTCGAAGGTGTGGTCCAACAGTGGGATGGTTGTCTCAATCGTCTTCTCCATGTATGGCAGGTACTTGCCCTTGGCATGTGTAAGGACGTCTCCGATCACCTCAACAGCGATCTCCTTCTCCATGGCGACAGCAGTGACCGCACCAAGATCATCCCAGTCGTCGTCATCATCATCGTCTCCAGTCTCCATCATGGCCTTGATGACATCCTCCTCAGAGATTTCATCATCCTCGTTGACACCGTTGGCGCCAGCGACCTTGATCTTCTTGCCAGCAATCGTGACCTCTTGACCGACAAGGTCTGAAGCCTCAGCACCGAGCTGGACTTCAGAGTCGGTCTCTTCCTGCTCGAGGCAGTCGAACAGAGACTTGACGACACCCTGCAGGAATGGCTCAAAGTTCTCCTCGTAGACTCTGGCGAGCGTGCTCCACAATATGTAGCTCGTCTCCTTCAGGCGCTGGTGATCGAGGTGAAGACCCTCCTCGCTGGCCTGCATGAGCGGTCGCACGAAAGGCTGGAAGGCCTCAGCACCAACAGCGCTGGCAATCTTGCCAAGAGAGTCGATGACCATGCTCCTAAGCTCAAGTTCATCTTCACTGTCCTTGATCTGAATGTAGCCACCCAAGCTCTGCATCGTCTTCTCAAAGTATGGCTTGAAAGCCTCCTCCGAAGCACTGGCAATGCTGCCGAGGGCACTAACAGCGGCCATCTGCACCTTGTGGTCGTCGTGGTCGATGAGATGGCTGAATCGTGGCACAAGCTCAGCTAGGTAGCGAGCAGCATCCTCAGCTTCGAGACCCTCGATGAGAGAGTCGACGGCCATGGCGCTGGCCTTGACGATGTGAGTGTTGAGTTCGTGGTCCTTGGAATCCTTTTGCGAGTTCTGCATGCCCTGAAGTGCAAGGTCGAAGTTTTTGACGAGAGCCGGGATCAGGCGTGCGTGCTCCTTGCCCATGTCCTCGGCGAGGTCATCCGCAAGACGTGTGACGCCGTTGAGGGTAGCGCTACGCACACTGATGGCTGGGTCCTCGAGCAGGTGGAGGACCAGGGGAAGGATCTCGTTCAGCTGGGTAGCGATGAAGTCTGGTGCACCCTCAACGCACATGCCGAGAGCCAAGATACCTGCTCTCCTGTACTCTGCCTGCTCACTCTGGACGTATGGGCCAATGGTCTTGAGCAGTGGCACAGCAACCTGGCTGGGTGGCAGGCTCTCGCTGAGAATATCGAGCAGACCGAGGGCGGATCGTGCGGGCGAGATATCATCCTCCTCAGATGGCAGCTCATCAAGCTCAGTAGCAATCTGAACGCACATCTTGGTCATCTGCTCGCCAACCTTCAAGCTCTGGACCTTGAGCTTGCGGTACCGCACCGCCTGCATCAAGAAGCTGATGGCCTGCGATCTCGACTCGTCGTCCACCTCGGTCTTGGAGGAAACCTGCATGAAGAACTGCAGCAGGTCGCCGAAGTGTGCGTTCAGGAAAGCACTCTCGTAGCTGAGAAGCTTGTTGAAGACATCGAAAGCTTGCATGGTGTGTTCCTCGTCTTCCTCAGCAATCGTCGACTGCAAGACCTTGACCATGTGTGGGATGGTGCCCTGGAAAGCCTTCAAGCTCTTGGTGTCCTCCTCCGTGTCCAGCACCATAGCCAGCTCCGACAAAGCAAGCATAGTGTTCACTCTTACTTCCACCGACTCGGGATCTTGGATCGTCTTGGTGAAGAGGGCGAGCATCTGAGACATGTTCTCTTGGAAGACGTCGGGCATGGTCTCGAGGAGGGTGTAGATGATGTAGACGCCGACCTCGCGGTGACGGGCAGTCTCGCTGGTGGCAGCTTGCTGCAAGATGCCAGGGAGGTCGGCCCATTGTCCATCTTCGAGGTCGATCTTGGCGATAGACGCAATGACACGAGCTTTGGTGTGTCTCGGCAGCTGCTTCTCCTCGTCGATGGTGCTCTTGAGGAGTTGCTCACGGAGCTGGCCCTTTTGCTGTTCAGGCACCGCTGCCCAGTGCTTTGAGACGAGTTTGCGTGCCTCGACACCGGCCAGTTGTCGTAGCTGGGGCTCGGGGTGGTTGACGAGGATGTGGATGAGGGCCGTCACCGACTGGGGCGACGAGTAGTAGGACTTGTTGAGCTGGCTGGTGGCCTGCTTGACCTTGTTGGTGTCAGGCTCAAGCAGAGCCTGCAGCAGCGAGACGAATTCCTGCTCGTCCATGTTTGAAAGGGGGGTCTCAAAGGAAGGACGAGGGAGGAAGAGAAAGCTGCGTGGCCAAAGATTTTGTGCTCTAGTAAATAGAGACTACCGCTCTGAAATTTGTCGCTCGCCCGAAGATTTCGCGGCAAGGGTCCTCGCGGTCCCGCATTCCCGCTTCGAGTCGTTCATGCCTCAGGCAGAACATTCACTTGACGTCAGTCACATGAATATGAGATAGTCTGGGCATTGATGGTATGTTTTTCAATCGTTCATTCATCAATTCGTCTGCCTAATCCGCTCAACAACAAAACGACAGCGCCATAGCTCGGCATTTTGGGTATCATCAACTCATCAACGGAAAAATCAGTCCGTACCAACAATCAACGCAAAGAAAAAACACATCACTGCTGTCTCAGCAACAACTCCACCGCCCGGTCCAATCTAATCCCATCGCCCATATCCGTCATTTGCAGCGCCTTGCTCGCTTCGGCGGCACTGAAGCCCATTGAGACAATCTTTGCGACCGCCATGTCGCTGGTGTCTTCTGCGACTCCACCGAGGTTTCGGAGAGTCATGCGGTTGAAACCATCAACCCGTTCTTCGATGATTGGGCTTATGGCGCGTGGTGCTGCCCAGAGAGTGGATGGCGATGTTGGGGAGAGTGTTGAGCCGTGGCGCATTGGTGTTGGTTGTTGGGTAGATGGTCTTCGGCTCGTGGTGGTGCTCCTTGAGACGACGCTTCGTCGTGATCGCGAGCTACCAGTGCGAGACACCATGCTCATCGGTCGCTCGGTGTTCATATCGATCAGAGGCAGGCGCTTGTACTCGCTGCTCTGTCGACGCAGGCGGATCTCGGCAGCCAGAGTCGCAACTCGCTGGCGGCTCTTCTCCTTCTTCTCCTGCTCTAAGGGGTCCTGAAGTCTTAGCTTCGCGAGCAAAACTTGCTCTTCGTAACTCTTCGCAACGGGCTCCTTGAGGAAACTGGTGCGGCTGCCGTTATACACGGGTGGCGTCCATTTTGTCCAACCGTAAGCCTCAGCCAAAGCGAAGCCTGCGTCGCTAGTGTCGCTTGCGTACTCGGCCATCTCCAGCACGACACTCGGACCCAGCGTCATCAAGTAAGCAGTCCATTCCTCCAACATCTGCTCTTCCTGCTCGACATCACCTTCGACCACACCAGTCCCATCAAAGACGCCATGTCGTCTGGCTTGGTCCACTCGGCCCTGGTAACCTTGCAAGAGGACAGTCAAGCAAGTCCAGATCTCGGTCATGTCAAACAGCTGAGTAGCATAAAGTCCGCGCTCGTTGGCCTTCGCAAAGTAATCTGGTGGATTCAGAAGCACGCTGCTCATATCGAAATCCAGATTCGTGTTGACGGTGGCCACACAGCCTTGGTTGTTCGCTAGGAGTCCTCCCTTCAGCCAGTCGAGCTGGCCTGTAATGTCATCTTCACGGCCTTTGTCGCATCCAAAAATCTTGCAGAAACACCAAATCCGCCAAAAGGCATCGTTGAATCTCGCAGCATTTGGGTGAGTGGGCGTTGAGAGTGCGAAGGTAGTCTCTCTACGGATGAAGGTCTGACACTTCTGCAGAATCAGCCCTTTCAATCGCTCCACCACAGCTTGATCTCGTCGGAAGCACCGCATGTACGACATTGGCGTGTGCTCCAGCTGGGATGATGCCTTGCCAGAGTCGACTTCGTTGCGGTCAGGTGGGCTCCACTCTCGAAGTTCCCACGCCGCTGGGGACTCGTTGAACGCCACCGTCCGGATCAGATCCATCTCATTCTCCTTGAACACGCGGTACATTCCCTTGTTGATGACGGCGGTGTTGAAGAGATCACCGATCGATTTGAGAGACGCGAGGATGTGCAAAAGGACGTTCTCAGCTGACTCTGAGGGAACCATAGCGGTCGCTGTTTCGTCCGCCTCCATGATCGTGGTTGGCTTTTGTAGGACTGACTCTGATGCCTGGTCGACCACAATGGTTGGAACAATTGGAGTGTCAGCAGATTTCTCTGCGTCAGACGGGCTCGGTCGTTCTGTAATTGAGGTCAAGTCGGCCGAGTTATGGTTGGAATGGGAGATGCTAGCACTCTTCCGCAGGGTAGGTCCCTTCGTTGGCTGGTCCAGTGGCTTCATCTGCGACTCAGACCGTCTCCTGGTAGGCATTTGAGGAGCTGGAACAGCACTAAGGCTCTTAGTGCCTCTAGTCATTCTCCAGTCCCTCTTCCTGGATCGCTTTGGAATCGTCGGGGCACGCACTGGCGGCTGCATGACGTCTCGCACACTGTCGCTGCGCTGCAGCAAGGAGCCGCTCCTAGATGGGAGGTCGACTGCCTCATTCTGTTCATGCTCAGGCGGTTGAATCGACTCAAGCGAGTCCTCGAGGTCTTTCTCGGCCTGGCTCAAAGTTGGGCTCGTCGGTTCGTGCACATTTAAAAAGGTGTATGGTGAACTGCGAATGAAAGCTCGATCAGCACGATCCAGCTCGCTCATCGATCGGCTGTGTCGCATCTGGCTCTCCTGTTGCAGCATGTCCGCGTGTGATGGCAGCCTGACAGTCTTGGAGATTCGCTCGTTCCTGGAGAAGGGAGAAGGCGCCTCACGTTCGGGCATGACTGGTAGAGGTGGGGGTGCCTTGTCCTTGTTCGGCTGTGTCGACGCACAAAGTGCTTCCACGCTGGTTGCCGAGCTTCGTCGACTAGATGCAGAGAGATCAGTGGTTACAGAACTGCCTGAAGTCGAGGACCTTGAAGCGTGCGATCGGCCGCTTTCTGAATGCACTGGGGCATGAGGCCTATCAGGCGGGCTAATCACTAGACCCGAATCCTGCTCCAACGGAGAGACGTCCTTTGGCTCCTCCAGAACAATCGCAGGTGGTTGACGAGGGAACTTGGTAACGATGCTCGCTGGAGCCACCGAGACAGGTCGACGCGGCTTCGGCTGAACAATCGTAGACAACGTGCGGTCGTTAATCAGCGGCTCACCAGCCGGGATAACCACAGATAGATGTGGCTTCCGAGCAGCAAGTTGTTGTCCGAGTTGCGTGCCAGCAGAGACTGGTCGAATTGGTGTGAAGCCAGTCTCCTCGATCTTCTCCTCTTGCTTTTCACCTTGGCCAAGAACGGTATCATCCCAATGCACCACGCCATTTATCCAGACGCCAATTCTGCTCTGGGAGTCCTTCCTCTTCTGAGACTTGGTCCTTTGCGTTGCCAAAGACGTCGTGCTCTTGCTCCTCAACATATCCTGCTGAATGGGGGACAATGGTGAAGAGTCGCCCCGATTCAATGCGTTCAACGTCAACTCTCGCTCGTTGATCGCTATCGCCGAGAGGATCTCCTCGTTTGGGCTTGTAGCCATCTCCTCCTCCAAAGCTGTCATTTGGATCGTCTTTGCTGGAGGCACCGCATTGAGAATGGTGGCCTTTGGTGTCTTGGGAGTCCTTGGACTTGCGGCCTTTGGCGACTTTGGACTCTGACTGCAGACACTCTTCCTCCTACCAATCCAGCTCTTCTGTCTTTCGGTCATTGGACGAGGCATTGCTGCCTGGGCTATGAATGGAGGAGTAGGCTCAGGTGTCTCGGTACCTCTCCTACTGAAGATGGAAATGCTCCGTCTGAATTGGCTGGTCGGTTGTGGGATCGGTTCGGTTGGGCCAGAGTTGTTGGAGGCCGCAACGTCGATCGAAGCGTAGTAACGTCCCTCTCCCATTTTGACGGTGGGGAAGGCTGAGCAGAGGTATTCGTAGTACTGGGCGGGCTGCTGTCAGGTACCGACCAACCTCGCGACTGTGGCGAGCAATGATCAGCTCCGTTCCAAAAGCGTTCCTGTGACAGGTCCCTACCACTATTATGCAAGCCCAGCAGGTGGCAAGCAAGGATGATAGATGGGCTCCTCCAACACTGCTGTGATGGTTCGATGAGTATGGGTCAGGCTGACAGAGACGCCTGGAATACGACGCCGTACGAGAATGTTGAAACAACAAGGGAAGTGAAGATACTCATACCTGCACGGCGAGCAGGCGCAGCGAAGAGCATTCGGAAACAGAGAACATGGCGGAGGTTAAGCGGCCTCGCATACTATATCAGTCGAGAGCTGTGTGTCTCGCGGCAGACGACATGCCAGTCCGGGAGCATGTTGCTCGAGCTTCGCCCAGCGAAGGCATGAGGGAGCCAGGTCAGAGTGCAGTCATGGCACGCACGTATGGCTGAAGCCCAGGCGCGGACAGTCAAACAGGCTCGCGGGCCCTGGTGCATGGCGTTGGAAGGACCCTAGCTCTTACTATGTGTGGAATAGATCGACCTGTGTCTACCAAATATAGGTAAGGCGCACAGGAGGCTGAGGTGTCCGAGCGGCTCCGCACTCGCCGGGGCTGTGAAGTCTGGCATCGCACACCAGCCGCAGGAATCAGGATGAAGGGTCCTTCCTTCACTATAACGGCCGGCTGGAATGACAACGTCGTCGTTCTGAGGCCGCACACAGGCAATTCTTGCGCCAGTGCAGGCGTTGGTGTTGTCTCAGTGCTAAGAAGAAGGACATCTGGACCTCGCTACACCAACAACGCGCAACAGCTGGGAACGGGATTCCAGAACAGCCGCGCTCGGTTTGCGACTGGATCGCCCAGCTCACCCACCCTGGCGCATAGAGGCAGGATCATGCATGTCAGTGTTGAAGTCCGAGGGTTAGACTTTCCGCGTGGCATCGCCGGTGGTCGAATCGCATGATGTCGTCGACGATGTTTCGGAGAATTGCACGCTCGACGGCGTCTGCTATAGGTGTGTCTGTCTTGCGCTGGCAGCCACGCAAGCGAGCGTGCAATGGCGCTCCTTTCTCCGTGTCCTGGAACTTGGTGTGCCGCGTCCAACGAGTCCGACGTACATAAGATACCTGTGGATGGGTACATGAGGTGCTGATGGCATCGATGAGACGAGCATCAATTGCAGCAGCACACCCGATCGCCTTGCCCTACCGCGCAACGCACGAAAGTTAGACTTCTTCGTTCAACGTGTGCCTGGGGTGCCTCGTGGGATTCTTTCTGGGCGCTGTCATGACGCACCAGGATCTGCTTCGCGGATGCTGTCGGTCAGCACAGCATTCGTCGCATACCTTTCCGTTCCTCGACAGGCCTGCTTCACGGCCACAACAACAACCCGTTTCCGGTTGTCGCGATCGATGGCAGAATCACTGATAATGATGACGATGGAATAATGCCAGTGCGACCGACGCAGACGGGCATCTCAATCCGCCAACCCTCTTGAATCCTTCGGCAACGGAGTACCAACACAAACACCACCACCACCACCTGACGACACATCGCTGCTGCTGGGCGATTCGGAGTTTCTTAGTTTCGCCCAAGACCTGCATCCCGTCAAAAACTGTCCGTACCCGTCCTCGCACCGGGCTCGTTCAACGGGATACATATCCGTCGTCGTCTGCGTACCTCCAGCATACTTTTCAATCGCCGAGCTGCTGTACAAACCCCCCAAGCGTTGCCGTGAAACGCAGGAAGCAGACGGAGGCGACTGACTTTCTTCGCCTCCATCATCGTGGCCTGATCTCAATATCAGGTTTTTGATGATCGAAAGCGACACGTCGACACGGTGATTTCTGAAATTGACTTCGCGGCAGACGACATCGTCGTTGACCCGTCCCACGTTCAGTCCGCGCAATTGAGTGGGTTCGGCTCCTCCGCTGGTGTCATCTCAAAGTGCCTCCTGACGATCCAATGAGACCAGTGTTGCACTACAGACTTCACTTTACCATTCTTCAACCTGGACGCGACAGCATGTGTTCAAAAAACGCGGTAGGTACAGTGGGTTCGCATCTCCCTTTCTTCTCCTTCTCAATTGTTTGCGTCGTCTGTGTGCGTGGTGTGGCTCCTTGTCTTCTTCCTGGCTGGTACAGGAAGATGTCCGCTCCTTGAAAAGAAAGTACAATCCTGATAATGCGCTCTTTCGAATCGCCGCGTCTACGACGAACGGCCGTCTTTGCAATCGTGATTTCCGTACTCTTTCTCCTGCATTTATGCGACGACTATGCCAACATCACGCCTCTGTACTGGCAGTCGGCACAATTGAAAGGGGGACGATCATGGGATATAGCACCCATCGAGCCTTACTGGGAGTGGAACTACACAACCGACGCGAACAATCTCCTCCTCACGCATACGCATTGCGAGCAAGCATTCCACGGCCTCTTCAAGCCTATCGACCAGAGCGTGCGTCGCCACCGAGCACCTTACAATAAGGTGAAACTAAGCGACCTCGACCAAGTCTCTGGCACCAAAGGCGTCGTGCGGGCGATGATCTACGACCAACAATTGTACGTCATCAGCACAGCCGGCTCGATATCCAAACGCTCGCTGGAGGTCCTGGCTCAAATCAACCGCGCTTTGGTGACGAGCCCCGAGGAAGTAGCGAACATCGAGTTCACGTTCACAACCGAGGAGAGATCCTCACACTACTCTCGCTCCTCAGCATCCGCGAAGACATGGGCCTTCGCTCGAGCACCCACAGACCACAAGACTTGGCTCATGCCCGACTACACCTCCTTCAGCTGGCCTGAAGCAGGACCCATCGAGTCATTCCACGATGCACGCCGCAGAGCCGAAGCCATCGACACCATCGACTGGGAACAAAAGAAACCCCATCTCCACTGGCGCGGCAGCACATCCAGCATATCACAACACCCTGACTTCCTCTCCTCCACCGCCAACGCGCCCTGGGCCGACGTGCAGATCACCTCCTCCCCCCAACACCAGCACCACCACGAAACCAACCTCTCCTCTTCCCCCTGCGAATCCAAATACCTCGCCCACCCAGAGACCTCCTCCTACAATAACCATCTCAAATACCTCCAACTCTGCACCTCCGTCCTCCTCCTCCCCTCCTCCCTCAAATGGACCACCTCGCACACGCACCTCCTCCAACCCACCGGCCCCGAGCAGAACTACCTCGAAGTCAGCGACGACTGGTCGGACGTCCGGGCGAAAATCCGGCATTTGCAGAGTTGGGATACGTTGGGGGAGAGGATTGCGAGGAATGGTGCGAGGGCATGGAGGGAGAGGTGGGCGACGCCTGCGGCGGAGGTTTGTGAGTGGAGGCGGTTGATGAGGGGGTGGAGGGAGGGGATGGGGTTTGAGGTGGAGTTTTATGATGAGGGGAGGGAGAGGGGGGTTTTGTGGGAGAGGTTTGTTTTGGAGAGGGTTGGTGGGGAGGGTTGAGAGGTACATGATATTTCGTCGTTCTCTTAGGACACATCACACTATCAACATACCCTTTTTGAGACCACCCGCTCATCTTCACAGTCCCTGAATCGGAGGATCCGGCTCCGTCGTCTGCTGTTGATACACCATCGCCTGCTGCTCGGAAGAATACCCTCCTCTCTGCTCCTGCACCTGCGCCTTAATCTCCTCCGCCCTCTCCCTCCACTCCGTCTCAATCTGCGACAGCGCACAACACTAAACGAAACCCCAATATATCAGCCTCAACTCCCCAAAAACCATCATCGACATTCATTCCAAAACGTACCCCACACCAAAACACCGCCAAATAATCCCTACAGTCGCTCCCTACCCACACAACACACACATCAGCTCCAACCCCCTGCAAACCCCCCAAAAAGAAGCCACCAGAACACGTACCCTCAATCCCAAACCTCCCCCTCACCCTTCCCCGTTCCCTCCAAAGCAGCGCGCACAGCACGCAAGGCGAGAGGACGTACGGCAGCAGAAACCACAGCCAGCAGTGGGCGGTGCAGAGGTTCACTTCGCCGCGGTTGCTGAAAGCACTATCGTTAGCCGTCGTCGGTCTCGTGGGTGGATGGATGAATGGAGGGGTGAATCGTACGTTTCGGGGAATTTGCTTCGACGTTCGACGATGCGGCCGTAGATGAAGCAGTTGCAGCAAAATGCCGCCCACTGGATGAGACAGTCGCACGTTAGCGGTCTGTGATGGAGGTGAGGGGAGGGTAGGATACGCAGTTTCCGCAAGAGCCGCCGCACTAGGGCGTGCAGAGGGAGTTATGCCAGCGAGAGGAGGAGGAGGATGAGGCGGCGGACGATGTGTGGTTAGAGACCAAAGGCATGGTCGCGACTTTCTGCTCGAGTTTGGCGTGGATGGATTGGATGGCGATGCTTGCGGATGAAGTTCTGACAATTCTTAAGTGATGCAGTCGTGAAGTTAAGAGGGAGATGGGTGGTGATGCCCACAAGAGACGGGTATCGTTGATGATGGATCTAAATAGAATGATGAACTGCTTCCCTGATTTGTAGATTCAAGTGGCCGACAGCAGATACCACCCTCCGCATGAGATATTTGCCCTTCGCACATGCCCGCGTTCATCTGCACTTTCTGCCTCCGACACATTGCACATTGCACATTCATTCTTCATTATTAGTTCGCTTTCATGCCCTCAAATGCCCACTGCCTGTAAGCAACCCATGAGCGTCACTCTCACATCCCCATCACATCACATCCCAACCTCCCCGTCCATTTACTGATGGACCGGCACACCGGGCTGATGATAGGGAGGCGCACCGTGCTGATAAGTAGGAGCACCAGGCTGATAACTCATCCCCTGCGGCGGAGGCGCATACCCCTGCTTGATATCGCCCCCAAACGGCGGCGCACCACCATGCTGCGCCGCCGTAGCGCGGTCCTTGAGTTCCGTCTCGACCTGCGCGAGGGCACAGGGCGCGCAGAAAAACGAAGCCAGGCAATCCACGCAACCGTCGCCTATATCGATCACGAGAAGTCAGGCACACTGCCACCACATCGTACTTTCGTTGGACGAACCTCGAATCCCGAACCTGTCGCGGATCTCGCCACGCTTGAATAGTAGAGGGATCCATTGGAGCCCACAGCAGACGCCTGCTCCGAAGAACAGCCAGCAGGGCCCGTTGCAGGCGACGTTGTCGTAGTGGTCCTTGTCGGTGTCGGGGAACTTTTCGTATCGGTTGACGGCGCGGCCGTAGAGACAGGGAGAGCAGAACCAAGCGCCGAGGCAGGTGCCGCAGTCACCACCACAGACATGGCTGAAAAGACCATTTCGCCAGGTGTCACTCATTTTGAGGGATGCTGGGAGGGTTTGTTAGTGTATTGACGGTGTGGATGTTGGAGTGAGGAGAGTCGTACTGAATTATGGCTGTAGTGAGTGGGTTTGAAGACTTGTCTGTACGTTCAAGTGAAATCGCTGCAACGAGAGGACAGTAGTGAACAGAACAGAACAAAAACTCAAGCGAAGACGAAAGAGAAAAGAACACACAAGGCAGCGACACACCCCGCCTTCTATACCGTCGCACACTGACGAGCAAGAGAGATAAACGCCACCTAAAGGTAGGTAGCCTCAGAGTCAAATCTTCCACAGGAACCACCGCAAGCGCACAGCCAAGTGAACTATCTTTGGCGAAGGACCCAAACCGTTCCTGGCGAGCGCACGATACCACTGCAGGCGGGCAGCTGCAGGAATCATCTTGGGCGTTTGGTTGGAGATTGCCTTTCAGGCGTGCAAGGCTGCGACACGGGGCGCCGTACGTGCGTGTAGCCGCTTGAGGTTCTAGATTGGACACAAGCTTGTTGGGGGCCACAGATGGGATTCGCGCATCTCCCGAGGAAGGAATGGTTTTCTATGAGGCTGAGCTGGGAAACCACTTTCACCGGTTTAGGGTGGAGTTTGATGGCGAGCCCTTGGGTCGAGAAAGGTAGTCAGTTTATTGATCCCGAAGATGTCGAAAAAGGTAGCTGTGAAAGGATGGTGGTACACCCAGTGCGATTGCTGGCGGTGTTTTCTGCTTGTAGCGCTGGCTTGGTTTGGCGATTTTCGCTGAGCTGAAAGTTTCACCCATTGGTCAATTTCCGCAAGACATCGATTGGGGGCCATCGAGGCCTCTCATCAGAGTTGCCGAGGAACTCATGAAGTGGCTTCGAGACAGTATGCGGCAAAGTAAACCATATGTACAGCCGCACGCCAGGCGTCGAATCATGTCGACTATTATAAAAGCACTGAAGGGTTTAGCAACAGTTGGTAGCTAGCCGGCCTAACTAGTAATAATTTGGTAGTTAGTATTACGACTTGTCCGCCATTTGTATAATCGATGCAGTCAAGTGTAGTTTGCCTGCGAAAGGCTGCGAATTATCTTCCTTCGTTCACTCCCCACGGAAAGTTGTGAAAACCAGGCTTAAAGGGATGCACTACCTCGAACTCGGCGTTCTCTTCTCTTCCGGATATGTAGACCTTCTTCAAGTATCCAGAAAGCTTTCCTGTTCGATGATAATTTGATAGAACGGTGTGGACGTACTCGAACTCTGGCTTACATCGGATCTGTTCGTCCACGGGCTCGAAGCCAGGCGTCTGGTCCGGGACGGCGAGAGCCCGGGTCGACAAGACGTTGATGGTAAGCTCATCCAAGGCCAGATGCTCTTGTAACGGGTGTCTTCGGTCCATGGAGATTCCACAATGAAGAAACAGATTCAGGGCAGGAATAACAGCTTGCGCCGCCCCGTTGCAGTGGACGATCAACCTTCGCATTTGTTGCGGCGGGCAGGGGATTCTACGCCAAGTAGCTGTCATCCAACTGCTAACCTCGCCTTGCGTGGCCGGCCCGAGATCAATCTCCAGAGTGTGGTTTTGTTCAGTGTCCCGGTAGCTCGCAGACTCCATGTACTGCTTCATTTCCTCTGCGATAGCTCTACAAGACAGCATGAGGTTGAGCCATGGAATGGAGAAACATGCAGGCTGAGATCTTACATCGTTGACTCGAATGTAGCTCCCCTGTAGGCCATTTGGACGAGGAGGGTAGTGGCGTTGGAGTTTAAAGCCATCCAATGGCTTGATGTCGGAGTGCTGCTGGAAGACTTGATGGTAGATGTCGAGCCTCAATTCTGTAGGCAAGCCAAGGAGGGTCGCCGAGCTGTTCTGCATTGCCGAATTGATGAGATGATCAAGATCAAGCAGAGGCACGGTCGTGGAAAGTTCGCATGTGGGTTATAATAGGTGGCGGGAAACGACTGGCGACGAAGGCACCAGCCGAGAGGACAGCGAGGACAGCGTTTATTGGAAACGCGCTTGGCTGCAGAACACACCTGGTGGACTGTCCTCGTGGCGGCTTGTCGAGAGTTGATGTTGTCGGCAAAAAATACGATGTCCACTACCTGATCTGGATAGAGAGAGGCCCATCTCGCGAAGGAGACGCTGGTGCAAAGGAGCCGAAGTTGCTGACGGCGGGAAAGCTTGATCTTGACCACACCTCTTCCTCTTCCTTTTCACATGATCCATGGATGGCAAGATCACGTGTCCGTCTTCTGTACACGGAGAAGAGCAGTATACGTTCAGAGATGAATGTTCGAAGAAGATGGAGGAAGATGAAAAATACACTCTGTTAACTCCGGGCGGCGAAATGACATCACGTAACTAAACGCCGAAGAGAACATGGGACTTCCAGGATGAGTATAAGGGTCATCTATACATCTTTCGATGTTTCGTATTTCATCAATTACAATAGGCCTTTTGTCACTCCTACTGCTCTACTATCTCACCTCCAACACGCAGAAGGACGCGCAAATGAACATGGCCAAAATCCTCATCACAGGCAGCTCAGACGGCATCGGGCAGGTAAGATCCAATATACTCATAACCCAAACTAATACCATCAGCACCACTAACCCATCCAACCCAGGCCGCCGCCCAACTCCTCATAACCCAAGGCCACACCGTCTACCTGCACGCCCGCAACGCAACCCGCGCCAAAGAAGCCCAAGCCGCCACCCCCGGCGCAGCAGGCGTGTTGACCGGCGACCTCACGTCCCTCACCTCGACGAAAGACCTCGCCGCCCAAGCCAACTCCCACGGGCCCTGGGACGCGGTGATCCACAACGCCGGGCTCGGACCCTCCAACACCCTCGGCAAGACGACCGACGGCTTCCCCTCGACGTTCCAGGTCAACTCCCTCGCACCCTACGTGCTGACTGCGCTGATGGCCAAACCAAAACGACTGCTCTACCTCTCATCAAGCCTCCACTCCGGCGGCTCCGACTCCCTCACCAACCTCCAAGAAGAGAAATCCAGCCCCATGTCCGCCTACTCCGACTCCAAACTCCACGACATCCTGCTCGCGAACGCGGTGGCGCGGTACTGGCCTTCTGTGCAGTCGTGCTCGCTGGACCCCGGGTGGATCGCGACGAAGATGGGCGGCAGCGGCGCGCCGGGGAAGACGAGCACGCCGGCGAAGGCGATTGCGGAGTTTGCGGTCGGGAGGAGTGCGGTGTTTGGGGAGAGGACGGCGGTGTATGGGAATCCGCAGGGGGCGAGGACGCCGCATCGGGGGGCGTTGGATGAGGGGACGCAGGATGAGTTTGTGAGGTTGTGTGGGGAGTTTTCCGGGGTGCCGTTCCCGAAGTAGGGGGGGCTGTGTTTGATGTTGTTTGTTTGTAGTGTATTAAGGTATTATTTGTGTACTACTAAGCTTGCGGTTGAAAGACCTTATGACATTTCATGTCAATATGTATGGCCCTCGCAAATTATTTTATTAGAGGCAGCGATGAGAAAAGCGGTTCTTTAAGGCTGCTTCAACAGTGCCACTTTTCATTATCTTTATCACAGCCCCAGCATCCTCTTATTCTTCTTAATAATCTTCTTCAACGCGTTCTCCTTCTCATCCGCCACCCTCCTCGCCTCATTCAACTGCCTCTCCGCAATCTCCACGCTGGGGACATTCGCCACACCACCCTCCGCCGCACCAGCACCCTGCTGAGCCTGCTGATGACCATGCTGACCTCTCGCCTGCTGCGCCGCCTGTTGCTGTTGCTGCTGAGGCGGCGGCGTCGCGGGCGGCATAATAAACTCGTTAATATACTTACTCGCCTCATCCACCAAAAACGCCCCCTTCTTCATCGTACTCCCATCTTGCACCATCTGCTCCATAACGCTCACGCCCCTCGTATTGCCATTTTCGAATTTCCGCCTCAGTTCCTCGAGATCGAAAGCGGGGAGTCTCATTTCGTTTTGCGGTTTGCTGGGCCGGAAACGGTGTTCGGAGGGCATTTCGCGGAGGGCTTTTTCGAGCTCGAGAAAGCGGGATTCGAGTTCTTTTGTCAGGGCGCGGAGGTGTGCGCCGGAGGGCGTGACCATGTGGCGGTCGAAGGTGCGGTCGTTTTCGCTGCCGCCGCGCTGGAGGGCTGGTACCTTTCCTGTCAGGAGGGCGTCGACTTCTTCTTTGGTGAGTCTGAGGTTGAAGTCGGATTTCCAGCCGGCGAGGAGGTCTTTGTGGGAGACGTTTTGGGGCGATTGTTTGAAGTGGTGGCTGTTGGAGATGCGGAAGAGGTTGTCGATGCATTTCTGGATCTCGGGCGCCGATGCTTTGAGCTCGTTGACTAGTTGCGCCGCGGTGAGGGTAGGGGTTGGAGGTGGGGATGGTTCTTGTGGAGGAGGTGTATGAGAAGGTCCCTGTTGAGGAGTGGGTGTCGATCCAGTGGGGGTCGCCGGCTTGGACTCCTTCGGTGTAGAGATTGGGACTTCTGGCTTGATGGCGGTGACCTCCGCCACTGGCTGCTTGCCCGGCGAGGCGGAGCGACTCGCTGTCGGTGTGGGATGCGCACTGCCAGGTGTCTTGGCTTTGGCTGGCTTGGGCTGCGTGTCTTTCTTCGTCTTCTTCTTCCGACTGACAATTGCCTCTTGAGCTGGCTCCTCCACGCTCGGCTTAACCACTTCTTCCGTCTTGACCTTCTCTTCTTCGAGTGCCTTTGCACGCTCTTGACGCTCTTTCTTTAGCTGGTTCTTGGTCTTGGTCCGAACTGGTGCGGACCCGACTTTGCTCGCGGCAGGGGGCGGCGAATTGGCACGTGATTGGGAGGTCGAAGTCATCGAAATGTTGTCGGAGATTGACACTTGCTCGCTGGACGGCGTTCCGGGTGGATTGATTGAAGCAACACTGGGCTGACGTGACGGGAACTTGTGTGCGGCGGCGCTTGGTGGCACGCTCGGCAGAGGGAACTCTTTTGCAGATGGAGTTTCTGCCTTTGGCGTCTGGGTCAAGCGAATAGTTCTCGGCGCAGCTTTGACCGCGGGTGATCCGACGCTCGGACTCTCGGGTAGCTTGGACAACGACGGCGTCTGCGAGGGAGCACGCTGAGATCTACCAGGAGTTGCAATATCTACCGGTGTTGCTGTAGTAGCGGCAGCTGCAGGGACAGGGGTTTGCTCTTTTTGCTTCGAGATGGCAGCTGTAATGTCAAGCTTGCCAGGCGGCTTGCGCTTAGTGCTGTCCGACTTGGAGATATCCGGTTTGCTGGGAGTCACAGGTGATGCGCTGTCGTCACTCGTCTTCACAGTAGCTTGGCCCTTCAATGCTGGTTGGATGCCAGAAGGACCAGGCTTTGTCAGAGTTGGAGAAGCGGGGAGTTTCTCCTTGGTGTCACTTCTGTCACTTTTCTCCTTGGTGGTAGTACTGGCCTCTTCAATAGCCGTCAAAGCTTTCACAGCCTCTTTTGCCGGCGGTTCTTTGGTCGATTCGACTTCTTCGTCTTGCTGGACAGAGAGATCATGCTTGAGGTGAGAAGAGCTGGCGGTTCTAGAAGGCTTCGTTGGAGTCTCTTCGACGATCGGCATATCAACCTCATCCTGGGTGCCTTTGCGGGAAGGTGTAGGCCGACTCGGCGTCCCTGGTCGGAGTGGCAACGCGGGCAGGATTTGCGATGCTGTTCGCCGCAAGCTCGCACGGCTGGAAGGACGAGAAGTTGGCCGCGAGGAAGAGCCCTCCAGATCTGGAAGCGCAGTTGGTCTCGACAGGCCAGGAGGCACGGTGGGTGTCGAGCGTCTGCTTTCGTTCGCGATCTGGCCCTCGAAGCCCGGCGGGATGGGCGGCGTCGACCTTCGCGATTCCTCGAGCGAGATCCGTGATGTGATGCTATGTTGTCGTGAGGGTCCAAGAGGAGGGAAGTCGGATTCATCTGCGAGGCACGTCAGCATGGCTCTCATCAGCACTACACCAACCTCACGAGTTTCCATCTCTTGTCATGCATGGCGGTTTGGGGGCGATGACACTACTCTACGGACAATGAAAAAACGCCAGACATCTAGGTACATTGCACGTCTCTCGTCACGTCACTTGTGAGAAGTAGTAGAAGCAAGCTATGAGAGCCGTTCGTTGTAACTATCTTTCCGTCAATCTATCAGCCACTAGTAGAACAGAAGCTGCGAGATACGTACAAGACGTGGCGTGACGAGAGACGTGAAGAAAGGGGAAACGCCTGCCTCGATCCAAAACACTCCAAGTGTGCCCTCCTCTGGCGCCTTGCCGACCACGGTCATGATGGTGGCAGCGCTCTAGAATGATGCTTTCTCGATGATTATCGACTCCGCTGGCCAGCGTCCAACACTTGGTGCTGGTCCAGGTCTGTCTTTCCGGCTCCGTGAACACCTTGCAGGAAATCCAGCCAAAGCTGGTCGCTAAGCAAACAAATCAAAAGCAAAAATGTCACCGCCACATGTGCATCCCATAAGAAAGACGATTCGCCGACCGTCTACCATCGCCCGCCGTAACCGCCATGCGCGACAGAGTACATACCACCTGCAGCGTTCGTCTGGCCAGCGAATGCACCCCCGCCGAGGCCGGCCGCACCCTGATGCAAGCGCGCTTGGAGAAGATGGTTGGGATTGGCGTCGGCCGAAACATCGACTACACCACCCCCTGAGGAGGAGGAAGTGTTAGCGTGCCTGTGCTTCTTTCCCTTCTTCTTGCGTTGCTTCTCGCCGTCGCCAAAGGCACTCAGCGATGCATAGGGTGGGCCGGGGAAGGCATTCGACTGGCTGGACTGATACGCTGCATTTGGGTGGGTGTTCTTGTAGTTGGGGAAGGAGTGTAACTCACGCTTAGCATCCACGCCACCGGCGCTCGCATCGCGACCGCGCAGTAACTCCCGGTAGTAGTTGTCCTGCTGGTTGCGCGACGTGCCAGCGCCGTACTGTAAGCCGCCGGTGGCGAAACCGTGTCCTTGACCGAAGGTGAGGTTGCCGCTGACTGGAGGAGTACCAGTAGTCTTGAGGCCCGGCGGTGGGCCTTGCACATTGCTGGTGTAAAACTGGCCGTGCGGTTGTTGATGTTGAGCACCAAAGTGGTTGCCAGCAGCTGGGGGCATCATGGATGATTGCTGATTCATCAACTTGGGATTTGCCACTGGCTTGACGGCGGCAGACGCTGAAGAGTCGTTCGCAAAGGAGTATCGTGAGACGTTACGTTGGTGTCCAAGCGGCTGATTCGATGGCTGCTGGAAGGAAGACGGAAAGTTGGAGCTCTGACCGTTGGCGCCACTCTGGTACGCACCTGGCGTACTGGGTTTGAACGTCTGTAGCAGCATCTGCTGGTGTTGCTGTGGAGTGAGTCCGCGGTCGCCAATAGCAGGATTCGACACACCACCGCCGAACTGGAAGTGTTGATCGAGAGTACCGTCTTGTCCTGGAGGTTGTATGGCACTGCGAACCTGATTGACTGACTGTGGTTCCTCGGGTTCGCCTCCAAGTTGCAAGCTGCCGCTCATCTCAGCATTGTCGTCTGGGTCGACAGCGGGTGGCTGTTGAAATGCTTGTACTTCTTGCTCCAGGCGACGCTGTTCCTCTTCGCGCTGCCGCCGCATGCGTCGTCTCGCGCCACCGTTGTTATCGAATAGTGGTGGGTAGCTGTTGATGACATCCAAATCGTCTTGCGAGAGCGAGATTGCAGCCCAGTCCAGCTTGAAATCGTCCACGTTGAAGTTCTTAACTAGTGAGACCAAAGGCGCAATCACAGACTTCGATTGCGGCTTAGGCAACGGTTCCGCAACTAGCTCTGACGATGGTGGCTCCTGAGGTTCGAGTGCGACAGGCTCTGGTTCTTGTTCCTGGACTGGCTCCGGTTGCGCGATCGGTGCAGGTGTGGCAGCAACAGGTGCTGGGCTCTCCAGAGTCGCGCTGGTGGATTGGCTCTCGGCGCGACTGGCCTGCGGTACTTTCGATGCCCAACTCGCGGTTGAAGGCAAGGCGGGCCGGTCTGGAGCTGGACTGGACGGCTGATCGCTACTGCTTTGTCGTGTCATGGGTTGAGCTGCAGATACGGGTTGCTGCGATTGGGGTGGAGGCATGCGATTACCGTGGGAGGAGCCAGCGTTGAGGGCAGAAAGGTCGGCACGGGAGTAGCTCTCGTTCGCTTCGCCAGGCTCGTGCAAGAACATGCAATTGCGGTTCGTGCAGTTCTCTCCTCGCAGGTATGCAGAGCAATACTTGGTGGTGCCAAACTGTGCCCGCAGTGTCCGGTCGCCGTTCTTAGACCCATCAACAGCTGCAATACAACTGGCAGCATCCTCTTTCCGCTCGTAGGTCACATAAACGCCAACAGATTGAGGATTTGATGGATCCTTGGCCTTGCTGACGACGATTTTGATGATCTTGCCGTATTGTCCAAAGTACTGGTCCCCGCGAAGCGTCTGTAACAGCTGGTCTTCTTGCGAGGTCGGGCTCAACCCGGTGACGTAGACCAGGTTCTTCTGTACGACGCGCATTCCAGCCAGATGTTTGCGACTCAGGTTGTCGGCTTCAGCCTTTTGCTTTTCTTTCTGGAGTTGCTGTAAACTCTTCTTCTGCTTCTGGGCTTGTCGCGCTTTGTGTGCCGCGGTCTCCTCAGCGGTGATGTTCTTGTATTCGACATCGGTGTCATTGTAGGGCCGCCGGCATGCTGGACAGAGTCCATTGAGGTTTGTCTTGACATTATGATAGCAGAATTGACAAATCTAGGTGAGGGTGTCAGTAGCGTGATGGACAAACATGGTGGTTTGACGCCAGACGCACCTGGTATCCACAAGGACAGGGACGGAAACTCCTGTCTTGCAAGTCCAGCTCCTCGACACAGAGCGGACACACCTCCTCCTCGTCATCGTCGATGAACTGATCTTGCAGTGATCTCGACATTGTGAAGGGTATGGTTCGACGCGTGCAGGTCTGGGGCGACTGCTCGAGATGGGATGCGCACCGAGGAGATGTGGCGGATGTGATGGAGCCAGGATGACGCGGCCGTGAAGTGTGGGCGTTTGGGCGAGTGAAGAAGTGTCGGCCAGGGTGACTGCGGCGTGTGAAGGGGTGGAGGGTGGATGATTAAACTGCAAGGTCTTGATGAAGGAGGTGCAGAAGGAAGGAAGGCGCATCACGTGTTGTTTCCCGCGGCTTGGTTCGTTTCCTCGGCTACGAGCCAATCAAGGACGAGCAACTCTGCATGACCACGACTTCTTGAGGAAGGCACGTCGAGACGAGCAGCACGACTGGACGACTTCCGCTCCGCCCCTCGCTCTCACACCACCCATTGGCCACCATGGCATCCAGAACGTCGCTGGCACGTCCGCTGCGGGCTGCTGTGGCTGCAGCAAAGCAGTCTGCCCAGCCGTCACCCAATGCTGTGCGAGCATTCGCGACCACGGCAGGCCGGGCGAAAGAGCTGGCAGGCGATGCAAAGGACCTCCCCAACATGAGACACGCGCAGAGGGGTCCTATGGGCAAATTGAATGCCCCAATTGTCAATCCAGCAGGTGAGATATCCGGGACAGCCATTGCGCGTAATGACCAGTCCCTGACGTATGCCATTAGACAAATACCAGGACAAGGCCCAGAGCCTCCACCAATATGGCCAGTACATCATGTCGTGTCTGCCCAAATACGTCCAACAGTACGTGCAGATATTCGCATGTTCAATGGGGCGGCATTTTCCTAACAGCCCTTAGGTTCTCCGTCTGGAAGGACGAGCTCACCATCTACATCCCTCCGGCCGGCGTCATTCCCACCTTCTCCTTTCTCAAATACCACACAGCCGCCGAGTTTACCTGCGTAGCCGATATCACCGCAGTCGATTACCCTACCAGAGATCAGCGATTCGAGGTCGTATACAACCTCCTGTCCGTCCGTCACAACTCTCGAATCAGGGTCAAGACGTACGCAGACGAGGCCACTCCTGTTCCTTCGATATGCAGCTTATACGACGGTGCGAACTGGTATGAGCGAGAGGTCTATGATCTGTTTGGTGTGTTCTTTGTGGACCACCCAGATCTGCGAAGAATCATGACGGATTATGGATTTGATGGACACCCCTTGAGGAAAGACTTCCCTCTCACGGGATACACGGAGATCAGATATGATGAAGAGAAGAAGCGAATAGTCGTCGAGCCGTTGGAGCTCACACAAGCCTTCAGGAATTTCGAGGGAGGTACTGCAGCGTGGGAGCAGGTTGGCCCAGGTCACGATCGCACACCTGAGTCGGTGAGTTACATTCGCACTGGAAAAGATACGTCCTGCGGCAGAGTTGCTAATAATAAAATAGTTCAAGCTACCGACTCCCAAGCCAGAGCCAAAGCCAGAAGAGGAGAAGAAGAAGTAATGGCAGCGGCAGCGGCAGAGGCAGCGGTGACCTTTCTAGACACTGTAGACATATACCTACCTTGTACATACAGTTCTCAACATGCTCGCCGAACATCATCCAGAAGCTCCGTGAAGTCCCCAGGCAACGCACAGTGGACGGTCGACCTGCTTTACCGAAGAGCCATAGGGATGAAGACTCGGCTAACTTGCAGGTCGTCTGTCGCCCTGCAGAGAGCTTCAGACATCACCTCTCCAAAGTCAAAAAATAAAAAGGCCAACCCCTACACATTACACGTCAAACACTCAACCCCTTCGATTTTTCCACTCTCCACCGATTGCTTCTCACGATAGCCAAGCCAAGAACATCAAGAACATTATATGCCAATCAAAATGGGAGACTCAGTGGACCGAGACGACCTCACTTCCCGCACGCTGCCATTCATGAAACTATCAGATGGCTCGGCAACATCGATGACCGCACCGCCAGCACCACTACCACACTACCTCAACACCGAGGGACGAGCAATGGCTCGATTCGCAGTCGAAGGCAACGTCGTGAGTACGTAACATCTTCTACCAATTCACCCACGCACCTCCACCCAAACCCCAAAACATCAACTAACCACACATCCCCCAGTAACCGGCGGCGCCGGCACCCTCGCCCTCTCCACCGCGCGCGCCCTCCTCGAACACGGCGCCACCGGCCTCGCCCTCTGGGACCTCGAACCGACAATCCGGTCCTCCCAACCGACCATAACCAAACTCGCCACCGAATTCCCCTCGGTGCGAATCCTCTCCATCGTCGTCGACGTCACCTCCGCCTCCGCCATCGCCGAAGCCATAACCGCCACCACGCAAGCCCTCGGCACAATCGACCACGCCTTCTGCTTCGCCGGCATCGTAGGCTGCTACCACGCCCTCGAGATAACCGCCGCGCAATGGCGCAAAGCGCTCGACGTCAACACGACGGGCTCCTTCCTCGTCGCGCAGGCCGTCGCGAAGCAGCTCATCGCGCAGAAAACCCCGGGGTCCATCACCTTCACGGCCTCCATCTCCGGGCATAGAGTCAATTTCCCGCAACCCCAGGTCGCGTACAATGTCTCCAAGGCCGCCATCCTCGCCCTGAAGAACAGTCTCGCGGCCGAGTGGGCTGTGCATGGGATTCGTGTAAATTCTATTAGTCCGGGGTATATGGATACGATTCTGAATGCCGGCGGTGGGAATATTGCGGAGGCGAGGCAGGTGTGGGCGGATAGGAATCCGATGGGGAGGATGGGTGCTGTGGGAGAACTGGATGGGGTTTGCGTGTTGTTGGCGAGTCGGGCGGGGAGTTATATTAATGGGGCGGATTTGTTGGTTGATGGTGGGGCGGTTGTGTTTTAAGGGGGTGATGATGTGTGAGGAAGACTATGTGCGGGCGAGGAAATCGCTCCACAGACAGATACATGGGTATTTTCGCTATACATACCAATACAATACTCCACGCCACTGCATCAACAACCTGGCAGCATCCATCCTAACCATACACAATCACGATCAATCACCCCGTCCCAAACCCCTCACTCCCATACCTCAACGCCAGACTCAACTTCTGCCCCAACACCCTCTCACTCCGATACATCGGCAACATCAACGTGCCAAAACACGTCGAACTCGTCGGCAACCTCTCCGAATTCTCGCTCTCATACCTCTTAACAATGAACGTCAACCCCCCTGTAATCGGGATCCTCTCCGCCGCCGTGACGAACTTGAGCAATTGCTTCTGCTTGGGCTCGGACCAGCTGCCGACGACGCGCCAGAACATGTGGATGTAGGGGTCGTTGGCGCTGTAGCCGTCGTATTGCGTGACGGCGCGGAGGGCGGCGATGTCGAGTTTCGAGGTGCCTTCGACGAGGGCTTTGAGTTGGCAGGGGGAGAAGAGGCGGAGGTGGCGCTTGTCGATGAGGTCGCTGTTCCAGAATCCTCGTTCGAATGCCTGCCATTGGGGCATTGCTGAGCAGTAGGAGGTGTGCAGGACGTAAGCTGTGATGTAGCTTTCCTTGTTCAGGGACGTGACTTCCTTGGGCTCGTACGGTACTCGTTCCAGCTGCCAGCCGGGGATCTCATTAGAGATGTCGTTTACATCCATCTCCGGATTGGTACTGGTGACTCTCAGGGGGATCCTTTGCCTGACTGGATCTTCACTGTAGTGACCAACGGGCAGGAGAGTCTGCATGTGGATGCCGTTGGCTTCAAATGGGTATGCCATTTCGAGGCCTGGGATATCTTCGTCCAACATGCTTTGCATTGAACTTGCAAGAGCTGGCCAACAGTCACGGATTTCGTCGATAGTGTGCTGAACGTTTGAGGGTGAAGGATACCCAGCCAGGATTCGGTAATAGACTCGCGGCAAGCTGATCGGTAGAGTAACTCCGTTGTATATCGCAAGAGCAATTAGTATTCCAAAGAGTTCAAACATGTGAAGAGGCTGAAGGCTCCCAGATTGAAAATGACTGATACCGATCTTCTCGTCTGTGACGAACATCTCTGTGATATGTTAGCACACGACAAGCGGTATGTCAGTGATTCTCGAACTCACGCGCTTCCACAGAGAATATTGCCTTGCACACAAGATTGAAGAACTCGATTTGGACACCACCAAGATCGTGGCCAACTTCGCGCTCCTCAATTTCGCCCAGGCGGACTCGCAGAGGCCGTCTGAGTTCGTCCTTCCGCCGTTGCCACAGTTGATCGAATGCATCCTCGAGTACATTTCCGCGGCTGACAAACAATACTAGATAGTGTTTTGTCGCATGTTTCGACTGATCTGACATGAGATGCTCATCTGGGAAGTAATCATATCGTCTCATCAGATTGATCGACTTTTCAATGATAGAATTCGCTTCCCTGTTGAGTGTCAGCTGTTATTGATTAGTGTATCATCATCGCGATTGAATACCTCATTTTCAAATGATTGAACAGTCGAAAGCAAAGCGTGAGCTGTTTCATGGAGAACAATGCCTTGAACTCAAGAACATGGCATGACTGCTTCCGTACCCCACGAGAGAGGTTCTGTTGAAAGGAGTGCACCAGCTCCGATGATGACAGCCGTATCCATATCATCGGCATCTGGTACAGGTCTAAGCTCGAGTTTGGATCTTTCCGCTGTGGTCTGTTAGCAACACCAGTGATTATTCCCCACACCGCCACGCAGATGGACCCGACTTTGACTTCGGGTCGACCGTCCCAGTGTTCAGCGGCCAGACGCTTGAGCCAGACGACCAATGCGAAGGTTTTGGGTGTTGGATCTTTCATTGCAAAAAAGCGGGACAGAAAGAGTGTTGCACAGTGGGTCGAGGGTGGCCTTAGCCGGCTCTCGAGCCAGAAGTCTGGGTAGCTGTTTTCCAACCCTAGTTCAACTGCCTGGCGTGCGGCTATTACCTGTACGATCCGACCGAGCAGTCGAAGGTACGGCTTGTGATGGATCGTGTCGAGGATCGTAAGCCAGTTATTGAGTTTGTCGTCCACCGGCATGCTTGCATTCTTTGTTGGGTATGCGTAGCCTTTGCTAATGAGGTCGTTAACCATTGTGAATGAAGCAGGCCGATGGAGTGGCAGCTTTGCCAGAAGCCATTCGACGCAGGGGACTAGGCCATCCACAAGGGTGACATTCGAGAGGAAGCCTTCTGGCTGGGTAGAGGGATCTTGTTGGGCTGCTTCAAGAAGTCTGGACACCCGGTCATGCTGATTCTTGAGCTCTTCAGTGTTACTGCAGAGAGTTCCAGGCTCCTGTAGTAATTTGAAGCTTCGAGTATCTGAGAGTTGTTGGTCGAGAGAAGAAGGGTCGCTGGGACTTTGGGTTTCTTGAAAACTTCTTATCTCATCCGTAGAGCGTGGTGTAGCGTGCGAGCACAGGTGGGCTCTGGGATTTGGACCGGCACATATCGAAACAGCAATCGTCCTTGCTGAGCGAGTAGTGAACTGTCGAATAGGTTTGCCGTTGCTGGTGTTGCGAATTCCAGTACGACATAAGACTTCTTTGCAGGCGGCATTTCCACAGCCGTCGATCAGCTGCTTGATGTAACGAGTGACCAGTTCAGGGACCTCTCTTCTTTCTGGTCTCGAATCAGATCCCTCACGAGCGTCGGAGCTTGCTGTTTCCATGATGGTGGTGAAATCGGCAGTGAGTGATTGAACCAGAAGATGCCGGTGTTGTTGATATCTGAGGTGGAATCGCGATCCATACTGAAGGGAGAAGTCATGACCGCATGACTTCGTGACCTGTTCCGTCGATATGCGGTGGTCACGATGGAGGTGTCGTTGGAAGAGGCAAGAGACGAAGCGAGTGACCTGTGGCTGACGCTCATGCACCGCCACATTTCGATTTGGATTTTGACAATCGTCTCCGAAAAAATATCTCCGTCCAGACCATCCATCGCCTCTGCAAAAATCTCGACATACTAGAAAATGTCGGGAACAAAGCGCAAACTGTCGCGTAAAGCGACTTCACCTGATAAAAAGCGCAAAACTAACCTGGATGCGCTGCGCTGGAAGGAGGTTTCTTTACCTGATCGCCTCGAGGACTATGAGGGCTTCTTCGGGCTTGAGGAGGTGGAAAATGTCGACGTGGTCAGGGATCCTCACTCGGGCATTCTCTCCTACAAGTCGACGACCGACCATGCCGCGGCATCGGACGATGGAGATGATGATGCAGCTTCTTGGGGGGGATTCAGCGACGAAGTTGAGGATATGAAGCCAGAGCCAAAGCCAGCGTCGAAGCCAGAACCGGAGCCAAAGACAGTCGCTCCCAAATCGAAGCCGAATCCCACGAAAAACGGCAAGGTCAAGGGCGCCGAGAAGTCTACGAGCACCGCTGCCACCTTCGCCGGACTGGAGAACGTCGCCGATGGAGAAGACGTCGATGTATCAGCATGGCGATCTCTGAAGCTGTCGCCAGACACGATGGCAGCCCTGGCCAAGCTCAAATTCACCAAACCGACGCCTATTCAAGAAGCTGTAATCCCACAAGCCTTCGAAGGTCATGATGTGATAGGCAAGGCATCGACTGGATCCGGCAAAACGCTTGCGTTCGGTATCCCCATTCTCGAGCGCTTTCTTGAAAAACGATCGACGACCAAGGCATCGAACAAAGCTCCGATAGCTTTGATCCTGTCACCCACGAGAGAATTGGCGCACCAACTCCACAAGCATCTAGGTGCACTGTTCGCTGGCGTGACATCAGAGCAGCCGGCCCTCGCAACATTGACGGGTGGTCTATCCCTGCAGAAACAGCAGCGACTGCTCAAGGATGCAGACGTTGTGATCGGAACGCCAGGCCGTCTTTGGGAGATTATCAGTTCGGGTCAGGGAGTTGGAACTGCTCTCAAGAGGATCGAATATCTGGTCATTGATGAGGCAGACCGACTGCTCAGCGAAGGGCACTTCAAGGAGGTCGAGGACATTCTCAACACGCTCGATCGCATCGATACCAACGACGACGATGCTACTGGGGAAGAAGATCAGGCCTCAGAAGCTCCCGCATCTTTGGAGACTCGTCAAACCCTCGTCTTCTCCGCCACTTTCGATCGAGGCCTCCAGAAAAAGCTATCTGGGAAGCAAAACCGCAAGCACAACCTCCTGGGCAACAAGGAGACCATGGAATATCTCCTTTCGAAGCTCAACTTCCGCGAGGACGATCCCCAGTTCATCGACGTCAACCCAGTGCACCAAATGGCATCTGGTCTCAAAGAGGGAGTCGTCCAATGCGGAGATACCGAGAAAGACCTCTACCTCTACGCCCTCCTACTCCTCCAACAAGCCAAGCGAGCCATGATCTTCACAAACTCCATCGATGCCGTCCGCCGAATCACCCCCTTCCTCCAGAACCTCAACCTCAACACCTTAGCCCTCCACTCCGGCATGGAACAAAAAGCCCGCCTCCGCTCCGTCGAGCGTTTCAGCGAAAACACCAAATCCTCCGTCGTCCTCGTGGCCACCGACGTCGCTGCACGCGGCCTCGACATACCCAATGTCGACCTCGTCGTGCACTACCACCTCCCTCGCGCCGCCGACGCCTACATCCACCGCTCCGGTCGCACAGCCCGAGCTGGCCAGGAAGGCCACTCCGTCCTCATCTGCGGCCCCGGCGAAGTCGCCAAATTCCGACGCCTCGTCGCACAAGTCCACGCGAAGTCTGCCATGGCGAAGCTAGGAAAACAAGGCTACTTCGTCCGGACCTTGAACGTCGACCGGAAAATCGTCTCCCGCCTCAAAGAGCGCGCTCATCTCGCCAAGATCCTCGCAGACGCACCCGCGGCGAAGGAGAAGCAGCGGAAGGAAGACGACGAGTTACGGAGACTGGCTGAAGAAGCAGACCTCGTCTATGACAGTGATGAGTTCAAGAAGGAGTCTGCAGGACAGCACCGAGGTCGTGGGGCGGGGAGGAAGAAGAAAGAGCAGGAGTTGAGCGAGTTGACGAAGAGGGATTTGGGGGCTATGAGGGCGCAATTGAAGGAGTTGCTGAGTAAGAGAGTAAATACGGGTGTCAGTGAGAAGTATTTGGCTTCTGGACGGGTGGATGTGAATGAGCTGTTGAGGGATCGGGAGGGAGGGAAGACCGGGGAATTCTTGGGGACTGTGGATAATCTTTGGGATTAAGAAATGATCTTTCTCCGCGATGCGGAGGATAACTATGGGCTAGGACAGTGGATCGATAGCGTAGTCGAAAGACGAGATTTGGGGAAATCTCTTGGAATCGTTCACCGCTCACTACTTCCTCAGTATCATACAATCCAATCGTCGAGCTCTCGGGGGTGAGGCATGGACGGTCTTTGGGATTGAGACATGATCTTTCTCCGCAGATTGGTGGCTATCCATGGCTTGGGCCAGTGACTCGATAGCATAGCCAGGGATCAAATCTCGGAGACGCAATCAAATACTCATCCATCGAGCTACCTCTTCTTAAAATCCAACGTTATCCCTTCCACGCCGCCCTCGAATTCACTCAAATCATACTCATCCGGATACATCTCGACAATCCTCCTCATCTGCCTCATCTGCTCCCTCTGCTCCTCCGTCGGCTGCGCATAAACATCCGCCATACTCGCCCCAACAGGCGGTTTCTTCTCCTTCTCCGCCTTGCGATACGCGTCCAGCACCGCCTTCCGCGTATCGGCCCTCAACTCCTTCTCCTTGCCCTCGTCCCAGATCTTCTTGCCTTCCATCCATTTGCGCAGGCGCGTGATGGGGTTGTCGCGGCGTTTCCAGTCCTCGACTTCGACTTTGGCGCGGTAGGCGAAGGAGTCGTCCGAGGTGCTGTGGTGCGAGACGCGGTAGCTCATGGCTTCGATGAGCACGGGGCGGCCGCCGTCGGTGAGGGCGAGGTCTCGGGCGCGTTTGGTCACTTCGCGGACGGCGAGGATGTCGTTGCCGTCGACGCGGATGGTGTCGATGCCGTAGCCTACGCCTCGGGAGGCGATGCCGTCGCCGCGGTATTGTTCCAGCGTGGGGGTGCTGATTGCGTAGCCGTTGTTGCGGCAGATGAAGAGGACGGGGCAGGCTCGCGTTGCGGCGATGTTTAAGGCTGCGTGGAAGTCTCCTTCTGAAGCAGCTCCTTCGCCAAAGTAGCATGCTACGACTCTGGGATCCTCTGTGGGATTCTGCTGGTTCTGCATTTTCACCGCATACGCCGCTCCAGAGGCGTGAGGGATCTGTGTTGCCAGTGGACTGCTAATCGTATGTACGTGGTACTTCTTACTGCCATAATGGACGGGCATATTCCTCGCAAGACCAGTGTCGTCCTTCGTTGCGAACAACTGCGCCATAAAATCGTCCAACGTGAAGCCGCGATACTGGAAGATACCTGTCTCGCGGTACTGTGCAAATATAGGATCCTTGGGGTTCAGAGAGCTGGCACTGCCGACTGCGATACCTTCTTCTCCAGCCGAGACCATGTAGAAACTTATACGACCTTGCCTCTGGGCGTCGAACATGATGAGGTCCATGATGGACACACTGACCATGGCTTTGTATAGTCTGATTGCCTCCTCATCACTAATATCTGGGGCGTGGTTTTGGTCTATGACTTGGCCTTCTTGATCCAGCACACGGTACGTAGGCATGGCATCTTCTTCGGTGGCTCGAGCGAAGTCGAGGTTGGTAGTGAAGCGACTGTTCACGGCGCCGGGGAAGTGGACTCTACGCGAACCGTTAGACACACTATCACGGCCTTCTATCGATCTTCTCACGGACCTGTCAGACCCAGGTTTCTGCGATACTGAGCTCCATCTTTGCTGGCATCTCGAGCAGAGGGATGATTGGGTTGCAGCCGTTACGCCTCTCTGAGCCAGGACATTCCGCCCTAAAACACTGATCGATCGTTTCGCCGCCATTGTGGCACGCATAACAGAAAACTACATGGTCATAACGTAGAAGGATGTGCCGGTGTTAAGAGAGGTGACCTCTGGCGGTTACCATCGGCCCATCAGCTTCCTTCTTCCCCACGCTCGCGGAGACATTGAGTTGGCGCTAGGAGGCTTTCCGCAGAGCCTCATCTCAGATCTTCAGAGCTTTGGATCTGGTTTCGGGACTCAATCAACACTTACATTGTCACTTCAACATGTCGGCCGCCGTACCTCGTGCAGCCAAACGCTTACGGCTGGCTCCCTCGCGGAGCTGGGTGTGTTCAGAATGTCGGAGGAGTTTCGTGTCGAGCGTACGGCAAAGACAGCAGCAACATGGCCAGGAAGACAAGACCACACATTTCGGTTTCGAGACGATATCCGAGTCCATGAAGGCGTCGAAGGGTACGGCACATAATGGATTGCCTTGCAAGTAGATTGCTGATCTGGTCATACAGTTGCCGGCGTCTTCTCCTCTGTGGCAAGCAATTACGACGCGATGAACGACTTCATGTCTCTCGGCATCCATCGACTCTGGAAAGACCACTTCGTTCGATCGCTCAACCCCGGCGTACAATACGCCTCGCTACAGGAACAGCAAGAGGGGCAGAGGATACTGGACATTGCAGGTGGCAGTGGAGACATAGCCATTCGAATGCTCGACCACGCCACGAACATCAACAGGGACAACAAGACACATGTCATAGTGTCCGATATCAACCCGGATATGCTTGCTGAAGGACGGAAACGATTATCGACAACGTCGTATCAAGCTGACGGGAGAGTGGACTATCTCGAGGCGAACGCTGAAGACCTCAGCGCTGTCAAAAGTAGCAGCATCGACTTATATACTGTCGCATTCGGGATCAGAAACTTCACACACAAGGACAAGGCTCTGGAAGAAGCTTTCAGGGTACTGAAGCCAGGAGGTGTCTTCGCTTGCCTCGAGTTTGCACCACAGCTCTCGAACCCTCTGTTCAATGCTGTATATAAGAGATGGTCGTTCAGCGCGATACCACTGATCGGACAGATCGTTGCGGCGGACAGAGACAGCTATCAGTATCTGGTGGAGAGCATCGAGCGGTTCCCTTCGCAGCCTGAGTTTGCGCAGATGATTAAAGACGCTGGATTCTTGATACCTGGGCAAAAGCCTGATGGCACATCGATAGAAGGCGGTTGGGAGGATTTGAGTATGGGCATTGCGGCGATACATAAGGGCGTGAAGCCGTTGTAGGAATATCTGTACAACACAATGCACAACTTTGACAGTCAGACCGAGCTCTAACTAGATTTCCACTCGGGGCTGATGAGTCGTTTATCTTTCGATCGTCAAGATCATGTAGCCCATCGTCACACTCGCATGAAGCCAGACCACCAATCTGCACCGCTCTGCGACAGAAGCTGCAACTCTAAACTTTAACCACCACTTCACGCCGGTGCCTTTGCCAAAGATAACCTTCCCCAGCTCGAGATCACCTCGTAGCCAAACTTACCGATTCTTGTACCAAGGTCAGGCACAGAACAGGCAGGCAAGAAACAAGCCTCGCAAGCTCGCCTCAACCAAAATCCCTCCACGGCCAAATCTCACCGACTGTGACATGGCGTGCTCAATCATCCCCCCGGCAGGCAAGCAACCTCGGGTTCATACACCTGTTTTTCGAGCGTCACACCAACAAAAACATATGCTTTATGGTAGGCTCACATAATCAATGACGAGCACGTTGTCGCGCTGTGATCGGGGATTAGCTTGTGAGAACTACGTTACCTACTTCGAGATGACGGGTCGATTCGGGGCTTGCGAAAACACGGCGTACCTATCCAAGTGTCTGTTTCTGCTAATCGGCTAGGAACACGACGGCAAGGCCGGTAGGTGGGCAGGGTGGGTCTGACTACTCCATGTTCGATGAGCGAGTGTTTACTTTCCCTCCTTTTGTTAACTCCATTGTGCATATGCCAACAAAGGGATCCTGACGCCGCGACTTGACGACTACCCGGTTCAGAAAGCATTTGCTAATCTTTTATCGCGCGGCTGGCCCTATCGTCCGAGAAGGGCTGGAGGAAAGATTTATCTTTCGTCATACATATCTTTATCTTCACTTCACCTGTCTCTCCTAATAAACCGTACGATAAACCATCTTGGTCCTGGAAATCTACCGTCAAACACGTGGCTCGCGACCCCCGAGAGAGACAGAGAGGAAACAATGGACTCCCCACGCCCAACAAAAAGACAACGCCTCTCAGGCACCATCTCCCCCATAACACCCATCTCGCCACCAGAAGTCGAAGATGCCACATCAACCACCACAACAAACAGCCTCACCCTCGCCCTCCACGTCCTCCAAACCGAAGCAGCCGCCCTCGCCAACCTCACAACCCTCTACAAAACCTCCCCGCAAGCCCAACACAGCCTCCAAGAAGCCATCACCACCATCCTGCGCGCAAAGAAATCCGGCGGCAAATTAATCCTATGCGGCGTCGGCAAGTCCAGCTACATCGCGCAAAAACTCACCGCGACGTGTAAATCCCTAGGGATCCCGTCGTCCTTCATGCACGCCTGCGAAGCCGCGCACGGGGATTTGGGAGATATCCGGAGCGAGCGAGGGGATGTAGTGTTGTTTGTGAGTTTCAGCGGGAAGACGCCCGAGCTGTTGAATCTTTTGCCGCATATCCCGCCGGAGGTGACGGTTGTGGCCATGTCGTCGCATTTGGAGAGGGAGGAGTGTTTGTTGTTGAGGGCACGGGATGAGGAGAGGGGGATTCTTTTGCCGGCGCCGATTCCGGTCAAGGAGGAAGTGTCGTTTGGGGTTTCTGCGCCCACGACGAGTACGACGGTCGCGCTGGCGGTTGCTGATATGCTGGCGTTGGCTGTGGCGGATGAGATGCACCGGGGAAAGACGAGAGAGGTGTTTCTGAAGAATCACCCTGGAGGCGCGATTGGGATCACGCACCGCGAAGTGGAAGAGGTCAAGAAGGCGAAACTGGACGTCTCGATTGTGGAACTGCCTAGTCCGAGTATATCTGCCGAGAGCGAGGATTAAATTTAAATATTCTAAAGGGATACAGCAGGAGAAACATGTGTTCGTCTCGCATCATGGAGCTAAATTTCTCATCTCAAATGAGGCACATCGCAAGCAAGTTCTCTCCTCCAAGAAGATCGTGTGCCTAGACTTTGAGCAAAGCTGGACCGGATCATCGTCATCATCATCAAATTCCATCCATCACAGCCCGAGATTGATTCTCTGCCAGCAGTTTTCGACATCTTCGCAAAGCGTGGTAAAGTCCGGGTTCTCAAGGTTGTCGATCATGAAGTCAGCAAGCGCAGCCTCTCTGTCTGCTCTGCTCTGGGCTGCATACGTCTCCAGAGACAGATCTCCTGTCGACTGGAGGGCCATCGATACACGTCCAAGAGCGTCATCTTTGGCGGGAGCGACAGGCCTCGCGGATTGGTGGGCACTGGGCGAAGGCGATTCGATCTCATGGGGAGCATCAGTATGGCTTGTCAAACGCTGCAAACCAGTATTGGCAGACCGCTCTGCCAGAGGCTTTGCTTTGTTACGAACATCGTCCATTGGCGACAAGTGTGCGTTGGTCTGCTCTCCAGCATACAGCTGAGGCGGCTCCAAAGGCCTGGCGATCGATGAGCTGTCTCTTCCTAAAGCTTGTGCATTCTCAAGCCTTGAAGCGCTTGTGTACGGTCGACGTTCTGGCGGCACGGGAAGGTCCTGTGGCTTCGCACTTAGCGGTCGTATGTATGTTGGCTGGGAATAGAGGTCTTGAGCACGAGGCGCAGATGTCTCTTTCACCATCTTCGGCCGCTTTAGTGGCGGCAGCTCAAGCGCTGAGCTTCCAGGACGTGAAGAGCTGCTGCTCGTTACAGGTCGCTTATGAGCGTCCTCTTTTTGCAATCCTCGTGACTTGGCTCCGATTTCTGGGATTGTGAGGGACGTGCCAGATGCAGAGGTTCGAGGCCGGTGCTCAGGAGATCCGGAGGATATGTAAGGGCCAGTGGGGGCATTTGCAGTACCAGAGGGCCATTGTTCATGACCTGTGACAGCCGTAGAAGGTCTCGTATCACCACCCACATTTGACGAAGTCTCACGGTCTTCGAGCGCCTGGCGTATGGCATCTACAGCTGCAGTGTTCGATGCCGACGAAGGTCTCACCGTTCTGGGATCCGCTGCGGCTTCCTGAGGTTGGTAGGTATACACCGGGTTTGGGTTCGTCGTATGAGACCTCCATAGTTGACCAGTTGATGGTCTCGATGGCACAGTATCCCGCGGAGCTTGTACCTCGTCCCGACAGATAATGGGCCGCCCACCACTTTCCTGTTTTGGACCAGCTTGATGTTCTTGGCCGTGCGATCGAAATCCTCCACCATCACGATAGTAGGTTGGTTCTCCGCGCTCTGGGGGCTTCGTGTGCGCTTGACGTTGAAGGCTTCGACCATAGAAATCCTCGTCGTCTGCGAGAGGAGGTGCTTTGATGGGAGGTCGCATAGGCGTACTTCTCTCTTCCTTTGGTCGATACTTCTGGTCATCATAATGTGATCCCTGATCAGCCGTGAAATACGAAGAGCTGGTTTGAGCCGTCAACGGACGGAAATCTGTGTGCGAGGTATCGGGGCGTGCGTTTTTCGACGTCGCCGGTCGCCCAGTTGCGCTCTGGTCGTGAACTTCCATACCACGCCTTCGAAGAGGTGCAAGAAGTTGTGAGCAGTCCGAAGCGCTTTGCAGCCGGATTTGGATCCTACGAGTCTTCATCAATGTTTAGTGGGCGGGTCTCGCGCAATGGCTGTCTGATCAGGTCTTACCACACCACTGTCGAAAAGACGATAGCGAAGCGCCAAAGCTGCGTCTTTAGTCATGCCGTAGATGGGCAATTGTTCTGTACGAATACCGTCCAGACCTCGCTGTGCAGCAGTTCTACGAGCACTCAGTGCGTAGTCCACGTTTGTGCCGATATCGATGGTTTCCTTGCAATTGATTAGTCTTGGCTTCAATACGATGATCGCCCTCATCGGTCCGCCCAATGTGAAATGCATGTATATCGCGACGCTCCTGGACATTGGTGGCGACAATGCTCGAAATTGCAGTGGATATCGTTTCGATCGCCGGTCATTCAGCACTTACCAACGTCGAGGTTCCACTGACGATTGTCATGACCATCGCACCACTTGTTTCGTTGCCCTTCAATAGCACGGCCAGGTTGTTGTGTTGCATGTGAGTCCATCGGCCTTTGCTGGAGGCATTGGGGTCGTCCAAGTACGAGTACTTGGCAGCCTGGAGGCACAGTTCGACCGCCATGGCTGCTGCGAGATCAGTGCTGTAGGTGAGTGATGTGAATGTTAGACTCTGTTGAGCCGAGCAATGGTTTTGTCCGCTGCAACACGCCACACACAGCCGCCGTCGCCTGTGTCTGCGACTTGTCGCATGCGTGAATGTTGGAGGGTGAATGTTGGAGGGAGTTGAAGTTGAAGTTGAAAGTAGTTGGAGTCGAGGTCGAGAAAGTCGCGAAGTCCCGTGATTGGTTCAAGCGGAAGGAGCGTGGCCGGACCGCGAACCGCCGCTAGCGCGAGACGCGACCTGTGGACAGCAGCATGCAGACGGGGAAGAACAGCATTTCAAGGCCTGATAACATTGCAGCAAAGCAGTCGCAGCTCCTCCGATGATATCGCACGCAGTATCCTCGATGCGATAGATCATATTCTCTGTTTGCGCGTTGTGTAACCCAACGCTGCCGGCCGCACCTGCGCCGGCACGCCGACCTCTCCAACATGCCTGCTCCCAAGCGCGGCCAGTCAATCGAGCACACCGTCGAGCGCGAAGATTTCATAAAGAAGTTGACGGAGTACCATGAGAAGCGAGGGTGAGTGAGGACGCCGCGCGAGCATTCCAGTCTTGCGAAAGTGCAATTTGCGCTGACACGTCGCCTATGACAGGACCACCCTTGATCCAGAGCCAAAAGTCGGCATCCGTCACATCGACCTTTTCAAACTCTACAATCGCGTAGTCGAAGAAGGTGGATATGACCTGGTATCGGACACCAAGGCGAAACCTTTGATGTGGCGCAAGTTTGCGGAGGAATTCGTTGGCAAGAACCAGTACACTGCGGCGCAAGCGTTTCAGATCAAGAACGTCTACTACAAGAACCTATGCGCGTACGAGATCAGTACTCACTGGGAGAAAGAGCCGCCGCCGAAGGAGATACTCGAGGAGGTCACAGCAAAGGGAGGGAACGTCATGACCCGCACATTGGAGAACTTCGTGCGGCCAGCGACCCGAGATCAAGATAGCTTACAGAATGGAGACGCAAGTGATACGAGCCCTGAGCAGAAGACGCCGAAGGAGGAGAAGGTAGAGACTACAGAGGAGCCTGGGAGTGCCACTGGACGTTCGACCCGCGGGTTACGGCAGCAACCCCCTCAGCGCGTTCTCTTCCAGCCAGAAGTCGGCACTGGCCGTCAGACTCGACACCAGAATCAGGCTGCGCATGCCTCGCCGACTCCCGGCGCAGGACCAAACGGTGTCATGAACGCAACCTCGCTGACGAACGGTGCGTCGTCCACACTCGCCTCGTACGAGCCCGCTCAGGCATACCCGCTCTCCCTCAAACCTGTCATCACACCTGCAAACAACCCAGATTTCTACCGCAATGAGCGTAAAAGGAAGCTCGAGGCCAATGCTGGGCCCTTGGCTAAGAAGTACAAAAATATTATGCTGCCTGGTACTGGATTCATTGGACCCAACATCTACATGCGAGCTCAATTGGCACTACAAAGCGGGATTCCTGACGAAGAGCAGTACGCGCTACATCATCTTGTCAAGATCAGCCACGAGCGTGGCGACAAGTACCGCTTCGATCAGTTTCCCGGACTTGCTGACGCGTTAACGAGGAAGGTTCTGCAGGTGAGCAGCCTTTTCTACGACATCGAATGGGATGTCATGTACGACGAGGAGTTCTTTGCGGGAGACGATGAGACACTAAATGGACTTGATGGCACGCCTGATATCCTGCAAAAGATTCAATCGCGCATTCCCGTCATCTCCAACGACACCATCCTGGACTCGCGTTTCCTTTCACACCTGAATCGAATCACAGAGGCCGCACTCGTCATCCGCAATATGTCGCTACAGGAAGAGAACGCTGCTTACCTCGCGCGACTGCCTCTTGTACGTGATCTCTTGGCTGTCGTACTGAACCTACCGCATCATCCAGGCACTATCGAACTGCAACATTACGCGCTGGACATCTCCGAGCAGATCCTCAAATACGTTGACGTGACATCTCAGGATGCCGTATACAAAGGCCTTCTGGCGCAAGTCAGCAAGTCAGATCGAGGAGCTGTTGCAACAGCGTTGCGTTCCATCAGCCGGATCGCCATGACGCTTCCGACGCCTAAGAAGCTCGACGATGTACCTGCTTCAGTCCTCAGACGCTGTCAGGAGCTCATTTTGCTTGAAGATGAAGAGCTACGAGCTGCTTGCCTCGACTTCCTCGGCCAGTACACTTCGACGAGCGACAACGTGGAGACGCTACTTCGAACTTTGGACGCTGAGGCGCTTGCCCGACAACTGAGCCATCTTACATTGTTCACCGCCAAGGAACATCGAGATCAGAGGTCTACTCGGCGTCAAGCACCCGATGATGCTATAGCTCCAGTGCCGCGTCTATCAAGAGTCCTGGTGGAACAACTCCTCAAGATGGACGAACCAGAACGTTCTTCCGAGTGGCTTCGCATGTGCTTCGTGCCTGACCCGACTACAGAGATGACACAGATCTCTCTCTGGCAGGCATATCAGGGCACGTTCGCACCTTACCATGCCACACATCCACACCTGATTGCCGGAGACTTCATTAAGAATGTCAGCACCACGTTTCAAGGCGCCACCGCTCAAGTTGCAGGCTCGAACAAGTATGTCATCAAAGGCATCAGGTCGAGAAAGGTTCCCATCGATACTGGTATCATCCCCGGGTCAAAGGCTACCGATAAAGGCAGAGAACTTAGTCGGTGCCATTGGAAGGTGACGATACCGATCGAAGGCACAAGAGATCCTCTGACTGGTCGTATGTCAGCTCCCACAACTCAAGATCGCGAGTGCGGAGACTGGTTCAGGACCAGCGATGACATGATGCAACACATCCTGAAACATCATCTACAAATTCCCATCAAAGCAGACACGCCTACAGATGGTGATAAGATGGAGGTTGACTCCAACAATACCCCTCGGTCATCAGCAACACCTGCGAATGGCTTGACAAACGGAACACCCAAGGACTCGACCAAAATTGCATTCGACTTCGAAGCTGCCGACAAAACGACGCACCGGTGCAGATGGGCGGACTGCGATCGTGCTTCGACTGAAGTCAGTGACACGCAGATTTCCAGAACCAAGCTCTTCGCGCGACACGTCGAAACTCATCTGCCAGAAACGGAGACTTCTCGGTCGAAGCACAACGTCAAGCCAGACGCGGTAGCGGCTCCAAGTGCAGAATTCATGAGGCTCACCATGCTGGAAGATGAGAGGGGTGAGGCGACGGGTGTGCCTCTTCGTGCCGTGGTAGTTCTGCGCAATCTTGCCCGCTTCATGCCTAAGCAGCTAGATGTGGGCAACGGTGCCAGTGCTATCAAGAGTGGTCATAAGAAAGAGGATAAGACTGACGTGCTTGAGACGGTGTTTGATGGCGAAGTGAGGGAGCGGCTCTTCCATGCGATGTCTTATTCGAAGACGATGAGGGATTACGTGGGCGCGGTGTTCAGGGCTATCAAACATAGCGAAAAGTAAGTCTGCGGATGAGGTGGTCCTGGTTTCGGTCTGCATTTAGCGAGGAGTTGAAAGAAGGCCACGAAGAGCGTCGGCCAGTGTAACAGTAGTGCTATATTGATCTTGAATTTGGAGGCGACGCTCGTGAGCAGCGTCCATCTGGGCCGGCAATTCTTCGGCTTGAGCGTCTCCATGACACGAGCACTTCACTTCATCACAACTTTAGCCTTGAACGCATAAATTCACAGCAATTATCCCAAAACTGTGGCAGCTTCACACATGCACTCGTACTTCACACGGCAGCTTCGTCCTGTCTCGAACTCATGAGATGGCGGACACTTCTGGCTGCTAGACGGACGATTCGACTGCCTCCTGTTCGCCCGCGCCTTCCAGCAGCAACCATCGACAAACAACGAGCATTGTCATGGCAAGCATTCAAAAATAGGTTGAAGATCTTGGCCATCAAAATTCTTCTCTCGGGCAGTAAGAAGGACGGAAAGTGGCAACGAGCAGTCATGGCTCAACCTCAGCCCGCGCAACTCCTTGGCCCTTCCAACCACATCCCACTCCTCCAGCAACTGGTCGGTCTGACACCACGACAAGACGACTCACAGAATCTTCAGGATGTCGTCTTTATTTGTATAGATTGCGAGGCATTCGAGTTCGGGCCCGAGAAAATCACGGAAGTTGGGGTCTCTGTACTGGATACGAGTAAAATAGATATGGTCAGTCTGACATCTAGTGTTTCTTGCATGGACTAATGATGGGCAGATCAATCCTGAAATCACATCCTCAGACTTGATTTCCCACATCGAGTCGGCTCATTATCGTATCGAAGAGTACGGCCACCTCAGGAACAAGCGATGGGTGAAGGGAAATCCCGACGCCTTTGCATTCGGCAACTCAACGTGGATCAAAAAGGCCAATGCGAAGCACGTCCTTCTACGGATCTTCCAGGATGCGGCAAACCTCTCAAACGCCAGCAAGTTGAGATCGCCGCTGAAGGGCGGGGCAAGAAATGTCGTGCTGGTCGGCCACGGCATCAAGAATGAGGTCGACTACCTCAAATGTCTGGATTTTCCACTCGAAGGTGCTGATAATGTAGTCCATAAGCTGGATACTTCGTCAATCCTCACCAACAAGAAGAATCAAGTCTCCCTCAAGCATTTGCTGGAGTTGGTGGAGATCGAGGTTGACAAGAGCCATCTACACAATGCTGGGAACGATGCTGCATATACTTTGCAGGCGCTCATGGCTATCGTAAGTACTTGTATCGTATCTCGCTCAACCGTGGGCTGATGTATTGTCCTAGGCCGTCAAGGAACACGCCGTATCTGGATGTCTGGTGAACGTCCTGGCAGAGCAAAGAGCCGAGAGGGCTGCACAAGCGGCTGCGAAGCAAGCTGAAAGGGCCGAGAAACGAGAGCAGCAAAAAGCACGAGATCAGGCAAAAGCTGCTGCCGCTGGTTCGAAGACTCCTGAACAAGTGGAAAAGGAAGCAAAGGCAGCACAGGAGAAACAGGCGATGATACTGCGGAAACGAGCTGAACGAAATGATCGCAAGCGGCAAAAACAGGCTAGTCGAAGCCCGTGAACAGCTTCTACGACCAACTCATGGAACGAGGAGTCAAGATGAAGAGCTGATCTGTCAGAGACGACCTTGATAATATCGCGTCAAACCTCTGGACCCCTGCGCATGCGTCTCAGCGATCACCGTCGAATTGCATGGCATGAAGATGCCTCGACTGCTTGGAAGATGTCCAGATTGGACTGAGAGGAGTTCCGGAGAGCATGCGTCGTCTCACCGTCCAAACGAACAGGGACGAGACTTAAAGTGGTTGATGTAGCATCGACTAACATCAAATACAACCCAGGGCTCCATTGCCACATTCATGAGGTCTGCTCGTGCCTTCAGGACGATCCTCTCCAAGAACACCTCGCGTACCTCATGCAATTCTCTACCTGTCCCAAAGAAAGTCGAATTCAACGGAAATTATGCCGTCTGGACTCAAAGAGACATCTCATCAGCACCTGCCTCCGACCAATCACTCAACGTGCTCCTGCTCGCTCGATGAGCAGCTACTTCCATTTCACCATAACGACGGAAGGACCTACGAGCACCTGTCAGCTCCTTTGTTTACTTCCCACCTCTCCCCATCTTCTCCTCCGAACATCAACACCACACATCGGATATCACACCAAGGCAGCCATTCGTCCACATCCAACATCCGCCTTATTCGCATCGCAAGATATCCCAACATCACACTCAAACCACCTTGAATGCCAGGCAACCTCACTGTCGCCATCATCGTCATCATCCTCTTCGTTCTACTCGCGGCCGTCGGCATCCTCATCAGGAGATTCCAGACTCGAGTCAAGCGGGCACGTCTTAGCAAAGAACTCAGTTCTGTGAGCGCTGAAGAGAGACTTTGAGAAGAATCGTGAGCCTCGTACCACTTCATCTCACCCTTGGTGTCCTCTCCGCTGACGAGAACGTCGCAGTCAATGTTAGACGTCAACTTCCAGAAAAAGAGAGACTCGGTCGTCCAGTGGATCCGTAGAAATCCCAAGCTCATTGTCCGCACCGGCTCGTCCATTATCGGGACCTTCGCTATCCTGTTGTTCGTCTACATAGTCTACAACGCCAAAACTGAGAAGTGAGACTGGAAAGCTCACATTGACGAAGACCGGTTCGAGCCGCGGAATCGTGCTGCCATTGTGGAATACATCAGCTCTCAGTTCGATCTTATCCAAATCCTGCAATCATGCCGCTCTCAGCCCAAGTCTCGGAACGCCTGATCTATGGCTTTTCTGGGAGTTTCGGTAGCCTAGGCCTCCTAGCCATCCTTCTCAGTATCATCTACTGCATCCGGCGGAGGAGGAATCCACGACCAGATCGTGCCATGCCCATCGACGAACGTGCCCTGGACGGATGGAAGGAGTGCTTCAGGTTATGCGGCAACAGTCTGGCAAACCTGGTGAAGGCTCCTTACAACTTCGTGATCCAGAGGAGGCAGCGTGGCTCCAGTCAAAACGTCAGACACAATCAGGACAACGAAGCTGCTGTGGCCGTGGACGGCAACTCATCGGACAACATACAAATGGAAAACGTGCATGGCAGGCCAAAAAGCAATGACTCCATCAGACCAGCTCCAACAAACGACGACGGCCAGATCCAAAGCGAGCAGCAAGACAACAACTTCAAGACCAACCGAAGCGTCTGGAGCAGACTCCCACGCTGGAACCGCAACAAGAACACCCCCGACCCCGAACCAAACACCCAACTCATGGAAAGCCCAAACTATGACGACATCGAGCCTGCCCCTTTCCGCCAACCACGTGGTGAGCGTCTGCTGGGAACTTCTACCCACATGGGCTAGCAGCGTCAAAGCGAGGTTTCGAATATGACGGACCGGACTGAGGAGATGGCTGAGGAGTATCGAGCAGAGATTGATGAGCATCCCATGCTGGCGGCTGACTCTGAAGAAGAGGGTAGCGTTACGCAGAGTGAGCTTCGTCGACATTGCCGGTGGGAGGAATGAGTTTGGAGGTTGTTTATGATTTTGTTTATTGTTCGCTTGTCTTACATTCGGGTTTGTTGGCAGCGTGTTGTTCGCTTCGAGTACATGTTGTTTTGAAAATGCATACGTTTGATCTCGTCAGTTCACCTTGTCCCGAGTCACATTCTCGTTCTTAACATGCCATACGCCGCACCATTGCCACTGCCGCAGTCACCGTACGGGACATGCTTGCCTACTCCGAAGATGCCTCCAACACACTCACGCCGCCTTGATACCACTACCACTCCCCAGAACACGCTTACAGACCTTGAAATCAACATTCTTAAGCATCTCCCCCTCCCTCTCCTTAGCAATCGCCTCAACATGGCTCGGCTTCTTCCCAAACGTCTCTCTCGCCTCCTCATTGACAAACCTAGAATTCACGTGTCAATTCCAAACCCCTTTTTCCACACCAAAGGGGAAAGAAAGCACAAGGCTCAGACATACTCATAAACCAAAAAGAACTTCTCCCCCTTCTCCTCCCCTCCCCCTCCAACTTCCTCATGCATAGAATACAACTCCATCGCCACCTCACCCCCCTCCGTCCTCTTCACATCCTCCGCGATGTCCTTCCACAAGTCGAGAACCTGCACAAATTAAGCATTACCTCCCATCCCTCCCTCAACCTCATCCATCAAACTCACCTCCCCGGTCTTCCCCTCATTCACAGTCACGAACACCGCCATTAGAACTTTCTCCTCCCTCTCATGCCCACCAATCGTCTTTCCCACCCCAAACACATGCTTATAATACCCAATCTTGAAATCGCTGATGAGTCCTTCTTCGCGGACTTGAGTCGAGACGGCAACGTGGGAGGGTTTGGCGTTGAAGGCGTCTTTGATGGCTTGGGTTGCGAATCTAGAGGGTGCTTCTCGTTAGTATTGTTTAACAGCGATGGAAGGGTTGGTGATGTGTGATACTCTTCCAAAACGATAAATCCCTCTTGCCACTTTTCCCGTCCCTGGTCTTCATACAACTCCATGGAGATTTTGCCCTTCTCCGTCGAGCGGATATCGTCTGCTATCGCACGCCATAATTCGACGGACTGTAGGGTGCATCAGTCAGCGCATCTGGCATTGCTTGCATAAGGCTCTTCGGGGACATTTGATAATCGTATGCCTGGCGTTTCGGAGACTTACCCTCGCACGTTTGTCTGCATGCGGCGTGAGGTATCCTGCTAGAAGGATAGTTTCGCTGGTGTTAGTGGACACCATGCTGCGGACAGGGGAAGAGCTGAAGGCAGAGGAAAGCAAAGGGGTTGAGTTTGGGATATGGGAATGCATCCTCTCTTTATACTTCCTAGCCATGCCAAGTGAATTATTCATCCCATCCGACTACCTCATCTCATCATCCGGTATCGCCGTTATTCACCGAGTAACATTCCTTCCAACTAAGCCATCCCTGTTCTGTCCCAACTTCAGCTTCTTTCTGCAATCGGGACAGTACCATTTGGTGCGCCTCGGCGGCATGCCGGGCAGCTGCACACATTCCAGGTGAAACCACTCCTTCTCGCAGTCATCGTTGTCACACGCAATCATCGTGCCCCAGCTGACATCGCCACAGAGGCAATACCTAGGCTCGTCCGGGTCGATGTAGTCTTCGGTGTTATCGCCCGCTGGGATAGCACCTTGATCTTGTGGAGCAGCAGAGTCTTTCTTCAAGGCACCCTTCTTTCTCGGCGCGGCCTTACGCTTCGAAACGCCAACCTTGGCACTGTCGTCGTCGTTGGATGTGATGACTCCAGGAGCAGGCCGCCTACTCCGTCGACCACTCTTGGTGGTGGGCTGAGCGGTGGCGCTTTTGGGTGAATTCAAAGGGTTGCTAGAAGTGACACCGGTGCTGGGCAGACTCGCATTACTACTCCGACGTAAGCTCGCACGTCGGTTTGGCGGCTCCTCTGAGACTGCTTTGTTGGGCTTGATTGTGATGGTCGGCTTTCGAGATTCGATTGGCGTGGCCGCTCGACGGCTGCGTGTGAATGTGGTCGGTGATCCAGAAGCGCCTGCAGGTGCCAGAGGGACCTTGGACGTTGACTGATTCGGTGGAGCCGGCGGAGCAATCTTCAGCTTCTTGATGACTGGCCTGGACTTCTCCTCTGTCTCTGCAGAAGCACCAGCTGCTGGCGTGCTTTCACGCTTCCGCTTCTTCTTGTCTGCTTCTGGAGAAGGAAGCTTCTCTGGCGAGGGCTCGACCCCTTGCTCACGGGCGAGCTGCGCCTGGAGAGCCTGCTCTTCCAGCAATCGCTGTCGCTTCAACTTCTTTGCCTCGTTCAGTCTCATGCCACGATTGATGAGCTCTGCGTCAGCATCCTCGTCATCCACATACGCCTGCGGGCCCAGTATCGCATTGATCTGCGCAGACTCCTCACCACTAATGAGGACTTTGGTCGGATCTGGCTCGTTGTGATCATCAACAAACTCCTCACCTGCCTCCCCAGCACGCTGCCGCGCCGCCTCCTTGCCCGCAATGCCACGTCCAAGATTCTTAAGCTCACGACGTACCATGGTCTGCGAAGGAATCCAGATGGCATTCTTCTTCATCCGCTTTCGCAGCTTGGCCATCTCCCACTCTGTGAGCTTCATCCATGGGAGCCACTTGCTGCCATTAGCGGCATCTTGAGGGGGCTCGGTGAGCGCTAGAAGCGCATTAGAGGTGCTTATTCCGGCAACGGCTGAGTGAGCATTCGTACCTGGCTGTCCAGGTGCTCGTGGCCCTCGCGGCTTAGGAGTCGTCTTCTTCTCCCTGTCCCTCTCCTTGTCCTTCTCATCCTTTGGGATCTTCGGTGTGCGCGAACGTGGCCGCGGCGTTGCTCCCTTCTGCTTCTTGTCCTTCTCCGATGAATTCGGGGGCTCTTCAAGCAGTGGTGGGGAATTTCTTGGGGACGTCCAGTCTGACATGCTCTCCAGCGGGGCGTTTGGGTCAGGAGGGGGTAGTACCTCCCCCGGGACCATGATCTTACGCCCTCGTAGCTTACTCACTGCCTTGTCTTGCACACGTCTCGCCTGCTTCTCTGGCCGCGCGGCATCTTCTGCGCGCGTGCTCATGCGCCGCTCTCGCTTCAAGTTCGGGGAAGTCAAGGCTTGCTGTTCTGGGGTTGGGTCTCTCGATGGTGGTTTCGGCTGTGACTTGAGCTTCTCAGTAACAATGTCCAGTCTTCTAGCTTCCCTCTTGCACTCTTCGTCTAATCTTACGGCCTCCTCCACCGACATGCGACAAGCTGCCTCTGCCTCTGCGAGCGCATAGCTGATGTCGCGCCGCAGCTTGACTGGGTCTGGTCGGTCATGCTTGAGAGACGGCAGAGTACTGTATGAGGTTGTGTCATCGTGGACTGCCTTGATACCCCGCTCTGCCTTCTCGCGCTGGTCCTGGATGAGTGTCAAGGCGCGCGTCAGGTGCGAGGGGAAGTGCTCGGTGTAGGTGAGGAAGTCGGACAGCGTCGCTTGGATATCGGGATCGCGTTCTGGCTGACGGCTGAGGGAGCGGAAGTCTGGGTCGACCGAAGCGTGGGATAGCGCGGTGGAGGCCATGTCGGCGTCGCGTTGGAGGACGGAGGCCAACAGCTCAGTCGCGAGCTGCTCGGCCGCAAGCGTGTGCGCCACAGCAGGCGGATTTGATGTTGGTATGGCGGGCGGGGGTGGAGGTGGTCATTCGAGCGGTGGCAGCGGGGGAGTGGGAGTGAGGTGGTGGTGGTGGTGACTGGCGCGCCTGCACATGTCTGGCGCACCTGCATCTGACGACCAGCAAGCGCGACGTGCGCAAGCCGTTGCGCTACGGCCCGCCCCCGCGTCTGCAGGGATTCGCGCCAACCTTGAATTGAAGCTTGTTGCGCGCGCACTCAAGCACTGTCTTGGATGTTACTGCCACTTTCACACACAACACGATCAGCAGCTATGAGCGGCGACGAGCCTCCTCCGCCTGGCGCGCCCACCCCTCCCCAAGAGGAACAGCCCAATGGCGCGTATGCCAACTATCTCCCCCACGACCTAAAGTACAGCGCCGACTTCGAGGATGCGGTAATGCAGGTTGTGCTCAGTCCGCCTCAGCAATCCGACGGCATCCGCATTATTCCCGAAGACAGCAGTGAGATTCCAGTCGAAGGTATCTCTGTCAAAGCAGACGCTATCTCGTTGCAGAGTCTACCACAGATTCTGGAGGAGGAACTACCTCTACCACTTGACGATCCCCGCAGAATCTTCGCCAGTCGAATACCCGGAGTCAAGCTCACGCACCCAGGCGGTTATTTCGAAGGCGGTCCAGGACTGGACCCAACTCTTGACAACTTCCCCGAGCACTTCTTCAGCAACAATTCTTCCGCTGTCAACTCTGCAACGCTGCGAGCTGCCGTGGACAAGGAAGTCGATTCACATTACGAAGAGCTTCATGCACGGCTCAAGCAACGACGGAGAGCGAAGGAGAAGAACGAGCAGATTGAGCGGGAGCTTAGGAATATGCGCGAGGAGCACAGTATGGAGCTGAAGGTCAACCGTAAATTGGCGGAAGAGCGGCGCGCGAAGAAGGAAGCCAAGGAGAAGAGGAGACGAGAGCGAGAGACAGGCTAGTGGCCTATTAAGCCTATCAATGATGCATCAGTTGGATATACAACACAGGATATTGAAGACAGTAGTGTGCGCGTGAAGCAGGAGCAGAGCCCGGATCATGTCCCTGGAAGGTGTCCTCCTGCCAGCAGCGCGCAGCGAGCCGCGACCAGACTCCCCGAAAGCCACGACGAGTTTCAGCAGTACATCTTTCGGGCAGCCTGTGGAGCATTCGACATCGTGGAGACTCAATTCGCAGCATATCGCAGGAGGTGGGCAAACCAAATGATGGCTGTCCCTTTTGGAAGCGTATATCTCAGAGAAGGCATGAGATTGAAGAGGTTGATCAAATCTGTCGTTCACGAGAAGGGAAAGGACCGCGCTGGGAAGCAACAAATGGCCAGACAACACTCTCGAAAGCTTGGGTCGGATTCGGAGGGCGGAGAGGATGATGAAGAAAGAGACGTTCTGGCCACAAGACAGAGGGTCGGGCAGAGTGTCGTGAAGTCTGAAGACTATGTTCAGAAAGTGGAAAAGCAGCGAGACTCGCTGGAGCCTCGAGAGACAGAGCCTGGAGAGATTGCAAGAGTGACTGCATTTCACCAGTCCCCGAGCCGAAGACAACCTGAGAAACGTCCGAGAGCTCCAAGCCCATCGGCAGAACAACACAGCATGAGCAGGAACCTCTCCCAAAAGCGTATACGAGATCATGAGAGTGGGAGTGAAGAAGGGGAACTTGTCCCAAAAGACCGAGAGTCGAGAAAGGCAACAACACCTTGGCAAGACTATCTGTGAATGTGAGAAGGACGCGAGATTCTTACCGGCCTCAAGAAGACAATCATGCCCCTCGATGGCAACCCCCTCAGAGCAGGATACGACGAGAAGAGAAACCCAAAGCTAGAAAACAGACGGCGGAAGAATGGAGGGATCGGCGTCGTACGTGAATGTTTGAGTTGTCAGCACATTGAGCAGCCGCGCGGGATATGGAAGAAAGACGTGATACGAGCAAAGCAATCAAATCATTATGGTCCCGTCTCTAGCCCCCAATCCTCATCGCCATCATTCCTCTTCCACCCTCTCAACGCCCTCTCCTTCACAAATCTCTTCGCACGTCTCCTCTCCTCCAGAATCCAACTATCCTTGACATCCCCATACCTCTCCCGCTCCAACTCCCCCTTCAAAGACTCCAAGTCCAGCCCGCCTGCAACCTCCAACACCCCCTCCCACAACCTCCTCCGACTCACACAACTCGCTCCCTTGGGATCCATCTGCTTCCTCCCCTGCAAAACCCCATTAATCAAAACCTCCTTCCTCCTAGGCATCCACAACGCAGAGAGGTTACTCGGAACCGCAGCCTCCTCCTTCTCAAACTCAAACTCCCTCCTCGTAGTCTCCACAACAAAAGGTCGGAACTTGAACCCTCCCTCCCCTCCTCCCCATCCATCAAGATTCTTCATCCTCCCCTCCCCCCCAAAACACCTCCCCACCGCCTCAGGGACAACCTCCCCCTCAGGCAAAACCAACACCTCAAGCCAACAAGGCTGCACAAGCAACCCCGTCAATCCGCACAGCAAGCCGAGACATTGCTTCAAAGTAAGCTTATCCGAGCAGGATTTACTCCAGCACACCGGGGCGTCCGGGCGGGAGGGTTTCCTGCGCACGATCCCCAGCTGGTCGAAGTGGCCTCGGCCGAGCATGCTGGTGTCGGAGGAGGAGGAGGGTGCGGGAGCGGAGGACCAGGGTGTGGAGTCTTGTTGCGCGGAGATGGTGAGTTCCATGCTGGCGTCGCCGCAGGGGGCTTGGGTGCAGTACATATATAGCCTCACATTTTCGTGGAGGGAGAAGGGCGGACGACCTTCTCCTGTGTCGTGATTCCATGCAAGCCACTCGCTATCACCTCCTGACTTGCCCCTCGCAGCGAGCTCAGCACACTCATCTACCAGCCAGCGATTGAAGCCCCTCAAACACAGCACTTCAGCATGCCAATCGTGCAAGATACTGCCCTTCGCCAGAGGGACTTTCTCTCGAGGTAGGCATTTCATTCCGGTCGCCAGTGAGACGCATGTGAGTGAGGATGGGTCGTGGTCTTCTCTGCGGAGCAGCAAGTGTCAGCATTCTCAGCAAGAAGTCGGTTGGTCGACTATCACCTCTACTGAGCACGATCCCCGCCAGAGGAACCCATTCTCTACGTCCATCGGCCAGCCGTCGAGGTTTGAACTTCGCTGGTAGGGTGTTGAAGGTCTTTAATACGCAATCCGTGATCTCGTCTGGATGAGGGAGGTTGGTCATGATTTCGAGCAGATCTTTGACTTCATGACCGAGTCAAGGGCTGCGGACTTGGGAACCAATGTTGTCCTACGTCGGCGAGCAATCACAGTCTGCTGTTGACTGCCCTTTGATGGATTGCTATCAGCTCCCTGTGATACAGGGCAAAGCTCGAGCAATGACCAGTCGATCAAGCCACGGGTCGTGTCCTTCGTTGCTGAGATGCGGAAGTCCTTGCTCAAGGTCAGTTTCGTGCGGAACGGGAGGTCCACAGAATCTCGAAGGTCAACGCACGAGCAGAAGCTTGGGATGCGGAGCGTTGTCGTTGAAGACGAAGAAAGCTTCTCAAATCAGGTTGGACGGAAGTCAGATGGCAGCGGGCATGGATGAGGTTGACGAGATGGAACGTGAAAAAATCCCCCGCAAAGAGATGTCATACCATTGTAGTAGACCATTACTGCAGAACTCAGGCGGGCAACAGACTACGGAGATAGTTGGAAGATGTGAAGATTTGGTCTCCTAATCGCTTTCATTGTAGGAGTATTCTCGAAATCTAGCTAGACAGGCCAGTCCGCTCAAGACTAGCCATCCTTCGCAAACCACCATCATCTCGCTTCGTGATTTCATGCCATAAAACAAAGGAAATGGTTGGCTCTTGTTCTTTCAGTAGCCGCTCTGCCCCAAACAGCCCAAGGCAGATGTCAGCTGGTGATGTGTCGAATTAGAAAGGGTATGACCGGTTTTGATGAAAGAGGGTAGGAAGAAAAGCCTGCTATCCTCCCGAGAGAGAAAAAGAGGCTCAAGGCAACCGGTCCCCACGAACACCCGCTTTTGGTTGCAAAAGCACCCGAATCATGCACCAGTCTATTTCTTGGAAGCCTTCTGGGCAGCCTTGGTGACCTTGCCGGCACCAGACTTGTCAGACTTGGCAACGGACTTGATGACACCGACCTGGGAAAAGTTAGCTGATGTTTCTGAAAGGAGAGGAAGGGATTTCTGGCGTACTGCGACAGTCTGTCTCATGTCACGGACGGCGAAACGACCGAGAGGTGGGTACTCGGTGAAGGCCTCGACGCACATGGGCTTGGATGGAATCATCTTGACGATGGCAGCATCACCTGGAAGGAGAGTCAGTAAATGTCGATGATAATAGCAAGCAGGGTCAGAACATACCAGACTTGATGAACTTGGGAGATGCCTCAATGGACTTGCCGGAACGACGGTCGATCTTCTCGAGGAGCTCGGAGAACTTGCAGGCAATGTGGGCAGTGTGGCAATCGAGGACAGGGGCGTAACCAGCACCGACCTGACCGGGGTGGTTGAGAACGATGACCTGGGCGTTGAAGGAGTCGCAGCCCTTGGCTGGGTCGTTCTTGGAGTCGGAGGCAACGTTGCCACGGCGGATCTCCTTGACGGAGACGTTCTTGACGTTGAAGCCGACGTTGTCACCTGGGAGACCCTCGGCGAGCTGCTCGTGGTGCATCTCGACGGACTTGACTTCGGTGGTGACACCAGCTGGGGCGAAGGTGACGACCATACCGGCCTTGATGACACCGGTCTCGACACGTCCGACTGGGACCGTGCCAATGCCACCAATCTTGTAGACGTCCTGGAGTGGGAGACGGAGAGGCTTGTCAGATGGACGGCTTGGTGGGTCGATGGAGTCGATGGCCTCAAGGAGGGTCTTGCCGGTAGACTTGGTCTTGGTCTCCTTCTCCCAGCCCTTGTACCATGGGCAGTTGGTGGAGGCCTCGATCATGTTGTCGCCGTTGAAGCCGGAGATCGGGACGAAGGGGACGGTCTTGGGGTTGTAGCCGACCTTCTTGATGAAGGAAGAGGTCTCCTTGATGATCTCGTTGTAGCGGTCCTCGGACCACTTGGTGGTGTCCATCTTGTTGATGGCGACGATGAGCTGCTTGACACCCAGGGTGTAGGCGAGCAGAGCGTGCTCACGAGTCTGGCCATCCTTGGAGATACCGGCCTCGAACTCACCAGTACCGGCGGCAATGATGAGAATGGCGCAGTCAGCCTGGGAGGTACCAGTGATCATGTTCTTGATGAAATCACGGTGACCAGGGGCGTCAATGACGGTGACTGTAGAAGTTGGTTAGTATGTGGACCGCAAATCAGTGACGATGAGCTCAGATGAAGTGGTGCGAAGCGAAGTGCAGAGTGCGAGTGACGAAGAGTTGAAGATTGCCAGCAGGCGACAGCTCTGTTCAAATACTCGGCCAGGTCCATGGTAAGAGCGTCCAGTCCAGGAAAGATGGCAGGTATGAATGGTGTTGGGGGAGGTGCAGATGTTGAAAGGGAAAGAACAACGGACCATAGTACTTAGGCGTCTCGAACTTCCAGAGGGCAATGTCGATAGTGATACCACGCTCACGCTCGGCCTTGAGCTTGTCGAGCACCCAGGCGTACTTGAAGGAGCCCTTGCCCAACTCGGCAGCTTCCTGTGAGGCATTGCATTAGCATCAAACTCAGTGAAAGCGTCTACGCAGACCCTGATGTCGTCGTCGCCGTCGCGCTGCTCAACTGGCGGTGATGGATGAGGTCATGCTGGTGGGGCTCGAAGCGGCTAAGCGCCAAAATTCTCGCACCCCACCAAATTTTTGCCCCTCCACCTGCCAGTGCCAGCGGAAAGGCGGCGATAAGCAGCGCGACGGTGGTGCGACGACGCAAGGAGGGCGGAATGGCGGTGACTCACCTTCTCGAACTTCTCGATAGTACGCTTGTCGATACCACCGCACTTGTAGATCAAGTCTGTGATGTTTGTGAGCTTTCTGACATGTGCCGGTCGCAGGAAACGGAGAGCGCTTACGGCCAGTGGTGGTCGACTTGCCGGAGTCGACGTGGCCGATGACCACGACGTTGATATGAGTCTTCTCCTTACTGTGTGTCTGATCAGTCGCTGCTCATGTATGCTTTGGTATAGGCCGCCGCCGGGCGCACGAAGCTTGACGTACCCCATGATGTCGGTGTTGTGAGTGGTTTTGCTGAGGTTCTGGAAGTGTGGAAAGTACTGAAGGGGGGATTTGCTGTAGCCGCAGTTAGTGCTGCTGTCAATGTTGATGATGGTGCGACGGATTGCTCACTCAGATTCGAATGCCAAATGATTCGAGGTATGAACAGACGAAGACCAGAAGGGAAGAGAGATTTCCAAGGGAGACTGGAGGACCTTTGAATTTTGCTGTGGTGGGCCGTGCGGCGGGGCTTAGCGCTGTTTTACAATCACGTGACGGCTCGATGACTCTGTCGCTCCGGTGACGACGAAGCGTGTTGTTCAGCTTGTGAGCTTGCGCTGGCAGAATGTTGGGCTCTGAGCTGTCCGTGACGAATCACAAGATGCCGTCTGCGAGAGTGATAGCGGACTTAGACGTCTACTGTCGCACGTGATATCAGAGGCGTAGTTTCTGATCTATGTACTCATTTCTGACTGCCATAGTGCTTCAATGAGCCCGACGTAGCACGTGTCAACAGACTCGCTATCTTCAACGCGGTCGACACGAGCTCCTTAGTCTTTGCACTCGTGTCTTGTGAAGACCCTGCAGACTGCTCCACCGGCTGAACGTCACCGCCATGATGTGTTGCACTGTCGTGTGACTGTTTTTCATCACCCTCAGTCGACTTGCTCACCGTTGCGGTGTCCATGTCCAGCGTCGGTGAGGTTTCATCAGTCAACGACTCACTCTCAACATGACCATCAGCGTCAGACATTGACCCATGGCCCTTTGCTACCCTTTGCCGCAGCTCAAGCATTGTTCGACTGCCGTAGATTGCACCTCCTTCAACCTCTCCATAATCCAACAGCATATCCTCAGGCATGCTCCTCACAAGAGTCTTGACCTCATCGTCGACATCCTTCTCGAGGATTCGCTGCCTTGATAGGAAGCGAGTCTTTTGCACTTGCTCGAACCGCTCAAAGTAGTACTGTACGTCAATTGTCTGAGACGGAGCTTGCCTGTCGATGAATCTTCGAGGTAGTCGGAATGTCAGCTCTGGCGGTGCATCCAGTATCCCGCCACGGCGATGCACCGACTCTTGTAGCTTGGCTGAGAAATGCCGAATATCCTCATCATCTCTTGCAATACAAACCTGTGCTTTCAAAGAGAGTCGCCTGCTGAAGCGTATATCCACAGCATGCTCTGGAAGGGGAACGCTGTGATGCTGTTCATCAATAGTAGCAACGATGCCATCAAGGAGCAGCTCTGGAGGTTTATTCGGCTGATGAGATGAGAAGTTGAACCGTGCCTGGATCCTGGGGAGAGCTTTATAAGACGTTGAGACAGCAGGAGCCACCGGAATAAAGTGGGCTATCAAATACGGCACTTTGCTCTTGGCTTCCACATCTCGCACGTCTCCGTTGGTGTCTCGAGCACCGTCGAGTCTAGAGGCTCGTTTGGACTCGAAGAAGGATAGCAGAGTCTGCAAGCCGGGCACTTGGTACTGCAACACCGGGTTTCGTGGGTCTACGGGAGGCGTACGAGCTCCAGTCGACTTGTTTGACGACGATGTTCGCGGTGCTGGCGGTGCTGGCGCTGGGTGTAGGATTTTACCAAATTCAACGGCCCAGCTTGTCCAAGAGGGCTCCTCGAGCCAGTACCCTTCAGAAAGCTCATGAGGCAGGAGTCGTTTGCTGGGTGGGTGTGGTACAGCAGCGAGCTCGTAGACCACTGTCTCAGCGATCTGCTCAAGGCCAGCACCAGGAGGTGGATCAGCAGATTGACCAGACTGTGCTCGAGACGAGCTAGAAGTCTCATGTGATGACTGAGACGAGAGCGTATCCTTTCGACGACATGGCTCTATGCGACGCATTAAGTCCCTAGTGCGATCGCGTCGATGCAAGCCAGAGGACAGATCGACCGTCACCAGCGTCGTCGTCAGAGGCATTCTTCGGCCAGCCTTGCCGACCTCCTTCGTGCCAACTTGCGACACCGAGTCGAACGACAACGCGCCAGGCAAGTCCAACATAGCCAACAACAGGCGCCGAGCGTTGTGTCTGACAGCCTCGCTGATACCATATACAGCCAAAACGTTGTCTTTCTCCACCGCAATGACGGTCTTGGTGAGGTCTGATATGTAGCCGAGCTCCTCTACACTGAACCCCTGTGCCTCATCTTTGAAAGGCTTGAAGTCAATTTCAAGTCGCTCAGCCTTCAACAACGCGAGCTTGAGCTGTCGAGCCACCTCTTCAGCATCCTGACGACGGCCTGTTACCCTCATGACCCTGTCCGTAGGAAACGATTGGACTTGTGTTGTGTCGAGGAGAATTTGCGAACGAATGAAGCTCTGATACTGGGGTCTGTCGTTCTGTGAGATTTCGAAGAGCATAATGGTCTGCCATGGCAACAGTTTGACTTCCAGTTCACCAATCTCTTGCTCCTCTGACTGGATTGTGAGATGCCATGCGAGACGCAGGATCTGCTCCACGAGTTTCAACTTCGTGTTCGACCCCTTCTTTTTGACGGCCGTGGGATGCCGCTGATCCAAAGGTGTCTGGCCTCGTCGCCATGTTGTCCATCCGAGCTCCCGCACTTTGCCGTCTATTTCTGGGTTTTCGCGTCCAGGAATACCAGCACCAGAGGCTCTGAACGACCAAGCCAGGTATTTGGAAAGCTGGGGATATGTGTATCCTTTCATGAGATTTTGCTTGTGCGCCTGAAACTCTCGCTCGTTCACAACCGTCTCTTGAGGTCGCAGGCCCTCGATAGAGAGGTTAACCTCTGCCTCTGCTGGGGCAATATAGTGTCCGGTAATAGCATCCTCAATCTCCTTTGCGGTCAGAGCCTTTGGACGTGGCTCCCCATCGTTGCCCGTATATACTTCTGAAGAAAGTGCTTGAGCCTCGGGAGCTTCTGCAACATCTCTGAAGACGATGACATTGGCTGGTTTGTCCAACGAATTGGTTGACAGACGTTCAGATGACACGCGCTGTCTTCGCCCTGGCCTGCCAATGACTCGCTCAGGAGTCTTGACCTTCTTCCAGTAGTAAGCTTTCTCCCTCTTGACCAATATCCCTTCATCGGCCTCTTGATGTTTTCGTGATCGAGTGGAGAATGGAGTGCATCTCTGCTGTGGAATGGTAGCTCGCGCAGGGATTCGTACTCGTTTGATCCGGGCCTGAAGAAGCACTTCGCGGAGCTGACAGCGTAGACATACTGATGGCCTAGCTACAATGCTGGGCAACACCATGAATGCGCTCGATTTGTTTCCTTAAAAGCAGACAAGAAATGTAGACGAAGATCATTGGAGTTCGAGCCTTGAAAAGTCCGTCGATCCTCCGAGATTCAAGCGGAGCCACTTTCAACTTCACGTCCTTCACCAAATGAGAAATAATAATGAGAGTCACCAAGACATCATTCAGCGAACGTTTTATCTCGTATTTTTTAGTCTACATTGTCACGATGCGAATCTATCCTCTTCAAACATGAGACTAAACATCGAGCGTCGACAAGAGTCACTACACTCGCGTAATGTGCTCAGAATGCCTGGATATTTGGTATTTTGTATTTGACATACTCACCAGATTCTCAAGAATTACCTGATAGGCGTCTGACATGCTGAGCCTTCCTCACGATAACCAAAGGAATCAGGTACCTTGCTATGACGCCCAGCGATATTGGACCTCGCCGAAAGGACGTCGACATCTCCATCATGGTCGCCCAACGTGCTCAGCAGCAGCTCAACATTTCGACTTCACCCTCTCCTCAGCCATGACCAGAACCCGCTCGACAATGCGCCGCCGTTTCCTACCCGACCGGATCTGTCACCCCTCGAAACATAGTATGGCAACAGAGGAACCACTCGACCTTTCCACCAACACTCATCTTCTTCCACTCCAACTTGCTCATCCCATGGCTCACAACACCCGGCGTCCGACCCTCCTCCGTCGCCAAAAGATACACTTCCGCCTTGTCCAGGTGCTCCCGAACCGTGACATTGATGTCCAAGACGCTGATCTGGAATTCAGGCGTCGTAGTAGCAGTCATCGCCCGGAACGCTTCGACGTAATCCGACCAGGACTTGATGCTCTCGCTGTACATGATATCGGCCGTGAAATTTGACGACACATGCCATGAATATGAAGCCAGGGTTTTCCAGTCCCGTTCGTTGATCGCTTTGATGTGCGCTTGGTGCCGTGGTATTAACAATGCAGCGACCGGGTCTTGTGGCTGCGAGCTTGCGTCAGGTATTGGCTGGTGGGTCATGGTCGACATGGCCACAGCCTTTCCAACGCTCGAGATCAGTTATTATATATGCTGCACAATGGACAGAGATGGGTTTGCGACGCGGGCCCGAAATCTCGGAGCAATTGCACCTCGGGCGGTAGATGTGCATGTAGACTAGACTTCTGGCTTATGACTTGCGTGTCTTATCAATTAAATAGCGTCCCATACGCATGGACGAAACGTGTCGCATCGGAAAGAGAAATGGCACCTCGTGAAATGCCTCGCTTCAGCTCTCCTGCGGGTGGCCTTGTGGCAGGAAGTGTGGCGTTGATCTACGCTGAATTCGGTTAGCTGCTGGATTGGATCAAAGTTTAACCGGCCCCTTCGCAACTCGCCGGGCGAAGTGATGTCCTTCACCAACAACACCCAATGTCTGCACAGCCTGATGTTAGTGTTGCAGACTGCAGGCACGCACAATTATGATCTTGAAACGCTGAAAGAGTGCAGATAGCCTTCACAATGTCGTGGAAATTGGCCCTGCCTTCTGCAATTGTTTGCCTCTCATCTTTCCTGCTGTACTCTTTTGATGTTTGGATCCGGACTAGGCCATTCAATCCGCCTGACCAAACAGTCAACAGGTGAGCTTCCTTCACAATCAGCAGTTCGTCGCAGGTACTGATGCTATGGTAGCACCCAGCAATGGGACATCTTACGCCATCTGGGCGGCTACTCTCCCTGGATCCATAAAACCAATGGCGTCCTCAACATCGATGTGCCCGAAGGTTGCATCGTAGATCAAATCCATATGATGTCTAGGCACGCGGAACGATATCCCACCTTCAATCCTGGAATTCGTACGTCTGGTCGATTGGGCTAAGTGCGTGTCGCCGAGCAAGATGGAAGGGCTGGCTGACACTTGACTCAAGGGATGCTCGAGCTTTACCAGCGTTTGCAACATGAGAACGTGACTTTCAGGGGAGACATGATGTTCTTGAACGGCTGGAACTTCTTCGCTCCTCATCCAAACGATCAGTTTGACCAGCTGACGACGACGGGGCCTTATGCGGGGACACTGGAAGCCTTTGCTACGGGCGTGAAGCTGAGGACTCGATATGAAAAATTGCTTGAGGAGGCCGTGGCGAAGAAGCAAACTTCGTTCTGGGCAAGTGACTCCCAACGTGTGATTGAAACCGCCCAGATCTTCGCCACTGGCTTCTTTGGTCTTGGCTGGGAAAAGACAGCCACGCTACATGTCATTCCTGAGGACCTGGAGACTGGCGGCAACACGTTGACACCAGGCCACGCTTGTCCGAAGTACGGCACCGATCTCGAATACGGTCACAATTATGGCATCAAGAACCTTGAAGTCTTTCGGTCAACCTACCTGCCAGCAATCAGCAAGCGCTTGAAAAAGGAGAACCCCGGAATCGTTTTCACTGAAACGGAGATATACTCGATGCAGGAGATGTGTGGCTTCGAGACTCTCGCCAAAGGCTCATCGCATTGGTGCAAAGTCTTCACGCACGATGAATGGCTGAGCTTCGAGTACGCGCGAGACCTGTTGTACTACTACCGTTCAGGTCCGGGCAATCGATACGGGCCTTCACTTGGATGGCTGTGGCTGAATGCAACGGCAGACCTACTGCGGCAGGGACCAGAAGCAGGGCCATTGTTCTTCAGCTTGTAGGTACATTCCCACGCCACCGAGCGACACTGCTAACGTTTATGGCTAGCAATCACGACGGAGACATCACCGCCATGTTAGGAGCCCTCAATCTCTTCCCTCAACACCCACATCTCCCCAATTCACGCCAGCTCAACGATCGAGCATGGCGCATGTCCGACGTGACAGTAAGTCTCACTCACCTCCCAGACCCAACCCCAGCCAACTAACAAACCTCAGCCCATGGCCGGCCGCCTGATCTTCGAACGCCTCTCCTGCCCCGCCGAAGTCACCTGCTGGGACAACGCCCAATACGGCTACCCAAACCATCTCTACTGCGAACCACCACACAACGACACCTACATCCGCATCAACGTCAACGACGGCATCGTCCCGATGCCAGACTGTCGCGACGGCCCGGGCGGTGCATGTCCGCTAGAAGACTTCCTCGAGAGGGTGAGGAGGCGGGGCGAGGAGGTCGAGCCTTTCCATGAGATTTGTGGAGTGGAGGAGGGGAAGCCGAGGGGGATTATGTTTTTGCATCAGTAAGATGGTGAGTGCGTGGTCGGAGATGTAGTGGAAGGGATTGAGAGCGGGTTGGTGCTGCAGGGTTGATGGGTCAAGGGGCGTGGGTGATGGTCTTCTCGCCCTGGATGCTCGATTCACATACTGGGAGCCGCCATCCCCATCACCAGCGAATTTTCCAAAGGCCTGGCCAGCGCTACTATCGTTCGGAACGGAAATCCACAGCAAGATCTGGCCACGTAACTTATCTCGACAGATGGCATATAAAGACTTTTCCGCGGAGATAGACATCACACAAACCCACTCAACGCCGACGACCACGATCCACGACCAGCAAAAAAGAGGTGAAACGCACATGATACATCAATAGAACAAGCATTACATTGCATTGCATTCCGGCCAAAACCCAAACAAAGACAACGGCATTGGCTCAGCGCATCAAAAGCCTCTCCCTCGCAGTAGTAGTATACATCTCCTAGCCTTTCTTTCTTCTCTCAAAACGTCGCGCGCATGCATGCCAATCAATCATAAGAAGCGCACTTCACCAGAACCCCGATATGCCCCAGTCATTCATTATGCGCTCGCCCCCAAACGACAACCTTAAACTCCATCCATCGGTCGATGCCGCCATTGTACGTGATGCTGTCCCTACTAGTTGCAGTTGCAAGCCGGTGCAACTGCACAAGAATCGAAAAAGGTGCTGCTCTAGCCCAAAAGGTGGCGAGGCCTAGAACATGGTGCCAAAGTCCTCGTGGATGTCGGACAGGGGCTTGCGCGGGCTCGTCGGCGCGCCGTTGTCGTCGGTGGTGGGCTTCTTGTGTCTGTAGGATTCATGTTAGTGTTGATCGATGACTTGTGAGAGATGCGTTCGCACGTACTTGAAAGTGAAGCCGACGAAGAGGGAGCGTCCCATGTCGCCGCCGCGGTCTGCCATCCGCTCGAGTGCCTCCTGCTTCTCCAGCACCTCTTTGTACTTCGCCATGTCTTTCTCGTTGCCGAAGTCGTCGAAATAGCCGGCGTCGGTCTCTGAGTCGAGCTCGGGAACGAATGGCGCACGATCTTGCCGTATCCGCTCCCATGCCACCTCACGGAAGTAGTCATGCGTCTGCACTTGCTTGATGCCCCTAAGTCGGTTGTTCTTGACCGTGATGAGGCGGGTAATGAGGTCCCAAGTGCGGCGGGAGAGGAAGTAGTTGGGATCCTCATATTCTGGCTTGCGTAACACCTGCTGCCAGCGCTTCAGGTTCTGCCATGTCTCGTCGACGGATGCACCAGCGAATGGCGGATAGCCCGCGAGCGCCTCGAAGAGCATGCAACCAAGAGACCAGTAATCGACAGTGAAGTCGTATTCGTCGCCCTTCAAGACCTCTGGTGCCATGTAGTCGGGGGAGCCAACGATGGACTTGGCGTAGTTGACTTCACGTTCACGAAGCGAGCGATAGCCTTCTCGACGTTCCTTGAGCGATCGCTCTTCCATGGGTCGACCAAATGGAATCGCTGAAGCTGGAAGATTGCCGACCTCCTCAAGCTTGACTCGCATGCTCTCAATCTTGGCCGGCGCGAGGAAGCCTGCTGCGAGACCAAAGTCGGTGAGCTTGACATGGCCAGTACCGTCGATCAAGAAGTTCTCTGGCTTCAGATCTCGGTGAATGTAGCCAAGCTGATGCAGAGCGTCCACGCAAAGGAACATCTCTGAGATGTAGAAGCGGGCATGTCGGTTATGGAGAACACCAGTGTTGTTGAGCAGTGTCCTGAAATCGCCACCAGGCACGTATTCCATGGCCAGATAGATGCTGTTGTCATCCTGGAAGGCATACAGCAGACTGACCAGCCAATCACTCTTAGCGTTGGTGAGGATGTCACGCTCGGTGAGGACGTGTCTGACTTCGTCCAGCTTGTAGAGCAACTTCTTGCTCATGACCTTCAAAGCACAGATCTCTCGTGTATCCTTCTTCGACGCAAGGTACACTTGGCCATAGCCACCCTGGCCGATCTGCGTCAGGATCTGGAAATCACCATGTCGTAATCGAGTCCGTCTCTTTCGTAGAGTGCCCCGCTCTCGGCCCAGATACTGCTTCCAAAGCTGGTTGTACTTGTCGACATCCTCTTGGGGCATCGATGGGGTCGGAGGCGGGTTGTGCGTTTTGAATGCCTGGAGACGGTTTTGACGGTTGTGGATGTAGGAGAGAAGATCATAGTAGTAGTCGAGGAAGTAGAGCTGAGTCACATTGGCCAACCTCTTAACATTCGGCTTCTGCAACTTCTCGATGTCTTCTGGAGTCAGCCCACCAGAAATGGTCTTGGCACCGCGTGTTGGCGAATGGTCTTCACGAGGACGGTACGGCTCCTGTCTACTAGCAGCAGCCTGCGTGATGAAGCTCTGTGTCTGTTGAAGCTGCGGGCGATGCGCAGGTGGTGTGTTCTCCTTGCCAGTCTTTCGCGTTGGACTGCCTGGCGCTCCTGCCTTTGCATCCTGTCCACCGAATGGATCAAATTCTTGTCTAGTAGGTGTTGCTGGGCCCTGCTGCTTCGATTGCAGCGCACTGTTGTTTGGCTGGCCCTGCGTCGGGTACAGCTTCATGGCGTTCGAGAAGACATTGGGCAGATCGAAGGCGCCGGGCGGCATCTTGTTCTTGCTGGGGCTGCCGGTCGGCGTCTGGACGGGAGAGATGAAGGCGTCATTATCGCGACTCGGCGTGCCTGGCTGATCGTTCATGTCGTTGGTCGAGCGTGTGTGGAGCAGGGGTGGGGGGACTGGCAGGACGAGGTTGTCGTTCTGCGGCGTGCTGGACGCCATTGGTGCTGTCTTGACTTCGAGTGTCGCCAGGAGTTGGTCTTGCCGTCAATGCCCAATTGCGCAGTGCAGATGCAGCCGTCGCCTCTGACAATGTTGTTGTTGTGCAAAACGAGTGACGTGTGTTGTGTGGTTCAAGGAGCGGCGACCGTTGGTTTCAGCTCCAAACTTGGAAAGCGCAAAACAAGGCGCCACTGTGGCGCCGTTCTCACAGCAACCATCGCATCGATCTTCCACTCTCCACAAATGCACGGCCAGATCACTTCAACTTCATCGCCTTCGACATGCCAGATGAACACCTTTCTTTGATCTTCAGGCATCTCAAATGCATCACCAATGCTCGCACTGTCTGACTACCACAACAGTGGTCGACCCTAGACACTAATTTGGCGCCTGATTTCCGTCCAGCAGGCATGGCTCATGCTGCCTTTCATCCCTCTGCAAAGGCCCATTGCCATCGTCGGAACTGTCACACCATGCCGCCTGTGTCGTGTCTTGCGATATGTAATGTTGGAAAGTGATGGAGAGAGGTGGTAGTTGTGAAAAGACCAGGTGGTGTCAAACAGAAGCGATCGAGGAAGTACCAATGTCAATCTGGCGAGCCTTGGCTGCTTCGGTACTACATGTACTGTTTCTGGGCATAAACAAATGGACGGTACTTTACAATCGGTAACCGGCACACATGAGCTCACCATCACGCCAGATGGACAAGGACGAACTCTGGCAAAAGTTCGCTGCTTCATTCCAGGTCGGCTGTGATTACAGCTGTTCGACACGGCCTTAGGGGATCGCAGATTCACCCATGGGGAGCAGTCATCCAGATATTTCCTGCTGGTCATTCCGCTCATATTTGAAGATTCGTCCCCGTTACTCGCAGGCCGTCTAGCCAGCCTGAATTGCGAGCAGAAGCGTAGTCGCTTCAAAAGAAACGGAGAGACGACGATTACCCGCGTCCCACTGGACGACGAGATGATGGCATGGCTCGATCTCTTGGCTTGCCGGAGCAAGATGGCTCTTCTCCAACCTCGCGACTGACCGCGAAGTTCAGCCGATGCTTTTGGATTTCTATCCTCGTCGTTCTGAAGGTAGAACATTCATCCCCATTACTCGCAAGCTATTTAACTAGCCTGGTGTGCGACTAGGAGCTTGGTCGCTTTGAGAGAATCGGAGAGCTGACAATTACCATCGACCGGGGATTGCCTAGCTAAGTCGACCTCCAGAGCTATGACCTTGTCATGGGCAATGTCAAAGCGCGAAATGGGCACTGCCGCCATCTGTCGGCAACTGGCGGAGTCATACGTGCTGTCGAGCAAGCATTGCCACGCCCTAGCCAGCGGTCAACGATCGTGATTCTCCGGTTCCACGCTTCACAATTCTTCCGTGTAGGCGGTGTCAGCCCCGTCGATGTGTTTTTGGGTATGGCAAGCCTCCTTACCGCTTTGAGGGCAAAAGATCGGTACGACCGCATACCAGAGAACGATATCGCGCCGTCGAGAGTCTGCTGTGTGAAGCGCGCACCACACATTTGGACAGCAGTGATAATTTCACACCAATTGGAAGCCACCGTTCCGTGCATCTCGCCAGACCCTACAAGGAAGAGCTTGAGGACAGGGCAAGGTGAGCAAGGTAAGATAGACCTTTGAGCCACTACATCCGCGAGAGACAACGTCTTGGGGGATCTTGCGACTGGAGTCTCCGTGCCAAAAGAGGAGATAGCCAACACGGACTCTTTGATGTGTTTTTGGAGCGGCCTCAAATGTAGTCCATTACAGCAGACAGCCTGAAAGGCTCAACGTGACGTCCGAAGCGTGGTCAATCAAGGGATTCGACACAAATGGACGAACTCGTGCGGGAACCGTGAGCGCTGTCGCCTCCAGGACTTGAGACAGCTGATGTTTGCAATCGACTTCACGTCTAGCGGAGCGAGGTGGCAGAGGTGAAGTCGAAGGAAGAAATCTGGCTATCCTGTCGGAGTTTGCACCGTCTTATCAGCAACGCCTCGGGCATCACCCTTTGGGCACTTGGTAGACTCGTCACAAGCGCACACGTGTTGACTTGCTGCAGCCTTATCCGTTCAGTCTGTTTGATGGCGACATCAGGCGGACGCAGCGCGCCGTCCCCGCCGCGGAGAATGCAGGCCATAGATAGAGTATCGTCGAATGTGCGGAGAGATGTGATAGCGGTACCTGGTATCGAGATAAGCTGGGCCTCCTCCTGTTTCCTTGATAGGCAGGAACAGAGCACGCGACACCGTGCAGGGTTCAAAGGTTGATTATGTCGTGCAGAACTGCCTCGAAAAGCGCATTGGCGGTAGATACTGATTTGCTGGCGGTGAGTTGGTGTCGCTGCTTGTCTTATCATGATGCCATTTTCGCCATTCAGGTGCGATATGAGATAAAGTCCGCTAAGGTGGTGAAAGCCAGCGTACATAAGAAGGAGCGCCTCGCTATTTTGCTTGCACCTTCCCTTCGACATGGCACCTGGACTTCTACCCCATCAACCAACAACATCTCCTCTCCGAACATGTTGAGGACATCCACCACACCGCACCGAGCAACGGCCGTCGGTTCTGCACTCGAACACCTGCGATATTGCCAGATGGAGCCTTCCCGCCTCGCCTCCCACTCCAACGCAACACTCTTGCGCGTTGGATGGATCCCGCACTTCGCAGTTGTCCTCTCAGCACCCTCGTAAGGAGTGCGATGAGGCCTCCGCCGCCGGTGATTCTACCACATTGAGCTCTCGCTCTCTCCGCCATCGGATGGAATAGGATGCCACGGCACATACCGCGCCAACCTGGCACGCGCGCTACTCCAATAGCTTGCCGTCCAAGTCAGCGCTGGCTCGGAGCTGTGTGCAGCTTGACGCCGATGGGGGAAGCTATCTCGATCCCACCCAGCCCACCCACAGGCACAGCGTGGATGCGGTCTCCCTTCGTCCGGACATAAGCGGTATTCTCGTACGCGAATGCTGATGTCTACCCATCGGCACACTGCTGCTGCTGTTTCTCTGCTGATGCGCCAGACGGACCAACGAGCAAGGCCGCAATTCATCCCACGAAATACATCTCGCCGATCGCGCCCGTTAATAGATCTCACGAAATTTGGCTTTCTGCCAAAATGCCTGGCGCTCTTGGGCTCTCCCCACGGGCCATGACCGAGCTCGAACTCTGTCCGTCTACGGCAAGTTGGCATGTGACAGTCTGTTGCTGACACAGCACCGTCCCACCACACTCATCGTTCGCAGCTCCGCAGTGATGGTGGTTTCCGTCAAAGGGGTCTTGGAATTGCTGAAGAACCAGGTCCACTCTCAACGGACACGACAGCAGATTGCTACTGGCTCATGACGGCCTCGGCAAATACGACTCGCGCCACGAGCAGTGCTAGCCCAGCAACTTACAGCTGTTTGGATCCACTTGATGGGTGTGGCTTCATCCGCACTCTTGATCCAGGGCAGAATCGGAGAGGACGACGCGGCCATCGGCATCGAGTCCGGAAAGGTCTGAGACAGCTGTAGAAATGCGCCGGCGTCAAACCGACGTCGACGACGCAGCCAACGATGCGAAGCGACATGACCTTTGCCACAGCACCAATGCAAGTCAGAACAGGATGGACGTGAATTATGGGGTCGTCCACAGACCCTGAGCGTGCCCAGCGCAAGAATTGCGACGACACTCGATCACTTACCGAATTCGAGGATCATCAATCAACGCCCGCCCGCGACCCGTTGATGAACCAACGGAGTCTCACACTGATGAAACACTTGACACTTCGTGGGCTGTTCCGTGGCATACTGCTTATGGCATACCAGGCTCGTCATTGGATGCGTGCATCGATCCGTCATCACCCCAAGATTGATTTGGCATTGCTTTTTGGCTGCCGTCGACTAGCGTGTGACCTGAACATGGGGAATGCATGGTCGGCAAAGCACCGGCTTCATGCCATGTGCCCGCCTCGTCGATGCGCCGCAACGCAAAAGTGTTGACTGCTTCGCACAACTGGCTATGCTCTTCATAATAGACGGGTCAAGCCCCTTCCTCACGGGAATATGTTTCAGACTATATTGAAGCTCTAGCAACGCGGTAAGTCGTCATCGTCATTCATGGCGCATCGAAGATGCCGCACACGCGGCAGCATCCAGACAAGGGTATGTGCATCCTTCCAATATCACTGTTATGCATCTCGAGTATGTCCCTGTCGTTGTCTTCGTCTACCTGCAGCAGTTCCCACTGAAGCGCTTGAGCGCGGTGCTGGAGACGTCGTTGGATATTGCAGTCTCCAACATGCTGCTTCTCAACTCCCTATACCCATATACCAGCGTCTAGAACCGTGAGCGTGCGAAACGCGGTGCCGTCCCTCGCAATAATGCTGGGTATCGCGAGTGGCGCGGATGCACACCGGTGCGCTAGCGGGCATGCTCATCTGCATGGGTGCATCATCTGAAGAGACCCTGAGGCGTTCCGGATATTCTTCGTACTGCAATGCGACGAAGGGTGGGCGAAGGCGACGAATCAACGATGGAGCGGCGGATAATTTCGAGCCTCGTTGATCCTCGTTTTGTTGGGCCCCTGTGGGCGTAGGTCGACAAGCGAGCGAGCAAGGACTCGCGCAAGTCAAGCTGTGTGCCTTGTTGCACAGCATGTGAGCTTGGAAGGAGGTGCAGGTCGTCTACCGCTCCGGCCGCGCACCAGGCAAGCCGACCATCATCACGAGCTGGCGCTGCGGATCGGGAGCACTACTGCGCCAGTGAATACGGCAGCTAGCTGCTGGTGCTGGAAACAAGGCAGGCAGGCCGAAGACACCGACGCCAAGGGCCTCAATAGCGTTTGCATGGTGCACCGCTAGCAGTAGCTGCTGGACCCATCGCCCTCTCAGACCTGGCGGCCGCGGTGGCGCTTCAGGCAAAGCAACAGCCGAGACGGATTACCTCTGCCCACGGTCGGTGGTGAGTGCGGGACGGACGACGCTTTGTTACATACCACGCTTGCCTCGACCGCCGTCTTAGATCCCATCCTCACATATGCTTCGCACGTGCGGCAGCGCCCATTGTTATACCACACCCTACCTCACCGCGAGAAGCACGCCCGCCGCTGCCGTCCTGCTTCTGGATGTCTCACGCCCAGCCGGCGCTGCCGTTGGCTAGCGACCTAAATGGGGAGCAGCAGAGAGAGCGTGGGGTGCGCCCGCCTTGCGATGCGCTCTCGGACGACTCGATGGACGCAGCCGCCATTGGCCTAGACGCCGCCGACAAAGCATCGTCCTCACATGCTCAATCATCGCCGCGACATGTGCGACGACCAGAGGCCCGCTCCAACGACAGCACCTCGGGCACCTCGAGCGCAATAGCCTCCCTCACCTCGCAGTCCACCCTCGACACCATGTCCACCAGGCTGGATTTGTCACCCACCGAGAAAGAGGCCCGCAAGGGCTTGCTGCGCGAGACCGTCTTCGAGCAGTGGAAGGACGATGCGAGCGGCATCGAAGCACACAGCCCCGAAGAAATGCAGAAGAACGATCCACTGGGCACTCAGATATGGAAACTCTACCATAAGACCAAAGGCCAGCTGCCGAACTCAGAGCGCCTCGAGAACCTCACGTGGCGGATGATGTCCATGAACCTGCGACGTAAAGAACTCGAACGACAAAAGTATGTCGCGTGCGTATATGTGAAGTAGCCTACCCGTTCGGTGCACTAATCTGCGTGGAATATTAGACTGACTCGGCGCCCGCCCGCCCAAAACGGCCCCAGTGGAATCGCTCAACTTCGCAAGTCGTCGGAACAGCAGCAGGCGACCTCGTCCCACGAAAGATCCGCTGATGATCACATGAACCTGGATGACTTCCTTGTCCCTTCGTCGATAGCGTCGCCCGCTGGTGTCTCCCCAGCCCCATCTACCACCGCCGCCGAGTTCGACCTCTCCTCAGCCGCGACCTCGGTTTCCGCCATTCCGATCAAGACGCAGCAAAGAATACAAGCAGAAGAGCTATCGTTAGCGCGAGCATCGGCACCCTCTGTGCCGCCGATTGAACACAAGGCAAGCGACGAGTTCTCGTATGTTCAGAGGCACGTGCGGAAGACAAGCATCGACGAGCGACGGGTAAGGTTGAAGGCTATGTCTTGGTTTCGACGTCGACTGACATCGCATAGCCGCCGAAGAGACGAGCAGAAGCGTCGCCGCAGGTCCATCCGACCACGAACGGTGCGATGGCCACGAGGGATCCAGCAGAGGACGCTGCTCTCAACAACTACTCGCTCAACGTACCCATATCCCAGCCTCAGGCGCAACATCCTCACGTGCCATTCAATCTCGATACCTTCAATCTTGAGAATGACCCCATCATTAACTCGGCTGGACCTCTGCAGCAATCGTTCGGCTTCTCGCCCATCGGCTCGCCCATCATGAACTCCGGATTTGCGCAGATGTACAACAGCATGCCTCCTCCACAGACCGCCTCCAGCCTCCAGTCGCCGCCAGGATCTGCATATCACTCCACCGTATCGACACCGCAGCCGATCCCTGAGGGCGAGCAGATGTTCTTCGGCTCCCAGCTGCACCCTCACCAGTCGATGCCGACTTACCACCAACCTGCACCCCATCTTCCCCAGAGCATCGCACAGCAACAGCAATTTGTATTCAACCCGAACAGCGACTCAATGTTCAGCGCTATTTCAGCGAGTGCACCATCGCATGGTGGCTTCAACCAGCCAACCTTTCAGATGCCAGGGCACTTGGACCCATCCAACGTCATGGCTAACGACTTCCAACCATCAAGTATGCCCATGTCACGAAACGAAGCGATGTTCACTTTTGGAGGAGATTCTGATGGCGAAGACGAGGAGCGAATGTCGTTCACCGACTCTAATATGATGATGCAGCAAAGCTATTCTCCCATGGACGATGCATCATTTGACGCTCACGGAAACTACCAATTCGACAACTCTTTGTCCAACCAATATAACCCCAACAGCGAACGATTTGGAGGACAGCGAAAGGGTATGCAGATTGGTCATGCGGAGATGATTCCTTCGCCAGGATGGGATCATGGGGGCCTGGGCAGAGGACATGGATCAGCCGCATCCGTGAGCGACATTCGAAATCGAGGCGGTGACCCACGGACACGCAAGATCCCACGCACGACATCCACGCCAAATACCGTCGGCATGGCTACAGGGATGTTCTCAATCCGGACACAGTCATCCCCGTCATCTCCCCCAGAGTCTGGTTTCACATCAGCTGCACCATCTCGCCCTGGTAGTCCACGCCCTGGCGAGAACAACAGTGGCGTGCCCACGACTTGCACCAACTGCTTTACGCAGACGACACCACTTTGGCGACGTAACCCAGAGGGCCACCCTTTGTGCAATGCTTGTGGCTTGTTCTTGAAGCTGCATGGTGTTGTCAGGCCTTTGAGCTTGAAGACTGATGTGATCAAGAAGCGAAATCGAGGGAGCGGGAACACAGTGCCTGTTGGGACATCTCGATCCAAGAAAGCCGCGAGCCGCAAGACCTCGGTTGCTCAGGCGAATACAGGCGCAGCTGGATCGAATAAACAGGCTGCAAACGAGTCCGAATCGCCCAAGTCTGGCACTGGCTCGAGTGCAAACACACCCACGAGCTCTGGGCCTGCTGAGAAGCCTGTCAAGACCGTTGTGCCAATAGCACCTGGACCTCCCAAACCGACACCACAGCCGCCTGTTCAAGCCCCTACACGTACAGTCGCACCTCGACGTGCAGCCAGGAGACAGAGTCGAGCAAGCAACACCCTCAGCCAAGCCGATACGGAGATGGGTGATGTAGACTCCACTACATCAAGCAAGAGCCAAGGAAATGGAAGGCAACCGCAACAACAACCCCTTGCTTCCTCTTTGAAGGGCAACGCACCACCAATGCACGCCCAAATGGTCCCTCAGGGTGGCACTCCACAGATGGGACCTGGACCACAAGGACCACCAGGATCCATACCCCCTTCGATGATGACAGGACCGCAGGAATGGGAATGGCTCACCATGTCCCTCTGATTGTGGTCACATGACTACGACTACGAACTACCACACGTACGGCATACACCAGGGCGCTAATTACTTGCGCGAATAGACTGGATGATGTTGGACGCAAGCGCTTTCAGGCGCCGCCATTTTTTGGAAAGAACTGTTTTTTGTGACGTTGAAATGAGAGATACCCGAGCCGAAATTTCTGGTGTTTGATTTGGTTTCCTGCTGCCGCTTGCTGCTGATGCTTGCTCGATACCCAATCTACTACATTTGGTTGTTTCCCCCATTTTCCCATCGTTACTGGGGCGGAGACCTTTGGCGATAGAGGGCGATCTGGACTTCTACTCGATCTGGACTCGCCGCAGTTTGCTGTACATATGGCCTCCGTCTCGCTGCGAGCTTCAGCATTCTTTGGCTGGAGGTCCAGCGGACGGGGTGCCCATGCTTGAATTTGATGGAGCTTAATGGGATGGACGTTTTTGGGAAGTTTGGGAATTCTCTTCGTTGATGAGATGTCAACAGGCGGGCGCTTGAACATAGACAGGAGACTGGGAAGTGTGCTTTTTTGTTCTGTTGATGAGGTTTAGTTTTGGGTGGGCTAGCTTTTGACGAGCGTTCTCTGTCGCTTTTGCTGTTAGAGACGATTTGATGAAAAACCAATTTGTTGTCATGTGAGTGAGTGAGCGTGGTCGTACGTTGTTTGGAAAGAGACCGATTTATTCTTTTTATCGCATTCCTCATACATCACTCTCTCGGCCTCTCTCCATCATCATCACGATACATACAACCTCGTAGATATGTGAGGAGCTGGCTGGTAGCCAGGTAGGTAGGCAACACCGCCCGCGGCAATATGAGCTGAGAGAAGCAACTCGGCAATCCACGGTTTAATAAGACGACGCACAGCACGCGGCACATATACTTTCTCTCAATATCCGAGACACTCTCACTAATTCCTGTGTGAGGAAACCTAGCTATGGTAAATGCACGAGTAGTGGTGATGAATCCTTTCGTTCATTTGCCTGCTAGCCAGCGGCGGAAGTGAAGACGTTCCGTGGTCAGCAGATGGTTCTGGTGCTCTGAGTGGGTGGAGGTGGGTTTGGGTTTGCGCGGGAAGGATTGAGCTGTCAAGCGCGAGAGGCGGGCTTTGTGGAGGAGGAAGGGGAGGAGCAGGAGAGTTTGAGAGAGTCGTGGTCTTGTGCCGACGGGGAGCCTGGAGGTGGTGAAAGTGGGATATGGGGAAGGGAAAGTTGGTGAGGAAGAGGACGAATAAGGTGGGAGGGAAGAGTGATTTGGTTTCTCATGTGATTCCAACGACCGTGCGTGTTTGTGGCAGAGACGGCGCGAGAATTTCGTGCATGCGACTGACGTTCTGGCCAGAACTACGAGTCGACCACTTGTGAGCGGTCAGGGCTGCGACTGCGGCGTTCATGCCGAACACTACTGCAGAGGCTGGGTTGACGTGGAGGATGGGCTTTGTGTTCTGGAAGGAGTGATGAAGGAAAAAGGTTTCGATGTGGTGCATTAAAGCCGAATGGGAGCATGCATGGCTGAAGTGCCGATTTCGGACGGCGTATTTGGGGAGGTATTTCGGCTTTGAGTGTGCCGAATGCTGGAGAAGATGGCGTGTTGTTTGAAGGTGTTGTCTTTTGTTCATTCTGGAGTATCGTTTCATACACATGCTCACAGTTTCGAACTAGGTGTTCTGTGCCTGTCAGTCTCCGCCGACATGACCAATTTACCTGGCAGAGTCAGAACAGAAGGAAAAGAGAAGAGTCCAAGAATGGGGAGAACTCACAAAGTCTCGTGGAACCAGTTCAGCAGAACCTCATACGCCTTCTTGTAGTCGGCCTCGACAGCTGGGTCTTTCAGATCACCTCTTGCAGCCATGAAGCCGTGGATTTGGTTGGGCCACCACTTGACGAGGTTCTTGACCTTGAGCTCCTTCTCCCACTTCTCGACGTCGTCCTTTGGCTCATCCTTGCTGGGGAGCAAAGCGATGGGGATGGTGATGCCCTTGGCATCGTTCGCGTCGACCATGGCTGGGTGTGCGGCTGCGGCGGACTTGAATCGGGTGCCGGATTGAGAGGTGAGGTTTACGATCTTCCCGCCCCAGCAGTAGCCCAGGATTCCCCATTGCTGGATCGAGGAGCGCTGTGATTGGATCTCGTCGAGGACTTTGGGGATTCTCTCGAGGGTCTTTGGTGGTGCGGCCGCTGTCTGTGGTTACGCTGTCAGCTCTGTGCTGTTCCCTATCCCGTACCGATTCATCATACGCTGAAGAACTCTCCGAGCTTCTTGCCCTTCTCGTCGGTATCTGGTGGGTACCAGGAGATGTCTGCTGGCTTGCCGTCGAAGAAGTCTGCCTCCAGTCAGTCTATAGACAATGATCGCAGACCACATGCTCTCCTACCTGGCATGAACACCTGGTACTGGCGCTCCTTGTCACCAGTCGCAAGGATATCGGCACCCTGGAGGGTTTGAGGAAAGTAGCCAAAAATATCATAGACCACCAAAATTCCAGTCTTTGCATCCTGAGGACCGGTAGCGTAGGTCTTCATACCCTGAATGGTCGTCCATTCTCCCTTCTCCTTGTAGCCATCCGCAACGACAGGCGGCACGGTGCAGCAGGCGTGGGATTGAGACATGGTGGCGAGTGCTCTGGCTCGTACGATAGGCTGGGTGATGTGTTGTTTCACCGGTGGTCGTGAGACAGTAGTAGAAGTTGGAAGACGAGCTCGATAGAAGAAACCAGCAGCAACGGATGACGAACGAAACATTCTTTAGTCTATCGCCCGCTGGGCTAGATCTTATAATCTCGTCAAATCAGACCAGCAGAATACGCAAGAGCTACCTGGAAAGCCATTCGATGGTGGGGCAAGGGAGGTGACGTCTTTACCCCTCGACACGATTGACTCCCTGCATCATGTATTTCAAACACATGCCGTCGCTCCGTCGGCCTGCAACGAGCGCTATGGCCTGCCATTGAGCCTTGATTTGATGGTGGCTGATCGCTAAATCTCTGATCGTTGACCTTGATGGACACTTTCGAACCATATCAACGCTGAGCTGCTCCTCGGCATTGGTCGGCCTTTTCGGTGATATGGAGAAGAGGTATGTATCACTGGGCACCATCCTACTCATAGAAGGCTTTGGTGTTGCAGGTACTGTATGGCTGGTCGAGAATGTCGCCTATCTTCGTATCAGAAAATGGATCCTGTGCGGCAAGAAAGTGATGTCGGCACAGGCTCCCGCCCCCGCCCCCGTTCATATTCCCGACGGGACCCGACCCCTATCTTGAACATCGCCCATAAGATCTAAGCCACGAGCAAGATCTGATTTTCCCCTACTGTCGAAGATAGTATATCTCGCACAACTCGAGCATATCCGGATATCTGGCCTCGACGCTGCCGGCCTATGAGGTTGGAACTTACTGCATATCCCTGTATCGCCTCTCTCCTGGACCACGATGAATTTGGATCGCTTCGCCTTTGGAAGATGCCGGCGGCTGTTGCCCATTCAAACTGTCTGGTACGGCTTGACTGGGCTCGACATGCTTCCTCGTCAATTTGAACCACGACGCGGGCAAAAGTTCAGCATCCCAAAAGAACAGGATCGCCATCGTCACAGCCCACCTTTATCGCCTCCTTGGAGAGTTCATCGGCCACTTGCGTTCGTCGGCGCAAATCAACTGCTCTCTTGAAAGCACTTAGAACAACACAGATTTATGATTGCAAGAGTACCCTCGGTGTTCCGGTCAAAGTGGGACGTCCTTTACCGTAATCGAAGTGCCATCTCTCCGACTACTCGCAAGCGACTGCGCTGCTAGTTGCACTGCAAGCTCCTTGGATGGCTTAAAAGTACTGGGGATGAACGCTCCACTTCGACGGGAACAAGGCGGGTACTATATGTACCTCGAAGTGGCATTGCGATCTGAGGCTTAAGAAGATGCTACTACGCAACAGGAGTTAGATCAGGCCGTCGTGGAAGCCGTCCCCATAACAACCTGTCGTGGTCGTCAAAGTGTTAAGGATTCCGACTGTCGAGAATGCAGTATGTTCGGTGCTATCCCATCCGCGAGCAAGTTTTGTGCCCATATCGACTGTCGAAAATGTATCTTGGCAGTCACCGTCGGCCCCCGTCTGCGAACGCATCCAAACCATAGCGGCTGTCGAAAATGTAGCATCTCTGTTAAGGTCCCGCTGAGTTTCCCATATGCCGAAGAGTTCTGTTTAGAAGCGATTATCGAATATGCAGCAAGGCTATACAGATCCCAAGACTCCGCACATCTATCAACGATGTCTTCCGAACAAGGACTGCCCAGTATGCGGCCAAGCTCTGTCGATCCCAAAATTATCGAAGCTCAGGGGTATTCTTCTTCGATTGCGACTGCGAGGAATGCGTCCATGCTCTACGCATCTCAACTGCCCCAGGAGTTTGGCTGCATGATCGACTTTCGAAGATGCATCTAAGCTACACGCATCCCAACCCTACTCTACGACACAATCATATCTATCCGGCTTGCGACTGCCGAAGATGCGTCTGCGCTCTTCGCATCCTACTTCGACGTGGCAACGAAGTTCTATTGTCTCTGTTACGACTACCGATGATGGGCCAAATCTCCACGCGTCCCGATCCTATGACCCGGGTATGTTCCAAGTCTCGAGAAATCGTCCATAGAAGATGCAGGTCATCTCCACTAGTCCCTCGATCAACTACGAAACCCTACAGATTGCGTCTGCGAAGTATGCGGAGTGTCTTTTCGGGTCCCAAATCTGGATTGTTGCAGCAACTGTGGAAGATGCTTCATTTCTCTCCTCATCCTCATCTGCGATGCTGCTCGTAGCTCTTCCTCGTAGATGTCGTCTGTCGAAAATGTAGGCCGTCTCTACACTTCCTCGCTGTACGAAATGCTGCTACTAGAAACTCGAGAATTCCGACTGCAGGAAATGCAGCTCTCCTCTCGGCGCCTTGCTCGACACTTCGTTGCCCGCCGATTTCGAAGGATAACGACTACAGGAAATGCGCCTCTCCTGTCCAGCTCCTCGCTCGACACTCTGCTCCCAGGCGGTTTCTGAGAATTCCGAGTGCGGAAAATGCAGCTCTCCCTCTGCGCCTCGCTCGATGCTTCGTTGCCGGCCAGTCTCTGAGATTTCTGACTGCCAGAAATGCAGCTCTCCTATCCAGCCTCTCGCTCGACGCATTGCTGCTAGCAGAGCTCTAGGAATTCCGACTGCGGGAAATGCAGCTCTCCCCTGTCCCCGCTCGTCGTGGTACTCTGCTAGCGACGGATCTTCTGTCTTTCGTCCTTTCGATATGCAGCTTTCCTTCTTTCCTCGCAGGACGTTGGATTCTGCCGGTCGGTATGTGGGAATTGCGTTCGTCCGATTTGCCGCTGGTCTCTGTCTGCTCTCTGCCGGTAGGATGCAGGTTGTTGGTGAGAGGCCAGGTGGCAATGCCTGCGTCAAGCATGATCATGTACATCGATATCAACCTCGCGTCTTTCACGGTGATAGCGGCAGACTTGGTGTGATGGTGTGCAACGATGGAAACACGTGATTTGTCGCATGCAGGAGCCATGTGAAGCATCAAACTTCAAGGAGAAAGAACTGTACCTCCACTATGTGCGCGTCGCCTTTGTATTTGTGTCTTCTCCCCCTACGTCTTTCACCATTCCTTTCCATCCGTGCCGATATCCCAACTGGTGGGATTCGGCGGGCTGGTAGACCTTGACTCTGCGGCTTGGCTACTTGCGGATACGATGACTGGAATCGGGAGGAGCTGGATGGGCAGGCACCGGGTGGACTTCTGCCGTGCGCTTGCGCTTGACACCTTTGACGGCCCGAGCGACGACTGGTCTTGGGTGTTCGAGGCGCTCCCTGCAGCTTCGCCAGAAGACGTGGCGTGGTTGGGAGATGCAGCGGGCTCCCTAAGGGTCAATAAGCCAGACGCATATGAAGAAAGTGGTAGCCGATACCTACGCAGGCTCGTCTGCGTCTACAAGGCAGGACTCGACGAGGTCGAGCATCTCCTGTAGCGACGAGAGTCGCGCCGCGATCCACTCCTCTGTCTTCTCCTCGACTCTATACACCTGGCGCATATCCTCCATGCCCTCCTTTGCGTCTTGGATGTTCTCCTCCGAGTTGCCGTACCATGCGCGGATGATGTGATACTTGGTGCGATACCAGCGTGGCAGGAATGGGTCGGACAAAGCTTGGTCGAGCAGACTACACAACTCGTCCTCGTCGGCATTCTCGTCAATGAACGTGTTGTTTATCTCTTCGTGCTGTGCTGCGTAAAACGCGTCTTGATTTGGTGTTGCGCTCATGGTTGCTGTTCGTGCGACGATGTGATGCTGCCAGCCTGCAGTGATGTCAATAGTAGTCTGCGAAGTATTCGCGTCCTATCGACAAGAGCGGCGGGCAGCAGCAAGGCCGGAAGAACTTGCATCCGAAAGCTCTAAGCTACATAGGTCTAAATGAAGCTTGCACTTTCGACCACTGTAGCTGAATGGCTCAGTGGTCAATTGGTCAGCGGTCGACCGGCACAACAAAAATCAAATCGTGGGGTCCCGGGATCGAGTCCAGAACGAGTCGACGTTCGGGGACAGCAGAGTGTGTGTTCGTTAAGATGCCGGAAACGGGCTACCAGCTATCCATCAGCTATATGGGTAGTTGGGGGAAGGATAAATTGGGCGGAGGATGGGGGGCTCGAACCAGGTACCAAAAAGCAACAACACACAAACGACACAAAAAAAATCCCGACACAAAGTAAGACAGTAAAATTCCAAATTGGGGTTTTCTACTTCTTCCTAATACACCGAGTATTAGGTCTTCTTCTTTTGCATTTTTTTTTCGCTGGTTGGGTTTTGGGTAGATGGTGTAATGTTTCGATATCGTCTATCGCGATGTCTCTCATGTTGTCTTTTTGCTCTTTCGTTCGACTTGGTGATATGTTTGCAAAGGCGCCGGGGAAATTGAAGGGTGGTGCGTCATCCGTGTATGTCGGCGAGGCACGTCTTTTGTCGTTTCTTTTCCCTTCGACTTTGTCGCATTCTTCGGGCCAATGCATGACTTCAAATTATCTATCATAGGCATCACCAATTCTTCTGCACTATATATCAAGTTACAATTGAAGTTAAATCGAAGTGTAGTCTGCAACTGAAGGGGTCTCAAACGATCGAGGATATTTCGATTGGCGAAGCGACTGCGGATCGATTTTCCTGACTATGACGCCATTGCAGTTTCGATTCATTTCAATATATGCTGGCGGTTGTTGAATCGTCACCCAGGCCCAATTGCGTGGGCGTATCGATCGATGTGGCAATATGATCGATCACGGTCGCATTGCTTCGCGAACGACGGGCGAAAGTCAGGAATTCACAGAGCAACTGGGGACGGATGTGTACAGACATGCAACAAAATTGTCAAAATTGAGTTCTTGAAACACCAAAAGGTTGGTGCGAGCGGCATTGTCTTTCAATGGCCGTTTGTGTTACTGGCGAGCAGGAGGTGAAGTCAACTTTCACGCCATTATTGATGATAGAAGTCGTGGTACATCCAGAAGCAGCTGGCCAGATTTCCCGGTGTGGGCCGTGCGCTCCACCTCCACCTCCAACTCCAACTTCAACTCCACTCGCCTCGACTACGCCTCTGCGCATCCACCGCGCGACATCCTTTCTCAAGCAGGAAGCACAAGGCCTGAGGTATAGGCGCTCAGCCTTGAGGAGTCAACATCTCGGGTTTGCTCCTTTCGATCGCTTACGATCGACCTTGTGCCGCAATTTGATTGCGCCGTAGGCAACTGCACCGCCACAAGAACCAGTCTTCGCAGGGACGGGCGGCTACAGCGACGTTGTTTCCTTTGTTCCTCGCAAAGCTTTCTACTTCTCTTCGCACCTACATCGACCGGGTGCCAACTGGATGACTGATTACAGGCTGGACTCATTGGCGTAGCTGCTTCCAACTTCCTCGTCCTCAACCCATCGCCCGCCGCACAGGATGCCTCTGATCGACCTTCCTACCGAGCTACTCGACGAGGTCTTTTCCTACCTTGATTGGGACCCGTCGCGATCTCTCTATCCCACAAGAGATGACGTCCTCAACGCGAGTTTGACATGCCGCCAACTGCGCAAGGTCCTCGAACCTGCCATCTTCAGGAACGTCACATTGCGACTCTGCTGGGCAGAAGGACGCTTGATCGAGCCTCGATGGTATTGCCTTCGCAAGCAGCGGCCGGACATTGCGAAACATGTTCGCTGTGTCTACATTCAGTGAGTACCCTTACATCCGCCAACACAGATGGTCACAGTCCTGACTTGAACAAGCACTGGATCCGAGGCATGTCTTCATTGCATACAGCGCGATAACTTGGAGCCTTTCGTCGTACCCGAAGGAGTTGATGACTGGCTCACCCTGTCAAACAATCCAGAGAACTCTTCTAGCGACATCGCACATCTAAGGCCTCGCGTGGACGACTATGCGCGGCGACATATTCAGGAAGAGCCACTCTCTAAAGACGTTGATGCTGAGCAAGCACTAAGCGCAGAGGACTTGATCAGAGTGACCAAGACGCAGTCGCGAACGAATCAGTCTATCGATGCCTTGTCCATCTGTAAGTGGGAAAGCATAGCTACTGATCTCGGCAACACTGACCTTGTCACAGTCATGCTGTGCATTCCAGCATCCGTCAACAAGATCGTCTTCAAAGCCCATATGGAGGGCATCCATAACAAAGACAAGAACATCTACTCCCACCGACTCCTCTCCATCGCACTAGATCTGCTCCACGACCGACTGCAGGATCTCACCATCATTTCCAATCAGTCCGTCCGTCGACTTGGCATGTCCAGGCGGCAAATCGCAGACATCGGATCCGAAATGGTCGATCAGGAATGGATCCCTACGAGCGTCGTCCAGAAGTTGTCCCCCAAACGACTGACCTTTGCGGTCAACGACGAGTATTCCTTCCACAAGAACACCACTTCGTTCGTACACCAGGGCTTCCAGAGGTGGCACCAGCTTTCGCCCACCGTCAGAGAGCTCGACATTCGATATACGAAAGGAGAACTGAACGAGCTGGTACAGTTTGTGAGAGGCTTCGAGACTCTCACAACGATTCGCTTTCAAGACTGCATCCTCCTCGCCCCATATCAAGCCCCGATGGCACAGACACGAGCCTATGAGCAGCACGTCTGGCTCAACCTCGCCATCCTAATCCGACAAACCTTCCCGCACGCAAAGATCGAGCTCGACAATCTCTGGCGACCGGTGATCATGGACAAGCTGCCAAATTGCGCGGTGAATTGGATACTTACGCAAGCAGTGCCAGAAGGAGCACTCATCGGCGAGGAAAGAGAAGAGAGATTGATGGAAGACTTTGTGAGCTTTTTGCCAATGTGGTACGCTGAAGATGGAGGAAGAGGGTGTCAAGCAATGAACGCTTGGACCAGACAACGTGGGCCTTTGAGCGATGAGGCTATGAGCCGACGTTGGCGATGAGACACGATTGGAGAACAAGTACGAATTATGGCGAGGAATAGCAGGCCAGAAACAGTTACGATGGCAAGTCAATTGTTGGTTCATAAGATAACGACATGTTACGACTTTCTGGTTGCTTCGGTGTCAGTACAGGAAGCTCCGGTAAAAGGCGCATGCATACGAGCACTATCCTTCTCCCCAGAATCTCCAGAGCCACCATGCCAACGCTCACAGTATGAGCCAGTCAGTTCGTAAGTAAGCAATGGGGATGCATGTGCGAAACTGTGAGAATGTGCGCAGCATTCAGAAGAGACTCGAGATATTGGAGGACATCCATCTGCATCACAACACCTCATACAACCACGAGTCAGTCCTCATCCGCCAACGGAGCCAAGTGCGGCCGTCTACGCAATACCTGTTTCGTGGGAGTCTCGGCCTTGGAAGGGTCCGCGACATGGATCGTTTGGTTGACTTTCTTCTGTAAACAGGTTCTGCTGATGAGCCGCCTGGTTGGCGGTGTTCGCCACTTGTCTTGATCGCCGTCATGTATCCCCGGGTCTTTCATGACGACCGAGCCTGGAGTCGTTTCTTGGATTGCGCGGACGGATGGCGAGCGATGGGATATGGTGCGGAGTCTTCGATTTCTGATGGACGTGCAGGCCTTTCGTTGGCTTTTTGAATGTTTGGAAGGCTTGTGGGAAGTGGGAGTATGTGACGGGATGAGGAGGTCGATTGACGGTAAGCAGTGGACGTGAGCAGAAAGCAGGAGACGTAGGCAGGAGGGAGAATTAAGTACTATACATTAACATGTTTAGCATCAATATCGATCAAGTCCGTCACCGCGTCCCTTTAGCAATACTTTTACTCTTGACCATCATCCAGGAGGAGAGAACCAACGCCGCGCTCAAAAAGCCAATCCAACAATGAAGATCGCAGCATGTAAAGAATAGTTCCCAACCACAAATTCACCCCCTTAACCCCTACCGCCTCCTCGACCGTCCCCCATACCTCTCCCTCTCCCTATGCTCCCAAGACTCCCTCTCTCCCCTTCTCGACCCACCACCTCCACCAACCGTCGTCCCCATCTCCGCCCTCGTCGTCTGCACCGTCCAGTTACTATCTCCCGTCTGCACCATCGCGGGCCTAGCGCTCGGTCGACCCCCATCGCTCGGCCGTCGATGGAAAAGTCTCCTCGACGTGTCCTTTGCGCTCTCGGATATCGCCGCGGGCGGGGAGTCTTTGGCGAACGTCTTGGGCCGCATGGGTTGTTGAGAGCCGCTTGAGGGGCGACGGGTGGAGGGGCGCTCACCGTCGGTGAAACGGACGGATTTCCGGGGCGGGGGGCCTTGGGAGGGTGTTGATGTGGTGGTTGTGGTTGTTGAGGGGCGACGGCGGCGAGGGGAAGGGTCCATGCGGGAGGGTTCTGGTGGAGGAGGTGGGCGGCGATAGGAGTCTCCTCGGGGTCGTTGGGAACGACGGTGGTAACGGTCGTCGTCCCTGCTGCGGTCGTCGCGGTCGACTGGGTAAGGATAGACAGCAGAGCGTCGAGACATATCGCTGGATCGTTGATGGTGCGACGAGGTATATTCTCTTGGGTATGCGCTGGAGGAGTATGCGTTGGCGGCACGGCAGTTGTCTATATAAGCCTGCATAGCGCTTCTATAGACCGTGGGCATCGCAGGGGTGGTGGAGTTGAAGGGAGGCGAAGCGGGTTGTTGCGAAGAAGGATCGATCGATGTGGCCAGTCCCTCAGGTATCGAGTGCGTGGATCTGTGGTTAGGAGGGAGGCGTAGTGGTAGAAGAGACAACAGAAAAGCTAATTGGCGGATTGTTGTTACCCAATAAAGCTAGGAGTGGCCTGCAACAGGAGTTTAAAAAGAGGAGAGTTTGGTGACAATTGGTGAAGGGTCAGAGGGGGCTTGGTATAAGGCAACTGGGACCATCGAGGGAAAGAGACATGGAACACTGTGCACTTGCCTCGCTGATTGGAACGACCCAGTGAAGATCGCTTGCCTGAATTGGTGAATGCCTGTCAATATCGTACGCGCTCGTGGCGGTTGTATCAACTGTTTTGCCAGGATGTGGCACATAACTACCGGTAGCTTGCTGGAGACCCTGGTTTCACGAGTGTGTTCGCAGCCATTACTTGCAGATTGACTCGGCAAGCTCCAGGGAGGGCCGAATCGCAGGCTGGATCGACATCGTGATGCTTTGGTCGTGATGACGAATGGTTCGTTTCATGATTTCTGCGAGTGTTCGTATGCTTGTGCTTGGATGCGTGGTCGGTCATGCTCGGAAAGGGTTCTCCTGCTCACGACCAGCCCAAACTTTTGCAAACGGGCGCTGGTGCCCAACGCCGCTGATGCCGCTCATAAGACTGCTGGCGAGTCAAACATAACCACACACGATCATGCCGGCAATGTGATTGCTGCGCCCGCTGTTGATTATTCCTCAATCGTTTTGACCACCTCCCAGCCGCCCTTGAGTTTCTCTTTCCACAAGCTGACCCTGTTGTCGCCGCATGATACGGCCAAGACATTGCCTGCCATGCTCCAGCTGACCCGCCAGACAACCACATCCAGGGTCAGCTCCTCGCTCTTCCACGCGTTCGCGTCGCCGATGTCCGATCCAGAAGGCAACGTCCATATCCGCACCGTATGATCTTGTGACGCGCTCGCAATGTAGGACTTGGAAAGTGGGGTGGGTGACCATGCGACATCGCGCACCCAGTCAGAGTGGCCTTGCAGTGTGGTAGTGTTGTCATAGCTTGCGGTTGTAGAGTTGAATGACCAAATCTTCACCAAGTTGTCCGATCCACCTGTTACAAATCTTCTCACTGGTGTTGTGGGTGCTGTTTGCGCGCTGGTCAACTGACCGGGAAGGATGGCGGGGCTCCACGAGACTGAGTTGACGCCCAAGCCGTGCGCGGGGAAGATGGTGTGGGAGAAGGTGTTGTTCTCGAAGGTCAAGACGCTGGCATTGCCGTCGCTGCTCGCGGCAGCTAAGTGGCAGCCTGTCTCTGGAGGCGACCACGCGATGAGGTTGACGGAGGCGGTGTGAAGGGTGAATTCGTAGATGCGCTGCCACTGGTTGTTCTGTTCCCGCCATATCAAGATGCGGCCGTCGTAGGAGCTTGATGCGAGGATGGTGCCGTATTTGGGGTGTGCCCAGGCGACGGACCAGACTGCTCCCTCGTGGCCTTTGAGGGTCTCGGTCAGGCGGTGTTGCTCGCCCTCGATCTCGAAGATCTTGATGGTTTTGTCTGAGGAGCAGGTCGCGAGTCGTCTGCCGTAGTAGTCCAGGACGGCGTCGTGCTGGAGGATGCCGAGTCAGTTGATCAGGCTTCGTAACAGGCTATTCCCTTATTCATATGCATACAATCATATCATCGTGGCCTGAATTCGAGATGACTTGCGCCTGGGAGCAGTCAGCCATTGGGGTTGCCCTCGACAGTCCCTGAGTGCGATGTCTTCATACCATGATGTCTTTGCTATTGCTTGCTTGATTCGAGAGAGGATTTTGTGCGAACCAGTTCAGGGTATTGAAAGTTGGTGAGTTGTTGTCTGCCTCGCATTCTCCAAGCAACGTTTCAGGTCCACGGCCAGCCCTATCGCTACACCTGCCCTATCCGTTAGCACATGATGCCGAGGTGCTGTTCCGCTCTCTGGCGATGACAGCCGAACGGACTTCGTTGTTGGTGAATCTTCGCCATGTGATCTCTTTCCCTTCTCTCCTTCGCGTACAAGCGTTTCATTGTGATATCAAACTCCTGTATATACCTCACTCAAGATGGCGGATGCTATGTGCGGGCCCTCCAACCCGCTCCAGCAGTTCAAGCAGCAAACCGATATCGATCGAACCCTCCAGCAAGACCGCCTTACCTCGAGGCAGAACCCAGCCCAAGGCTTTCGATCGCAGCATCCCAGTAATGGTGCGTTAGACCACGAGTTTGAGGCCTTTCAGGCTGGCGTGGAACCCCAACTACTCGACCATGTCCAGCCCTTTCAACGCCCCGCTGGCTTCGGTGCTCCCTCTCAAGCCCCATCATGGGCTGCAGACTTCCAGCGACTACAAATATCGCCTCAGCCTATGCAACAGCCACAGCACTTTCACCCAGGACCGAGTACGGCCAACTGGACGTCAGGCTTTCAGGACTACGTGGCCCAGACTGCACCAAAGGCTCAGACTTCCTCTCCCTCGCCACTCGCCTTTCAGCAAAGAGCAAGAGGCTATGGCAATTTTGGCTTCCAGAGCTCGCTCCCACAGCAAAGCTTCGCCCCAAATATGCAGTCCAAGGGTAAAGAGCCGGTAGTAGCAGACCAGTTTGACGAGGCGGCATTCGCAAAGGCCTTCGATCAAGCCCACGAGGATATGTTGGGAGTAGAAGAGACTGTTCAGGGTCACGAGAACGTACAGGAGGATAGTCTCGAAGAGTTGGTCGAGAAGATCGAGCAAGCTGCTGAGCAGGGCGCGTCTCAGATGCTGAACGAGTCGAACGATGACTTGGATCAATTGGAAGACTTCAACCCCAGTCGGATTCACGGCGGTGATGTTGAGCACGATCCAGAACAACTACTACACGAAGAAGAGCAGGCCCAGGAACGACCCCAAGAGGACGACGACGCCCTCGCAGCGACTGCGCAGGAACTCCTCGAGAAGGTCGAACACAATCAGTCCGACAAGTTCAAGAATAGCCAGTTTCTTGACCTGATGCGAAAGTTGAGAGATAGAGAAGTGCGAGTGGAAGGTGACAAGATGGTTGAGACTGTCAGTCCTACCCAGAATCCCGAGCCTACTACAGCACCATCACATACCCACCCACATCCGCATTCATCTGCAACATGCAAAGTTCCCGAGTGGGATGTTTCAGACCACGAATACGATCATTGGGAATCTCCGTACACGTAGCAAGCTGATTGCGTACAACGCTAACATCGTGAGTAGGCAAACGCCTCCTCCACCTCCATGGCAGACGACACACTAAACGCCTCTAGCACCAACCAGAATGCACAACGCGTGTATTACGGCAAACCTCAGCCAGTCCCTTTGCCCGCACACACTGTCGATACCCGGCCTCCTGAGTATGAGACAAGGATACCGCCACAAGAGCAGGATCACGATCCAGGAAGGATCAATCCGAACGACGGGCAGGACGTGGTTGATCTTTTGAATCAACGAGGCGCGATAACTGATGACATGGGTAAGTTTGTCCATTTCCTCACATACGCTGTGTCTGATGACGCTCGAGCATCACCCAACACATCGATCTCCCATATGCTCTACGGGCCAAACGGCACGCTATCCTAGCCCCCAGAAAGCCTCAGCACCACGTATCCCTTCGGTGTATACGCGAGCTGAGCATCCTTTCTCTCCCAGCCTACGACCCTCAATATGCTGAGATGCCTTTCAACAGCGCCATGACCCGCATGGGATCCCGTTGAAGCTTTTGTCTAACTCCGTGACCACAGACTCGGAGTTTCTCATGACGTCTCCGTTCTATCAACCCTGAGTGCATCGCTCTGACACGGCGACCGCAGAAATGCCTCCGCCTCCGCACCACTATCGCCCCTGGCCGAATGCGCATGTCTACCGAACGGCTGCTGGGTGCTTCTTTAAGGAGGACTTTGAGAAGGAGGGATTGGTGTGAATAGTCATGAAAACATTAAAAACAGTATCTCAACCCAAATCACCTACAACCTTCGCTCAAACACAGACCTCGCACCTCCCCACCGCGTCCCCAGGCCCATACGGCGGCCTCTGCGTCGTGCCTCCCGGCGCCCACGGCTTCCCAGGCAGCGAAGGGACGGGGTCGGAAAGCGCGTCGCCAGGGCGATAAGGAGGTCTCGGGGCGCCGCGAGGCACGTAGCCCGGGTTTGGATACGGAGACACAGGCGGTGGATGAGGATCGTACGGGCCTGAAGGGAGGCTGTAGCCTTGTGGACCCGCATGAGGACGCGGACAAGGCTGGGGATCAGAAGGATAGGGGCAAGGGATAGGGTGAGGGGGAACGCTATCAGACCAAAAGATCGGAGGTGGATTCGGTGGCCATAGGGAATCTGGCTGCGGCTTGGGATCTGTGTTTGAAAAGTCAATGGATATCCCCGTATTTCCAAGCCTGACCATGCTGCATGCTGCTTACTGGACATGTTGGTGGGGTGCTAGGTTGTGGGGATTGTTGGGGATGTGAGGGGTGTTTGAGTGGAGTGTTGGTGGGAAGGAGAGGGCTGTGCGGAAGGGGGGTTTATGTGCGCTTCAGGCGCTTGCATTCACAGCGATCCCAGCATGGTACGAGGCTTCCTCGGAGCGCTGCCAGCGCCCTTCCCTACGGCAACGATGTATATACGCGGTGAAGAGCGCGTTTGCAGCGCTTTAGGAGTGAACAACCGTACCGCCTGCGCGCGGCATGGTATAAGTATACTTCACTTGCTACTTTACTTGGTACTTTACTTGCTCCCTCACTTGTTACTTTACTTGCCCCTTACTTGCTACTTCACTTGCTACTTCACTTGCTACTTTACTATGGCTTCACTTCTAAGATTACTTCCACCTTACTGTGGCTTTACTTCTGGCATCACTTCTGGCATCACTTCTAGCATTACTTCTAGCATCACTTCTAACATTACTCCTAGGATTGCCCCTTCCCTCATCTCTAGGCTCACTTGCAGCCTCACTTCTAAGCTTGTAGCCTTACTTGCAGGATTACTTTCTACTTCGTTCCTAGGATCATTAGTAACCTCACTTCGGAAATCACTTGTGGCTTTACTTGAACCATAATCTCCAGCTTCATCTCTAAGATTACTTCCCTCTTTACTTTCAGCAATCCCGAGCATCGAAATCTCTACAGATCCCCAACATATACGCAAACAATCTCACAACAAGATCCAGCAGCAATGATATGTCTCCTCAACTATATCATGCCCCTCCTTCCCACGCCAGAATTCTCCCCGTCGAACAAATTTTCCCCTCAAACGCCTCACCAACCATGTGCATGTTACGACGAACAAGATGGTCAGGCTGCGGCTGCGACGAATGGGTCCCCTAGGCCGGAGACCGATGTAAGCACTTTGGGGATCGAAGCATCGATTGTCGCTGGAACCGCGACGAGGACTATGATCGCGTGTACCATCTCGAGGGGGACTGTGTTCCTTGCTCGACAAGGGGAAATACTAGGAAGTGTCTGATCGACTTGTTGAATATCTCTGTCGGGTCTTATAAGTAGACGAGGAGTATTCTCAAGGGCAAAGCAACAAGTAGTCCCCGCAGTACATCGACAAGCAATGCCAGAAGTAATAGTTCTAATCAGATAGGATGTGGAAGGCACAAATGCTGAATTCCTAATTAGTCAGTAGACTGTACCGTTGACACTTCCATCAGACTGTCCAAGTGACAGACTTCTGTATTTCCTTATGCCCATTTCTTTTGATCCACGCATAAGTGGCTTTTTGCCAAGAAAATCTGCATGACTTTTTCCTACAACTTAACACCAACATCACGAAAACCATGGCGTCGAAAAAACTCTTCGTTGTCATCGGAATCACGGGAAATCAAGGCGGATCAGTGGCGAAGACTTTCCTGTCCGATCCCAACCTGCAAGATCGATATCGTTTGCGTGGCATCTCTCGCAATCCATTGTCGGATGCGTCCAAATCGCTCTCCGCGCAGGGTGTGGAGATTGTACAAGCAGATCTCCACGATCCACAATCTCTAGCCAAAGCATTCGAAGGCGCAAACGTAATCTTCTCAGTCACGGACTTCTGGGCGCTGTACTTCAATCCGGACAATCAAGCCAAGGCTCAGGAGCAAGAAAAGTCGATTGGACAAGTCGCCTATGAGCTGGAGTATGAGCAAGGCCGCAACATCGCTGATGCAGCGGCTCGAGTGCCTGAGCTGGAGAGACTCGTCGTTTCGATGCTGTCGAGCCCGAAGAAGTGGACAAAAGGTCGTTATCAGCAGCTTTGGCATTATGAGAGTAAAGCGGATATGATCAGCTACATCAACGAGAAGCACTCTGCTCTTTCCGCGAAGATGAGCGGCTTGAACATGGGCGTGTTCTTCTACTCCTGGAAAATCGTCAATCTCATAGGACCCAGGAAGAACGAGGAGGGTGTCCATGTCTTGACGCTGCCCTGCAAAGGCGAGAATCCATGTCCTTTGGTCGATCCTAGGAATGACACCGGGCCTTTCGTCAGAGCGTTGTTGCAGGTCGAGCCTGGGGTGCAGCTCTATGGAGAGACTTCGTTGAGAAGCTGGATGGAGTGGTTAGAGCTGTGGGGTAAGACGCTCAACAGACCTGTGAGATATGAGCAAGTCAGTGTTGAATGGTATGAGAAAGAGCTGCGAGCTCAGGGGTACCCTGAAGGCTTTGGGACCGAGATTGCAGAAGTAAGATCCAGTCAAACCTTCCGGAGTTCGTTGTGCTGACACTGCCCTTCCAGATGTTCGAATTCGTATGGCATACTCGCCTGCTGTGCTTCCTAATACTGACTCCTTGACAGATGGATACATACGGATACGATGGAGGAGATCCAGCATGCAAGCGAAAAGAAGAGGTAAGATGGTCCCAGACTGGCAGCCAGCAGAACGATCACTGATATTCAGGATCGATAGCTTGGGGTACCGATTCCAGATCTCAGCGACGTGGCGGAATACATCCGTTCTGAGGATTGGTCGCCGTTAGGCTAGCTGCGAGCACGGGCCAAATAAGTGAATGAATTCTAAGCTTGGCATAGAGAGCCTTGGCCTCAGCACGTTTGGCCCTGATTACGTTCGTTGCTAGCTCTGAAATGTTGCACAGCATGGGGATTGTTGAGCCCTTTCATGGAGCATTGTCGGCCTTACATCCGTTCTGGTGCGAGCGGGATCGGTACCCGAAGGCTACAGAATCGTGAGCTTCTAGAATTTCTGACTTTCCTCGAATTATTCATGAGCATACGCATGCTATGGCTCTTTTCTGTGTGAAAGCCCCCGACAGTTGTGCTAGCTCAACGACTGGAAGTTGAACAAAGTCGGCATTTGCTCGAAAGAGCACGCTGATCCCCCACTCGTCGAACCAAGCTTGCAGAAGATCGTCAACCTAGTGGACTTGGAAGAAACTTGTGTCCGTTTTGTGCCGGTAGCTATCCGCATCAGATAAGATGGCTAGCCGAATCAGATTAGATCGGTCCGCGAGGTGAGGTCAAGTCTGAGGCTGTTTTGTGTGCGAAGTCTCTCCCTTCTCGTGGGTCTGGTTGCAAGTCTGCTGTTCCGAAGAGTTATTCATGGCAAGGAATCCACGAACAGTCGGAATCTTGTGGCCTACATGATCGTGGTTCTGATCGTGTAAGAAATCCTCGAGGTTGAGATTCAGGAGTACTGTCGTCGGCTTGTGAGCTTCATTATCATTCATGATCTGCTGCAGTACTGCGGTACCGAGCACTCACCTGCATAGTGCTAATCATCGGAACGCGGCAAAGTGCCTTCAGGGCTCTGAGGTGGGTTGCATTCAGTCTTAAGTGCGACGTTTCGTCGTTGAAGTTCTGTCCCTGCAGTCTCAAAAGCATTCAGCCAAGCCAACAGCAAGATCTTTGCGACGCTGACTTCTGTACCCTCACCATCAATATGAAGTGCACAATCCTCGCTGCCGGCCTTGCAGCCCTCGTCGTCGCCTCTCCCACTCCAGAGAAGCGACAGACATCTGGCCCTTGCTTCCACGAACCATCCACCGCCTTCTGTTGTCCAGAGACGGGCGACCAGCTGCTCGTTTCGAACTGTTCGACCCGTAAGTATTCTTCCCGAGACATTGAGATCATAGACTGATGATTTCTCTTCCAGCTGGAAACACCACCGATCCATGCGCCTTCCAAGCTAGTTGCGCTTCGGTCAATTTGCAGGCATACTGCTGCTCGTTCTCAAACGAGAATTCCGGACTCATCTGTGCGCCGAGTGGAGACTCTCCATTCGGAGATCCCTACAATTGCACAACGTCCTAAGACAATGATCATCGTGTGCCGGTTGCTGAGTGTCTTAACGCATTCGGCAGAAGGACGTGACCGGCGGAGTGATGAGGTAGATCTGAGGAGACGACCTTTACCTCAGAAGCGCGGTGTACCTATTTCAGGAGAGATTTAGTAGCGCTGTTATATTTCAGAGATGAGTAATCGCACCGCCCGTTGTTCAACATATATAAGGCGCCTTTGCCTTGAAGCGCCATGGATTTACACCGGTGAGGCAAATGCTCTTCGATGTTCACCATCGCGACGATATCCCCAATTATTATGCACCTTCCATGCTACCAAGGCCGGTCTACCGCGACGAACTTCGTGATTGCGGTGGAGATATTGAAGTGAAAAAGCTATCTCGTGGTCCATGGATTTGCTGGCCTGCTGCCATGAGGTCCGCCATCCTCAGCACCTCCCTTGTCGTCTTCAAATCCATCTCCAGCCCCTGAATTTTGGTCAACTCCGGTATCTTCGACACCTTGGTCGACGTCCTTGCCAATAACTTCGTCTCCTGTCGACTGGTGATCTTGGGTTTCATTAGAACTCCGGATAGCATTCCCAGTCTGCTGCTTTTTCCGATGGAGTCCCTTCTGTTCGATCAATTCATCCACCTTAGCTCGAATTTCCGTGTAGTTTTCCTGGACCCATTGGGGAGTGTATTCATTGGGTGCCATATCCAAGCCCCATTTCCCGCTTCTCGCTCTGTTCTCCAGGATCTGAGCAACCTTGTTGTTCAGATCAGTGGTAGGTGGAGATACTTTCTCAAAGTTGCAGACGCCCAACACCATCCTGAGCTTCACCTCTCGAGGCATGTCCGTGAGCCAACCAGGAAGCCACTGTCGCCCGAAGAATGCCTTGTAATCGCTAACCGTGGGCTTCTTGTTGAGCTCGTCTGCCATGCGCTCCCAGTATGCACCCATGGCATCCTGCCCTGCTTGTTGCGAGACATCCTTGGCAGCTTGGCCTTCATGTCTTGCTGTGTCATTCAGGCAAAGTGATGCGTTCTTTGGGGGTTGTTCTGGGGCCCCGGACTGGGATGTGGCGTCTTCGACTGGCTCCGTCTTGACCTGAGTTCCGTGCTTTGACTTGGTTTTTCTCGCACGCCTGGACTTTCCACAGCTCTTGTCTTCGTCGGAGTCGGCAGCATCCTTCTTCCTCTTGCGCTTCGCCGCAGATGCTCTGCCAGTAGTCTGCTCTTCGACCTCAGAATCCGAGATATCGCCGCCGAACGTGAGTTGGGGCTCGAATTTGTCTCCGTTACCCACCACGACTTGATATCCAGCTTCAATCACTTTCTTCTGGGCTATGCTGAATCTGTCCTTGAATGCCTTCAGTGGTGGCTTGTTGGACATCAGTTCGGAGATGTCGCCGTTGCTGAAACCAAGGTCCAGCAAGACTTGTGGAGTGATGTTCTCAATGACCTCCAGGCGAATGCGATGCTTGTCAATGTAAAGGGCCTGGATCAGTCTGGCGATGGTCTCGACTGCTTCCGTATCGGCGGTGATGTCGATGATGTAAGGATGGCGCTACCAAATCGGACCACTTTGATTGCAAAGTCGATGCAATGTGCTGTGATGTGTCTCGATGGCTTGTGTCACTTCAGCCTCCGACTTGAGGTTCTTCTTCTTGTCGTTCTCCGTTTCCTTCAGCTTCGAACGGAATTGCTCCATGGGATCATCGAGCTCGCCTCTGCGCTTGACATGGAAGAGACTTGTCAAAGGGTCATCTGGTTTCGCCAACGGATCGCCAAGTCGAGGAGGTTGAGTTCGGTAGCTGGGACGTTGCTCGTGATTGAAGTTCACCCAGTCTTTCAAGATCCTCGTATCATGTGCGTGTCTGTCTTTGAGCTTCTTGGGTACTCCTTTGGGTAGCAGCTTGCCAGTCATGGCGAATCTGCTCTTGTCGACGCCGTATTGTAGTACGTCGTTCAGGATCGCCTGGTTCAGCATGTCTGGCATTTTGGCCTTGCTGGCCTCGGCGACCGGCTTTGGTGGCATGTCGTCTAGATGCCATAGCCCTGGTACACATGGTATCACCGAGGCGTATGATCAAGACTGGTAATTCCTCGGACCCTCGTGACAGCTGACGTGAATAAACAAATTATGCCAGAGATGCTGGAAGTCAAGGCACTAGCTATTGTAGAAGTCAACTTATAAGTGATGTTGGAAATGAGGCTATAAATTATGCGAGAGTTGAAGGATAGAGTGATTCTGAGAGTAAAGTCACAAGTAATAATAGAAGAAAAAGTCACTTTGCCATCGTAGAAGGCTCTCGTTGCCCGTGAGAGGTTCTTTCAGAACAACCTCCGACACCTGGATCCCGATTGCTGGATTATGCAGTGATGGGCTCATGCTACAGTCGCTGGCTTGGTCGCTTCCAATGTTTCGGAGAGAAGATGTTTGCATGCGTTCCGGTTCAGGCAAGACAACGCTGGACGTCCCGTGCAGCGGCATGTCGCATCTCGGCTTGGTCGAAGGCAAACAAGAAGAGACTGCCTCTCATGACTCAATGAAAGGTCAGCATTACAACGTCGCCAAAGTGCAATGAACAGACGTAAGATGGCCGAGCAAATGCAGATGACTGGACATTGATGGGAGGTCTGGGCGAGGTGAAGTCGCTCGCGCGGAATCGTTCCGCTTCTCTCCTTTTCAAATCTCGCAGCCACTTCTTCGTTGTCTTTGCTTGCAACGCTCCTCCCTCCATCCATCATGTCCTCGCGCAGAAGCCATCGACAGAAGAATCGCAGACTGCACTGTATCGGATTTCAACATGTACTCTTGGCTCGATGACATGTTAGCAGTGGCACCAGAGAACTACCTGGCGCCGTGCAATCGAAGACTCGATATGTCAGCGAAACCCCCACAAAACGAATCCGACTCAGAATGAGAATCAATCGAATTCTCCCGAACGGGAATGCGCGTGACCTGGACGTCAACACTCGGTCTTAAGACTGCACTCAACACTACCAAGTCTGGACTATGTCGCCGAGGGCCGCGTGACGCTCGATTCAGAGCGTGAGACCGACCCCGTCCTCGTTGGAAACCTGCTTACCGCGAGGCGATGCGGACCACCTGCACATGTCGTTTCTCGTGTGGTCTTTGAAGCTCTGGAGACGACACCCTTGATGCGGTGGCTGGACGGATGGTGGCGCTTTTGTGTAACAACACATGGCTAACCGATGTATTCCTTCCGGCGCGGAACAGTCTGCATACACTAAATATAACCGTCTCTCCGGAGTGCTTGACGAAGGCTTGAGAGTATCTGCTAAGACGAAGGCTTGACTACATCTTAGGCAGATGTTGTTAAAGCACAGCAGTGATTGCATTAGCCATTGCGAACGCCCTCTCCCAGTATCACGAGCTTCCAGGATGAGCATCAAGGCCATCTCCTCCATTAAACGGTCCTTCATGCAGGAGAGAGGCTTTATGCATTAGATACAAGGGTGTGGATATTCTTGACAACGGAATCTTGAGTACGAGAGAACCAGCTCGTAACCATTCTTGCGTCGAATATCACGTCTCGAGTTCTCGTGCCTGCATGGTGCGATCTCAAAACGGGCAACCCACCGCATCTCCTCCACTCCTTGGTCCGTGAATGGACAGGACGACTCCTGGTTCCAAGCTGCTTCGGACGTTTTACAAGTCGTGTCTGTTCAAGAATTGGATGAGGCGTTCTGCAATCCGACGCTGCGTGTCCGACACGATGGTCTAGACAGATGCAGTTCTCCGTCCTGCTGCATTGTGAGGCCTCTGTGGTAGGTATATCAGGGCCATATTGCCTCTCCATATCTCCTGCTACGTCTCGAAGTCTACTCATCTGATTCTTGTACGATCCCTCGTCATGTACCTCTCTCTCGTCTCGCTGGCTGCTCTCGTAGCCTCTGCGGTAGCGCAGAGCGCCAGTACATACTCTCAACTGTTCTGCAAGACTCAGTTGAAGCCTCAGCAGGTGAGAATGATCGAACTGTCAACGACCCAGGGTAGCTAATTGGAGGCAGGGCGGTGGAGGCACCACAACGAAGTCCACGACCCTCCATTTTACAGAGACAGTCCGTTCTGTGTTTACTCCAACGACCACAATCATTCCAAAGAGCGCCACTATCTCGACACGGATTACCGTGTCGAAGACAAGTACCACGACTTTGCCGCAAACAACGAATACCTTTTCCACGACTTTATCTTTTACGGATACATCTACCGTGTCCACCACGGTAATTTCGACAACGATGCCCATCATTACAGAAGTCATTACAAGCACTCTCGATACGACCACGATCGCTGCATCTTCTGGCTTCATCCCACTCTCCTCCGCTTTGGCTGCTTCTGGCCATTCTGTTGCGAAACGACGAGCCATGCGGGACCGCGTCAGGGATGTTGAGCCTGTTGCTATGGAGGAGCGTGCAAGCCAGCAGAAGATCATCTGCGGTTCAGATGGTAGCATATCCTACGATCCACCTCAGTACTGGGGCAAGGTTACCTGCTACAAGCGAGTAGAGATTGTTAGCACCGAGGTCATCACATCGACTGCCAAGAAGACCAAAACAATTATTGCTCCTCGCGGGACTGTCACTCAAGTGAGCTTAATGAAGGCTGGAAGATGTGGCTTGGAGCTGACATCTGAAACAGACTTCGTTCACGACGACGACGACCACCATCACCGAAACTCCAATTGCAGCATCAACGACCATCAGTATATCTACCACGCAGACCATTACCAGCATATCAACAATCTCTTCAACAACCACGATTCCGGTCACCACAACTTCGACTTCTTTTGCTCCGCAGCCAACAACCTATGCAGCCTGCGCTCAGAACAACATCGTCTCCTTCGTCGATAGCAAGCGAATCTTCAACATCGTGACCACGGATCCTGATAATGGCTTCTCCTTCGGCAACGCCACCACAGACGCGTACTCTTGCTGCGTGCAATGCGTCCAAAACGGCAACTGTGGAGGCTCGACATACCATCCAGCCAGTGGGACATGCTATTTCTTCCCACTCGCCGGAGCAACCTGCGACGCCACAGCAGATACGGGTAGTTTCAGCACACAAACGGGCAGTAATGTGGGATTCGTAGTGTCTAACAGTAACTGCGGCGAGGTGCACCTAGCGTGAGAAGGAGAGGAGCACTGAGGAGGCATTTCGGGTCAAGTGACGTGCACTTCGGTCCGCGATCCTCCGTGGTGGTGGAGTCCATCAGAGCCGAAGTTCGCACATCGTTTGGCTCCAAGCGATTAGCCAAGTGGTATGGTACGCAGCTGATGACCAATTCCACTAGCCATAGAGCGGGCATAAAGTGCGAGAGATCGCAAGCGTCATTACTGAATTAAGTCCGTTCAAGGGTACACAACATGTCTGATCCGTCGCCTTGCGCAGGTAATCCTATGATAGGTATTTTAGCCGCTGTCCCTTCCTCGAAGCACTCTTAGCCCATGCGAGGAACGAGGAACGATCCTTTTCCGTCTTGTCATTGGGTGAGCAGGTCACTTCTCGTGGATTACCAAGGGCTGCCGACAGATAAGTCTCTGAGGGCTTGATCTACGTCGCCGAGGATACTTATATAAGACCGAAGGATTGAAGGAAGACATCCTCTTTATACCCAGGATCAGGGCCCCTCTCCAGACTTCACCGCACGGGTAGAACAGACAACAGAGTCCTAATGGCGCGAATCATCGAACGAAAGCCCATCCCCAAGGGCGACGCCCAGTTCGAAGCCAACCGGAAACAAATCGTGCAAGGCGTCTTGGACAAGATCCCAAAGGAGCTCGTGCTGCCGGATTCGATCATTGAAAATCCGCCTTTGGATGTCACTCGGATTCCACGAGAATGTGGCCTCCTCACGGACGAAGAGCTCGACATCACCGAGAACTACGATCTCGTGGCGTTGTCTGAAGCCATCGCCTCTCGCAAGCTCACATCTGTGCAAGTGACATCCGCTTTCTGCAAGAGGGCGGCGATTGCGCACCAGTTGACGTTCTGCTTGACGGAGTTTTATATGCAGGAGGCTCTTGAGCAAGCTAAGCAACTTGACGAGCATATGGAGAGGACGGGCAAGGTTGTTGGGCCTTTGCATGGAGTGCCGATCAGCATCAAGGAAATGGTGCCTGTCAAGGGTCAATTGCTCTCTTTGGGACTTATCGTTTCGCGAACCGTTTCCGATAAGGACTGCTATCTCGTGGAGATCTTCAGGAAGATGGGTGCGGTTTTCTACGTCAAGACTCATCAACCTACCGCGGTGTTTTCCATGGAGAGCATGTCGTTTCTGGGCCGCACGCTGAATCCACACAACATTGGACTGGCTCCTGGTGGCTCTTCTGGTGGCGAGGCTGCACTCCTGGCCATGAAGGGGTCGGTGTTCGGTATCGGCACGGATATAGGAGGTAGCGTTCGATTGCCAGCCTCATTCTGCGGCACGTATGGACTGAAAGGTTCGAGCGGCTTCTGGCCTGTAGAGGGACTGCTCTCGAGTGCCTTCCCAGCTGGTGTGTCGGTTGATGGAATCATAGGGCCTCTGGGACGGACTTTGAGGGATATTGACTACATCTGTAGATTAGTCCGTGGAACGAAACCCTGGCTGAAGGATCCTGAAGCATTGCCGATACCTTACACTGGACTCCAGGAGACCGGTTTGGAGAAGTCCTCTTTGAAAGTTGGCTTCTTGGAGCATTACAGTCTTGTCCATCCTCAACCTCCGGTGAAACAGGCGATGGACTGGGTGCACTCGCAGTTGAAAGCCGGCGGCTTCAAGATCTCTCCGTTCCAATTCCATGAGCCAGGAAAGGCCCACAAGATCTATGGCAGCCTTGTCTGTCCCGATGGCTGGGCGACAGTCCGAGGAGGAATGCAGGCAGGCAACGAACCCCAAAACCCGGTCCTTGATGCACTGGTAGCAGACATGATTGCCCAGGACGACAGAGCTGCTGACAGCCAGGTAGAATCCTCTCTAGTCGTAGTCGAGAACAAGTTCGTGCGAGACCAATACAGATCTGCCGTGCTCACAGATTGGATTGCTCAGGGGGATCCAGATGTCATCATTACGCCAATGAGTCCGGTGAGTGGGAAATCACGATTTTTAGTCTTCCTGGGTTGAAAATTGCTGACGAGAAGCCTTGCATGTGTAGGCCACTGCTCACGACACCGCCAACCTGAAAAGTGAGTACCCAATGCCGAAAAGCTAGGGGTTGCTCTAACAAATTCGCAGACACAGCTAGCGCAACCCACTTCTACAACCTCGTCGATTATCCCGCCATTGTCGTACCAACGCCCATCAAAGTCCAGCCGAGGGAGAAGGAAGACTCTCGAGAGTACTACGACAGCGAGTCTTGGATCGATGCTGACCAGGAGACGAAGCAGCTTTGGAAGGACTTCGACTATCAGGGGGCGCCAGTCTGTGTCCAGATCGTTGCGAAGAGGCATATGGAGAACGAGTTGATAGCGGCCGTGGGTTTGATGCAGGAAGCCTTGCAGTTGCCGTGAGATGGGATGGCCATGGCTAAATAGTCGCGTCTCCTGTAACTTGCAGCTTTAGCCATCACTTCCAACTTTAGTTCTCCCATCACTTGCAACTTCAGTCCTCGCGTCACTTACAGCTTCAGTTCTTCTATTACTTACAGCGTCAGCTCTCATATTATTTACAGCTTCAGTTCTGTCCTCACTCACAACTCCAGTTCTCCCATTACTTACAGCTTCATCTCTCTTACCACTTGTAGCTTTCTTTACTTCTCACTTCACGCTCAGCATTACTTCCGTCATGAGGGATAGTCAGGATTTCATATCCGGGTCGTGTGGTCGAAGCTACAAAACGCAGTCTTGTGCAGCGCACTCTTGAGTAGTTGCCTGTGTTCATTTGTCTGCTGAATGGAACTCTAGGTAGCCTTCGTCGAGAGCGTTGTTTTTAAGACTCCAAAACAGCGGAATTGAAGCCGCGTTGGCAACCACCGCAGCCTCAGTCTGCCTCCCAGGCTCATGGCTACCTCTATATCATTATCATCATCATCGTAAGGCCATCAGATCAAGCTCCCTTCATCCGAGAGGCACTCGGCTTCCAACTGGTCTCGACCCACTCTCTCCAGACGCCATACGCAATGCCCGTAAGAAGCAATTCTGCATTGCCAATAGCTATCCACCGTCTCCAGAGCCCCGCCTCGCGCCTCGTCACGAAGGACCTCACGGTGCAAAGCCTAGACGCGTGATTTGAGTTACAGAGCTCAAGAAGCTATAATGCCTATGACGATTCGTTCTCTTTCCAATTGTTTCCTTGCCGTTTCCTTTCGTCTCTCTCCTATCATTTCTAACCATCCAAGATGTCTGCACAAACGCTCGAAGTCCACGGCAAGAAGATCTCCCTCCCCACCGGCCTCTTCATCGGCGGCGAATTTAAAAAAGCTCGAGAGGGCAGGACGTTCCCGATCGAGAACCCAGCCACTGGGAAAGAGATCATTCAAGTGCAAGAAGGGCAAGCAGAAGATGTGGACGATGCAGTTGCTGCTGCGAGAAAGACGTTCAAGTCGAAAGAGTATGAGGAGTTCGGCGCAGTCAACCGTGCCAAGTGCATGATCAAGTTGGCAGATCTTATGGAAGAGCACTTTGAGGAGTTGGTCACGTTAGAGATGGTGGATACTGGTAAGACGAGACATCAGGCTTCGAATCTGGATGTGCCTGCGAGCATTGGTACGCTTCGATACTATGCTGGCTGGGCGGACAAAATTCTTGGACAGTCCAACTCTGATATTCCCAAGGTGTTTGGATATACGAGACGGGAGCCTGTTGGTGTTTGTGGACAGATCATTGTGAGTGTCGTGTTACTACGAGCATCTATGCAGACAGGCTAACATGTGACAGCCTTGGAACTTTCCATTGTACGACTCCAATGGTTAATGACCAGCCCAGATACTGACACAATGTGTTAGGCTGATGTTCACCTGGAAGATCGCCCCAGCTTTCGCAACAGGAAATACGGTCGTGATCAAGAGTGCCGAAACCACGCCTCTCAACGCTCTCAAAATGTGCGAATTGATTCAAAAGGCGGGCTTCCCTGCAGGTTCAGTCAACCTTGTGAGCGGATATGGCAAGACAGTGGGAGCTGCGATTGCACAACACATGGACGTTGACAAGGTGGCTTTCACTGGTTCGACAGTAGGCATCAAAGACCCAAAACAGGTGGTCGAATCTCGACTGACGTCTTCAGGCTACTGGCCGCAACATTCTTCGAGCAGCTGCCAACTCCAACCTGAAGAAAGTCACACTCGAATTGGGAGGCAAGAGCCCGAACATCGTCTTCCCAGATGCAGATCTCGAAAAGGCTGTGGACTGGAGTGTATGGGGCATCCACATGAACTTTGGTAGAGGACTCTCAGTTGTGTGGCTCTGTTTCCTTGACGCCTGCTAACGTTCCGTTCCCACCCAGGCCAAACCTGTCACGCAGGCACACGCATCTACGTCCACGAAGACATCTACGACAAGTTTCTCGAAGCATACACCACGGTAAGTCACAACCCCTTATCAAATTCACAGCCTCGCCGGTGTCATAACTGACTACGCACCAGAAAATGAAAGCCATCCAAGTCGGCGACAACTTCGGCGAAGGCGTCTCCCAAGGCCCCCAACAAAGTAAAATGCAATACGAAAAGATCCAAAGCTACCTCAAAGCCGGCAAAGACGAGGGCGCCACCGTCCACCTCGGCGGCAAGGCGAAGGATTTGGGGAATGAAGGGTACTATATCGAGGTAAAGAACGGCATATCGAGACACTGACTTGTTATTGTTTTGCTGATTGATGAATGATACGCAGCCCACAATCTTCACAGACGTGACACCCAACATGAAGATCGTGAAAGAAGAGATTTTCGGCCCAGTCGTGGTCGTCGCTAAGTTCAAGTCCGAGGAGGAGGTCATCGAGCTCGCCAACGACACCACGTACGGACTCGCAGCTGGGATCCACACAAAGGACTACGAGCGTGCAGTGAGAGTGACTTCGGCGCTGAAGGCTGGCACGACTTGGGTACGCATCAATCTTGCTTTACAAGGCGCATTCGCTGACTCGATGTGATAGGTGAACATGTTCAACTTCGTGCACTGGTCGATGCCCTTCGGCGGCTACAAGGAGTCGGGCATCGGAAGAGAATGCGGCGATGCAGCGCTGGAGAACTACACCGAGACCAAGACGGTGTACTGGAATATGGGCATGCCGCCGCCAACGGACGGATCGAAGTAGACGGGCTGTAAGTCGGAATCGTAGAAGAACATGTAGAGAAGTGCGAAAGAGCAATCCAGCGGAGTAATTACAGGGTATCTCACGACTAGCCAAGTCATCCATCGTCACGATCACGTCTTCTTCTGGTAGGCTACGCCTTGCTCCTCAAGCGGAGGCATTGTTGCCTCCCACAGTCACCGTCAGCTTCGTAGGGGAGAAGCTGAAAATGGCTCCCTCTTGTGGCTGCCCGCCGTCAGGGGAGACGTCGTCGTAGGGGAACGCATATCCAAGTCCATCGACGTTAGCAGCGTGGACGATTCGGGAGTAGTGCTGCAAATCAATCAACATCCAACCATCCCACCACACATACGGGATGCACTTACATTCGTAATATCGGCCTTGTAGTACTGCCCCGGATTCGTCCCATTCGGCGTCGTACTCGACAACAACAACGTACTTCGATTGAACGCCGCAGCAAGCCGCGGAATAATGGCGTTCGTCTTCGCGTTACTACCGGTAGCGAACGGACCCGTACTGTTGCCGAAGATGTCCTTGGATGTTGGTTTTGCAAAGCGGCTGCCGTCGCCGAAGTCGAGGATTCCGGAGGAGTCGACTTTGCCGGTTACTTCGTCCCATTGGGCTTGCGTGTCGACTGTGAGGGTTTGGGTCTGGTAGCGGGTCCAGACTGTAGGAACGACGGTTAGTATGGTGATTTGGATGAGGGATGAAGAAAGGGTCTTGCCTTGATTGACATAATCCGTCCAGTACGTGGCGAACCAGTCTGGATTGTTCGTGATACCAGAATTGGGCGACAGAGCCCTCAAATCCTTGCCACCACTCTGCACGATCAAAGAACTCCATCGTCGACCATCTTTCGCCGTCTGGGCACGCAAGCCTTTGGCGACCGTGGCAAGGCCATCAGCTCTCATGCCACCAACATGCTGAACGCTACCCGCAGTGTCGTTCAGCGTGAGAGCAACCGGTAAATTGCTGACAAAGTCGACGTAACTGATATTCACAAAGACCTGCGCCGAATTGAAGGTGAACTCGCAAAAGCTGAAGTTGGTGTTATAGTTAGGGTCGGACTGATTGAACACTGAGGGTTCTACGAGACCTGGGCCAGGGTTGAGAAGGAAGGTCAACTCTTTGTCCACAGAGAACCAGATTCGAGCGCCTGCCAGACGTGGGATTGTAGCGTTGACCGTGTTCCCTGGTCCACCCAAAGGAATTGAGCAGTTTGCACCGAGAGCTTGTCCAGTAGCAGATGGGCTTGCTGGATAGTAGGGAGTCTTCGCGTCCGACTGAAGGAGGAATACGGCATTGTTGTTATCGAGCGCCAGCCCGGCTGCATCTTGTATGAGTCTTGCAATCTCACAGTCAACTACAAGTCGCACTTACTGATATACGCATACACCTGGCTCGAGCTGGTCTGGTTGACCAGTGCAATCGATAACGTGCCTGTCACCGTCGCCGCCGAAGAAGTCGGTTGCATCGCAGCGCGATTATAGGTCTTCAGCGGCCTCTGTATCTGGTTCTTTTGAGGTTGGGCCTGCTTCTCAGGAGTGAATGGTTCCGCCTTGGGCTGGTCGTTCTGTTTGGAAGACTGCCTCTTCACTAGGCTCTTGATTCTATCGGCAAGCGAAGGCATCTTGAAAGGCTGCTTTGATGATAATGCCGCGCGGCAAGGCAAGTCTTCTTTAGAAGGAAAGGGGAGCTGGACTGAAACTGCGACTCGGATGGTAATGAAACTTGCCGGATGCCTTTGCTCTGAAGGCAGGAGAAGTCCATCTTATAGATGTGCAGGACCAACAGGACATACTTGCCAACTCATCGTGTGCACAGATGCCACGAGATGCAAATCCACCACCACCACGACGCACGAAGTCTTCCCATCACAGACAAGACGACGAGCCTTTTGATGTCATAGGATCGAAACAAAGCGCGAAGGTGCAAAGTCTCTCCCAGTCGCTTCAACTCTGGATTCGACGCCGAAGCGAGAGTCAACTCAAAGGAGGTCTTCCAAGCCGTCCGTGGCCGAGGAGCCAGTGCGAGCCAGTCGAAGGCTTTGTGAAGTCGCGACAAATCTTGGTAGACGGCGCATCACCCACAGCACACATTAGTGCGTTGGCGTCGCGGACGAGCTGTCAAGATGCGGTCGAGGAGGCTTTGTCAGAGAGAAGTTTGGCGTTCTTTCGCTGTCATCTGCCAGTTACATGCGCCTTCTTCAGGTACAGATACTGCAGGGATTGCCTATAGCAAAAGGCGCTTGAAGATTTGGCGATGAAATGGTGACATTCATGTTGCGGGGACATGTGAGACAGCACACGGCGTGACAGCTTCTACAATGGACTTGTCTCTTCACGCGACCCTGCTTCCCTTGGCCGTGACCTGAAGTTGCATTGCCGATGTCCGCAGATGGCTTGGTCGTAATGAAGGTGTTATAATGTTGATGGTGGTGGTGAAAGAAAGAAAGGATGACGGCCGTTGGGGTGGCGCCGGGGATTTCGTAACATGGGATGCCTGCCGACCACCTCCTTTTCTCGAACCTCAGGCCTTCCATACTGCAACAAAACAAAATCTTCTCGATACTCAACACTGATATTCACTCGATCTGAATAGTCTCAAACTCCAGACTATCAAGCAACTCGCCCTCCATAACACCGTGGATGTAACAATCCCCAACAAGCCGATATCTGCCATTCTCCAGAGGCCGCAGCACGTACGGGACAGAACACGTCCGCAAAATGCAAATCTGATCTCCCTTTTCCGTCCCAGCAGGCACGAGGCCAACATACGCTGTAGTCGTCGAAGAAGTCACAGCCGCCACTCGCCCAGCCACCGCATTTCCAACACTCCTCGACCAACTTGGCAACTCATCAGCTATTGTCTTGACACTACTAATGATGGCAGAATCATTGGCATAGACGGGATTCGAGGTGTTCTCTTCGGCAAGATCGAACTCGAGCTCGTTGGCATTGCCCCAGCCGTATTCACGATACGCTGAAGCACCGAACTCGGACGGTTCCTTCGTCTGTCCTGCTCGCATAATGACCTCTTGGATTTTACTCCAGGGTTCGCCTGTGCAGTATGGTTCTGCGTTGAGCGTCTCATCCCACAATCTCTCAAACCCTTGAAGACTGTGCAAAATGTCTACGAGGGAGGAGAGATTTGGCGCCCCCGGGACGCGGGTCGGTGTGTGCTTGCCCAAGACGAAAACCTCCTGGACCACAGCGCCAGTGACCTGCAGGATTGCCTCTCCAGCATCCGGGTTTTCTGGGTCTCGAACCGCCCTGAAGTCCGGCCTTGGACGGTTAGGAGCTTTTGGGCCTCCTGCTTTGAAGAACCACTGCGTTTCGCTGAAGAAGTGCCCATACTGAGAGGTGAGTGGAGACTCCGTCCAGTCAGGCACCCAGCTTGGCCAGTTGGGCTCAGACAACCTTCGTGAGCGTGTGGCTTCCCCAAAGAGCGACTCGCCATCGCCGCTCTGCAACACCCGCTGGGCAACGTACACGAACAGGTCCCGCTTGTTCGTGGTCGGCATTTCAAAGACAGACGGCTGCTGAGATGGGAGACCGCGCGACGACCGAACGACGTTCTCAGACCATCCATCGGAGATGCCGACCAACGAGTACACCTTGTCCACCGGCATGGTGCACTGAGATGTGCGGTACAGCTGAAGCAGCCGAAAGAGATGATGGCCCTGGACATCGCCCTTCTCGTAGTCGTTGTGCTGATCCTGGATCTGCGTCATCTGCTCGATCCCACGGAATACATCCTCACGTTGCGATGCGGGTACGTATTTGTTCAATCTGATATTGGCGCCGTCGAACGCATAGATAAAAGTCGGCATCGCAAACGCCGAACTGCACTCTCTATCGCCACAAAGCATCTTGAGATCCGGAGACACAACGTATACTTGAATGCACCAAGCTCGTCTGAACCACGGTCTGGCCATGAACGCTACGATGGCTCGCATAGTCCTGTCGGGATCGAAGTCTTGAAAAAGCGTCGCTTGGTCTCTACCGAAGGACTTCATGTACGCACCCATGATCCGAGAGGCCTCATCGAACGGGAGGCGGGCATTGAGATGATCTGCGATTTTCTGTCTCAGACGCAAATCGAGGCTATCGAAGAATCGAATGGCCGTATCCGAGTCATCTGCTGCATCTCCGAGCCAGACGATGGTTTGCTTGGCTTTGCCGTAGATGTGACGCATGATGGCTATTTGTTTGAGCTTCTCATCTTGGTCATTTTGGTTGATGCAAACGGCATCGGCCCAGATTCGTACTTTAGTTGGAGTTGAGGATCGAAGCCGTAACAAGGCCTGTCGCAGGTTTGTGGTGATGTTGAGAGTACCTTTGCCGCATGCTAAAGGATGCAACACCGACGCATCACCCCAGGCGTAGGATAAGGCCGCATAATCCTGGCCTTCGCTGTCCAGGACAATATGCTCGAGGTCTGCTTGTAGAGGAGCATCGATTCCCCTGGATCCACTGGGATGTATGGTCAGCACTCGAATCTCGCCATCCTTCAGCGGTGTATATTCGAAGAACCCCATCTCAAGGCCCAGCGACGAGCTCTTGACGACAAAGCTGCTAGGTGATGAAGCTCATCATAACGGCAAGCAGCCAGCTCAATGTACTTCTATTGATGAGCCGCATCCTGGACGATAATTCTTAGTGTGTCTCGGGCTACAAAGCCTGACTGCCACACTATTGACGAGGAATGTAACCTCAGGACATCCAGCAAGGAGGGCTCGGACCTGGGTGTTCATCTTGTGCTCCCAACTGTAACGCCACATTGGCGGGATACGAAACAACCACACTTCTCTGAGCTGTTCGCATGAACCAGTCATGTAGACGTCCAGAAGCGTCCAGGCAAAAATGAAGATGCATCTACCATTCTGGCGTGAGGCCGCCTAAACGAAGAGGACGCCCTCATGCCTCAGGCAACACGTTATGCATGAGACTAAAGCGCCCGATCCGAGGACCCCAACTCGGAGGATTCTTCCCCTGCTCGGCCATGGAAATCGGGAGTCGTCTGTGTCGTGCCTTGCCGAACCACACATCAGAAACCGTCATCCTTCAACGAATGCCCTTGCAATGTGTGCCTGCATGGTTATCAGCTGGACGCCTCTCACTCAAGGGCCCCGTCAACAATCCCAGCCGTACCAACACCAACAACACCCACACCGGAGAAAGCCATGCTCGCGAAGCGAAAGCCTCCCCCTTCAAAGCAAAGCACAACACAGACTTCCCTCGTCCCAACCCAATGGCAACGCCACGTTGACGACATGTGGGACCCTGGAAGGATCAACAAGAGCTGAACGGCTTGGGCCCTGCAACCGGACCCTGACTTTGACGGAGCGTCAAACTGCTTGCGGTAAGCACTCGAGGTGATCTTGACTCTTTCTTGCAACAACCAATGCAGCAAATGAGATAGGTTGGTGTGGTCTGGCTCGGTGCATTTCTCCGATGGTTTTCGGTAGATTCTCTGTCTTTCGCGTTGGTAAGTCGTCTCTGTCTCTTCCTCAGTCTCACTCCTATACTTACCCACACCCTCTATCTCTCATCGCACCAACTTCCACCATGGCCCTACAAACCCCCACCCTCCCCTCCCACCACGGCCCCTTCCCAAAGAACTCGCCCTCCCTCTCCCTCCTCCTCCCCCAAAAACCCACCGCCCGCTACGCCCACAACGCCCACTCCACGGACCCCGCCCACACCACCGCCATCCGCGAAGCCCTCCAACGCTCCCACGACCTCGTCCAATGCTTCAACGACCGCAACTTCGCCCTGGGCAAAACCTACGCCTCCCCGCGCTTCAAAGCCCGCCACAACAACCTCGCCGTCGAGCTGAACCGCGAGCAGCACTTCGCCGCCTACGAGATGATGTTGACCATGAACCCGAGCTGGAAGATGGAGATTATCGGGGAGCATGCCGAGGTGGATCTCATTCGGGGCCAGGCGTATGTGTGGTTTTTTGTTAAGATCTTTGGGGATGTGGAGGGCGTGACGAGGGATAGTTTGGGGTTGTTGCATTGGGAAAGGGAGAAGGATGGGCGGTGGGTGGTGGTTTATCATTGGGGGTTTAGGAGTTGCGGGATGTTGTTTTGAGGGGGGAATCGAGTCTTGAGGATGGGCAACCGGTACTTGAGATAATATTGGATTGAGCGTTTCGATATGACGGCGTTTTAGGCTGGACGGTTTGGAAGTCGTTCACTCCCATTCGGGTGGAGTGACTACTCATACGGTCCTGAGGATGGACCACGACGCGAAGCTCAGCGACTTGCTCGCAACAAGACCGAACAGGTTTCCCTGCCACAGCATCGCTCCCCGAGAGCTGCGCTTCAGACCCACAAGGTAGAAAGGGCGTCATGATGTGGCTCGTTGGGCATGCACAACAAATGGTGTGATTAATCACGACCTGTACCAATATCCACAGTGGCAATCGCAGGATATCAGGAGCAATGCCCCGCAAACAGAACGATGATCGATGATCAAGTGCGCTCTTTGAAGCCTTGAAAATACTATAAGATACCCAGTCAGTATAGCGAAACAATACCACAACACAACATTTAAACCTCACCTTCCGTCGAAAGTCATTCAGCTCATCAGCCGTACTCTTCTTGCTGCCGTTGACTTGCAAATCAAGCCTCTGCATCCGGTACGCTGCTAGACTCGCTGCATCCACCTCACTATCGCGACGTCTCCGATACGTGAGCAGCTGTCTTGACCACTTATTGAAGTCCTGCGTGCAACAGCTCACAAGCTCCAAAGCCGGATGCTGCGGGATGTCGTACTCTTCCTGCTGTTCAGGGGCTTCTTGAGGACCAGTCTCGGTTTGCTCGGCTTCTTCTTCGTCCACGGCACCTGCGACGGGCATCCACATGCATAGTCTGCCGTCGTCGACGAGCATCGTGCTGCTGAAATCGAGGACATCGTCAAGCATGCGAAGGAAGCTGTAGGGTCGTTTGGGTGGGATGTAATCGCTTTGGAGGTGAGCTGGCTGTCCATTCCACAGAAGAACTTCTTGCTGCAAAGCTGGCTTCAAGCTGCCCAGGACTTTGAGACCTTCTCGAACGCCATAGGGTGGATCACAGACTATCGAGTCGAGGTACCGGTTTTGTCGAAGAGGCGTATTGGTAAGATCCGCCGCAAAGCCATCTAGGTACAGAGATGAAGTGCTATACTGTTCAAAATTCGTCTTGACATTTCGACCTTTCTTGCCACGCACGCTTCGCCCGTCCATGTCGCTGCCGAAGACAGTAGATCCGAAGTGTGCGCATGCGAGTGGAAAGGAGCCCGTGCCCATGAAGGGGTCATACGCCAATCTGCCAGGGGCGGCTTGAGCCATATTCGCGGTAACAAGTGACAACTCAGCATCCATAGACGTCGTGGCAATGTACTTCCGCTTCTTGAGATTGTACTTCGTGATCGCTCCCCGTCCACTCTCAGCAACGCGGCGGCCAAAGTGCAGTTGATGAGGCGATTTTGCATCCAGCTTGAAGTCCTCAAAGATGGTGAAGTGGTGATCAGGATCTCTCATGACAATCGGGCCTTTGAATTCCATGTAGCCGAGAGATTCCATAATGTCTCGCCGTTCGCTGTGTGATCGGCTGCCGTGGAAACTGTCGATCTCGAACCGGAATGAAAGGTTTCTGTATTGCTCCCAGAGGTGTTCTGTGCGTTTGCGGATGTCCTTGTGGAGAGCTTCGTAATCGCAGCCAGTTCCCCAGAGCTCGTAGATTGCATAGGTCATGATAGAGCGCGAGATGAGGGCCTTGGCTGCGGTGTCATGGTCTATGTCGTCTGGAAAGCGGATGATTGCAAAGGGCGACTAGTAAAGAATCAGTGCATGCCATATTAGAGAAAGCCAGGCAAAGGGCGAGTGCGCGCATACCAACCGTGTAAGGATACGGGTGCCTTAGTCGATGACCTTCCCACAACGCAGAACGAAATAGACGATATCGGAAACCTTTATGGACAGGTATCTCACTCCACTCGCCCTTCACCTTACCATTGTTTGTTACCTACATCGTCAGAGTACGAAATCCATTCCACTTTGAAGCCGTTCAAGTCGGCGAGGGCGTCAGTCTCCGGCTTTCTGAACGTCTCATGCATCTGAATGAAGCGGATGAGATATTCCATGGCCGCTGAACTGCTGTCTGATGTTCTTGAAATAATGCCTGTGGCTGAGGACTTCGAAAAAGTTGCAAATTGGGTTGCCGCGACTTTTGTCGCGGACAAAATGCTAGGTGAGGTTCGACTTCACTTCAGATTTTCGCAGAGACAATAGAAGAAGACAAGTCATCACTACCATCGATGTTTCGGTCAAAGCCGAACGTCCTATATATCGTAATGGAAGCGCTATGTCTTCGACGTTTCACAAGCGACTGCGCTTCGAATGGCACTCCAAGATGCTCAGATGGCTTGGAAGTAATGGGGATGAATGCTCCACTTTGACCGGAACAAGGAGGGTACATGTACTCGGTATATACTGTATCTTTCCTTCTATCACCAATCTCATTCCCGAGCAAAATGAGACGGGATACTTCCAGCTGTGCTGAACTGAAGACCACCGTGGGCATCACCCATCGTCCTCTTCGTCATCAGTCTCCATGCCATCGCGCTTCAGATCATCATCGAAAGCGGCCCTTGAACAAACATCTAGCAACTCCTCTGCGCAACTCCACACTGTCGTCGACTTGCTATGCCAATCAAAGTCGGATCGAACTTCGAGACCATGGTTCCTCGTTGGAGAAGTCCACCGCGGCCACAGCTAGCAAGATGTTCGAGGAGCAGATCTGCGTTTGGAGGCAGCCTAGATATGGTCAGCCACGAGCATGTCTTGATATAGAGAAGATCTAGACTTACTGGCGATTCGGGTCGGTGAGCTTCCACCATACTCTATCCCAAAATCCAGTGTAGCTTTGGAGCAGCATTTGCCCGTAGAGATCTTGCCAGTCGATAGTAGCACTGATCGTCGAATCTTTACTGACTTTCTCCCGGAGTTCGAAGAGGTACGGCATGTCCGTAAAGAGTCTGCTCCGCCAGAAATTCTTTCTCAGGATGGCGTTGACCTCCTTGCAAGTGCGCGTCAATCTCACAGCGGATTGAATGTCAAGCTGGTTGGCGACAAGGACCAGAATCTCTACCGGCAGGTCGCTCAAGCAATTTGCCGCTGATGCAGAGCCACGCGCATGTACCCGCACTCGTCCGCGCTCGTGTGTCTTGTCCAGGGCGTTTAGAACCGGCACATCCATGGGGTCGTGGTACCAAGGCTAAACGAAATCAGTGTACGGTGAAGTGAGGAAGCGTTTTACTTTACCTACCTCCAACGACTCGTGCGGGCCAATCCAATGGTCGTCATGGCAGTGAAAAAACTCCCCATAGCTCCCCAGATTCATATGAAATTTATAAGGTAACTCATATCTTGCCATGCCCTTGTGCAGACTGTCGAGCTTGAGACTTCCAGGCTGATCCCCACGGCTGGTGGCACGGTGTCTTTGGACCCGCTCGAGAATATCAAAGCATTTGGCATGAAGTGGGTATGAAGGGTGCCACAGAGAACTGCGCTCGGTGTTGTAGAGGTCGAATGTGAGCCTACCTTGCTGGACTGGCGAGTTGAGAACACTCGGTGGAGGGACGTTCTCATCACATCCTGCGTCCACCGAGGCGACTGGAAAGTCATCATCGTTCACGATCGTCCCGACTCCAGTGAGAAAGTTTCTGTGATTTTCTCTTCCGATAACTCGGACGTATCTGAGCCATGCGGTGGATTCACTGCTGAGGATACTATTGTCGCAGTAATCTGGGTACCCGTGCCAGTCGCCCGACTCAGCGTCGACCGGTCCATGGTCTTCTGCATGGTCTTCAGGATATATGTGACCTTGTGCAGGCAGCAAGAAGCGTTCTCCGAATGGTCCACCGCAGAGGGCACAATAAACGTCGTAGAACATCGATGGAGTATGCAACTTGGACTGGGTCTGCGCTTGTAAGTCCGACTAACACGGGTAAGGAGTGTGGAATAATCTGACCAGAGTTGTCTGCAAATGCTTCCCAGGATTATTTCTTTGTCCGCGTATTGGGTAGAGGAAGATGGTACCTAGACACAGAAGATGGGTATCAAGGTGTTACGGTAGAAAGTGATGCCAATCACGTCTGACTGCAGCTTCATAAGGAACTTCCCTGAACACGTGCAGAATGCGCTGCGACCGAGTTCCTTCCCTGTTCAAATCATCAAACCACGTCAATGCACTAAGCACGTGCGCATGAGCTTACTTGAACCTCCTTGCATGAGGTGCATGTGAGAATTGCCCATTCTGACATTCATGGAATACGTACTGGGCTATAAACATTACAACTCGTCGTGGTGGACACACACCTCATGCCAATTTCCACATCATAAAACAATCGCTTCTTTTACTTCGTGCATGCCTGAAATGGTATCATTGGAAAATCCAACCGCATTCGTCTGACGTCTCCCGTTCAGCGACGTTCACTTCGTAAGGTGAAGGTCCGTGAGCCGTCGCGAGCGTATCTCGTGTACTGCATAAATCGTCGTCCTCGAGGGGAGGAAAGTGTCATATCGTGAAGAGGGGACTGTCGTCTCAACTCTTAGAGAGCAAAGACAGCCAGGGCGACCATACCGATGATCTGAGGAGCGGCAGTCGCAATGGCACCACCGGCGGAGGAAGACGAGCTGGATCCGGTGGCAGATTCGACAGCGCCAGAGGCGGAGGACTCAGCAGCACCAGCAGCAGACGAAGCAGAGGCTTCAGCACCTGATGCAGCGGTGGAAGCATCAGATGCGGCAGAAGAAGCTGCAGAAGAAGCATCAGAGGCAGCCGAAGAAGCAGCGGAGGCGGCACCAGACGCGGCAGTGGAAGCGTCAGAGGCGGCAGAAGAAGCGCCAGAGGCAGCAGATCCAGTTGCGCCCGCGATGCCAGCTCCGATGATGCTGAAGATGGTGGTCGAGCCGGTAGTGGTGGTGAAGCTGGAGTCGCCGGAAGAGACAAGGGCGGTCAAGGCAGAGGTGGTGATGGCGGTTGAAGAGGCGCTCGTGGTGTTGCTGCCAGTCTCAGAGGCAGTCGCAGAGGCACCGGAGCCAGTCGCAGAGCCAGAGCTTGAACCGCTGGAACTGCTTGAACCGGACTGGGCGGGGCAAGACTGGCCATTGAGAGCCGCTTAACAACCGTTAGCATGTGTTCGCTGTTTGTACTGCATGTTCTAAACTTACTCTGGCAGTAGTTGGTGCCGAAAGAGATGACAGACTGAGCGTCTTGAGAGTTGGCGCATGCCTCGTTGGCGCAGTCGCGAACACCGTAGCCGAAGTCAGGATTGCAGCAGAGACAGGCGGCATCGCTCGAGGAGGAGCATCCGAGGGAAGAGGCTTGGCCCTGCAAGTTGCTGATGCATGTTTGCTGTTCAACATTCAGTATACGTTGCTTCCATCTAAACCTGCTCCATGACTTACACCGCACTGTGGCAGGTCGCTCAGCGACTGGGCGGTAGCCAGGGCGACGCCAGCGGCGAGGAGGGCGAATGAGGCCTTCATGGTGACGAAAGTGTGGTAAGTGGTTGGACCGTTGTTGGAGTTGTGGATGCTAGAATCAATCAATGGCGGAATGCGACTGATGAATAGTTCGGTGGTCGCTGGCAGATGCTTGTCACGGGCAGCAGATGTTGGGCGAGGACAAGAGGTGATGGAAAAGGCGGGAGGTGGGAGATTAAAGAAATGGTTTCATGTGGCTGCAAGCGCGGGCGACGTCAAGGGGACAGAAGTAGCGGCCTAGACTCACCTACTCCCTCGCCAGCAATCTGCGGCATTCGCTAGACAAACGAAGCGTGCAGTCGCCGCTCCCTCTCCTGTTGCGAATCGTTTTGCAACCTGCCCTCGGGTTGCTTTTGACGATCGCAACAAGGAACCTTCGCAGATTGATCCGAAGCTAAATTTCCAACTTTCTGCACCCGTGCCTGAATCTTGGACTCGCAAGGTTCGCCATGTGGCCCCTGTGCCGCCCGTCTCATGGTAGCGATCAGGAACGGGCCAATCATCTACGCATCGCTGGTGGCCCCCGCCCACTCCATCGTCACCGCAGCGTTGTGAATCTTGCGATGTTGGACAGTCGGTGAGGTCACGCTCACACAGACACCACGCAGGCGGTCGATGGATCTTTGATCTGCCTGGCTCGCGTGTAATCCACCTATGCGCTCGATCGGATCAGGCATTGAGGACCGACGTCACCTGTTTCTGATGCTTTGCGCAGAGCAAGGAAGACCTGGAGCTGGAGCTGCTGTGGCGGGAGCTCGATGCTCGTGCAGGACGACCGCACCTGAAGTCACTCCAGCCCAGCCACAGCTTGATTGTCGGAATCCCCCAGCCTGCCAATTGAACTGCGCGCCATCAACACAAGGGCGAAAGAGACCCAGGATCGCTGCTTAGGATCTGCCATGTTTTCAACAGACAAGCCAAGCGAAATCCTGCTTCTAGGCCTCCCAGACTGTGGCGTAGCCGCCGCTGCTGCTAGCAAACAGCTCGTCAGGGAGCCTCAATTTCGTGCAAACGCGTTTCGACCTCGCTGTCCCGTCACTCCGTACCGCAGCGGACCTGGCACAAGATCATTTGCCCCTTTTACGCGCCCTTGGAAATAATGTGTGCGCACAAAGAAAGAACACACCACAGTGTCGCACGATCCTGTCGTGGGATCGATACACGAACGTGGCCATGACGAGAACTTCACAAAGCGGCGCAATGATAATGAAGGATGCCAGCCACATGCCCCGACGCCGTCCCTTCGTCCCTTCGGAGAGCCCGCCCGCTGCGCCGACGTGTCGCCGCAGGAGGATCGATCGAATAGCAGTTGCGGGAAAAGCATCGTGAGTCGTGAGCGGCACAAGCAAAAGTCTTGACGTTGAAAGGGACTGTCCCTTCCTATTTCAGAGGTGGCACGTTCTCGCGCTTGCTCCAGCGCCAGTCGTTGCTGTGGAGATCTTCACAAGATAACCGAGCTGCAGGTTTCCGCACGCCCACACGTGATGTGAAAGAAAGACACGCCTTACATCACAGTCTCATATCGTTCGACTTCATGCTTTTTGCCCGAGCGACGCTATCGCATGGAATTTACCAGTTCTGCGCGAATCGCAACCCTGTGTCGAGCCAAAAGACTTGATGAAGACCGGACACCCGGCCAAATTTCAATTCATATATCATACTCACACTAGCAACATGCCCGGCCTCCTTAACCGAAGGTAATGCCAATAGCTCAATCAATAGCCAAGTTGGACTCGCATCTGCCTTGGACGGACGAACACTGATGTGACGATCTGGTTACCATAGCAATTCGCACCAAGTCGATGAGCGGTGTACAAGAATTTGGAATTTCTTTCAACCTTATCAAGGTGGTTTCTGGTCCCAGTCGAGCCCGGTCCAACAAGAACAAGAGGTGACACTCCAATCGAATGATATCGGTATTCAAGGCAATGCGCCAAACATCTCCTCAGCGTCGAGTTCATCGCCAGCATCTCCAATGGCCGAAAATGTTCTGATGTCAACAAGATCGTGCATTGTCTATCTCTACATACCGAGTTCATTGCACCGGCTCAAGTACCATAACAGAATGCAAGCTCCTCTCGGACCTCTTCACTTGCACGAGCTTCAACCCAGCGCTCTCCTCAAGCCTCTCCCATTCCTCAGCCGTGCGATGCCTCGTGTTCTCGATACAAAGCGCGCGAAAGTCGAATCTCCTATTTCATAACCCATCTTGATTAGCACGCAAAACGAGAAAACAAAACCCTCCCTCATCACACGACTGACTGAAAAAGAAAACGACAACGTACCTAATCCTCAACTCATCCTCCACAGGAATCGTCCCGGGCTCAGGGACAACAGGCTCCCGGATGATGAGTTTCGCGCCGGGCTTCTTCATCGCGTTTCTGGTGTTGCGCAACATCAAGACGGCTTCGTCGTCGGAGTGGTCGACGAAGACGTTTTGAAAAAAGTACACGTCGGCGTCTTGGATGGGTTGCGGGGTGAGGAAGTCGTAGGCTTGGAAGGAGATGGTGTTGGCCATGTCGGATGGTAGGCGCATCTTTCCTTCGGTGGCGACGCCTGGTAGGTCCTGTGAAGGGGAGAGGGGAGTTAGCTGATATGTCCCTGGTTTGGTTTTATCAGGGGCGGGAGTGCAACTGGTGGCAATCAATCACCGTGGAGAAACGACGTACGTACCTGCACGACGAACTTGAACTTTGGAAACTCTTTGGCCAGAAACATCGAGTTGTGCCCCAAACTGCCGCCAACATCCACGATCTTGCCCTCAGCAGGTAGACTATCCCAATCAAACCCCGAAAGCAGATGTTTCTTCGCCCACCCCTCCGTGCGAGCAAACTCCACAAAAGCCCCATCAAGAGCATCCCTCTTCTCCTGATGCTCAGCCACAAACGAATAAAACGGCCGATCCGGATACTCCAGCGCAAGGTTGAAACCCGTATGCGTAGGCGCATCGCTAAACTTCCACTTCCGCTGGGCATCTACCGTCCGCGCGAGGGCCGGCGCGAGGATCGTCAGCTCGAACTCGAGGAGACCGCGCAGGTCGGCGTCGCGGGCGAGCAGACGTGACGAGGCGGAGTGGGCGACTCGACCGGGTTCGGGCTCGCGGAAGAGGTGCGCGGAGAGCATCGCGGAGCGCAGCAGGCGCTTCAGGAGGGCTTCGTCGACGCGTGCGGAGGCTGCCAGGGCGGCATATGTGATGGTGCCCTCCAAAGGCACGTGAGCTGCGATGTCGAAACGATGGATCCATTGGATCGGCATGAGGTCTTGCGCCTGGTGCTGTTCGTCAGTCCAACACCATCCATCGCGCACGAGCCGGATTATTGTGCGCTTCTCACCGAACTCGCCTGCCACTTCAGGTGTTCTGCCGGCCCCAGGGCGAGGTCATGAAGTGCTTGCGTCGCGTTGACGAGGTCGCTCCGAGCATTCCAGACTTCCTCCGGCGCGTCCAGGGGAAATCGCTCGGCGCTGTCGGCATCGAATGAGATCTTGACATTTTCCAATCGTAGGTAGTTGTCGACTATTTCGGTGGACTTTTGGATTTTTTGCGCCAATTCGGTCAGACTGGCTCGGGAGTCCATATTTTGTCGTCTTGTTTCTTAGGGACTGAGGGGTGGAATCTGTTAAGGAAAGAAGAAAGACGAAAGGGATTGAATGGGGATATCATACGCGTGGTCCTACTGTCAGCACCATCTGTAGCTAGCTCCATTGCGGTGCTCTGCTCCGTTTGGGTGGGTAAACAAGAGCGGGTACCTGTTTGGGTTGCTGTTGTTGCGAAGCAAGTCAAAGAGCTGACACAGGTTCGCAAATTCGTCCAGAGTCAGCAAACGGGAGGAGATCCCGACTTCCTTCGCAAAGCAACGGGGGACGACGATAAGAGAGAAAGCGGCAGGTGGTGCTGTTCAAGCGTTTTCGAGTAGTATCTAGAATGCGTTGTAATTATACTCTCGCGGAATCCAGGCTCCCTTCCAAAAGAGAGGTCACCAAATGGATATCATCAACGAAGACAGTCCGCCAAATGAATGGCTCCAAGATCTCCGCAGCCGAGATGTGTCTTCGCCCAGACGCCCGCCACCGCCCGGTGCAAAACGAGTTTGCATGATTGTGTTGCAGAGACAAGCACCAACAGGCAGCCAGAAGTGAGGCCACCCTGTCAACACCCATCCCCACCGCCATCCACCCCATCCGCCATCGCGAATCCTTTCGAGTTGTTACCAGGACTTCCTGCTTCAATCCTCCATCTTATCGAGGATGTCAGAGTCCTGAATGGAGACGGCGTTGCTATCGTCCGTCGCATCGCTCTCATGACCATCCTCATCGCCATCACCATCGACATCATCTTCCATCATCTCATCACCGTCCTTGTCCTTGCGAGACTTGCTTGAACCTCCCTCGAGACCAGATCCGCCAGCATCGCCGTCACTCTTGAGGTCGTTCGTATTCTCACGCTGCTTCTGCTTGCGTCTCTCGTTCTGCATCGTGATCTTGAGCATATTGCGATGACTGCTGCGCTTGCCGAAGTAGTCGATGTAGTGGGTGAAATCCTTGACGTTCTCATCATACCACTCCAGCTCACCAGCAAGGTAACCCCTAGACTTTGGCTGGATCTGCTTCTGACCAAGGGCGGCAGAGATGCGTTTGGTGATGGTTGCCTTGTCGCAGTAGCAACCGTTGTAGCAGAATCGATCGCGTACGTCCTTGTTGCCGTAGCCTGCTTCGCTGGTGATGCGCAGGAGCATACCACGCCACAGCATGTCTGGGCAGAAGTCGATGATGCATTCGGCAGCACGCTTGGTGAGGATCGGAGTAGCATCCAGCTGCTTGCGGGTGGCAAGAGTGTCTCTGACAGAGAACTTCACCTGTTCGAGGTTCTCGGTGGTGCCCTTCTTGCCTGGATTCCAGCAGATTTTGATCTTCGCCTGCTTCTCAGCCTCCAGCTTGCCAGATTCACCAGCCTCGAGAGCATCTTCAGGGGTCTTGAAGCCAAGCCCAGCAGCAAACTCCTCGGCTTCTGAAGACGCAAATGCAAACGCGCCAGAGTGGTATGGATCGCCACCAGACTCGCCCTTGCGGCCCTCACGCTTCTTCTTCTCTTTCTTGCCTTCACCGTCATCGGACTCTGCAACGCTTCTCTTTTGCTTCTTGGCGGCACGTGCCTGGCCTGGTAGATGGTCAGTAACTGTGAAAGGCAGCACGAATCAGATTTTGACTTACGCTGCTGCTCCTGGACCTTGGCATCCAGCTCATCAATGATGGGCACGTTGCGTTGACGGGTAGCCTCCATTGCTTGCAGAGTCTCCGCATCGTAGACGCCATCATCCCACTTCGCCTTTGCTTTCTCTTCAGGAAAGTTGATCTCTCGCGTCCACGGAAATTCTTCAGCCTCAGCCTGTCGACGAGCGCTCTTGCGACCAGCCTTGCTGCTGCTGCTGCTACCGGTGCTCTTCTTCTCAGTGGGCTTCTTACGCAACGCATACGGAGGAGTCGGAGGCGGTGGTGGTGGGGTACTGGGCTGCGGGGTGATTTCCCTACGCTCCTTGCCCTTGCTGTGAAAGAGGTTAGCTTGAAGAAGTGTTATACGGGGTGGATATACTGACCGTGGCTTGGGTTGCTCAAGTGGTGTTGGGAAGTTGGTGGGGTGGACCATGTGACCAGGTGGCCAGCCGTGCTGCATGCCGTACGCAATAGTCTGAGGAGTTCCGACTGGGCGGCCCATACCAGGTGGCAACGGACCTTGTGGACCTTGAGGGCCATGAAGAGGACCTTGGAGAGCGTGCACACCATGAGGGCCTGGAGCACCACGAGGGCCTTGAGGAGCTTGTGGACCTTGCGGAGGTTGAGGAACTTGAGGGCGCTGAGGACCCTGTGGACCTTGCGGACCATTGTGTATGACACCTGGCGGGACTGGGATGGGCTGGGCATGTGGCTGCGATGGCAAGCGGTTCGGGGGAGGAGGCAACGAGCCGACACGATGCTGCATCTGCATGTTCGGCTGCATTGCCGAGCCTGGGTATTGACCACCCGGTGGACCCGATGCTGTGCGAGGCTTCTGTTGCGGGTACATGTCGCGTGGGGGCTGGAGAGGTTGCTGGTTGGCATGAGCAGCAGCAGCCTGCGCATTGCCAAGAGGAGGAGCATTTCCGGCAGGCCATTCAGGAAGACGCTCTCGACCGTAGATACGGATCCCGAGTGAGCGCCAACGGGTTCGCTCAAGCATGCGGAAGTAGGCTTGACTGGCCTGCTCTTTTGGAATGACCCACTGCGTCAGAGGGAAGTCTTCCATGTAGCGGACCATTTCGTTGTCCTTCTCTCGCTGGTAGTCTTCGGTGATTTCCCAGCTTCCTTGCATGGCCTGCATCATGACGTTCGAGAACATGGTCTCCCAAGAACGACGTTGCTCTTGGTTGAACTGTTTCCACGGGCGCTCCGTCAGGGCATATTCAGAGTCCTCTGACGCTTCGGAAGAAAGGGTGATGACCGACTTGGAATCCAGATCGTCGTCGTCGAACATGTCTTCGTCCTCTTCCTCATCCTCGATCTCGACTTCGTTGGTGAAGTCATACTCTTCCACCCAGTCATCGTCACCAGGGACCTGGCCGGCTGGCTCAGCTGGCTGTTGAACAGAGGGTGCTGGCGACTCGACTGGTGATTGAACTGGTGCCTGAAAATACCATTAGCATTGAACACGGATCACGTTCGATGGAAGAGACTTACTTTGCCCTCTCTACCCCACGATCGATTGATGCGAGCGGTGGTGCTTGACTTGCGAGTGGCGGGCCGCTTGGCTCGGGCACCATTCGACTCATTCTCGCTGTTATCGGAGATGGTGATGGTGGTGTTCTTCTGCTTGACTTCGATGGTGTCGCCAGAGATGGTGCGTTTTGTTCCGCGCCGAGTCATCATGCCTGTGGCAGACGCCATGCCGGGCGCCTTCTATGAGGAAGGAGCTACCACTTCACCAAAGTCAGCAGGGCGCTCAAACAGCATCCAAAAAAGCAAACACGCGAAGAATGTCCGTGGGCGGGCGTGGCAGTTGGCAGGTCGAGCAAGGCGTGGTAAGGCAAGGCAATTTGGCAATTGGCAGTGGCGTGGCGGTCGTCCGTCGAGGCCAGATCCAGAAATTCCAAGGTGGTGAAGTGCATTCGCAGCGAGCGAGGTCTCCAGACAACAACCAACTTGCACTGGCGGTGCGAAGCGACAGCGCGATGTTGTTGTTGGAATTCGGAGGTTCGCTTGTTGTGGCCGGAGTCAAAAGAAAGTGCTCCGAGTCGAACGCACGGACCACCCGACCCGCCCCGAAAATTGGGAGTGAATGTTGACGTGAGAGGGGGTTCCAGATGGCCAGACCTCAGCGATGCGATGCGACTGCTGTCGCGTGTTTTTAATTACACAATTTCGATGTCTTTTGGAGACTGCGCCTGGTTTCCAGTGCGGATTTGGCAGCAATGAGCAGACCTGGACGCACCTTTCACGCACGCGGTCGCGACTTCCGCACGTGCGACGACGCTAGTGACTTGTCTCTGCAACTATCCGAGATCGAGTCCTGCGATGGCTGATGATTTTGTCGATAGGTCGAGGGCGGATTTTGATGGTGGGAGCATGTGAAAGGAGGAGAGTGAAGGTGGCCGCAAGTTGGAGGTCGGAGCGGCACTAGCGTTGCGGTCCGCGCAAGCGCGTAGTGAATGTTCGGAATCTGCCGTGCCTACGTTTTATGTCGTTTCACAGTAAAGTCAAAAGATCACGACCAGCAAACTTGCAGGCAACGTGTGATGGCTCCAAGACTCGAAGGACACAACTGGCTCTTCAGTGTGTCTATTTGTCCTCCATCACGAAAACTTGCAGGCTACATAAAAGTCGAGTGAGTGTTTGCGGTGTGCTGAATGTCTGGTATTTGTTTCAGCCAGTCATCTGACTGAGATTGATCTGCCTGTTGGAGATCGTAAGAAGCACTGCTTCTCAATCCAGCCGCATGCATCGCCGCTGATCGCTGTGCTTTCAAACAGCTTGCTATCGTAAACGTAGCTTGGGAGGTCCAAGTCGACAGAAGAGACGTCTGCATGTTCAAGACGTATGGAACTTCGAGATATTCCAGCAGGGCCTTCCAACGTGTACGCCTCGCTGAGGCATCAAAATATGACCTCCCCGCTATGTTCTCCTTCAAAGCCCAACTCTGCCAGCTTCTTTTGCTTGGACTTGTCGGTCGTCTTCCTGCTTTGCTCTTCTTGCTTCTTCAAGCCATAGACCTTCTCCACCGGTGCGAGCTCGAATACGTCGGGAACGTAGTCGTCTTTGTCGAGGTCCTGAAAGCAAAATCAGAAAATGCTATGCGTACGTCTTCGTTGATGCGTACGATTTCTCCAAGAAGTAGAACATTCTCGCCGCGGACGAGGAACATGCCTCGCTCAATATCACAGTAGAGATTTTGGCAAAACAGTCGCTCGATGGTATCTTGAAGGACAAGGTTTCCTAGATCATGATCAGATGAGGGCGTATTCATGTGGTATCATACGAACATACCGAATTGGTCCCAGCTCCTCAAGACACCGATCAACTTCTTGCCGTCGCGCAAAGCCACCGCTAGTTTCTCTGAAGCACCGACAGTTGGTCTTCCTCTTAATACGATTCCTCTCTACTCACTATCGGTTAGATCTAGCAGTTGGGCGGCGGTCGTGAACATTTGTGGAGGCAGTTGAGGCACCGGCGGCGGCGGTGGGCCTGGCGATCCAGCATCATGGAGGTTGAGGTTCTCCATGAGCGCATTGGTGGTATCCAGGAGAAGTGTTGGGTTCTGTGTGTCAAGCCATATGGGAAGAAGCGACAGTGATGTGGTTGTTGTCTCGTCAATTGCGTGGTCTCAGGCAGAGGGGCAGGTGAAGCGAGGCGCCTGAGGCATTCAGATCGACGTAGTGAGGTCAAGTGCTCGCAACACCTCACTCACAAGCTATCATATGCTGGAGCCTAGAAGCTAATGTGAGAGGGAGTCCTTGAGCTGAGGGAGTGTTCTGGATATGACGCCCCGATAATACCTCACCACCGCCGAAATGCTCGCAGCATTCAAGGCCCAACCCATCCACGAGCTCAAGCAGCGCGACAAGTCCAAGGTGGAATCGCTGCTGGGCTATGGTGATCGCCTTCTGGTTGGACTGAACACTGGCGCTCTGCGAATATACCGTATCAACGAGTCAAACGAGCCAAGCGAGAGCAATGGAGAGGTACCACCGAGTCCTACCAAATCGAAGCCCGTGGAGCTGTTGCGAGAAGAAGAGAAGTTCAGCAAGAAGCCAGTCCAACAGCTCGCCATAATCAAAGAGGCGAACATTCTCGTCAGTCTGAGCGATACCTACGTGTCGCTACATGACTTGCAGACATATCAGCTGGTGGAGCGCCTCGAGCGCACAAAAGGCGCCTCGTGCTTTACTGTGACCAGCAATGTGGTCGAGGATCCGGAAACAAAAGTGCTTGGGTTGGTGTCTAGGATAGCTGTGGGAACGAAAAGAAAGATACTATGTTGGACATGGCAGGACTTGGAGCTTTCGCAAGACGTGACCGAGATCAACCTAGAGGCGAGCGTCAAGAGCTTGGTATGGGCAAATGGGACCAGGCTCATCACTGGTATGGATCCCGGCTTTAGCGTGGTGGACATCCTCTCGCAAGAGATCATACCCATCAACAAGAATGTCGTCAAGACTGGCAGCGCTGCTGATGTCAATACTGGAGAACTGGTTGGCGTGCGCTTTGGGGCAGTGAGCAGCAGCGGCATGGGATATATGGGCATGGGCAGCTGGGTACCCAAACCAATGGCTACTCCTTTGACTGGAGACGAAGTCCTTCTGGCGAAAGATGTAAACACCCTCTTCGTCAACACGGATGGCAACGCTCTCGAGAAGCGACAAGTGCCGTGGGCTCTGGCACCTGAGGCCATCGGCTACAGCTATCCGTATCTACTGGCATTGAACCCGCCGGAGAAGGGCACTTTGCAGATACGAAATCCAGACACTCTTTCTTTACTTCAGACCATCAGCGTACCAGGGGCAACGTTTCTGCACGTACCGCAGCCTAACATCAGTCTGGCGCACGCTGGAAAGGGATTCTTGGTTGCCTCGGATCGTACCATTTGGCGCATGAACGCACTGTCCTACGATTCCCAGTTGACAGTGCTTGTGGAGAGACAACGTTTTGATGAAGCACTCAGTCTGCTGAACCTGCTCGAGGATACCCTTATTGAAGACAAGCCTGGGCGTGTGCGCGAAGTAATGATCCAAAAGGCCACTGCTCTATTCCACCAGCAGAAATACATGCCTGCTCTGGACCTCTTCACGGACGCCGAGGCGTCACCGGACAGGGTCATTGCATTGTATCCGAAGAGCATCGCGTGCGAGCTATCTACTGTCGAGGAGCGAAGTGAAGACGAGCCGGCTCCAACGGAGAACGGGCACGACGACGCAGGGAAGCCAGAACCTGTGACTCCTCAAAAGGGCATGCTGGGCAAGTTGAGGGGAAGCGCAAGGAAAGCAGACTCTGATACTGCATCTATCAAGTCGCCAGCCAGAGCGGACACCGATAACATGAGTACTCGAAACAAAGCAGCGGCCAAGGCGCCTGACAGACCTCTGGAAGGCGATGACCTGAAATTTGCAGTTCGCTGTCTGGGTTCATATCTAGCACGGGCACGAATGTGGGTTCAAAAGCACTTGACCTCAGACGGGACTCTGAAGGAGAAGCCACCAGTATTCGATCCCGAGACGGGCAAGCCGCCCTTCCACAATCTCCTGCCTCAGTCTCTTACTGGGAAGAAGGCAGAGGACGCCATCGATTGGGAAGCTGAACTGCTGAAGATTGCCCAGCTCGTTGACACTACGCTGTTCCGCGCATACATGCTATCCCAGCCAACGCTTACCGGCTCCCTCTTCCGCCTGGACAACTTCTGCGAGCCTGAGGTCGTGCAGTCGGCACTTTACGAAGGCGAACGATACAACGAGCTCATCGACTTCTTGCACGGCAAAAAGCTACATCGTGAAGCTCTGGAGATGCTCGCTAAGTTTGGTAGAGGCGATGCAGATGGCGAAGTTCCACCAGGTATGCAAGGCCCTGGCAGGACTGTTGCGTATCTCAAGCAGCTACCACCAGAGCTCGTCGATTTGATACTGGAGTTTGTACGATGGCCGCTGGAAGAGAAGCCTGATATTGGCATGGATGTCTTCTTGGCCGACAGCGATAACGCTGAAAGACTACCGCGCCGCAAGGTACTCGAGTTCCTGGCAAGCATCGATGGAAGGCTGGAGACGCAATACCTTGAACACATCCTCAACGAGCTTGGCGATGAGACAGACGACTTCCATCAGCAATTGGTCGACCTCTATCTCGTCCGGTTGAAACAGCCAGACATAGACGAGGATGAGCGAGTGGAGCTGAAGTCCAAGCTGGAGGCTTTCCTGACCAACAGCCACGCCTACAGTCTCAACAAGACGCTCCGGCAGCTCCCCACCGACGACCCGGCCTTCTATGAATCTCGCGCCATCGTGTTGAGCGCCATGGAGCAGCACGAACAAGCCCTCTCCATCTACGTCTTCCAAATCCAAGACTACACCAAAGCCGAAGCCTACTGCAACAAGACCTACCTCAAACAACAAGCCCACGAAGAAGCCTGCCTCGTCAACAACACCGCCGCCCACACGCACGAAAAGCAAAAACCCCTGTTCAAAGCCGTCCAACCAGAAGGCACATTCGAACAACCCAACATCTTCGCCATCCTCCTCGGCCTCTACCTCAACCCGCGGCCCAACGAAGAAAAACGCTGGCCCCAAGCCCTCGAACTCCTCAGCAAACACGGGGCGCGCCTCCCCGCCAGCAGCACGCTCAAATTCATGCCGGACGACCTCGCCGTGCAACAACTCCAAGACTACTTCTGCGGCCGCATCCGCAACGCCACCTCGATCCTGCGCGAGGAGATGATCGTGAAGAGCCTCGAAAGCGTGCGGCAGGCGAATAAGGAGCGGTTGTTGTTGCTCGGGCCTGATAAGTTCGCGGAGGAGAAGCCCATGGGTAGGAATCGACGGGTGAGGATTGGGCCGGAGGATCATTGCAAGGTTTGTCATAAGAGGTTTGGGGCGAGTGCTGTGCGGGTTTATCCGGATGATTCGGTGGTGCATTATGGGTGTATTGGGAAGGGAGGGGTGCAAAAACAGAAGCAGGAGGGGATTAGTGGATTGGGGCTGGGGAGGTTGAGGAGGGGGGTTGAGGGATGGTCGTGACGGGTTCATATAATTTTTGGAGAATGAGATACCCTTTCTTTTCACAGATCAGTCTACTCTACTCTCTCCCTCCCCCAAACTTTCACTCCCCCAACCCACGTCTCCAACAAATCCCCCCCATGATCCAAAACCACAAAATCCGCCCTCCGCCCCACCTCCAGCGCCCCCCTCCCCTCATCCCCCATAAACCCCACCACATTCTCCGTCACGCACCGCACCGCCTCCGCCACCCCACACCCACTCCAACCCACAAGGTTCCTTACACACTCCCCCAACCCCGCACAACCCCCGATCAACGTCTCCGTCCCCTCGATCACGACCCTCGACCCTCGACCCGATTTTCGTCTGCTTGTGCGGGATCTGTGCGTGGCCTGGGTAGGTTCCGTCCGGGAGGCCGGCGAGCTCGATGCTGTCGGTTATGAGGATGCATTTTGTGGGGTTGGCGCGGAAGAGGAGGGTGGTGATGCTGGGGTGGAGGTGGTGGCCGTCGGGGATGATGCTGAAGTAGGGGGAGGGGGGGGGGGGTTGCTCTAGGGTGGTTATGAGGCCTGCGAGGCCTGGGTCCCGGTGGTGGAGGGGCGCCATGGCGTTCAGGGTGTGTGTTAGGCAGGTGGCGCCCGCGGCGAGGGCGGCGAGGCCGGTGGTGTAGGTTGCGGAGGAGTGGCCGAGGGAGACTTTGATGTTTTGGGCGGTGAGGTGGGTGATTAGGGGGCCGGAGTCGGGGAGTTCTGGGGCGAGAGTGATGAGTTTGAGGGTGGAGGAGTCGTGGGCTGTTGGGCCGTAGATTTCCGTGGGGGAGGTGGTGGGGAGGTGGAAGAGGGAGGCGTTGTGGGCGCCCTTTTTGGAGGGGTGCAGGTAGGGGCCTTCGGCGTGCGCGCCTAGGAGTGAGGCTCCTGATGGGATTTGGCGGGGTTTGAGGGAGGGGAGGATCTTTTGGAAGTCTGAGCTGGCGACGGTTGGGATTGTCACGTAGAAACTCGTCACTCCTTGGCTGGGGAGGTATCGAGCGACTTCGTCCAACTTTTTCGCGTAGCTTTCCTCGTCGTCGAAGTGGGTGAAGTGGAAACCTCTCATGCCATTGGTCTGCAGTTCGATGAAGCCTGGAGCGATGATCTTTCCTTGGAGATCAATGGCATCAGTGCTGATATAGCCATTGCTGTCCTGAAATAGTCCGGTCTCGTTGGAAAAGGAGATGTTCTCGTCGACCAGCTTTCCGTTCTTGCATACTCGACAGTTGTAGAAGGAAGTAGACTTGGCTGACATGCTTTATAGTAAAAACTCAAGGACATGACCTACAGATGTGGCTGTCGACCACCAAGTGTCGTCTACAGGCTGCCTCGCTGCCATTGGCTGTCCCACGATCTCAGATCGCGTGAATCCTTCGAGAGCTTCCTCCAGCTTGGCATGTTTCGCGCATGAGACACGACAACTGCAGCGGCGCAGGCATGATTCAGCAGCAGATGGACGAACTGGAGGCTTGGCACGTGTGATATTCCGTCGTCAGCGTCGTCTTGGATGTTGTTGGTGATGATGATGCGGGCATGGCGGAGCGACGGGGAGTGGATCTCCTTGATCACGGCGGCAGCTTGGCGACAGTTGATCGAGCCGCCGGTGACGTCAACCCGCTGTGCAACAACGCGTTCACCACTTGAACCGGTTTGACGAGGGCGGGTTGATCACAGGCGACGTCTTTGTGTCCAGAGCTGCCTTCTTGCTCGCACCACAACCCATTGGCCAATACAATACTAACGCCACCGACGTGGCTCTCACACCACTACCACATTTCCCATCTCGACTTCCCATCTTGCTCCTCTCCTTGCTCTGACATCCTCCTTTCTTTTTGCGTGGTGACGGTGGGGTAGCAGGCTGCCAGACAGCTCCGGAACATCATGGCGGACGACGAACACCAGCAGCAACAGGTCGCCCCTGGCGGAGTGTACTCAGGCAAGAACAAGATCCCAACAGTCGGCCAGTTCATCGAGCGACTCGACAGAGACAAGAAAGACCGAGACAAGCAGATTGATCAAAGCAAAGCTGGACCAGGCGGCTCAGAAGCCGTACCTCACAAGAATGAAGCCCCACAAGCAGCAAAAGGGCAAAAGACGGTCACAGACCCAACGACAGGAAAGCAGGTCGTCATTGAAGATGTGAACAAGGATTATGTTGACCGGGCGAAGAACCCCGTGCTGAGCGTGCCAAACACAAACTTGGGCAAAGAGACCGCAGTCAAGACAGAAGCGTCACAGACCGGCGCAGAATACAAGGAGAAACAGGACATCACAGCACCTCCAGACCCAGTGGCTGAGGGATCCACCAGCGATGTACCCATCCACGGTGAGAAGACCAACATCCTCTTCCATCCTACACCGAGTACGAGCTATGAGCCGACTTTCCAGCGTCTGGAGGAACGAGGTCTGTACCTCATCATTGGTGTCTTCTTTGGTATCATCCTGCTCGGCCGTGTTTTCGGCGGCAAGTACATTGGCATCATCCCACTCGCAGCTTGCGTTGCCAGCGGCATTTGGCTGTGGATCAAGGAAGTTGTGAGATCTGGAAGAGAAGTGGAATGGCAGTCTGAGAAAGATCGTGGCAAATACGCTACGGCCAATCTTCTGCCAGAGAGTGTCGAGTGGATGAACACTTTGCTCGGTATTGTCTGGGGTCTTGTCAACCCTGACATGTTCCAGGCCGTGGCGGATACGCTGGAAGATGTCATGCAAGCATCTGTGCCTGGCATCATTGAGAACGTCCGCGTGGCTGAGATCAACCAGGGCAGTAACCCTATCCGCATTCTCAGTCTCCGAGCACTGCCCGACGACCACATGAAAGAGGTCAAGCAAGCCATTCACGAGGAGAACAAGAAGTCCAAGGATCCACAAGAGGCTGCAGCAGATGAGGAGGGAGGTGACTACTACAATCTGGAGATCAGCTTTGCATACCATGCCGAACCAAGTGGCAAGCGTGCTAGCGAGAAGGCTCGCAACATGCACATGCAGCTGGTGTTCTATCTGGGTATCAAGGGCCTCTTCGGCGTGCCACTACCGATCTTCGTCGAGCTCCAAGAGCTTGTCGGTACTGTTCGCCTGCGACTTGCCATGACGCCAGAGCCTCCGTTCCTGAAGACTCTCACATTCACGCTGATGGGCGTACCGCAAGTCAGCGCTGGCTGTATACCAATGATCGAGAAGGGTGTCAACATTCTCAACTTGCCTTTGATCTCCCAGTTCGTCAACTACGCTATCGGCGCCGCGGCATCTATGTACGTTGCCCCCAAGTCGATGTCACTGGACATGCGTGCCATGCTTCAGGGAGACGACATCACCAAGGATACGCAGGCTTTGGGAGTACTCTGGATCCGCATCCACAAGGCTGTTGGTCTCAGCAAGCAGGACAAGCGTGGCTCCAAATGGGGAGGAAGCGACCCGTACATCACACTGACGTTCTCCAAGTACGGCAAGCCGATGTATTGCACCAGGGTTATCACAGATGACCTCAACCCGGTGTGGGAAGAGACAACTGCATTGCTCGTTACTCCTGAGCTTATTAAGGCAGACGAGAACTTGAGCGTCGAGCTTTGGGACAGCGACCGACATTCAGCAGACGACATCGTTGGCAAGGTCGAGCTCAGCATGCAGAAGATGATCCAACACCCGGGCAAGATGTACCCTCAAGTCTCTCGCTTGGCGGGTATGGATGAGGGATCTGAGATGCCTGGAGAGTTGCATTGGGAGGTCGGCTACTTTGGCAAGCCCAAGTTCCGCCCAGCGCTTCGAACAGACGGCAAGAACAAGGCTCTGCCGGACAACCTCAAAGATCATCCAGAGTTGCAGGATGAGAAGGGCGTGGTCAACACCTCTGCCGACGATGCCGTTCAGCATACTCCACCAGATCCGTTGTGGCCCAGCGGTATCTGCTCCATCATCGTTCATCAAATCGTCAACCTGGAGCTTGAGAACGTCAAGGGTACTCAGGGCAGCCGGAATGGTCGCGAGTTTGAGCCTGCCAAGCCGTATGGCGAGGCTACTGAAGAGGAGGGTGGAAATCTTCCTACCTCCTACTGCACCATTCTCTTCAACGACGAGCTGATTTACCGCACACGAGCCAAGGCCGTTAGCAGCAAGCCTATCTTCAACGCTGGAACCGAGCGCTTCATTCGTGATTGGCGCAATGCTATCGTCACTGTCACCGTTCGCGACCAGCGCAATCGCCAGCATGACCCCATCCTCGGTGTGGTGCCACTGAAGCTGAGCGATATCTTGGAGACCTCAAGCCAGGTCACTCGCTGGTATCCTCTGGACGGAGGCATCGGTTTTGGTCGAATCCGAATCTCACTGCTCTTCCGCTCTATCGAAACACGCCTTCCTCCAATGCAGCTCGGCTGGGACGTTGGCACATACATCTTCACATCTCCCACGATCACGGCTACGGACTACACTCATCACGCTCGCATCAAGCTTCGTACTGGTGGATCGTCGGGCAAGATCGGTCGCTCAGCGTGCCACGCCCTCGAAGGTGGTGAGAAGTCTGGCTACTACTGGGATCTCAAAGCTGCTAGCGAAAAGGACGGCGGCAAGCCTCTTCGACTGCCTGTCAAATACCGCTACCGCTCACCAATTGTGTTTGAAATGCACATTGCCAACAAACGCAAGCCGGATGCACATGCAGTGTTGTGGTTGCACGAACTCATCGACAACGAGGACAAGGAGGTGAACATTCCGATCTATCAAACAACTGCCTCCGCCCGCCTGACCCAGAACTACATCACGGAAGAGGCGGTCAAGGAAGGCAACATTCCAGGCCTCGAGGACATCAAGGAGGTCGGCAGATTGCAATTCACTGGTCGCTTCAAGGCCGGCATGGACGAGAGTCACGAAGCCTTTGTCGCAGACAACAACTCGCGAGAGACTTTCGAGACCTGGGAAGCATGTCTGGCCGAGGGCGTCCGAACACGCATTGTCGAGAAGGAGCTTCCCGAGCGTGTGCAGACTCTTCACGACGAGAGCTTGACCGAGGGTCGTGATGTGCTCAAGCAGGCTCCTGAAGAGGAGAAGAAGAAGTGGCTGACCAAGACCGGCACTGACTGGAGCGGTGCTTTTGGCGACGATCCTGCCAATTACATGGACAACTCCGGCAGAAAGAGACGCGAGCCAGGTAGAGATCCGCCCCTCCAGGACGGCGAAGATCCCGACAACGATGGCTTCACCGCTGACGAGGATGACGAAGACGACGATGACGACGACCTGGGCATCCAAGATGCTTCCAACGTAGATCGTAGCCCCTCGTCGGCGCGCAAGTCCATCGGTACCATGGAGTCTGGCTGGACGGCTGGGACTGCTGACAGCTACGACGGCCAGTCGCAGAAGGACGTCAACAGGCAGAATAAGAAGACTGAAGAGCGAAAGCAACGCGGTCTCATGCAGTGGAAGCCGGCTCGTAACCTCAAGTTCGCCAAGGATGAGGGTGTTATTGGTCTGCGCAAGTTGAAGGGCAAGATTACGGGAGGCCTTGAGGGTAGACAGCCTGGAGTGGTGAGTCTCTTAGTCCTGCTATCGTGGTAACAAGAATCGGTCACTAACTTTGCGATCATAGGAAACCGAGACAGGCACGTAGTGTGTCTCAACCATCATCTACTCAAGTCCTCGGTCACAAGGGCATCAGCATGGCCACCTTCGACTTCACAGCATACCGTACTTGCAGCGGGTTTGTCTTGGAACGAAGCAGCATGATACCTTTTCGACAAAACGGATGTAGTCGTACAGCAATCAGGGATAGCGAGAAACGAGAAATGGAAAATACGAACATGACTTGAAATCACACCTTCAATCCTCCATTTTGTCAACGATCCAAGTACCATCAACAAACAGCCGTCTCCGGCGAGGAAAGCGACCCCCCAATACTTATCCACGGCGACACGTGATTGAAGCTGGCCATGAAGTAATAGACAGGGGTCCGTCCGTTCGAAAAAAGTCGCTCTGCCCGAATCCGAGTCTCTACCGAGAGATCTGGGCTATCTTGCCAACAAGTTTCCACAATCTCTCGCCATCTCCCACTTTCTCTCTATCTGCCGTGGCAGGGTGGGTCTGGCTCCTCTTCTTCTTCTCATGTCTGCGTGTTGCTCTGGAAGGCCCGCTGATAAATCCAGACTCAGGTCGAATGTAGGTCGGTATAAATGTGTCCTTGTCGCCATTGTTCCTTTGCTTCGAACGCTATTGACGGACACTCCTCTCTCTCGTACCCATTCCTCACTTACCTCGCCTCTCTCCAACGAAACCAGCAACAACCATACCGCCACCATGGGCTCCCTACCACCCCCTACAAGGAAACTCTTCACCCCCATCCAGATCGGCACCCTCACCCTCTCCAACCGCATAATCATGGCGCCCCTAACGCGCTTCCGCGCCTCAGACACCCACACCATCCTCCCCCTCGCCGCCGAATACTACGCCCAACGCGCCCGCGCCTACCCAGGAACCCTGCTCATCTCCGAAGCCTGCGTCATCCACCCTTCCGCTGGAGGGAACGCCAACGTCCCCGGGATCTACAACGCCGAGCAAATCGCCGCGTGGAAGGCCGTCACGGACGCGGTGCACAAGGAGGGAGGGTACATGTACTGCCAGCTCTGGGCTTTGGGCCGCGTAGCGAATCCGGAAGTTTTGAAGGCTGAGGGAAGTGGGAATGTCGTGTCCTCGTCACCGACGGCCTACGAAGACGGGGCCCCCGTCCCACGAGCCTTGACCGAGGACGAAATCACGCAATACATCACCTGGTACGCCCTCGCAGCCCAAAACGCCCTGGCCGCCGGCTTCGACGGCGTCGAAATCCACGCCGCGAACGGCTACCTCATCGACCAGTTCACGCAGGACACCTGCAACGCCCGCGCCGACCGCTGGGGCGGCAGCGTCGCGCACCGCGCGCGGTTCGCTCTCGAAGTCACGCGCGCTGTCGTCGACGCCGTGGGCGCGGACAGGACGGGCATCCGGCTGAGCCCCTGGAGTCCCTTCCAGGGCATGAAGATGGCCGATCCGATCCCGCAGTTCACGCACCTCACGGCCGAACTCGCGAAGCACCGTCTTGCGTACTTGCACCTCGTCGAGAGCCGTATCTCGGGCAACGCGGACGTCGAGGCGACGGAGAAGAACGATCCTTTGGTCGACGTTTGGGGAAAGACGTCGCCGATTTTGATAGCGGGCGGGTTGACGCCGGAAAGCGCGCGGAGGATCGTGGATGAGGAGTATGCGGATAAGGAAGTCGGGGTGGTGTTTGGGAGGTATTTTATCTCGAATCCGGATTTGGTGTTTAGGGTAAAGAAGGGGGTGCCGCTGAGGAAGTATGAGAGGGAGGTGTTTTATAAGGTGAAGAGTGAGGTGGGGTATGCGGACTATGAGTTTTGTGAGGAGTGGAAGAGGGAGCATGAGGCATTGGCATAGAAAATGGAGGATGTTGTGGGGTTTTTTGCATCAGCGAGGGCGTTGGGATGAGTGGGTGAGTGGGCATTTTGAGGGTAGTGAGAGAAGAGGTGAAGACATCAAGTAGAGTATAGAGCTTCGAACGTACTGCAGATGATATTCATAGTGGTACACCGCTCTCTCTTTCACTCTCTCCTCCTCATCATGTGTCATAACCCAGCAAATGTATGTATCCCACTCATCTCTTCATAATCATTCTTAAACCCAACGATCCCATCAACGACTCGTAACCCAAAGACTCAACGCAACGCCCTCCGCAAAAGCAACCAAAGCCGGCAGCTGTCAACCACATCATTAGCACCAACTCATTCACTCACACCCTCTCCACCATCACTCGCAGAACAACTTATTCACAAACTTACATCAACAACCAACGTCCGAATCGTATGAATCGTCAACCAAGTCTTCATCTCCTCGCGATTGCTCCTCTCCGCACTCGCATCGTCCTTCTGATTCGCCTGGATAATCCTGCCGACCGGCTGCGCGATGATGGGCAGACTGGCGAGGTGAGCGCCCGCGAGCACCGCGCCCGCAATGTACCACTTGGAGACGTCGGTGGTCTCGAGCGTGGAGTGCGTGCGCAGCCAGCGGGCGGCGAGGGCCCCGGCGACGCTGGAGGAGAGGGCGAGGGAGGCGATGAGGACGCGGCCTTGTTTGACCTGGAGAGGGTGGGTTAGCGAGGCTGTGAGGGGTATAGGTGATGGGGTGGGCGAGACGAGCCATGGGGTGCCAGAACTTGGAGAGGGGCTTTCCGGCGATGGATTCGCCTTTCTCGTCTGGTGTCAAGAAGGCCAAGAAGACTGGGTACTGGTAGAGTGCAAGTCCGACCGTGGCGGCGGAGGTGCACAATGGGACGACAAGGCCAACATGGCCGGCTTGAGGCTGGAGAGGTGCCATGGCGGATTCGAAGATGTTCTGGGGGTGTGATCTGATGGTGATTTAAGATTGTGAGTGATGTTACAGGAAGAGACGGTACAAAAGAAACAAGAGACGTCGTCCTCCCCTTCCCGCTGTGTACCGTGACATGCACGAGCTCTGCAACTCGTCGTGTGTATGGCTGGGAGCTGGTGATCCTTCATCTTGCTGACCAGCTCTTTGATCAGAGCTCTGGGACACGATGCGGGGCTGAGACATCATCACCACCAAAGCGGTCCAAGCCGGGAGGACAACATTGTGCGGGCCGCAGCACGTGCAGAGTCAATGGGAGAAGTCTGCCAGCCTCGTGAATGTATGCTTCGCGTTTTGTAATGACTTTCGTTCAATGCTGTCTTGTTACACTATACTTTTCACAAGATTGAGTCTCACCTTACTCCAACTTGATCCTCTCACGCTTTTAGCCCATCACCATGCCCTTGAGACCTGCCATATCACCTTCCTTGGCGGCGATTTCGAAGTACGAGTAGATGATACTGTGATATGATTAGTTGAGGTACTCGAATATGCTCAGTGCAAAACTTACGTGACGGCCATCAAAATACCGGTTCCGCTTCCCAGAGCACCCATAAGATCACTGGTGATGGAGAGAGCACCAATGCAAGCACCACCGAAAGCGGCAGCAGTTGGGATGACACGCTTCAACTCCCTGTACATGCTTTCATCACGGTGTCCAGCCATGACCAATCCTTGCTCCTTCAATTGCTTAGCGACATCGCGGGGGCTGGAACCAGAAACCTCAATCCATGTCTTGCTAAAGGCGGCACAGGCGACAAGCATGTAGACAGTGAAGACAGCCGTGTGAATCGGGTCCATGAGAGCGTCGGTGATGTTGAGTGGTGGGGACATGTAGTAGACCAGACCGCTGGCTGGAAGGACCTGGGCAGTACCCTCGCGAGCTTCCCACACACCAATCAGCTTGACCAAGAGGTTGTCTGGAAGCTTGTTGTAAAGCATCTGGGAGACGAGGAAAACGTTCGACGAGAGGGCGGACTGGAGCATGATCGGCATGTTCGAGGTGTAGAACAGACGGACGGGGTATGAGCCACGCATGCCACGCTGGCGCGAAGACTTTACTGGGATCTCAACGCGGAAGCCTTGAACAACGTTAGTGTTTGGGGATGCTTCTTGTTGGATGCGACATACCTTGCAGGTAGATGACAGCGGCGAAGACGATGATAGTCGACAACAGCTGCATGATGTTTGGCAGGTTCTGGCGGTAGAAGGCCTCGCGAAGTGCGAGTTGCTTGTTTGGCCAGGTAATGAGCAGGTGGACCAGCGCAATGATGGCACCCTCGAATTCTGGGCCACGGCCAGTGTTGACCGTCGTTGGGGAGAAAGCCCTCCAGACAATAGACTCGCAGATGTTGGTCGCAATGAAGAGAGAGATACCAGATCCAAGACCGTATCCCTTCTGCAGAAGCTCGTCAAGCAGAATGACAATAAGAGCAGCAGCCAGGAGCTGGACGACCAAGAGAACGCAGATACCAGCACCAAGATCCGCTGGTGGGCCGTAAAGTCCAGTAAGCACGTAGACGCAAGATTGGCCAAACGCAAGGATGATAGCAAGAAGCTTCTGGGCAGTCTGGTAGAGTTCGCGATCGGACTTGAGGTCGAGGTTGACGTCAATGAGGTGAGTACCAGCAAGCAGCTGGAACATCATGCCGGAAGAAATGATCGGTGTGATACCCAGTTCCATGAGTGTACCGCGATTACTGGCCATCATCATGCGCAGCCAGTATAGAGGATCAGAGGTGTCTAGAAACCCGTCAATCGTCTGCTCTTCCTCCTTTGCTATTGCCAAGCGAAGTGCTCACCCGAAGATACAATGCCGTACAACGGCATCTGGCTCATGACCAAGAAAATGACGAGGGTGACGCTCGTCCATATTATCCTTTGCTGGAAGGGGACCTTGGTCTCTGGGACCTGAACTTCGGGGATGAGGGGTGTGAAGGGCTTCACGAGGTCGAGGAAGCGGACTGTGGTAGAAGCACGTGTTAGCCTCAATATCTGAATACCCACGCCGTGTCGCGCAGTAGCATGTGTTGGCTAGGCTGCGGTTGGAGAGTCGCGTGCCCAAGGTGGTTGGTGGTTGGCGAGGCCGAAATACATACGTCCAGACATGATGCGGTGTTGGGAGCTATGCTGCGCTCCCTACAGTCCTGCTTAAAAGGCCGTTAACAAGGTCGCCGGGGTGCTGATGAAGGGAAAGCTGAAGGAGTGGTGGTTGATGCTGCGTAGGAGCTTCCGAGCAGCAGCAGTGAGGCGTCAAATTCGATGGACGAAGTTCAATGTCCAGCTGGCCTTGTGCCCCTGGTGCGGCTCGGAGGTGCCGGGACGAGCCGCTTTACGAGACGACAATAACGACGGCATCGAACAGCCATGTATTTGCTTTCTCCATTGAATTCATCTCCAGACTCTTTGAAACTCAGCGTGCGAAAGAAGAAAATGTAATGAAGACCAGGGTTGCGCGCTCTGGGTTGCAGGATCCGTTCGACAAGCACTTCGATCTCGACGCTTCGAAGGTGGACCATGCTCTTCAACACACGCGCATTGATATGGCAGGACCGAGAGTCTGAGAGAAGATGAAGTGGTACGGAAAGGCGACCCCTCCACTAGCCCATCGAAGCATCTGAAGAAACAGTGTTCCTGGACTACCTGACCCAGGCCCGTCCTGAAGCTTCTGATAGCCTCGCATCAATGCTCGCAAGGAACAGTCTCGATACTCAAGCAATGCGCCATGGACATTCTCTCATACATCGCCAAGCCGAACACTTTCAGAAAACGGACGTTGAACGTACACCACTCCGCCACGTCACAGATCCTCTGCCAACAATAGCCATTCCGCCATCAGCCGAGCCTCTTCGAATCGACTACGCAATCCCCTGCAGCGCGTTGAGAACCTCTTGTCCTTTCGTGAACAACTCCTCCCCTCTCGCGAGGATTTCCTCAGCTCCTAGCGCGAGCATTGCCTTCCCCATGGCGAGCATCTCTTTCCTATTCGCAGGCAGCCGTCCGGTCTTCGCGAGGATCTGTCTTCCCATCTCGAACATTTCATGTGCGTTCGATGGCAGCGGTCGTCCTACTCCTTCGTTCGCATGTTGTCGCATCGTATTCAACTCACGCTCGCCCTCGAGCCACTCTTGTTGCTCGTCATCGTCAACGTCGGAACCCTTCTTCGTCTGCACGCGTAGGAAGCCCATCGTCTTCTTTCTGAATAGTATCCTTGACATCTTCCTCGTCTGGACGTGCTTCTTTCATGGATTGGTGGCGCTGTGCCATACCACTCGAGGCTCGTGTGAGCTTGCGGTGCAGCTTCTTGACTTCCTTGCTGGTCAGGGGCCGAGTTCGATCGTTGCGCCATTGCTGAAGCTGCTGTTCGCGAGCGGCAAGGTAAGAAGGCCAATTCGGGTCTTCGCGACGCCGTTGCTTCTCACGGCCTGGGATGTTTTTCGTCTTTGCCATGATGTTTGCTCAGCGTTCACGGAAGAATTGGAAGTCGAAAGAGAGATTTGTCTTGGCGGTGTGTTGTCAGAGGGAAGGGTAACATGGGCAGTGGTTGGTTGCTAGTTCAGCTCAGAAGTAACTGGTAGGGAAGGTGCGCGTATGGTTAAGAAGTGGGAGGGTGCTCGTCGGAGGAAGGAACGTATCGAACAGAGACAAATACTCACTCCGATGTTGGTGTTAAGGTCGAACAGTTTACAAGCGTTCGTAATTCTTTGCTTTCTCCTCGCGTGTCTTTACAGCCTCCAGTCTATACCGTATATACACGATGAACGACCTACCCCCGAACGCCCTGCTCTTCCAGAAAGGCCGACGAAGCCTCAACCTGATCTACCCATCCTCTATTACCCGAACGCCTTGCTAGACAGAATGCACAGATCCACTGCAGAGTAGCGCCCTATTCATACCCCTTTATCTTCCGGTAAATCTTCTTGTGCTGCTCCAAGAACAGGAATGTAGCAATCGTGTGAGGACCCAGACGGATGAATGAAGGAACCCATCCCTTGAACATCCAAATGAACCCCTCGTTGGCCGTGATTCTGGTGATGAGACTGAATAGGCCTTCGGATGTCTTGGCGCTCATGATCCTGGTCTTGATCACATCTACTGGACTGCAGACTGTGGTTGCGACGAATCCGGCCATGAACGATGCTGAAAAATGCGTGTATAGATTGTCTCCCATGCTCGTGTGTTCGAGCAACTGTTTCTTGAAAATGTCGTAACTGGCGAGTTGCGATGCTGTCATGAGCACGGCACGAGTACTGTTAGGCCACACGCCGCGGAATAAGCTGCCAAAGCCTTCTTCCCGTAACATTCGAATGAGACCATCTCCCGCATGCTTGTAGTTGCGTCGATCTGCTGGAGGAAGGGCGGCATCGTTTTGCATGCGAACGTTCAAGATATCCGCAGGGTTGCCTGCAATGCCGCCTAGGAAACCGGACGTCGACGCCATGGCTATCAGAGCCGGGAACGAGGGTTGCTTAACCCCATCGCTGAAGACTTCTTTCAGTTCCTCGTATACGCCGAATCGTGTCGTGCTGTAGGTGATCTGGCGCAAAAGCGCTGCAGAGAGCTGTCCACGCCCACCCGTTAGTCGCAATCCTCATTCAGAGACTTTATGGGCACACTCACTCCTCGATATATCCCCTTGATTCCATCACTCTTCACAATATGCGTAGCCATCTGAACCATACTCTTCCGAGGGCCATCGTGAGGCTGTGTTTGTAACCGGACCTTGAAGTCGTGAGCAAAGGGTGGGAAGTGGACGATCGCCCGGTGTTGTTATACTTTCACTGCATAAACCTGTTAGCACTCTCCTCAAGAGTTCAAACCGCACTCAACTTACATAGATCCAAAGGATGCGTCACGCACGCAGCAAAACAACTTGCGCTGCCGCCAAACCATAGCGGATAGTGAATGTGGGTTTGCTTGACATCCTTGCTCTTGGCGGTGGAAGTCGACATTGCTCTGTACTGGTCATTGCTCCATGTGAGTGAGCACAAAAGAACCAGGATTTCCAGCGAGTTCCGGAGTAGCGAGAGGGTAAGTAGTAATAGATGATGTACCAATGGCGCCGGCAATAAGATCGCTCAGGAACGTGCTTCGGCTTAAACTCGGCACCTGCAGCGGGATTAGAAGTAGCAGCCGAAGGTCTCCTCTCTCCAACAAGAATAATAAGAGGAGTACCGTGATGGGAGCGAACGGCAGTCGTCATGAAACGAAGCGCTTGTTCATTGTGATGCTACATGATCGCTCGAGTATGTCGAAGGTGTAATTCATTGACAGAACTGTGGCAGGCAGGCAAGACTTCTCTTTTAAAACCAATCGTGGTCCAGTCATAACACCTCCCGTATTTCCACACAGACTTCCACAGGGCACGGCGAAGTTTTAAATGTGTTCGCGCCAATTCCCCTAGACAAGCCATCTGCCGTCGGCTCACTCACTCGACCACTGGTGGACATCCAATATTGCATCCGCAAAAGCTTTCGGTTCTTCAAGAGGGAACGCATGGCCGACATCATACTCACGCCTCTCATGACGGCCGACGAAATGGTGCGCATGTGCTGCAGAGCCCCCTGGCTTCAAGGGGTCTTGCGTTCCATCGAGAGTGATGCAAGGCACCGTGATTGCCGGTAGAGTCGCAAGTCTCTCCTCAAGGCTCTCCAAAGATCGGTCTCCTTCTTCTGTGCCCAACACATGCCGATATGCCCCGATTACGACGTCTACAAAATCCACATTATCAAAAGACGGCGCTACGTCGTCGAACTTCTTGTGTATAAATGGACTCGTGGGTGACCATTGTCGCCAAAGAATTTGTGCCAGCTCTCGCCTGTTGTTCCTCAAGCAGACTTTGCCACGCTCGTACTGGAACAAGTGCTGATACCACATGACGCATTCGAGACCTGCTGTACTCGGTTGAAGTTGAGCCTTTCGATCGATTATATCGTAGCCAGCGTAACAAACGAGTCCAGACACCCGCTCGGGCCACAGTGCTGTGACGACGCAGGATGCGAGCCCGCCCCAGTTAAAACCAGCAAGGACGGCCTTCTCGATCTCAAGGGCGTCTAGAAGCTCTTTCAGGTCAGAGCCGAGCGCAGCTTGCTGTCCGGCGCGTGGAGTGGCATTTGACAGAAATCGTGTGGGACCATATCCTCTGAGATAGGGCACGATGACCCTCGCGCCTTTCGCCGTCAGATGTGGGACGACTTCGTCGAATGCATGAGGATCGTAGGGAAATCCGTGAGATAGAACGACCGGCCAGCCAACTTTCTCGCCATGGTCATAGTACGCGACTTCGAGGTTTGATGTTTGAACCGTCTTGTAAGCAGTGGACATTGCGAATGTCGATGTGGCAGATGGCAGTGTGAGGCAAAGCCAGAGGGCGATCAGACATGTAGAAAGAAGCCGCTCAAGTACAACTTGTGGTTGGAAGCAGTCTCACCGTAAGTATAACGTTCATCCTCCGTGGCAGGTCTACTGGCAACCCTCTCCTCTCATATACTACGGAGATCTGCGCACCTCCTCTTCACGATGCTGCCGATTTGTCAGCAGTTGGGCCAACTCGAGATCTGCTGTTCTGCATGCCCGTCGTGTGATGGAGCATAACGCAGAAGGCGAGGAAGAGATGGAATGTCAAGTCGAGAAAGCTGTCGAAGACGTTGTGCTAGAGACGTCAATATGTCCACATAATTCGAGACGAAATTCGATACACGGGTGTAGCCGCCTGCACGTTCACGCGACTTTGCCATTGGGAGAAGCGATTTGCAACATTGTCTCTCCCATTGCATTCATCTCTGGCCTCACACTGGAGGCATTATTCCAGGGCGACGGTCATGGTCAAACTCAGCTGCTCTCCGGGAGCGTCCATATGGGCGTTGCCAGCAGGCGTTCGTTCGCTCTTGCGAAACCGCATTGCTCCCCCTCGAAGCTTCCTCTCTACAGGTCAGTGCTGCTCACTTTTCTAGCCTTTGCTACACATGATCGTCCTGCTGGAAACGATTCAGCACCCAAAGTTGGCGCTCTGTTACTGCGATGTCGGACAGCTTTGAAAGATTGTTCACGGAGGCGGCTTGACTGTGAGCGGCAAGAGCGGGTTCCCTTCACTCACAGCTCATGCTAGTGGCGGGAATAACACTCCTCTGGACTTCACATGCTCCCAGCTTACTGACACCGCAACGAACTAGACACGAAACCATCATCAATCACCATTGATGGCACTCCATACCCCGCTGACGAGTGGACCAATGTACCACCATCGATTATCTCGCATTATGGTCGGAGTCTACATCTACAGCCGAACCACCCGCTATCGATCACGAGGAAATTGATCGAATCACGTTTCCCTAGCTTTCAGAATCACAACAACTTGAAGCCTGTCGTTACTGTGGGCCAGAACTTCGACTCCCTCGGATTCGCCGCAGACCACCCTGGCCGAAGCAAGACCGATACTTACTATGTGAACAAGGACACCGTTCTACGAACGCACACAACAGCTCACGAAGTCGATACTTTCCGAGCCAACACCAACAATGGGTATACCATCACTGCAGATGTGTACCGCCGAGACGCTGTCGATCGTAGCCATTATCCTGTGTTCCACCAAATGGAAGGAGCCTTAACGTGGGATCGCAACGACTTCTCAAGCCGAGGGGAATTGACCAAGCAGATCCTTGCGGATGTAGAGAAGATCCCAAAACATGATTTGGTCGTCGATAATCCAAATCCAACTTTCCACGACGTGAGGAATCCACTGCAGTCGGAACACCACTCTCCCGAGGAAGCAGAGGCCGTCGCAACGCATCTGAAGCGCTCCCTAGAAAACATGGTCGTGGCGATTTTTTCGGAGGCGGACAAGGCTCTTGCAGCTGCTGGCCAAGGAGCAGAAGCTGAGCAGGAACCATTGAAAGTCCGCTGGGTCGAAGCCTTCTTCCCTCACACATCACCATCATGGGAATTGGAGGTTTGGTGGCGAGGAGATTGGCTGGAAGTTCTTGGCTGCGGTGTCATCGACCAGCCGTTGCTGAACCGCGCTGATGTACCCTCCAGAATCGGCTGGGCGTTCGGTCTCGGGCTTGAAAGACTCGCTATGCTTCTCTTCGGCATTCCTGATATCAGACTATTCTGGAGCAAGGACCAACGCTTCCTTGGCCAATTCGATGAGTCAAAGCCTGCCAGGCGCTTTCAACCATTCAGCAAATACCCAGCGGCGCCTAGGGACGTAGCTTTCTGGCTCCCGAAAGCTGGACCAGTCATCACTGAAACACCAGCGTCGGTGTCATCAGCGCCTTCGCCTGCAGGAGGTCAGCCAACAGAGCCACCTACCACTAGCGAGCCTCCTGCCTTCCACGAAAACGACCTGATGGAAGTCGTTCGCAACACAGCCGGCACCGACGTGGAGAACGTGGCACTGATCGATAGCTTCAAGCACCCAAAGACAGGGCGCCAAAGCTTGTGCTATCGTGTCACATACCGCAGTCTGGAGAAGACCCTCACCAACGAGGAGGCCAACGCGCTGCATGAGCAGATCAGACAGGAGCTGGTCAGTCGATTCGGCGTTGAGCTTCGATGAGTGGTCAATGCATGAAGGAAACGTACATCGCCTCTCACAGAAATGTAAAGTATATTGTATAGAAGCTCAATACTCTGATGCCCTTGTCAACGGCGCAGAGTCGTCGGCTGTATAGTCCAGTGCTTGCACTCCCACCATCAGAAACAGCCAAGATGGTGTCGAAGAAGACGGACCATAACTCCAAGTCTTGACTTGGTGCCTACTCCCAGCCCTCATAGATTCACGAGATGGGTAAAATTTCCAATGCAAATCGACTTCACTCCGCTTATGTAACACTGAACTCTATGAGAGCCTCGAGGAAGTTGGAGCTTGAAGGTTCTACCGCAACTGACACATTAGTATTCAGACTCGCATACATCTCACGGCAGCAATATTGGTTAGTAGCTCTACGGGAACGACGCCGCGCGCGGTTGAATTGATTTAGCAGGGCCGGCTGAAGATCGCACCTCGTGCTAGCCACGCGAGGCCAAATATACCCCATACCCCACTCGAAGGCGGTCGTCGTCGTCGTAGTCGTCGTCGTCTCCTCATCCATCGACTACATATACACCTTACCAGCTCTGCCACACAAGCACCGATGATTGCGATTCGATGATCACACCATCGCCAACTCTCCCTCCATCTCACTGAGCTTGGGGTCTCCCAAGCCGCCACAGCCAGCATCATGTGTAAGCGAAACCGCGTCCCTGCATGTGCTATCAGTCGCACAATAATACCTGCTTGCACGCGATACTGACGATAAGTGTTGGAGTCGTCCTGCCGCCTCCGCCTCGCTATCCAAATGGCAACCTCTACACAGGCATGCCGGGCAGCGGGCCATTGCTGGAGACGAACAACATCCTCGAACATCCCACAGGCCCCGACTACCAGCTGGTACTCGGAGAAGGCACATATACTCTGAAAGACGACCTACACCTTGCGACGCCGCCTCCACATCCAAGCGATGCGCCGCAGCCCAACAACAACCCTCTCGCGACCACCGTCGGCCCTCCCACCGCTGGATCGCGCCTCTCTATCGCAGTGCTCGCACCTCGAAAGCCTCCGTCGCAGAACCTCTTTCGAACAACCACCTCGCAGAGCACACGCTCCAATATACCGCCAAGCATAGCTGAAGAGGCGCAGAGTCCTAAGAGCGATGCCGGATCAACAGTCAACGGCTTGGGCTCGGTTGGATACTACAGTCAGACTTCATCTTTTGGGGACAGTAACCCAGCGCTAGCGCCTCTACCAGTCAAGGGCGGGAAGAAGGATCAAAAGTCGAAGCCGAAGAATAACATTGTCAAATCGAATTCGTCCTTTGTGTCGAGGGTGATACCGCACGAGGCGTGGCAGAAGCGGTTGACCGAGCGCTCGCCAGATGGGTTGTTCGCTTTCGCCAACGTCAATCGCGCGTTCATGTGGCTGGATCTGTCGTCAGACCTCAAGACCGAAAACATGACCAAAGTCTTGTTCACCAAAGCGCACGCCCTTTGTCATGACTTGAACCCAGTCACAAAGTCAAACACTCACCTTGACCTCATACTCGGCTTCAACACGTCAGACATAATATGGTACGAACCAATGTCGCAAAAGTATGCCAGAATCAACAAGAATGGCATGATCAATCCATCGGCGATATCCTCCGTTTTGTGGTTGCCCAACAAGGAGAATCTGTTCGTCGCCGCCCACATGGATGGCACGCTGGTAGTTTACGATAAGGAAAAGGAAGATGCCGACTTCGTACCCGAAGAGCAGTCACCGATAGAGAATGGTCACACAAATGGCCACGCCAACGGAGACGGCCCACCAGCCCTCAAATTCCAGGTCAGAAAGTCGGTGCAGTCGCGGAATCAAAAGACGAATCCAGTCGCAGTCTGGAAATTGTCAAACATGAAGATCAATAGCATCGCTTTCTCTCCTGATGGGCAGCTTCTGGCGATCGTTAGTGAGGATGGTTCACTCACGATAATGGACTATATCGAGGAAAAGGTGCTGGATGTGTTTCGCTCATACTATGGCGCCATGCTTTGCGTAACGTGGTCCCCCGATGGACGATATGTACTCACGGGAGGGCAAGATGACCTGGTCAGCATCTGGTCACTGGTTGATCATGCATTGGTTGCGAGATGTGTGGGCCACAATTCTTGGGTAACGGACGTCAAGTTCGATCCTTGGAGGTGTGATGAACGGAATTATCGTTTTGGCAGCGTGGGGGAGGATTGTCAACTCCTACTATGGGACTTTTCAGTTGGAATGCTTGGACGACCAAAGCTGACGCGAGCACGAGGCAGCATATCAGGCAACGACCGGAAACAGAGCCTATCGACAGTGGGACGATTCAGGAGCAATTCGAATCTGACTCAAGTCCAGACGGATGGCACCAATGGCGATGAGATGGTCCATCCTGTGGATTCCATGGCAAGCACAGCTGTGCTGCCGCCAGTGATGTCGAAGAGCATCGACGAACACCCACTCTGCTGGCTTGGATTCGAGGAGCACTGCATCCTCACGTCGTGCAAGGACGGTGGGTTGCCCGGTTGCTTTTCTTTTGATCGTTTGGTTGGGATATTGGGACCCACCCCTATCCGAGTCCAACAATTCGCAGCAAGCGTAGTGGTGTGAGAAAGCGGGATCGATTGCTGACATTTTTGTCTCGCAGGACACATTCGCGAGTGGACTCGACCGACTGATCTGTAGCATGTGCTTTCAGATGTTTCGATGATGGTGATGAGAAGTGCATGTGATGACGGAGGATCTCAGTCACGGCCAATGCTGGCCATGTGGTCAATTCGAACGCCGCGATCGGGGAGCCCTGAGGGAGTTCATTGGCGGACCTGCCAAAAGCAGGACATGCCGTTCATTATCTCAGCAATCCTGACTCCTTCAGCTGGCATGGGAAAAGCAGAAGGCGTGGGATACCGCGGCTTTTCGCCGATGCGCCGTACCCTGATGCAGCAAATGTCCATTCCTCTGCCGTCCAATTTCCCAGAGCTCGCAAGTTTCGGCGTTGTCGGTCTCAACCCGACGTTGCTCCTCTCTCCGACTGTTCAACACGGCTGCGGCCGCGGGCGACGGAGCAGTGTCGGCCAAAAGGGAGCAACCTAGAGAGGACCAGCAAACGTGCGAGCAGCCAGCCTGTGCAGATCGGCACGGCCCACTCTCACATGTGTGGCGTCATGGAACCAGCCTCATTGCTGAACTTTTTCTGAGATAGCATCGACAGTCATACACCGATAACGGCTCGGCCAGTGATCGTCGTTGCAGCTGCGATGGCTGTATATGTGCATAGAGAGTGCCTGCGGTGGTGCAACAGGACAAATCGAATTGCAGCTTCTTGGGTCACTCGCCATTGCCTGAGGGCTAGCATGACATCTCTCACCTGCTCACGCTGAATCTCCAATCTGTCGTCACCGTCTCGCCGCCGCTGCCCACGCCATATCGAGCGGTGATACTGCGGAGAGATGGTCGACACTCGCAGCAGCACTTCAGCGGTTGAGACCCATTATTTTTTTCCGCCCGAACATTTCTCATCTCCATCCAATACCCGTCCATTCGTGTCTCGCTGCGGATCGTGGAACCGTTCGTCACTACTGCGCGATACGCACGGGCTGGCCACCTGCGCATGCTTTCTGGCCCTGCTTCCACTCGCGATAATTCAACGTCGACGGGCACGTGGGTGCCATTTGCTCACTACTACTACTACAATATCGTACTCGCTGCTGTTGGCGCTTGCTGTTGCTCCTTTGTTGTTACATTCGCATCAACAGCAACATTACCTCGCAGGCTCCTAGCACCGATCCTCAGGCGCATCCATCCCACGCCGCCACACCCTACTCTCGCTTGCGATTGCCCGCGCACGTCACTTTTAAAAGGCCACATTGCTGGCAGCGGACTGGCCTACAAAACAATTCAGAAGATTGAACGAGCCTCAATCTGACTGGCTCTTTTCCCACTCCTGCGGTGGGACCTGTGAGTTGGCCCAGCTTTCCCTCTGTCAAGACGCCCGCCATGGTCCCCACCCCACGAGGCCACCACAGCGGTGGAGGAACTTCGCGACACAACAAGCCCTGGCTCGAGATTGTTCCTGATCTGCGGTTCATTGTGTTCAATGGAGGCGAGCACGAAGCGCAGACGGTCAAGCTCACTGGTCGAGTGCGACTGCATACCCCCGAGCCCATGAGCATTCTGAAGCCCAAGGTGCGGCTGGAGGGTAAGCGCAAGATCAGCTGGTGGTATATGGGAGGTATATCCGCGGGGGAAGTGGTGGACAAGAGAGTGTTTTGGAATCAGGAGCAGAGACTGGGCATCGAGAGTGCGCACAAAGTCAAGGCGGGCACCATAGAGTGGCCGTTCGAGTTTGAGCTGTCACCCTCGATGCCTGAGAGTGTGGAGGGCCTGCGGGAGACGTATATCGCATATCACTTGCATGCGAGCGTCTCGAGACCGGGCTGGAATGCGAAAGATCTCATGGCGCAAGAGCACATCCGCATTGTGCGGACACTGGGTCAAGATAGTATGGAGATGACGAGGTCAAGAGTCAACGCGGATATCTGGGCCAACAAGATATCGTATAGCATATCAATACCGACAGATGCGATTGTGTTTGGGACGTCGATAACGGCAGACGTGGAATTGTCGCCCATCAAGAAGGGCATACGACTTGGGAAGATTGAGCTGCGGCTGATGGAGACGGTGGTGAAAAGGATACAGGCCAGCGAGGTTCCAGACATCAGAGGAGACCGGTCGAAGACGGAGGAGACAGAAGTCGCAAAGGCAGACATGGAGTTCCCGGAACAATCGAGGATCATCTACGACGACGAATCGATCGATAATCCGACCATGGCCGACGAGATGTACAAGTTCAAGGCGACGCTACCGCTGCCCAAATCACTCAATGTCTGCCGGCAGGATGTTGATTCGCACAACATCAACATCACGCACCGTTTCAAATTAATGGTCAACATCCACAACCCCGAAGGTCACGTATCGCAGCTGGTCTGTCGATTACCCGTGAAGCTCTTCATTTCACCGAATCTGCCTGTCGATGAGAGGAACGAGGTGTGTCCGAGTGCGAATGGAGTGTCAGACGCAGAGTTGAACAACTCTGAAACGGTGGTGGTCGCCCCTCCTGAGTATGGACGTCATCAGTTGGATCAAATCTACAGCGATATCGATCCCAGTGGCTTCATGAGCAGAGCAGGCAGTGGCCCGGGAACACCAGCTGGGTTCCTCGCCCAAAGTCGACGAGGTTCCCACGAGAACGTGTTGTCGATAAACGGGATAGCTGACAGCGATCCGTCCGAGCACCACGGCAGTGCGATGCCACACCTGTTGCACTCCCGCCTCGCAAATCTGCAAGAGAATGGCTCAAGTCATGGATCCCATTACTCGGGCACGTCACGCAACCACAGTCCGTCAGGTGGGAACTCGCCCGCACCTGGCATGTCCGATGCGAACGAGCAACACTCGCCGGAGCGCAATCACAACGGCGGCAGCAATCATGCCCAACAGCGCCCAGCCCAAGCTCCACGAAGTGCCAGCTCGTACTTCCCTGCCACATCAGCCGGTCACTCGCCGCACACGAGCGCCCCCATGTCGCGACGCACGTCGGACGAGCACGACACGACAGACCAAGGAATCCACCAGAACGACTACAACCTGGCGGACCTGTCACGTGTGCCGTCCTACGGCGCGGCGCTGCGCACCCCAGGCGCCATCACGCCTTTCACCGAAGGCCCGCCCAGCTACATCGAAGCAACGTCGCGCCCGCCCTCGCCGATCCAGATCCAGAGACCCGGCCAGGCGCATGTGCGATCTGGCGCTAGCACGCCCAATTCTCACTCGAGCCAGCAGACGCTGACGATGCCGTTCTCGAGCTTGAACTTGGGCATGATCCAGGAAGGCGTCCCCGTTAATGGGGCGGGTGGTAATGCTGTTGCCCAATCGCCGCCGCAGAGATCCCATGTTCCTCACGGCGGGCATCATGACGACGAGTCGAGACTGAGGATGCTCCCCGCACGGAACTAGAGTTTCCGCCTGAAGGAGGCGGTTCTTTGTTAGGGTCCTGAGGGCTGTTATGGGAGTGAAGGGAGCGATTACTGAGAATCAACGACAAGATCGCGGGCATGCATTTTTTTGCGCGGGATGATCGAACCCACCAACTGATAGAGTCGAACGGGGTGGGACAGCCGAGCTTTTCGGATAGAATGCGAATCTACTCGACAGGAGTCGACAACGGCCGAGACACGAACGATAGAAGGGGAATGAAGACAGATGGCATTTTTCGGCAGGAGACCCAACCTCGGAGGTTTTTGATCAGGCGGCGTTTGGGCAGGGCTAATGGGGTACTTTTGCAGCGGCAGACGAAGGACAAGGGCGTTTCAGACGTCGCGAGGCGTTTCGCGACTGGACTGGCATTGCTTTAGGAAGAATTGATCCCCAGCTCTCGCTATTCTTTCTTACGCGCTTCCGGGTTTGGCCTCATAGGTACTTAGGAGGGGAGCTTCGGTTGTTGTATACTGTAGATAAAGCAGTTGAATTCAGGAGAAAGATCCAATACCAACTATGATGACAAGAATTCACAGAGACAGACTCTACAGTACCGATGGCCCTTGACTTTGATTTTTTCTATTTCTGATCTTATTAATTGCATCGAGCGATTCATTTCTTGGTTGGAATCAAGCCTGAAACCAAACATGACATGGCGTGGTTGTGCAGCAAGAGACAGGGTTGTTACAGACGGCAGGTTTTTGTTTCAGACACTGTGCGGTTAACGGCTTGACAATGTGTACTTTTATCAGGAGGTCGATCCTTCTGCGTTTCAGGTGGGTTGGGTGGTGATGTGGCACGGGTTGCGGGTCTGGACACTTGCTTGTGTTCGTTGTGTGGGAAGGGAGATGAGAACGGAACAGAGTAGAGGAAAGGTGATAGCAGTGAAGGTGTTGGCCAAAGTTCAATATCATTTGATTCCATAGGTATAGCCCCCCTTTTTCCACCACCAGGGGCGGAAGTAATAGTAAGTTCAAAAGAGATGGCATTTTCAACGCACATCTGGGTATCTCTCTCCATCATCATCGTCATGGATGGAATCGTAAAAAGCGCTAAATCCAAAGAAAATAAAAGTCCCGTCAACAAAAGCAACCATCAAACCCGATCAAGGGGAGATCGCGTAGAATACGTATTTTCGCCAATCAAAGGATTCGATATCAAATCCAAATCCCACTGTCTCGGTGGCTTTTCCTCCTCTCCTTGCGGTAGTCTGAGGAAGAAGACGATGGTTCTCGGATCTCGACGCGGTAGTCCTTTTGTTTGCGTTGCATGTCCTTTTCGTAGAGGGTGCCTCGGCGGGATGATGACGAGGAGGCGGTGGTGGTTGTTGCGGCTGTGGATGGTGCAGCGGTCTTGACGGCTGAGACTTGCTCGATGTCGTCGTGGTCGACTTGGACGGTGGAGTAGCGGACGGATTTGTGCTTGGATGATCGACGATGAGGGCGATTGGAAGAGGCCGGTTCGATGATAACGTTGGCGGGTTCGTTGTCTTCTTTTGAAGTTGAGTATCGTCTTGCTGAGACCGGGTAGGAACGGTCGTAGCTTAGGATGGGGACGGTTCGGTGACGAGAGCGTCGGATGTCGTGGTCCATGGCCTTGAGAAGGCTGCGTAGTTGAGAGTAGCCGTGGGGGATTTCGACACGGACGAGTTTGGACTCTTCGTCTCGTTTAGCGCTGTAGATTTCTCCGTCGCGATGGTAGACATGGCAGGCGACGTCTTGAGCGAGACCATGGCCTGCGTCGCAGAGTCGATTGCCTCGTCGGTAGACCTCGAGCGGTTGGTAGCACGTTGGGCAGTGTCGAGCATGGTATTCGAAGTAGTAGAGGCTCCAGGCCTCAGTGGATGTCAATGGTCGGGAGGCGCGGTTGTCAGAAGTTGGAGCGAATCGCACGGCTTTGGGTGATGGCGGGCTGGATGGTGCGAGGTTCGACGGCGCATTGTCTGGAGTGACCTCGACGACCACTGGCCGTACTGAAGGTCGTCGCGACGACATGGTGTTGGTGGTAGAAGTGTCGCTGACTAAGTTGTTGATCGACAACGAGATGGGCGAATCAGGCAGTCGAGAGTAGTAAAAGTACTCCACCACAATGGTATTGTCCAATGTGTAGAGTAGCGTTGGGCAGCAGGAATGCGCAGTCTGCAAGGCGACGAATGGTAGAGGGTTGGAGTGAGAAGCAAGGTGCTATTGGAGAATGGGAAGACGGAATGGGGACAGATATAGGAAAGACCCTACCTGAGGTTGCCTCCAAGGCAACGGTTGCTTTGGAGCCAGGGCGACGGTAGGACCGGTCAGTGTGTGTCCTCATCAGCCCAGGCATGCTCTGGCTTCGAGGCTTGGATGCCTGCTTGCTCAGGACATCCCCACACTGGCGAAGGTTCAAAGCCTCTGACACTGCCGCAACAAACAGTCAGAGATGGCCAGGGTTGCCGGACTCAGGGTGACTGTCATAGGCCAGCAGCCATCTTCCCTCCTCCAACCGAGCTAGCAACCTGAGGCAAAGGCAACAAAGCCACTCAGGACTCGCGCTAGCTCTTACGCATTGCGACGACAGCTTGCACTTGCAGACACCTTTGGCCCACAGCTTCCTATCGATAGCCTCTTCGGTATCGATAATCGCCGTCAAAGCCACCACCGCTGGCCAGCTAGCGATACCGCGTGCAGCCGCACACCGGTCGGGCTGCATGAACTTGCCAATCGACACCTGTACACTTTCTGCAAGACACTTCTGACCAATCCAAAGTGAGGCGCGTCCGCGTGACTGGAGCCAATCCGAGGCGCAGCATTGTTCCCTGTAGAGCGCGGCAGCACAGCTGGCTTTGCCTGGTCAACAACCACAGGAGACAATATCACGAATGCCGTGCCATGCCATCATTGTCGTTGACATTGGCGATGTGGTTGGTGTGGAGCCGTCCATCTGCCGAGTGATTGTTTGTGGCTCCATTCGGTCGTCGGTGTCGTTCCAGTCATCTGTGGCTCCCTCTCGAGTCACCCTGACCAGGTGAGTCAAGGCCGCGCCAGCTGCAGCTCTCCATCGCACGTAGTAAGTCCTTCTCGACCGAGTTATGGGTGGCATGATGGTATGACGGCATGGGGACTGTAAGGCCGGTGTCTAGGATGGACTTGTGGACTTGGTTCTTTCGATAGTGGGCGGCCTCTTCGAAGGTGCAGCTGTAGTGCGTGGAGCTATTGTCGATTCCAAAACAGCTGAGACGGTAGGACGTGATGATGACTCGAAACTCGGACGTACGTGTCAGTCTGTCGGCGTGGGAGAAGTACTGACAAAAGTGGCGAGGCTGAACAGCAGCCTCGTCGGCAGAGAGTTTCAGTCATTTTGCTGGCCTGTCTTGCCAGTATCTCGACTAGAACCTCAGCCACGCTGCCGGTGATTGTTGATATGCTTCTGCCGGCTGCTACTTCTTCTTTCAATTAGCATCATGTTAGAGCTTCAAATCCTCCTCTTGACCATTGACTCTTTTCGATGTGACGAGATGGGGTGATGGAGTTGAGAAGCGTCTTCGGTCGGTCGGCTCGAGAAAAGAGCCATAGCGACAGCCGATTCTCGAATTGAAGTCATGACGTGAACGGTTGTCACAAGCATTGAAGCTTAACGGTAGGACTTCTGGCTTCCAAGGTTTGCAACGGGTTTGTTTACTGTTCCATTACTTGATATCATCACATCAGAGGAAGTTACAACAGCATACTCACTGCCGACGATGCCGCCGAAGAAGAAAGCTGCGAAACCCGCGTCAAAGTCCGAGAAGGAGGAGACGAACGAAGCACCAGAATTACCCGCGACGGAAACGAATGAACCTCCCAAAGATGAAGCGCAACCTGCCGAGGGCGATCTAAAGGCCGATGCCAACGATGCGAATGAAGAGAAGGTCGAATCGAATGGCGATGCTAAGCAGGATGAGAAACCAAATACAACCTCCAAACCTTCAAAGAAGCGCAAGAAAGAGGCTGAACCTACAGCACCCTCGAAAGCCTCTCGTCGATCCGCACGAGGCGTGTCAAAGTCAGAGCCGTCCCAGCAACAGCTTCTAAACTTCTTGCTAAGCTCGAAAGCACAAGAGCTTGTCAGGCCAGAAGATGAGAAGAAAGATGTCCAAGAGCGGGGAGACATCCGGACGTACTCATCGTCCGTCTTGAACCCATTCGAAGAGCTCATGAGTGCGATGGTCTTGTCGCGACCCATCTCTCATCGCTTGGGTCTGCGATCGATCAGGACAGTCCTTAACGACCCATACAACTTCTCAAACGCGAAGACGGTGAAAGATGCTGGCGAAGAGAAGCGACATCAAGCGCTGTGGGATGCGAAGACTCAGCACAAGGGCAAAACGGCCGACCAGATTGGTATGCTTGCTGATGTCGTCTTGGACAAGTACACCTCGGATGACGATAAGGAAGGAGCACAGCTGAAACGGGCTCTGTCTGACAACGACAATGATCTCGACAAGGCTCTCAGCTCGATGAAGGAGAACATCAAGGGTCTCGGCAACACGGGCTTAGACATCTTCCTCCGACGAGTGCAATGGTTGTGGGACGTCGGATTCCCATACATCGATGGCCGGACGAGGGATTCTCTGCGAAACATAGGCCTGACCCCAGACGCTGAGGAGCTGCAGAAGCTGGTCGAAGAGCACTGGCGTCAGCTTGATACGAAGCATCTGGCAGGTGAAGGCGAAGCAGCGAAGAAGCGCAGAGCGTTTGTTGTCATTCTGGAGAGGGTGACGGGAGCAGATCTGGAGGGCAAGGTTGATGCGGTCTTGCAAGAGGCTGCGTCTGCTTGAATTCGCCAGTGCTTCTTGTAGAATGCATGAGTAGCCTAAGGTCTATGTCAGTCTTGGTGCGTGTGGTGAGGCTTTGGGATGTATCATACACAGAAAAGCAGTAAAATATGTAGAAAAGAGCAAAGACCATTGCATCATGTTATCTGGATTTGATCTCTCAAGCTTCCTACAAATCGGTACCGCGGCCCTAACCGCATTAGCGCGACCGGGGGTCCCGAGACATTCACGACCTGTCTCCAGAAGCGTGCTTGGACACTCGAGGCATCGCCATAGTCAGTCGCTGGAAACCGCCTGGAGCGCGATATACCCACCAAACAACCGTGCTGGTGGTCGTCGTCGCGGTGGGATGAGGGTGTAGCCGTCGCCCAGCCTGCAGGATCCGAATGTCATCCATCGACGCCGCATCTCCACTCCCCCCAGCTCACTGCCATCCCTACGCGGCTAGGCTGCGACGACTTCACCGACGACGAACCCCTCCACGAGCATCGCATCGCATAGCGGGCGCGCCGGTCAGGTGCAGCCATTCGAGGGTGACTTGACCCGACCATGAACGGCTACCCGCGCAATGCCTCAGGGACCCCCAGTATGAGCAACGGCTCGCGTCTGAACACTCCACACAACATCCAACAAAGGCCGCATTCGCCAGGCACGCCGTCGACCGCAGGTATGAGTCGGGCGGAGCGCTTCGAAGATGAGAAGCGCCGCATCATCGAGTCGTGTTTCTCCAAGCTCGACCAGGGCGGCCAGCTGGCAGAGAGCTACATCACCCATATCCGCATCATGGAGGACGCCGCCCACCCTTCCGCGCCGCCGCCGCCAGACAGCTCCGATGCCACCAAGAAGCCTCGTCTCATCATCATCGCGGTTAGAAACTCGGGGAGAGTGAGGATGCACAAGGCACGGGAAAACAACAACGGCAGCTTCAGCATTGGCAAGACATGGAACATGGAGGAGCTGTCAGCTATCGAGGTCTTCTCTCCGACTGCTGCTCCGCCTCAGTCTGAGAAAGAGCGCCAACATCGAGAGTGGGCGGGTACTGTGGGCTTCATAGTTACGATAACGAAGCCTTACTACTGGCAAGCTGGGACGAGCAAGGAGAAGGACTTCTTCATTGCCAGTGCAGTCAAAATCTATCGCAAATACACAAAGGGTCTAGTGCCTGAGCTGAAAGGGTTTGATGATAGGGAGAGGGCCATGATACTGGGCAACGTGCCAGGCCAGACGCAGCCACCCTCTGCGTTTCAAACAGCGCCTCCTGGTGCCCGTCAACCTAGCCATTCTCCAGTACCGGCACCCCCGCAGCCCCCGTTCGCGCAGAGGCCGCAGAGCAGAGAAGATAGTCGCTACAGGCAGAGTCCAGGACCACCTCCTAGCATGAGCGATGTCCGTCCTGGCAGCGGACCCAGCAGTCGGCGACCTTCTGAATCACCAGCCAGGTTCAACAATTCACAAACCCCTAATGCATTGCTACCTGGAGGTCCAAGAGCAGCGGCCAGTACCGAACAGATGCGCTCGAGGAGTGGCGACGAGCGGGACCTACATCATCCTCAACCTCGCCCGGGTACTTCTCCAGGTCCTCCTGGGATGCGCTCTGGCTCATTTCAATCCAACCAACGTGCTGGCGCACCTCCTCCTCTTTTGCCAAACCGGAATGGTAGCCCTGCCATGTCGCCGAGTGGACACCCCTCTGCACTCCGGCCGCAAAGTCCCCCAAAGCAAAGGGAGATGCAACCCATCGATGGCACTTCGGAAGAGAGGAAGATCAGTACTGCGTCGTCGAATGGTACCAAGGACGGTGCGAACCTCTTTGCGGCTGCGCGACAACGATTCATGGACTATCAGCCTCATCGAACTCCTTCACCGCCGCCGCAGACTCAATTACCTCCCTTGGATACCGAAAGCTTGCCGAAAGTCTCGCAGAATGGACATATCAAGACTCCTGTCGACGTGGGTCCCGACACTGCGAAAAGTGATTCGTCTGCTGGCATTGACCTGAACGATGCTGCGGCAGTGGGCGCCTTGACGTCTTACTGGGGACCTGAGCCAACTGCTGCCACAAGCGCGTCCGAAGAGCCTTCAAGTCCATCCACTCCGCAGCGCTCAAGGCATCGTCCGCAGGTAGAGTCCAAACCTTCAAAGAGTAGTATCGATCTCCGGCCTGCTCCACTGAATGCGACAAAGGCAACACCAGAACCTCAGGCTGAGCGTGCTGTGCCGCGAGAGGTCGAAGAGCCGGCTCCGTTGCAAGTACAAAACAAGTCAGAAACACAGCTGCCAATGCCCGGCGCCTTCTCGCCTGCTTTGCTGAGGCCGTCTGCGGACTCTAGCCCGGCTGAAACGCCTGATGAAGAAAAGGAAGAAGATGAGCAGTATCGTCCTGGGCTGGGGCCAATGTTCAAGAAGAGGGCCATCGCAGATCGTTTCAAGAAGGCAGCGCACACCGCGAACGCCTTCAAGCCACGACCAGGAGGAGCGGCCGAGAAGATCCTGCAAGCGAAGGCCCAGCGCGATGGAGAACCAGACGGGATCACAGGCGTTGTTCCCAGACCGGCGCGTCAGGGATTGAAGCAGGAAGAACCGCCTCTCACACCTGTAGAAGATCTTTCCGTCAAAGAATTTGCGAGGGAAGAGCCACCTGCGCTCAAAGTCAGCTCGCCCCAAACACCCAAGCAAGAGATCCCTCCACCTGCAGAAGTACGTCGCAGTGTTGAACTGTTTGATGATACTGCCCATTTACAGCCAGCATCGATACCGGAACCAGAGGAAACAATGGCAGACGAGGAGCCAGAAGAGATACAGATGCCACAGCCGCAGGTCAAGGTCAAACGACGAAGTGCTCAGCAAGAGAGGTACCTGTCGTCTCTCGGCATCGATCGGTCCTTGCTCGAAGGCAAAGGCTTGGACTTCGAAAACGTAATTTCCGAATTCGGATGGCAGAACGAGATCCTCCAGCCTAAGAGCCTGGCCGCAATGGAGCGAGACATTCGACGAGAGCACGGAAGATTGGAGGCCGGCTCCTGGCTCTCCCACGCAGATTCAGCACGCGAGGAGAGAGTGTCGCAAGTCGAAAGTCTTCTTGACGCTGCCATCGAAGAGTGTAATAAGCTCGACGGGATGCTGCAGGTCTATAGTCTTCATCTCGGCACACTGAACGATGACATCGCGTATGTCGAAGCACAATCCCAAGGTCTGCAGGTTCAATCCGCCAACCAGAAGCTCCTGCAAACCGAGCTACAATCTCTCATTGAGACGGTGTCTCTTGATCGCAGTGTAATGGAGCCGATTCGATATGGCGACCTTGCTGATCCACGGAGCCTCGAGGATGTAGAGACAAGTCTGATGCGTCTATACCAAGCAATGCTTACCATGGATCCATCTATAAGCAAAGCTGCTTCATCCCGACCCAAGTCACGCGGCGGCTATGGCGACAGCGAGACCGCGAACATCGCAGCCCTCAGGGACAAGAAGATTAAGTACGACCAGGAGGTCGGCGAGTTCTGCGAGCGGCTGTTGCAGTTCTTGGAGGCCAAGTTTGGAGCGTCGATGAACTCGGCCAAAACGCGTGTCCTGCGTGTGCCTAACAAAGGTGGACTGGCTAGACTCCACGGCGAAGCGTTTACCGAAGTCAGGAATGGCTTGTGGATGTACAGTCCTCTCATCCTGTTCATGAAAGAGGTCAACCTGCCCGCCTGGCAAACAAGCTTGCGAACGTACTACACACAGGCGGGTCTACTCTACGGAGAACCTTTCAAAGAGAATCTTGCCAACTGGAGGCGAACAGCTCGAGCGAGCACCGGCGACGAGACGGAGATCTTGTTCACGACTCAAGAGAAAGAAGACCCATCTGGCAACTCTGCCATCAGTACCGCCCGCAAATTGACAGTCAAGCGCTCGCAGACTCTTGCCAAGACACTTCGCAATGCTAGCGGCGGCGAGAAGCATCAAGCAACAGAACACAAGCAGCCTGGTGCGATGATGCGAGCGCAAGCATTCGCTGGTGCAGTCAACGAAATGGCGCCTCTGATCAGCCGGGAGCAAAACTTCCTCGTCGATCTGTTCCACGCCCACTCACTTGACAATGAAGAGCTCATGGAGTTGGTACAAGCAGCACCTCCTGCAGCCCGCAAAGCTGTCAGCCTTTCAGAGAAGAAGCCGACAGACCCCGACCGTAAGATGGCTGGGCTTGTCAACGCTACCATGGGAGAGATCTTCAATTTCTTCGCCAGAGAGCTTGATACATTGGTGAATTGGAGCACCTCTGACGACCCAGTCCAAGGAGTCGGTGTCCTGGCATGTCTCGGTCGGCACGCGTTCTTCTTGCAAGACAGCAGTCAAGAATACCTCCTACAGATCGTTAAAGACCTTTCCGACAAGCTGCAGCACCGATTCAGCAGGTTTGTTGACGAGCAAGTGCGAGCCATCGAAGACACAAAGGTTAAGATCAAGAAGCGAAAGGGTGTCATCGCATTCATGAAAATCTTCCCACATTTCTCTGCTGCAGTGGAGAATGTGTTTGCATCGGTCGCTACGAACGACTACGATCAGATGGCTGAGTGTATCATGGAAGTACGAACGATGGTGGACGACGCATACGAACGGATCAACCGAGCAATGTTTGATAGTCTCAAAGTTATCGCGAAGGAGAGTCCCGTCGCTGGCGTGCCTGCAAACAAGCAGGGCCATACTGGAGACGATCCAGAGGATAAGGAGATGCTCAACTATCACATCTTGCTGATCGAGAACATGAACCACTACATTGAGGAAGTCGACGATGGAGGGAGACCGGGCGTGCTGGCTGAATGGCGCGGAAGAGCACAGCTGGAACGAGCAGAGGCATTGGAAGGATATGTTCAAAGGGTCATTCGCCGGCCCTTGGGCAAGCTTCTCGTGAGTGGCAGTATTTTGATAGCCTGACTTCATTCACTAACGTATACATCACAGGACTTCCTCGAATCTGCCGAGTCAATCCTCGACACAAACCCCTCCAACCCAGGCGCCGTCTCCGCCCGTCCTTCGTACTCTCGCAAAGCTATGCGCACCATGCTGTCGCAACATGACAGCAAGGAAATCCGGCGCGGCATTGACACGCTTCGCAAACGTATCGACAAGCACTTTGGCGAGGCCGACGAGGAGGCTCTCTCCCGAGGACTGGTGAACTATGTCTGCAAGGAGTGCGAGAGGGCGTATGAGAGGGTTCTGGAGCGGACAGAGAAGCTGGTTAAGGAAGTGTACCCTCCGACTGAAGGCGAGAAGGATGTCGTGATTGACTTCTCGAGGAATGATGTTGCTGCTGGGTTTAGGAGGTAGAGTGCGATGGGTAGGGAGAAGAGAAAAAGGTGAGTTTGCGTGGTGTTTTGGCGGTTGGCAGGATATTGTTGTGATTGGGATTGACTTGATGACATCGAAGGGAGGAAAAGGCGCCCTCTTTGAGTCTTCTTCAACTATCACTAGAGAATCTTCGCAGGCAGGAGCTTCGATTGGTTGTACATATTCCTTCTTCATCAACGCAGTGGGACGTTACTGCACTCGTTCGTTACGAGGTTGGTCATTGATTGCTGCACCAGTCTTCCTAGAGACTTCGCAAGACTTCATCAGGACATCCAGATCGAACTCCCCATTCCATCAGCAGCAGAAAGAGGCAATGCACAACAAACCTTCAACTACATACTTCTCGGCAGCCCACATCATCATCGCACCAACCACACCTCCAAAACGACCTCCAAACTCATCACTGATCATCATTATCATCAATCAACACATTCCCATTCCCGCCCTTCCATGACATGTAGTCTATCGAAAAGCCCCCTCACGGCCCGAAATCACGAATCCTTCCACACCCACCAATCACCCATCTTATCGACACGTCTACGGCACTTCGACCTCGCTTCGACGATGGGAGGTTGAGAGGTACGCACGAGAATAGAAACACCACAGGACGGGACGTGTACAGCACCTTCTCTACTGCGACGGGGTTCTGCATGGCCTGCGGGGTTCGCTTGCTTGCTTGCTCGTACAGTACAGCACAGCACATGCTGCTCGTTTGGCTGAGGCTGGACTGGGCTGGCTGAAGCTGATGTCGGCACCCGTCTGGGCCAATATGCGCTGTGCGTTGTGCTCGTGCACGGCGTGGTCATTCATCGTCGGCCATGCTTTCGCCATGCGTTGAGTGGATGGACGGGATGGACGGTCGGTGTGTGGCGGGCCGTGACAGACAGGCGGAGTTGGGGCATGTAGGTAGCCGCTTCTTATCTCTCGCGAAGGGGGGTGCTGTTTTGGGGCGGGATGCCCATTTCGCCAAACAAGAGGTGAGAGGAGAGGATGGGAGGGGAGTGGGTGAGAGGCGCGCGGGAAGTCGAACAGCAGTCGTGAATAATGGCGACAGAGAAAGATGCAAGGGAGGGAAAGGGATAGGTCGCCGACACTCCAAATCTTTTCCTCCACGCCGCAGACACGCATGGTTGCGCCTGCCTCCTTCGGCGTCTACGCACAGTATGTGTTCAGTTGGAGAGAGAAGAGAGAAGCCGAAATAGACGGCGAACCGTAGCTTTCCCACGCCGCAGTTACCGCCTTGTTCATCTCATTGCCAACATTCGCTTCTTCTTGTGAGTTGAGCAATGGGTATCGGGCCGTGCAGAAAAGGGAGAAAGCAGAACAGGTGCACTACTCCGAGGAGATTGATTGATCGAGCCGGCATGTCCAAGAGTCAAGGACTTCCCTAGCAAGAAGCTTCGTTCACAGGCCACGAGCACGAGGTTCAAGGATATGGTAGGGGAAGGTATAGACTTTTTGTTCTGTGCGAACCCGTATTGCGTGCGTGCGTGCAGTTGCTGTTCGGGGCAGTTTGCATTGAACATACTAGTCGTAGGTGGTGTGAGGAAGGGAGGGGAGGAGATGCTGGTGGCAAATGATTGAATTAAAAGTATACAAGGTATTGATATTAGACTTCACTTGACTTTCGATGAAGCCGTTGGGTTGTACAGCAGTCAGTAGTTAGGCAAGCAGCATGCGACTACCGTATGTAGATGAAAGAGTCAAGCACATAGCCGTCGTCTACTACAGTAGTAGTCAGTGAATCGAGTATGGTGTTGCTCATCCCCATCTTCCTCTTTCACTCCGCCGAAAAGTCACATCTATTCATTCAGATTAGTCCCGAATCAAACAAACTGCAGCGCACCTCCAAAAAAGTCACATAGATTGAAACCCTCCAACCACCTCTACCCAGCATTTCGGACTTTCTCCATGTCGATCAGCATATTTACACGAGCTGAATCGCGGTCGCAGTGGCTGGCTGCTCGTCGCTGCTGTACCCGTCATCAACCTGCATATACATTTGCATACATCCGTCGTGGCACGCATGTGCATGCATACCATGCGTTGTTAAGAAAGGAAGCCGGGGTTGACTGCGGAGTGTGATGGTGATGAAGGATTGCCACCGTTGTTGTCCGACCCGAAATCATTAATTCATCATCGTGACTTGCAGGAGGATGCGTACCGGCGAAGTGGAAGGAGAAAAAGATGCGTTTCATTTCTAACGATGTAGCCGTTGAAGAGTGCTGATCTTGCGATCGCGAGTCAGGCGAGTTTTCGACGTTGTTACTATACGACGATCGTCATACGTACGATGCATGCTGGTGTACTGGTTGCAGCCGTTCCATCTCCAGATTTGCGCACGCGATGATGTGTTTGTTGTGGCGAACACAGGAATTGACTGTGTTGCGTGCTGCAAGAGCGAAGTTTGATGCGACTTCACCTCATCTTCGCCATCAATCACCAGTCGTCGCCAGTCACAGTAGTAGTGAGAAGAAAGATTATCGTGTATGTGATCGAAGTGGTTTTTCATACAATAAGAAAAGTGTAGCTGCAAAAGGGCTGGTATCTAATAAACAATTGTGTCCCTTGTTTGACGCCTCGTTTGGGCTCCTCCCCTCAGTAACGCCGTAGTAGTCGTAGCCATCACCATAACGCAATCACCAGGGATGATGGGTTTTCGATCATTCCTCTGGTGCCAATTTTTGACCAAGAATTAGCCGGTCCAAGAGTATCTCATGGCTCGAGCGGTTTGAGCCCCAAAAAAAAACATGAAGCAGCATTTTGCAAACGTGAATCAGAAATGAACGCGCTCTAGGTCCTGCGGAGGTACAGGACCAACCAGCCCAGAAATCTGTAGCCACAGATGATTCCGAGCATGATTCCAACCCACTTGCCGGTCTCGCCGACCTTGTAGCCGTAGTTCTCGAGCACGCCGGTGCCAGCAATCATGCACTGGTGGGCAAGTTCGGTCTCGTACATGCATGAGCATTCGCCTTGCGAGTTCATGCCGCAGGTGAAGTTTCGCTGGCCGAACTCGTTGACCATCATGCCTTGGAACACGTACGACTGGTAGTCGATGTAGTGAAAGACGTATCTAAAGAAAATCAGTGAACGGTCGAGACAGACATAATGTTTCGGAACTTACCGCCAGAAAGGGTTGAGTGTCTGAGGTGGAACAAGGAAACCACCAGTACACATCCAAAGACCGTTGGCGAAAGCGGTTCCAGCGAGCGCGACGACGAAAATGGGGATCAGAGAGCTGATCAGGACCACCAGAGACTCGGCGGCGATCAAATCCAGAAACAGCCACATGACCCAGGTGAAAAAGGCCTGAGCAGTCGGTCGAAAGTTGGAGAGCCAGTAAGCCACGATCGAGAAGAGCATGGCAATGAGGAACAGATAGGGAATGCCGGTGACGAAGTTGGCGAAAATGAAAGAGGTTGGTCCGTAGAGACCGTTGGCACGCTCCTTGATGAAGAGAGCGCGATCTTCCAGGAAGGCGGGGATGTAGGCGACGGCCATGAAGGACATGAAAGCACCACCAAAGAAGATGGCATTGATGAAGGATTGGATGTTGCCCTGGTCCGGGTTGAGACGCAGCCAGACCGTACCCATCATCACGGCCAGACCCATGTACATGGCAATTCGAATGCCATAAGCGATGATATCGCGGTAGGATTTGATGAATGATCGGTGGATGAGAGCAGCTGGAATGGCCAAGGCGCCGGCAGATTCGTCCTTGGTCTCGGCGTTGATGTCGGTGTCCATGGAGTTGCGAGCCATCTCGTCAGTGAGTTCAGTGACGGTAGCAGTGGCAAGACGAGACTTGTGCCACGACGAGTGAACCATGTTCAGCTGTTGGTCAACCTCGCTTCGATCGCGGGCAAAATCGGTGTTGACGAAGTCGATGATGAACTCTGCTGGGTTCATGTAGAGTGGAATGGGGAAACCACACGCATCGAAGTATGGCTGCACCTCAGAGACTGGTCCACTGTAGGCAGTGCCACCTTGCGAGAGGAGCAGCAGCTTGTCGAACATGGCGAAGGTCGAAGTGGAAGGCTGATGTATGGATGCAATGACGATTAGGTTGTGCTTCTTCGCAATGTCCTTGACGAAGGAGATGACTTCGAAAGAGGCGGCCGAATCCAGACCAGAGGTAGGCTCGTCCAAGAAGAGAAGTTTGGGGCTGGTGATCAACTGGGCTGCAACGCTGACACGACGCTTCTGACCACCGGAGATACCCTTCCTAATTGGAGTTCCGATCAGGTTGTTCGCCTGGCCCTGCAGACCGAATGCCGTGAGGAGTGCTTCAATGCGCTGGATGCGCTCGAGTTTGCTGACTGACTTGGGAAGGGAAAGGCGGGCTGCAAAGTTGAGTGTCTCGCGGACAGTGAGAGATCCGACCAGCGCATCTTCCTGCTCAACATATGCAGAGATGCGACGGAAAGTCTTGGGGTTGGCTGCTGAGCCGTTGATGTAGACGGCAGCCTTGACGTTGGCGGCGAGGGAAGCTGTCCTGTGTGCGAGGACGTTGAGGAGAGTCGACTTGCCGGAACCACTGTGAAGCTGTCAGTTGAGGTCGCCCTCGTGATTGTATCATCCCACGTACGAAGGGCCCATGAGGGCCAGCAGCTCGCCGGCCTTGACGATGCCATTGATGTCGGAGAGGATGGTCTTGGGCTGCTGCGACTGGCGGTCCTTGACGGTGACGGTGACGCCCTTCCAGCCGAAGCTGCGGATGTTGGTGTTGGTGAGCTGGGCGTAGTCGCCGCCTATCATCTTCTCAATGTCCGACATTTTGCTGTAGCGTCTGCGATCTGGAGTCGCAGCGTCGAGTTCGGTGGCCAGGTTGGTCGCGGGTGCAAGAGCACCGGGCAGCGTGTGTGGGGAGAAGAGAAACTAAGTGAGTGGCAGCACGCGGCGGCGTGAGTCGAATGGCAGCCCGTGCGAGTCCAACGCTGCGTGGTGAAGACGGCGGCGCAGGATGCAGCGGTTGAGGAGCGACACAGCAACGACGACGGCGACGACAACGGCTCTGACACGCCGACGCTGGGTGCGATCTCTTCTCGGTGGGCGGTGGTGGTGTCGGACGGTGTCAGTGTCGGTGGCAGCAGTCAGTGAGGAGGAGAAACGAGCGATGCGGAGCGGCAGAGTGTAATATCGATCCTCTCCAGGCCTGTCACACGCCGCAGGGCCATCCTCTCTTTACCGTCTTAGCGAGGCGGGCAGCGGGCAGGCCCTCGACAGCGTTTGCTGCACACGCCGACGCCTCTGCTCCCAACGACTGCGCCTGTTGCGCCCCTGGTGCCCTGCTCTAGAACCGCACACGCTGTCCGCCCGTCGTTCGTTGGTCTGCAGCGCGCGCAGGGGGTCGCGTCAGACAACCTTCAAACTTTACCAGGGTGTTCCCAGTCCTGAAACTGCACCGCGCTAGGCGAAAAGGGACGCTGCCACTGGCCAACCTCGCGCCCGGTACCTGCCAAGCCTGAGATTGCCTGCCCCACCGCCGCAACTCTGTTTCGACGCCATGCCCTGCTCGAGTCGTGCTCGCTGCAGGAGTCGCCAGGCACGCATCACAAACCACCAGACCGAGTTCCCAGGGCGGTTTCAGGGACCGTCGCCGTCAATTCTCGTCAATTCCAATCCGCCCGTTCGACCCTCGCCGTCAGCCACCTCGCTGTCATCGGCTACCTGCAGCGCCTGCTCCCCACCGGGCGCCCGTTGTCCCTCCATCCTCCACCCTCCAGCAAGTCGCGGACACGCCGTTTGGAGGCTTGTCGCGGCAAGCCACGCAGAGCTGTTCCCACTCCTTCCTGCCGTCTTCCTGCCGCCCTGCTTGCCGGCCCGTCAAGCTTCATTGGGAGATTATCAGCGCCCGTTCGGCGCTGCGAGGGGTGCCGTATGTGCCCCCGGCGTCTGGTGTGCAGTCTGTTTTGAGTTAAGCTCTCAGCCTGCAGCAAAGCATGATTAAAAGTCCGATGCTAGCTTCTGAGTGCCCGCAAATCCCGTCACCGCGCTCGCCTATTCCCCTGAGACATGGTATACAACGGCCCTATATCGACTCTGTCGATCACAGCAGCCCACGGCCACCCATCGCGATGCGAGGCCTGCTTGGGAATCTCCCCGCGGTCCTTGGCCCGCCGCTCGCCCGCCCCTCTGTGTAGCGCGCCAGCTAACCTGTCACACACTCGCCACAGTTCTGACGGCATTCTCCCAGCGCGCAACGCCGAGGCGGACTCGACCTCGCCGGCGCTGCGAAGTGACGGCTCGCTGGGGCCTGGCAGTCTGCGCAACCGTCCACGTTGCGTGCCCGTCGTCGGCATCTGTCCCTGATGTAGCAAGGTGAGCCTCCATCGACAGCAGTAGCATCATCGGCTGCCGACACCCGGGATACCATGGGAACACAGACGCAAGGTTGGGGTAATGGGCACTGGTTCGCTCTGATTCACTGTGGCGCGTTAATCGCTCTGACCTCGTCTGCGAATCGGCGAAGGTTTGCAGGCCATGGTAGCAGAGACTCGAGTCCAGCAACGACGTTCTGGGCAAGCAAATTTGACTCTCAGGAGAAGTGGCTGCTTTCCCACACGCCGGCACGCTGCTAACAGACAAGGCACCCCAAAAATGGAGGACCCGTGCACGGCTCCGCGCGGCTAGCAGAGGCATCCCAGAATACTCCTCGTCCAATTGCATGCCTGTGTCACTCGTCTGTCACTTTCCTGTTCTTACGTCGCCGTCTGTCCAGTCTCCATTCGCTTCGCCCGGCTATGGTATCACCTTGTCTGTCTGCTGCTGCTCACCTTTCCTGTACCCCAGCAGTAGCGGTGTTACACTCGCTCGTCCTGGCGTGGATCTTCACTTCTGCCTCTTGACGTGCACTGCCATCCTGATCGCTGCCGTCGCCGACACTCTCTTCCCGACCGGACTTCACCTCTTACTCGATCTCTTCCGTGTGCGCGACGTTTGGAACATGATTTGAACTGAAAACCGGCTTGGACTTGGATAGGCGGACTACTCCCTCGAAACATATCCCGCAATGGACATACCCGCCCACATACTCGATGCCGTCCAGACATCCGATTCTGCCTCGCAACAAAGACTCGAGATTGGCAGCATCGATTCACGACGATCACCAAACACATCACGTTTCCCGGGCGCGCTGTTCGATGCGCATTCTTCGGCCGAGGATGTATCAACCACCAGCGATTCCGATCACGGTCACGACTACCAAACCGACTTCACAACTCCCGCTCAGTCCGATTCAAGTTCAAGTCCTGATGACATGCAACCGGACGACGTTGAGGACTTCAGAGACCGCGAGTATCCGCAGCTGAAAGGCAAGACGTACCTGGATCACGGAGGAACAACTGTATGTCGATGAAGGTGACTTGGGCAGATCGCATCACACCACTAACATGCTTCCCAGCTGTACGCCAAATCCCTGGTGGAAGAGTTCTCAGCCGACCTCATCGCCAATCTCTACGGCAATCCTCACTCCGCGTCTACACCGTCCGCAATCTCTGGTCACCGCGTCGACGAAATCCGCGATCGGGCGTTGCGCTTCTTCAACGCTGACCCGGAAGAGTTCGACCTTGTGTTCGTGGCCAATGCCACCGCCGCCATCAAGATGATCATCGACTGCTTCAAAGACCACGCTGCCGCTAGCAACACTCCCGTGTGGTACGGGTATCACCGCGATGCACACACCTCACTTGTCGGCGTACGAGAATCAACAAAGATGCATCGCTGTTTCACCAGTGACGAGGAAGTGGACATTTGGATAAACAGTGGTGGGTTGGGAGGACCACGCGCGCGGCAACTGGGTCTCTTCGCTTATCCCGGGCAATCGAACATGACTGGACGGCGGCTGCCCTTGAGTTGGTGAGTGTTGGATTTTCTTTGAACGTGTTGTACGCAAAGACTGACGTTGCGCAGGCCTGGACGGATTCGAAAGTCGTTCCACAAGGCGGCCACTTACACCCTTCTGGACGCGGCTGCGCTGGCAAGCACGGCGCCCTTGGACTTGTCTGACCCTGCGACTGCACCTGACTTTGTCGCTCTTTCCTTTTACAAGATCTTTGGGTTCCCCAACATAGGCGCCCTGATCGTTCGGAAAGATTCGGCGCACGTGCTGGAAAGCCGGAAGTACTTTGGAGGTGGCACGGTTGAAATGATCATCGCCATCAACGACACCTGGCATGCCAAGAAGGAGACTTCGATACACGACCGCCTCGAGGACGGCACCCTACCATTTCATTCCATTTTCGCCCTGGATCACGCCATGAATGTTCACGAACGACTATACGGACCCAATCCCATGAAATTCATTTCACATCACACGGCCCAATTAGGACGGCAACTCTTCGACGGCCTTTCTGGACTGAAGCATGCCAACGGTGTTCCCGTCTGTCGGATCTACAAGGATGAGAATGCCGTGTACGGTGACCCGACTATGCAAGGTGCGACCATTGCATTCAACGTCCAACATCAAGACGCATCGCTAGTAGGATTCGAAGATGTTGAGGAGGCGGCAGATGAGCGCAGCATCTTTGTACGCAGCGGGTCATTATGCAACCCTGGCGGTGTGGCAACATATCTCGGCTGGTCACCAGCAGAGATGAAAGCAGCATACGCCGCAGGCCATCGATGCACGAATCCCACTCAGATCATGCTTGGGAAGCCGACGGGAGTGGTGAGAGTGAGTCTCGGCGCCATGAGCACATCATCAGACGTCTCGACACTCCTCAACTTCCTCAGAGAAGTCTACGCCTCCAAGACTGCCGACCCACGGACCATGACCGCTGCGATACACGCATCGAGTATCGTGGGCCCCAACAAGGAACTCCTCAGCAACCAAACGACCGCATTACCTTCCCTCAGCATACCGATACCGGAAAAGCAAAACTACCACACATCAATCGCCACTCCAAGTACAGCCGCTAGTATTAATACCACCGACACCAAATCCTGGGAATCCGGTGCCACAGCATTACCACAACCTAATAATCACGACCCCGATCGACCACGAGCACCGCCCTTCATACCCGCCGACTACGTCAAGCTACGAAAACCGTGGGAAGAGGAAATGCGGAAAAACGCCCAGAACTACGCCATGGAAATCAAAATTCGCGAATTGGAAGACGCCAACTCCTTCTCACGCAATCCCACGCCGAGTGTCAAAGCGAGGAAATTTGGACGGAGCGTCGTGAACCTCTTACGGACCAAGAGCCATTTCGCCGAACACAGGTACGAGCAACCCACACAATGATGAAACACCTATCATCATCCTTCCTCCACCCTCCTCTCCCGAAACAAGTGGCTCTTCTGCTGGACGTTCCTGGCCTCTAACGGATTTCTTCGGCGATTCTAGGCCATCACCAGCGCCAGCACCACCACAATCGCTACAGCAACAGTCGCCGATACAGTCACCACCAGCACAACACCTGGCCACCGCGCCACCGTCTCCCCTCCCGCCTCTAGTGGAGAAATCCTCCTCGTCACATCTATCATCACAACATCACCACCGGTCCCGCAACAGCCTGGAGCGACAACACATCCAAAACGTGGTCCAGGCGTTGGGGTTGTGATGGGACCACAACACTCACATTCCTACTTTTCTCGGAGCATCTCGGCAGATCTTCTTTTCAAAGCATGGCGTGCATTTACAATATTTACTACTACTTACGTCGATCGAATATTTCTTAGTGTGTCAATTTTCGAACCCGATCTCCACGAGAGGGAGATCTGGTCCGGAACTTTTGTGGCGAAACATTTTGGGTATCTGAAGCATGGCGTTACTACGGAGCGAGAGAGAAGGATCTGATGGAAAGGAGACGATGGATCACATTTTCTGCCTGTTTTTGACGATCTACTTGTGTGTTTCACCTTCGTGTGTTGGTGGGGATTTGTCTCCTTTCTGAATGATACCAAAGCTTGCGATATCTGATTTTTCTTTTGGGGGATGAGACCGATGGGGTCCACTCCAAACAACATCAACCTTGTCTATACGGGGGATTGGGGCGGTAGGGGAAGGAAGGAAGGCAGCAACATTGGGCATCGTGTTCGGGGAAGATGGGAAAAGGAAATACTTGGGCGAGTGATTTGATGGAGACGAGTACCGACTCCACGGTCGTCCTGACGTCGCACGGCACCATCGAAGGAAAAGAGAAGAAAGAAGACTCTTTGTAAATAGGCGCGAAAAGAGCAAAAAGCGGCATGCATGTGATTATGCCCTACTACGGCCAGAAAAAGAAAAAGCAAATCTTCCAACCGACTTCCACCTATCCATTCTCACCTCCCGCGATTCAAGCAAGGAAACGGGCAAGGGAAAGAAAAGGCTACCCACCGGCCAACGAAAACACGACAGTACACCATGAGCTGTCAAAGCAGCTAGCCGTGTCGTGCGTGGTTTTCGTCGTGCTGCCATGCAGCTCGCCATGTCCAACTCACACGCAAGCACATGATGACAATATACTCGACACAAAGAGGCGTGGAAGTGGAAGGTAAGGTGCCGACGGACGGACACGGATACAGCGTGGCGTTCGTTGTATGGCGGCCACGAGTCATATCGGTGATTTGCATGCGATATTTGATGGGACTGTGACTGCACAATGGGGTTTTTGCTTCTCTCTGATGCAGGTGTCCTTCCGAAGACCCGGGAGGGGAGTGGACGCCACTTGTGGGACGTTTTGGACGAGAGATCTATCAATCAAAGATGGATGGTATCGCCCGGTTTCACATCAGTCGCCATGATGACAACTAGCGATTCCTCGCGAATCGATCTACTGTACCTGCCGGATGACACAAAGCGAAGATGTGCCATACACGCAGCCAAGGCTGTTTCGATCAAGTAGGTGCGTGGATGCGTGAAAGAAAAAGCCGTGTCACAATAACAACCACCACGCCGCACCAGGTGATGTCGGCACCCAGTACAGCCTTCGGCACATCCGGCCCGGGGGGATGCAATATGTACCACACGACCGATGACTGACTGACCTGACCTGACCAGGTAGGTGGGTAGATGCATTCGAAGCATCGTGCATGCATGCATGATGCGGGCATGCGGCGTCGTGCAGGGTAATTGATTTATTTGTGCGTTCCTTCCTTTGAAGGAAGTGGAGAAAGGTGGAGTTGGTGCTGGTGGTACAGGATACGATGGAGACCTTTGAGACATGGGGGCTGGTCACTGGTTTGTGCGACCTTTGAGTCTCGTGATGTTGGGTGGCGGGTGGTTACACGGTGAGGGAAGGGAGGGAATTTTTGTTGGTTGGGTGATGCATGCGGTCGACGAATCCATTCTCGTAGGTATGGAAGCGACTGAAGTCAGTTCTTCCAAATCATCAATCACACCTTCCAGTTCCGCGAGCAACTACTCCATCCACAACCTCCCAAAATCCATAATCCATAAAGACTTGCGTCAAGAAACTCAGTGCACGTGGCCAAAAACGGCCAAAATCCCATCCGCGATGCCAACTCCCTCGTCAAAATCAAACTCATCAAAAAAAGACTTTATCGAAGGCCAATGTCTCCAAGTTTCAGCTCGCCCTTTCCAGCACTCTCGAGTCGCCAGCCAGGATAGCATGCCTCTCGAATTGGAAATGTTCCCTGACTAGCCATGCTGGACTGCCTGTATTAGGAAGGCCTGGTATTACCTCCCCGGGCGTTATGTCCATGCCCATGTCCATGTTGAAGAAGAAGCTTCCCGTTCGATTGCCTTCTTTCAGAAGAAGCCCAAACCAAGGCCCTATAAATCTCAGCCATGGGTATGCGCGGGGAGGTAAAGCCGCGCAAGGGGTGTTTCAGGGTCGTGTTTGCCATAATGTTTCTAGGTGAGTAGCGAACCAGGCCATTGCAGATCACTCCAGATGCCGGAGAAGTTCGCATGAGATTCTTGATGCTAGGATGAGGATGAGGATGCAGCCCTTGATGATGGCTGCCTGTCTGCAGAGACGAAAACCAAGAAACCTCGTTCACTTGGAGGCCAAGAGTGGACCCGCTCAGACGAGACTTTACAGCTTGTCAGTTTATTGCTTTCTCCTCGTCGGTACTATACCATGTTTGATGTCAATACTATAGGCTGATGTAGATCTTACGACTGCAAATAGACGACGTGATGATCGCCGAAGTTTCCAGACAGGCGGCGAATGCACATGTGATGGATGATGAGCCCGACAGGTCGATTCAGCCAGATCTGTGGTTTCTCCGTCCGTCCATCTACTTGGGAATTGCTATCTCTCGAGTTGTCTCGACGCGATGGGTCTTGGGTCTTGGGTCTTGGGTCCGTCTTGATTCGAGATTGATTAGGTCTTCTATATTGTGGCGTCTATCAGATCTCATCATCATCTCTGCTCGTCATATGTACAAGGCGTCAGTCAATGTCATGAACCTCATCAACTCAGCCGTTTCAGTCGTGCAATTTACGTAGGGCTCTTACGACAGGCTGTCGAGATATTCGGCCGTGATTTGGCCGGGGTGGATGACAATGCCAGGTGTCGAGTTGGTGACGGTCCCGTCGTAGTCGTTGCCGTTGCCAGGCGCCGTGATGGTGTAGTTTGCGAAGCAGGCGAATTGGTAGTTGGCGAGTTTTGCGGCCTCCTCTTGGCTGGCGATGAAGTCGTCCATTGGGCAGAGACCGTCGATTCGTCCTTCGCACTGTCCGCCGCGGATAGTGTTTAGGGGAATAATGCCGTTGTTCAGGCGCATCTGAGAAGGGGGCGTTAGCTTGGAGGTCGAATGTAAGTTGCGTACTGTTCTTTGGTACTCACTCTGATGAACTTATTCGGGGCGTTTGACTTATCGTAGCCGTACTGTGTTGGGTAGTACTCTGTTCTCTGCTCAAGTTCAGGAGTAGGATCGGAGTCTGTACGTTGGAACAATGGTTAGCTACCCTGATCACAGCGCAGTCTATTCCTTTGATTCACTCTTACCTGCGCATCCAATCACCTCAGTATAAAGACGAGCACCGAAAGGCGTCAGGTGGGACAAGATGAAGTGTCGGTCAGGATCTGGAGGGAATTGGGTCAAGCTGGGGTGTTCTCTGAAGTAGTCCACCGACATCGACGTCAAGAGGGAAATAATAATGTCGTCGTGAGTGAAGTCCGCATAGAATGGTCTGTCCAGTGGAAAGTCCTCAGGGTTGTTCGTGATGGTGTAGTTGACGCTGCTGTTGCTGCTGGTGATGTATTGCTTTGTGAGTCGGGCCAGGAGCTCTTGTTGGTATCCAAGACCTTGAGCACGTCCAGTTGGGTTGCCCTGAACAGAGTTAGTACATCTCTCTTGCCAATTCTCATGCAGATGGTCATCTCACCCAGGCGTAGTCGTAGTAGTACTCGATGTCCAACGTGTTCTCGAAGCCAGCCCACTCATCTTCGGTGAAGAGGTTGCAGAAGTCGCTTTGACCAATGTACCCATGCTCATAGGCGCAAAGAGATTGCATAGCATACTGTTCAGTAGGTCAGTAACTGTGATCTGCTTTTCACTCGTGTACTCACGGTGTCGTTGACGTTGAACTTGAAGCCAGCTGGTACGAACTTGTTAACACGGGCGGTCGCCTCCTGAAGGTACAGCGGCACGTATTGATAGAAGAGGTCGTTATCACCCAAGTATCTGTGAACAGAAAAGGCCACCGTTAGCGAATGTCTTTGGCACATGGTGTGGTTTCCATCTTGTGATAACATACGTGATGGGCGAGATAACGTCCTCGAAGCAAGAATCGTACGAGGCAAGGGTGTTGTTCTCAGTCCCACCCTCTGGGATCACCACAACATCGAATAGAGAACCATTGGCGAAGGCGCTTAGCTTTGGATCGGACGTCTCGTAGAACGAAGGACCGAAGAATCCCAACGACCACGAGATTTGCGAGTTCTCGATACGGCTCTGGCCCGTGGTTCGAAGCACCGGCTTGGGACGAGCAGTCCCATTGACGTAGGATCCATTGTACTGGACCTGTCCTACAGTGGCATTGTAGAGAGTCCTGCCGTAGTAGTTCCAGAATTGCACGCCCGAGGCAAATTCGGTAGCAGCTCCAATACCAGTCAGGTAAGACTCTCCCATCTGATACTGGTAGGTGTTGAGGAACGCGAGAGGGCCTGTGAAGGAGGCATTGGGGTGGGCCTTTGTGAAGTTCTCGACTTTCTGAGCGAAGCGCTCATCGTTCGTGCCGTCGTCGAAGGCTGAGGTTGGGAAGCGTTGGGCGTGGCGATGGAGGACATGGACCTGCTCGACTTGACATTTGTCTGGGAGGCCGACGAAATCGACACCAAAGTAGTCGGCGGCATTATCACGGTACGTGGAGATCTGGCCTACGAAACGTTACACAGAGCCATCACTGCCATTGGATCGGTCTGCCTCACCCCAGTATTGGGAAATCTCGTCGATATCGGTCAACAGAGTCTGGTCCAGCTTCTGCCTTCGCTGGCGAGGTGCAGCAGCAGAGACACTGCCAGCCAAGGCGGCAATGGCAACGATGGAAGACGGGACAAGCATTCTTGCTGGTATGGAGAGCTCGTGGTACCTGCAGCAACAGCTCTGGGCAGGGTTGTGAGCAGGAGGGCTTGGCTTGGGTCTTTTAAAGCTATCCAAACATCGGCCAATGCCCCAACAGTTCGCGAGCGAGTTTGCGTGGCTTGCGGCGGTCAAACCTGGCCCAATGCCACGCTATCGCAGGCCAACGTGCCGGCAGTATGACGGCGCTGGGAGACGTCATGGTATGGCTTCGTAGCGGCGGGAAGCGGGGTGTCGGCCAAGCTAGAGCACGTGTTGACAAGCATTGGCATTGGCGCGAAGTGAGGGATTTGTGCCTTTATTGTCGCCTGAGGCATCAAAGTCACGTGCTGACTCCATCTTGGTCGTCCCCGCGTAACTCCAGCCAACCCCAAAGCCGAGTCTAAGCGCAATGTATAGCTGTCTGACGATGCCCACGGAACAGCAAATGTCTTCCCATCTCACACGACAGACACAATGATGCGGCCAGCATGTAGTCCCAGGAGCCTGGCCTCACAGATCTTGCCATCAATACGAAGACACTACGCCTCTCATCCGCCCAAGGCAAGACTAAACATTCCAACCGACTACGGCACAACTCCTCTCCTCCACCACACCTCCAAAGCCGCCCTCGCCAACCAGGAGCTCTCCCAAGAAGCACGAAATGGGACCACAGACAGAAAGAACCTCTTCCAAGCCATCAACTCCGCCCTCTCCCATGCCCTCCGCTCTGACCCCCGCGTCCTCCTCTTTGGCGAGGATGTAGCCTTCGGCGGCGTATTTCGGTGCTCCATGAACTTGGCCTCTGAGTTTGGCGACCACCGCGTATTCAACACGCCTCTCAGCGAGCAAGGGATTGTAGGATTCGCCGTGGGAGCTGCCGTGGAAGGGATGAGACCTATCGCGGAGGTTCAATTTGCGGATTATGTTTTCCCTGCGTTTGATCAGATCGTCAATGAGGCGGCCAAGATCCGGTATCGTGCAGGAACGAATGCTGATGAACAGGCTTGCGGTGGAATGGTGATACGGATGCCGAGTGGTGGCGTAGGCCACGGAGCCCTGTATCATTCTCAGTCGCCAGAGGCGCTGTTCACACACGTTCCAGGCATGAGAGTCGTTGTTCCAAGATCCCCCGTACAAGCGAAGGGACTGCTTCTCGCAGCCATCGAAAGTCCAGACCCAGTCATCTTCATGGAACCCAAGATCCTCTACCGAGCCGCCGTCGAGCACGTCCCAGCGGAAGCCTACACCCTCCCTCTCAGCAAAGCCGAAGTCCTGAAAGAAGGCAAAGACGTAACCATCATCTCCTACGGCACACCGCTATACACCTGCCAAAACGCCCTGGCGGCGGCAGAGAAGGACCTGAAATGTTCCGTGGAACTGATCGATCTCCGCACCGTCTACCCCTGGGACCGTCAATCCGTCATGGCCTCCGTCAACAAGACAGGCCGCTGCATCGTCGTACACGAGAGCATGGTCAACGCTGGCGTAGGCGCAGAAGTCGCAGCCACCGTTCAGGAAGGATGTTTCCTACGACTGGAAGCCCCAGTGCAGCGTGTGGCGGGCTGGTCGACGCATTCAGGACTGGCATATGAGAAGTTCCAGATCCCGGATGTCACGAGAATATATGACGCTATCAAGAACGTCCTGGAATATTGATGATCCTAACCTGGTATGATGAACATCCGCAACCGGGTCGTGGTAAAAGTCCAGCCACGACATCTGCGAAGGACAGATGAAAGCGTGGGAGCACAGGACCCGATCTTCAACCAAGAGAGACACACACATTCTTACGTCGCAGCCTCATGATCTCCAAACGCCGCCCCTCATAGCGTTTGTTCACGTCTGAGGCCACATGCAGCAAGTCATAGATGCGCTTGTCTCATATACAGAAGCAGCTTCCATTTGAGATGGCACATTTATGAGCGTCAGGTCTCACCGCTCGGACAGGGGCTGAAAAACAGCAAGGCTTACCTTACTGTATCCTGAAACGCGGATGAGGTTCCAATGCCTTTGCTTCATGAGGGGAGGCTTATATTGAGCATTCCCATCTACGTCGAAAAAAGAGATACGATCAACTTTCAGGTGTGGTCTACCGGGGAAGGAATAACATAGATATCTCTCAAGCTACATTGACGATGAAAAGAGATGTTCTGCTTCGTCCGCATGATTGTCTGCAAAAGTGCAGCATCTATCGTATTCGAATCTATCGCGTGTGGAACATGTGACTAACAAAACATGTACAAGAACAAAAAAGCACAGCGTTGGGTCTCAAAGACGACGACGGTGGAATCGTATATCGTCTCCCAAAACCTCGCAGGCTCACTTCTGCTGCTGCTGCGCATTCGTATTTGCACCACCATTACTCTCGCCCCTGCCCTTTCCCCCTCCTTTCCCGCCTCTAGAAGACCGCCCACCACGGCCCTTGTTCTTCTTCGAAGCCTTTGCTGCGGCCGCAACAGCACGCTGTTCGTCCTCTTGCACGCGTCGACTCTCCTTATCCCACCACTCCTGGAATTCCTGCTCGGCCTGAATTTCCTGTAAGTCCCGTTTCGCCGCGGCTTCCTTGATGACGTCCTTTTCGGCTTGCTGCTGGGCTACGATCTCGGGCATGCTCAAGCCCCAGACTGGCTCTACCGGTGGTTGGTGGCGGATCGATTGAGGTATTGGCTTGCTGTTGGTGAAATGGGAGACGCTGCCTGCGGCTGGTTCTTGGGTCTTGCTTTCGGAGATGCTTCGATTCTGCATGGGAGGATGTCCAGGGCCGATGGCGGTTTTCGAGGGAGGAGCAGCGGACTTCTGGTGAGCAACAGTCTGCCGCATGGTCAGCTGTGGCGTGCTTGAAGATCTAATAGCAGCAGCGTCGTCTCCTTTCCCGGAAGCCTCGCTCTGAATGACGTCTTTCAGACCAGGACGCTTTCCTGTGGCGACCGTCTGCCATGAAAATGGCTTGTTGCTCGTTTGCGGGTCGCCACCGTCGTCAGAACCGCTTGATGCATGCTGTTGAATCTGCTGCATCCGCTTTCGATCTTTCTGTGACATCTTCGGCCCCGGCAGACTGAACGGGGCAGGCACATCTGACAGTGGTGATCTGGAAGACTGGAGCTCCTGCGCTAGAGTTGAATGACGCGTGGAAGACGCTGCTTGAGCCATGATGTCCTTCATGTCGGTCTTCGATGAAAGAGGTGTGAGGCTCCATGGCTTGCCGGTGTTTGGTGGCGTCTTGCCCGCCATGTGCGGCGATTTGGGCGTCCTTGGAGTAGCTGCGCCGGGAGTAACAGATTGTGGTGCCAGCCTCGGTGAAGGTAGGACTTTACCGCGAGCGTCATACCACAGATCTTCGGGCGGAGTCTCCTGAGGTATTGGATCCAATCCACGAGGGCTGGACATGGGTCGAATTGCTGGAGACTCCCTAGGCGAGTAGGTACCTGTGCCGAACTCTTCGTCCATCTCAAACATCATATCCCTTGAGGACGCCTTGGCCTTGAGCGAAGGCCGATCCGTGTCTGCCTTAACCGCAGTCGAAGACCTCCTACGAGCCTTCTGCTGCATCGGTGAGGCAGCAGGATCTTCACCAACTGACCCTGGCGCGAACGTTGCCATGTTACTAAACTTTGATCGAAGTGTTACCGAGTCAATCTTGGCTTGTCTGTTCCGCTCGAGGATGGAGACGAGCTCGGGATGACGTTCCATCAACATCCGCTCAGCACGACCACTCTTTGCGAATGGCATGCAGGCCAACTGGTTGGCTCGAACCACGTCGTCGAGCTCAATTAACAGGTCCTCATCCAGACTGTTCAGGTGATGGCCTTGAAGCATAGCCTCGAGATTGAGGCAAAGATACTCCAGGCCAGCGTCCTTGAACTCGCGTACCGAGCTTGGAGAGATCGCATTCAGCAAGTCGCAGACATTGCGTACGTTCACGAATCGTCCAATGATAGCCTGAGCGATCTGCGAGAGGCGATCAAGCATAAGCTCGTTGGCAGCAGACAGCACATCCAGGACAGTGTCCAGGAATTCATCGGTGTCGACACTGACGATGTCATCAAACAGCTCAGCTCCGGTATCACAGTAGACATGGCGAAGCACCATGTTGAAGGTCTTTGATGAGATGTGTTTCAAGTCGACGGTGACCTCCTCGTCTTCGCCTCGACCAGCCAGCCATCGTCCGCCGGCGCGGCCCATGAAGAGCCCCTCGAAGAACGGACACCTAGCGCACATCAATGCACTATGAACCTTGACTTCGCCATCTTGCAGCTCAACAATCACGTCGCAATCGTAGAAGTATGCAGGATCTTTGAAGGCGAGTTCGAGGTCCATGTCCAAGCACGGCCGTGGCTCTACCATTTGCCGGACTGCAGGCTCAAGCCTTGTCAACTCCAACTTGGTCGCGAGTTTCATCAGCTCGGTTCGTACTTGACGATAGCTATAAGCCATCTTGGGAGCGCTGCGAGTAAAATGCCAGAAGTCGACAAAAGCGTCGCTGTACAAGTAGATGGCTAGATCGAGCACTGTAAGTATATCCATGCCCTGGAACGTCACAACGGCTTTGCCTTCTTCGTCAAGCTCAGACACGGCCAAGTCAGGTATCGTGAAAGTGCTGGTCTCACAGAGATCTCGGAATCCTCGGCGAAGGACTCGGCTTCGTCCAGCCAACACGAATCTGTGCACTGGGATCTTGACCTCGGAGGACGTCGTCGCGAGATATGCGTCGTGTTTAGACTCCGGGTCGGGATGTTCAAACACTCTCTTGAGATCAGCATCGATATCGGCGCTTCCAATGACGGCTTTCTTCAACATCGACAGCTCATTAGGCCTCTTCGTGCCCTGCCAGAAACGATGCTTGACCTCGTCATTGTCACTTTCGGTATGCCCATCGATGAGCCTGCCCAAGGAGAGGAGTGGGAACAAATCTTTCCATAGGGTTGGATCCTCCACGACCACCTGCGTTTGCAAGACGTCGCAATCGCGGCGAATTGCGGCATAAGCTCCATGCCCAGACGCTCGCACAGCCAGTACACGGGTCAGTCCAGGGACTCGAGAGTACTTGTAGTCTTTTGGCTTGTATTCTGAAATGCCCGAGGCAGAGGCGTCTTTCGTCGTAGCACGCCTGGTCCGCTTCCACACACTCCCTTCTTCCGTGGTGAGAACGATGCTCCCATCAGTGTCAAGTCCAACATCTCGTGCAGCCATATTGCTTTTCTTGGGAGACCATATGCGTTGAGGCTGTGTGATGGCACTGCGAATCTTCGTCGGATTCGTGGTAGATGTGGTCGCCTGGTTATCTGTTCGCTGATTGATGGAAACTGTATAAATCTCACCCCGGCTTGACAATGCACAAATGGTGTCGCCTTCGGCTATCACCTTGCAGACCCTGTTTGGCGCCGAATCGTAAGTGGTCACAAGGAAGCTCTGCTTCAGAAAATAGTTCGTAAAGCCTTCCAAAGGAAACTGGACCTTGGCGTATCCGTAGTTTGCGAAAACCCAAACTTCATGATTCTCCAAGAGACAGACGGTAGCTCTATCGATAGCAGTAACCGCTGCAATGGGGGAGCTGAAGAGAGAAGCCGCCACTTTGCGAGGCGTGATCTGTATGTCGAGCGATCGTGCATCAGAGTCGACGATGCCCAGCTGTCCGTCATTCTTTCCCATGACATAGAGCGATGTCGAGCTGTGCGCAACTGAGTGTATTCGAGAAGCTGCAATACCCATAACAGTCTCGCGCTTGAGCGGACCGAAGATCTGGCGTGGTATGGTACTGATGGGCTCTTCGTCGTTGGAGGTCTTCGGAAGACTGTAGCCAAGCTGACCATGTACGTTATTGCCCCAGGAGAATATCTCACCCTCGTCGGAGAGTGCCAGTGTGTGATTCAGTCCAAGTGCAACAGTAGCAACACGCTTGCCAGCAAGCGCTCCGCCCTCAACGCAGACGAAGTGAAAGCGAGTGCGCTCGTCTCCAGTACCAAGTCGACCGCCTTGACCATGGCCACACATGTACAGGTTCGCCTCTGGATCCTTGGTCAGTACGGCAGTGTGGAGCTTCGACATCTGGACATCCTGTATGTCAAGGGGCTGGGAACGCGGCATCCAAGGCATATCCTCTACCCACATCGAAGGTACAGATGATGCTTTGGATTCGTATGAAGGGTCGTATGGTGCCCACTTCTTTTCGTGCTCCTCCAGGTGTTCTTCATAGAATCGCCGCAGAAGATGTTCAGGCCTGCGCACCGACACACGCTCGGGAAACTGGCGATCGTCTTGATCACCAAATCCAAGTGACACATTCCTGTTACTGCCAAAGTGAAGTAGCTGATCGCCGCGAATATCAATGAATGGTACACGAGTAGTACCGCTTCCATCGTGATCCGTGGTGTCGGCGCCAGGACGTTCCTCGTCGCTGCCAGTCGACCCAGAACGGGGCCGTCCAAATGCTTCTGGCCGCAGAGTGCGGTCTTTGATGGTGGAGGCGTACAGGTCGAGTGGACCGAGTCCTTCCTTGTCCTTGACTTTGATGAGGGACAGTGTTTGGTGTACATTGCCTGTTATTTTGCCAAAGGTGGCGCTTGTGTCGCGCTCCAGGATCAGGCGAGCGATTGTGATGTTTCCAAAGTAGAAGGCGCGATGTAAGGCTGTCCAGCCGTTTTCCAGGTCCTGAACATACAGGTCTATAAGTGGATGCTCGATGATCGCACTAGCAAAACCAATCGCGGTGTCCGAAACTGACGATGCTGCATGATGTAGCAAAGTCAAGCCAAGTGAGTCCCGCCAGTTGATGTCGGCCTTGGTCAAGACGATGCCTGCGCCTGTTGGCGTCGCGGGAGTAGCCCTGCGGCTTCTCCCAGCTATAGGCGATGTACCATGCTGCGCTGGACTGGCTATGAAGGCGTTGTGTAGTGTTGATCCTCCTCTTGCCGCGTGCGGGCGCGCATTGTAGGCCGCGGTCTCCAACAACTGCCGAAAGGTATCGACATCATCTTCATAAAAAGCTTTCCACAGAGAGCTGCTCATAGGCCGGAGATGTGTTCACGAAGGGAATATCCCGCTGACTTCGACAGACGCACCTCGCTGTGACCACGCGGGATCACGGCGTGTTTAAAGGCGCGGGGCGAAGTACGTACGGGATGAGTCCCACGGAGAGAAGAGAGAAGGAGGTTCGACTTCCTTCTGATGCGACCAGGGGCGCGTGTTTCGTGCGTGTGTATTGGCTGAGGCAGTGGTCGCTCGTGCGGAAGTGGTGGTGGGCAGAGTGCGATGACTGTTCTCTTCGCGTTCGCGGGTGGCGACGAGGGGGCGATGAGTCTTTGTGGAGGGCGGTGTTGCTCGACTTTGTCGCGAAGCTGACTCGACGGCGTCAACAGCGGGGGACGGTGATCCAACTGTTTATGAGAAGAGACGCGCCAGGTGTTCAATGTTGATGGTGCAGTAGTGGTGATGGCGCATGCAAGCTGCTCGTCATGTCGTGGTCCCGCCCGGGAAGCAGCAATGGCGGGGTCCTGTCTCTCAACTCCGACCTCTGCCTGGCCTATCGTGTCACCATGTGCTTAGCAGTGAGCTTCACTGCCGGTCACTCATCGTTGCTCACTAGGTATCAACGTGATCTCAGATGACCGTCTCACATTCAAAAGCTGGCTAATCGCGGCAGGCGACAAGGAACCGTCATCACGAGGACTTGGAACGAGTGGAGTATGGAAAACAGTGCCCAATGATGAAGGGCAGTATCGCATTCACCTACGATCCTGGTATCTCGATTGGCCGTCTGCCTTCCATCTTAGTGTATGTCTCCCCCTCTCAATCTCTCTCATCAGGTCGACCGCAGTGGGTCGGTTGGCCCAGTCCCAGTTCATGCAACACGAGATGATGTTGTTGAGTGTGAAGGAGTACCGGCTTCCGCATGGCCTCTCAGCCAAGGTCATGTCTGGTATACGGATCAAGTAGCACATGGCCTGGATGACAGCCCCTGCTTGCCAGATGTCAGTACACTTGCCAAGGATCGCCGCAAAATGCTGGTTGGGGTGGGCTTCTGGTGGTAGCCAAGCAGAAGTGCCGTATCTCTGGATGGCGTTATGTGCTTCTCCCGACTCCACCTCTACTCGACTGCTCACGCAGCTGAAATTGCCAAGCACTACCCGTGGGTATGCTGTGTCTTGAGAAGATAGCCATATATTGCCAGGTTGGACGTCGAAGTGATAAAGCGTGGCCCAAGGCTGTACAGTGATCAGGCTTTGCGCATCGCTCAAGCCATAGTGACACATGCACAGAGCTGAGACTAACGACGACAGCACGTGCCAAGCGAAGGCTTCAGGAGTCGACTTAGCCTCTCGAATGTAGCGGTTGATGAAGTCTTCCAGCGTACCGCAGTCACAGTACTCTGTGATCATGCTGCAATAGATAGAACATGGTTCGAAGAAGGTCTCGAAGATGCCGATGGTATGCGGTGACGATCCCGCGTGCTTGATCTGCCACAGTGCCTTGCTTTCGACGACAGCGCGCTTTCGATGGTGATTGCTCGAGATATTCCATCGCTTCCGAACGAAAAGCTCGGCGGTCTCGACATGCTCAATCAATGAATGATCCATGTCGTGGTTCGTGTATCGCGAAGATCCTTCTCGCAACGGCCTGATCATGAGGAATCCGGCCTCATTAGTGACGAACGTTCCGAAACGCTGCTCATCTTGCGCTTTTGGCTCGTCATGGAGAATCATGAAGCCCTGTTTCGGTTGGAGAAGACGTGCCGGCTGAAAGTAATGTTCTTGGTAAGAAGCCTTGTCCTGCGCCGACGCCGTTCTTTGCATATTCCTGGGTAGAAATGTCCCTGACTCGACCAGACGAGGTGTCTGAGACTCTGGAACTGCGATTTGGGGCAGATAAGGCGTGACAGGGTACGGTGGTTGGTCGCCCGAGTGAGTGGAATCCATTGTATGTATTTGACTGTCTCTGTTTCCAAACTCATGGCGGCGATATCCGAGTTGTGGTGCGGCTTTGATACTGATCTCAGCTGGAAATGTAAGCTCCATGCCATGGTATGGTTGTGGCGAGGGAGTCTTTCGAGGCTCTTGTGAATGTCGAGGCCAGTCCGGCATCCAGGCAGCTGGAGTATAAGGCGCCATGTCTCCTTGTATGCTGATGCTCCTGGACCAGACTTGGGATTGCCGACGGAAATAGGGATATAAATAGTTAGCAGAAGGACAGATGAACGCACCACCTACATGTGCCCTCGAGGTCCCGTCTTATGAAAGGCATCTACGCGCGTGCTGTGAACGCCGTGCGCCGACGTCTTGTGAAGATGGCAGATCTCGCAGCATTCTAGATTCAGATGTTCGCCGAGATCCTCTGCTCAATTGCTACTGAGCGTGTTGCATTGCTGCATGTGAAGGTGTGCGAAAGTGAGGCAACAGAGGAGCGTCCCGTCTCCGAGTGTTTCGCTAGCGGCGCACGGACGCCGCTGGCAAACAGGTCGAAAGTCAGAGGCACTTTCAGAGCAGTCCATCATCACCCTGCCACGGCGCCTTCTTCTTCAATCATCACCTCACTACTGGCCACATCCCCCATCGGCCCTCAACGCATTCCATCTTCGCCGTCGCCTCGATCCATCGCCGTGCGCGCTTGACGCTTTCCCAGCTGACCCCCGAGACCCGCACTCCATTTCGAAGTTTCCACACCAGAGAGGCCCATGGCTGTAAGTCTGGACACTCGCCCGTCGACCCTCCGCCCGCAGAACATTCACTCACCCGCCATGCAGCAACAACCTCCTTCGCAGCCCCGCGCCTATTCGCAAGCCTACCTCCCAAATGGCGCGGCACCCCAGCCTAGCGGCCCAGTCCCTGGTGCTCGTCCTCTTGAACCCAACCAAGGTCGCGTGCAACAAATCGGCCACGCCCGCGTGCTCTGCATTGCCGACGTGAGAGGTGAGACATGACAAGAGATGAGACAACACGGCCTTGAAAGGTTTTCTGACTTGTGGCAAGGTAACCTGCGGCAACTGAACGACCTCGCGCGCAACGCCAAAGCAGACTACATCATTCACACTGGTGACTTCGGCTTCTACGACGGCTCCTCGCTCGATCGCATCGCAGAGAAGTAAGAGGCAGCAGTTCGCGAGACGTGGCAGGTGCAAAGCTGACACCTCAAACAGGACACTGAAACATGTAGCCCAATACTCGCCGCTCCTGCCTGAACCAGTCAAGGCCGACATTGCACGCTCTGGCGGCGCGCAAGTCTCCATAAAAGAGCGTTTCCAGCGAGAGAACCTGCCTCTGTCGGAACTTCCACAATTCCTCAACAAGACCTTCCGACTCGAGGTCCCCGTCTTCACCGTGTGGGGAGCTTGCGAGGACGTATCGGTCCTGGAAAAGCTGCGGTCACAAGAGTACAAGATTGACAACCTGCACGTCATTGATGAATCGCATTCGCGGTTACTCGATGTCGGCGGTGTGAAGCTACGCCTGCTTGGTCTCGGTGGCGCTGTGGTCATGCACAAGCTCTTCGACAATGGCGAGGGCCGGACAACCATTGCTGGTGGCCAGGGTACTATGTGGACCACTCTTCTGCAAATGGGAGAGCTCATCGATACTGCCAACCGCGTCTATGACACAACCGAGACTCGAGTACTCGTCACACACGCTTCACCAGCACGCGAAGGCCTGCTCAACCAGCTTTCTGTGACGCTCAAGGCAGATTTCTCGATATCGGCAGGCCTGCACTTCCGATACGGCAGCTCGTACAACGAATTCTCCGTCAACCCATCGCTGGATCACTACCGGGGCAAGCTCTCTGCCTCCAAGGCGTCCTTTACTGACGTCTGGGAGACTGTCAAGCACGAGGTTGAGCCTGCCGTGGCCGAGAATGAAGCCCAGAACAAGCTTCTGCAATTTGCGCTCGAACTGGTGTCGAAGATGCCGGCAGTAGCAAGCGGTGGCAATCCTTTCGGCGGCGGGCCCATGGCCGGCAACGTGGACGAGTCTGCATTCAAGAACATGTGGAACTTCAACTTGGCTGACGCAGCTTTCGGCTGGCTCGTTCTGGACATTGATCAGGGACGAATTGGCACTGAAATGCGCGCTCAAGGGTTCAACTTCTCGCACCGCTCGAGCAAGAACCAGCAGAGGCCACAAGGCGTCCCGTCTGCTCCAGCAAATGCGTCAATGGCCCCAACAGGCGGCAACCTGCCAACCCCAGGACAACAGCCACCTCCATTGGCGCAGCAGCAGACCCGTCCTCCACAGCAGGGACCTCAGCAAGGTAACTTACCACAACAGCAGCGTGGTCCTGTGCCCCAGCAGCAAGGCACGCAGCCAAAGCCAGGCCAGCAGCCCCAGGCAGGTGGACCGGCAGGCCCAAAGCCCGCAACACCGCAATCAACGCTCACCACGAACGGTACTACGACTGCTCCACCACCGCAGACGAACGGAACTGCCGCAGCTGAGACGCCCAAACCCGACACTCCTGTTCAAGACAAGCAGGCCAACGTGCACTCACCGCAGCAGCAGGAGCCGTCGAAGGGCATTTTCATCACGAACGCGCCATTGAACACTACAGACGAGGTCAAGGAACAGCTCTTCACCCCTGAAGACGCCGAGAAGATCCAGAGAGTGGAGAAGGCCAACGGTGGTCGATGGTCCGTCCACTTCGCGACACCCGAGGTGATGCAAGAAGTATTGAAGCATGGTCCCACCAAGGAGGCTTCCGAGAAGTTCAAGGGCGTGAGATTCGTCCAGTACAGATCTTCTCCTCGAGGCGGCTTTGGCGGTGCTGGAGGCTGGGGTACTGGCCGTGGTGGAACAAACCAGAGAGGTGGCCCAGAGGGCAGAGGAGGATACCAGTCAGCCGGCGGAGCGACGACGGGCAGCGACAGCGAATCTGGACGCGGTGGCCGAGGACGTGGTCGAGGAGGCTTCAGAGGTGACCGTGGCCGAGGACGCGGAGGACGCGGCGACAGAGGCGGTCGTGGTGACGGCGCTCCTGCCGCGCCGGCTGGAGGCGATTCTTAGAACGGACCCTTCAACCGTCGTGGCTCGACCGACCGCTGAGCGACACGGCTTGCCTGGCTGATGACCGAAACATTTCATTGCGTAACAGACCGCGAGGGCGGAGAGAGAGCGGGACTTTTTACCAGGCGCTGCGAGGAGCATGTGGCATTGCTTATTGCGGTCGATATGTGATATACCAGCCTGTGGCATTCTAGCGGGCAAGCGAGTAGTTTTGTAAATTATAATAGGCGCCGGCGGAGGCAGAAGGCGCGCGCAGAGCGACAAGAAAATGTCAGATAGGTTGCTGAAGAAAGCAGAGTCTCAGATCAAGTCAGATCATGCCGTCTGGCATGCTTTCGGTATTGTCCTGTTCCTGGCTAACAGCTGTCGTGCCGGCTTGGCTGCAGCGGTCCGAGGCTGGTGGCCTGAGGCTCTGCATGTGTTGGCGATGATCTCATGCTGCCGTCGCTGCATCTGCCCTCGAGCTCCCCAGGCAGCTTCTGTTTACATCCAACACTGTGTGAATACTGCCACTCAGTATACATCAAACGACCGCCATCTCCCAACCCACATAATCACGACGGCCACTCGATACAACCCCTGCCTGACGGACAACGAAGCCCCAACCTCGGTCGCGTGAGCTGTTGATTGCGGAGAACGGTCGACAATCGACCGTAGGAGGTGGCGATGAGGTGGAAGGACCCAATACTATGGCTATCACTCGCGAGTGTCTCCTCATTGGCGAACGCCGCGAAAGAGCCAGACTTGACCAAGATCCATGAAGCTGGAAGATGCGCCATACGAGGACAGTGTGGCAAGCAGAGCTTGTTTGGCTCAGAACTCCCCTGTCCAGACAATGGACCTGCAGAGGAGCCAGAGCCAGAGTTACGGAAAGATCTGATAGCGCTCTGCGGTGGAGAGTGGGCGGAGAGTAAGGTCTGTTGTGACGCGGACCAACTCAAGGCTTTGAAGTCGAACCTGGGCACGGCGAATGGCCTGATCTCCACGTGTCCCGCGTGCAAGAAGAACTTCTACGATTTGTTCTGCACGTTTACGTGTTCGCCGGATCAATCACTCTTCGTCAACGTCACGGATACGGCGCCCAAGGGCGACAAGTTCCTGGTGACGGAGCTGGACCAGCTGATCAGCGATGAGTTTGGAGGCGGGTTCTACAACAGCTGTAAAGATGTGAAGCTGGGAGCGACGGGCGGCAAGGCGATGGATTTGCTGGGAGGTGGTGCGAAGAACTATACGCGGTTTCTGAAGTTCTTGGGTGATAAGAAGCCTTTTGGGAGTCCGTTCCAGATCAACTTCCCTCGCCCGGATAAGTCGTTTGAGGACATGGAGACTATTCTGGATGAGGCCATCTCTTGCAATACCACCGACAAGGCATACCGCTGTGCTTGTGTGGACTGCGAAGGCGCTTGTCCACAATTGCCAGAGGTCACCGAGGCTGAAGAGTGTACTGTTGGACTGCTGCCATGCCTGAGCTTTGCGGTCGTCATTGTCTACTCAGTCTTCATCGCACTCCTTGTCCTGGCAGTTTCTGGGCATGTTGCTGCAGCAAAGCGGAGAAAGAGTAAGAATGAACGCCTTCAGCTGCTACAAGACGCCTCCCCAAGCGATGATGAGGATGAAGGGGACATTGTTCACAACGCCGCAGTCATGGACCGACCGACCAAGCCATATATTGTCAACACCTACTGCGATCGCATCTTCAGCCACCTGGGGCGTATCTGCTCCAAGTTCCCCGCCATCACGATCGTTACATCCGTGGTGATTGTCGGTCTCTTGAGTCTCGGCTGGTTGCGGTTCGCTGTTGAGACGGATCCTGTGAAGCTCTGGGTTGCTCCTAACTCGGCAGCAGCGACGGAGAAGGAGTTTTTCGATTCGAACTTTGGACCTTTCTTCCGCACCCAGCAGGCGTTCTTGGTCAATGATACTACAGACGCTGGTCCTGCGCCCGTGGTGGACTACAACAACCTTGCTTGGTGGTTTGATGTCGAACGGAGAATCCGCGTTCAGAAGAGTCTTGGCAATGGCTACACGCTGAAGGATGTCTGCTACAATCCTACAGGGGAGGCTTGCGTTGTGCAGTCGGTATCAGGCTACTTCACGTCTACTGGTGGAGATCTCAGCGATTGGGAAGAGCAGATCAATAAGTGCGCCAGCTCTCCGGGAGATGTTGAGTGCTTGCCGGAGTTCCAACTTCCCCTTCCAGCCGAACGTCTGCTTGGTGGCTACAACCGAACTTCTCAGCCTGCTACCGACGCAACCGCACTTGTCACTACATGGGTTGTGACAAACTTCAATCCGGGCGACCCTGGTCTTGAGAAAGCAGAAGAATGGGAAGAAAGTGCGAAGCGTCTGCTCAAAGATATCCAGGGCGAAGCCGCTGAGCGAGGCCTCAGACTGAGCTTCAGCACTGAGATCAGTCTGGAAGAGGAGCTCAACAAGAACACGAATACTGATGCGAAGATCGTTGTCATCAGCTACGTCGTCATGTTCATCTACGCTTCTCTGGCGCTCGGCAGCACCACTGTCACTCTTGGCACGATCTTGCGCAACCCCTTGGGAGCCCTCGTGCAGAGCAAGTTCATGTTGGGCATCGTCGGTATCTTGATCGTACTGATGTCCGTCGCTGCGTCGGTTGGGCTTTTCGCAGCTGCTGGTGTCAAAGCAACGCTCATCATTGCTGAGGTGATTCCATTCTTGGTCCTAGCTGTGGGAGTCGACAACATCTTCCTGATCGTCCACGAATTCGAGCGTGTCAATATCAGCCATGCAGATGAATCAGTCCCAGACCGCGTTGCACGGGCACTCGGTCGCATGGGTCCTTCAATCCTGCTTTCTGCAACGACAGAGACTGTTGCTTTTGCCCTGGGAGCAGCAGTGGGCATGCCCGCTGTGCGCAACTTTGCAGCTTACGCTGCTGGAGCGGTGTTCATCAACGCCTTGCTGCAAGTCACCATGTTCATTTCCGTGCTGGCTCTCAATCAGCAACGTGTCGAAGATGGTCGCCTGGACTGCGTTCCTTGCGTCAAACTCAGCCGCTCCCACTCTGTCCACCACATGCCAAACGGCTATGGCGGAGCACCTTTCAGTGGTGTAGACGAGGAGGGCTGGCTTTCGAGATTCATCCGCAAGTACTACGCACCTGCAATTCTAGGCAACAAGACCCGCGTGGCCATCATCACCATCTTTCTTGGCTTCTTTGCGGCAGGCATTGGCCTCTTGCCTGCGGTTGAGCTTGGACTGGACCAGCGCATCGCGTTGCCTTCGGACAGCTACCTCATCAACTACTTCAACGACCTGGATGCATACTTTGACCAAGGGGCTCCGGTATACTTTGTCACGAAGGACTTGAATGTGACGGAGCGAGACCATCAGCAGGACCTTTGCGCTCGCTTCACCACTTGCAAGGAGTACTCTCTCGCCAACATCCTTGAGCAGGAACGCAAGAGGCCAGAAGTCAGCTACATCTCTGATGCGACGGCCAGCTGGATCGATGACTTCTTCCAGTGGCTGAACCCGGAGCTTGACCAATGCTGCGTGGATGGATCCAAGACCTGCTTCGAGAACCGCAACCCACCCTGGAATAGCACTCTCTTCGGCATGCCAGAGGGCGAGGAGTTCGCGGTCTATGCCAAGCGGTGGTTGAAAGCCCCAACTGGAGAGGACTGCCCCTACGGCGGCGCGGCAGCATACGGCGACGCCGTCGTCGTTGACTCAGGCCGCCTAACAATCCCAGCCAGCCACTTCAGAACCACCCACACCCCCCTCAAAACCCAAGCCGACTTCATCAACGCCTACGCCTCCGCCCGGCGCATCGCCGCCGACATCAGCTCGCGCCACGACATCGAGGTCTTCCCCTACTCCAAATTCTACATCTTCTTCGACCAATACAGCACCATCGTGCAACTCTCCACCGCCCTCGTCGGCGCCGCCTTAGCCTTCATCCTCGCCATCTCCTCCCTCCTCCTCGGCTCCCTCCTCACCGGCCTCGTCGTCACAATCACAGTCATCATGACCGTCATCGACATCCTCGGCACCATGGCCCTCGCCGGCGTCTCCCTCAACGCCGTCTCCCTCGTCAACATCATCATCTGCGTCGGCATCGCCGTCGAATTCTGCGCCCACATCGCCCGCGCCTTCACCATCCCCTCCGCCTCCATCCTCGAGCGCGCTCAGTCCAAGTTCCGCGGCAAGGAGGCCCGCGCGTGGGCCGCCCTCGTCAACGTCGGCGGGAGCGTCTTCAGCGGCATCACCGTCACCAAACTCCTCGGCGTCATCGTCCTGGCCTTCACCCGCAGCAAGATTTTCGAAATCTACTATTTCCGCGTTTGGCTCGCTTTGGTGCTCTGGGCCGCGCTGCATGCGTTGGTGTTCTTGCCCGTGGCGTTGAGTTTGTTTGGTGGGAGAGGTATGTTTCCTTCAGCTTTCGAGCATGATACTGTTGATTGTTGTTGATGCTGACGTATTATCTTTAGGTTACGTTGATCCTGAGTCTGACGGTGGGCTGGAGCAGGACCTGGCTAGTCGAAGGTACAGGGCCTTGTTGCCGGATGATGAGTATGATAGTGATGACTATTGAGCGATGTGAATCGCGGTATCGAATAGCATCAAAATGAGCTGGGAAGGCCGAATGATGACGGCTTTACGAAAGCATGACCACACATTTATATCGAACAAATGAAAACATTTCTCAACAGTCAGTTTTGGGAACAACGGATTTGATAGTGTGGGAGTGATCTGAGAGTTCAAGATTGAAATGGAATCGTAAGGTGAAAGTCCTGGTATCTGTGAACTAACTACCCGTTCATGCATGAAAGCCCAATGAGCCCTTTCGCTCTTTTATAGGCCTGACCAACGCCACCATCACCCTTGCCCAGAACGCTGCTAACAAGTTTACGAAGTGGTGATGAGGTCCTTCTTGAGGGTACCGACGAACTGCTTCTTCTCGGCGGCAGTCTGGTATGCACCGTGACCGAACTTGGACGAGGTGTCGATCCATTTGAGCTCGACCTTCTCGAGGGCACGGCGGGAGGTGTGGATGAACATGGACTTGCGGAGGGTCATGACTCGCTTCTTGACACCTGGAACGGAGCCCTTGAGGAGGACGAAGTCGTTCTTGACCTCACCGTAGCGGACGAAACCACCCAGACTGGACAGACATTAGCATTGAAACATACAGCATAGATCTTGGGGTAAACTCACGGGGTGATCTGCTTGTTGCTGTGGTCGAAGTCGGTGGTGGCATTGCGCTCGTCGGTGCCCTTGCCGATGCGGTAGATCTTGTGGTTGACGGAGGTACGATGGTGGTAACCCATTTGACCAGCACGAGCAACAGTCCACTGAACGTGGGACGGATGCCATGCACCGATACAAGCAACCTTGCGGAGACCCTTGTGAGTCTTGCGAGGAAGCTTCTTGGTACCCCATCTGCTGGTGACACCCTGGAAACCGTGACCCTTGGTGACGGCGATGCAGTCGATCATCTCATCCTGCTCGAAGACGGTGTCGATCTCAGCTGGCTTCTCGAAGAGTCCGTGGCCGAACTCGACCTTGTCAGCGATGGAGCCACCGTTGACCTGGATCTCCATGAGATGTGCCTTCTTCTGCTTGAGAGGAGTCTTGCTGATCTGGGTGTGGGCGAGGACACGGACGACGGTGCAGTACTTCTTGATGCGCTCGAGGTCACGGGTGATGTTCTTGCCGCCCTCCTCAGCGTGCTTCTTGGCGTACTTGGTGAAAGCCTTCTTCTTGCTCTTGTACCAGTTCTTGTAGAATCGGCGCTTGACTTCGTCGGAAAGATGCTCAGCCCAGACAGTAGTCAACGAGCGCAGGCCCCGGGGGGTCTCGATGTAACCAACGAGGCCAACGACGATCATCTGTGAGAATGTACGGATCAGCGCATGCCATGACTGGTATTGGCGCCAAGTCTCGTACCGGAGGAGTTTCGACGACCGTAACGGCCTCGACGATCTCCTTCTTGTGCAGCTTCGCACCGGGACGGTCGAGGTCGCGGACGATGGTGGTCATGCCGGCCTTGTAGCCCATTGCGGCGGTCAAATGGGGCTTCTGCTTCTGGTCGTCCTTGGGGAAGCTGTACGCACGCCACAGTCAGCCAATGTCCAATTACTCGCGTTTGATGGCGGTGGTGTCGTGTGTCTGCTGTACCTCTTGACCTTTCCACGGTGACGGGACGCACGCTTGCGTGGCAAGAACGCCAGCGAGCCATGGCGAGGGGCCTCGAACTTCCGGTGCGACATGTTGGCGGTGGTTGTGTTGTCGGTGTCGTCGTGACCTGGAGACAGAAGCAGCAGGTTCGAAAAGAAGCTGGCTCATTTTTGCGAGTGCGGTCCAGTCGGGAGCGCCCGCGCCAAGACGCTAGTCCGCTCCCGCTTAGACTTCGACGACACTCGTAGTCGTACCCTCGGTTCCGCGCTCAAGTCGAACGTAGGGCACCCTCATCATCTCTCCACTCATCTTTCCCAATCTGAAAGCGACTACACCCTTGGTCGTCCCTCAGGTTGCTTGGACAGCTCTGGAGCTTTGGGGATAGGGGTTACACTGTGAGCGGAATGAGAAGGGCTGACCTGCTACCTGATGAATCCAAAGGATCTCGCAGACACAGGGCTGTCGGCCCTGGACAAATCTTCGGAGATACACTGTCGACTCTCCGTCGCTCATTCATACGGAGCGCGCGAAACTCGACCACCAGCTGAAGACGATCAATCGTTAGGCACCGACATTTCGCTGCACGAATTTCCGCTCAATATTCCGCCCAGCATTTGCGCTTATCTTGCAGCCTGCACGTGACGACTCGTACCTCTCGGATCCGGACTCGCTTCCTACCGACGTCAACGTCAACTGGGACATTGACGAAAGTCCTCACCGATAGCACTGTCCTGAATTTGATGGCCATCTCCTCGATGTCTAAACGAGCGATGGCCTTTTGTAGGGCTTGTGACTGATAAATCTTCGACTAGAGCCCTAGCCAGAGACTGGGTCTCAGTCATGTCACTCATGTCCATGTCGACCGCGACCGCTGAGATTCCGAGCTTGCCGACGCCGATGCGGCCATCGATGCTCGCCAGCAACGCACAAACATGACCTAGCTCAGCCTCCTTTCGCGACTCAACTTGACCCTAGTAGTTTGTTGATCCATCGTTATGGCATCCGGCACTTCAGCCTTTCGAGTTGCGGTAGAATCACAACAGCCTAGCCAATCACAACCGGGCGCAACTCCATCCTAATGCGGTATAGACTTCGATGTGGCAATGTTAAATGGCTGTGTATCTTTTCGCATCTACTCATCCATCATCGCTCTCCACTACTGACTGGACCTGCCTCAACGCGGTATGCTTCAGCCGCATACAGGCCAATTGGCGAATTCGAGTGCCTAGCCGTGTCTGAACGACGATTGATCGACAGGCTGCGCAACGTGGCCTAGGAGAAGGATTGTCGAGACCATGGGTGAACTTGCTGCAAATGTTGCAAATCGCCGCTCAAGCTTACATGCTGTGCAGTCGCAAACAAACTCGGACGGTCCGAAGCGAACCACACTCTTCCTCAGCTTCTCAAGCACGACCAGACAGCATGTCATAAATCACCAGCGCGCGCTCTGTATTCCCAGGTAGGTCGTGGGTCATGCTATGGCAGTGTGGCTGTTAATGGACGTACTCGTAATCGCATGTGTCCAGACCTACTCTTGATATAACAGGCGCCAAGGGAGGGTCTACAATATGATGGCAGCCACAGGCCGAATAAACAAGACAACGAGGCAGAGCATTCATTTCCTTGAGCCAGCCAAGGGCCAAGGGCAGCAACGTCAACCATTGGAAGGTCAAGGTTCAGATAGAAACAACCCATCGAAATACGGCACCACGAAGCAGAACCGTCTTGTGTCCACGAGGGAGCCGGTTCATCCTCGAGCCACTGTCTGTTAGTCGGAGATGGTCTACACAGGCAGGCCGTCCGCTGGGTGCGCGAGCTGCCGGTTAGTCATCTCTTCATGCCAGCAATTGAGGGCCAAGTACTAATGGCAGAGTAGGAAATCCAAGAAGAGATGTGACCAGCAGGTTCCAGCTTGTGGTCGTTGCGTACGTCTAGGCAAGGAATGCGGCGGCTATCGAGATGTATCAGACCTGATGTAGGTGGAGGCTTCCACAGTCAACGACCAGTCCTAATTGTCTTTAGGTTTCGTGATGAAAGCCACAGTGTATCGAGGCGACTGAACACGAGCACCGAAGCTGGTCCATCTTCAGGGCGCCCTTCACCACCAAAACGATCAAGTCCAGACAACGAGACGAGGGCCCGATCTTTCTTCTTTGAGCATTTTGTAGCTCCCAGTTACCTGTCATCCCTGGAAGGCCTGGAGCTGGATGGATTTCTTTTGCAGCCAGTCTTGGCATGTGCATTGCACGTTATCGCTCAACGACAAGGGGGCAATCCGATGGGCTTAGAAACGGCAAGAAAACGATATGTGGATGCGATACATCGGACCAACCTAGCACTACGATCACCTAAAACCGCAAAGCAAGACAGCAGCCTCATCGCAGTTCTTCTGCTTTCGACTTTCGAGCGGTTGGCATGGGATTCGAGCATGGCGCGAGAGAACTGGTCGCAACATGTGCAGGGTCTCGCACTGATTCTCCAGCTTCGAGGCCGCGATCAATTGGAGACCAAGCTGGGTGCAGACTTGTTCAGAGACATTCAATCAGACATGGTACGCATTTCTGGTCAAAATCAACGGTATCAACTAACAAAGCGCAGATCGTCAACGCACTTCACAACGAGACTGCCGTGCCGGCCTACATTGTCGAGTGGTCTCAATTCCTAGACGCCGATGAGGCACATCTTCCCATCGACCAGATCATGCTAATAGCATCAAGCATCGCTCTGATCCGGCAATCATTCAGAATCCGGGACAAAGTCGACGACGAGTTGCTGGCCATCGCGAATGATCTAGAGTTCAACTTGCAGAAGTGGGCGGAAACCACCTCGTCGAACCCAATGTTCGCATACCGAAGCGTCCAGGACGCCTCTGGCGACCACGCCTTTGCTGGCGTTCGACATGAGTACGGCAGTCCACAGGCCTTCAGATACTGGAACCTTTGGCGGGTCTTGCAAATCCTTCTCAGCCGACTGCAGGAGGCTTTGTGGCGGCGCTCGTGGCCCGTCCTCGCATCGCCTGAACTGCCGATTCCACAGCCTGACCACTTTCGATCCATTCGAAACCGGATGGTCAATGAAATCTGCATCACTACGTGCTCAGTGTTCGGCAACGACAACGCCGCGCAACCGCCGGCTGGCTCGGTGGCAAGTGGACAGGTACTGCTCAATCCTCTCACGACCGCAGGAACGTGTTTGCTCGAATCGCTCGCCGAGATAACCATAAGCCCAGAAGGTGGGCGACTCATCTTGCTCGATCGGCCGTACCACTTGGACCCATACAACCAAACATCGACTCAACTAGCATGGGTCATCCAAAAGGTCGACTACCTTGCAGAAAAGGTCGGCATTCGAGCTGCGAGATCGTTTAGCGAGTGGTTGAGAGGCGAAGACTCCGAGTACTTTGACCTTGGAAGATCGTAAGTCTAATAATCGTTTAAACAATAGTCTTTCGGAGAGGGACACTGACAACTCGCCAGACGCCTGATCCGTAGACATGAACTCATCGCAGCCGAGGAAGAAGCCATTCTAGACCTCAGCAGCATCATGGGAGACACCACCATGGAGTTGTAAATCTCATTCCCTAGGGTTGAGTGCGGGCACTCGATCGTTCACGAAGCTTTCATAGATACATTTGCAACCTTGTAATAATGTGCACGGCCGAGTGCAAGACATTCACAAAGCTTCTCACTCCCGCCCATCCCCGTCACCAGTCTCGCACGCATGGACCATCACTATGTCGCTACTGACTTCATTAGGCACTTCCCAAAGCATGGCTTCATGAGGTCATCGTCGACACTGGACAGGTCGAAGTTGCTCTTTACCATGCATACGGAGCTAGAGGCCTGGACGCCGACGCATCGAGCTGGAGAACGTGGCTGGCCATGAGACGCTGTGTCATCCCGACACCTCATCGAACCACAGACTCGCACAATGAAGCGACTTTCAGCCCTGTACAACGCCAAACGCACCCACCAGCTCCCAATCCCCCATGCCCTTCGGAGATTTATCAATGCTGTACAACCACCACACACATGCGCTGATATCAACACGTCCCCTACAAGCACAACATACCAAAAGCCTTATCAGCCCGTACCACCAGCCACGACCAAAGAAGTTCCAGGAACGAGCCGAAAACTCAACCACTATCACATGCGTTCCTGTCGATCTACCCACGTGTTGGGTGACGCCACATGGGAGTCTATGCAGTCTATGCAGACTACATCGGCTCCGCATTGTGCGGTGGATGGGGAGATGAGGCTGAGGGTGTGGTTTGTGTGCATTTTGCGAGATGGGTGCTGGAACCACGATTCTCGGTCAACGAGAGGCGAGCGTCTGTCACGGCTGCCTGCCGCGTCCGTTGGACTCGGACGAGTGTTGGAGGGATTGAGGAAGAGATTGGTCGGCGAATAGCAAACCTATAGTAATAACACTACAAAATTCTAGGACGCAAACGTCCTTTCCCGCTTCGTTATCAGTCTCTGCGGAACATGTTTTGCTGAACAGAAACACGAATTATACCAGACAGTAACAAGAAACATGAGCCCATTACATCGTGAAAGTCAACCAAGTCCCGCTGTACCAGGCATTCGAGATCAAGCCAAAACCTCCCTCTTCTTCTCGGCCGCCACAGCGAAAGCCCTCTTCTCCTCCCGATCCCTCGCATCCGTCTCCTCCCAATTCCTCGCAACATCCCTCTTCCGCTCCTCACTCCTCGGCTCAAAAGCCATCTCAAACGGATCCGGCTTGATAATCAAGAGCGAATTGGATTTGTTCAGAGGTGGATCGATCGGTCGGCCGTTGGAGTCGAGTTTGCGGACGAGGTTGAAAGCCCAGAGGAGGCCGCCGCAGGCGACGAGCGTTTCGTCGCGGGTGACGGTTTGGCCCAGACAGGTACGTTGGCCCCAGCCGAAGGACGTCATGCCGATGAGGGTTGGGTATTGGGTTAGGGGGGTTTGGTAGGTGGGCCAGTTTGGTTCGAGCCAGCGTTCGGGCTGTTGAAGGGTTAGTGGTGGAAGCAGCTTGACTCAGTGATGTATACATACTCGGAAAGTCTCTGGGTCTGGGTATTTCACCGGATTGCGCAAGAAAGCATAGTCCAAGGGAAGGATACGAGAGCCCTTGGGGATGAAGTAGCCCTCGTAAAAGTCGTCGGCTTCGACTTCGTGCGCGACTCCAGTTGGAACATTCGGTTTCCAGCGCATCGTTTCCTTGATACAGGCACGAAGAATGGGTAGATTTGGCATGTCGCGAAGCTCTGGCATGCGGCTGCCGCAGACCTCGTCGACCTCAGCCTGGCATTTCTTTTGCCATTCGGGATGGTAAAGCATGGAGAGGAGGAAGTAGTACAGTGGACCAGCCACTGTGAAAACCCCTACCAGTGCCATCATGCCGATCGCAGACGATGCTTCGTAGTCGCCCGAAAGACCGCCAGTGCGTTCGCCTTCTAGGTAGGTCTTCATGAAAGAGGGCCGAGCTTCATCCCTGGTCATTTGAGATCGTACGGTGAGTAGCCGATCCATCCACCATTTCTGCTGCTCGTCGTGTCTTTTACGCTCGGCGAGCTTCCAAGGGTTGATGGGTTCAGGGAGGTAGTCCCAAAGAGGAGTTATAACATTTGTGATCGGGCCAGCAGGCGACATTTGCGTAAGCAAGCCCCAAGCACTTGGTGTCATGTATTCACTGAGGGTGTCATCATCCCAGGTCAAATGACACATCACTTTCGACGCCATGTCCTCGAGCGAAAAAGCGAAGTCGTCTGGGTTGTTGAGAAGACGCCACATCCATCTCTTGGTTTCATGGTACATGGTGCCATAGTAATGGGCATTGGAAGCTTCAGTCAGGTAGGCGTGCGTGAACTTCCGCTGGCGAGCCCAGTAGATGTTCTTACCCATCAAGGGCAGATACTCCATAGTACCAGTGGAGCTTTTGGAATCGAAGAGGGACTTCATCTCAGGTCGATCGGAGTAGATCTTCGCTCTTCGAACAAGGAGGTCTTCGGCGACCTTTTCGTCGGAAACGATGATGAAGTTTGCGCCCAACATCTGGGTGCGATAGAATGGTCCGTAGATATCAGCCCATTCTTTGAACTTCAACCACATGAAGTTAATGGGCAGATCGTGGATTCTACCAATCTGTCGATACATGTCAGCTTTCTTTCTTCTGTCGCAGTCTGAAACGAATTCACGTACCCAAGGAATGAGTGTAGGCCCGGGCGGCTCGGTGGTCTTGTTCTTCCATGGGTGGGCTGCGCGAAGAGCGTTGAGGAGTGAGAGAAGTGCAAAACCGATCACCGCAACCACCGCTACGGCGATGGTCAATGGCTGCATGATGCCACCTGTGACAAAGCGGAAAAGATATGAACGAAGTCAGCTGTATTGATTAATGGGGATACAAAAGAATAAGAGACTGGTGTCTGTTGTGGGCGATGATGATGCGCAGTAGAAACAGTCAGTATAGTAGAGCAAGCGTTGACGTAGATAGATATGGCGAAACGACTGTTTGCCAGCCATCTAACTCATTGGACGCCTGGGGCCTACCTGGGGCTGACATCTCGCAAGGATGACATTCGACTGAACCTGATTGCGCGGTAGGCTCAAGTCGCACGACCTGGTCGATATCATGCACGATCCCGAAGGTAAACTTGGACAACAGACCCGCTGAGATCAATGCATGTCGTGAGCCCGGACGGCGGCAGGTCTCAATTAGACATCGTTCAACGCGCCGGTTGGTGAAGATCTCGGTTCCTTTCATGCTTGGATGTCTCTTAAGGCTTAGCCGCCTCCAGCGTAACTTCGAGCTCCAGGCGGAGGCGTTGGAGAGCCGGCGATGAATACAGCCAAACGAGTGAAAGTGTGAGTTGTCGATCAAGGCATAGATTGGGAAGGCAGTAAGCACGAGGGCTGGCTCCGTTGGCTCATCGACAGAGGGCCTAAGCCCGGGTTTTCCTGCTCATATCTAGCATCTCCAACGCACAAAGGGAAAGCACCTGTTGAACAGACCTGTGATAGATGCTTACCGACACGAACAAACATGTAGGTGCGACTTTCGCATTTTGCGCAGTATGCACTAGCAGAGAAAGGCGAAGATTAGAGCCTTCTCGTAAGCCAGTGCTTCGTTGGCAGATCAACCTTGTAGACTCATCTACAAGCGTACGATGATTCGATCATTGAAGTTAGCGGCGCGGCTCAGTGCAGCCGGCCCTTGCCGTGAAACTTCAATGCATCCGCGTCAGACGCAATGTCGCAGAAAGCGGCGGGTTCGCTTGGATGATTCATCAGTAAGACAGTTCGCACGTCTGGTCGCAGGTGCTAGTCTTTGGAGTTTGGCACGGACGCGTCGGTCAAACCCTTGGGCCAATGTGCGGAGGGAAACGTCTTCGACGCCCGCAAGAGTAAGGCAGAGCTTGTAGTAAAGTCCACTCCGGGGACTTCATGAGGCTGAAACGCAAGGCTTATGTCGCGAGCCGTAGACGAAGCTCAAGTGGTGTACCACAAAGTATTGACGCTGTCGGGCGGCGTGCCGAACCCATGACGAGTGGATCGCATGCAGGAAGCATGGCTGGGGATACGCTTATTACGAGAGCCCGGAGACGTACAGATTGCCATTCTGGCGCATGTAAAAAGATGTTTGGGAAGTGTTGAGGTCATCAACTTCAGACTGTGCTACGAATGGAGTCCAAACAAGGTTGGATCTAGCGTTCACTAGCGTGAGATCCAACGGTTCTCCGCGAACTCTATACTCTGAACACCTTGCCCTGGCCAGGAGGACCTGGTAACAAGAATAGACATGCCTTCGTGGATGACTACACTACATCATCGACTTTCGGACATCCGTTCAGGATGACTTGAGTCTCAGCTAGGCGATGGATTCAGAGCTTCCATTGCCATTGCGGGTATCGGAGAGTTCGGAGCGCCGCGACCGCCCACCAATATGCAGGTACCAGCTCCTGTCAGCTACGATGGTTCACCGTTTCTTCCAGGGTCAGGGCGAGCAGCACGATATCGCGGTGGTATTGACGTATAGTTTCCTCTGTCGCCCTTCGCGCATTCTTCACCTCGTCACCTCTTCCTTCTCAGTATTTTCCCTATTCAACTATTCAAACATAGCACACAATGGCCGGAGATGGCGCAGAGCCAAAGCCTGTGGGCTCATACCCACAAACAGGAATTGATGTCTTGATCATTGGAACTGGACTCGCAGGATTGACAGCGGCACTCGAATGCACGCGAAAAGGACACAAGGTCCGCGTCCTGGAGCGCAATGAGACAATCAACACGCAGGGAGACATGTACTTCATGGGCCTGAGCGCTACCAGATTCTTCAAGCACTGGCCAGAGATGAAAGCCGAGTACGACTCCATTGGCCTGCACAATGCTTGGATCGAGACGTTCAAGCACAGCGGCGAGCAGATGGTGCCACCTCTTTCAGTCGCTGAGAGACTTCGCGATGCAGGACTGGACCCCAACACTCCTCCCGGCACCTTTCAAATGCGACCACTGATCTACCGAATGTTCGTTCGCCAGGTTGAGAAGCTTGGTGTGGACATTGAGTTCAACAGAAAAGTGGTGGATTTCTTTGAAGACGAGGCTCGTGGAAAAGGCGGCTGCATCACAGACGATGGCAAGAAGTACGAGGCGGACGTGGTGATCGCGGCGGATGGAGTGGGATCAAAATCCCAAAAGCTCGTGGGTGGCCAAGTGCGAGCGAGACCTTCTGGCCGTGCTATGTGGCGAGCTGCTTTCCCTAGAGAGGTGTGTACATCTCAAAGATGCTGAAGCAGTATGACCATGACTGACAATACCAGCACCTGGACCAAAACCCCGAAGTCAAGGAATTCTTCAAGCTGGTCGGCCCAGACGGTGACAACCCGATCGTTCGAACGTTCCTAGGTCCTGGCACATACGCCCTGACCCTGACTCGCCCCGACACCATGATCTGGATCATGAACCGTAAGCCCTCGAAATCGTTCCCGTATCGCCCACCACAGCCCACTAATCCCAAAATCCCACAACAGACAACGCAACCACCTCCTCAGCCGAGAACTGGAACAACAAAATCGACTCCGCCGAAGTCCTCTCCCAAATGGACGAAGGCGTCGGCCCCAACCCCTGGGCCCCCATCTTCAAGTCCCTAGTAAAATGCACCCCACCCAAAACCATCGTCAATTTCGAACTCCTCTGGCGCGACCCCCAACCCAGCTGGACCTCCCCGTCCGCGCGCGTCATCCAAATCGGCGACGCCGCACACTCCTACCTCCCCGCCTCGAGCAACGGCGCGACGCAGGCGATCGAAGACGCCGTCTCCCTCGCCTCGTGCTTGCAGCTGGGAGGGAGGGAGAACATCCCCGAAGCGGTCCGCTCTCACATCAGATTCCGCTTCATCCGCAACGCCTGCGCGCAGAAACTCGGCTTCTCCAACGCTGAACTCCTCCAGGAGACCGACTGGTCCAAGTACGTCCCTCCCCTTTCTCCCCACCCCTCCAATCCACTCACTAACCCCCTCCTACAGAGTCAAACTCGACCCCCGCCGCGCACAACCCAAACTCCCCAAATGGGTCTGGTCGCACGACCCGGAGAAATACACGTACGAAAACTACCACCGCAACGTCGAGAATATGAACAAGGACATTCGCTTCGATGAGAGTGATGTGCCCCCGAATTTCCCGCCTGGGTACAAGTACGAGCCGTGGACGATCGATTGGGTCATGGATTGTATGTATAAGGGCGTGCCGGTGGAGTTGGGGGCGGGGCAGTGGGAGTGATTGATTCATAGAGGGTCAAACTGGAGGTTGATAGCTATTTTTATGCTAATGGATTAAGATAATGCGTCGAGATGTACGTGCGAAATGCATTCATCAATTGAGGATAGAAAGTGTCACTTGGGCCATGATAATAGTCGTACATCAATCATCGCTATCCGTTTCGTCTCGCTATGCATCATCATGGTGCAGAAGAAGGGTCTCTCTCAAGAAGAACGTCAAAACAGAAACCAGCCATCACCATCACGGACCCCACGAATTGAAAAGCGCATTCTAGACAAGGTATGCGTACGAAACGCCTTTGACTGAACCCAGAGCAACGCAAACACCCATTCCCATTCCCATCCCATTGCCATGCCATACCCAACCCAGCGCCGCGCCCTTTGACTGTTTGTATGAGAGATCAATCATCCACATCAATTCAGAAACCCATGAACGCACGTCAGCTCATGAGCTCTTGTGCGAGCGAGCCGCTTGGGTTCCAACGCTGCCGACCCGACCGCTGGTCTTGCGGACGCTCGTCTTGCCTTCGGTACTGCGGCGGATCGGTGACGAACGTTTGCCAACGCTCAAACTGCCAACGCCGCTACCGCTCCTCGCGCTAGGGGTCTTCGGTCTTGTCGGGCTGACCATGCGTTCGGACATTGGCAGGTCGACCTCCTCGTCGACAGTTCCGGGTCGGTTCTCAGCGTCACTGTCTGTAGGTACATCCCATTTGGTGGTTGTTGTTGTCGTAGTGGTGCAGGATACTGCTCGTCGCTTCCCGCTGCGGCTCACAGGAGACTGGCTGGTCTTCCGTGAAATGGTACGAAGCGCTCGTTCTTCTTCGCTCTCGGCTGGATCTCCTCTCGATCGTGGCCCACTCGTACTGTCATCCAAGACATTGAATGGCTGGTTCTCAGTCATGATTCTGCGACCACCGGCGTACAGTTTGTTCGTTTTCCTGGGCTGTCCTGGAGTTGGAGCTGGCAGATTTTCATCTGCAACGCCTAGACTACCCTTGAGGTCCTTGTTGGAGTTGTAGCCAGCAGTTGGTGTTGGGGCACCCTCATTGTTCGTGATCTCGCCCAAAGCTCTACGTGGACTGACGGCTTGTCTGTCGGCGTTGGGAGGAGTGAACGTCTGGCCGTTGCTCGCCAACCGCCGGCTGCTCGAGTTCTGCAGTCTCGTTGGGGTTGTTGGCTGCATAGAGGCCATGATCTTCTCCTTCATAGTGTCTTCGAACCACCATTCGCGGAAAGTGCCTTGATTCAAATGAAGCCAATGCTGCTGAGGGCCAACGACCATTCCAGGCCGCATGAAGCGCATGAAGGCAATGACCTCGTCGGCTGTGAAGCCGTGGCGGTAGATCAGGTACGCACCAATCAAGCAACCTGTCCGTCCAAGTCCCGCTTTGCAGTGCACTGCGATGCCTTTCCTTTGTTGATTGATAACACCGTGCGCCAAGTTCACAAACTTTCGCACCAGGTTGAGCGGTGGACAGGTTCCGTCGTCGAAGATCATGTCCATGTGTTTGATGCCGAGAGCAGTGAAGTAGCTCGGCGAGTACAACTCAGAGTTCAGTCGAACCACAAGGCCAATGCGCCGTTCTGCAAAGTGCACGAGCACATTCTTGAATGGTTCGGGTAGGGACTGATCCCGGGCCACTTGTGACACACTGCGTGGAAGCTGCTGGTACAGCGGATCTGTGGGCGCGATCACGTTCGTGGGCTTGTGCTGCGGAGAAGCGAAGGCCAGAAAATCGGGCGATATCCAGTTGAAGTCACCCATATCCACGCGCTCATACTTCTCGTACTCTTCGAGGCTGAATTCCTTCAAGCCTACCAAGCCCTCCTCTTTTGCTTTCCACACTCCATATACAACGTCCTGGATGGTGAGCGAGTAGTCTGCTTGGCTGTATCCAGCGTCACGGAAAGGCATGCATGGTGGGTCCATCTGTGCAATGGGTGCAAGCGCGAGATGAGGGGGCCAGTTCTGGATCAGAACCATGTACGTCGCAAGGATGCATGCTGCATTAGCCCGGCCTGGAAATGGAAGTCAGTGAATGTACCCTGCCAACGCAAAGTGAAATTGGCATTGTTTGAAGAACTTACTCCTCGAATCTGCATTGCTCCAAAACACAACAGACCTGTGCTCATTGTCTGGGTGTCCGAGCACTTCATGAAGCTGGACAGCGAATCTGTACAAGTGGCCGATGTGCAGAGGGCCAAAATCGGCGTGAAAGGCGTTGTAGAGTAGAGTGCGATCGATGCAGAAGTAGAACGGCGGCGATGATGGGGCAGAACCCTGGACACCTTGGGATCCAACTTGCGCTCGTGATGATCGTTTATTTGGCGACCGGCTCTGCTTGGAGTCGTATGGGAAGGGAGTCTTCTCGTCTGGCGGGTGGGTGTATGAGGCGAGGTAGAGGCGATCTGTGTAGTAAATAACATACATGTTAGCGATGTCCCCCCGACTTGTTTTGCGGATGTGGTGCGGCGTACCAGCGATGTACTCAATCACCTGCCCGTAGCTGGTCACGGAAGGCACCTCCGCCTGGCTTTGGCGGGAATGATGAGGCATTATAGCCTCGTGGTGCCTTCCCGGAAGTGTTCAGTCTCGAATGGCTGGCCGTTCAAGATGCTCGCGTGCTGTGGTCTAGCAAGTCCACTGGTGGCTAGCGCTGCGGGAGGATGATGTTGTAAATGTTCTTTCCACCACCAGACGTTATCTGGACTGGTCACTGCAGGCTTCTGGCAAGCGCATGAGAGGAGGGACGAGGATCAATACTGGTATCGAAGAAATGCGGCGTCTTGTGTTCGGGGATGTATTGTGAGTTGTCTCTGGGGCGAAAACATCCAAGTCGCCTGGCAACCAGCTGGTGTGTTCCTTCCAAAACAGCAACCGGCCCGCTTTCCGATCAAAACAAGCACGTGCCAGCCCTAGCCCCTTCCGACTTGCACAGCGTCTGTCAAAAAATAGACCCGTCCACACATTTCGCTTCTCCTTGTTTTGACCCCCGCCATCTGAACCTGCGGCGAAGCGCATCGCACAGAAATGCTCATTCAGACGGGAAAAGCTGAAGGCTGGCTGCACCTTGATGTTGACTCCGTCAGAACATGGGCGACAACAAGCGGCATCGGATTCTCGAATGCCTCGCCCAAGGCCATCCCAGAGAGAGGTATAGGACTGTTGACCGATCGCAGTCTTTCGACACGCGAGCGCGGAAACCCGTGGGAAGTTCTGACTGTCACCGAAGACCTGGTTCTGTCGGTCGAAGCTGTGAAGAAACACGCTCTCTTCGACAAGGACTTCAGGGAGGTTTTTGACAGCTTGGGGGAGTTTGGAAAGGTAGGTCTATATCCTGCCCTTCTACCAGTCTGAGCTCATGGATGGGCTTTCAGTACAATCTCCTTGGTCATCAAGTATGTTGTTACGTCTCTACTCGAAGTTTGTGAAGATCACCGCTCGGCTCTGCGAAGCTGACGGAATCACAGACTCCAAGAGGTGGCATCCTTTCATTTCTCCTCTTCCAAGCGTCTCTTTCCTGCCCCCATCTCCACGAGCGTTTTGGCGTCCATTTTCCTTTCACTGAGTGAGTCGCACGGTCTTGTTCTGTCATCCTGCACTGGAGAGATGAACTCATTTGAGTCGTTATGAATGCAAAAACACTCCTTCTCTCCAAGCCACGACACTGACATGTACTAGCTATGTCAAAACACTTCCGTGCGAACTGCTTCCAACATTCTGGACGCCCGCTGAATTGCAGCTCCTCGTTGGGACAACCTTAGCTCCAGCTGTGTCTTCCAAGCTCAAGAGTCTTCGCCGCGAATATGACCTTCTCTGCGAAAAGGTCGCCTATACTCGGTGGTTCCAGATTGTGGAGTCTCTTCTCGACTTTGACGATTGGCTTCAAGTCGATGCCATGTTCCGGTCCAGAGCCCTGGACTTTTACGGCTCCTGCATGATTCCAGGAATGGATCTTGCGAGTCATGGAGCAGGCGAGAGAACCAATGCGTTTTATGACAGAGCCGATGGGTAAGTGAAGGAGCATACTGCTTGCACAGTTGGTCTAACTTCACTTAAAGGCGATACTTCTTGTGGCTGTTGGAAGACAAGGAGCTGCAAGAAGGAGAAGAGATCACAATCACCTACGGCGACGAAAAGGGGGCCTGCGAAATGCTATTCTCTTACGGTTTCTTGGAAGAGCAGATGGAGAAGGCGGAGACTCTGTTTCTCAGTCTGTCCATCCCTGAGGACGACCCGAGGCGAGCGGCGAAGATGAAGATTGCACAGAGTGCACCGGGCTTCAAAATCATTGATGCCTCCGAACAAGAACAGCGCACTCCCCAAGACGACGGCCAGAGCAGTGCGAAGGAGATAGACGAGACAGGCGCTGTCGACGAGAACAGTGGAGAGATCGACTGGAAGGGCGACTTCGTATGGCTGCTTTGCATGACGGAAGAGGACGGCCTACGCTTTCAGATTGCAAGGACTGTTGATGGCGAAGAGGAACTCCAGGCCACTTTCCATGACCAAGAATTGAAAGGAGGAGCCGCGGATTTACGCCGGCTTCTCTCGCAGACGCCTCTTTGGCCGGTGTACAGACTGCGCGCGGTTGTCATCCTTCAACAGCGTGTATTTGAACAGATGCAAGTGCTCTACCAATCGCAGGAAGACGTCGAAGGCACACCTCACGGCGATGGGGCCGACGTTCGAGACGCACCATACCAACAGGCAATGAAGCTGAGGAGGCTCGAGTTCGACTTGCTGGAAAAAGCATACGAAGATTTTGAAAGACAGGTGAGTAGATCGATCTTCACCTCCCGACATTCTCGTGACGTTGCTAGAAGGAAGCTCTACAGCAGGGCATCCTTGCTCGCGTTTCACCTCGTTGCGGTGGGTCACCACCAGAGTTTCATAAGGTTGACATCCGTACAGAAAGTCGACCTCGCGGAATCACCGGTTGTACAGCAGTATCTGGCCGATATGAATGACGAACAGCAGCCCGAGGAGGACTTCTCATGATCTACACCGGCTTGTGCATCGGCAACGTCAAGTGTGCCAACCGGCGCTGCACCAGAAGCTTAACCCGACATTTCTTTTGGTCCCAGGGGCCATGATGTCGTCCCGCTCGCACAGTCGAAGGCTTCCTTGCCGGGAGTGCATGGACAGCGAGCATTCTACGAGCTTTGTGCGAACGCTTGCCCCGCAACAGGATCGCTGCATCCCAATGCAGTCAGCTCCAACCGCCAGAGGGCCCTATCCGGTGATGATGGAGGGCCGATGCTTCCAGTCGTTTGTTGCATGCAAGATACACACAGCTTGAGCGGACGCAGCTATAGGTCGACGGAGCATGGAAAAAGGACGTCTTATACGTGTGGCATTTGATCATGGACCCTCTGAGTGAGACGGCTTGCGTTGCCGGCCTTCCAGTGACAAATAATAGCAAATGGTCGTCGCCGCCACGCATTTGGCGTTGTTTCTGGCCATGACTCCCCGCCCTTGGCTCTCGACCACGCCGTCTATCGCTCGCATTTGCCGTCTGTTCTTACTTTCGTCATCGAGCGATCTAATAAACCTTCAGAGATGGCCTGTCTTCTCGAAATTGCTTCCACGACGGACGACCTCGTCGCTCGTAGGGATGCGTGCCAGGATCCGCTGGGCCCTGCGACCTGGCTAGTCGCCCAACACCTGCAGCACTGCATCTCACGAAGTTGAAGCGACCGGCAGGCTCGGTGGATGGGAAAGTTCCAGGCTGGTCATTGGCTTGGAGGAGTCGACCCGTGGAAGATCTCTCCACACTCGGCAGCAGACACGAAGACTAATCGGAAAATCACCAATGGCAGCTGACGATGGCCCCAGCTAGACGAGCTCCACTGCATGGGCTCTGCTCCGCAATGTGATCGTGTGAGAAGCCCCCAGGCAGTGGAAGTGTGGGTTGGTAGCGCATGCCCCGGATTATTCCTAACGTTGTTTGCGCAATGGGCCTCTTCCTGCGCTGCTCGTCTTACCAGCAATCTCACACTCTGCTACACTCCCAAGCCTGGACCATCACCCGAAGCAGCTCGCGAGCCTTCAATAGACTTCTACTGCCCTCAGCGTTGGTCGCATGACGACGGGCTATTGCGTTCCCACCCAACTCCTAGGGAGCCTTCTCGCGTGCCTTTCTTATTCCTATCCTTAATATACCAGCCATTCCGCTGGCCAACCTTCCCTCACCATGCCGGGAATTTTACCAATGAAAGTCATCAAGATCGGGACGAATGCGCAGACCAGAATAGCACAGGCTTGTGATCGGTAGGTTAGGCAGACTCGAATACAGCCACGACTACTCTTACCAAAAGCCCGCAGATGCCGGAGCAAGAAGATCCGCTGCGATGGCATCCGTCCATGCTGCTCGCAGTGCGCCAACGTCGGGTTCGAATGCAAGACGAGCGACAAGCTGAGTCGAAGGGCGTTTCCGAGAGGGTACACAGAGTCGTTGGAAGAGCGAGTGCGTGTGTTGGAGAGTGAAGTGCGAGATTTGAAAGAGCTGCTGGACGAAAAGGATGAGAAGATCGATATGCTTTCGCGCCTGCATTCGCAGTCGACGCATCCGATACAGCTGCCGTCACCTCGACGGCCGTCGACGGTGTCGTTGGAAAGTCCGGGCAAGGCTGACTCGCCGCCTAAAGACGACGTTTTCAAGGTTCAACAGTCGCCCTATCTACTGGACGATGAAGGATCGGATTCGTACTTTGCTGGAACGTCGAGCAGCCGCACGTTCATCGAGGCCTTCAAGCACCGAGTGCAGGAGAGTGGACGCTCGACGGATGATATCGATACCGGATCACTGCTCGTGTGCAGCACCCGAAAAGGTCATGAGCATTCTGGAGCGTCGACACCAAAATCACACCAGGTGTACAAGGCGCCTCCGAGACTCCTGTCCGACCAGTTGATCACCATCTTCTTCCAGGAGTGGGCGCCATTATTTCCCGTCCTGCATCGTCCGACGTTCCTGACGTTGTACGAGCGATACGTTAGCGACTATGACTCCGTTACCGACAAAGCGGAAATCGCGCAATTGAACCTGGTCTTCGGTATCGCGGCCCTGTCGAGTGGTACACGATCCTCGGCTGAGCTGGAGAGCTTCGAGGGGCAATGGAAGGCTGCGATTGACTCCATCATCACGGACAACTCCATGGTTACGCTGCAGGCGTTGATCTTGGCTCAGTTGTTCTGTGTCCAGCAAGGTGACTTCACAAGGCTGCAGACTTATAAGGGTCTGTCCACGTCGCTGTCGGCACGTTTGGGTCTTCATCAATCGCAGAAGCGGTTTGCTCTTGGTACTCTCACTTGCGAGACGAGGAAGAAGGTCTTCTGGACGCTCTATACGGTCGACAGCTTCACTGCCGTCGTCCTTGGCCTGCCAAAGCATCTCAAAGACGAAGATGTCCACTGCGAGTATCCCGTCGACGCCGATGATGAGTATGTCACCGAGAAAGGCTTCACGCCTACTTTACCAGGAGAGTCGACCAAGTTGTCAAGCGCCCTGGCTCTGTTCCGTGCGGCTCGCATTCTCTCCAAGATCTTACTTGAAGTCTTCCCTGCAAAGACCTCGTACGACCTGTCGTTGAAGAAGCTTGGTGAGCTTGCAGATGAACTCGATGGGTGGAGCAACTCCTTGCCGTCGCATCTTCGCCTGCAGTTTGCGCAGGTAAGTTCAACCAAGTACAGTGTTCTGAGTCTACTGCTGACATCCACAGGACAAACCAAGCACAGGCACCATCTCAAGCCGCTCGCCTCTACTGTCGTTGACTTACCACTACATCCGAGCACTGATCCAGCGACCTGCCATATGTGCCTCGCTTGGAGCCAGGTCATCGTCAATGATGATGGCGATGGCTGGCTCATGCAAGCATATGATCCAGATTGTTCAGCTGCTGGATGAAAGAGGGCTGAGCTTCTCGTTCTGCCTCCACCGTGATGAGATCCTCGTCCTCTCCGGGTTTGGTCTGCTGTTCCAAGGATTAGGACTTGAACCAAATTCCAAGATCTTGAAGGACAACAGCAAGATGATCTCGGCCGTTATTGACGTGCTCAAGAAAACGAATGCACCTTGCGCGGACGAATTTGAGCGGGTGGCTACATCGTTCGTTACTAAAGTGCCTGCAACTCCGCCCGTATCGAAGACAAAGGTCCCTACACTGTCTCGCCATAACTCGGACGGCGCTCAATCGACGCATAGTGAGAGCAGCGAGAGCTTGCACTCCTCTACCAAGAGACAACTCAAGGCCATCGCCTCTCGCTTCACAGCGGGCAACAGCACCCGAACTCCAAAGCTGGACGTCACGGACAACAGCAGAAGACACACGGCTCACAACATCAGCCTACACCCACACGGTGTGCAGACTCAGAGCCAGCCATCTCTGCAACCGTCCACGTCCTATGAGCCAACTGCCACCTCCCGCTCCGAGCCAGCGAGAAGCCCGGTGAACATGTACTCCCGCCCCAACTCGACAGCCGCTGGCAAACCTTCAGCGCCCCCACAAGCAAAGCTGCAGCCCAAGCAAAGGCCCCAGCAGCGAAAGAACTTCAACCTGGACTACCTCTCCTTCGGCACCGACAGCGCAACAGACACCCCACCCAACGGCCGCGCCTCCCAACCGATCAAGACCGAACCCGGCCCAACCGACTGGGAGAAACTGCTCGGCTCCCTCGACAACGGCGATACGAACATCTACGACGGCATCTACGGCGGTCCAGCTGTCGATGCCCTCCTCGACGTGCCCTCGCTAGGGATCCACCATAGCAACCACTCCGCCACGGGCATCACAACCACCGCGGACAGCTCTTCCCTCGCTTGGAACGCCGACCTCTGGGCGCTCTGCCAGACGGACACGAATAGTTCCACGTCGGCCGTGAATTCGGCCAGCACTGGACCGCCCGCTAGCGTCCTCTCCTTCTCGACGGACGAGGGTGGTCTAAGTGGTTCAGAGGACTTTTCTGCGGATTGGATCGGTGCGGGCAGTGGTAGTACCAGTGCGGGCGACTCGTACAAGGGAATCGTCATGCCGCATGGGGATGAGATTGCTTTTGGGAGTTGGTGGGAGTGACTGAAATGAAAAGTCACAAAAACATGGGAAGGACGGAGGTTGATGGTTATGGCGAGTGAGGTGGGTTTGATCTTTTTCTGATGATCTTGGATTGCGTGTGTGCTCTTTTTGACGTGCGAGATACCACATGGTATTGTTTGTTTGTTTTGCTGATGATTGTGGATTGTGTGAGATGCTACTACTCTATTTGCTGGGCGACGGAAAGGGATAGGGATTAGTGAGGAGACAAAATTGTGTATGTAGGCAAGGCTAGGAAAATGGAATATCAATCACGACGTGATCTCCTGATTCAACGTATATTTGATCTCGTGATGCCGCATGACCCTTCGTGAAGACTTCTATGTTCTAGGAGTAATCCTAGGAAATGCGTTCGTTCTCTACTACGTGGCTTGCCTGCATCTTCGACGGTCCCAGTGGCTTCGTCACGATCATTCCAGAACACGCTCTGGCGCAGCATGAGGTCAAACCCGCCGACCTGACCACGTGGGTCAATGTTTGCAACAAGAATGGTTGTCTGTCTGGTGCAGATGACGTAGATGGCATGTGAGAGCTCCATGAAACTTGGCAGATCGCGTCTGGTGGGGTGAGGTGAGGGGCATGTGACAGACGCGTGTGAACAGAGAAAGAAGAAGTTGGTTGTTTGGCCTTTCTCTTTTGCACAAACAAACACTTGTTGTTGACTCTCTTGATCGTTGAAAACAATCACCCTTCTCATCACACAAACTCAACACAAGCAACCATGACTGACAAGGAAACTTCGACGCTGCAGTCGTACATCGACGTGAGTTGCCTAACCACCTCAGCCATACCAGAAACAACACAGAGCTGACTCTTCAAACAGAAAGCCACGGGCGCCGCCCAGAGCGTCCTAGGCTCCATCGCCGGCACGCCAGGCGACAAGGCCCAAGGCGAGGGTAACATCCCCACCTCCTCCAACTCCTCCATCCATCCTCAACTAACACCACCCCCACAGAAAAGAAGCGCGAAGCCGAAGCCAAACACGACATCTCCCAAGCCGGCGCCTCCATCGGCGGCGTCTCCGTCTCCGCCTCGGGCGTCGCCCAAAACGACCCCAACCGCCAGACGGGCTCCTGGAACCAGACGGTCGGCAGCGGAAAGGAGTTTGTGGGCGGGGCGTTGGGGCTGGAGGGGTTGAAGAGTGAGGGGCAGAAGCAGTAAGGATACATACCTACCTATATTCTCAAAAGGATTCTTTGAGGAGGGGGTTGTGGATGTTGGGTTATTGTACTGATGTGTGTGTATTGCAGGAACGAAGAGGGCAAGGCGCAGGAGGCGGCTGGGCAGTTGAATGATTTGGGGAGTGGGATTAAGGATCGGGTTAGTGGGACTGTGGGGGGTGCTGTTGCAGGTGTTACTGGTAAGCCAATCGTCTTGACGAGAGTGAGGGGATGTGTATGCTGATGATGTTTGGTGTAGGTGATCGTGAGCAGCAGGCCAAGTACCACGCTCAACACGACCAAGGCAAGACGCTCCAGCGTGGTGTCGAGTCGGAGCTGGACAAGAAGGCTCAGGCTGAGGTTGAGAAGAAATAAGCCAGTTACCAAGGGGGTGTAAACAACAGAGAGGCAGCTGCATGATGGAGAGACATGAAGTACGGATTATACCCAGGCGATGGATGGAATGAGGCACGAAATACGGCAGACAGTAGTTTTGACACGGCCCGGCAGTGAACTTGAATCAGACAGTTGAAACAGCCTGTTCCTTGCCAATTGTGCCGATGATGATTGTTCCGAGCCGTTCATATTCCCAATTGCATGTGCGGGATACTGACGGGTTATTTTGTTACTCGTGTGTGATGTTGCTTGTCTGGGAGGCATCGCAGAAGACCGGTTGTCTGATGAGAGTTTGCGAGGCCAGCCCGTGTTTTCCCGCTATATTTTCTGTCGTGATGTGTTTTTCTTCTTTGCTGGAACCAATTCCAAGCCGTGTCCTGTTTGTTCGAGCAGAGGGAGCAATCTTCTCCAAACTCGGTGTCCGATGGAGGAATTGCTGCCACGGCGCAATTGATGATAGAGTCATCTCACGAGCATGGACTCCATGGAGCAGGCCAGCAGGATCGGGGGCGTGTGCCGAAACGAAGAGACTCACTCATCACTCCGCTTCGACGCTCTTCCGTTGGGTCAGCCTGCGTCAACCGCGCGCCGACATGCCTCCTTCACCACCTCCTCCTCCACCTCCTCCACGTGCGACGCCTCTGCCTGCCCCTGACCGCCTCATCACCCAACATGACACCCTTCTATTCAACATCGATACTCCATCCATCATCACTATCGCCGACGCTGTAGTCGTAAGATGATCCGTCAGCTCCACCTCCGTTAACCCCGAATCCGCATCCTGGCAGCGCCGACTCTTGGCCGGTATCACTTCACCCTGCGACCCAAGTATTCTTATCACGAGAGGTAGACGTCGCCGGCGTCATGAATGAGACAGATTCGGGTCCTCCGACGCCCAACAATGGCGAGCGCAAAGGCAAGTCCGCCATGGGCGAGGCACTCTCCAAGACACCCATCCGCAAGGACTCGTTTGATAGATTGGATGGCTTCCCTGCGACACTCGATTCCACCCCTCGACGCTTCTCAACAGGCGCCGCGAGAGTTCCCATGCCCACACCGCACGTCATGGCCGCACAGGCGGCTGCAGAGGAGGTATTGGAAGAGAGACGGTCGAGGACACCTCGAGAACATCAAGAGCTCAGCGCTGCAATATCACGATTCCAGATCTGCTCCGATACCCCCTCCATCGCGCGACTGGCGGCGCTGACGAGTCCTTGTTATTTCCACAAGCGGTTTGGGGACGCGGTGGATATTCAGAAGGTGTTGGAGGAGATCAAGTGCGATGATGAGTTGTCTCATAGTCGGTTGATGCAGACTGCGGCTTCTGTGAGGGAGGTTTCGAGACAATTGCAGAGGAGACCGTTGCGACGGGCTGTGCGCAATGTCATGATCATCACCAAGGCGCGGGACAACAACTTGGTTACTTTGACGAGGGAGTTGGCGGAGTTCTTGTTGGAGACGCCGAGATATGGGAAAGACGTGGGTGTGCATGTCTGGGTGGATTCGAAGTTGCGACGATCGAAGCGGTTCGACTATGACTCGCTGATGGCGCAAGATGAGACTTTCAAGGACATGCTGCATTTCTGGACACCTGCGCTATGCTTGGAACGACCTGAGCTATTTGATCTGGTCATTACGCTTGGAGGTGATGGTACAGTCCTTTATACTTCGTGGCTGTTCCAGCGGATTGTTCCTCCTGTGCTGGCCTTTTCCCTGGGATCACTTGGATTTCTCACCAACTTCGACTTCTCGATGTACAAGGAACAACTGAATCGGATTATGGGCGATCAAGGCATGCGTGTCAACATGCGAATGCGGTTTACGTGTACAGTGTATCGATCCGCAGCTTCATCAGTCGCAGCATCCTCAGCATCCTCAGCAAGCGTATCAACAACGACCAGCCAATACGGAGGCGACGGACAATCCAGCAAGATTGAAGGCGAAACTCACGAGGTGTTGAACGAGCTGGTTATCGACCGTGGTCCAAGTTCATACATTTCAAGTCTGGATCTCTACGCCAACGACAGCTTACTCACGCGAATCAGCGCCGATGGCATTATTCTTAGCACACCTACGGGAAGCACGGCATACTCGTTGAGTGCGGGTGGGAGCCTGGTGCATCCTGACATTCCTGCCATCTTGCTCACCCCGATCTGTCCACATACATTGTCATTTAGACCGATGCTGTTGAACGATGACATGGCACTGAAAGTTGCGATACCATCGACTGGACGTGGCGGTGCGTTTGTGTCGTTTGACGGCAAAGGTCGAGTGGAACTTGGTCGTGGGGATGAAGTCGTCGTGCGAGCTTCGCAATACCCTTTCCCGACCGTAATGGGTCAACCTCTGGAATGGTTCGACAGTATATCTAGGACTCTCCGGTGGAACACCCGCGCCGCCGAGCAGAAGGACTGGGCTGGTGGGGCGGCTGGCCACGGCGATGGTGATGGAGCTGACATGGTGGAGAATGAGGAACGAGAGAAAGGATCACGAAGGAAGGAGCCCGAGTTCGATATTGATTTTGAAGACGATGATGACCTCCCCTCATCGACCAAGGACAGTGGGTATGGCAACTCAGAGGCAGGAAATGGGTCTGAGAAGCGGTGGAGCTAAACCACTCTACGACAAGCTGGAAAAGGGAAATCTGGAGAGGGGTGTGTGGAGAAACAGACATTCGCGTCGCCCCAATGACCTGGAGAGGTGGGTATGCATTTCTCGCGGTTATTTTGCGTCGGTGTTGCAAGGGCGCGTCAAGGGTTTTACGGGATGGGTGGGTCCTGGGTCTCGCGTGTTGATGTTCGGTGGAGATGGCATGTGAATGTCGATGAGATACAGAAGAAGAAATTCTATACTCTTGCATAGACGAGAGCGATACACCGACTCGATGAATGGGTTTCTCCACATGCTATGTATGGATCAAGGTTTTCTCTCGTAGATACCGATTGTGTGCTTTTGCATGTGAAGACAGACGATGAAACTTGACGCCGTCTATTTATAAAGAAATGCGGTTGAGACCGAAACGTGCACATGTGAAGACTGATGGCGGCACTGCCGAGAACAACGGGACCTGAGGTTTGCGTGGCGAAAGGCTTGACCAGCGGTTGAGCAACTCAAAACACCACTCGCACACCCGTCACCACGTCCTTTCGAGCAACACGACCCAAGCGGCCCACATTATTATGCGTCCCGCCAGCTGCTCGGATCGGGATGAAATCCCTCTCTCTCTGCCATGATCAGTCTCACTCAGCAGCATTCGTGTTGGCCCAGTGTTTTTCCTCACCCGCCGCCGCCGCCAGCTCTTCGGTGGGAGCGCCTATCAAAATGACCACGCAAAGGCAGCGACAGCAAGACAGAGATTTCTTCCTCGCGCTGAGATAGCAATGTTCCACGGACGGATTGCTCGGAACACAAGCCAGACGCCGCATTCCTCACATCACTCAGCAGACCGACTCCACCCTCCCGACTTCCCACACAGACAGTCGTTCGCTCGGCCTACCCAGTGCGGGAGATCCGGTGGGTCTCTGATAGCAGCGATGGGTCTTGGTGTGTGATTCCTACGCGCACGCCTTGGTCGATGCTGCTTCGTCTGGAACGCATCGCGACATGGTGCTGTGGGACTCGCTACAGTCTACGTCCACCTGCGTCATACGCCAAGGGAAGTCTGTCTATCAAGGAGAGCGGGTGAGTAGTTGTTGTGTGTGTAGGTGGTGCTTCTCTGCCATACAAAGCACAAACCGCACTTTTCTCTGTCTCGTTTCTCAACCACTCTTACACGACACTTTCTGCGCGCCCGAGATTCTCGCACGACTCCTATCTCTCTTGGCTTGCCTCCTGATTACGAATTAGCTCGCTCTCAGCAGAGAGAAGATCTCGCGGGCTTTTCGCGTCCTTGTTCCATTTCTCCCAGTCTCTCTGGCGTTCGGCTGGGGTCCAGAGGTCTCGCCCCAAGTACCTTTGTACCCAACGCTACCGGGTTGGCTTATATCAAAAGACGACAGTGCATCCGACGAGTGCGAGAGGAACACTCTATACCTACACGTCTGACGAATTTTTCTTGCTCTTCTCTCCCACTTCTTTGGAATACACACTGGGGAGAGGCTACGCTCGCTACTTAATACTAATATTCGCAAACACGTTTTCTTTGTCCTCCCGGCCGGCGTGACTACTCTGGAGGCTAAATACGGCACAAACAAAAACTTCGAGCGAAACCCAGGGTCCCGGATCCGGCCACGGCCATAATACCTGCCCACGGCCAGAAATTGTCATTGTTTGGTCGACACATCTACCCCGGATTCCATCTGGAGTGCAATCATCATGTCGACTCCGACCGAGGAGTATTCCAATCCCTTCGTGGATCCGCGAAACATGTCGGAGTCGCCGAAACACAGTCCGGATTCCAGCGGCGTTGTAACGAGTGCTGAGGGAGGAACTCCTGCGAATGGAGAGAGACCTAGAGGCAAGAAACGAGTGGGCTTCACGGGAGGGACGCCATCAGAGGGACCGAGTCAAAGAACGAGCTTTGTCGATCCGGATGGGACGTATTCGCCGTATAGTGAGAGTCCGAACTTTGGATCGCCGGATGTCAGTGGCAACAACACGCCGCCTACAAACAGCCATACGAGGAATAGTAGTGGGGATCTATTGCTGCCGCCAAGTGCGAGCAAATCTCATTTGCCGGAATTGTCAGAACAGCAGACGGAACAGCTTCGAGATTCGCTGAGTCGAAGTTTGGATGTACCTCGTCCACGACCGGCGTTGAGACGAGGTGGATCGACCAAGGCGACGGAACCTGAGGATGCGATCGAAGGGCCGGATGATGATGGGGCGAGAGCACTGCGGCAGGCGAGTGCGCGGAAGGCTTTTGAAAGAGGCAAGCAGCTTGAGAGGGACGAGTTGAGTTATTCGGCACCTGCATCCAGACGGTCTTCGCCGACTCGTGGGAGAGCGATCCCTAGCCTACGCATGGACGACATTCCGTTGAAGGACTTCAACGACGACAAGTCTGAGGTGTCCGACAAGGAAGATGATCACCTCCCTCCCCTCCAGCGTCAACGGAAAGCGTCTCACGCCGAAGCATTCAACTTGGTCAGGAGGCATACGTCCGCCCGCGATGCCCTTGAATCCAAGCCCAGCTCAGGCGATCTCTCCTCTGGCACTCGATCTGGAGCGGTGACGCCGACCGAGGAGCAAAAGTACTTCATGGAAGACTACCAGCCCAAACCAAAGGAGTATCGAGGTGGTATTCTGGGCTCGTTGCTCAAGCTGTACCATGACGAACAACAACCCGGCGGCCCTGGAATGCCCAAAGCACACCTTAGAACCGGCAGTAGCGGTGGACACAGCGCACTTTCGAGCCCTGCCCATTCGCCTCCATCTTCTGGTGCTACTACACCTACCTCCCATTGGTACTCCTACAAGAGTAAGAATCAATCCGCTTCGTCCCTCGCCACCTTGATTGGTACCTCGTCTGCCATTGGCTCTCCCGCTGTGTCTGGCTTGGGCGAGCAGGTCAGCCAACGACTGAAGGAGCAGCAACAAGAGCAGGCCAAACGCCCTGGTATGGGCAAGCGGTCTCGAAGTGGTGGTGCGCTGGCAGCTTTCAACCGCATGAGCAGACCTAGACTGCAGGAAGAGTATAAAATTACCGCACACATCGCCGAGACGATCACACGGCAAAAGTACCTGTTGCGGCTCTGCAAGGCTTTGATGCAGTACGGTGCGCCTACCCATCGATTGGAGGAGTACATGATGATGAGTGCGAGAGTTCTGGAGACCGAAGCACAGTTTCTGTATATTCCTGGTGCCATGGTGGTCTCTTTCGAGGATCGGACGACGCATACGAGTGAGGTGAAGTTGGTTAAGGTTGCACAGGGATTGGATCTCGGGAAGCTACGCGATGTTCATGAGATCTATAAAGAGGTAGTACACGATCGACTGGGCGCGGAAGAGGGGATTAATCGACTGAGAGAAGTGACGGCACGAAAACCCAAGCACAACCGACTTTTTCGACTACCTGTCTACGGCTTGGCTGCTGTATGTGTCGGGCCTTTCGCCTTCGGAGCCAGGCTTATCGACCTTCCCATATCCTTCTTCCTGGGCTGCATCCTAGGCTGGCTCCAACTTTGGGTCGCCCCAGCCTCTGACCTTTACGCAAACGTCTTCGAAATCGCCGCCTCGGTCATAACCTCCTTCCTCGCCCGCGCCTTTGGCAGCATCCGCGGCGGCGAACTCTTCTGCTTCTCCGCCCTCGCCCAGTCCTCCATCGCCCTCATCCTCCCAGGCTACACCGTCCTCTGCGCCTCCCTCGAACTCCAATCCCGCCAAATCGTCGCCGGCAGCGTCCGCATGGTCTACGCCATCATCTACTCCCTCTTCCTAGGCTTCGGCATAACAGTCGGCACCGCCATCTACGGCCTCCTCGACCGCAACGCCACCTCGGCCACCGAATGCTCCAACACGATCCCCAAATACTGGTTCTTCTTCTTCGTCCCGGGCTTCACCATGTGCCTCATCATCATCAACCAAGCGAAATGGAAACAAGCCCCCGTCATGATGATCATCGCCTTCGCCGGCTACGTCGTTAACTACTTCTCCGCCATCCGCTTCGCCGGCAACACGCAAATCTCCAACACCCTCGGCGCGCTCGTCATCGGCGTCCTCGCCAACTTGTACTCCCGCATCGGCGGCAAGCTCGAAAACCGCATGTGGGACCTCTGGGAGGACCGTCTCCGTCCGCGGTGGAAGTCTCTCCGCAAACGCGTCTCCCGCCACCAGGGCCGGAGGAAGTCCGCCAAGGTTCTGGAGGAGGGCAGTCTGGCCAACGACACCGAGTCCGTCATGTCGGCTTTCAAGCCCGCTGCTCGACGGGTAGGATACGGACTCGCAGCCGCGGCTATGCTGCCTGCCATCTTCGTGCAGGTCCCCTCTGGTCTTGCGGTGAACGGGTCTCTCGTAGCGGGTATCGCGTCCGCGGACCAAATTACTGGCAATGCGACGAATGGAACGACGGTGGTGAATAGCACGACGATCGCGAATGCGGCGGAGAGTTTGAATAGTATTGCTTTTACCGTGGGGTATTCGGTGATCCAGGTGTAAGTTCTCCGCCTCCCCTCCTGCTCACCGTACGAGTGGAGATTTGCTAACGAAGTTGTGCAGTGCGATCGGCATCACCGTCGGCCTCTTCCTCTCCGCCATCGTCGTGTATCCCTTCGGCAAGAGGCGTTCAGGTCTGTTTAGTTTTTGAAAAGCGAGTCAAGCGAGCATTACACTATACTATTGCTATGTTGTATTGTTGTGTTATTGTACTTTTCAGCGACGGTGAAAGGGTGGGAACAACAGGTACCAGCGAGGAATTGGAGCCTTTGGAGATTGGAGTCTTTGGAGAAACCGCTGTTTGGACTTTGTGTGCAAGAGATACCCAGATAGACCATTGTGTGTTACATGATCAACGGCCGGAAAGTAATGATTACTTTGCTGAGGAAAGACTTGAATTCTGGATTCCTCTTCTCAGGCACTTCATTAGTGCACACATCACCATGCTTTTCTCGTGGCAATGTGGAGCGCTTGTGACCACGGCACAGAGAATGGCCGACTCAGGCAAGATAGTAGTCGATCGAGAGGCTGGGGTCGTCTCGCGCATGGGATAACAATTGAACAATGTGCTCGAGGTGGCTGTGTGACTGGGGGGTGCTGCCGCAGAACAACCAACCCCCTGCATGTAGGCGCCGACCAAGTCTCCCTTTCAGGCATTGCACACCGGTTGCTGCGTCGCTCATCGTGTGCAATTGCTTTCGAAGGTTCCTATGTACTCTTCAATTGCAAGAAAGCGAGGTCGTACACTCACATACGGGATCCTTTCGTTCTTGTGTAACATCTGAAGTTGGCAGACCCCGTAGAGGGGACGAGGATCCATCGAGACGTGAGAAAGGTGCAGGCCTGGACATCCCACGCTTCGAAATTGAACGTGCACGCCTGCATGAACACTTTGAAAGCGAGTACCCGCGCCGCACTCGTGCACAAACCTCAGGATACGTGCATGTACGCTCAAGCTCATCGGTATTGGTCACTTGATGGAACAAGCGTCGATATGATGAGGCCGTGCCCGTTTCATTCATCGCTGAGGAACAAGGATAGGAGCGTAGTAGACGTGCTCGAGAGTTGTTATAAAGTTGCATTCACTTGCTCTCGACTAGTCCCCCATCTGACTTCGTTAGTGCACAAAGCAACCACACCTTCACACAGATATCACATGTCTACTGTTATTTACCCTCCATACTCTTCCCTCTCTTTACCCAATGATCAGAGTTCTTTTCGTCTGCTCTCGATCCAAGGCTCTGTGGATGTGAACTCGCCCATTGTCACCAGTCTACGCCTTGCCCAGCTTGATGAGAAACCCGAATTCGAGGCCCTTTCCTACCACTGGGGCACTGGCAACGCAACAGAAGATGTGCTGGTCAACAACGAAAAGCTTCCCGTCACGCCGAACCTCGCAGCCGCTCTTCGTGCTCTACGGCTACAGAACAAGGCGCGGGTCGTATGGATCGATGCGATCTGCATCAATCAAGCCTACAACCCAGAGAAAAACCTTCAAGTCGGCCTGATGAGGAGGATCTTCGCCACATCGTCCAGAGTCGTCGTCTGGCTTGGACACAGTGACACCTTGAGTCACGAAGCCTTCAAGGTCATGCAGAAGCCGGCTGGAAAGCGCTACCAGAATGTTCTCGAGGCGGTCCTACGCAGACCCTGGTTCAGGCGTGTCTGGGTTGTGCAAGAAGTCGCTTTCGCCCCCAGTGTCACAGTACAGTGTGGATCAGACACCACTGAGTGGGACTCGATCATTCGCCATTGTTCTCAGCTGGGACGGCTCCGCTCGGTCATCGACCCGGATGCACCCCCAGGCTCAAAGCACTTCCATCCTTCGTTCTACCCACGAATCTTGGACGCCACGCGCCGCAAGGTTCAGGCCGGTGGTAGGTTGCCATTACTGGAGGCCTTGAGGAGTTTCCGTGCCTTCGACTCGACTCGAGCGGTTGACAAGGTCTACAGCATCCTGGGTCTTCTTGAGGACCCAAAGGTAGTCACAGTCGCCTACGATAGACCTGCCGAGGACGTCTTCCGCGAAGTAGCCATATACAGCATCCATACCTCACAGCGGCTAGATCTTTTCCGAGACTGTTTACCCGAGGAAGGACATGTTCCAGTAAATACCTGGGTTCCTGACTGGGCGAGTAAGGAGCAGGCTGTCGAACACGACATCGAGTACTTTGCGGCAGAAGAGCCATTCGGGGCAAGCTGTGACAGTCCCTTCGGCGATGTTGCCGTTGGACAGCACGGTAGTCTGCAAGTATCAGCCCAAGTTATCGCGACCATTGCAGAGCTCTCCCAAGGCTTACCCAGCTACGAAGACATCCGCAAAGGCATCTTACCATCAGGCCGTGTGCTACCATCCAGACGATGGTTCGAAGTCATTTCTCACCTGTTGAGCATTCCCGAGAGCTGGAGTGCAATAGGATGTAGGATCAATGGCGATGACGGTACCTTGCAAGACCAGTACGGGACAAACGAAACAGCGATGGAGGCGCTCTACAACACGCTATGCAATCTAGCGCCACCGTTCTCGGATCTGGAGACTGCACGTCAGTTTGATAAGTGGATGACATTCGTCGAGATGTTTCAATCTGCTGCCCGCCGATGGCAGACACGTATTGCACAAGCTTTACCTTGGATGATTGTATGGCTTGTGAGCGGACCATACGCGGTATTGATCGTGACGATGCTGCTGTACCACGCCTGGAAGGGTGATATTGTCCTGAATCCTCCACGGCCTCCAGTCATACCGTTTCGCTCGACCTGGTTGCTGGGTCGCACGGATAACGACCTTCTCGGAATATTTCCAGCGCCGACATTTGTCGCACCTCGGGCGATATCTTCCAGAGTCGGAGATGCGGTAATGATATTGAAAGGAGGTGCACGTCCATATGTGTTGCGAAAAGAGGAAAGCAAATGGCGGCTGATTGGCGATGCCTACGTCCATGGCATCATGCACGGCGCTGCGTTCGATGAGAGCAAGTGCATGACAATCGAGCTGCTGTGAAGATTTGCGACCATTGGTAGCAGGCAAGAGCGCTACAAGGCCCTTCTCTGAACAACCCATGTTTTCTTGCACCGCCACAGCTCGTGGGAAGGTTGTGAGCTAGGATCACGAAGCTCCGCCACAGATCATCACCCAGCATGAAACGGCCGGACGAGCTCTGCTGCTGTTTGTGGCTGTGCCGTGCCAGCAGCGCCACATGGTTTGTCCGCGTACAGCCAGCCAGCGCAGCAGTTGACAGCAGTCTTGTGCGACAGGAACAGATAGATTGCGTGCGCGGTACGGTTCGGCCTTGGGAACGCAGACGCGGAACTAGCAGGCGACCGTGCATCACATCATCATGGGACCGTAATAATGCCTTGGTCAGCTTCCCTGCCAGTAGGCGCGTGAGGCGCCACAGTGATGAGCGCAGGTTTCCGGCGAGATCAGCCAGCGCGGCTCGCCAGGAGTCTGATTCAGGTCGGCTCTGGATGAACAGATCGACGTCCAAGCCTTACAGGTGGTCGTCACGAGAGTTGGTGGTGGCACACAGAAGCTGAATCCACGCGTCCATGAGCGGCCAGGAATATCGCTGCCTTGTGCGAAATAGCGGAAAGAAAGTCATTGCGGTGGTGGTGGTGAGAGATGAACATCAACAACTTGGAAGCTTCGGACTTCGCAACGCGCATGGGCCAAGGAAACACACGTCATGGCTGTGGCGTCACGAGCTAACGGCAAAGGACGTCACATTACCCGCCTCATATAATTCTCCCCCCAACCTTTCTCGCCCTCGGACCAGACAAACCCTCAGCGCAACTGATACCGCAAACAAGACACCACCACCTCTCCAACAGCAACATCAACGAGACCCGTACAACTCGAGTGATCCTTCGACCAACACCGCTGCAATGGCCGTCACTTTGTCGTGAGTTACTCCTACTGCGCGAGCGCAACTCCAGCCATCTCCGGATAGGCGCGGATTGGCATTGCTCGCGAAGAACAACAGCGCCCCAGAAGACACACGATGCAGCGACTGACACGAACGATTCACAGCGACGCCGTGAAGATAGTTTTCGCATTTATTCTCCCGCCACTTGGTGTATTCCTCGAGCGCGGCTGCGGAGCCGACTTCCTCATCAACGTAAGCATCCAAAACAACCACCACCACAACAAGGAACATGCGCCTAATATGTCAACTTTCAGATCCTCCTGACCATCCTCGGCTGGATTCCCGGCATCATTCACGCTCTGTACATCATATTCAAGTACTAGACGGCTCGACCCACTGATCCACCACCTACCACCACGATGACAACCATCCCAAGCGATACCCACTTAACAACGAACATCTCCTTTTACTTCGCGAAAGCTTCCCAGCCAGACAACCACACCCAGCAAATTTCCGACAGGAAGGGATATGAATGAAGGAGAAAGAAAAGACAATAGGTGGAATGAAAGGCCCGACGTAGCGATGGAAACCTCTTCATTATGTGCATACCCTGACTGACTGAGCTTTTGTTTGGGCGTGAGATTGATTGGGGGGTTTTGAGGCTGTGAAGCGTTTTCTTTTTTTGGTGGTGAAGCATGGTTCCTATGTAACAGTAATTGGCAACGAAACCTGTACAGTGCTCAAATCTGCGTCAAGTCATTCTTTTTCTTCACTCATGTCTCACTCACGCGTGGCACATAAAACATTCAAGTTCAATCATGTCATTAGAGTTGAGGGATCTAGTTTCCATCCTTCGATACCACTACTCCCTCGTCTCCGCAAAACGCCTGCCTTCCTTTGGTATCTCAAAGCAGTCTAAGCCCGTATGTGATGATGACTCCCGTTCTCACTCCATTCTACACCTCTCCACTTGACCTACGCTTGCACTACATCACCGAAGAGCCTTCTCAGCAAACTTGGGAAGCACAAACGCGGCCTCGTGCACCTTGGCGCTGTAGTACTTGAACAGCTTATCCTCCTCGGCCTCCTTCAGCGTCCGCAGCGGCTTCTTGACGTCGCGGCTGCCGTCCTTGCTGCACACCAGGAAACCGATCTGGCCGCTGGGGTACGTGGGGATCGTGGTCCACGCAAATTCGGCGATGGGGAAGACGGTCTTGACTTGCTTCTTGAGGTTCTCGATCAGGCTCAGGTGCAGCCAGAGGTTCTCAGCTATTGAAAGACAAAGTGTCAGTAAAACGTAGTGCTAATCCACCGGACTGGTTATCCTAGATGGACGGGGACAGGGCTTACAACCTTGGGTGGTAATGATACCGCCCTCACGTAGGGCGCCGTGGAGGAGCTCGAAGTACGGCTTCTGGAAAAGCGACTCGGCGGGCCCCTCGGGGTCAGAGCTGTCGGTGATGATGACGTCGAAGGTGTCCTTGTAGTCCTCGAGGAACTTGAAGCCGTCGCCGACGTGGACCTTGACGTTGGGGTGTTGGAAGCCCACGCTCATGCCGGGGAGGTACTTCTTGCTGAGACGGATGACGGCCTCGTCGATGTCGCAGAGGATCGCCTCTTCCACGCTCTCGTGCTTGACGACCTCGCGGAGGACGCCGCCGTCGCCGCCGCCGATGACGAGGACTTTCTTGGGGTTGGGGTGCGAGAACATGCCCAGGTGGGTGATCATCTGAGAAAAGCAGCCCTCGTCAGTATCCACTTTGTGCATATGACTCGACCTTCGAACTCACCTCTTGGTACGAGAACTCATCCCGCTCGGTGCACTGAATGACATTGTCCAGCACCAACACCATACCATAGTCCGAGCTCTCAAAGATGAGCACATCCTGATACTTGCTCTTCTCGTGATGAACGACCTGGTTGACCTTGAGCGTCATAGCCTGGCCAGGCCACATGTCGCTGATCTCGCGGAACCAGCCATCCTTGATCGTGGGGTGGGTGATTTCTGCCATTGCGGCGGTAGTGGTGGTGTTCGAGGTCGGTCGTAGTTGGAGTCGGTGTCGAGAAGTTGGGGTGGGTGATGCAAGCGAGCGTCGGAAGTGAAGAGGCAAAGTATTGTCACGCCGAGGGTGAGCAAACAGGTTTGTCGTGGTTTGGGGAGGTGTTGCAGCAGCAGCAGCATTCGTTGCAAAGATTTCGTAGCTTTGCCGGGCAAGACCCTGGCCGTTTTGTTCGAAGCACCCCCACATTCACTTCACCCCACCTTCCGTGGCTAACGACTGTCACATGAAGACGACACTAATAAGTTAGCGACATCTGATTTCACATGTGAAGAAGTTCACATGTCAGTGTAATTTGGTGCTAAGAGTCATCATATCTCTCACATGAAGATCTTCAAAGGCCCCTTGACACGGCCACGAAGTTCTAGCAAAGTTCATTCTCCCATAGAGCTCATACGAATCCTTCCTCAACACAGCGACAGCCAGCTAACCAACATTGAAAAACAATCATCCAGCCACCTAACCACGCTCAACAACCCTCAACCTCACCCTCGTATTCCGCGGCTCAATCGTCAAAAAATCATTCGCCTCAAAATCCACCAACTCCCGCGGCAACTCCAGCAGCTCAAAATGCCACAGCAGCACGACCAACAACACCCGAAACTCCAGCATCGCAAACTTGGTGCCGAAACACATCCGCGGCCCATCAGCAAACGTCAGCATCGGCGCCGCCCGATTGTCAAACTTGACGCTGCCGTCTTCCTGCTTCACGAGCCAGCGATCCGGACGGAAGACGTCGAGGTCCGTGTGGCTGTGGCTCCACATTCGCGAGGTGGTGTTGCCGGTGCGTTTGCTTTCGTCGATGGGGAGGGCGGGGGAGGTGAAGCTGGGTCCGACAGGCTGGACGTTTGATTCAGCATATGATGTCTGGAGAGATAGTTTTGGGTGCCGTTTTGGGTGACTTACCGGCATGAAGACATTCGTTCCTTTGGGGATGAAGTGGCCGAGGAGCTGGGTGTCGACTAGGCTCGTGCGAATGTGGCAGGGGATGATGGGCATGTGGCGAAGGACTTCGTGGGCGACTGCGTCGCAATGGGGGAGGTTGGCGGGGATGATGTCCTCCTTGGGGATTGTTGAGACGTTGCCGAAGACGGCCTTGAGCTCGGCGCGCACTTTTTGTTGCACGTCCTGATCGGATGTCAGTAGTCGAAGAAAATGGTTTTATGAAATGACTTACCTGATGCACAGCAAGATACTTGAACGCCCACGCTGTCGTATCCGCAACAGTCTTCTGCCCGGCATGCATCATCAACGCCAACTCGTTTTGCACAGCCTTCAACTCCGAAGCCGGAATTTCGTCGCCAAAAGTCGCCTGTAATCTATTCAACATCGACGCCATGGCGCTCTCGTCCGCTGGTAGCTTCTTCTCCGAGAGACGCTTCGCCGCTTGTTTAACCTCATGCTCCAGCCTTGCATCATGCACGGCGGTAGCACGACGCAGTTTGGGCGTAAGTCTTAGCACGAGCTTCTGGTGCGTGATGCCGAGTGGTGACTCGAGCGGGATCTGTGATGTCGCTGAGATGTCGATGATGGCTTTCAGGACGTCTGGGAGCTTCGCGGCGAGAACCTGATTATCGAGGAGTTTGTTGCTCTCATTCAATGCTTCAATCTGTGAAGAAACGGCCCCAAGCTTGCCATTGTACGAGTACGTCCAGATACTAGTATTCGAAGAGTCAGCAAACCAAACCCTCCCCAGGCGAGAAAGCAAGAAAAATACTCACATATCAGCCGTAGCATTCTTCAAATCCTCCCTAACATCAAAAACCTCCCCCCGTGCCAACCTCGCCTTCAACGCCAACAACTCCACCAACTCCCCCGCGCCCCGATACATCGCCTCCAACCCGACCGAATTCACAAACCGCGACGTCGTCGTCTCCCCCAACATCCTACGATTCGCCCTCCACCGCTCATTCGTCTTGAGCGCCGCCAACGTCCCCGGCCACGCCCCGCGATGCAGATCGATCGCGAAATCCGCGTACTCGAACTCGTGCGCGCGCCGCGTCATGAGGTCTTGGGCTTCGCGGCCGTCGCAGAGGAGGAGGCAGGGGCGCCCGAAGGGTTGCATGAAGAGTTGGAGGAGGGGGACGCCAAGGTCTTCGGCGGGTTTGTAGAAGTAGCTGCTGAACTAAAAGTGAAGGGTAGAAGGTCAGCGAATGTCTTAGACACGAAATGGGGGGACCTTCTGCCCTTCAGTATACGTACGCGGCCGGCATGCTTGGTGTGCGCGAGGGCGAGGGGGAGGTTGCCTAGGAGGTTTTTTTCGGAGCCGGGGACGTAGGGGATTCCCGGGAGGGGTTTGGGGAGGGCGGCGCGGGAGGCGAGGTAGAGGATGGCGGTCAAGGCCAGGAGGACCAAGATCGTTGTTGGGGAGAAGATGGTGTCCATGGCGTGTGGGAATGGATCTTGGGAGAGGGACCTGCCAAGTCAATCTCTAGAAAGAGAACGAAAGGCTGAAATAGATAAATGTATCCAAGTTCAGCTGCACCCTAAACCTGCCCGTGCCTGTGGGAAGAGCGTCAGCTCCGTTGCCCGGCGCCTTACATGTAAATGAGCAACAACAGATCGATAAAATGACAAAAGTAACGAGCTTCTAGGGCACCCTAAGAAGACCTAGTTGCGCCACGCAAACACTCCCTTTCCTTGTTCCTCACCAGATCCACTCGGACTCCTCGCCCCGTAGATATAGGGAGGCATAGCAAAGCCAGTCGCGAATCGCCTCAAACATCCTGAACGATAAAGAGGACACCGGCAACGCCGCGTGGAGGCATCGCAGGGTAGTGACGCAGCGGGAACGGCCAATGCTCCTTTCGGCACACGACCTCGTTCCAACACCTCATCCACGGTAGCGAAGTGGTAAAGGTGCTGTCGTTGGAAGAAGCTTCGCCTCGCTCCAAGTCAACCCTATAGTCAGGACTTGTGGCATGGTCCTTCTAACCAATCAGTGGTCGAGAAGTCGTATTCCAGAAAGCCGTGGGACGTATACCGTCGTCGAGGATCTTCATCAGTCTAGTAGTATGGCGGTGATACCACGCCGTTCAGGACGCTATACTCAGCCACAGGAACGACGAGCAGGCGACAGCGACGAACGCAGACACAAGTCGTCTTCAAGGATCAGGTTTTGCCGTGCCACGTAGGGCCGAGATCCCAATCGTCCAATACCAACGAGCTCCCGAAACAGGTCAAAGTCTCGAGTCTTGCATGCCGAACCAGTAGGGCACCTTTGCGAAGATGAGGTTCTCTTGTTGATCATTAGTACATATCTCACATAATCATATCCTCAAGGTCTTTCGTTGAGTATCTTGACAAAGCCCTTTCCCTCTCTCTTTTCCCCCTCGAGTCTTTTGAGCGCCGACGCAGTGAACGCAAGTAGATCTTTGACACCGAACGAAGATGGTATCATCCGCAATATCGCTTCCCAAAGGCTGAACCGAACATTAAACACTCGCTTCTTTTCCTAATCATGCACTGGCACTCGCTCTCGAATGCTTGTCCACTCTCAGCCTCTCCAGAATGCCCTTGATGCCCTCTCCCAGTCCTTTTCCTGCGTCGACCTCATCTATCAGGACCAACGCCTTCTTGGTCAGGCCCCGCAATATCCGGCGCGTGTAGCTGAAGCTCCCGCATCGCTCCATGTACCCCACGGCGTACTTCTTCACCTCGTCGTCCGTTGTCTTCTGCTTCAAGATGTTGATCAAGACCAGATTCGACGGGTCTGAACGGATGGCATGGATAATGGGAAAAGAGAATTTGCCTTCGGTGAGGTCCTCGCACAGGCCTTTGTTGTGGGTATATGTCGTGTCAGAGAGGTTGCGATAGTCGTCGAGGATTTGAAAGAGCAGGCCGATCGTATTGACAAGTGGGACGTAATCAGATTTCTCCTGAGGTTCGAGCTGATTCGAAGATCCGGCAGGATAGTTGTGAGAAGGCGATTCGGCGCACATGAGCTTGATCGCAAGTCGGAATAGACCACCGGTCTTGTTCCCGACCATTTCGAGATAGTCATCCTCCGTCGGACAGGTCAGGGTATCTCGCCAAAACAGGTCCATTCCCTGACCACGATGGAGGTTGAGCAGCTCCTCGTTGTATATTCGGATCACATCAGGATTATTAAGGGTCAGCAGTTCTTGTAGCGCGAGGAAGTAGACATAGTTGGCGCTATTGATCGTCTGCGCCGTGCCAAAGATGCTGTGCGCGACCGGAATCCCCCTTCTCAACTGAGAGTTATCCTCCACATCATCAATAAGCAGCGACGCCGTATGCAGCATCGAAACCACCCTCGTGATAACCTGCAACGACGCACTAGGCACCTGCAACCAAGCGTTGAACGCCGAAATCATCTGCGATCGAATATCCTTGCCCGGATGCGATTCCAGATAATCATACGGGCCCTTCAAAATATTCTCCTTCTCCAGATTCCAGCTCGTGGCCGTGCCGTTGATGAGATCCGACCCGATCATGGCGGGCGGCGGCGACAGCGATTCGGAGTGTTGCGAGAACCTCGTCGGCGCGGGACTGGATGTTATCCTCGATGTTCTGCTCTGGGCCATCCACTCCCGCTCGTCCACTTCAGGCAGCCGTCTCCGCTCTTCAGGCACCGATCCCAGGCTGCGATGCTTCTTGGGCGATTTCTGTTTGGGGCTGATGGTGTGGTCTCCGTTGACGACGGCGTTGCTCGAGCTCGTCCGTACGGGGATCGCGGCGGGGTTGACGTGGGACGACGAGGGGGGCGAGGAGCTGGAATTGCTTATGTTGTCGGTCGTTTGCGGCGTGTGAGTAGAAGCGGTTGTGGTTGTGGTGGCTGTTGCAGTAGTCGTAGCGGAGCTCTGCATGTCTTCTCGAAACCGGCTGAGCCTCGCATCTGACTTGGCCTTTTTGGGGCGGGTGGGCGTCGGGGTGGAGTTGCTTATGGAACCGGCTATGGCGGCGGTGGTGGTGGGATACAGCGAGTATCTCGTCCGTCTAGGCTCGACGTCGTGGGCTCGGTTTGCGCCGTTGGTATTGGTTGAGAGGTGCAGCTGGAAGCTCGGAGGGGTTTGAGTCGGCAGCATCGCTCTCACCAACACTCACGCGCTGTTGGTACCGTTCCAACCCTCTCAACGACTGCGGGTGTAGCTGTAGCTAGAGGTCGAGCAGGTGACAGTAGACATTTGACATGTGATGGTCAGAAGACACAACCGCCGCCTTCTTCCCTCTCACACGCCCAGCCCAATTCCATCACGCACCCTACGTTGCCAACGCTTTGACGACAAGAGGGAGCTTTGGGCACCAGGAAGCTACCCAAAATGTCCCAAACTCTCTGCCGCCGCTGCCTCCTTCGATTGGTTCATCGTCGACGCCACAATGGCTACGCCTGGAACATGCCTAGCCAGGCCGACTTCACGCCTGTTCCTGCAGATAACGTGGAAGCAGAGCAAAAGTGTACTGTAATGGCTGAATGACCGACTGGATCGGGACCAGCGGCGGTATAACAAAGTAGCTTCGAGCTGCGAACCAGGCACGAACGCAATCGGATATGGAGACGTGCAGGGATGTGCGAATGTCAATTGCTACACCGCATCGAGGTGTTGAGAGGATTTGACTCAAGCAAAAGGATAGTAAGTTGGAAGAGACATCTCCAATTGTATTAAGTTTATCATTCGAATCCCTGGTATCATTAAGCCCATTTCCTTCAATTGCCCAAAACGCCGTTCACCACGCCAACAAGCAAAAAGGTATCATATCTATCCACCACCATCTGTCTCTATCTTCTTCCATCTTCTCCTCATCGTCTTGTTTGATCTACTGCGGTCCCTTCCTATTATCCTCCTCATCACCCGCATACGCAAAATGCGAATACTTGCGAATCGCCGCCCCCTTGAAGTAAAACACGTACGGGATCGCACAGCACGCCAACCCAATAAACGCCAACAGCGTGCTGGCCCATTGGTAGCCGAGACGGTTGTACATCTGGTTCGTGAAGAGCACGACTCCGGCACCCCAGAGGGAGCGGATGAAGGTTTTGGCGGCGAGGGCGCTGGCTGCTTGGTGTTGGTAGGAGTCGACGAGGTAGTTGTTGGCGGAGTTGTAGAGGAAGATGAACCCGAATCCTACAAACCATCCGCCGAAGATGGATGGGCCAAACCATGGGAGGCTGGGGTACGATGTCCAGGCGAAGATGAAGAGGCCGGTGGGGATGAGCCAGCAGGAGAACATCATGGGGATCAGGCGGGCTTCGGCCGGGGGCTTGCCGTTGTGCTTCTCGACGAGCGTGAGGTAGTGCTTGTTGACCCAGGGAGAACAGGCTGCCGACATCATGACTCCCACAGCGATCGGAATGAACATCAGTCCTGTGATGGAAGCGGAGTAGCCTTTGCCTTTTTGATAGATGATCGGGTAGGCGACGAAGAACATGTAGAGAAGGCCGTAGAGGACCGACATGTAGAGGGAGATGAAGAAGACGATAGGCTCCATGCTACGGGAAACTGTTAGCAATAATTCTCGGGGCAGATAGGGGCCGGTCGACTTACAACAAAAGCTGGAAGGGCCTGATGAGGAAGACCCTCAATCGCTCGCTCAAAGGTCGCATATCAAGATCCTGTTCGGTGACGAACTTGTCCTCGTTCTGCTCCTTGCGCATCTTCTTCGCACGACTCGCCAGGATCGTTGGCGCGTAGGTCTCCGGAACGGTGAAGGTGATCAGGAACCAGCAGAATCCCGAAAGGATGAGTTGCAACCAGTAGAGCCAGCGCCAGTTGAGGTTGTCGAATGTAAATCCACCGATGAGTGGCCCAATTGCTGGACCGATGAACGGCGCTGCGCTGAAGAATGCCATGGGGACTCCTCGCTCTTCGTTCTTCCAGAGATCGGCAAGGGTGCCGCCGACGAGGGTCATGGGAGCTGAGAAGGCGATACCGTCGATGGCACGGCAGACGAGGAGGGTGCCGATGTTCTTGGCCACTGGATAATGGTCAGTGTGTAGGCTTGATAGTCCGTTCTAATCAGCACTTACCAGCACAAGGAATGATAAAGACCACTGCAATCAACAGCGTGCTGGCGTAGATCTTCCGCCTTCCAACGATCTCGCTCAATGGTGCGAATGCCATAGGCCCAACACCAAAGCCCACGACGAACAGCGTCACGGTCAACAACGACACCTCTTCACTAACACCAAACTCTCTCATCGGTCCCTCGATACCAGCTGTAACGACCGCGCTGTCGAATGCCACGGCGAAGCAAGTCAAGGCGACGATCAATGTGCAATACCATTTGTATGCTTTACTCCAGTTCTTGGGGTTCGCTCGATCTCCTGGCGTAAAGGTCACAAGTTCGTATCGCTCGCTCTTGCCGGTCTTGTTCGTCACTACGGGTTGAAGGCCGCTGGGTTGTTCGGTAACATATTCGCCCATGTTGGCTTCCGCTGTGAGGGTACGGTAGGGGAGGTTGACGATGTCGTCGAATTCGCCATTGTTGCTGTGTACGCGCTCTGGCCTTGTCCGTTCCTTCTCGTCCTCTATCGACATTCGACTGCTTGATTCTGAGGATTCGACCATGTTGTCAATCGTTGCTACCTGTTTCTCCCTGCGACGCCGAAGTAGAGGAGTGCTGTATTGGTATGCTGTTGTCAAAGGAAAAGCTAAAAAGCACCTACCTCCCTGGCACTATTCTCTTATATATGAATCAAAGATAGACCGCATGGAATGATTCTGTCACTGAACAGTCAGCCGCGTTGTTACCGCGATGAGCCGCTTGATATCTGCGGAAGAGAATCAAAGAAACATTCTCTTAAAGGTCTTGGCGATGCAGCCGAGCAATGGCCGAACTCCGTGACGTTGCCGTTCTCGAGACCGGGGGTAGAGAAAAGTGAAGCCACAAAATAAGCTGTCGGCTGCGAACTAGGCGTCCGAGAACGGTTCGTTGAGATCTTCCGCACTTGCTTGCCGTCAACATGTGATCCGATCTCAGCTGGTGGCGCTGTCGCGGAGCGCGACGTGCTGGCCGATAGAGCGAGGCAAGCATAAAACGCCCTTATGCCCTGCGCTTATGAACAAAACATCATCGGTTTATCGATTCTTTGAGAGCCACATGCTCATACTGGGTAGTGCAACCACATCAATGGCTTGAACCCTTGGTAGCCTATTTTCGTAGCGGGCGTTTCTTGTCCTACAGCATGGTTGATGATCAAGATCTCGTGCATCGTTACAGCCAGAGCTTGCCGTGACCGGGCCCGTTCCACAAACGAGCCGCGAGATGTCCAGGAAGGCTTGCGGGATCATGTCTTTGCGGAGAGTGTTTTGGTTTGGTGCAATCAGTGGCTGATAGCTGTGATATCATTCTCCTGGATGATATGTCAGTGCCTTGTGATTACGTGCTTGTCGTCGTTCTTCGGTCGTAGCAGGTAGCTGGGTAGCCAGATGAATGTGTTCAAGCACGTTCACTCGAAGGTCAGACACTCGTCGAGGCGTGTTGATATGCGATTGCGTGTCTGCGAGTTGAGGTCTGCATTGTCAGTCTTTGACTATACCTACAAGGCCATTCAGGCACTATCTTCCACCACAGAATGTGCAGTCTGCAATGTCGCCAAGCACGCCTGTTGAAAATTGTCGCCTTCGCAGACTGTGAGCGGAGGCGAAGAATTTCTGCTTCGGTGAGTGAACGACCGGTGATCAAACCGAGGCGATCCAAACCAGGCAACTTGTTCTCGATGTCGACTGTCGGCAACATGTTCGTGCTGCGCCTCGATACAAGACCATACTGACTCGACATGAAACGAAGGAGATGTTTCAACATGTCGAACTCTCACGATCATGCGGAATGCTGACGGTCGACGGGGATCGAGGTCGAGGTCGCGACTTCTTCCCGTCCAGCGGGGCCAAAGCTCACGCATTGCGCCTTCTGTTCTGCAGGGACACCGCGATCAACATCACTCGCAACACTCCGGCTTCCTCAAGAGGTCTCGTGTGTCGCCGTGAACGGATGTGATCTGGACAGGGCGCATCTCAGCGGCGTCGAGAATTCTCACGCTGCAGAACCAGGGTTCCCCGTCGAGCCCAATGACTCGAGAAATCTCACCGCGATGTTTGCCAGCCACGAATGAGACGAGTCGAGTTCTCGGGCAAGTCGCATCTCGTGTGTCCTCACGCGCCAGATTGCAACGGGTTGCCAATGCGTCGTTCGCATCCGGGATGATCAGCTCTCACTTTGGGCGAACAACCAGAGAGGCTGGAATCGATGACCGGGCATCGCGGCAAAAATCTCTGCGCTTGCTGCGGTTCTGCCAGGTTTCTGGGAAATACGCTGGTCAGTGTGAGAGATAGTGTGCGTCGTAATGACAGGCTTCCCAGCTCATATCGCTAACAACTCGCCAGGCTGGAGCCCGACGGTGCTGCACATGAGATCGATATCACGTGCGGTCTCTTCTCTCGCCTACGAGAACACACACATATCTCTGCGTGCAAAACCTGCTTCCCGTGCGGCCTTCGAGAAAGCGAGTCGCTGCGAGTGGTCGCCCAGAGTTCCGTCATTGCATGCGCCTGCACGACTCGCAGGAGGAGCTTGACGTGGCAGCACAAAGGCCGAGGATGAGACGAAGCGTGCCATCTGCGCAGCGAATCCGCGATGCTCAGGCCCCTGCTCGTCACAACGCTATCGCTGGCCGCTGCAGCGTCTCCTTTCCATCACACGAGTCACGTCAGCGCAAATCCGCCTTTGCTCGGCGGGGGTTCAGCCGGCTGCACGTCCCCTCTGCCCGTCCAGCGTTTCCATATCAAGTGGACCGCCCGCCTCTGCTCGCGCCTCTTCCTCCTGCAACCCTTCTGGTGTCTTCCTGCCCAACGTTATACCCACCGACCCAGAGATATCGTCGACTTTTCTTAAGACTGCTACACCAACCACTCTCCACCTGTTTGCACATCGGTTTGCCCATCATACACTTCTTGGAATCGACCCATCTTCAGAGGCTCTACCTGCAGCCTGGATTCACAGGAACTATTCTCCAGGATGACATATCGCGCCAGCGACGAACACTTGGCCGCCAGGTACTTTTCACTCCTAGTTCCATTTTACCTCAGACTGCACTTGCGCTTCGCATTGCATGATGTACTCGAGCCGATGCTTGAGAGTTTGATGTATTTTCCTATTGTTCTGCACATCCACCAGCTACGGACGGATCTCAACCCATTGAGCAATGGACCACCACCGGAGTCTGTTTGGAGAATCCATGGATGACAACCAATTTTGGCAACGCTTTGGATTGTCCTGTCTCGCTGGTCTTGGCCACTCGGACGCTGACTTGACATTCACCGACTCAAAAGGAGTCAGATGTGGTCTTGTCGCTGTCCAAATACTTGTAGATCTACCAGACTTTCATCGCCTGCCACGGGGCTCCCGCTTGTTGGAAATGGATCCAGACCAGACTCTACACTATGGCGACCGCCAAGGACAACCAATTCCCTGAATGGATTAGTGTCTACTGATACCACTGCCATGGAATGTTCACGCCACACCATCTTCCAAGGACATCCAGCTCATCTCGACCTCGTGGAGCACACAGGACCAGCGAGTGTCGACGTTTCCGGTTCTTGCCATTCAGTCCCCTGGCTAGGCCTTCTGAGGACACCACCTCTACCGGTCTCGTAGCTTTCTTTTTGTTATTCAGCATTTGTTAACTGCCATACGTGGAAGAGCGAACACTGACTTGTCTTGTGCACCAGCGAGGACCATTCTCCATACTCCCCACCTGGATCGGTCTTGTTCTCCCAACCCGCTGCTGTGGATAACTGGTGCCATTCAATCCCATTTGGACAGCCCTTGACACCTTCGGATACTGCCTCGGAGTGTGCCCTGTCTGACTGCCCGGATATGCACGGCCAACATTGGAGTCAGTCCACATTACCAGAGGAGTCTTGGTCAGTAGTACCTGCACCGGAACACAGCACGACGATGCAGCCCTCAGGCAATGACTGGCCCAGTCAGGGTGTACCTGTTACCTCTCAGGATTTGCAAGCCTTGGATGCATCCTGGTTGAATGTTTCCCAAGGACCTGTAGACATGGGCTTGTCGCCGTCTCTGAGTCATGAGAGCCAGAGTACGCGCCCGCTCACTTTGCTATCAGAGCCCGATCTTCCATTGTTGCCCCCAGGATTGGACCTTTCCTTCATCAGCGAGCCAAGCTGGGACCCCTCCGCGCCTGTGATGTACTCTAGCCCCCAGGCTCCACAAGGATGTGCACCCAATGCCATGGCCTCTCCCCAAAACATGCCAGGTGGACTTGCCATGGGACCTGCCAACCAAGGCTTTCACGGACCACAGCCTGAGATGTATGGTCCACAACAGCCCGTGTATTACTTCCAAGGTGCGCAGGCCCCTGGTCCAAGGCGGACAGTATCAGACCCATCTTTGATCCAGAGGAGGCCCATCATGCCACGGACTGAGGAGTTTGCCATCCAAGGTCCACCAGCCCACGGCCAATACCATATGCATCAGCATCAAACTTCCGGTGCTGGCTACGCAGAACCTGCTACTGTAAGTACTGCTCAAGGCTCGAGGGAAGATACCATGGCCCAATCAAGCGTGCCCATGCAAGGGTCCGGATACGCGCCACAGCAACCCAGGGCCAACGCTCCAGTCCGTCAGGTTCCCACTCCACGTTCGGACACTGCCCCTCCAAGCCGGTCTTCCACTGCCGCATACGGACCTGAACATGGCCATGAGGACTTTACCAGGTACATCCGCTATGACCAGGATGAGAAACCAGTCCATTCAGCAGAGAGGTCAGATTGTGCAAGTATACATATACCGAGGCGTGACACTGACGCTGCGCCTAGCTTTAATCCTGGATATGGACATATGGCCTTGCAACCCTACCCTGTTGTTCCTGGAGAGATCAAAGCAGGATTGGCAACTCCACCTCAGGATGGCTCCGCTCAGTACCAGACTGCCTCTGCTCCTGCCAGTATGTCCGGTGAAGATGAAGGCCGCCACAGGAACCACCCACTCTACAGCGAAGGCCCGCATGCTGATGGATTGTATCACTGCCCATTCAAGAGTGACCCCAGCTGCCAACACAAGCCCACGAAGCTCAAGTGCAACTATGAGTATGACCCAATTCCGTTCCATATCCAAAGTTGCCGAACACGATACTAACGCATTCGACACAGCAAGTTCATTGACTCCCACCTGAAGCCATTCCGCTGCAAGGTTGACGCCTGCTCCAAGCAGGAATTCTCATCCACTGCCTGCCTCCTCAGGCACGAAAGAGAGGCTCATGGCATGCATGGACATGGTGACCGCCCACACCTCTGCTTCTACCCCGGCTGTGAACGTGGCATTCCCGGCAACGGATTCCCAAGGAGGTACAACCTCTTTGACCACATGAAGCGGGTGCATGACCACAAGGAGGACCCAGCATCCAGCCTCGCTGCCGCGGAGGCTCAAGGACCTCGCAAGACTGCCGGCCGCAAGCGCAAGTCGCCTTCGTCGGTGAGTGAGGAGCCAGCTGCACAGCGGCAAAAGACCCAGCACGTGCAGCCTCCCTCGCCACCTACTTTGGCCATGCCCCCAGCCGGATATGAGCAGCCCATGCCCGGATATGCTCCAGAGGTCAGCCGACGAAACCAGAACAGGCAGAGGATCCTTTACTCCCAATGGGCCAACCAGAGAGAGCTGCTTGAGTTCCAGATGAGTTCCGTTCGGAGTCCAGATGATGAAGCCGGACTTGCTAGCATCAGCCAGAACATTGAGGAGCTTCGTCGTCTTTCCCACCAGGCTAGGCACGGCTGAACAACTACCTGTGGTCAGCGATGTATTAGGTAGGTCGATGCAAAGGCCGTCACGACGAGGAGCGTATACTTACGGTGTTAGCATTCTGACCTGGATTTGGATCTTACCTTCAAACATCATGGACCTTGATGGCCATCTGCCGCCGTATGTCTCACAAGGCTCTGGAGCCCTATCATCTCCAATTGGACCATGAAGGACCACTCCCCATTCGTGCCATGGAGATATTCCCGCCTGTGGATATGAGCCGGCTCAATTCTAACAAACATCCGAGGACTTCCATTTCCTGTGAGAGGTAGCTGGCATACCGCCCTTGGAGCTTTCACACCATCCAGAGGATGATGAACTTGCCCAGGACAACTCTGCAGGCCTCCTTCAAACCTGAGTGTACCGCCCCTTGGACCTGATAATTGGCTTCCGCCTTGAGGAGCAGTGCCACTGCCGGAGCAAATTGGAGCCAGTGTGGACATTGAGCGCCTACCCAGGCACTGTGGATCGCCCATCATGTGGACGTGAGGAGAATTGTTGCTCGATGATGTATTGCTTGCTTGCTGAGCTTGACGCCAGCAGCGCTTGTTTCGATTGAATGTAGATTGTGAGAAAGAGTGAAAGGGAAAAGAAAAGAAAAGGAGTTGTGGGAAGTGAAGTGGCGTTGGTAGTGATTTCGAAAAATGTTTATCTGCTTGTTCATTCAATCGGTGCCTGTGATCTCCTCAACATCCCTCGATCGCGTATCTGGTATCGTCGCTCGCTCGCTAACAAAACAACACCTCCCTGAAACCAACCCAGCCATCACTACATACCCCTATCGACGGCTTTCAATAAATCAATTTAAACACAAAAAACCACACATACACCAACGGCGTCACCAACACCGTCAACATCGGCCCCAACTCCCCCTCCACCGCCGTGATGATATACCTCTCAATCGAACTCCTCGGCGCATTCTCCGTCAGGAACATCAAGCTTAGCATTTTGTACGTCATTTCTTGGGTGGCTTTGGCGCGGGTGAACATGTCTCGTTCGAAGGTGAGGATTTGCTCGTCGAGGTGGTTCTTCTCTGTTGTGGGGGATGGGGAAGAGGAAGAGGCGCGGATGATGGCTTCGGAGAGACGCATGCTGTCTTCGAAGGCGAGGTTGACGCCTTCGCCCGCGAAGGGCGTCATGAGGTGCGCGGCGTCGCCGATGAGGGTGAGGCCTTTGACATGCGAGAAGCAGTTGCCCACCGGGAGCATGTAGAGATCTCGCGGGATGAAGGAGGAGTCCTCTGCGGCTTCGATCAGGGCGAGGAGGCGAGGGTCCCAGGTTGCGTAGGCTCTCCTCGCGGCGGCTTTGACCTGCGCGCCGTCGTGGACGTCGTAGGTGGATTGCCAGTCGGGGGCGTGGACGGACCAGGTGGAGATGTTGAGGCTGCCGTCGCCTTGTTGTTGGCCGGCGAGGGATTTGCCGTCGCTGAAGGCGAAGACGCTGCCGCGGTTGATGAGGCTGTGGAGGTCCGGGTAGCGTTCCAGGGCGTTGGGGATGTTGGCGGTGTGGCCTGCTATGCCGCTGTAGAAGGGTTTGTCGGGCGTTAGGAGGGGGCGGACTTTGGACCAGGCGCCGTCGGCTCCTACGATCAGGTCGAAGGAGGATTGGGAGGTGCCGTCTGCGAAGTGGAGGGTGAGGGTGTCGCGGTCGATGTGGGTGAGTTTTTTGCTCCACTCGACGGTTCCTTTGGGGAGGCTGTTGAAGAGGAGTTCGCGGAGTTTGGGTCTGTCGATTTCAGGACGGCCAGTTGTAAGTTTCTGTCTCGATGTGTTGCCTCCGGATTGTTTGACATAGCAGAGGAGGTTCTTATCGCAGAGCTTCAGCGCCTCGCCGTCGTAGCGGGCGTGTTTGAGGAATTCGTCGAAGAGGCCCGCCTTCTTGAGAGCTGCTTGGCCGGTCTTGTCGTGCAGGTCGAGGGAACCTCCTTGTGAGCGGAAGTTGAGGCTTGCTTCGCCTTCGAAGATTGTGACGGAGATGTTGTGGTTGTCGGGGGAGTTGGTGAGGAGGCGGGCGAGCATGCAGCCTGCTGGACCGGCGCCTATTATCGCGATCTTGAGAGCCATGTTGTGGTCGTTTGAGTGGACTTGGAAAGGGACTGAGTTGCAGACGAATGTCGTGATGATAGTCTTATCGTTCAGCTGAATTGGTATCCTCAACCTTCGCGCGGGTTAACAAGCAGTCGAGGCGATATAAGGTCAACTGGACCAGGCTAGCACAGGATACAACCGCTGCTGTCGTCGCCGTCCTCACCGTGTCGTCGGCTCTAACAATACCCTACCGATCGTGTGGGCGCAACGCAGGGTTGTCTTTCAGCCCATGTTTACGGCCGGTTCGTAACCGAGCGGCCGACTCGCTCTCCATGCCCGATAGAGATGGTCGTGAAACCTTGCCAGGCAAAGACATGTGAATCGTCTTCCAGCCTGTGTCTACGAGCAAAGGAGCCTCCCTTCATTATATCGGGAAAGATGGCGAGCAGAGACGGAGGTCAGCCGATGGACAATGGTGAAGACTCAAGATGACTGCGGTGTCTCCTTCGACTCGCATGATGAAGGAGCGCCGTTCTCGGGTCGGCCTGGGCAACTGCTTCCGAGTGTCTGTTTGAATTGAAAAGGCTGCTCCTTCCTCTCATACTGTACCTCTTCGATGGAATCGCAAGGCTGCTGTGGCAAAGACAGCGATTCCGCAAAACGAGGTGAGGTATTGTCATTCGGATGGTTGCACAAGTGAAGACTCGGGTGATTGTGCTCGAGCTTGCATCCCGGCCGGAGCTCGGCGTATCCGTCGATGGTGGGAGGTGGCTAATCGCCTCAGAGATGGTACCATCGCGGTGGCCATCTTGATTTGTGATGGGAGACTCTTGAGCCTGCCTAGTCGACTCGCCCAAGTCAGCCAGCCCGCCGTCGTAAGCGAAACACATGCTGGTCCCTCGCATTGCCCCGACTGTAGCCTCTTGTGCCGCCCGAACCCGAGGCCCAGCAGTATCTGCTACTCATATCAGAATCTCGTCCGCCCGCTTAGTTTCTGCTGTATACATCAACCAGCCACATACGAGATCTGCAAGTATGGCGTCCGCTACCACGTTCTACGACTTCAAGCCAAAGGACAAGAAGGGCAATGAGTACCCTCTCACCGACCTGAAGGGCAAGGTCGTGCTCGTCGTCAACACTGCTTCCAAGTGTGGCTTCACGCCACAGTTCGAAGGCCTTGAGAAGCTCTACAAAGGTGTGCCAAACCTACCGCACATCAGTATAACCTGACAGCTCACTGACGAGACTGTTTACAGACCTCAAGCCCTCCCACCCCGACTTCGAAATCATCGGCTTCCCATGCAACCAGTTCGGCAACCAAGACCCCGGCAGCAACGATGACATCCAGAGCTTCTGCCAGCTCAACTACGGCGTCACCTTCCCAGTCCTCGGCAAGACGGACGTCAACGGCGACAAAGCCGAGCCTGTGTGGGAGTGGATGAAAGAGCAGAAGCCAGGCATCATGGGCCTCAAGAGGATCAAGTGGAACTTTGAGAAGTTTCTCGTCGGAAGAGATGGCAAGGTCAAGCAGCGATGGGCCAGCACCAGCGCTCCGGATAAGCTCAAGGCTGCTATCGAGGCCGAGTTGAAGGCTTCGCCTGGCGCTACAGCAACCTCTGCTGAGAAGCCTACCCCGACTGCTTGATCGAAGAGAGAGTAAGGAAGGATGACAGCGCGCGGTAATGGCTTGGAGTTGTTCGAAGAGATGAGAAAAAGATACCCTCAATCCATATCTACTTTGTACTTCTCACGCATCTCTCCCACGTCCAGCGCGACCAGAAACCTCGACACCGTGTTATATGCCGCCACAGTCGCCGTGATCTCCACCACTTCCCTCTCATTGAAGAAACTCTTCAGCTTCGCAAATACCGCATCCCTCACTATGACTCCCAAAGTCATCGCATTCGTATACTCAAACACCGCCAAGTGCTTCTCATCCAGCCCACTGCCATCCCACTTTGGATCCATAATCTTATTGATAACCTCCTGCGGCAGTACATTCGCCTTCTCTAGAATCGGCCGATGAGCATCCCACTCGTACCATGCCTGGTTCACGGAAGCCACTCGGCAGATTGCGAGCTCGCGGATGGAGTCTGAGAGGGTGGTCTGGGTTCGAATCGATTTCAGGAACGAGTTCCAGCCGTCGGCGACGGGAGGGGCGTGCAGGAGTGCTTTGTCGAGGGCGATGAGTTTGCCGCCTCGTCGCTCTTTTACGCGGTCGACTACCGCTTGGTCTTCTGCGTTGGACATTTTGGGGTCATCGTCGACGTAGGGGAGACGCATTTTGGTGGGGTTGGTTGTGAAGAGTGGTCGTCGAGTGAGGAGATTTGGTATTGATGTTCTGCTAGGGACTCGGAAGATAGTACAATACCCTCTAAACATGCCCAATGGCTGTATATATAGCCGCTATTCAAGTTGGTATATCCTCGTCTTGTCTCCTCCCACCACCACCACGGATCCGAGGGGCGGATCCTCCAACCCCACCTGCGACTTCGCTGTCCACGGAATTCGTCCCGCTGGACAGCAGTCTCCAACAACATCCGATCAACCTCCTGACGACTATGGCCATCGACTCTACAGGACCGTGAAAATGCCGATTCTCAATGGCGAGAGGAAACAAGAAACCTGCAGCTACAAAGGCCAAGCCGCAGAAACAATCAAGACCCAATACTTCCAAGGAGATTGAAAACTCGGACTCGACCCAATCCGTGCCATTGGCATTGCAGCAGAAATGTCTCGATATCTTCCAGCGCGCCTTGAAACCTGGCGAGGATGATACGAAGGTCTTGCAGGAGGTCAAGGGGCATTTGTACAATCGCGACTTTGCCGCTGCCTTTGGACAGGATGATTATCTGCGGGTCTATGCTTCGAGATGGAGTCCTAGTCGAGCGCTTGGGTATCTGCAGGTCTTGATCGATGTACAAGATGTGCTCTTTCAGGGCTCGCAGGCTTCTGTCGATTCCGAAGACCAAGCATACAAAACCGTATGTCTTGGCGGCGGTGCTGGTGCTGAAGTCGTAGCTTTGGCAGCCTGGATTCATCGACAAGACGACGATTCGGACGTATCTCCTCTGAAGAGTCTACAAGCCGACTTCGTGGACATTGCTGCTTGGCAAAACGTCGTCAGTTCCCTCCACGAGGCTGTGACCACGCCTCAAGAGCTCTCAAAGTATGCTTCAGCGGCCGCACGAGAAGCCAACATCGCCATGGTACCTGGCAATGCCTATTCAGCAAAATTCGATCAGATCGATGTCCTCGCACTGGATCTGTCGAATTGGCAAGAACGACTGAACCAGGTCGATCTCGTTACGTTGATGTTCACCCTCAACGAGCTCTACTCCACCTCCATGGCCAAGACGCAGAAAATGCTGGCTCATATCACCGACTGCTTAGCCCCTGGCGCACATTTGCTCGTCGTGGATAGTCCTGGCAGCTACTCCACCGTCTCGATCAATGGAGCAGAAAAGAGATACCCCATGCACTGGCTTCTGGACTTCACTTTGATTGGATCGCAGCAGAGCCGCGAGGATGGGGATGTACCTGCGAAGTGGGAGAAGCTGGTGTCGGACGAGTCGAAGTGGTTCCGTCTCCTTCAAGGTCTAAGATATGCGATTGAACTGGAGAATATGAGGTATCAGATCCATCTTTATCGAAGGCTTCCGGATTGAGTGGCCGGATGGGACGGAGCCTTGGAGACGCCTACGATCCAAACTGATGCGAATTGGAGATATTGAACAAACGCCTCCGTCATGCCCACCTTCCACTCGTGATAAACACCCGCTTCCAAGGCTGTGGCTCATCGGGCTCGTGCATCGGCTGCTGGCATATGACTACGGCCGTCTTTGACTCACCGCTGACCACCCATGGACCTTTATTAGCAAATCAGATCTTGCACCCTTCAACAAAATCCTTTATAGTCCAGTGGTCTAGGATATCAGGTTTTCAATAGCGAAAGGCCCCTGAAGACCCGGGTTCAAATCCCGGTAAAGGAACTTTTTTTTTTTGTCAAGCTCAACGACCTTTGGTGCCCGGTGACCTTTTTTGGTGAGCAAAGTGAGATGCTGCTCATCTGCCAGAGGTGCTTCATACTACAAAGTATCTCGAAAATACGGTCAACGTGGTTCCCACGAATTTGGGTTGATTCGGCGGATCGAAACGCTTTTTGTGGTCTTCGAACGAACGCCTGCATGAAGATAGATATCTTATTACTTCGACACTCTACCTGCCCCAGGGGACAACCACACGAGCCGCATCCTCATCTCAAGACCTACGACATCCTCCTCACACTAAACTCCATCCACGTCAACGTCGACTCACCTGCCTTATTCCTCAGCTCATCCACGATCTGCTCAAACCCATCCACCCGAAACCTCGCTCCAACCTCCTCGCCCACCTCATCCCAAAACCTCTGCAAAGACGCCATATCATGCCGATACGCCGTCCCTTGATTCGTCCAGCGACTCTGCTCCCCAGGCTTCTGATTCCCCAGCTGCCGTCCAACGACCAAACTTCCCTCCTTCGGCTTCAATAACTTCACGACGCGCAGCGAGGCCTTCTTCTGCATATCCCAATTAAAGAGATGGAAAAACGCATTCGCGGAGATGATATCCACCGTCCCGTTCAACTCCCCCAACGCACTGCTCTCGTCGAAAACATCCCCCGCGAAGAACTTCGTCTGCAGTTTTCCCTTATCTTGAAAGAGCTCATACCCCAAGTCGATGAAATCCGGGAGGAGGTCGGAGCCGTAGCAATTCGCACTGTCCACGCCATCCACCACGAGCCGACGAATGTCCTGCCCAAACGCACATCCGAGATCGAGGAATTTCTCCTCCCCGGTCTGGAGGCGTTGCACGATTTCCGGGTAGAGCGCGTGTTGGGCGGTCGTGGGTGAGAGGAATTGCCCTTGTCCTACGCAGGGGTAGGGGTGGATGGCCCAGGCTTTGTCTCTCTATACACGTTCTTGTCAGTCTGAAAAGCCATGGGCTGTGTGAGAAGGGGGATGTGGGTTACATACCACGGCATTGATATGAGACAGGACCTGATCTGGCGGAATACCGCTGTATTTCTCCAAGATTTCTCGAAAGCTCTGGTTGATGTCGAGGTCGGGTTTGTACCAGCGGCTCATTTTACCGGATTGGATGTCTTGTTCGGTGGCGGCCATTGTTTGTGGTGATTCAATTCGATTCAGTTTTTTGGGGGGTCTTGAGAAGGAAGACGACGAAAGGGATGTTTTGTCGTCAGGCAGATACGGACGACTATACTCAAAAGAGAAGAACGAACGAGCTCTTCAAACCGGGAGGAAAGTCACCGACGACAGTAGTCCAGCTGTCTATGTAGGTGTTTGATGTCTTGAATAGGTAGCAAGAAGGGCTATTTTCCGCTCAGCCCATATGCCCTTCTTGCAGACACTAAATCCTTCAACCCGTTCTTCTTGCTCTGTGCCGACGTGCCGTAGGCGAACGGCTACTTTCATGTTCCGACTTCCTTTTCGACGAGGTCGTTTCAGCTGGCTTGCTTGCAGCAAATGCGAGTTCAGCACACCTGCTTGCAGCTAGTAGCTCGCTTTCGCGGAGGGTGTTTTGTCGCTATACTTGGCACGTCGGGGGTAGAGCTTAAGACTGGGCACTTGGGAGGTAAAACGAGAGGAGACTGTGTTTGGACTTGTTGGAATGCATAGTGAGTTTCCATCCGCTTCCCTACATCCTAGTTGGACAGTCCATTGCAACAGCGGTTGTCAGTGGAACGCCTTTTTGTACACCATATACATGCCCGTTCATTCGAAAAGCGCCTTCTTGCGCCGTTTGCAACCCATTCAGAAGCAATGAAACATCAATCCTTCTTCTTCGACGCACATCAAACCTTCACGGTCTGCCCCAGCTTGAGAGCAAGCTTGTGCAGATCCTTGTACGTCTCCAACCACTCCTCGCTGCCCTCCTTCTTCTCGTCCTTCTTTCCGCCAACATTCGGTGTCAACATGACTACACTCGTTGGTCTCTTGGTGCTTCCTGCTGCGCCCAGTTCTGCGCGTGATGGAACGTAGATGTAAGGGATATTGTGGTCCTCGCAAAGTACGGGGATGTGGCTGATGACGTCCATTGGGGAGATGTCGGCGGCAAGGATGATGATTCCGGGTGGAAGGGTGTTTGGGCTCATTGTGGCAGGTGTTGCAGGGGGTGATTTGCGGATGGACTTGACGCATTCTTTCACGCCGCGTTTGAGGGATTTGGCCTTGGCAGCTACACAATTCGATATCAGTAGGCACTCGTGATAAGGCGTTTTAGGAGAGCGTGTAGTACATACCTTTCTTGACGGCCTTGAGCACCTTCTTCTGCGCCTTGTCGTCTGCCAGAGGATTCGCGAAAGGCACAAGAGCAGCCAATGGAACCGCAATCACGGCCTTCTCGTCCTTCTTGTCCTCTGCCTCCTCAATCTTCACGAGAGACTGTCCATCAACATCCATGACCGACTCGTCATTATCGGCTGCCTCCGACTTGCGCTTCTTTTTCTTCTCCTTCTTGGGCGTCACGGCCTCGACATCCTCCACTTCTTCGAGTTTGCGCTTCTTGTCCTTCTTTTCCTTCTTGGCGGCGATCTCCGCCTCGGTCTTGTCTTTGGCCATTGTGGGTGTGGGGTGTGGAAGGCAGCGTTGAATCGAGTGGTGTGTGCGAAAAGATGGAGTTTGGAGCTCTGAACTTTTGGGACGAATTTCGAGCTCGGGAGGAGCCGCCGCTTGTGAGTGTGTGCCTGAGGTATCCAGGGGGGGAGGAGCGAAAGCCCAGGTCGACGTTCTTGCGCCGACGTCCTCGGCACAACACCTTTGAATCAATCGTTTCTTCAAGGAGTGAATAGTCCATTCGGCTCATCTACATGGACTAGCACGGTTCAATACCATTGGAGACCGCCAGCGAAGAGGCATTCCTTGATGCAAGCCTGGAACAGGAAGAAGAACATGCGCCTGAGTATTGGCGTGGACACGGGCATGCCCACAGGACACTGCACCGCCGTCTTGACCATATCAACGTCGAAGCGGCCCGTCTTGCATCCGACCCAGTATGCACTCGTTTGAACCATCGTCTAAGCTAGCAAACATTCCGCCTCTAGTCTGGCTGACTGGATCCCTCGCATCTGACTCTGGTTCCTTAATAGAGCGATGAAAGTCTATCCCGAGCACTTTCAAGACTCTCTATTACGTCCTCTTCAGCGCTGTGAGGACCCCCAACATGGTCGGCGGCGACGTTTCAGGATCCAGTCGACGATGTGCCGAGTGCAAGCGAAAACGGAAGAGGGTCAGTCACAGCTACGACAACACTACTGTGATCTCGGATCATGACTGACTGACCTTGGCAGTGCGACCTCACTGAGCCTGCGTGCTTGAGGTGTGTACGCAGCGGCCTTAGGTGCAGCGGTCCCAATCGATCCGCCCTCTTTATAAACCACCAGCAGGACTCATTCGCGCTGGAGTCGTCCAGTGCTGCATTACAACGAGCGTACAATACTCGCTCGACACTTTCGGGCCGCTCACAAAGTCTGTATCGACTCTCAACGTCCCGTATTCGAAGCATACAAACAGCATGGACTCGCTACGAACTCAAGTCATCACTTCCCAACGATGACGCTCTACTCTCGCGTCGCTTGACAATTTTGGGACCGATGTACTCCTCTCTTCTGGATGAGTTTCAACCAAACAAGGGGGTGTATGGAGGTATCTTCAGCGCAGATCGTGCACCAACTGCAGAAGCAAGGCATTACTCGAGCATAGCAATCTGTATCAGAGAGCTTCTCCCATGGGGTGCTCAGCGGACACCGGTCTTGGATCCATCAATTTTCAGTCTTTTGACTCCGTACTACGGAAGACTTCATGGCGATGCTGGACTTGTCGAGATGGGTCGCTCGAGTTACGCCACCGCCTTGTCTCAGTATCATAGCCGCCTGGACAGATTTTTCTCCCGCGGGAAACTTGAGGAGCAAGCACAACCACGTTTGATACGCGCGTCCATTGCTCTTCAATACTTTGAGCACCTTGAAAAAGTCGAAGTCTTTGATGCTGGACATCAAGCTCATGTTGATGGCGCTCTACAGCTCTTGCAGATGAGTGGGCCTGACTTGCTCCGAGGCTCACGAGCTTTTCGTCTCACCATCAGCAGCCTGAAGCCGGTTGCTACACACTTGGCTATATACCGTCGTCAGTCTAGTTTTTTGTCCGAGGATCAATGGCGTGAGCAAATCCCAGACGGTGAGGAGAAGACAGCACGCGAACAGCTGTTCGACATAGGTCTGGAAATTCCTGCACTCCTCGGTACTGCAGACAGTCACATGTCAGCACGACAAGAGGGCGTTCTCGAGCCGGCCCAATTCGTTGACTCAACCCTTCACTTGCTGCTGGATTTCGGGATCCTATGGAGTCGACTGGAGACCTGGCTTCACGGCCTGATGGCCAATGCTCGTGGTCCGCTCTACTGGCCACGAAGTCAGCCGCGTGTTGCAACCATGCCGACAACAGATGGGGAGTGTTCTCCAAGAGATCGGGATAACAACTATCAGCTTTCGTTCGCTTACGGCCCATATGCTGGTCTCTTGGTTCAATACTGGACTTTCCAGCTCGAGCTGTTGATGAAAATTATCGATCTCCGTCAAGCGATTCTCGCTCGTTCCGGCTCACCCTATGTGCGGAAAATGACATTTGACACCCTGACTGAGAACAAGAGCCTGGCGGATGAGATTTCAAGGCTAATCTTCGAAGCTCAGATCTACCTGGAATGCTGTCTGGAAGGTTTCATCTGCATGCAACTCCCTCTGAGGACGATCACCAAGTACTTTGATCGACCGAACGTCTAAATGTCGCCTGAATAGTCATACAGAGCACTATATGACACTTCGCTCGCCTTGCACGACAGACTTCGTCCACTCATCCACTGTCAGAACCTGGTTCGAGAACAGTGGCCAAATGAGCTTTGCCGCAGTCTCTTTCGCCTCGTGTGAGAAACCAGCCGTGCAGTCAGTTCTGGGAAGACGTTAGGACAGGGCCCTGCTCTCCGGAAAGCACAATTGCAGGAAAACTTACAGCATCGTCAGAGCATAACCGCTAAGAGTCCAAAAAGTCAGCACATTTGGAACGCACGATCGCAGTTTCGAAGCAGGACTTACTGCTCATACGCGTATCTGGCGGTCGATTCTAAACATGTATTTGCAACGAGGCCAGCCATCACGACATGGCCTATGCCTCTTTGTCGCAACTGATAGTCCAGATCCGTGCTCTGGAACGAACTGCTATTCCAATGTTTGCTGACCACAACATCGCCATTCTCTGGCACTGGCTCCATGCCCTCGAAAAACTCCACGCCGAAGCTACCTGCTTCAAAGACCATATTGCTCTTCAGGCCTGACAACGACTTGTTTATCAGCGTCCAACCCTCCATGGTATACCGAGATGTCTGCTGATGCATGCAGTAGTAGATCGGCAGCTTTTGTTTGCGAGCGAAGTCGATGAGCTTGTACAAGTTGGCGATGGTGTTCGACTTGTCGAGGCTGTCGCGGATTCGTGGGTTGAGTTTTCCATTTGAATGTAAAAATTCATTGTATGGATCAATCAGGATGATGGCAGTCGGACGGTCCATTGTGCAGTGCTTTCGACGGTCGAGAAGTTGGAGGAGCTTTTGTGGTCTGCTTGGGCGGTCCTGCTGCCAGCCTATATAAGCTAGCCTCGCGATCTCTGGTCCATGCTGGATACTCCTTGGTACAAGCCTCTCGCCGAAGTGGCAGCTCAGTCATCGAAGCAAGACCTTGCTCGTCCGGCGGCGCTCCAATACGCACGGCGAACGGAGTCCATTTCCTTGCGGCAGCGACACCTAAGAGGCGCTCGTCCTTCCAGACTGGGTTAGCCTCTGTTTCACGTGGAGAGGAGCTTGCAAAAAAAGTCGACCGGTTGCTTGCCTGACCAATAATGACCATTACCAATACAGAGCCACGTGAAATGGATCTTACGTTATGGCTAGATACGGTGTGGTCCATGTGCATTCGCAACAACTCCAGGTAAACAGCGATCTAGAGCAGTTGGAGGCTGGATCCAACAGAGCCACAGGGCTGTTTAGCCGTCACCCAACACGGAGTCGAAATGGAGTTACAGCAGTGGCGTTGGCAATCGATTCCTCCGCAGAGACCAGACCACTCTTGAGGAGGTATAATACAGCGACTCGTTGAGGAATAACTGAAGCATTCTGAAAGTCCACGACGATCGTCCCAAGTGCATCTGCGAGCACGGCAGGTGTCCTCCACCGAAGACAGAATGGAACAAACTTTCGGCGTGGGCGATCTAGCTCACATGGACCGTACGCGTAACCCATCTGTGGTCTTCCGCTCGCTGTCGTGGCACGATTCCACGGATTTCATCTCAAACGTACGAGCGAGCTGAATGTCAGCAGGCAGAACAGACACTCACTGTGATGCAGGACACATATGCTGCACCCAGCCAGGCACTACCCCAAGGCTGGCATCCAAACGAGGGATGGCCCTGGAGTGAGGCGCACAACTACGATCAAAGCGGCCTTCTCACCCCACTGACGCCCTCTCCCTGGTCGCCAAGTCAGGAAGTGGACACCGGTCAGGATGTGCAGAGCGCCGGTTCGAAGGGAGAGAAGATCGCAGCCATCCACGAAGCACAGAAAACAAAGCGAAGAGACCAGAATCGCACCGCGTAAGACATCACCCACCACCAACAGTCCAACCCACGACGACTCACAACAGGTCACAGACAACGAGCATATCGTCTCCGAAGAGAGACCACCCTGAAGAACCTCGAAACCCAAGTCAAATCCCTCGAAGCCAAAGCGAAGATCCTGACGGCTGAGAACCAGCGATTACAACACCTCTTGATGATGAGAAGTTCGAGACCGGAGCACTTGCCTCCCCAGCCCTCCTCTCCTGAAGTTGAAAAGCGCAGCTTTCGCAGTACGTCACCGCCTACTGTTATTACCAATGGGTGCACGTTGTCGTCGATACAGGAGGACTCGGAGGGCTATACGCTTGTGTTGAGGATTGATGGACGAGTGGATTGTTGTCCTGGAGCGGCGCCGACGTACATGGGGATAGTGGGTGGATCTATCTGAACGGCACGATAGCAATCGTACTGCTTTCTGGACGCTGTGAGGACTAGATGATCGTCGCTCAACAGTAACAATAATTCAAATATACCTACTTGACTTTCCATTCTCTTCCTCTTCCAAGACGACACAGTCTCCGACGTCTCTCGATGTCCACCTGCGCCTTGACGAGCCTCAAAGCCAAACCTGGCCATACATCCCCCACCTCCTCCGTCCATACTTCCTCGAATAACATTTCCAAGCACACATATATCGATCGATGTCCACTCCAACCCGATCGTCTGCATGATATGAACGCGAAGCACAGCGTCCCCAACTGTCATCGCAGGATGTCAACACTCAAATCATTGACTCAGCACGCTGTGACACCCACATGCAGCTCCTTGGTAGAATTGCCGCTTTGGGAAGGACGAGCGCTTGGAGTGGATCGGGAACGCCTCGTTCACATGGGCTGGATGACTGTGACATATGGTAAGCTAGAACGAAGTTCTTTAAGCATGCTCGTGTCTTGTGTGATGACTGAACGGGTGCATGAGTTTTGCTTCCGGATCAGGTGGCACGTTGTCGTTGTTTGGGCTTTCATGTGAAATATCTAGATCTCCGTGCTAGCTGTTCACTTAGAAGATCTCTACAATCAACCCTCTTTCACGACAGTCGAGCAACAATGGCCACTCAGAAACCCCTCATCCTCGTCACGGGCGCCTCTGGCTTCATAGGCAGCCACACCGTCAACAACTTCCTCCGCCACGGCTACCGCGTCTGCCTCGCCGGCCGCAACGAGTCGACCTGCAAGCGCCTCCTCAAAACCCACGCCGCGCACTCGACCCAACTCGAAACGACCGTCGTCCCCGACATTACCGTCCCAGGCGCCTTTGACACGGCCGTCAAAGGCGTCTCCGGAGTCATCCACATGGCCTCCCCTTTCACCTACGCGATCCAAGACAATGAGCGCGACCTCATCATCCCAGCCGTGAAGGGCGCAGAGGGGATTTTGCAGAGCACGTACCGATTTGCGCCGGATGTGAAGAGGGTCGTGTTGCCGTCGTCATTTGCGGCGTTGAATGATTTCGGGAAGGGCTTGAGGCCGGGCCATGTCTACGACGAGACGCAGTGGAATCCAATTACATACCAGGAGACGAAGGAGGATACAAAGGGGCTGGCGTATGCGTGAGTGTTGCCGTGATGTTTGCGATGGTGAGATGTCGACGGCTGATCGATTGCAGTGGAAGTAAAACCCTCGCCGAACGCGCCGCTTGGGAGTTCCTCTCCTCGAATCCGGATGTCAACTTCTCCCTTTCCACTATCAATCCTGTCATGGTCTACGGCTCTCCTCTTCCAGGCTCCCTCACCCTGGACCACCTAGGGCAATCGGCAGGCGAGATCTACGCCCTCATGAACGGCACCCTCGACGACGTCCCGCCAACCCGCATGCCCGTCTTCGTGGACGTGCGGGACGTCGCTGACGCTCATCGTCTGGCGTTTGAGACTACCCAGCCTGGCCGCTTCGCCATGTGTGGCGGGGACTTCACCAGGGAGGAGATATGTCGGCTGTTTAGAGACGCTGGGCTTGGGCTTGAGGGCCGGGTGCCGAAGAATGGAGTCGATCGTGATACGAGGGTGGAGCATTATAGGGTGGATACGACGAGGGCGAAGGAGATCTTGGGGATCAAGTTCAAGGGGTTCGAGGAGACGTTCTTGGATATGGCGAACGAGTTTCTTGCTATGGAGGAAAGTACCAAGTAGGTTCTAGACGTCATGTCGGTCTTTTGAAAGTGATTCCTTAGTCCTACTTGTTGTTTGAGATGCGAGTGGGTAGGTTTTGGCGTCTTTGGCAAAGATTGTGCCTTGTCTTGGAGACAAACACTGAATGCTTTCGGCGACGTCGTGTTGACTTAGTCTGCCGGAACAGAGGATCATGTTGGATTGGCAATAGTTCCAGTGTGTTGCAGTGGCTCCCAGCAAGATCTCAATCGTCTTCGTGCCGGTCGTGGTTGCTTCGATTTCTCGTGTTGCCGCCTCCCTACGCTGGACTCGATTTTCCCCTCCCTTGAACAATACCAGGCGCATCTTCGTATCTTCCTGTGATTCATCGAGCACATCCTCCTTCCCACACGTAATTCCTGCTGGTCTCTTGTAATTCGGCGGGCAATGCCGTTCAAGATGTCCGTTGACGGGAGCGGCATCCTGGGCGAGTTCCTCCGCACGTTGTACACCATCTATTTCCTCGATCCATTGGATCTTCTCATCGCACTCAGTTCGAGCTCTGCTCCTTCACAATGTCCTCCCACTTCTTCTCAACATAATAGCCCGGGTCTGGGGTCCTCAAATCCTTCATCTCTTTCGGTGTCAATGCCTGATCCACTTCCTGCACATCCACCAGTTCCTTGACCGCGAAAATCTGTCCAGCAACTGACGGCGAGACGGGATGATAGACAGTCCGCATTCGCTTGTGCAGACCGAGGGCTTTCAGTACGCCGCTGGTTTTTGACGGCAGGCCGATGGCACTGCGGAGGAGTGTGATGCGGAAATAGGCCATTGCGGAGGAGCGCTGGAGATGATCAGTGTGTGTTTCACATGATGCCAGTCAAAAATGCTTACATTGACTATCGAGTTGATTGCGATGTATTTCAAGGGGATGGAGTTGGTGAAGTCGCGCTTGAAAGTTGAATCCTCGAAGCTTCACACCTCTCCCGCGCCTCCGCCGCTCCGCCATCTCCACACGAATCCTTGACCACATCTCACTCCCTCTCCCACCCAGCATTGCACTACTCCAGCAGTCTACGCCAAAATGAACGATGGCGCGCTGGAGGACACCACCTCCAAGCTCGCCGAGCTCCTCAAAAATCCGGACGACCTCGACAAACTCCCGTCCTTGCGCAGCGAGTTCACCCGCAAGAAGGCAGCCATTGACGGTCAGCTCAAGCATGGCCTCAAGGAGCAGCTCGAAGTCACCCAGAACGGCATGACGTCCATCTCCGAAGGTCAAAAGATAGTCTTGCAGATCAAGGAGGAGATGATGAAAATCGACAAGCTATGCGCCGAAGCCCAAGGCATGATCGAGGACTTTCCTGAGATCAACAAGATGAGCGTCATGCAGCGCAACTTTGCGTCCGTGGAGAACATCAAGGCCAACATCGATACCTTCGGCTCCCAGCTGAATGCGTTGGAAGCGTTGCTGAGGGAGGATGACGAGGACATAGAGCACCAACCAAATTTACTCGCGATTCACAATGGGTTGACCGAGCTGCGGGACATCAGAGATCGGGCCATGGAACAGGTCAAGTCCAATGCTGATGGAGAGAGCGGGTTGGAGCTGATTGAGAACTTGCCGTTGGAAAACAATGCGACCTTGAGAGATTACTTCGCACGACTCGACGATGTTGTAGACTGGTTTGACGAGCACGTTGGTACTGCTTGTATAGGGCTCATCAGTCTTGTACAAGCTGGAAACAACGGTTTGGTCGTGCGATTAGGTCTGATCATAGAAGAGGAAGAAAAGAAGGACCGACAGACGAGAGCCTTGCAGGAAGTACAGAAGGGGTTTGCCGACGTGGCCACGAGATTTAAGAGCATCGACACTGGCAACAGGGAACTCCGAGGTTACAAACAGAAATTCCTGCAGACTATTGAGGCCAGCGCCAAAGCCCAGTTCGAAGCCGTCAGACAGCAATTCGACGAGGATCCAGACAAGCTTGAGAAGGCCTGCCGGTGGTTCTTCAACGACTTGAACACTGTCAAGCTGGGTATGCAAGACCTGATGCCCAAGAAGTGGAAGATCTTCAAGACGTACGTCAATATCTACCACAAACTGATGCATGACTTTCTTGTGGAGAAACTGGACGACAAAGACATCACACCTGTGCACATGTTGGCCATTTTGAACTGGGTCGAGAAATACTACAGCAAGGTAGTGAGGCTAGGCGTCAAACCAGACGAACTTCAACCTCATGTCATCGATGAACGCGAGAGTGACCTCGTCCGTGAGTATCGCAACCTCATCACCAGGTCTGTCGAGGAATGGATGGATCGCATGGCCAAGTCGGATCGGCAACTATTCTTGTCGAGGGCAGAAAATAGTCTGGACCAGGATGCCGACGAACAGCTGCACACTAAGAGCGCCAGCGATATGTGGACGATGCTGAAGGAACAGCTCAGCGTCGCACAATCCTCAGGCCGACCTGACGTCGTCGAGGGTGTCGTCGACAAGATGATGCGAGCTCTGAAGAACCGCCAGCAAATGTGGGAGCGACTCGTCGACGAAGAATACCGCAAGATCGATCAGTCGACCGATACTGCCCTCCTCGAAGGCGTTGGAAGTCTCCAAGAATGGCTGGTTGCCATCGCCAACGACCAAATCTCCAACATCGACGACAACCCAGATGCCGGAGTCATGTCTCACCTCACACGCTTCAAAGCGGACTACGAGCCCCTTGTCACCCCTTCATACGCCGTCACCTCCAACGCCGAAATCGAGTCCCTCACCAACGGCTACGTCGACCTCGCCACACACTGCATGGCGCTCTTCGCCGCCGTCATTTTCGCCACGGACATCAAACCCGTCCTCACCGAATTCTTCACCCCCGCCTGGTACCAAAAGAAAACCATGGAATCCATCACCAGGACCTTCGAGGACTACCTCAAAGACTTCACGGGCATTCTACATCCATCTCTTCGCGACATCTTCGTCGAAGAACTCAGCGACGCCCTCCTCGTCCGCTACCTCGAATGCGTCAAGAACAAAGGCGCCAAGTTCCGCCGCATGGATCCCTTCACGGACAAGATCAAAGACGACGTCGTCACGGTCTTCGGGTTCGTCCAGCCGTACAGTGATGTATTCGATCTCGTCAAGGACAAATGGCGAGCGGTCAATTCCTTCGAAATGCTGCTCCGCGCGGACAAAGGCCAAGGCGTCGTGTCAGCGTTCGAGTCGATGAAGCAGAGTTATTGGGATGTGCAGATCGGATGGGTCGAGGCGGTGTTGCGGGCGCGGGATGATTTTGATCGGTCCATGTTGAGTTCGGTCAAGGCTGCGGCGGCTGGGTTGAATGTTGAGAGGGGCGCCGAGACGGTTATGAGTAAGGTGAAGTAGGAAGTCATCAGTCCATGAGTTGTGATATGCGGTCTTTTGTAGCGAAGGCGCTGGGGCGTTTGTTTATTTGGGTTTTTAGGGATGGGTATACCCAGGAAAGTGGGCTTTTGGCAGATACTCATGTATTCATGCATCACTCACTCTATCTTCATTTCACCCTCCTCCTCTATCACCACCCATCATCTAACCCTCCAACCCCTCCTGCTCCGGCACAGGACTCTTCAACTCGCCCGTCTCCACCGCCGCCCTCACATTCCCAATACACCACTCCTCCATCGCCGTCTGCGTCTCGACAGTCCACGTCCCCATATGCGGCAAAAGCATAACATGAGGATTCGCCACAAGACCCGGGTGAATCTTGGGTTCTTCCTCGTAGACGTCCAAGCCGCACGAAAAGACCTGTCCGCTTTCGAGGGCTTTGACAAGGGCGTCTTCGTCCATGACGGCTCCTCGTGCGGTGTTGACTATCACGACGCCCTTTTTCATTTTGGCGAATTCGGCGGTGGAGATGATGTGGTGGGTGTTTTTCTGGGGGTGGAGTTAGGCATGCTGGTTGGTTGGAGGTGGAGTGGACTTACGTTGAGGGGCAGGTTCAGACTTAGCACGTCTGATTGTGCGAGGAGTTCGTCGAAGGAGACGTATTTCGCTCCGCCGGAGAGTTCATCGCTCAAGGGTCGTCGGTTGTGGTAGATGCATTTCATGCCCTGTCAAGGAACTCTGTTAGCATTCAGATCACGAGACCGATAGACGAGGCTCCTGCACTCACCAACGCATCCGTCTTCTTCTTCATATTCCTCCCAATGCCCCCCATCCCCAACACGCCCAAGACCTTCCCCTCCGGATCATGACCCAAAGGCGGCGCCGGCGCTCCCCTCCACTTGCCCTCCCTCGCGGCCAACATACTCGTGTTGAAGCCCCTCAACGCACCGATGATCAGGAAGACAGCCGTGTCGGCCGTGGCGTCGTCGACCGCCGTAGGGACATTGCTGACGCGGATGGGAGGTTTCCGGGCGGAGCAGGCGTGCACGTCGACTTGGTCGTAGCCGGCGCCGTTGTGAGTGCAGAAGCGGAGGGATTTGGGGAGGGCGGAGATCAATTCTGAGAATTGTTAGTCTTCTTGAATGATAGTTCTTGTAGGTTATTTTTGGGGACGGCGACGAACCTTCATCCCAAACACCGGTTATCTCGACCGAGCCGAAGGTACGGTAGGCGACGAGGACGTTGTCCAGCGCGCCGGATTGGCATTCCTTGATGAAGTCGGCGCGGTTCGTGGACTTTGGTTCGATCAGGTCGGCGACCTCGCTGAGGGCGTTCCAGGTGGAATGGGCACTGGGTCATAAGAGTTAGTACTGCCGCCGTTTCTTTTGAGTGTGGCGATTGCCTTCATACTGATCAATCTTCCCCAGTAGTAAGACCTGTGGTTTTCCCATGTTTGCTCTCCTTTTCTTGTGAAGTCTGAGGTCGGTTTACTACTGTCGATGATGTCTTTCCGACTTTGACGTCCTCGCAATGGTCGGATGTATCTTTCAAGTCGGGAAAGGACGGACGGACGGAGCTGCTCGCTGAGACGAGAGAACAAGTCTTCAAATATACCACTTGAAGTCGGCTATTGCGGAGCGGTCTGGTCTTGCCCGTTGGGAGGTGCGGTAAGAGGTATACAGCGAGGCAGCTCCGACGTGAATCATACAATTTGGCCGATAAGTGATTGAGTGATGTCGGCCGGCCAGGGCAGTAGTTTACAAGCTTAAAGTTTTTGCCGATCGGCTATTGATGGCATCGCAGGGCGTTGGTACAGGGGCCTTGCTCGAGTACAAGCAAGTAACAGTAGAATTGATGGAGTACGCCTTTGCTGTGTGTCTGCTTTCCGCACGGACACAGATGCGCTCAATTGACTGTATGTTACACGACGCAAAAGCAAATCAAACCGCAACTGTGCGGCCTCTTTCTCCAGACGCAAGTCTTGGTATCTCCCAATCTCAGCAAGGAAACGATGACAGCGCCCAACCCATCACACCCGCTAATGCAACAAAAGTCCTTTACGTGCTGTCACGTCCCAACCTCTGTAGTTATGCTGCAAGTAAAGACACTGAAACGAACACGACCCATTACATTCCACCTCATTGTTTCTGCAAGATCCAGCTGCGGATCGCCATTGAGCATACCCGCTGAATGACTTGCGTCGTCCCTCGCTGGTCCTCTCCCTCTACGAACTGATGCGCGACCTTGAGCTTGTTGATGTCATCGTTCTGGTCGTTGGTTGATGCCACTAGATGCCGTTGTGGGTGGAACTCCGGCATTCGTCCGCCAATGTGTCGTGCAATTGCAATCGAATAGAGCACATCCCTATTCTCAAGCATACTAAGTATGCCGCGCAGCACTGCAAGAGCGTCGTTGATGTCTTTGACTGCCGCTGGATGATCGTCTCGGATAGACACGAAGCGGCCGAGGTTGTGCCAGAAAGATTGCTCGTTGTACTTTTGAGCGGCAGGCGCGGAGTCTTGATGAGGTTGACTTGGAGGTTGTTGTGGCGGTGGCGGTATCCGGCTGTTTTCCAGAAACTGGCCGGTGAGTAGGTTCTCGACAGTGTCTATCCTAGGCAGGAGCTCTAGCAGTATGGGGTCGCTTCCTGCACCGTTGGCGTTGGTGGCAGCCGAACGTGGCATGCATGCGAGCAGCCATACTAGACGTGCCTCGAGGGACCGCAACGGCTTGGCACTCGCATTGTCGTTGGACGTCTTGAACTGTTCCGCAGCCTGTGATACATAATCCTGCAGAGAAGCATCGCTTTCAAGATGGCTTAATCCTCGTGATGAGTACCACGTGGTTTCGAATAAACGGTCGAGTCCGAGGGCATAGTGGAACTTGTAGAATGGCTCTACATCAGCCTTTGCCTGCGGTGATAAGGGAACAGGGGTATCTCTGTTCTGATATGAGCATATGATGATAGCTTTCGTGGGAGAAATGATCATACCTCTGATTGTATTGTGGCGGGATATCGTTCAACGAAAACAGTTCCTGCATCTGAACAGCTTTGACTGACTCAATGTCAGCGATGATGGCGATACTGACATCCTCTCAATACGCACCTTTACGCTGAGGCTGCACCGAGGAATGATTGTTTTGCGCCATGTGCAGATGGGGATCGGCGCCAGAAAGCGCAGGATCCAGTGAGGTGCTGTGCTCGAAGGGCGGCTCTGCGCTGCCGTACGGCGCGCCAGCAGCTGGTATGAATGTGCCGCCAGTGCCCGGGAAGGACTGCGGCGTCTGGTAGGGGTTGGAGGGGACGGTGGTGGGCGGGGCGGATGGGTTGGCTGGGGGTGGAGGGTTGCCTACGGGGGCGGGCTGGATGTTGGCTGGGCCGGGCTGCTGCTTGAAGATGGGGTCGTAGCCCAGGCACTCGCGCTTGCTCTTCTGGCAGTTGCGGCAGGTCGGATGGCCCTCGTCACACTGCACGCACGCACGCGGTCAGTAAATTCGCGATGCGCGGCTGCAAACAAGGTCTCGCTTGTTGGTTTTAGGCTGTTCGCTTACGACGGGCAGCCGCGACGAAGCGCAGTCGCGACTGCTCGCCGCAAGACCGCACCCGGCCTCGCTGTCGACACCACTCACCTTTATGCGTCGTTTTCGACACGTGAGACAGCCCGTCTTCGTCCGCCTCTTGATCTCCTTCTTGTGCCGCCCGCCCGGCATCTGCTGCGCGCCCAGCGAGGGCTGCGGCGGGATGGGGAAGCGCATGTGCATGCCATTCTGCTGCCCGTTCGACGGCATCGCGCCATTCTGGTACTGGTACTGCGGCGGAGGATACGGCGGGGGATGCTGCTGCGACTGCATGGGCGCGCCGTTGAGGGGGTAGGAGGGCGGCGGGGGGTGCTGCTGGGGCGGGTGCTGGCTCTGCTGCTGCGACTGCATGGTGCGCTGGGCGCCGAAGTGCTCGATGGGAGGCAGAAGCGGAGCTTGCTGCGACATGAATCCCGTGGCAGACGCGCCGGCTGGGCCCGGGGAATCGTCGCTGGAGGGCGGCCGGTGGTGCTGCTGCTGGAGCGGCTGCTGGAGAGGATGCGAAGAGGCCCTCTTGAGGTGCTGCTGCTCGCCGCCAGAGCCCTCCATCGCCTTTTAGTTGTCACGGCCTCTTCAGCTCTAGCGTGCTCATTAGCTTGCCTCCGGCCTAATTCGACACCGCGACCAATCCCTGCCGGCGGACCCAAGCGAGCCTGTTGGTGCAGCCGCTCCGCCGTCTGCTGTCCAGCCCAGCCCCAGCCCTCAGCTCCAGCGGATAAATAGCTAATAAATAATAAGCAAGCGAAACTCTGCGCCCGCTCCACCGCTGACTGTCTGAATCGCGCGCAAGCGAGCGCACGACGGCGATGGACGTGTGGGCGCGGTCGGGCTCAGGACCGAGGTTGTTGGATGCCCGGGTGATGCTCGCTCGCGCCAGGAAAGACGTTGCAGAGTCGGGACTTCCAGAACGTCGTCGCGCTGCCTCGCTTGCTCGCATGAACCCACACCGGCGCGTGGTGGAGAACGGAAGCCAACCTTCTTCTGGCTGCCCTCTCCACGTCCGTCACCACTCCACGACGCCTTTAGATAGCACGATACCCAGCAGCCTTGTCTCCTCGCCTGCACTAACACTTCTGCCATGCGTGGTTGTATCGTCTCGCCCTCCAAACAGAGCAACAAGTGGGCCTGTCAACCTGTCCTCGCACCTTGGCAACCGGGACCCGGCATACGAGGGCCTCCACCACCATCAGACCTCAAAGCAAGCAATTGATTTGACCGCCGTGGCTGTCAGGCAAACCGCCTCCCCAGCATCAAAACGCATCGGCCCTGCACTCGCCTGGATTTGACGAGTTCCCCTCCCGCCATCCCCTGCTCGCTGGTCACTTGGCCTTGCCACACCCAAGCCTGACTGACGACTCGGACCCAGGCAAGTCGGTCGTAAGAGTTAATATCATAGGATGATGGCGCTTGAATGTCACTGACGGCCGCTCGAGCACATGCAGGAGAGTGGATCAGATTGCCGTCCGCGATAGGCGCATGAAGCACCATGCGTTGCAACCACACATTTCTCGCTTGATCCTTGTCCCGTGTGGCTGCTCGACCATACTCTCGGCCATAGCCTACTATCTTTCATGCTTGAACCTTCGCAATGCGTCTCTGAACAATCGCGCTTCGTGGGTATACACAAGGGAATATCTACCGACACAGCCATCCGTACACACGCTGAGAGCACCTGCTCGCGCCAAAAGCCGCCTAGACTCCATAGCCGCTCCCAGTACACTGCAGTCGTGATTCCTAACAACAGTACTCCATCCAACGGTTAACATAGACTTATACGCGTACAATTGGTTGCCCATCAACATCTCGAACCACCGCCATCGCTGTTCAGGTTTACACAAAAGGCTGAGCAGTTGAATGCGGCTAAGCCGCCGCGGCCACAGCTTGGGGTTGCTCATGGCTGTAGACATCCTTGTATTCCGTGGCGTAGCGCTCAGCTTCTTGTGTTCCAAGACGTTGGTATTTCTGTGCAGTTAAGTTAGTGGGGTAACAGCTCATTCAACACTACGACGAACCGATTTCTCCTGGTCACTGAGGGCCTTCCACTCTTGCGCGATCAGCTTGGAGCGCTCTGTGAGGGTGATACCCTTGAAGTCGCCGCTGGCGTTACGGTTCAAAGCAAACTGCGCGTACGAGTTGACCGGCCGCTTCACCGCACGTTCGTCGTGGATAGGCGCCCATTTACTCCGCTTGCCCTTGGGTCGAGCCTTCTCGAGCTTGCGACGCAACGTGCTTCGGGCGTTGTTTGCTTGCTGAATCTCATCGGCAGAGAGCGATTCGACCCACTTCTTGTAGTCGGCTTGAGACTCTTGCATCCGGCTGTTGGCCAGATGGTTGTAATGCTTTAATACATTAGTCCAACACTGCACTCACAGCCATCCGCAAATTCCGCTCACCTCACGCTCCGCTGGGGACAAGCTCTTCCATTGAGCACTGCTATCTCGCGCAGCCTTTCCGAGAGCCTCCCTGCGGTCTTGGATGGTGCCCGATGACAGATTATGTTCCTTCATTCTCTCTGCGTTGAAAATCAGGTAAGAAGAGCCGTTCTTGACATGCGGAGGCTGCAGTGCAGCCTTCTTGAGCTCCTTGATCTCTTCTTTCTCAGCGCTGGCCTTAGTCGTCGCCTTCAGCTTGGCTTTTCGAGCTTTCTCCTTCTCCTTGTCTTTCGCCAGGCGCTCCTGCTTTTGCAACTTGCGCTGCTCGGCACGCTCCTTTTGCGCCGGCGTCAACTCCTTCTTCTTTGCCTTTGTAGTCTTCTTGGCGGCGTTGCGCTTGTTGGCCTCGACCACTTTCTCTGCTGCGCTGTCTCCGGTGGGTGGTTTTGATGCGGCCTTTTTCACTGCTCGTTTCACAGGTTTCGACGGTTCGCCGACCACGCTTTTTGGCCTTCCTGGTGTCGCATATGTCCGTAGAAAGAGGACCATAGGTCCCGTGGCGACTTGCCCATGCTGACACTGGTATGCAGGCCGTATCAAACGCGACCGCACTGCGACGCGGACCAATGCCCGCCCAATCATGCTAGCTGTATTCGAGATCGCACTTGACGGTGGAGGGTTATGAAGAGGTTGTATGGTGGTTCTTTTTCTGAATTCGTCTTGTCGTTTCGAGGAGTGGGTAAGATCAAGAAGGCATGTTGTCGCGTGTGGTATCCAGGTGCTGTTTGGGAGGCTGGCAGCAAGCTCTCCCGGAAGTTGCACCATCAGCGGGCCGTGAAGTTTAAATCGAAGCTTGGGCCTCTCGCTAGCGTGCGACTCAAGCAACTTCGAATGTTCCTTTTGAACTTCACCTCCACACGACCACACCATCATCAACTTCCGGTGTTGGCCAACGCAACACCATCTGCACACCGCGCGAACGCCAGAACAGTACATCGACCACACTCTGCTTTTTGCACGACCCACGTGACACGAGCGCCTCGGTGCGACAGCCGACGGTGCTGGTGAAAAGAGGTAAGGCAGAAGCAAAGCGAGAGCGGTGCGGACGGTGGACAGTGGGCGGTGGCAGACAGCGGACAGCGGAGCGCGGACATCATACAGCAGACGGCGAGCACGAGCACGAGCACGAGCACTTACCGAACGAACGAACGAACGAGCGAGCGAGCGAGAGCGGTTGAAGGTGGACTTTCAAGGCGGAGGAGAACATTCACAAACAAGCGGACCGCTTGCTTGAGTGGACTTTGAGCGGGCGCTGCCAGTACGACTGACGAGATCGGCCATCGCAATATGGCCCGCTCACCAGGACGTAGGGGATATGACGACTATCCACGAGATCGGCGCGATGATCGGTATCGTCGCTCATGCCGGTCGCTGAGCCGAGATGTAAGACACCACTACGATCACTACGATCGCTATGACCAGCCACGCTCTCTAATGCACCCACAGCGTCGGAACGATGACCGCCGACGCGATCGTGGCTACAACGAGCCACGTCGGGACCCACGAGATGAGAGAGACTATGGAGGCCGCAGCCACCGCGGCTATCGAGAGCGCGAGCGATCGAGAGAGCATCGCACGAGGGAACCTAGGCGATCACCATCGGTGAGAGCAGACGATGGTCCACGTGGCCAATGTAGACCTCGCGACAACAATGATGTCTCCGATGACCGTGGAAGCAGCAAGCGCATTCGACACCGATCGAGAAGCACAAGCAGGAGGCCCCAGGTATGTCATGTGCTGCTGGCGAAACAACAGAGAATAATGCTAAACACCCAGGTTCGTACTCCGAATCGTTCTCGCACGCCGCCTCGTCGTCGAACCCCAGTTCCTGGACCACAGCACACGCCGGAACAGAAGCCCCCACCTGATCCAGCCAAATTGGCACGCCTTGCGGCATGGAAGGAGGGTGTGCTCGCAAAGAAGGCCGAGCAAGACAAGGCTATTTCGCCAGCTGTCGCATCGCCTGGGGCCTCAGGTCCATCGACCGCTGCGGGTTCTCCGGGTCGTGCCAAGACCGAAGAGACGCCAGCATCGCCTCCACGAGCTCCGTATGATCCCAAAGTCATCGCCAACCGAACCAAGGCGGCGATGGCGCGGGCCAAGGCGGAGAAGACGCCACTCGGTATGGACGCACCGATTCCTGCCGCCAGCAACGGAGTGACGAATGGCGCCCACATTACCAAGCCCCCAGTGACTGCATCTAACGGTAAGCATCCATCTGACATCCAATGTAGAAGACACTTGCTAACTTTTGACTACGCAGTGCCGCTTGGAGATGCCAAGATTACAGCATTCGGTCTCAACAAGGCCGCAGGCGACAGACCATCTGACAAGTCGTCGACTGTGAAGAACTCAGCAGCGCTCGACGAGGATGAGGACATTCAACGCCAGTTTAGAAAGCTGGATGATGTGCCCCAAGACTCGATCGCCAGCGACCCTGCGCTTGCCCATGGCCAAGAGGACCAAGATGAGATTCAGGAGGATCTCCGCAGCGACGAAGAGGAGGCTGAAGCTGCTCGTGCAGCAGCTCAACGCCGCGCGGAGGCTCAGACTGTGCAGCAAGATGTCGCAATGGGCGATGACACGGAACAGGAGACCAACGAAGTCGCACCTGATGACATGGACGTGGACGAAGACGTCGATCCACTCGATGCCTTCATGAATGGTCTCGAGCAGCCAGATGAGCCGGACCTGCCACCTGCTCTTATTCCCAAGCGTAAGGGTCGCCAGACTCATCTTTTCGATGAAGATGATGGCCCAGACCTTGATGCAGTTGGTGAGGACCCAGAAGACTTGCTCAAGAATCCGAAGCGCAAGAAGAAGGACTTTGCAACTGTCGACCATACCAAGGTCGAGTATGAGCCCATCCGCAAGAACTTCTACTCAGTATCCGTCGAGATTGCCGAGATGGATGAGACCGAGGTCGAGAAGCTGAGAGTCGAGCTGGACAACATCACAGTCCGCGGCAAGGAACCGCCCAAGCCCATCACGAAGTGGTCTCAGTGTGGCTTCGGCGCGCAGATCCTAGACGTCGTCCGGGAGCAGAAGTTCGAGAGCCCAACTGCGATTCAGTGCCAAGCCTTACCCGTGCTAATGTCTGGTCGCGACACAATTGGTATTGCCAAGACAGGCTCTGGCAAGACCTTAGCGTTCATTCTGCCGATGTTCAGACACATCAAAGACCAGCGTCCTGTTGCAAATCTGGAAGGCCCGATTGGTCTAATCATGGCACCGACGCGGGAGCTTGCTGTGCAGATCCATCGTGAGTGCAAGCCGTACCTCAAGGCACTCAACCTCCGTGCCGTCTGCGCATACGGCGGCGCACCTATCAAGGACCAGATCGCCGAATTGAAGCGTGGAGCTGAAGTAGTTGTCTGCACGCCAGGCCGCTTGATCGACCTGCTCCAAGCCAATGCTGGACGTGTCACCAATCTGCGCCGCGTATCCTACGTCGTTATGGATGAAGCAGACCGAATGTTCGACATGGGTTTTGAGCCGCAAATCACTAGAATTCTTGGCAACATCCGGCCAGACCGTCAGACTGTCACCTTCTCTGCGACATTCCCGAAGAAGATGGAAGGTCTCGCCAAGAAGGCACTCGCCGATCCAGTCGAGATTCTTGTTGGCGGTAGGAGTGTCGTCGCGGCTGAGATCACGCAGGTCATCGAAGTCGTGCCAGAGGAAGACAAGTTCCGCCGTACTCTAGCCCTCTTGGGTGATCTCCACGAGAACGATGAAGACGCTCGTTCGCTGATATTCGTTGAGAGACAAGAGACCGCCGACAACATCTTCAAACACCTCGGCAAGAAGGGCTACCCGAGCGTCTCTGTCCACGGTGGTCGCGAGCAGATCGATCGTGATCAAGCCATCATCGACTTCAAGGCCGGCCACGTTCCCATCATGGTCGCAACGTCCGTTGCAGCCAGAGGCTTAGATGTTAAGCAGCTCAAGCTCGTCATCAACTACGACTGCCCGAATCATGGTGAAGATTACGTCCACCGAGTCGGTCGAACTGGTCGCGCTGGAAACACCGGTACAGCTGTTACCTTTGTCACTCCTGAACAGGATCGATTCGCGCCGTTCCTGGTCCGAGCCTTGGATGACAGCAAGCAGGAAGTACCAGTGGCCTTGAAAGAGATGGCAGAGACTCACAAGCAAAAGGTCAAGTCTGGCGAGGCGACAAAGGTTGGCTCTGGATTCGGTGGCAAGGGTATCGAGCGCCTTGACGCCGCCCGCGCTGCCGAGCGTGCTCATGAGAAGAGCATGTACAAGACTGGAGATGAGCCAGATGACGAAGACGAGAAGAAGGTGAAAGACAAGAAGGAGAGTGAGGTTGATAAGCTCGTGGCCAAGGCTGCCGGTGGCGGTGTGAAGGGGCGAGAGGACACTGCTGCCGCTGCTGCTCCTGCTGCTGCACAGAACACAGCGTCTGCTGCCCCGACCATGGATAGGAAGCTGGTCGAGCATCTCAGCAACGCGCTCAAGGTTCAGAAGGCAGAGCCTCCGGCTCCTACCAAGACTAATAAAGCTATCGCCAATGATCCAATGGCCAGAGCTGCTGCGGCTGCGGCTGGCATCAACAGCCGTCTTGGAAAGCAAGGTAAGCTTGACTTGAACAATGGGAGAAGAGCACGCTAATCTATTGCAAAGGTACTACGCGTCCAGGCGCACCAATCGACAACCGTGGTCCAGACGCTGGCGCATACCATGCCACTCTCGAGATCAACGACTTCCCACAGAAAGCTCGTTGGGCCGTCACAAACCGTACGAATGTGGCCAAGATTCTGGACGCCACTGGCACCTCCATCACCTCGAAGGGCAACTTTTACAAGGAGGGCGATCCGATACTCGAGAACGTGCCGAAGCTCTATCTGCTCGTGGAAGGCGACACCGAGATCGCTGTCGCAACCGCTATGCGCGAGCTTTCCCGTCACCTGACCGAGGGAACGCTGGCGGCCCAGGAGGCGGAGGCCCGGGGTGGCGGCGGTGGTCGCTATCGTGTTGTCTAGAGGCACACAGTCGCAGCGTTTCACTTACTGCCGCATTCATGCCGCTTACGTCAACAGAGCTCACGGATGCTTTGCATCGTGTTGAGCTCTCAATTCAATGCATCAAAAAAATAGGTAGCTATTAAGGGCGGTCTTTACGACTTGCCAGCCGAACGCACCTGAAAGAAGATACCCAATTGCGCATCCTGTTCCCCTTTTCTTTTCCATGCCTACATTCCTCTTCGTACTGCTTTTAAAGACTCACTTCACGGTCTCAGATCCGTGAATCGCATCAAATCTAGCATGCCAGGGAATATCTGTGAGGAAAAACAAGGGTTGTACTGTACTGGGCTTTGTTGCTCGCGATCAGGGAAATCGTTATTGCATCTCCTCGTCGCGTTTCTCGTTGGCTTCGGGCGGAAATGAGTTTGCAGAGCTGATATCTCGCCGACCCGGGAACTTGTACATGAATAGGATTGAAGAAGACGAACAGTACAGAACATTTGACGCATTCTGAGCAAGCTGAGTTCAGGGGGTCCGCGAATGGAAAGGTTCTCGTTCCGTGATATACAAGTATTTCACCAGGTCCTCCGTCTCCGGAACAGCTAGGGCATTGTTCTATGTCATGGAAGCTGCTATGTCCTCATAAGTCGCCTCCCCTATCTCTTGCTGGAATCAACGCATCGAATTCGCACCATCCCGCTTCGATCTTGTGATTGTCAAGTTGAGTTGTTCGAGGTGTCCCAGCTCTCTTGTCGTGCTTCATTCGCATTCGAGTGACTGCTCGACTCGAAACAGAGACGAACACGCTTGCAAAGCCTGGTTGCTCTCACTCCTTCTGAGACCGCCAGCTAGCACGAGGAGGCGTGTGGTCGCCCTGAATCGTCCACTGTCGGGCATCATGACCAAAGACTACATCTTACTCAGCCATGAAGTCCTCTCACAGGAGAAGGTTCCAACTCACCCCCGACTTGCTTCTTAGGCGTCTCCATCCCATCGTGCTTCGTCTTGGCGGGACTAGCAAGGCTGCTGGGAGTGAGAAGACAGGCCTCGTTGACAGTCTTGGTGGACTTCTTGGGCTTGCGAGTGGTTGGCAACTTCGCCTTGTTGGTGGACTTCACGGGCGTTGAGATGATGTAGCCGTCTGCTCTTCTGTTAGTGGTGAAGTGAGGTGGTATAGAGCAGGACTTGCCGATCTCTTCCTCGTCGAGCTCTGGTCCAGAGCGGTCGATGACCTCTTCGGACTGCTTGGTTGGAGAGGACATTTTGAGGACTGGAACCGTGTGAGCTTGGTATACGTATGTGAATTGAGGCTTCGTAAGGACAAGTAGTTCGTGATTGTGAACAACACGTCGCCGCCGTTGTTGTGAGTTGAAAGACACAGCACAGAGAGGTGCATATAGTCTGATCTTGTAGTGAGGAAGTTATAGTGACAAGATCACATGGCAAAGCTGTGCAAGGTGTAGCATTTCATATCGGCATGTGATAGTACGGACATGTGCACCGCACGTCGACTTCGCATGGGCTCAGGGGAATCTTCTCTTCGAGCCTTCTAACATGCATATTCATTCCTTTTTGTGGATGCCTCGCCGTGGCATACCTATCATCTCTACCCGTAACGCCTCGCTATGCATATCCCGCCCAAGCCCAAAAACAGTGGCACCGATCCCCTAAGCCAGCTCGCCTGGCAGAAGATTGCCCTTGACACCGAACATCTTGCCGCTGACCACTGCTGAGAATCCGTCCACTTGTCTTGCGTATTGCTCCACTTGCCGGCCAACCAGCAGAGACTCCAACCGAGAGGGCTCCTGAGGCAGCTTGAACAGTTTCTGCCATTCATCTTCAGACAGAGCTGGTTGCTTTTGTTGCGCACGGAGAACATTCTCTTGCTTGCGCTTTTGCTGCCACTGCTGGATCTTAGCCTGCTCTCTGGCGAGCGATCGTTGGTAGTATTGAGCATTGTTCTGCTCGATCTGGTGGTTCTCGATGCTATCAAGGAGCAAGTCGCAAGTCTTCTCGAGGAATGGGTCGATGGAGAGGTCCAGGCTATCCAAGTTTGGCGCCAGTGGATTTGAGGAGATGTTTGGGTCGTGAGAAAGCTCAGAAAGCGAAGTCGGGAAATCCAGGGCTGTCTTCTCAGGGGGTTGCGATGGGATTTGATGGAGGAATGCGGTCAGAAGGTGTGAGTTGTGGACCTGGACTGGTAGCTCCACGAGGATATCCTGGTACCGGAGGTTGGACTTTTGCAGGCTAACAGAATATCAGCGAATGCTTCTGCAGGGGCACAAAATTTATCATGGACTCACCTCTCAGTTGTGAACTTGCCCTCCTTGTACGCAGTAACGAAGCTTGGCGATAATCGGTATGCCTTCAAGCTGAGGCTGCCCTGGCTGGTCCTCGACACGTCAAAGACGAGCGCAACGGTCTTCTCATCTACTGCCCGCTGGAAAAAGAACTGGTTCTCGATGAAGTTCTGGCTGACGAAGTTGCCCATGTTTGCGCTGATGTACCATCCCACGCCCTGTGCATCCACGTTGACCTCCTTGACCATCTTGATCATCTCCGCCTGGTATCCCACATTGCTCTTTGCCCGAGGCGCAGCTGCTGCAAGACTTGCGGCATCGGCCTGGTAGTATTGGTCCTGGGTTGTGGATGCGTCTGGAACTGCGGCAGGGAAGGGGAAGGTGTTGGTGACTTGGAGTTGCGAGTTGATATCCATGCCCACCAAGAATCCGGTCGCGGGAGTTGGGAAAGTCTGAGTCGCATGTTTGGCGATTCGCATGACGCAGAGCGCCTCGATTTGGACCTCCTTGAGAGACGTGTCTTTGATAGCAATCTCGGCCATGATCGCGGTGTTTAAAGGGTGTTGGAGGGAGTGTGTCGCGATGAGTCGCCAAATTTCGACCACGCCTGAGGTCGGCAGCGGAATTCCAGTGCGAGCGTGGGGCAAAGACTAGCGTGAATTCTAATCCACCGAATGTCAGGTGATCCGCCGCCGTTACTACCAGTCGTCATGTCTATCTTCCAACTGTCTTCCATCTTTCAATGCTGTTTGCAAGGGGCTTCAGAAACATAAGCATTGCATCTCGTTATCTTGTGTCGACCAGCCTGTGCACATCGAGGCTGCCCTGTGGAGTTCGAACAGCTTCGCCAGCCATCTCCTGTGCTTGGAAAGCCATGTCCACCAACGGAGCCAGCAACGGCTTTCAAAAGCAGGAACTGGATCCCAACCAAGGCGGCGACCCGAACAAGAAGACGTATAATAAACAGGCTACCGGCGAAGCTTTGAAGACCGCTCAATCACGTTCTGCCGAACACGATCTGAAGCTTTACGGAAGCTGCTTTTGCCCCTTTGTTCACCGAGTCTGGATATCGCTGGAACTGAAAGGTCTGGACTACCAGTATGTCGAAGTTGATGTGTATCGAAAACCCAAGCTATTGCTGGACATCAACCCCCGTGGTCTTGTCCCTGCCTTGCGACATGGAGACTGGGGATGCTACGAAAGCACGGTACTGATGGAATACCTCGAAGACCTTCAGCAAGGTCGAGCACTTCTACCGCGCGATCCCAAGTTGCGCGCCTCTTCACGACTATGGAGTGATCACATCAATCGTCACATTATCCCTGCCTTCTACCGATACTTACAAGCTCAAGAAGCAGACGACCAGGTCAAGTTCGCTGGCGAGCTTAAAGGCCACATTTCGAAAGCTGTCGATGCAGCCGATTCGGAGGGTCCATTCTTCTTAGGCAAGGACATGACCTTCGTGGATGTGCAACTTGCACCGTGGATTGTACGGTTGGAGAAGGTTCTCAAGCCATATCGAGGTTGGCCAGACCCAGAGCCAGGCAGTCGATGGGAGAAATGGGTACGCGCAGTTGAGGGAAGCGAAGCGGTGAAGAAAACGACGAGCGATGACCAGCTCTATCTGGATTCCTATGAACGTTATGCCGAGAACCGCCCTAATACCTCCCAAGTACGAGAAGCCATCAACTCTGGTGGAGGTCTTCCTTGATGAGTTTTGAACGTTTCGAAGGATGCCGATCTACCTGACTCTTGGGTGCCCGACTGCCAGTCACTTCCACTGTTTCCCTGCTGATACTGATTCGGGCAACAAAACAAGCGCTAAACTAGCCTCAAACATGGTTTCGACTCACGTTCCAAACAAGCGGCATACTTCTTGCAAGCATCGGTAGAGAAAGCACCCCGCACTGGATGATTCCATGATTTCAACACATCCTTGAAGGCGTGGAACTCGCATTCTACTGGTCCCTCGAGATACCTAGATCACGGCTTATCCACCTTGGTCATACGCACGCCGTACCGCAATCGCCGTCCACTCTCGTCTGTAGGGAAGTTCAAAACATGAGATCAGCACTTTTTGGCAGATGAATCATAAAATCCTGGAGTTCGAAGGTCGTTATCGCTCGCCTTGCGAACGGTCAGCTATAGCCAAGACATGGCGTCAATCTAGATTTGGCTGAAGACTCGCACGTGGGAGTCCCCATACGGCACACGCAGGGTCTTATGGCTTTTCCCTTACCTGTTTCGAACAATGCGGCTCCTGCAAGAGTTGCTCGACAGCCCCAAGCGTAGACACTAGCTTGTGACTACGACATCCGAATCACAGTATGAGAACTCCTCGTGTCCCCGATGCTATCTCAATTGGCCATTTCCAAGACTATCGAAGTTTGACTTCACGACCAGAGCTGCACCACTTCAAGCGATAGATTGCTCGACACTGTCTTCTCCCCGAGGCCTGGCGCGATGGCAGCTCCTGAGTCGTCGAAAGTCTGCGACTCTGTTGAGCAGCTTCAGCCTCTTCACGCTGTCTCGCGGTGCCTCATCTCATTCCCGGCAGGTCCAGCGCCTTTTCGTCCAAAATCCAACCATGCGAAGCTGCATGACTCCTCTTTCAGAACGAGCTCTGCAGCACAACCGCACGCGGTTTGAAGCTTTCAGCAGCCACCACTATGATGGCATGGAGCAGAAGTCCTGCCATACTGCAATATGGCAGCACAATAGAACTGACCCCTTGAACTCACCTCAAGCAGCGTGAGAGAATCAGAAGACTAGCTCATGTCGAGGCGAACACACAAACATACAATGCGTCACAAAGGATGCTTCCCAACCCACTCAAGCACATAGACATGCGACTGCCAAGAGACGCCAGCAGCCGCACACATTCACTTGGTGAGCTTGCTGCAACTTAGTACTGCCAAGGCTGTGGTAGAACTATCAGGCCTTCACGTTCGCTACACATCGACGCCACTTCGAGGAGTATCGTTGACGGAAAGAAGGCCCTCAAACACAGGCACACCTAGGCTCCATGGAGAACGCAACGCCTTCTCTGCGGTGCTGAATAGCCGCCTGGTCCTACTGGATTCTTTGTTCAGAAACCGCCACAGTCAGGTTGATGCCTCTTTCCATACTAGCTGGCTCACTCCTGCTCCTCGTTGAACTCGCATGGCGTTGAGACTGCAGGCTTGGACGCAGCAGTAGCATTTCCCACGTGGCAGCAGCAACCAAGTGAACAACATGCTCGCTGAGATATAAATATTAGAGCCGGGCAACAATTGGAAAGATTTCGACTTGAGCAACCATCTCTACTAAATCTGTCTGCCCCTGGGCGCCCTCAGTGCTGTGGCATCATGCTTTCTTTCAAACTGTTCATCGGCGCGCTCGCTCTTGTGTCTCGCCCATGTCTTATCCAAGCACAGGTTGACATCGCAGCAGTCGCCTCTGCAGGCCCACCGCCGCAACCTAGAGTCCAGACCAATGTTCCCTCACAGACCGTAAAATACGATCATGTGGCTGCTGAAACCGCTGCTGCCGCTGAGCAGAGCGCGGAGGCCAATGAGCCGGACGGTAAGTTGTCAGCTTGCCCAGATATATAATGGAGTGTGTCAACTATCTTGGGTGCTTAGAGAGGCCTACGGAGGGGGACAAAAGTACCCATCTGCATTCACTGACTCCTCTTCAGTGCAAAGGCGAGACGCCTGTGATCCACAGTGGTTGGGACATGGACCAATTCCAACTCCTGACACTGCGGAAGCATTCGTCTCATACGCCTCCTTCAGCTCCGCCGCTCTAGCAGCTCCAACACCGACGGGCTACACGAACACTTTCAAGGATCTCAACGCTATGAATAATGCCCTGGGATACATGGGCTTCACTTTGCTGGATACCTACGACGTGACAGCTTGTTCTCAGAAGTGCGATGCTATCGACGGTTGTGCTGCGTTTAATGTCGGTGAGTCGATCATGTGTGCGAGTCGTGGAGTCGTTCACTGAGAGACGATGCAGCATTCGAACGTTCGCCGTCAAAGGACCCTTCGCCCTCTGGTGGAGCTTACGAGCAGCCTGATACCACGACATTCATCAAGTGCGTTTTCTGGGGCGGTCCAGTCACGCAGGCGAATGCTGTGAATGATGGCCAGTGGCGTAACAACTACCACGTAGTGATTGCTGGGTAATTCTCAAAGTACATGAGCTGCATTCATATTCTAACCTAACGTAGATCGAATGGATACGTGAACAAGACGGTGGATGCCGCTCCAGGCTTCACGGGGCCAAACTTCTTAGGCTCCAAGGCTTTCGACCCACCGAACGATTGCAACAACCTCAGCAGTCTTATGGGAAGTCAATACTGGAACGACGGGCAGCCATACGACACACGTCGTTGTGCTGCTGCCTGCACTGCTCAGACTGAGGCTGACCCAAGTTCGCCTTGTCGCTTCTTCAACACTTTCGTCATCTCGAGCAATGGACTGTCTCAGGGGCAGTACTGCTCTTTGTACTCCCAAGCTTGGGTGGGTTCCGCAAATGACAAGTCCATCCCTGAGCACTATGCTGACTTACAGTCGTAGGAAGAGTCACATGCTACATTGAACCAGATTCCGTTCAATGGGGACAACTACACTATCTCGTATAGCTATTACTTCACAGATTCCGAGAGCAATGGCTTGCCTTGCAACGTCACGGAGACACCTACGCAGCCGAGCAGTACCTCCACTCAGGTAACGAGGCCGGATCTTCCAACTTGAGAGAGCTATACTGACTATCTTACAGACTTCCGAGCCCACAGCAACGTCGACGGATACTCCTGATCCTGGTCCACCCCTGACGCCCCCAAGTGATTGTCAAGCTCTATGGGTACTGGACAACATCGATCAGGGCGGCTACAACGCAGCAGGCACGCCGTTTTCAGCTCACATCACCTGCGGCACACTCAACCAGACATTCGTCCGCGTCTACAAAGATGGAGCTGTGTACCCTGATGCTTACTACACTGTGAGCGACACCAGCATTTCCTTCACAGACGGACTGGCACCTGGTCATGCCACCTTAGTTCTCATGGCGCTGGATACCAACGGGTACCCCTATGTTACTGGCTTCGACCTTCTCTTCGGATCTATCATTCTACCTGTTGTCGTCAACGACAAGGACGGCAACCCAGTTCCAAATGCACTCGTTGAAGTGAACTCGACTGCCAACAACGGCTTCACGCAGCGGTTGACTACTGACTCCAATGGACGAGTATCCTTCCTCAACCTGCCGCCCGCGACCATAGGTTTGACTGCCTACACCCCAGACAACGGCATCGCCGTCGCAGGTGTCTATGCCGGCGATGGCCCTGTCACGATCACCGTTATCCCTTTCAACACGCCCGCCGAGAATGCTAACTACGATTTCTCCAATGGCCTAGACGGCTGGACTGGTTCAGGGGATCTGTTCCCATCAGGGCAGTATCCACCATTAAACACCTTCCCTACCTATTCTCCCTACGACCCTGAGCCTGAACCGGGTCCTTCTGACCTGAACGACACGCTCCTGAAAAGCCGCCATGTCGGATCGCCAGCTTCGCGAGCCATCGCCCTTCGTGATGGTGGAGGACAGGATATGGACCTTCGTGTTTATACCAGGAATACGCAGACGCTTCAGGTATGTCATGCTGCCCATGCCGGTTTAGCTTTTGGCTTACAATCTTTCTCAGACCGCCTCATCCACCTTCAAGACCTACTCCTTCACCAAAGTCGTCTTCATCCGCTTCAAATTCATCACCAGCGAGGTTTGTAGTCGAACTGATACCCCTATGATTGGAGGATAATGCCTTGTCTAAAACAACCAGGTTCCCGGTGGCTACTTCGGATCCCGCTTCAACGACTACTTCATCGTCACCATCCGCTCTGACGTAGGCGGTATCAAGACCAAGACTGAAAGCATGGTGAGGTCGCCACCTCTCCTCACCCACCACACAACTGACCTTCCTGCCCCGTAGAACTCCCTCGGCCGCGCCGCCTTCGACGACTCCGGTGCGACAGAATGGATGGAACTCCGCCTCAGCGTCCCTCACAACTGCCGCTCTGTCCAGTTCGACAGTAAGATAGCACCGCTCCCATCACATACCTATGACCACGGCTAACATCCTCTCTCCTCGCACAGTCGGCGTCTCCAACGTCGGCGATTCCGCCTACCAATCCGAAGTGATAGTCGACAAAGCCGGCGATCTCGACTGCGAAGAATGCGGTACGAAGACAGACACCCAAGCCCCCGTCCAAAACCTATACTAACCACTCCCCTTCACTCACAGGCAACTGCCCCCGCTGCAAATCCGACCCCATGTGCTCCCCGACCTGCCGCGAGCGCCAACCCGGAACCTGCGCCTTCTACCGCTCCTGCATGGAAGAATCACGGCCCTGCGCCGACGACCCCTCCAGCTACGCCCTCAACTACGGCGAGAAGAACTGCCTCGCGTACCGCAACAAGCTAGCCAGCTTCTCGCCACGCGGCCAGAGCTTCGTGCTGGGCACCATGATGTGTCTGCAGGATGCGCTGCGGCCGCGCAGTGCGCGAGTCTGCGGCAGATTGCGTTTGATTCGCACCCCGGGTGTTATGTGGATAATGGGTTTTGTTATTTGACGTGTGGGGATTATTGGCAGGTGCTGTTGACGATTGGGGGGGAGTTGAGGACTTTGGAGGCTATGGTGAGTGATGTGCTGTTCGAAGGGGGGGAGGGAGGGGTTTCTTGACTGAGTTGTGTCAAACGGAATCTTGGACATGCAAGGCTGTGAGACGGACGCAGCTCGGTCGAGACGCCCTGCCCTGCCCTGCCCTGCCCTGGATGTGATACTTGTCTTGCGAGGACTTTTTGCTAACCATGTGATGAAACAGAAACAAGTCGTCCAAACGGCCGGAGGATGCTTGGCGCACATCAAGGAGATTCTGTCGGACGACAACTGCTTGGACCTTGTGACCCGGGCCATCATCTACGCGGCCATAGTCGGGGCCGCACTCAGCTTGTGATGAGAAATGAGAGATGGAGGAGTTTTAAGATTTGACATGTCTCAATTCATGTTTGCGCGAGAGTCATGCTGTTCACGAGTCAAGAATCTGACCGGTGTCACATACGAGGTTCCAAAAGCGAGGCGAGAGATGTCTCCTCCTAGCTAGGAAGTATCACACAGCTCAGCAGCTGCACGGTGTTTGCTCCGTGTCAGTGTCAAGCATGCTCTGACTCGCACAAGGCACCTTGTCATGCCGCGAAGATCATTGTTACCCCCGTGTCAAACAACACCATGGCCATCGCAACGCCGTCGGGATAAAAAAATTTCCCAACAACCATCTGATCGAAGCGAGACGGGCATAGGGAGGTTTCTCATTATTACACCGAAGCCGTCTCAACCGAGTTCGTCGTCTCTGTCCCGTCGTGGATCGCTCGATCGAGTCTGAAGAGATCTGCACGCCTGCAGGACACCTCTCCCGCTGAGCGAAGCGTGGAAGGGGTTTCTTCACACCAGCCACACCTCCTTCAGATTCACTCCACAGTCCCTGCCTTTAGCTACGATGACCCTGTTGACCCTTCAACGGAGACGAGTCCGTAGGAAAGGTTAAGAGTAGGACCTTGGTAAGGAGTCGATTCCGCGATGCACCAGTGCTGGCGTGCGTCAGTTTTCGCAACCCAACGCATCTTTAGAAGGCATGACCTCAAGAAACAGGCAAGCGCTTTTATTCACGCTGCAGCTCGTATGGGACGGATGCATCCCCAACACCATCGTCTCCTCTGAGAGCTGTGATGCAGACCACACCCGAGTACGTATACCCGAGAGTTCCCTATATCCCGTTCCGGCGGCAGTCGTTGGACTTTCGTGCAATATCTTAGATCGTGTTGAGACGAATCAGATCGACCCATCGACAAAGATGAAGTAATTCTCCTTGTCCCAGGCCGCGGGAAACCGCACAACATCCGCGAATCCTCTGAGACGGTATCTGCACGCTACCAGGAAAGCGAGCTGGACGATCACGCTTGATCGTTCGATCTCAGATGATGCGGCTCTGCAGACAACGAGCCGCGGGGTTGCACGCTATGGCTGAACGGTCGTTCTACAGGATTTTGGTTGGTATGGCTGGCGAAAACTTGCCGCGAGAGGAGAGGTGAAGGGAGGTTTACGCGGTAGCGTAAGCTACACCTGTTGTGACCAAGCCGTTGGCTGTCATTCTTCGTTGGAGTGTGCTGCAGAAACGTTGATAGGTCACCAATGCGGAAGGAGGAGTCAAAGCTTGAGGAGGATAGACTCACGAGGTGTTGGCCTGCCGTCGTGGATGCTCGCTCACTGCCGCTCGACTCGCGTTCCTGCGCGACCGACTCGTGGATGCTCTATGAGCTCTCCCTGTTTGTGTTTCCCATCACTGTGACGGCTGCTGCCACTGCTACCCGACTCTATGCCCGGCGAGTGTCTCCCGCGGCGAGCAATCTGCAGGCCATCGCCGAGTGACTTCATGTTGATGCCAGCGGTCCCACGATGCCTTGACGTCACGCGGTACCAGACTGCAATTTTAGCAGGTCAGCCACAGCAAAAGCGGCGGCCGTTGCCCTTGCATCTTCTCCATTCGCAGACTGGCATCCACGCGTCTGGCAAGGACTGCAGGCCGGCGCGAAACGAGGGCAGAAGCGAAGCGCGAAAGGCCCAAGGGCTGGCGGATTCACGTCCGCGGGAGGAGGGCGAGATCGAAGATGGGCCAGCGAAGTTGGGATAGCGGAGGAGAGGCCGGCGGATCCTGTGTTATTAGAGGAGCAGCCGAACAAGGCCGCTGCATCGAGCTTCTAGTGCGATCGGTACGTACACTGTCATCGAGGGTCGTCAGCCTTTCACGTTGCTTAGCGGCCGCCGCACAACACACCGCGGACTGCACTAGGCGAGATCAGAGCAGCCGTCGCGCGGGAAGGCCTTGGTCAGCGCAGGGCGACCCAGCGCGTCGGGCATCGTGGGACTCTGCTTCATGGCCGTTAATGCCACTCCGGCCAGGGCTCCTGTAGTAGCTTAACAGGATACAGGCTCTAGCAAGAATAATATAAACCCCTGCTAGTTTCTCAGCCTTTATCTAGCTATATATAGAGGAATAAGTAGGTTACTACTTTATATAGCTATAATAGGAGGTTATAGTAATATATAGAACTCTAATTAACCTAGTACTAGGTTAAGCGTAGAATAAACTTCTACTTTCTCTATCCTCGTATATAGCGAGTATAAAATACGTACTAGGGAATTACGTATACTATTATATAGAGAAGGTTTACCTCGGTTTTTTTTAGGTTTCTAAATATTTTTTAGTATTTTTTTATAATTACCTCTCTCTCTAGGGAGAGCTAACTTTAGCTCGTTTCCGAATCGCCTATGTACCGTATTATCGTCGTAGGGAAGAGAGTCGTTTAGTTCGTTTAGAGTCGTTCTAAGTTAGAGCGATAAATACCTATTTTTAGGTTTCCGTTTGACCGTATATATATATACTTTACGCGTTATTTACGAGTCGTAGAGTAGTACTTTATAGATACGGAGAGATAGGGGCTTTTTTGTAGGGATATACCTACTCCTTCCGTATTAGGCGATTATATAAAAGCGCCGTCTAAAAGTATATATATCGAATATTTCGTTTATCTACTAGTAAATAGGAGTAGTAGCCTAGTTAGTAAGTATTCGAATCGAATACGAAAAGCGTTCCTTCCTAATCTAAATTCTAGTTTATCGATATCTAAAATATATTACTATAAGTAATATAGCCGTATAAAACTCTAGGTACGGCGTCGTATACTTTTTATACTCGATATACTATCGAACTTCTTATAATATAGCTTAGTAGTAAGAACTTTAATAAAAATAACTTTATTAATAATATTATAGCGCCTAAACGTAAGTCCGCTATAAGCGCTACGCCTACGAACCTACTACTAGCGCGCCGCGCTACTCCTAGTATTCTATACTACTAGTAGTACCTTTATAAAATTACGAGAGGTATATTTATCCTATACTCTTCGTATACGCTTCGATACTAACTCTCTCTAGACGGTAAATTACTAGATAGCGATAATAAGTACGATACTTGTTTTAGTCTTTTAGGTAAGAAGTGTAGTCGTTACGCCGCCTCTTGTTATGGTTATATCGAGGTTCGCGATACTAGTCTACGTACTCTTTAGGGTACTATAGTTACTACGCGCGACGCGTATACGCTCGCTATAGGCGATAATATCGAGAGCGACGACTAGGAGAACGAGGAA